AACCTTGTTGGGATTCATATGAAGTGAATTGTGGGTTTAGGGACTAATAAACACTTAAAACTTTGAAACCACAATAAACTGAAGAGTTTTAAAAATCTAAAGTGAACGTTGTACCTGTTAATCAAATCATATTCTTTGAGAAGGTGGAGTTAGATTCTCTTAAAGAAATCTCATTTAATTTCTTACAATTTAAAGACTGACAGATAGAAAATTCCACAGCATGACTGACTGACCAAACATGATTCAAGTCACTTTTAAACCTTGTTTACCTTCCATAAGCTTTGCTGGGTGTATCAAATCAATGTGACACAAATCTTGTGTCTCTGCAGTTTATTTTATTGTCATGTGAGATTCTTTCATCCCAAATGAGAGTGTGTGATCTTCCCTGAAAAGTTCCCCTCTCGAGGCACCGGCCTGTCACAGAGCCAGACAAAAAGGTGTTACTGAGGACTGTGTCCAGCAATTTAAGCTATTGAGAGCTGCCCCCAATTCACCTTTCTTCTAAACTTTATGGCCATAATTGCCAAAAAGCTCCTCCCTAACTCTCCCTGCCCCCACCCATCCTTTTTCAGGCCTTTGTAGCATGTTTAATATTCCCATAGTACTGTACTTTTTTTCCTCCTCCACTCGGGCCTCAGTGGAGTAATAAAACCTTGATTCAATGAAGTTGGGTCAGAGTTCATCATGTTAGTAGTCTTAAGGCTTTGGCTGCAGCATTCAGCCTCTAACACTTCATGTCTATCTCATACAACTACTCCTTATGTGCCAAAACAATAAAAACATCCATCAATGTCCTCCCTTGTCTATGTAGGGTGGTAATGACTGATGAGGGGTATGGCACATTGATGCACTTTAGGGGCAGGGGACTGTGTGAATGTTTGTTTATGTCAAGTGAGGATTTGTCAAAAGGTTTATGTCATTGCTGGCATCAGTCTCCTCAAGCTTGTACTGGGTGGTCTTTGTCTGTTTGTGTCCGTAAAGAGCTTCGTGCTCACTCTCATTTGTTCCCTATTGATTCCCTAAATTAGGTTGATGAGAGGCCCTCCTATCAGGTGGCATATTAATTGGGTCAGGCTGGATCTTATATGACTTCCAAATAATGGCAACCCAAACCCAAACACTAAACCCTTTGTCCTGTGATCGCTCTCTTTTACCAATTAGCCTCACGGTGAATCTGTTTCTTGCCACCTTTGCTGCCTGTTACTGTTTTCCAAGAAACAGGCTGCCACTGGTGGCGTAGGACAGTGTGTAGTGTGTGACGTAGTGAGTGTTCCCTTTTAAGGAGATAGGTCACAAGATTTCATACTTACATAAGGAGACATCCCACTGAGCGTTTTTTGGTCTAAAAGAGGTCTAATAGACATCTAAATGTAGTCTAGACGACTGGTTTAAAATCAGGCTACCACAGGTCTAAAAATGAAAGTTTTTAGACCTCTGAATTTAGACCAAGTTTAGACTAAATCTAAATCTGGGCTATATCTATTGTACACAATGTACGTATGTATATATATATATATATATATATATATATGTGTGTGTGTGTGTGTGTGTGTGTGTGTGTGTATGGTTATATTATGTTGAAATTTTTGCCAAAAACATCTAAGGAATGTATGTGTTCCAGACGTTTTAAAGCTGTTTTAATTATCTGGTTATAGGTGGTTTAATTTACTTTAAGAATTACAAAAAACAAGGGACTGGATGGTGTTGATGATGAAAGCAGTCGACAGCTTATTTCACAAAATTTGCTAATTGTAAAACCAAATATGGAAGATGATGAAGAGGATGGGGATGACGAGGATAAGGTGTACTGATACTGTAAGTGCTGTTACTAAGCCACTTGTCTCCTGTACTGTATGCATTCAGCTTACGTTAGCTACTAGCTAGATGTTAGCTACTAGCTAGTTGTACTTAAATGCAACTTATGGATCAGTGACAATCTGGAGCAGTTCAGCCGGTGCAGGGAGCAGGAGGGACTGAGTAAGAAATGAACAAGAAATCTCATAAGCTAAATAAATGATTTATTGTACAAAAGAAATATGACAGTAAATAAACAACAAAAGACAAAAATAACAATTGAACAGTTATTCATATGCACAACCATTAAACTACAAAGTTGGGGTGATTTTTTTTAAACTACACAAAGAACAGAGGAATGAAGGGGAAAGTGAGCAAATCATTAGAAGCGGTGAACCTGTCCAAAACATCATAAATGTTAACGTTTGGGTAGGTATTTACATAGAGATTTCTTACTCTCATATATTTATATGAAAACATTCTCACACATACCAGTATACAAACACTTAAAATTTAAAATGCAACTTATCGACAAGCCATAGATGTGGGCACAGCTAATTATTTCTTTTGACCACACATTATCAGAGCCACTACCATCAATCACTCTGTCAATAACTCAATCTGAACCTGAGAGCAAGGGGACCCTGTGGTTTTCATCTACACTTTCTGTGGGGTGGTTTTGCTGGGGTAAGGGGTTCTTATGGGTCAAATGTTTGCACAGATTAATGGATGACATTTTTTTTAAAAGCAAGGTTTTTAGAAGGCTTAAGTGAGGTAGACAGACTTTGAAATGCATTGTAATTATTTTTAATAAATAAACAATTGACCAGTTGAATTATTTCCAACCACTGCCCCTAAATCAGCTTTTTCCCTTTGAAATGATCTAGCATATTACTGCAATCACAAAAGTTACAGCACACAACATGTCATCCTCTACTTTGGCTAACAATCCCTGGATACTCCTCCCATTCTTACATGGGTGCTTTCACTCAAAATACAAACACAAGGCAAAAACATGTCCATGAAAGACAGTCGACACATTGTTTAAGTCAAAAGGACGCAGTCTCTCTAACATGGTAACAGATTAAAGTTGGTGGGTGGGCCATTTCCAGTTAAAGCATTCTATGTTTGTTGATCCAGACACTTATGATGCACATGAGTTAATACCCAGAGTGGGCAAGGAGGCCTTTCAGGCCACTGGTACAGTAAGTCCAGGTTCCAGATTGGACAGAGGTGTGTGAGTGTATGGACAGGCCCCCGCTTCAGACAAAAGTCAGGAAAGCGTGATGGTATCAAAAAGGAGTGATAACCTCTCTAGTTTATGGTTTATCACCAGAAGCTTGAATAGTTTTATTCCTATACTGTACAAGCTCTTTTGTGCTTGGTAAAACACAAACAACACTTAACCTCCTCACGCCATGAACGCCCCATAGTGCAAAATTTATTGTTGGTAAGGTAGAGTGCCCCAAAAAAGGTTTTTTGTACCCCTTTTTAATATATACATATATCATTTATATATAATGTCAGAAGGCTCTTCCTTTATCCAACAGCATAGTGCTTTCGTTTACAACAAAAGGATATCTTTGCTTTGACATCCAGGAGACAAAGACAGACTTCAAGCTTACTAATCTATTCCGTATTCAAGCACTAATAATATTTTCTCCATTATGATATCAGCATTACAGTTGAGGTGGAAGTAGATGGGGTCATTTGAGAAATGCAGTTAAACATTTTCTGTACACTACAGTCGGTGGTTGAGTAACATTCTCTTGATTTTTTGACAGTGTTGGTTGTGATTCATAAAAGCCTTTGTGTTAAGTACTGCAGTTTGAGGATTTCGAGTTATTTTCTTGTGTGAAACTAGGAATGGTAAAAAGCAAATGGACTGGCTTTAACATGAGTAAAGACGCTACTACTCTTTCTTTAATGTGTGTGTTTTTTTAACACTGCTGTCAGTGTGAGTGTGTAGTGATAGTACTGTGAGTATGTTTTGTGCTATTTTCAGTTCAATCATGAACTCGTGTTATAGAGGAGAGAACCCTTGAGCATACTGACAACCCTTAAAACACCATTTAATTTTGGGATATGAATTCTGCTTTCTGTTTCCTATGACATTAATCTAACTTATGAAGCAGTGAAGTCTGCACTCTGAAGGCTAAAGGTGTTTTCCCTTGTTACTGAGACGAAAAAGGAAATTTGTGGGGTTCTTCTTGTGTCTGCTCCTCCTCCTCCTCTCCCAGGCGGTGTCAAGTGACTCCAGAGTGCATCTCCTTTTTAGACTGTGGGATGCAAATCAAAATTAAATCCGTATTTTCTCCTTAGAACTATAGAAATAGCTATACTTGCTTCACCTATCTGCTGTGTGAGAGAGTTAGAGCAGTATAACCTCTTTTCTCCCTTTTCTTTTTTTTTTGCGTTTTACAAGACTACACATAAAAAGATCAAAGTAACTGTGAAAAGTTTCGTGGATACTAGAGAATGTCACACTGGGGTGTTATACATTAATAGAGGGTACAGGTTTGGTTTTGGATCTTCTTATCTCCTTACATCTCTAAAGCACATCTCTAGACATCTGTAAACAAGATTTTGGATTTATACTTCGGGTATATCATACTATAAACCCTCCTCACATTAACATGGATTTTGCTCCTTTTTTAAAGTGATGGATGCAAAAACTATTCAAAAAATGCCCCCTTTGCAAACATTTTTGTGGATCAAATTGCACCTGTAAGGCAGTGTATCAATGAAATTCATTATTTCCAAACTTACCTTAGGACTGAAATTGCTTTGAGAATATTGTAATTTCACATGTCTCTTGCCATCTTAATCCACAGCCCTGGACATTTTACAAAGATGCCATTTAAAAACAATATCTTTAAAATCCACAAAACTAACACTCTATAACATAGTTTTGTCTCATTTATCGTTTTCTGAAGCTGCTCCACAAGGGCATCCTCTTTCAATCATTCACAGTACTGATTTTCCATATCTCAGTCTGTATTTTGATTCATGTTTCATTTATAACTTTTTACAGTTAGAATCAATTAAATTACTGGAAAAATGGAAACCAGTGGGATGATTTTGTGGCTGAGCAAAAGTGAAATCTGGTGCAGAGGTGTGGGTTCTGGTGCCAGGTGAGCTCCGTAAGGGTTTTCGGTGGTTTGATGCGATGATGCCTGTACACAAGAGTGTGTCTCTTCTGCAGCCTAAGAGCAGCCACATCGATCTACCACCATCCCTGGGATTTTGCCGTGAATGATCTGCTGCTTGTCATTAAAGTAGAGCATATTAATAGGGGACATCTTGGTTGGGGTACAGCAGGGCCCTGCAGAGCCTCGAGGGTTTGCGTGCTGCACCAAGTGGGTGTGCGGATATTTCTGCATAAACATGTACTCGCACTGGCCCGAGCAGTAGTTGGCTTTGTAGCGTTTGGGTGCAATGATCCAATCCCAGCCGAACGCCTCGAAATCCACAGTAAGAGGGTAGCGACAGCAGCGGGACTCTGTGGAGTGCTCGTCGCAGTCCAGGCCCAGGTTTCTCCGTGAACGTTTGGTCGTCTCAAGAACCTTCACTTCCAGAAACGGCTGCTGGAATCAGGGGGAGGAGGGGCAGGACACATAAAAAGAGGTGGTTATATAAGTACAACAACAACAGGGATAACACATCAGCTGGAAATATGAACAGACAAGAAGCTCATCAGACATTTAGAGATTATACTTTTAGAGCCTAATGTCACTCTCAGTTTAATATGGCAACTTGCACAAGGGCCCAGTGCATCGCTTATGACACCTTATGTGTCCTTTTATGTGTTTTATAGGGTTGCTATCCTCAAGCTTGGTCTCATTGGGATATTTTCAGATGTTGCATTATATATGTACCCCTTTTATTAAGTGTTTATGTCAAAAATGTCTCAAAACATAAATAACTTGGCAATCATTTTGACTCCAATCCCTGAACCCATCTGCTAATATATCTCAGGGCTCCCCCAGTGGTCAGACATTATCCCTGCACTCTTCTTTGTTTACAGCCCAGCAAAAAACTTTGAGTATGCAAGAGGAGTTGGAGAGGGAGAATCTTGTTCATGTTTTATGCTTGATCACTAATATGTTGATGAACAGGTGAATTTCTTATGGTTGTCAGGTGACCGTAAATTAGTTCAGAAACAGCATTATTGCCGATTCTTAACGCTCCTTTTGCCCTTTTTTGTGGACAGTTTCTCTTGAACACACTCAAAGCTCACAGAAACACACATGAAAAACAAACACAAACATAAAACAGAATGCACCTGATACTAATAATCTCGTTCCTTGTGTACAGCTTCTGCATTTATTTGTAAAATATCTAAGGAGAGATTTCTTAAAACCCAAATCATGTTTTTATACTTCACCTATAACAAATTGTTTTATTCCTGAACCAAACCAAGTTATTTTAGTGTCCAAACCTCATCTAGCTGTAACAGTTAAGTTTGACTACTGGTAAATTTTTTAATTATTATTATGTTTTTTTACAGTGACCTGCTGTATTATATTGATACCTCTCTCATGTATAACTTGAGGGATATAAGTGTAACCTGGCATAGAGACTGCACACGTGACATTTTAGGTTAAGCTTGGCTAATCACTTCCCTGCTTTAGAAACATGCATAATGCTCAGACTTTAGGTTGTATTAATTTTCACATCTTTGCAACTCTTTGTGATATTTTACTAACATTTGGCACCTTCATGCTATCTGTACAGTCTAAACAAAGCTAGGAAGATAGATGGAAAGAGATAAAAGCGATAATTTCCATCAAACTTTATCTGTCTCATTTAGGCCAAAAAAGTAGAGATGTAACATACTTTTCTTATAGATGACATTCATATTTTATACTTTCATGAAACCATGAGGACAAAATGATTATTTCTAAGATAAGTACATGTGAACAAGAGTGAGAAGAAAATACAACAAACATCCTGATCATGTTTTTACACGTTCTTAGTTTCCCCGGACCGGAGAAGTTAATTGGCTGTTGTTCATGTGAAAAGTTTCTCTGCTTTTGCAGGTTAAAATGACTTCATGTCATGAAGATGTCCTCTGCTAGTACACAGAATCTTTGGCCAAAGAGAACAAAGAGCTTCATAATATGTTTATACAACAAAGGCGGCTGCATGTGGAGTTTGTTGTTCCTCATGGAAAGACACAAACATACAAAATCAATCAACAACTGCACATATTTTGATTCCAATCAATATGACTAAACTAACCTATAAACTTAAACACTCATAAAATCAGGAAGAGTTAAGAGTCAATGAAATTAAAAATTCAGTTTTTAAAAAATTCTGATAAAAACTGCTTGTACAAATGAAATGAAATGAAATGCTGATTAGATGTTTTACCTGGTGGTTGTATTTTACCATGATGGTCTAAAAACATGAAGTCTAAAATAAGCCACAGAAAACTTACTCTCCATGTATTGATGTGATATTTTGGATGTTGGAGACTTTTTACATTCTGTTGTTTTAAATCAGTTCACCAACAAAGCAGACCGCAGATCTTAAATCTATATTTAGTCAGTAAGCTTTATGAAAACAACCTGTTTCAACATCTCTTTGTGCTGTAGTGTCCCTTCATTAAGTTTAGATACAGATACAACAAAATGTGGTATTTTGAACTCTGAAGTCACACAGCAGTGAACTATTTTGTCTTGTGTTTGCAGGAAAAGCTTCTATTGCAGGTGTAATGGATGACATCAGAAACAATAAAAACTAAGTGTTACGTTAATGAACCAGTTTGAGGCTAATGGATACAGTTGGTGTCACCCGTGCTTTTCCTGCTGTCTGTTTTTAAAAGGTGTATCCTGTTTGCACAGCAAGCTTCAAATAAGAAAAACTAAAGACAAATATTTGAAAAAAACATAATTCAAAAAATTCATAATTCTTAAGTCATTTTATATGACAACTTGTGTTCAGTGTTTGAGCAGCCTTTGTAAGCCTTCTCCTCTAAAGAGGATTTAGGTTTTCCTACAAAGGTATACGCTGAGGTTTACACATTATATGTCCCAAAGATACATGTTGGACAAAAGAAATTTCAGCTGCTTATAATTCCAAGCCTCTCATTTAATATGTTGAGAAAATAGAGGGATGAATAAATAGCTTTGAAGAGGGAGCACTGATGCAGAATTTGACCAGACTCATTGGTAAAAAAATAACCTTTTCCAATGTTGATGGCTAACTCTGTACGCTTGGTTTGATCTCTGACCCTGGAGGTCATTTGCAGCCTGCCATAACCTTGACCTTTGGGGCAAAGCAAGCGGATCAAATATTTCACTCCATCATGTTTGTTTTACAAAGCCTTCCTCTCCCCACAGTGATTCCAGCTGGGCTCAAGCACTGTTTTTTGTGACGCATTCAAAAGAGGAAATAGGCTGAAAAGGCCGTTGGGGTGAGACCATGTCAGCTCGTCCTTAAGGGCTTTTGTTGTAGAGTAAAAAGACCCCAATGCTCTGCAAGAAGCAGATTTGCAACCTTTCTTCGCTTGTTGTGTTTTGTTTTATTTTGATACTTGCATGTGTTTTTCATCCTTTCCTTTTTTTTCCTTAAAGAAAAACATTGCACACTGCTGTGTGCTCAGAGGGCAGCGATTTATTGGCTGAGACACCAGAGCTGACCTCTGATATGTGTTGTGAAGATCTGACCCAAATCTCTGCTTAGTAAATATTTGGTGTTTCTTAACCGGGGGACTGGCTTACATAAATTAACTTGGCTGTTGGGTGTAACATTTGGTCCCTGTAACTCTGGGATTTCTGACAAACTTACTGGTTCATTGATAGTATTCTTTTGTGCATGAATATTATGAGGTTTTACCGACACCTGGAAAGAAAACAAACTCTGCTTACATACAACGCAGGTCAAACTGTACCAGCAGCATCAAGCTTTACATTGAACTATGAGATGAGATGATGACTTTGGTGATGGTTGACAGAAAAACTTTTTTTTCTTTGGTATAAACCAAATACAGAGTGGTCACTGGTGTCATGTTCAGAGAGGGGGCTGCTGACTTAAAGACCCACTCCAATGAAAATCATGTTTTTCTTGTTGTCTACATGTTCATATGGCATTTTTATGATGCTAGAGGACCGATCATGAGAAATTAAGTGTGAAATTGCATTTCTGAGTATTTCTGCATTCAAATCGCCATGAATCTCTGGCAGACCCAAACGGCAGGTTCAGACACAGAGATTTCCTACGTCACAACTCCAAGCTCCACCCACAGAGCCCCTCTATGCAGGCCAGACTCGTAGGAGTAGAGGGGATGATCGTAGAACAAGCGTGTGCATTAGCGGATTGCAATGCTCATAGGAAAGCTAATTATGATATTAGCTTTTATCGTGTCTCTAAAGACAATTGTGTCCGAGAGATGAATAGCCCATATGTTACCTGCTACTTCTGCTACACTGACAATTTCAGGCTGCTAGCTAGCATGGAGACAAGTGTGCAGAGCAGTGCTGTCTCCGCCCACGACTCAGAGGCAAATTGCTAATAAGCTACTGGAGCTCTGCAGAAGAAAAGCCCTTGAAAATGACACAGGTAACATGATTTTGGCTAAAAACTTCATAATCACAGTTTAAAGACAGCTGATAACACTTTAAGTAGTAAGAAAAAAAGGATTGGACTGGGACCTTAATGGTGTTTAGTAGTATTTGATATGTAGCTGTTTTTGGCCTAGCTATTGTTAGTTCTAAGTTTTCTTTTTGGTAATACGGACATGACTACAACACCTTTCATGATATAGAAAAAAAAATGCTCTGTTTCTGCTCCTGCAAAACCTTCCACAATCTCTTAAAATACATAAAAAACTAATTTTGGGGTTTTGGAGACATAAAGCTTTTAAACACTATCTGTTTTTCATGTCTATAAGGCCTTACATTATCTCTTTCTCTGTGAAGTTTTTTATCTCACAATCACACCATTATGGTTTAAGTTGACCCAAAATAACTCCTTGCAGTTAGATTTAGTGATTTAGGCTTATCTTAATATTTGAGATTACCAGAAACATTAGCATTAATCTGCTGGCTGCTATGATTCTGCCTTTTGATATCATATGTTGGTATTATAATATTATGTCTGTGACTGTTAATGTCAAAATTCTAGTATTTACTAATTTTTGGAATTTTTCCTGCATTGTCTTCATCTTTTTTTGAGGTGCTTATTTCTTACCAAATTGGAGTTTGAAACACATTAGACACTGTTTTAAGATGAATATTAAGGGTGTTTGCTTATTTTTTTTTCACTCTAATCACCTGAAATCTGCTCCATGACTAACACACACATTGTGAAATTAGGGGCAAAGGGTAGGGGCAAATTTTTTGTCTTACATTCTTAGTTGCATCTTGTTTAGGTATTAACCTAGATGCTCCATTTGATCTGAACAAGTTTCAGTCTCATCAAATACTCTGTGTTATTTTGGTGGTATTAGTAATGGAAGGCTAAGAGATGAGAGACAGTAGAGCAAATCTACTCTGAGACAGACTTAAAGCATTAAGAACATGAACAGACCATAATATACAACATCTGTTAGACACCTTTTGTATTGAAAAGAGAAAGCTTTCTGAATTAGTGAAGATGCATGCAATAAATCCAATATGAAATTGTACCCCCCAGCAAGTCGGTGTAATTTGTTACTTCTCTGTTCTAAGCTGTCAAGAGTTGATAGCAAAAGAAAGTTGTAAATAAATACCATTCTGCTTTTTGGGTGACTATTTCACAGCACTTAAATTTAGTTTAGTTACAAAACACATTTGTCTCCATCTTTCTATTTATTTTCTCCATTTGCATAATTTTGGCTTCCTCCCTTGATTTAAATGTGAATCGACATCTGCATAAATTTGAGCTTTAATAACAGTGACCCCCCTCCACCCCCCATCCTTTCTACCCTCTCTACCCCAGGGACAGGTCTGAGGGTCCTTACCAGCCCCTCCTCCCCAGGTCGCAGTGAGGTAACAGCCAGGTCATTGCCGCTCTCGTCAAAGGCGTTGATGTCGATTCCCCAGTTGGTGTGAGGCTGTTTGAACCAGTTCTGCAACACGTGCTTAAAGTCAATACTCTGCCAGTGGCCGACTCGGGAGTTCAGCTCGATCTTCAGGGAGCGGATACGAATGTGGCGGCTGCCCTGCTCGGTGACGGGCTTCAGCCGAAGGATCTGCAGATAGACAGTGGAGGTCTGCTGCAGCGGCCGCAGGTACACCCACAGCTGGGCCTTTAGCACCTTGGTGAACATCAATTTGGGGCTGAACTTGAAGAAGCAGCAGCTCGGCTTCCCATTTACTTGCACCAGGGGCTCAGCTGCAGAAAAGAGCAGAGTACAGATGCATTCAGACAAAAAGGCAAAAAAAAAGTAGATTTAAAATCAGGGCTCCAAAACTGCAGAAACTCTGAGCCAAGTCTTCTTCTGTATTGTTAATAACTGCCTTTTTATTAAAGGCAAAGCAAAAGCCTCTGTAGATGTAGTTTACAACTTATCCCTTTAGCTTTGAGAACTTTTATGTTTGACTTTAAACATAGTGTAGAGATTTTTCTCTGGTGTAAATGGACTGTATTTATATGACACTTTTTCTAGTCCTCTGACCACTCAAACGGCTTTTACATCATGTCACATTTCAGATTAAAAGAATCTACCACTGAAGCAAATATAAACTTAATAAAACAAAAGACGACTGTAACAACAGATTCACTTGTTGTCAGTATGAATGCAAACACGGTGAGATCACCGGGTTTTGTTTATGTGCTACAGCACCAAAGATTTGAATATAACCCCTCCTACAGTGACGAAGAGCTTGATTTCAAGATGTTTGCAAGTTCAGGAAAATTCTCTTCAAGTCTATCTGAAAATGTTCAAAACTGGGATTTCTCCTGACGAAATGAAGAAAAACTGCATGATTTCTACACAGAACACATGACTTTGTGCTTTGACATTAAATACATTAATTTTTACATTGATCATGACAGCAAGGACTCCAAATGAACTGCATATCACTAAGAAATACTATTTTACCGTGCAGTTCTTGATGTAACTCTATTACACTTATAAGGGATAAGAGCAGGTTTCTTGTGTCTGAGTAATGTTTGTTTTTTAAATAAAAAAAGATGAAATTAAAATCAACTATATTTAAGATCATAACCAACATATATTTTAAGTTTTAATGACTGAAGTTTTCACAAAAGGTACAGACCTAACGCAGGGTATTATTTGACACTTTTTTACAACATCATACTTTAAAAGGACAGTCCTCATACTGAATCTGAGTATTGTTCTTTTTTCTTTATCATTGTCTGCTTTTTGCAGCCACATCTGCATGAAGGCCGTCGGATATCGAATGTGCACATGGTCCTTTCACTTAGGTTACATTTGTGATTACATCAAGGTTGGAAAAACAGATACATTTGCATATTAAAACAAGGATCAAGTGATGGTGGCCAGAGGCCAGATGGTAACCTCAGAGTCCCCTGGGTCAATCATAATGAAATGGTCTATCTCTGCATCACAACCAGGAAAACTGAAAAATCTGAAGTTTTTCTCGAGGCCCGTCCCTGCTGGAACATATGTTTTGGTTTTTTTATTGAGGGTCAAATGAAAATTGGGTATCCCCTAAGATAGGCAGATTTATTCCTGTCATGATCCTGGGCTTTGCTGTTTCTGTGATTTGCACCACATGTCAAACCTGCACATGCTTCATTTACATAGACCTCCATCTGATATAATGACATCCATGCATCGCATTCATACATTAATTTCCATGTAAAGCGTTCATTTATAAAGGGAAATTTATTCTGCATCTATCTGGCATAATAATGTGCAAACTGACTACAATAGAATGTCTAATCTGCCATTTTCTCTCAGCACATTTGACATAATTTCAGCAAATAAAACGTCATTTTCTGTCATTTATCTTGAACAGGAGGGTTGCGGTTCCTCTTCTAAAAAAAACTGGTTTAAAAAAAGTGTATGGATGGACCTGTCAATCATTGCTAAATCTGGGGTTGCTCAGGCAACCTGAAAATGCTTCCTGGGTCAAAAGGTTATTTTGCACCTCAGCCTAGTTAAGAAATGGGATCAGGGGTCAAAACCGTCAGCCTCTTTACATCTCAGGGGTGCCAGGGAGGGGGCTGCCCTAATAGCCAGATTGAGTTTGAAGGTCAAGGTCGACCCTATGGCGATGGTAATATGTTTTTCTCCACAAAATGCAATTTTTTAAAAGACTCAAAACACAGCAGAGAACCATTTTAAGTTTCAGCAACACAACAGCACTGGTTGGGCCACAGTTTGTTTTGGTTTTATTAGGGAGGAGATTCTCCAGCCAATCGTGTTTTGTTTATCAAACCTCCATTGACCAGGAGAACACACTGCACAGGGCTGTTTTTCTTCCTTTTTTTTTTTTTTTTTTACACCAAACAAGAGTTGTAATTGAATTATGGTCATGCATTGAGGGATATGAATTCACTGAGGTACAGATGGACTATCCATTAGAAGAGTCCAGGGCGAACATTGAACAAGGGCCAAGCTGGGGACAGACGTGGTCCTTCAGCCTGTGTTTCTAGGCCCAGTCATTAGTGAGTGTAAATTATACAGTGTCTCACGCTGGACAAACAATATGTCAATGTTCCTTCTGGTAGGTTGCTGGGGTCACAGCAATTAACGTGGGTGGTGTTGTGTTTGCTCATCAGCACAAAACTGGGAATGAATGATTCTGCATTTTGTTTGGGGTTTACTTGTGATAACTACTTTTTGTTGTGTTAAATCGCTGCAGATGGAGGACTCACACCAGCTCTTTCTTTGCAGACTGATTTGTTATCACTTTTGTTGAGTTCTGAAGAAAAAAAACAAAACAATGAAAGAACAACTGCTAAACGCTGCTGAGCTGAAAATGGTTTGGTTTCTTGAGCAGAGGCCTTTTTTTTTTTTTTTAGGAAGGAGTAATCTGAGAAGCAGAGCCGGTACAGGACCATGGTTATTAAACACACATGCACAACATATGAGCTACGTCATGTTAAACAATGACTGCATTGATAGGTGAAATCAATTTGTGCCTTTATAGATCCTGTAAGTGCACATGCAAGAGTGCAAAGCGTGGAGGTTGAATGCCTGCAGCTTAATTACAGCCCACGTCTTGGCAAAGCTTTTGCAAAACCAGCAAAGCTAGCTTGTAAAGATCAAAAACCAATGTGACATTTAATCTTTCTAACTTTGTGAGCAAAGTTAACACACACTTTTTACTGCAGGACTGTTTTATAGCTTAATTTCCTGGGCAATTTGCACAGTTATAGTTTATTTCAGTGTGTCAATTCCACAGTAAAAATGTCAGTTCTGATTTTGCATTCAGCACCACCTACTGGAGCACTAACATTTCTCTGCTCAGTCAAAGTAAGGATGAAGATAGAAAGCAGCTCCATGATAATTCACAAAAAAACCCTCCTTTGACCCAATTTTAAAAGTAAAAACCAACTTTAAGCAGAAACAGTAAAGACATAGGCTGTGTTTTTCCAAAGGAAATAGGCTTGTTTGCTTTCCCTCCCTACGTTTCCAGCTACTTCATTATTACTGCAGCTTATTTCCCTGTGGTATAATTGCAGCATATGCAGCGCATGAATTTTACTGCCAGCACGCAGCAGGCCTGCAGGTGAGCCTATCAAACATCTGGTGGACTCCCAGGGTACCTGTGTCCCATAGCTAGCCCAGAGCCTCCTATACGTGTAGGTGAGGGGAGAACTATAGAATATAAGGGTTTATTCACACTGCCATCTGTCCATTTTAATATGACCGCAGCCTTTTTAAAAGTTAAATGCTTCTAATAACTGAATGCAGTAATGTAACTGAAGGGTGCAGGAGCATGGACCTCTTAAACTGTTGAAAACAGATGGAGAAGGGGAGCTAAGGTGTAGTTATACAAAGAATAGCAAACATGTGTTACCAGTGAGGGTGCTCTAATGATGACAATGTGGTACAAATCAAAGAATCTTCGATTTCTTTAACAAACATAGAAGTACAATTAGCAAAAAAGAAAGTTTTCTGCTCTTTTCGTACTCTGATTGCTTTACTGCTGCGAGTCATGCTTTTAAAATCCGCAGAATAACTTTGCTTTCTTCAATTCGAAGACCCACGCCTATAGGATGATAACTGATCAAAATATATAAAAAAGGTTACAAGAACATTTTCACAACTTTCTTATAAATAGAGGTAATTTTGAGGTCAGGCCTTGAGACAAACCCTTAAAAATGAGTCATGTAAACACGGAGCATTTCCCCATCAGGTTGAAAATCAGCAGTTACAACGTGACGGAAGAAGGAGAAATGGTCACTTATTGTCAATGTCCAAAAAGATTACGCATAATGTTACAAACCCAGATAGGAGTTGCATTTGCATATATATCTATATTTTCTTTTCTTAATGGGAAATGCAAATGTGCCATTTTGTGGTGAGTGTGTGTTTGGGATCCTTCATGTTGAATAAATGTGACTCCAGGGTATCCCCACGCACCTCAGCATATTAATCATCGTGACACGTTCACGACCCTTCTAATAAGACAGGGGCCACAGTGCACCCCCCCAAACATCCCATCCCACCCCAGCCTCGCTCCCTCTTTGTCTCTCGGTCAGTCCCAAGGGACAGGAGAAGGGTGGTGGGGGAGGCCTGGCTCGAGCTGGGGACGGAGGAGGAGGGGGTGTGTGTGTGAAGTTAGACCCCCTCATTCAGAAGCCCTCCCCTGGGACAACGGCAGGCACAAGACTCCTATTAGGACTGAGCACAGTAGCCCCCCAGGAGCAACAAAAGACACCTCCTAATGCTCCCTGTTCTAGCTCGGTGAACACATGGAAACATGCAACTGCACATAAACACAACATGCACAAGCTCTGAACTAACAGTCTCCGGCTAACACACTCACAGCTCTTTGTTTTTAGTGTTGGGGTTATGTATGTTTGTGTTCGGAGGGTTACATTGGTGGGACAACTGCTGCAGCACAGAGGATGAAAAGAGCCAGCATGCAGTGAACTGCAATAAGGTGGACAGCTGGACAGCAGGAAGCATGCTGGGGTCTCACTGCATGTGTTTGTGTGCATTCACACATGCGTGCAAGACGTTAACGTCAGGGGGACAATGTGATGCTGTGTCTTCAAAAGTCAAACTCAACAGTTTTGAATAAGGATTAAAGTGAAATCTTACATATCTGAATTCAAAGAGTTGTTTAATTCTAATAAAAGAAAACAAAAAAAAAGATAAACTATTTTTCATACCTACTTGATTCCAGCCACTGAAAATGATTGACTTCTCTGTTATACATGTTAAATTTGGTCTAAATCAAGTCGACACTTTAAAAGTGCTGTATCTTGACCTGGCATGTTTGTTCATGTAAGTGTGTGGGATTTGATTTGGCGATGACCCTTTAAGAGATTTAAAAAATTGCTGAAGCCCTGAAGGTGTTGACAGTCAGTGATGTGGCCCAGAGGTGTCAAATTAATAACAAAGTGAGAAATTTGACTGTTAAGTGATAAAAGAGTACACTGACTGTGTATCTGGTTTTTAAAAGTTGTTTAAGTCACACAGATACATAGGTCTGTTAATCAATTAAGCTGAGCATCTCAATGATGTTGTCAAAATGATTTATTTAAGTGGTTATGACCAAAACCTGTTAACGTCTGTAAATTTATTCAAAGTAAGAAAAATAAGTAAAAGAAACTTGGTTAGCTGTTGGGACTCTTCACTGCGTGCAATATACTATTACTAAAACATATTATAAATTTTTTGTACAATCAAAAACAAAGTTTGGTTTAGTTGATATGTAAGGTAACACAGAGACTATTTACCTGTCATTCTTTGGGTAATCTCTATGAGCCTGTCTTTTATATTACGACAGCACATCTCAAACTGGACTGAAAACCATAGCTCACATGCTCTTTCTAAGTTTTACCCCTACGGTCGTCGGGGCTTTGTGGGACACTCACATTTTTTCACAGTTCGGCTTTTAAGGAGTATTTAGTTTGCAGGATAAGTACAACAATACTTCAATTAAGTATCATATAGATATTTCATGAGGAGAAATGTCTATTCAAAACAGAGACCAGCAGATGTGCAGATAAGCCAAACTAGAACAGAGTTCAATTGTAAACAGACAGTGGGTGAAAAGCTCTGCAACAATATTTCACAGACCAGCCATGTCTGAAATCATTCAAATACAGCACAGCGCCTGCAGTAAAATACAATTTCTTAAATTTCTCTGTGTACTCATATATTCAACAGCTTGATGTGGCAAATAGGTAGTTAAGTTTCCTGTAGCAAATACAACGACAAGACTATATTTTCCTGATAAATATATCATCCTAGGCTCCTAGGCTAATGTTTTCTGGACTGCAGTGAGAGAGACAGCAAGTAAAAGTTCTGGGGAAATTGAAACTTTACCCCTCAAATGTACTTATTGGCCCGTGTCTGAGAGGACAGTTGAGATTAATCCTCTTGTAGTAGAAACTTTCTGAAAGCACTGTGTTTACAGGTTATGACGTCTTAACTTAGACTGTAGAGGTAGCAGATGTTAAGAAGGCAATCATCCTGGGGTATGATGAGTTAATATACTGCTGTTGCAGTAATGCAGAGTTTTTCTTTGTCATCTTAACAGCAATATTTCATGCCTTTATACTCTCACTATGCCGCTGTGTTTCTTGAATGAGCATACTTGTCTACCTCTATAACTCTGTAAACCAACAGCACCGCTAATTTGAATTCTCTGTCCTAACACACCTTCTATTGCTGAGAAGTAGCCACTTGAGAGTCAAGCATATTGTTCATACTCTCATGTTTTAACAATTAGCTTTTCAGATCAAGTTGAAGAGAGCAAACAGGATGGAACTTGAAAACAAAAGTGCTCTAAATCATGGAGATGCAGGTACATCGCGATCACCACGCAAGACTGACTCAGCAACCGCTCTATTCAACTTTGATTACCCGACACAGATCCGGATGTTACTCTGATTTTACAAGGGTGACCGTATGTTGATTACCAAAAGCCAGGACACACTCAGCCCAGCAATGAGATACTCAAATGATACACGAGTTTACTGAAAGATGCCTTTTAATTTTAATACATTTAAAGATGTCTCCTCTGTATGGATACAACATCGTTATATGAACAAATACTACCTACTATCTATGTGACTTCACCAAAGACACTACTTCAAATAGGCCTCTTAGAGGCTACTCAACACATTTTATTCTGAGCAGTTTCAAAAATAACAAATGAAATGATGATAGAAATAATGTCTCTACTGTATTAGAAAAATCCATAAATTATAAATGGCAAAAAATATCTCTGCCATATTAGCAATCCACTTTAAACAATCATAGCTCTCACGAACTCACAAAAACTGACAGAAAATATCTATCCCTTTAGTTTTCTTCTTCATCCTAGTGGCTGAGTGAAAAACACTGATAACCAGGACATTTACATCCCTTCATTAAAAACAACCAGAACGGCCAGGACAGGACGTTTGGTCACCTGATCTTCAGCCACGTCTTTGGTAGTAATCTGATAATGATAAAACTAACAACAGTGACAGATAATACATCTTTAAAAAAATTACTGTACAGCACATAAACTTCAGCTTTAAAAGCAGGTTCAAATATATGAACAACTTTTCTAAACTTCAAGTGATGTACCGGTGTAGATTGATTCCTAAACTGACTTAAGTAGCAGCTAGATCTTAAGTACACTTCCAGGTCGTACATCAACTGCAGCCTCACTGCTTGGAAGAAGGGGGTAAGCCCACATAATAGAAGGAGGGAAACTAGCTTTTAGGAGCTGCTCCAGGCTCGTGCCGGCAAAAGTCCAGATTTACCTAAGACATCTTCAAAATTGTTACTTTTTACTTTAAAAAGTAAAAGCAGAATGGGAAACATTATGTCGAAGTGTAGTCCGATTCAACTTTTAAAAGAAATAAAACAATCCCACTCCTTTCACACAGGAACCACATCAGACACACGTAAGCATGTAGTTAGTGGCATCATCAGGACTAAACAATCAGCTGTATCCTTGCTGAAAGTCTGTAAAAAGAGTCTTTTTTTATCAAGTAAAAGAAATAAACATTTCTGTTGCTATGGCAAAATTATTATTATACAACCTACGAGGACTGCACGCACTGTAACTCACACAAGCATTGACCACTGATCAGTTTGATCACCTTAAATGCTCATAAGACGTGCCAGATTTCTCACTGGGAGTTGTTCTGTTCGATCGCACTTAGCTACAGAAAGGAAAAAAGAAATTCCTGAAGCCACCCAAATCTGTCAAAATCTCAGCCAAGACTTTTCTCTGAAGACAAAGTTGGTGTGACCACATCATGCCAACTCTCCCTTCAGGAAGCCTTTCTGCTAAACTGTTTCCTCGAGAACCTCGCGGCAACATAAAAAATATCTACGCTCCTCTTTATGAGCTCCTCTTGATCCATCTGTGTTACACATTATATAAATCAAACTCGTCCCTAAAGAAATTACTTTGACTGAGCATTTACATCACTTCCATAATTAACGTCCTGGGCCGGTGTGGATACAGCAGGCGGATATACAACCACAGGTGATAAATACAGCGAGTAGATGCTCTCCTCTGCAGCAGAGAGGAGGCTAATTAAATTTTAATGCAGATAATCGCGAGGTAATCCACTGTTAATTGTGCTTCTTTCCGACACAGTGGCTCCCTCCTGGGATCCGGCATTATGCCCACGCAGCATTTCCTTTGCCTAAACGCCTCTTGGATTTAATGGACTCGTCCATAAACACACACAGCCTGAACGCATCCATCAACAATAATCCCTTCAATGATCTCCATTTTATCTTCTCGCTCCTCCTCCTCCTCCTCCTTCTCACTCATGTCCCTACGCAGGGCTTAATTACTGGTGTGAAGTAATTATTTCCTTTATTAGTGAAACGTAACATCTGTTTCAGGTCTTTTTAATTGTACCTATAAAACCCTTCCATGATTTCTGTCCCTTTAGGATAGGACTGAGCTGCTTGTTGCTCCCTGTGGGCTCACTCCCTTCCCTTCCCTTCACATCATTTCATGCCCACACCATGAGCTACAGTGCACCTAACTCCAACATACTCTTTGAGGCATAAAGATCAAAAAAAGCAACAAGGAGGAAAAAAGCAGAAATGATATTATATTTTAGAAGGACACAAAAGTATTTCTGCCTCATCACTATCCTTACACACGTCCTCCTAATTCTCAGTGTTGTATTTTTGGTAAAGCATGCATTTTAGTCCAAAGCACCATATTCCCAAATAAGAGAAGACAGAGCGACAGCAGAGACCGGTACCCGGGAGCGTGGGAATAGGGGAAGGAGTGAGATTCCTGAGGTCCTGGGGAAATTTTGTCCCAGTATTAATAGACTTTGGTCCCTTTGAAATTTTATTAGCCATAAAGTTGACAGTATGTTGTGCAATTTCTACAGTCCTACAGACCTTTCTTTCTTACGTTTTTACCCCCTTTTTAAACAAACTGGCCGTGCCCCCCAGCGTTCAAACAAATCAACACCAAAGTTTATCTTTCCCTGATGCAGGCAACTACACAGGGAGAACAGGTGTCATCGTCAAACTGAGACCTCCATGGAATAAATAAATCTATAAAAACCTCACATAGTCATCAACTTCCAGCAAACACTGGCCACTGAGCTGAAGACAGTCCAACTTCTGCTGCTCTGTCCTTTTAGCGCTCTCCCTCTTAATTTTTATGGTTCCTGCACCTTCAGGAAATGACCCTTTTATAGGGTCAACACTATAAAAGACTTGTTTTTTTGTGGGAGTGGTTGGTGGATGAGTGTGTGTGTGTGTGTGTGTGTGTGTGTGGTGGGGGATAAGTGTTCAAGTTACTACCGGTTCGTCTTTGCTGTCAAAGAAAGAGACCCGATGAGGTTAATAGTCTCCTCGTCCAATATATCACATAGCTGTGAACCCTGTGACCCTTTTTGTCAATAGGAGAACTTTTTTTCTGGAGTGTGTGTGACTGTGTGGGTGTGACTCTGTGTGTGTGAGTGTGTGTCAGCATCCTCAAGCATCTACACAAGTGCGCACATGTGATCATCTCTATGGATTGGTATACCTGTGTGTGCATTAGTTGAGTTAGCCTCATCATCAGGAATTACATTGCAATCGCCACACTGAACTTTCGAATGTTAGCTCACACATTCATAACAGAAACAAAGTGTGAAACAAAGGTACGAGAGAGTTTGGAGCAGGGATAAAAGGCTTCAGGGTGCCAGAGTTTTGAGTTTGATACAGTTAAAGTGTAAACCGGAGTTTCAGCTCCTGGGGAGGTGGTTTATTTTGTGGATAGCCACTGAATTTATTCGATCTGGACACACAACTTTTGTATACGTGTTTGAATAAATCTTAATTAAGGCTCGAAAGGAATCTGAGTGAGTGCTGCTCTCTGCTGGAGTCTCTGTTATTGGACCGTCTCTTAATTAGAGGACCGATAATAAGCTCGATCAAAGAACACGATGATCATAAACTCTCAAAACCTTAATGAAGCTCTGCTGCAATAGTTGGTGACATAATTGTGAGGCAACAGAGGTGCCACTTCTCTATCCGTCATCCTCCTGATATGTTCTGGCAGAAACAGGTTTGTTTTCAGTACTAGATATTGTTGTATTACATAATGGAACAGTTGAATAGCGGTTAGTCGGCATCAAAACAAACAACAGAGACGCGGAGAGAGGGAGCAAGAAAGAAGGAGAGGGTCTGTGATGGCTGAGGAGGGACTGCTCTAAATGTCTTGGAAAGGTGACAAATGGGAGACCAGTGAGGTCAAATCCTCACCCCACCTCAGGGAAAAGAATATCAGGTCCAAAAGCACACCACTTTATGCACACCACAATTAAACATGTAGATGAAATAGTTCAATCAACGGGTTGATACAGCTAGATTTGTTCATAGAGATATACTTCAGGAAGCTGCACGCCAAAATGACCCTGGTAAACTGCTCCATACTGAGTCATATTTAAATGCTCGAACAGCGAGCGGAGCAGTTACCTACACAACACACAGCATGGTTGGAGATGCTTTAGAGCTGCACTCTGATATAAATAGCTGTACTTTTCCATGAAATTTCATAGTAATTAGAGACCAGGAAGCATGGACCCGCTCAACCCCCACTGCGGCACCCACGTACCTTGAGTGAATACTAAGAAGCAACTCTGGCATGGGTCCAGTTCAGTATGTACTGTGTGAACCCACATGGCCCATCAAAGGCAGTGTGCACCACCGTGAAAAGGGTGATCGGGTTCGAGGTGCGCAGGCAATAGTGTTTGAAGTCCTCCTTCTATCACAGAGACAGAAAAAGGCACTTTTAATCCTGTGGGATCACCAAGGCGCCACAGGCAAGAAGAGATGCACTCATTCTCTAAACTCTTCTATGAGTAGCGGGGAAAAAGAAGAGGAAGGCGAGGAGAGGAGAGGGGGCTAACACAGAGGAAGGTGGTAGTGGAGGGAGGGGGTAAGGGAGGGAAGGAAGGAGCAGATGATAAAAACTGCAGCTGAAGTAGATAAGCGAACACAACACCGGGGAAGTGCTGTAACACACAGCGGTAATGTCAGTCCTCATATAGAATCACTCAGCATCAGCCATACTGACATTTTCTGACTTTACCAGGTATCAAAACACTCGGCATAACGTGAGCGTATCTTCAAGAGTTGCTGTGACCATGCATGAGACGAGAACAAAAAGTTAAAGGTACTCAGAGATATACTTGATCGTACAGTGTAGTATGTTAGACATGCAAAGTTGTCAGGTTGGGGAAGGTTATATGTGATGTGCATATCAACAGAAGAAAACCTTTCTATGGTTAATATTCAGTATTTTTGAGCAAGTGATGAAGGGAGACAGACAAAGATCGAGTGAGACTGTGAAGATGAAAGGTGGTGATTAATACACCTATAACCCACAGGACATCATCTGCACTATGTTTTAGCCCAAGAATAAACCAAACCCAATGCTCTCAGAAAAGACCTGTGGGTTATATATAAAATACTTGCAAATAAGAACAAAATCAGATGGCTAAAACTTAGATTACAGGGACTTGTCTTTGAGCAGGTAAAGAGAAAAACAGTAGGCATAACAATTAGATCATTCAAAAAGTAGATGCAAAGTAGATAGATAGATAGATAGATAGATAGATAGATAGATAGATAGATAGATAGATAGATAGATAGATAGATAGATAGATAGATGGGGAATAAATGCCACATGTCTCCTGCTGCTTTGTTCCTCTAGGCATAAAAATCTGGTTATTTGGAGAGTGTTTTTATCCGCCTTGTGCAGAATATATTACGTGTGTAAATGTTTTTGAACCCCGCGATTCGCCGGGAAAAGGTCACACACTCCCCTCGACCCTAAGTGATTCTGGGTCTTTGTGTAACTCGTGGTGAAAAAAAAAACGAGCTGCGCCCATAAACTTCGCATTTAAAAGGCAAGTGCGGCCAAGGGGGGCCGCTGCATGAGGGGAACAATAGCAGCTTTTTGGACACACTTTTTCTCACTGCGATGAACAGCAGGGAAACCGGTAGAGGCTCCTATAAAAGGGCGATAGAGCACAGCTGCCGAGGTTCAACAGTAATTTTATAAAATGTCTCCAAAGGGGGCCTGCCTGCATTTCATCTGCGCATTTATAGGGAACTATATGAGGGAGCGAATTGTTCGAGGGCAATAATCAGAGAGATCATAACTGCACAATGCAGGGCTTTTATGCAAAAAGACATAAAGGGATTCAGCTGCACCATCATTAATAATGCACTTGACATTCAACCGGGGCCTGTCATGTGTTTACTCTGTCAAACACGAATCACCTCAAGAGGAAAAAGTTTGACCGCAGGTGGACTGAGAAGTGCAGCGGCAGCCCTCCCTCCCTCCTCCTCCTCCTCAACATCATCATCATCATCATCATCATCATTATTATCATGAAAACAAAAGTTTAGCAGGACATATTGTAGCTGTCTCTCTCTTTCTCGGGGTGACGAGCCTCTTTATGCTGCTGTGTATTGATTTATCAGCTTCACACGTAATCCGTGGCCTGTTCTGACAGCCGTGGCCCACAGATGACCACTGCCATTTGTCTAATTTTATCAGTCCTCTTCAGACACACACACACACACACACACACACACACACACACACACACACACACACACACACACACACACACACACACACGCAGAGTGGACCCCAATCTGAATGTGAAAAGTAGGTTAGGTCACTGACCATGCACGCAGTGGAGGCCTGTGTCACTTGAACCTCTCTGCTCCAGCAATTACGCGTAATGACGCATTTGGAGACAATATTGTGGGGCTGTAAAAACTATTACTCACGCTCAGAGGCCATGGTGATCACGGACTCCGTGGTGGCGTGGTACTCATCCTCCTCCATGAACTCATCCTGGGACGACGCGTCTCCCTGGAAGTCGTGATGGTCCAGCAGCTGCTGGAGCGGAGGCGCCTTAGGGAGCAGCTGATTAACCACCTCCCGGCTGATGTTGGGCGCCTGCTTCAGACGCAGCTTGCTCAGGATCTGGGACTTGATGGTCTCAAGCCTCAGCACCTTGCTTTGCTCCCTCCACACGCAGGCAGAGCACTCGTGGGAACCGGCGTCCTCGTCCAGCAGGGAGAGCCCGGCATCCGTGGGCGTCTCGCTGGGAGAGGGAAGCAGCAGATTGGGCTCATCGCTCCCCGACTGTCCCAGGGACACGAGCACCATCAAACACAGTAAGAAGTTGTACCTTGGCATGATGACCCGTGGAAACAAGCAAGACAACTGTTTTGTTCTTTCTTTTGCTTCTCTTTTTGCGAGATTTATCCCGTTATATCCTCTTTTTTCGTTGTGCGTCGCTCCTTGACTTATCCTGCAGAAGGCAGGGATTCAGTGACCTGCATCTAATCCAATACGACCACCCGAAGTTGCTCTCTTTAGATTTTGTGATAAATTTTCAAGAAGAAAAAGTAGGTCCCACTGTGTCTCGGTGCAGGCTGTTTTTGACTAAAAGTTACCAAATGATCTGTCTGATGAATGCATAGTCCGCTCAGATGTGGTGTAATGGTTGTTTTGGGTTTTCTTCTGTACAATTTAGTCCAAGGAGGTGTGTGAGTGTTCAGAAGTGTCACTGAAAAATGTGCAAGTGCGGTCAAAAAGGGGCTCTTTATATATCTCAGCTGCCCGGTGTCGTAATCCGTCTCCATTGGCTAAGATTGCAACAAAAGGCTTTTAGGTCTGTCACCAAGTCAAGAGGGACAGAGCGGAGGAAGGGTGCGTGTGTTGTTATGAGAGTATAAATGTTTTTACAGTGCATAAACAATGTCTCACATCACAGATAAAGCCTAATTAGGTTATTAAGCAGATGATGCCTCTCTGCTGCGCATGTGTTTTTCAATGCTTTATTATGCTTTAACTGGAAAGGCTTCAGAAAGTCACCTCGGCTTCTACACATCATCTCATTAATCAAAGACAAATATAATTTATATCTATGTGAGACGTTTTATCAGTTAAGCTACTGAATATCCTACAAAGAGGATTTCCGCGTGGTTTCATGCAGATTATAGAAGTTATACGAGCGTGTCCAACGCAAACTAAGCGTCAAAGTATTTGTTTGAACCAGCAAACTGACTTTTATCTCAAAATGACTCGTTTAGAATGCAAAAGCATTGGACATAAACAGGCAAGATTAAACAAAATTCATATAATATATGTTTTATAATAAAGTCATGCAGTAAAGCATGCCTTATTATTCTGTTTCCATGAAAAGCTATACACCTCATTATCAGTTTTGATGCCAAAATTCATAGTACTAATAAATGAAGTCTGTATCAACATCATAATAATACATTTTAATTGTGTCTACATTAATTAACTAAGATTGTAGCAATGTTAGTCACTTGAATCAATGATTATCAAGAAGCCTATAAAATAGGTCAACATGTGACAGTACCTGATAAGAAATACAGCACAAATACAAACCTGAAACAGACAGAATATTAAGCACCATATACTTTGAATGAAAAAGTGTAATTTTAACAAGAAAAGAGGTCTTCATGGACACATTGTACTTTTATAGTGAATTCTCTGCTCTGACTGACTCACCAGTGTCCTCTACTGGAGGAAAATAACAGCTGCAGCTGCTGAACACATTTTAAGTACGTCTCATGAGTGTTTCATCTATCGTTCAGGCTGTATTGTGATATTATAGAACTGTGTTAAACAGTGGATGTATATAGCATTATGAAATATACTGTATTTATTTATTTGTTTGTTAGGAACCCCACTGGCTTCTACAAAGTGGTTGCTAGTCTTCCTGGGGTCCAAAAACTTAAAATCACAATACAATTACATTTCAACAATTAGATCATTATAAATACAATTACAGATTTAAATCATGATTCTTCACAACAATAAAACATTAAAATCACTCCAAAAGCTGTGCTTTCATAGTACATTCATACAGTTTTGTTTTAAAGTCCTTTTAAAATAATACCTACTGCTTATTTGCTGAGTGCTCCTATGCAATTGATTCCACATTTCCAAAGATCTAAATAACACTGTCTCCTTATGCAACTGGACCCTGGAGAATGGAACAAATATCGAATATGGCAGTATGCGTATGGCAAAGAATGTTTATATTTAGCTTGTTCTGTACCTGTTTTTCTATAAGAACAACCAAGGACTACCCTGGCAGCTCTGTTCTGGGCAAGCTGCAGTTTTTCACTGTATGGAATATATAGCTCAAATGCTTCATCAACTAAGACTAAATTGAGACTCATGCATCAGTACATCTATCACTGGAGTTCACAAAGGTAATAAACTGTACTGAAATACCTGTGCACAACAATTAGGAGAATCATCTCCAGTTTAAACCCAGCTCAGTTACAGTGTGAAGGTTAGCTAAACAGGGTTATCCAGCAGCTTCATCTACTTTATACTTTTATAACTGCTGTGTTTGCAAAACTCCAAGGATTTGTGAGTATTTCATTTTTTTATATTTTAGCAGAAACACAAGGAAAGTTCCTGCTCAATGTGTTTGCAGGCTTTTTTATATATGCTAAATTAAAAGGCAACATTCACTGACCAACACAAAAGTACTGATCACAGTTACCATCTTTGAGTAATGCCAAGCAGATGAGTATCATCCTCATATCTGCATCTTAAAGGCACTGAGGGGAGCTTTCATATTATGTTGACTCCAAGGCCACCTTTGGCTGAAATCATACCGTTATTCCATAGATTGGTGATTGCATTTCTTTTGAGCCTCCTCACCCACTGTTCTAAAGATTTTGCTCTCAACAAAGCATGCATTTGTGAGGTGAAATACAAGTCTTTTTATTGCAATTTTTCTTTGTCCAAGTCAGCTTTAGCAGAATGCAGAGTGATGAAGGGTTGTACTGATAAGTTGCAACATACATGTAACAAGACATAACTTTGTGTTCATAGTCATTTTGCTCTTTTTCCTCGCAAAGGGTATCCTGCTCCACAAAAGCCATGTGTTCAAAATATCATGCAAAAAAAAAAAAAGAAAATTAAAGAAAAATACAGTCCTCCTGCCTGCATACTCACTTCACAGCCAAACTCTATCTACAAAGTTCTGATCACAACCACTTCCTGTAAATGCTCAATATCAACTCTGTTATTTTTCCAAAGAAAACATAACCTGAAAACAGGTACTGACATTAAGTAAAAAGAGTTCATGACAAGTTTGAAGTCTGTTTTCCTTCACTGATCCATGAGTCAGGCTCTTTTTGTAATGCCCACCACAGACAGCAAGTGTGATAACTGCAAAACAGCTTGGTTTTCATTTCTGCATGCATGTTTACAGATCAGAGACTGTGCAGACTGACATTGCAGACTGAGAGCATAATGCATTTTTTTAAACCAGTTTTTCCATAAGCTGCACACAAATCTTGGCCAAGATAAAAAGAAAAATTATGTTGAGGGATGTATTGGCTTTGTTTCAACTCTATTTATGTTACAGGCATGAAAAATACAGTAGTATTACAAGGTATGCTATTTCTGCAGAAAGAATGCCCTTGGTTCCACACAATACATTTATATTAAAATTGTTGTCCAGGGCAGTTATTTGGTGTACGAAGTCACTTGCAGGGCTGGTTAGGCTTGAACCTGCTCTTAGTTATGCTGCTATAGGTTTAGACTGCTGGGGTCTCTGGCACACTGAGCTCCTGTCTGTCCCTCTCTCTCCTTTCTCCTTCAGATCTTATGTCCCATTTAAGTTACTAACCAGATCTCTCTGAGTGTCCCTGAGTCTGTTAGGTTTCCCTGGACTGTTGCTGCAGACATGAACATCAGCCTCACCGACATTAATAACATAAAGGTAGAGTTAACTACTATTAAGCCTGCTACTGTAATCACATTAGATTAATTCAACATAGTCAATAATTATTTATATCCTAATCCTGTAAACTGAATTCATATTGTTCCATCAATACTTGCTCTGTTGTGTTTTGGCACTGTATAAATAAATTTGATTTGTTTTTGATTTTGACACCTGACCCCCTGTCACACCTTTATAACTCCCTGAGATGGAACACAGCTCAGATTAACTTGTTAAGTATCACCTTTCACCCCAAAATGTCAAAATATCAGTTTTTATAAAGGCCTGTGAGCGGTGGTGGATAGGACAAAATAATCTAACTTAAGTACTGTATTCATGTTTTTTTTTGAGTATCTGTTCTTTACTTGAGTATATTTTTTTCAGGAAATGTACTACTTTTAGTCCTCTACATTTGAAAGACAAATGTCGCACTTCTGACTTCACTACTTTTCCATAATTGTTCTTCTTACTTGCTCTTTTTGCTCTGAAGTCAGGTGTTGGATTTTCTTTTCCTTTCAAAAATCTACCCTGAAAGACAATAAACTGTGTACATGTAACACTGCGTGTGGTCTGTCTGAGTGATGTTACCTTACCTGTATGACAGTTCATACAGTGGCAGTAATGACAGGTACAACAGTAAAGGATGAAGATTCTCCACCCAAGGACCCTCAGGATGATTCCTCATAGCCATGTTTCAGGTTTCTGAAATGAAGAATGATTATTGTTGTTTAAAATGTTTGCTCTGTGGACTGTAAATAAACTTAATCACAACCTAGAGGAAAGTACTATCCAATCAACGCAAGCCTGTCAAGGTCTGAAGGGAAATATTCATGTCACCAAGTCAACCAGTCCTAGTGTACTGCAGTTAGTCACATCCCAAACTGTATAGTCTCATTCATACAGTCAGTGATGCTTTACATATTAACAGTGTGAACACTGGTTGGTTGATCTTATCTTGAAGCTGTGAGAATGTGAGTTTAAAAATCTAAATACTGTTTTCCAAACACAACAAAAAACACAGCAGAAGGGATTCACATTAATTCTTGACTGCACACGTGCATGCGTGTTTTGAGATTTTTTAGAGTTGCTTGAATACTTATTAAGTATTTTTAAAGCAAGTACTTTCATACAGAAACTCAAGTAATAACTTTGCTATGCAACTTGAACTCATGTTGGAATAATAGTTCACCACGAGTTTCTTTACTTTGTCTCAGGAAAGAGAGTTACATAATTTGTCTGCCATTACCTGTGAAACAGATAAAAAGTTCATAAAGCAACAGTCTGTTATTGAACGAAACTCAAAATGAGCCGTTTGTAAAGATGCATGCAAAATTTAGCCAGAAAGCCAGCTAAAATGTTTCATGGCTATTTTGTTGTAGTAAAAATTACAAAAGCTACATCTGATATGTAATGAAACTTCATTTAACCAGAAAAAACCTCACTGAGATTAAAAATCTCATTTGCAAGAGTGTCCTGGCCACGACAAGCAGCAGTACATTTACAAGGTTACAGACAAACAATTACAGACGGATACAGACATAACAACCAGCGAAGTCAAAGTCGCAGGGCAGAACATTTTAGTCAAAGCACTTGAAGCCTGCTTCATTTTCCTCTAGGGCCTTTAATCTACACTTACAAAGATTCAAAGAGACCAACTCTCCAAGACACAATTTTTCTTGTAGCAGATTCAAGTCTGCAGAAGCAGTGTAGCGACTGCTTTCCTTCAACAAAAAAGGCCACTGGAGGCCGCTTGAATGATCAGTCCAGTTTGAGTGTTAAAAAATGATTTATTGTTCAAAAAAGATAAGAAAACATGCTGATCCGGCTACAATACTTTTGCCCTCAACTCAAAAGGTGATATGATGAAATGAGGTTTAAACAGGATGAATGAATGAAGCGGTGAAAAACTATGAGAAACGTTCAAAACGATCAACAGAATATTATCAGTGCTTACCAAACCCATTGTCTGACTACACCTGTGAGATTTAAATAACCCGCCAAACATTCCAAAACCACACCCCTCAGTGACGATCCCTGAAGTGATGTACCTATAGAAATAAAACTTTCAACAAATGTATTTTGGCTTCTACAAGCAGCATATCTAAAGCTTCTTTTGCCTGTTTCAAGACGAACTTTGGGGCAGATAGCAAAACTAGATTTTGTAACTGAGTCACAGACAAAGACTGTAGCTTCCATAACTTTTAACATGAATACATTTACACAAGTATGGTGGAAGCAGGCCAAGTATAGCCTTGTAAATCAGGATGTGCCAATGGTTCAGTCTACGCATTGTTAGAGAAGGCCACCTAACTTGCTCATAGAGTTAAAGCCTTGAGGTTTTTTTATTAACCTTAGAGCTCCATGAAAAACAGTATCCAAAGATTTAAGGCTTTGAGCAAATGAAGGCATGTATAAAACAACACCAAAGTCAATCAGAGGCATGAAAGTAGCAGCAACAAGACACTTTTTTTGCAGCAAAAGAAAAACAAGACTTATTTCTGAAGTAAAAGCCCAGCTTTTAGTTAAGTATAAGAAAAGAGAAGGGCGAAAAACAGAAATATTCAAGTACAGGTATATCAGTTTACACTTAGTAGTTCAGAGTGTATTTACCATAGACTGCATACTGAATGGATGCCGTCTGCCTCCTCGCTGGGTGAAGCCACTCCGACAACAGCGCCCTTTGGTGACGGGCTGCAGTATAGGTCATAAATCCCACCTCTGCCAGCAAAGCTTATGGGGCTGTGGACTACATGTGTTGACATGTAGTTACTGTAAGACTGGTTTGTGCTCAAGTCCTCTTTTTTTGTACAGCTCCGTTTTTAAAAGTTATAAGGGTGTTCATGTTTTCTGTGATTAACACTTGATACAGCTATCGGCGTACGAAGATCGCTTAGCTCACCATCACAGCGACGCTTCCGCCAAATGCGCACAATGCTACTGCGCAGTTTGTTTACGGAAATGGAGAGAAAACGCGGAATTACCGAGAGTTTTTTGGCTTCAAATCCGTATACTGGCGGAAGGCGGTATACATAGTATATACAGTCTATGGTATTTACATGTGACTTCTCAACACCTCAAAATACACTTCTAACAAGCTCACCTGGAAATATAAGATTAGTTTTATCGTCTTTGGTTCGTGTCAGCATTACGGATTTAATATGCTCTGAAACTGCTCCATGTTTACATCTATATATTTTAAAAAAACGAGAAAATAATTCACAGTTAAACCTCCACACTCCCAAGAGCGGCTCGCCTCTCCGGTACCCGATCTTTGACCCCTCTCCTGTGAGTGTGGGAGGAGTGAAGGCGGTGTTCAAACCAGTTTGGCCCCCGTGGCTTTCCGTAGATCAGGGCCTGGGCGTCGGCACTTCACTCTCTGGTGCTGCTGCTACATTGGAAACAAACACCCAAACACCACTTGAACAGAGAGCACGGAGGTGGTACTTACATAAACGAGAGCTTAAAATAAAACATACACATAAAAAATGCATTCAGTCACTGTGGACGGTTCGCCAAAGAAGCGGACGTTGTCTCGAGGAATAAGCGAGGACGAGTCTCTCCGCAGCTTCATCAAAGAGGTGGGCGCAGAAATCACGTCGTCATTTGTTTTTGTTTAGGGCTTAAGCTAACAGCACGTTTATGCGGCCGCTAATTAACTAATCCACTCAAGCTTTAACGTTGATAAATATTATCAGTTCAATTTTAAGCCAATGTGTTAACGGTGTAGTGTGGCTCACATCAACAGTAGATTTGGTCTCTAATCTGTCAGTACCTTTACTTCACTTCCCCAATTTGCTTGTGTTTATAATGATACTCTTGTGTATGGTGGTCATCTTGGGCTGTTATTGAATTGTGTTTTCGTCTCTGTTATCAGTCCGAGAGCTCATCCAGGCGACTAACACGGAGCGATAGTCGAGCTGGCACCCTGACCAGGAGGACTGACAGTCAGGTAAGAGACAGAGACACATCAACAAGAGCAAACAGTAGGGGAGAGTTGGGTAAGATGAGCCATTTTTCATATTTTTGATCACGACATCAAGGCAATCATAGTTTTATCTCTTAACTAGTGTATCTGCATATATTTCAAGATGTTGTGCCTCCCTGCAAACCAACAGACTGAGTGTAAACATAACTGTCTTGATAACATAGCATGCCAAAAAAAGTGGTCTCCTATGATCAACTTACCCCGTGTATGGGGTAAGTTGATCATAGGAGCGGGGTAAGTTGAGTCATATCCCTACTACCCCCCCACTCTCCAGCCCTGCCCTCCCCCACCTTCTCTCTCCCTAAATAACAGTGATTCAGAACATTCATGTGTATTTTTATCTATTATACGCTATTCAACTGGTACATTTATTATTTTTATGATTGCATATAACTGCTAAAAAGCTGTTTTGTAAAAAGCCATTTTAACATGAGAATGTCTTTAAGTGATTCAGAACATTCACAGCTGTATTTTAGAAAAGAAAAAGTAACACATTTCAACAATCTGAACTGAAACTCTGATCCTCTCATCAGACTCCTTTACTTTCTCACTTACCCCTGAACTACTATGATGACTTTATTAGTCCTCTAAGATAAAATGGTGGACTTTTATGCTAGGTTTTTGACCTCATGTTGTAGCTCATAGATACCACAATTGATGTATGAAACAAAATTAAAATGATCTTTTTTAGGTCTAAACACAATTCTAATAAAACTTATGACAGACTAAATTCACTTTCAAGAGTGCAAAATGTTTTATTTAGAAATAAATGTCTAACCCCTTCACCCATGTGCTTCTAACCTTCACAGACTGCATGAATTGATGCCCATCTCCTAAATATTTGGTCACATGATCAATTTCTTTTACCATTTCCAAGCAACAGGGGGTGGCTCAACTTACCCCACTCTTCCCTAAACTTGGCTGTATTTTCTGTAGTGATGAATACACTGATACTTCAGATCACATGTGTTTCTTAGGTTTTGATTATGAGACTTACTAATGTAATATCTAAAACCTCTCATTTTCCAATTTTTTTTGGCTCAACTTACCCTACTCTCCCCTAACATCCAAACATCTGTGTATCATCCCAGGTGTCTCCAGGATTCATGTCTCTAATGTGGCATCATCTTTGCAATGTAATATTCATATCAGCAGTAGTGGAAATTGGTGGTTTGAGTCACCTCAGCCTGAGAATCTCCCTTTTGTCTTGGTTATGATAATCTTTTTATTTCCCTGGTGCCAATTCAACCGACAACCTGTTTTTTTTTTAAACTAGAGAGACATGATGTTCAGTTAACTGTTAAAGGACTGATTACAAGGATTTTTGGAAGGAGAAATCATTTTGTGTTTCACTGTAGATGAAAGGACTATTGATAAACACAAAACTCGCCGACGGAATTTCATTTTTTACTCTTTCTTTCTGATTATTTAGCCAGGGGCTCATCAGTTTTTCTCGTTGTCAATGGATTACCCTTACCCTTACCCTGAAATGTTGCTCACGAACTGTTGCATCAGTAACCACTGTTGTCTTTTTGCAAGAATGTGGCAACAAAAAAAGTAATGCAATACATGGGCTACACTTCAACATACTGTGATGTAAAATATTGTGGGCACTAACACATTGTGGGCACATTGTTTATACTAACAGGGTAAATCTACTTATTCTCTTCACTGTATATTATAATAAACTGATAGAAGATTTACATACAAGGTGTCTCTTTCTGTGGAGACACACTTGATGTTTTTGGAGCACTTACTTAATTCCATGGATTGCAGTGGGCCTATATGGGCTCAGCAGAAGAAGTGAGGTAAACATGAATGCAAGCCTGCTCTGAAAAAGGCTTATCTCCTCCATATTTAGAGGAATATTCCAGGTGCAGGCCTTTCAGGATTATCCTTGTTATGCACAAAACAAGATCTCAAAAGAGATTCATACAAACACTTTGCACCTTGTACCTCACTTTGCACCAAGATAATACACTGTGGTATTTGCAGCAAAGGGTCTGTACGTGCACTTAATGTGCTTGCACCATGCACTTTAGACCTAAAATATAGATAGTTTAGTTTTTGTCCAGTTTTATAATTTTTATCTCTTATGCACTGATATTGTGACTTTTCCATTCTTGGGCCAGAACTATCCAGGGGCAAAAGCCAGTGTTACTCTAAATACTGTTAACCTTATAAGAAATATCAGATATATTATCATCAGTGCAAAGGTATTTTATATCATTCTTAATATGGTACTGTGTTTTGACAGTTGTAATCAAAGAAGGTGTCCTACCTCCATTATACTCATTCTGATAGCTGGGATTATGCTTTACCAAAGTCTGGGACTCTTCAGATCCTGTAATGCTGGAACGTAGTTAATTTTTTTAAAATTCAACAATACTTTTATTAGTTTTATACAGGTATACACAGGAGACACAATACTAACACCCCCTTTCCCTCAAAACCCCGTCTACAGCTGGATATTTCTATTACTTTGTTTAAATAACAAATTGTGGAGCTATAACAAAAAATAGAAAAATAAATAAATACATTAATCAAAAAAAAAAAAAATACAAGTAAGTGCTGGAAATCTTGAAATACATAAGATGTTGAGAAATAAAAAGTAAAAAGAGAGTAAATTAAATGAACTACTGTGTGTTAAGGGAAATACAAATGTAGACAAGTCGCTGAAAACTGAAAAAGTCTGTAAAAGAGATAAGAATTTGAGTTGTATGATTATAAAACATCACAGAAATATATTTCAAAAAGAAAACAACTAGAAGTGGAGAGTGCTAATTCAAAATGATGAAAGTTTCTAATGTAGTTAATTTTAAGGTGAAAAAAGAAACCGACTGCGGACAAGATGAGGGGCGGGTGCTCTTTAAAAAGATCTTTACGGCAGACTTTCTGCTTACACAGCTATTATTATATCTCAACACAGTAGAGGAACTGTAATGATGTAAGAAGAACATGTGATAAAATCATTTTCAGTGAAATGTGCTAAAACAATAAAAGAGAGAATCTCAGACCAGAACATAAATCACAGAGTGAGTCCACTGAAAAGAGTAAAAATATAGTTTTGTTTTTTTATCAAATCAACACACCATCTATTGGTCGTATAGATTTTCATGTTGACTTGTAGATTTTCTTTTTATGACTCTTACACAATCCAGTTTTCATGTCCTCTTACAGATCCTGTTTGATTAATCTCACTTTGATTGAACTTTTGAATAACCTCTGTAGGCATTTTTAAACAAAATTTTGCAGGTATGAGTTGTAGTGAGTGTTCATTATGAGGGATGTGCCACTCTGATCCTTGTATCGGATATCGGCTAGATTCTCACCCAAAAAGCTAGATCGATATCCGTGACAAAGGGCTGATCCTGAAGGCCGATCCTAAGAGCAGGTTGCCAAAACACAACTTCTGGTCTCACCCTTAAATAAAAGGTTATTTATTTAATGCTTGCATCTGAATCAGTTCAGTATCAATATGGGCCAATACAGTAACTCTAGTATTGGTACTGGTACTCAAAAAGGTGGATTGGTGCATCCCTATTCATGCTGCAGTGTCCACTATTGTGCTGTCATGTAAGTTGTCATTGTTGTAATTGTTGTTATGCATGTGATTTATTGTTGGCGTGTATGTAGTGTTCATTGTTGTCTGAGATGTGTAATGTACTGTCAGTGAAGACAAATCTCCCTACGGGACAAATAAAATCAATAAATCAATCCATTTGTTCCATTGTAAATAACAATCGTAGGATCCTAAACAGCCTCTTAGAAATTCTTCTTTCCTTCTCAACAGACTGAACAGGACCTCTTCATGGGCCTCCCTGAGATGGTGAGCATATTCTTCTGCTATTTTCATATTGTACACAGTTCTGTTTGTAAAAGTGGGTGACTGCAGTGGTACAGATTCCTTTGCATTTGGAAGGATTGTCATGCCTCCAGATGAGGCCTCCCACTGATCCCACTGAGAGCTTAACACTTCTCCACCCACTGATTGGCATGTGTTGGTACCTCTGAAGTTGCCCACGCTGATATCCAACTGTGCCCGTGTTGTAGCTGGAGCTGCAGGCCAGCTATGACGAGGTGGTTCAGGAGCTGCGTGGGCTTGAGGTCGAGCGAGAGACTTTGTTGTTCCAGGTGGACGTCCTGCAGGACACACTGGAGGGTGTGGAGGAGCTGCTGGCTGAGACGCAGAGGGAGGCTGGGCAGGCTAATATGGTAGGACTGGGCTCACCTAAATAACACACTGGTTTCAAATCAGCTTCTTAATCTTCCTTTCTCATCATGACAAGTGTGTTTTCTGTTTGAGTTGCAATTAAGGCACTAATCAGCTCTTTTTTCATCTCTAACAGGAGCTGGAGCGAGAGCGGGAGGCCAAGAGAAAACTGGAGAACATGGTGTGCTCTCTGATGCAGGAGGTGGAGAGATTAAAAGAGGTAAAGTGACATTCAGAAAGAGAACATTACATAACATCAGAGAGGCACAGGGTTTTTGAATGTATAAAGAGGTACAGTCTGATTGAACCTGTTACATAACAGAACGCGAGAAATGCAAAAAAAAAAAAAAAAATGGAGATGGTGTGTGTGTGTGTGTGTGTGTGTGTGTGTGTGTGTGTGTGTGTGTGTGTGTGTGTGTGTGTGTGTGTGTGTGTGTGGTTCAGCTTTGAAGCTCGTCTCTACCTTTCTCTGCTGACCTTTGTTAATAAGTAACCATACATTTATCTGGATATGGAAGTACCTCATGTACCGAAGTCTTGTACTTATTTGCAATCATTTGCTTTTCCTCCTTTGAGTGAGGTGTTGAGTAGAGTTCAGTCATTGTAAGTGCAGGGAAACCAAAAAAGCCAAAATGCTTTTGGGCTTTTAAGCACATGCATACAGGCTAATTAATACTTTACATTAAAACTTTAATACCATTAATATTTAGGAAATTAAACATCTACCGTGTATTGGAATTCACCTGTAATGTTTAGTAGGCACTCAAATGAAATTGTTGACCTCTGAAACAGCTGCATAATTAAAATTTTGCAAAATATTTAGGTGATGAAGGCTAGCTGAACACAGAGGCCAGCTTAGACCAGTGACTGTGAGGAGTGTTTTTCCAAAAATGGGGTTGAGAGTGATCGGCATGAGTAACAAAATCCTTGGTGATTATTTGTATCTAACAGTTAAGGTGATAATAGTAATTCGCTCTCGTGTTTCTACTTGTTTCAATTGCGTAAGTTAAACTGAAGGATTTCAAAGTTTCTGACTCAGCAAGAGGATTTAGTCACAGGTTGGGACTTCAGTTAACAGGTCGGGTTGGTTTTGGATATGATTCAAGGATAATTGTGGGTTACATATGAGTTCTAGAGAAGAGTTTTGTAGGTTTGGGCTAGTCTGCAAAAAAAAAAAATCTGAAATACAGAAAGTTTTGAAAAAATAATCTCCACTTCTATTCGGCGGCAGTCTACATGCATTTGTTTGTGTCTGTTATCCCTTGAAGAAGTGAACACAGACTGGATGAATGCTAATGTTTATTCGTGCCATCTAGCAGCTGAGGTTTACATTAATCAACATAAATGATTGTGTGTGTGTGTGTGTGTGTGTGTGTGTGTGTGTGTAGTATCCTTGTTTTAAGATTCCTTTAGCTCAGGGCCAAATGTAAACAGTGCTTTAACATTAACATTCCCTTAAATGGAAACTAGATGTTGAGTATCTTTGCAGGCTGTGTGAGTAAGACAGAACTGTTAGGATTAACACAGAGATTCAATGCAGTGAGAAACCAGAGATAAAAGATGTATTTTACATCTTAAATATATTTATACAACACTTCTGCCACCTTTTTCTGTAAAACTTAAATTGTATCAAGAAGTGGGGGGAGGGGGAACGCATTTAGATAACCCTAGTATTAATAAAAACGTCCATCGGGGTAAAACTAAACTGCTCCTTAATCAACATAGATCTCAGTTGAACATTCAGGGCTACCAAAGATATTCTGTCCTTTTTCTGTCAGTTTACATTCAATCATTTCGAAGGAAGAAGGGCAAGTGGAAAACCTGGGCAGCTGAAACACTGAGGGACTCTGAGTTTGTTTTCAAATAATGCGAACAATCTTCTTCTGATTACTTTTAGGTGAATCCTGAGCAGCAATAAATATGAACACCATTAAGTCAGTTTTATTCGGTATATAGTTGTTAAAGCTTCTGTCTGTGATTTAATTGAAGCTGTGTATTCTGTTGCTCTTACAGGAACAATTCTTGACAAAAAAACGGACGAGTATTTGTTTGATCTAAAAGAAAAAAATTGTGTTTAAGGCTGTTAAAATCTCTTTGCAGGAAAGAAATAACCATCTGTCTGCCTCAGTGAACACACACGGAGGTGTTGATGAGCCAATGAGAGGATACCAAATGGAAAATGATGCTAAGCACCTGCCTGAAGCCGCTCACAGAGAAGAAAAAGACTTCACGTCGAGTGAACCCTGCAGTAGAGGTGGAGCGTCAGAGGAAATGAGCGAAGAGGCAGAAGATGAAGGAAGCACGCCAATGAAGCTGAAGAAAATGGTCAGTAAGCCCCTGAGCCACGTGCCCACTCTTGCTCTCGACAACCCGGTTACAGAGGATGGGGTCCTGCGGAGGCCTTATGAAAACAGTGCGGAGGATGGACGAGATCCCTCTCCAGACAGGAACGACTCCGACAGCATAAGTGCCTACGAGGACGCATCAGCCGAGACTCCGGAGCGGGACAGGATTTTTCCAGGCGACAATTTAGAGCTTCCTGATGATTCTGAAAATAATGAGGGATGTGCGCCTAACAACTGCCAGCCTACTGAACCCAAAAACCCTGACGGCTGTGTCGTGTCTTAACTCATCTTGTTTATCTAGTGCTGGGAAACAGGTTCAAGGTGATTACAGGTCGGTCCGAGCCTTTCTTGAAGTGCTTTTATTTGCAGTTAAGCCACATCTAAGAACTATAGTTTGCCAAAAGTCACAGTTACAGGTGTCATTATAGCTCTGAGAAATAGTTCATGAACTGTACAAAAGCGGTACTTTAAACCACTTTTACATTAATTTATCATAGTAATTTTTAAAATCAAAATGACAAATGAAACTTTTATTTAAATTTATATGTAAGTCAAGGACATGTGTTTAGGACTTAGGCTTGAATTGCTGCTTCTTTGACATTTTATTACTGAATTATAATGAATGGCAGCTTAATGGATAATGAAAATAAAAGTACGTTGCAAAATTAAATTTAAAGGAACTCTAGATATAGCTGTTATATCTTTTTCTTTTTAGTCTCAATCAGTCTTAACTTTGACATGTTTAAAAAATAAAGAAAATATCCCGTTTGTTTAAATTATTAAGCATTTTAGTTACCATTTAATATAGATGTTTGTTACACAAACAGCTTCTCATTTCTCTTTATGCAAAACACCTTAAGCTTAAGAAGAATTTGGATTGTTTTGGTGTGAGCTCTGATTATAATCACACAACAGAGAGTTGGGATCTTAGAGTGGCATCTTAAATATGTCAGACACTCACCGCTCTGTAAGATATTTAAACCGTCAGGAAAAAGCTTCAAGATGTTTAAGCCGTCTGCCTCTGGCAGCTGTAATACAGGTTTTCAAAGGCACTTAGGGAATTTATACTGAACTGATTTTTTTAAGAAAGGGAATTTTTTTGCTGCTTGGAGATTTTATTTATTTTTCTGTCCTTTTTACATGGCCCTTTTTTATGTTTTTATCTTAATCTTAGGGAAATTGAATTGGCTACATTTGCACTTTTTAAAGATCCTGTATCATGACATAAATTTGTCAGATTATACTAGAAATGACATTCCCTTTACAACCAAACATGTCAGCCATGACTGATGTGCTGCAGGCTGCATCCTCTCTGCCTGCAGAGTTAAAACTGTATGTTTGCACATTTACAAAGAAACTCGCTGAGGTTAGTCTCTTTGGATGTCTCCAAATGCTGTACTCACTTTGTATTTAACCACAATGATCTATGATTATTGTGTACGATGTTACACTTCCTTTTTTTAGGCTTGAAGCAACAGGAAGACCCTTTCACCTCATTTTAACTGTTTGCATGAGCACCCAAGAATGTAAAACATTTTCAATCTGCAAATGAATCAATCAGTCTGCCATTACTGTGGTACTTTTGCACACAGAACTTCATGTTCAGAGATGAACTTTAGCAGCTTTATCAAATATTTGAGGGAATGTACCACATGACACAGTTTTGCTTTTAAGGAAAATCAGTTTCTGTCAGGTCATGTGGCTAACCAGAAGCAGAAGTGGATCTACATTAGAGCATGAATGAAAACGAGTTTTAAGAAGATAGAGGTTGTGCAGTTGCTGCATTTAGTTGCATGGATTTATGGCAGAATATCAATGTTTGTATTTACTCATTTGTCTTTTTTTATAGTCTTATTTACACTAGGTGACTGCTACTGAAGTGCTGTTACTGTAGTGCTGTGTGGTGGCACTGTAGCCAGGTTTGAACATCATCATTCAGGTCATTTACACTTTTGCTGGTCGCACATTCGTACATAAACATCCACAATCATTGGTCTTCTTCAATTTTTTTTCATCAGCTGTTGATTTTATTCGTGTTTTAAATTCCTGTCAGGTCAAAGGATTTAAATTGTACTGAAACACATTTTGCATTTTTTAAACTTAGTCGTGGATTATCACTGATTCTTTTTTGTTGACTTGTTGAGTACACAACAGTGGGGTTTTCAAATTGTCATTGCATTTTCTCGTCATAAATGATGCAAAAAATAAAGTTCTTACTGTAGTTTGATGCCTTTAATGGGTCGACATATTTTTGACATGTTCTGAGCTTTGTATCAAATGTTCACAGGCGACTGTAGAGGACACTGATTTATACTTGTAATTGAAATGACATTCCAGACATATCAAAATAAAAGAAGTGAAAAATGTACCTGCTGAATGTTTTATTATTGAAATACTCGAAACTAAAGGACATGTAATAAAAAGTCGCTTTGAAGTGTCATTAAAAACCAGGTACCTGGAGTTACTGCAAGGCTTTCCAAGCTATGTGAACATTTTTTTGATGAATAAAAATCTGAGGTTTCGTTGGTGCCTTCAGTTTGAGTGTTTAGAAAATATAGAAGGTAACTCGTAAGACAATAACTGAGTGGACAGATAAAGAGATCTTGAAGTGCAGTTCTGTAAAACATAATTTTCTGTTGATCTAATATTGTATCTCAACAGTGTTTTAGTCCTAGCATGTTGTGACAAAGTTTGACCAGAAGATGGCGCTGTGGATGTATAAAAAAAAAAAGGGAAATCTGTACTTACTTTGTTTTGGTGTTCATAAGGGAGTTCAGAGTAAAAAATTATATGCATGTTATTGTGGTTAGATTTATAAATACAGTCATCAGGACGTACACTTTAAGAGTTTATTGGAGTTGTGTTTTTACACAAAAAATTAAACAGATTATTTAAAAGTGTTAATTTGTAATGTCCAGTTGCTCTCTTTGCTTGATTTGTTAGAACTTTTCTAAGATTTAAATTGATTATGGTTAATTTCTAAGTTTAGTTTGTAACAAACACACAGCAGAATAACAAATAGTTTAAAACTCATTCTGAAAGCTAATATTGAACAACATCTCTGCACGTTCAAATATTAAGTATTTGAGATTTGTATAACATGGATTTAGGACAAATCAATGAACAACAAAATAATAAGAATTAATTTCTTCCTGAATAGATAAAGTGAAAAAGCTTGTAACTACTGCATATTTTACATTAACAGTAGTACAGTTATACAATAGGAAAAGGAATAATAAATAGTGTTTCAAAAGGTCTCTGGTAGCTGCTTGCAGCGTCGGCTCTGACCCTAATGATCAAAACATTCCCTTCTCTTTCTTCATGTTCAGCTGTTTCCAAGCTGGCAGACTCACAAAGTTGTCCTTAGTGATCCCAAATATGACTTCGAAATCTGAGTCGGAGAGGTATTTCTAAAAAAATAAAACACAAGAGAAAAAAAGGAAAACTTATACCTATTATTTGTGACAATGGAGAACACATGTATTCTGCCATCTTAAATCCAATCAAAGATACTCAGAAACAGCTCAAACCTGCTGATACAACAAGGTACAAAATTTGAGGATGGCTAATAATGACTGAATATTTTTGAAAAAAATGTCGAACTGTTTCAGGAAAAAAGGCACAATAACCACGAGTGACTTAAAACTCCGAAACATTCAAAGCACACCTCTTTCTGAGTGGGGTCGACACCTTCAGGCAGCTCATTTGACTGTTTGTTAACCAAATCATCAGGTGGAAACGACAGGTAGGTTTTCTCACTTTCAACGCAATTCTGCTCCTCAGAAGATCTCTGGAAAGACATCAGTGGTTGGATAGATATAGAGTACATAAGTTCTTCATCTAAACAGACTTTAACAGCTATCCCAGATCAAAAACAGAAAATCTTCCAGAAAAACTTGATAAATTGATATGATTTGTACATACAGCTGAGATGACAACAGGTGATGCTGCATCTCCCAGCTCCTTTTTCATCTCCTCATAGCTCTTCCCTCCCTAAAATAAAGAAATGCTTCTCAGCATCAATTGCATATTTATGTCCTGATCAGTTCAAATCAAACCACTCACGCTCCACTTTGAGGAGTCCCAGGCTGTGAACCACCCGGTGAAGGTGGGTGGCTCAAATCCCTGCTTTATCAGGACGATGGGGGTGTCTGGGTCTCTGTTTCCTGGGTGTGTGCGCAGGTATTCTTGACTTGTGGTCACTGATTCTTTGCGCTCCACCTCATTAGCTTCTTTACCAATCCAGAGAAACACCTAGGGCCAACAACAAAGAGGATATGGTCACTGAAATATGTAGATTTCAACTTTTTTTTTTTATTAATTTATTTCTTTTCCTTTTACAAAGCATTTTATAAAGTATTACAACATAAACATGGACTGATTTCTGACGCAATATTACAGCAATTAAGTAATTAAATCAAGAGCATCTTGATATAAAAAAGAAACTTAAACAAAAGAGGGGCGTTTCAGCAAATGTACATTTTCCATTGCTTCCAGATGTCGTTGAATTTAGATTGCTGGAGCCTCATTGAAAAAGTGACTCTTCCATTACATACACATTGTAAATAATTTCATACCATTCATCTATAGATGGGATGTCTGGCTTGAGCTATTTCTTTGTGATTGCCTTTCTAGCAGCTAGACTCAGTATTCCAAATAAATATTTATGGAATGAATTGCCACTCGAGATTAAAACGTCCCCCACTCTTTCTACTTTTAAATCACGTCTTAAAACTTATTTTTACTACTTGGCTTTTGGTTCAGCATGAGAGTTGTGTGATCTCTGTCCTTTTATGTCTTTATGGTCCTTTTATCACTTTTATTTCTTTTATGCTTTTGTGTTTTTATTTCATTTATTTTATTTCATTTTAAATGTTTTTTTACCTGCTTTTTGCTTTTATTTATTTCGTCTTGATATTTTCTGCAGTGTTTGTTCTTTTAATTTTATTGTGCAGAATTTTGGTAAACTTGAATGTTTTCTAAAATGTGCTATATAAATAAAGTGGATTGGATTGGATTGGATTTATTTTCACACTTACATTAGCTGAGTGTACAAGCCCAAAAAGTAGTCCATTCCAGTTAAATGTAACATCAGTTCCAAATATAGTTACTAGTTCTGAAAACCTTTTTTTATTACTTCATCACACCCTCCTACCTGGTCCCATGTATCCAGCAGCATGACGTCACTCTCACTGAGGTCATCCTGCATGAACTGAGTTACCTCAGCCGCAACGAAACGACCCGTCTTATTGGAGCATTCGAACAGGCGTGGCTGATGGTCTAAAACCGTCTGCTGTAACCTGTTGTCAACCATAGAAGAAGTATGTGCCTCTTTACCTCCAACACTTATGGTGCTTAATTATACTTGCTCATGTCGTCATTACCTTTTGTCACTTGCATAACAAGCTTTCCCTCCAAGTAACTCCCAGAAGTCAATGGGTTCCTGACCCTCTGCCACCAGCTCCTCAGAGCCTCTCTGTGCGCTCTGAACAATCACAGAGCTGACCTCCTTCGCCATGGCTCTTTCATCGCCACTTGACCCCTGCTCACAAAGAGACCAGATATAACACAAAATTTTGGTACTTGTAGTTTTCATGAGCCACATGGAAGCTTGACAAAACAGGATAAAACAGAAAAAAGCCCAAGACTCAAGAACACTAAAGCAGACCACATCCTTCCTGTCTTAGTACACCAATATACAGTAGTTTAATGTAATAATGCAAGGAGTATGTGGGCACACCCAAATGTAACAGCTCATATTTGCTTACAGAATCCATAGAAAAGGCAAAAAAACATAAAACAAGATAATCGAAAAAGGTAAAAAAAAAAAAAAGAACATAAGATACCGTCTTATAGGACAAGAGGACCCAAACAGATGCAAAAGTAAGTTTTGAGGTGAGACTTGAGGGGCCAACAGAGGGGTTTGATCTTAGGAGAGAGAGCTTTTGCACAGTCCTCTCCAGTCTCTAAGATCTAAGTTACTGTTTTGGTTCATGGAGTAGATGGAAAAGTGAATGGGACCTAGAATGAATCCTTGAGGGACCTCACAGTATAAATAAGATGGCAGTGAAATTGCCTTTGTTTACTGAAATATTGTCATGTTCCAGATGGGGAGCACGCTGTTGTTAAGTGTAGATGTGCTCTAAGTTGTGTCAAGTTTCACCTTTCCACTTCTTTGTCTTCTGTTTCTCTTACCTTCCCACACCACAGATAAACCCCTGTCTGGCTCCTCAGCAGAAACACATCATTGGAGTTCAGGGAAGATGCCAGGGCGGAAACTTCGATGGCCTTAGTGTTAGACGGATCAGAGCCATGGACCTGGAACAACCTTATAGGTGGCTCTGGGTCGGAACACCCTTTTCTGGATGTGCCCCCCTAACAGATAAAAAGAGAAAATAATAACATTTACAGGCTTAATGTAAGAGTAGAGAAAAAAACTCATCTTGTTAAGACTGTGAAACAATAAGTAGGCACAGATTTTTCTTATAAATCACCGCTTCGTGAGCGCACCTCAAAAATGACCATTTTCCCCTTGAAGATGGCCATAAAGTGTCTCGGTTCTTTGCCCATCGTTACTCTCACTTGAACCGGCTCACCACCATATTTTTGGTCCAAATCCACGGCCTGAAAAGCCGAAGCTGCCAGTTCATCTTGTGTTGCATGACGGCCCTGAAACAGTAAGTGGTTGAGTAATCTGTTCTTGTCAAAAAAAAAAGAAAAAAAGAAAAAGAGTTTGATAATCCAAAGCTCGGACTTTGATGAGACACTTGGTATTATAACAAAGCCCCACCTGCCACATGTAGAGCAGGTAACACTTTCTGTTGTTAACCTGGTAGGTGTAGAGGATCAGGTAGCAGTCCCCCCCATAGAAGTATCCATACATTTCAGGGTCCACAGGCACAAGCTCAATATTTTCAATCCTCCAAACCTGAGCACATCAAAAAGGTTTAAGTATTATATGAAATACATGGAAAGAAAATCTCTGCAGAACTTCAAGGTTGGCTCCTCATCCTAGTTTTAAGCATGTTAGCTCACTGTGCAAGAGCAAATTATAATATAATATAATATAATATAATATAATATAATATAATATAATATAATTATATCGGTGATCAAATTGTCATACTTACCTCTACTTGACCTGTGCCATTGTCTACCATTCTCTCTTGTGCAGCCACTTCTGGCATCACGTGCATCAGAGATGAATCGAATTTTTCCTGTGTGAAATGAGCTAAAAAGGGGAAATGATGACAGACCGAAATGAGCAAGTGACACTGATAAATGTCTTTGGGGACGATTATTGAGTCCTGAATTTATCACAGGTGACAATAACTTTTAGCTGTTGTTTGTTTTGTTGTTTTTTCTGTTTATTAGTTTTAGTGAATTTGCGCATTGACTTACCCACTTTCCCTCTCGTATGGACTTTACCCAGACCTTGAGTCTGGTCCTTCACTGTCCACCTCTGGAAAAGCTGCTTGAACAGAGCTGACTCTGCCCCGTCGTTGACAACTTCCACATTAGTTGTAATTGGATAGTTTTTGGCCTTGATGAACTCCTGAAGCAGAGAAAAGCAGCCAATTCATTTAGCTGTCAATTAATAAGGTACATCTATCTAAAAATAACACAACCTAATATGACAATCTTGCCAAAAAGCCTGCTGTATCAAAGTAGGAATGTAGCACTAGACTGCATCGTGAATAGCAAACTTAAAATATTAGTTGAAGCTTCTGTAAGGAACTTTAATTATGTCAATTTCATTTCTTATCTTGTCCTTCACATGCTTGATTAACATCCTCTGACAAAGAAATCTTATCCTGCTGACTTTGATGGTCAACTGGATCATTTGTATCATTTGCTTTTGTATATCATAAACAACACATTTAAATCTCTCCACAGAAGCTTTAAGTAAGCATCCTGTATGTTATGGAAATGATGGAGTCGCTCACCAAAGCTCTGCTCATAGCTGCCTGTCTTTCAGCTTTGTTTGCTTTCTTTCCCTTCCACACAAAGACCTTCGTTCCTCCCTGATCCAGGAAGTAGCAGTCCTAGGAAGATAACAGAACATCATATACAAGCCTAAATAATTGATCACAGTCATTTGAATATCACCTCCCTGAGTTTAATAGAGTCCTGAGAATACAAAAAGTCTGGATTTTCTTGTTCTGCCCATAATCTGTGTTTCATCAGTTATTTGGTAACTATTACAAAATCTCACGTCATGATTGAGGAGGTCCTGAGCCAGTGGTCTACTTGCAACTTCTGTCACCTTCATATGGCCATCCTCATCTGTCACACTTAAAGAAAGATACAAAATATACAGAAGATAAGACAAACCCCTTTAACTGAACTGAACATGATTTCTTATTCATCGGGACACACAAAACACAAGATATCAGGGATCAGCTTACTGGTACAGCACGAGATTTGACTTCTGTTCCTGATCAGCAATTTCATCTGCACGCCCATCTTTCAGCTGAGAGGTTCTTTCTCCCAGAGTGTCATTGAGGATCTCCATGTTCTGAGGAGAATCTCCCTCTTCGTCACCCTCAATCACTCTGACCTCTGCCCGGCCTCCTCTCTCTCTGTCTCGGATGTCTTTGGCCAGTAACATGCCCTGAGAGCCAAAGATATCATACTGAGCGCACGCAGTGATCCATTAACATATACAGTATAACACACACTATTCATCTTCAGTTATCACAACTTGTACAAATTAGCCTGTGAAAAGGGAATTTCAACTTCTTGTTATGCAGTGGAGGAAAGTTTCTAATACGGGTAAAACAGAGTCAGTCCAAGTACTAGGAGCTTGACTCAGAGTGACTACAAGAAAGAAAGAAAAAAAAAGACCACGTTTCATAAAAATGTTGGTCATCCCAGAATCAAAACACTTCAGGATCTATTTAAATAAAAGAAATATCGTGTTTTTTCATTCATGTACAAGCTGTATTTGACTTAATCAAACAATTTGTTTTTGTTCTTAACCCTCCTCCTGTGTTAGGGTCTGCACCGACCCGTTTCTGATTTTAAATGCTTAAAAGAACCACTTAAATTAGCTTTTTTGACTTTGTCAGGAACCTCTACTTCAACAAAATGAAAATAAAAAAAATTAAATTGACTAAATCATAAAATGCTCTTATTAAAATTATGGCACTTGTGTTAGGGTCGCTGTTGGTCCGGTTAGATCAATATCTAATGATTTGAGCAAAAACTAAAACCATCTGTGCACTGTCAGGCACCACACTGACAGTCAGGTCCTCTTCCAATCATGTGAGATTTACGAAATTCTCATTTTGCCATGTTTTTTCCCAGCACAAAAAACAACGATGGACATGTCCAGACATGTGAGATCAGTTTAGTATAGATGTCTGTATGAGGGGTATACCGACAAAGGCACAACAAAAAAATATTACCAGCAATATTTTCATGGATAATGAAGCCTAACAAGGTAACCTAGAGATGAGAACCAAATTAGATGATAGAGAATTGTCTTTAGTGTAATTTACAGCTGATTTAAGACACGGGTCAAAACTGACCTTTTTGCTTTTGCTTTTACTACGCAACCGGGGTAAAGTGCTTCACAACAATGTCATAGATATAAAACCAAGACAAAAATCTTACCTTGAGCCTCTCCTGTCTGTTACTCTTTGGTCCGTTCCACTGAATGATAGTCTTCCCAATATCCAACAAAAACACGTCACCAAGGTTGAAGCTGTTCCAGCTCATCTCCACCTGAAACAAATACAAATGTAAATCATGCTGTCTATATGCTATTCTATCACCATAATTAGAGCCACAGGGCAAATGCAGCGATAGGGTTATACTGTGGATTTTTTCTGATTCCTCTTCCTGATAAATTTTGATTTAATACGAGTCATACAGCGTAATCCTGTGGTCTGGTGTTAGAAAGTTAGAAAGAATGACATAGTCTCAAAACAAACTACTAGAGAACAGTAAGTGATGCCGAAACATGGAAGTGTAACCATTAGCAGACTGTCTAACTGCACATGATGGTGACATCAGTCCTATACTGGCCCCGCAGCAAACAATTATGCAGACACACAAGCACAGGTTCACCTGATGAGAACACACATGCAGGTGGTTCCTGAATAAGCCACATAATTAAGTTAACTATTGGCAGGCCAGTCTACTAAAACCTGCTGCTGAACTCCAAACAGCTAACACAGTGCATATAGTCGGGAAAATGTGCAAAAAAAAATAGTTTTTAGTCGAGAAGTTTAAATCTTGGTTAAAGAGAGACAGACAAGTTGAGCCAGACAGGAAGTCATTCAACTCATATCTAGACTATTGAATATTCATGTTCCTTGACTGTAAAAAAGCACGTGTGATTTCTAACTGTCTGTGTTAAAGAGAGACACATGGGAGAAGATTTTTGTAGCTACTATTCACTCACAAATCATGATTTCACAATATTAAATTACCTATGTGTAAAAATAAAATTCTTCTGAGTCAGATAGCAGCTGTGAATCTTATGCTTCCTATCATGCATGCTGATAACGTAACACCTTAAAACCCCACGCCACCCCTGGCTCTGCCATCAACTCTATTATGGGAGAGTGAAGTTATGAGTGAAAATAACGATTTCACAAAGAGTTTTTAAAATAACATAAACAAACACAAATTTAAATTGCCAACTTTAAATGAAATTGGGAAATGCAGAAAAATATTTCTACTATTTCTACTTTGGTAGGTTTTTTGAGCAAAATTCAATTATGACTAACTTAGCTCTCTACTCTATTGTTTTATAGTACAGTGCAGTACAGTAGTACAGTACCCAGTGGTGGGCAGTACTTGCAAATTGTAAAGTTTGTTCCTCCTGAAGGCAAATAAACCACTGCTTACCTCACTAGCAGTCACTCTCTTCTTCCCTTTGACATGAAGCAGTCTCTTGATGTCATACATGTTGCTTTCAACATGCTTCATGCCTGATGCAACTCCACCCTTCTTATAGCTGCTCAACACAGGATGACAATGTTACAGCTCGTGTTTATGTGTAAAAAAATCATGGATTACTGTGACAACATTTTCACTCACATAATTCCCTGTTTGAAGTAACCCCTGAAGGTATCAGACTCGTGGTTTTGAACCTCACGGTGTTGGACTGGAGAGGAGCCCAAATAGTCATCAAGCTGTGTGGTGTAAACAGCGGCTGCACCCTGTTCGTCCTGTGAGGACTGTGAGCCAATCCAGAAGTGGACATTATAACTCAGAGAGCTGCTCACCTTCTGAGTCTGGAGACATACAGGAAGTGGAGAAGAAAAGGGTGTATATGTGTGTACATGGAGAACGTCATCTGAGAGCCTTTGCCTCATTGCACTAAACCATTCACCTCTGCTAAGAATAAAGTTTAAAAATACAATACTGAGCTTTCCATGATAAATAAGTCACACTGGCATACAAAATGATCCATCGTCCATCTTCCTCGACTTACAGACAGGAGTAGGTAGCAGTCGCCTTCATAAAAGTTTCCATAAGATTTCTCTGGGACTTGGACCAGCTCCATGTTCTAAGAGGACAAAGCAGGGTTTTCTTAACTTCCTCATCATTGCTGTTTTAGTCATTTTCCGCTAAAGCAACATTTTTTACCTTTAGCATCGAACTGAGTAAGTGATTGAAAGAGAAAAAAAATCACTTCACTGCTGCTGCAACAGCTGTGAAATCAATTTACCTCAACTCGCCAGATGATAATCCCAGTAGTGTGAGTAACCGCTCTGAATGCATAGTCCATATTGCTCGGACACACCTGGCCTTACTTGCACTATAGCCGCTTTGTTGTTTTTCCAGATAAGTGTGACTCTAAAAAGTAATCCAACAGCACAGAGGTTAAATTAAAAACCTAAAAAAGCCTCTTTTCATGAGAAACTGAGTGTAGATAAATACAGCAAGAGACAAATGACAAATGATACCTACCTGGTTGTCTTGTTTTCAGACCTGTCTGTAAGGCTCATTCAACAGCTGATTTTGAACCTGATAACAAAATGTCCTTCATCCCCTCTGAGCCCCTGAAAGATTTGCATGTTTTTGCATGTTTCAGGTCCTTTCACTGCGCCCTGTCCAATCACTGATGAAGACACAAACTCCTGTAGGCAAATGTGCAAAGAGAAAAAAAAGATTGACACATATTCAAATGAGTGTACACATGCACGTACACACAGTATTGCTGAGTACCATCTATTCACAGTACTTCCCACTCAATCCTGTACCACAACTTTAATACCATATATGGGCATGTGTATAGCCATGAGTAGATAAGCAGTCTGCATAATATATGTATCATATCATTTTCTATCATTGTTGACAATTTATGCATATTTATATTGTTCATAGCAACTTTAGGCACAAAGGTAGAGGCACTGTGTGAGAATGTCATTTTGGATTATATTTTTGTAAATTATTGTGTTTACTGATAATGAAGGTTAAGTTTGAAAGAAAAAAGTTTTATTTTAATTTTAACTTAAACTGGAAAAGGAATTGCATGTTCCCGGATGGACCCCCTTGATTGAGCTAAATACTTAAATTTTAAAGACAAAAGTTGTGGACATTTTAACTCTGCAGCCTGCATCATCACCAGAACCCCCTCCTTTCACCACATCACCCCTGTCCTTCAGCAGCTTCACTGGCTTCCTGTCAGGTCCAGAATCAACTACAAAATCCTTCTGTATGCTTTCAAGGCCATCCATAACCTTGCCCCCCCCTACCTCTCCGATCTCCTCCACATTGCCACCACCTCACGCTCCCTCAGATCCTCCTCCTCCCTCCACCTCTCTGTGCCCTCTGCCCGGCTCAGCACCATGGGGAGCAGGGCTTTCAGTCGCTCTGCCCCCAAACTCTGGAACTCTCTCCCCCCCGGACCTCAGAAACATGGACTCACTACCCCACTTTAAATCCAAACTCAAAACACACCTATTCCAAATTGCATATTCACTTTAACTGTCCACTTTCACACTTGTATGTTGTTTTTATTTATTTTAATTATGTTTCTAACTGTGTTTTTATGCCCTGTACAGTGTCCTTGAGTGTTCAGAAAGGCACTTTTAAATAAAATGTATTATTATTATTATTAAGCTGTTAGTTGAGGTATCTGAAATCCATGGGTCTATTTTTTTCTTTTCCTAGGTATGAAAGCTGAAGGCGACACCAGCTACAACAAGCATCACATATCCAGATGACTGATTGAACTGTGGGTAAAGTTTAAAATCTTCACAAGACAGAGGAAAACACAGCTTAAAAAAAAGAGAATTTCACTTATTTTGAACCTGTAATTCTTTTTATTGCTTGTTTAACATAAATTCACAACTTAGTACCGAATATCCCGCTAGTAAAGCCTTTAGACTACCTCTTACTGTCTCTGTAAAATATAAAACACATCTATCTCAGTTATTTTAAGCTGATCCACACTATTTTAGTTTTAATTATAACTCAACAGAAACACTGTGAATCCCTCAAAGACTATCAAAGACAAGCTCAGCTTGTTATGTAACACAAAGTCTGCACAGAAACATTTTTATATGCGACACATGGACGCCTCTACTGCCTCATTAACTGGTTTGTTCGATCACCATCTTCTACTGTTTTAACTTGTCCCTGCAGATAATATGGCTACTTTTATAACCTGCTTTAGTCAAGGTTTTATTTAGTTTTTAGTTTTTGTTTTCAAAGTGAAAACCAAATAAATGATTTCGATGGAAAGACTGGTATTCAAATGATCATAACCACATCTCCCCCCACAAACCTTAACCAGTGGTGATGTACAGAGAGATTTAGGAGAGCCATAAACTCACAGTGCACCATAATCACTCACAATGAACTCAGTGTAAAGAGGAGGAAGAAACAAAACAAGACAAACAGTTTTAGCTCTAGCATTGGTTTGGAAATATGACATCATGTTAGCCCATCGGCAAATTTGCAAATGAGGTGCAGCTGAGTACCATGGGTAGAAGTGAAAAATCATCACCAGGCCTCAATAGATATGAAAGTATCAATGTTTGCCATTTTTATACACACAGTTTCTGTATTACTTACTTTTGGTTCTCAGCTTTATCTGCAGAATTATGTAAAAATGCACATGTTCATGATTTTTGTTTATAATATATTCTTGATTAAAAAAATAGCTTTAACTATTATATATAGGCAATGTTCAGCTTTAGTAATAATTTTAGCCATGTTTAAAGGTTTTAAAATACACTCAACTGACTCTAACAGACAGCTTTTATCTTGAGCTTGGGCATGGAGTTCAGACATTTTGCAAGACAGTGAGATTTTAAGGTGTTACGTTATCAGCATGCATGATAGGAAATGCGCAATAATCCTGAGTACTTTAAGGAAATGTTTGGTTCATTTTAGATACTTCTCAAACAAATACTGGACTAGTTAAAACTTCTTAGCAAACGCTTAAAACATGTGGTGAGCATTTCGAAAAAGTTGCAATGTGGTTAAGTTTAGGTCTCAAAGATACCAAGAATGATTCAGGCAAAGTCATTTAAGGTAACACCAGACATGATGTTTGTTTTCAGAATATAACTTCAGGATACTGACACACTCAGTGTTGACTTTTGGTTCAGTTTCAGGAAAGAAAAGAGTGCTGACATCCTGCACAGCTACAGCTCAGTAACTTTGTGGTGAGTGGTCTTGAAATATGGGATTCAATGTTGTTTCTTGACAATTTTATTTCCTGTATAATGTATAAAAACAAAATATATAATCTACCCAAGGCCGAGAGTGCAGAAAATCTGACACTCTTGTCTCTAGATTTTCAGAAGTGCCCGTATTGTTTTTTATTGTGCCACATATTTTCCCATCCCTTGATTAATTTTCTTTATATTTTTTTCCTGCTGCATGTTCTGCATTTTCTGAGAATCATAATTTTATCCAACTGCAGACATCTAGAGAATTTCCGAAGTTGATTTTATATTACAGTTCATGGTAAAAGATAAGTGAGGAGTACAGACAGACGTCATTTCTCTTACTTCCTGCAAACATTGCATCCATTAGAGATATTAGGAGATAAAGGCCACTCTGTTGTCAGTATTGTCAATTAACATGTGAAAGTAGACACACTGATGTAGTTCTATCAAATATGAAAATACTAAGGAATACCATTGTAGTTTGTATAGAGTTAAAATAATACTGTTTTGATATGCAAAACGCCTTCAGCTCAACAGAGACACAGGGAGATATTCAAATGTATGGAGAACAAAGAATGTGTATAAAACAGAGACAGGACAACAGTAACACTCAGCGAAGCCAAAGTATCTGGAGCTCCATCTGGTGGCCGGCTGCAGTAAATGTCTGTAAGCCAGCCTTCTCCATTAGAACAGATAAACCTCAGGTCAGATTAGAAAATTGAAATACTAATAAAATCTGCAAGTGTGAATGTGAGGTCTCTGCTGTGTCTCACAATGACATCTATGTTGTCTATATTGACGCACAGTCAGTGGTAGACACCTAAAGTGAATCAGCTGGAACAGGTTGTAAGCACTGTGAATGCATTTGAAAATCACGTGTTCGAGTGACCTTTTATCAGCAAGCTGAAAATCTGAACCAAACACGTTTTTGTTTTAATCTCTAGATCAGCTTCTGTATTTTGATGTAATATGTTTTGGCTTTTGCACTGACATAAATGCCACTGTGCTGTGCCTTTTGTGTACTCTAATGAGTCGTTTGACTGTATTTTTAGCCTTTTTTTTGGATGTCAGTCCAAATATCAATCTAAAGTCATCCAAAAAGGTTTACCATACCCTGTCAAATGACTACCCCATGATGTTAAGGTGAAAAATTAAAGATATTAGTTTGAAGCAGAGCAGTTTAGGAGAATATCATCTGCTGGACTGATGTTTCTCATTATTACCTGTAAGAGATATTAAACAAGTTGATTCAAAGTTCATGGTTTTTCACTTAAAACGAGAGGACAGAGCCACTCCCACTGACACAACATTTCCCCCTCCTGCGTAACCTGTTCCCCCTCACATTATTAGAAAAAAAAAACTTCCTGCCCCTGAAAAGGAAAGATAAACTTGAACACCAGACTAGAATATTTACCTTTTTTCTAATTTATCAATGAAATGAAATCAAACAAAGAATGAAGTCTGCCCTGTCTCTCTTGTAGACCAAACCTCCGTCTACAGCAGATGTTTTTGGCTCCTCCCCGACAGCTTAGTAAAACATTCCAGCCCACCTCTGGGAATCTGCTACCTCCTCCTCACACTTTCTCAACTCTGAGTCAAAGTCTCTCCAGGAGCTGAGGAGACTGAGCTGACGCACAATGAGAGGACTTGTTGTCTTGGTTACTTTGGCCTGCTTGGCCGGCGCTCAGCACCAAGCACTGATTGACTATTTGGAGCGGAGGCTGCTCGCTATTGAGGTAAGACTCACTTTACCTCCCTGTTGAGCCCTGCGCTCTAGTGTCCCTGGGAAAGGAAACTTCCAGGGACTGGGCACAGGCAATGGAATGCAGATGTGGGCAAATCCTGAGAAAAATGCTGGAAAATACAGCTCTGTGAAACATTAAGGGATAATAGGATCCTTGTCTGGGCAAGGGGACTAAGGAAAAATTGTGACTCAAATGCCTATTAGTCTAAAAATGGCTAATATGATGAAAAAAGCAAGTTCAAAAATTGTTACCCAACAGAAATTCTCTGTTTGAAAGCTTTGAAAGTTTGCTGTCATCCAAAATTACATAACCAAAGTGTTATTATTTAACCAGTAACACATGCTGGACGCAATATTTGGAAGACATATCTGCTGATTTGACATTTTTTTACCTGCAGATTGAAATTGAAAAGTGTCTTTTACAGAGCTCCAAATTTAGTCTCAGAGATTGTGCACAAATATAAAAGATTAATTATAAAGTATGGTATTCTCCTTATTGTAGGTCCAAGGTCATTCAAACTAATTTATCAAACAGATTTTTTTGAATGTTTTTTTATAACAACTCTCTCCGCGTGTTGCTGTTATGTAAGCTGGTTCAAGTTTTCCTGTAGCGATGGTTTCCTTTTATCTCTGTCCTGCAGAGAGAGGGCAGAAGTCACAGACTGCCACAGAGTCCTCCGTTTGGTCTTATTGTTTTTCAGGAGACACTTGAGCAGGGTGTTTACTCGCCACATGTGGGTTGAACCTGGTTATTTGAGGGATGACTTTTCATCTTAATATGCCCTTCTGTGGCAGTCAGCTTACTGAGCCTTAAAATAAGATCAAAATTATGGCTTTGTCTGAGTTTTCCAGGGATGCAGTAAAGGTCACTATTCATCCATAAACCATGCGTTACTCACTTTCAAGAAATCAAATGGGACCACTTTTAACGTGTGTAAAAATAAACCCTAACCCTAAAAACACTAATTTATCACTTTGTTAAAAAATCAGGATCGGATCTCTCTGTGGCATGAACAAACTACTCGGTATGCCTCTGAGCTGAGGGAGCTGAAGCAACAGATGGTTTCTCAACTGGAGAACTTGGACAAGGAGAAAGAGGTACTCAGGATGAACCTGGACAGTGTGGGAACCAGGGTGGACCGGGTCGAGAGAGAAATGGATTACTTGGAGACCCAGAACGGGGCTCAGCCTTGTGTGGATGTGGACGATAAGCTGATCGAACAGCAGGTGACTCTGGTAGAGGAGAAGCAGAGAGCAAAGTATTCAAGGCTGTCAGGTGAGTTTGATGGACGAACTCCGTAAGTGGCGATGAAGATGACCCTTTTTTTGAGGATATTAACTGTCTTGATGAGAGTTTAAAGTGAAGCCAACTAGGGCTGGGTGATAAAACAGTAACGATATATATTGAAAACTAATTTCCCTTAATATCAATATAAATTATGGTTAATATGCTTTTCAATATGCCATGTTTTGGTAGACTATATGAATAGCCAATGAAAAGGGGAGTTGCTCTGGGTCTGCTTCGGGCTGAACCAATCATGTGCTGAGTTAGAACCAAGTAGCAAATGACTGCGTAGTAGCAGGCTGCAGCTACACGCAACTATAGAACTTTAACACATGAAGAAGAGAAAAAAAGAAAATGAGATCAGATGACGATATCATCAACAACACTAGCACGAAAACATCGGTGGTGTGGAGATATTTTGGTTTTTATGAGGTTGGACATGAAGCAGAGTAATAAGTACTGCAAATTATGTCGAGTAAATGTTCTGGCAAAGTCGGGGAATACCTCAAATCTTTTTAATCACCTGAAGCAGTGCCACACAGCAGAGCACATGCAATGCAAAAGGTTACGAACCCCGAGCGGAGCAAGGAGCCCATGGCGCCTGTGCAGCCGAAACAGCCGACCATTCAGTCCGCTTTCTTTAGCGCACCGCCTTATGACCAAACGTCGAAGAGACACAAAGACCTCACTTATTGCATTGCAAAAGACATGCTACCATGAAGAACTCTTGATTTTCATTTTCTGTATTGTGATATATATCGATATCAACTGATATGAAAAAAATATATTGTGATAAACTTTTTTCCCCATATCGCCCAGCCCTAAAGCCAACGATCTTTGTCTGGCAAAAGATTTTAAAAATAGATAAATAAAAGCAGCGCATGGTAAAATTAAACATCACCTCTTAAAAGTTGTTAAAATGTTTAATAGATGTTTTCCGTCATACTTTCCAGACTGCAGTGACATGATCTCCAGCATTAAGGCCATGAAGATCTTAAAGCGCGCGGGCGCCCCAAGAGGCACATGGACCAAAGACATCAGCAGAGGCTCTGGGAAGATCTACATCTTTAACGGGACTGATGACAACACCATCCATGAGTTTGCATCGGTGCAGGACTTCACCCGCTCTCAGGGTTTCTCTCTGTCCAAGAGCCTGAAGCTGCCGTCTTCATGGAAGGGAACAGGACACGTCATCTACAACAATCATGTGTACTACGTAAGTCAGGATCAGGAGATAAATGTGGTTAAGTATGACATGAAAGATGGCTTTATGACTGACAGCGCAGTGTTCCCAGAGCGGGACCAGGTCCCTGTTTATGGTCTGACCCCTGAGACAGTAATGGACCTGGCTGTGGATGAGGAAGGCCTGTGGGCCATTTACTCGACACAGCAGAATGAGAGATACATTTCTCTTGCAAAAATGGACACCAACTCGCTGGACTTAGAGCAAATGTGGGACACAAACTGTCCGAGAGAGAACGCAGAGGCAGCTTTTGTCATCTGTGGTACTTTGTATGTGGTGTACAACACCCAGCAGCCAGGCCGCTCTCGTGTCCAGTGTGTGTTCGACGTCAACGACATGGTGAGCAATGAAGAGGCACCCCTGGTTTATTTCCCGAAACGCTATGGAGCCCACTCCAGCCTCAAGTACAACCCACAGGAGCAGCTGCTCTATGCCTGGGATGACGGCTACCAGATCCTGTACAAACTCGCCATGAAAAAGAAACTGGAAATTTGAACTAAATAACAAACTGCACATCCTGAAACTGATGCAAAGAAGCCAATGACCCCTAAAGTACAACACTAGAGTTAATGCAACTTTGAGCTCCTTAACTACACATCTGTGTTTTCATTTACCGCCGTTTCTGTCCATTTAAGAAGGCATGTTGAATTTCAGATTTTTTTTTCTGATTTCAGCTACAAAACTGATGAAACTCACTTCAGGTGTGAAATCCAGAGACCAACAATTAAAAGATAAAGAATGAACCATAATGATAAAATAATGAAAAGGTATTTGCATAGGAAGAGTGTTCCAGGAGTTGGAACCTCTCTCTAGATAAAGGTTTATCAAGGTTTGGTATCATTTGAGCTTCCCACCTGAAGTAAAATGTAATGAGAAGATAGCTGCTGAGAGAATAAGGACTTTATGTTCATTTACTGATCCTTCCTTCACCATTCTTTTTGATTTCATCATTTACTGACAGACGTCCATCTGTGATGTGACCACTAAACTTGTTTAATTATATTTTATGAGTCTTTGGTGCTGCTTTACCCACTTTATACTTGTTGCTGTTTAGTTGAATTCATATTTGTATGTTGTACATGAACTACCACACATACAGGTTTTAGTTTAGACAAATAAAGCAAACATTTCAACTTTAAAACATCATGAAACCTTTTCAAATATACTCACACAGATTCATTTCATGATCTTTTGTGTCTGTAATAAAAATGGATTTAACAGAAAAGTTCCTCCTCTGTCCGTCAGATTGTCTAGAAGTGGTTAAAAAAGCAGAATGAGACGAGCCAGGTACTATTGAAGTGTGACAGTGATTGGAGTCGACAAAGACTGGTTTTCACTTACTGTTCAGTAGATTATTTTCACTCGGCTCGAGCTTAAACATTTTAGACTTACACATACTGTGACAGACTGTGCTGCACCATAATACGGTCTACAGAATATACTTGAATAGGAGCAGTAATTTTGACAAAGTTTATTTTTCCAAACTGTAAAACAACAATAAAAACGGTTCATTAGATTTGAATAAAATCTGGATTTAGAGAGAAGCAAAAGCACATTAAATTCTTCAAAACCTGAATTACAACAGAGAACATTGGTAAATAACTATATACAAGTTTGAAAACTTCAGTTTGCTGTGTGACTGACAGAAAACCTGAAAGAATTTAAAAAAATTATGATAAACAAAGGTGCTGTTTTAAAACGACTTCAATTAGAAATTTCACTCTGGAAGGAAAGAAACACGACTTTAATCTGATGTTCTGCACAAACGTTTTCATATCAGCTGACAAAGGTTGTTGTGCAACAGGTTGTACTGAGAGGTCACACACACTCTTCTTCTGCAGCTGCTGAAAAGTCTTACAGCATGGCACTACTGATTTGCACTACCCCAAAAACTTCTTCAATCATATCAACCTGAACTACTTAACTATTAAGTTTGGACATCTCAAAGCCACCAACCTTTAAACTGGAGAATTTAAGGACCTAAAACTAAACTAAAAGTCTCTTTCTGATTTGCATTCAGCCAGAGGACGATTCCAATTAAACTTTACTAATAGCACTGAAACATAAATATACAAAAATTAATATTAGAAATTAAAGTTGAACATTTGGATCTGTAATAAGCTGAGAAGAACACCAAAACTCTGATGGTTTACAATGCTGGTTTTAGGTATCAACAAATATTCACAGGATCAGACATCCAGTAGTGTCCAAATTCTTTAGTCCCTTTCAGGACAGGGCACAACATAAGGCAAGGAGGTCCTTATTGCTTTAACGCTGATGCTGGTGAAATCGTCGACTCAGAGTCTCAGATGAGGAACAGGCATGGTGACATCTCGGAAGAATCGATGCACAAGGGCGTTTTTGGCGGATAACCTTTTGTTTGGATCATACATCAACATTTCCTGCGAGGACAAAGGGAGAAAGGAGGGATAGAGTTGAGCAATGTGACTTTAAAAATGTAATAATTTTCAATCAACCTGAAAGAGCTATTCAAAAAATAATTATGAAATCAGATCGCTTCACAAAAAAAGAATTAATCAAGAATAACCTCGTTTATACAGTTTTGAAATGGATTCTCTCATGACAGACACCTCAGTTATTTCCCAGGCTTGTAATGCGCAAATTTCTCACAACCTGTCAGTTCTGTTGAATTTCAAGTTTTAGACGTGCTGTATGAGCCATTTTATCTATACTATTGTTTGGGTTTTGTTTTGTTACTCGCACAATCACCACAAAGGGCACTTCAGGTGAACGGGCAGGTAAATGCTACAAAGGGGCACAGGTGAAGCAGTGATGTGGGGAATGGGAAGAGCACACGGTTTTTACCGCTCATCTCGAACATCGTCGTAAGTTGGACGTATCTGTCTTTTTTTTTTTTATTTGATCAATAAATAGCAAAAACTTAACAACAACCTTGGATTGGATGTTGGATTGTATTAGAAGCGCGTCAAAAACCCCTCACTCCTGCACCCTGACAGTGACTAAAATTCAGGTCAGCACAGTCACTACACATGCAGTTTATTTCTAAATGTCCCTACTCTATTTGCAAAAATGTATAAGACATCAGAACGACGGGGTAAAAAGTCTCAAAGTATCAAAGTGACATGAATCACTAATCCTTTTCCTGACTGGAGATAATAAAAGCAGAAAAAGATGAAGTAAGGCTGCTCTCACCCCCAGCAGTTCCCTGCCGTCCTCGTCAAGGAGAGGCACCACTTTGGATAAATCCTGCAGAGCCCACTTTGGGAAGGAGGGTTTGTAATCAGGCATCGATGTGACTCCTGGCCAGACGTTCTCATCTGGTGTACCCAGGGTGCGGAAGATTCGGAACAGCTGATCGATCTCTGAGTCGCCGGGGAACAAGGCTCGTCTGGTGATCTGCATAACAGTCGAGAATGAGGTCAGTCTGCTTGTTGGATGTTCACTATCAAACCATAGTGCATCACTGAAAGGTTTTATGTATTCACAGAGAGAGGTATTGAAACAGGTAAATACCATTTCAGCAAAGATGCACCCCAGGCTCCAGATGTCGACAGCTGTGGAGTAAAACTTACAGCCCAGGAGAATCTCTGGTGCTCGATACCAAAGAGTTACCACCTGAAGAATATCATAAAATCAGATCAGAGAGAATAAAATAGAATTCCCATGGAAAAAAAAAATAACCAGAGTTTGAATCCGCAGAAACAAGAGTTAACAGCCTCCTATGACGACTGAGGAATTCACAAGCAAAACTCAATATTGATCAGAATACACATGAATGAACAAATACACTGTTTCAGGATTGATTTTAAGTTTCTTTCATTAGTTTTTAGATGTATTAATGGTCTTGGCCCCTCCTATTTATCTGATTTACTTTTACCATATCAACCCTCGCGGACCCTGAGGTCCTCCGGCACAGGCCTTTTAACCTTACCGAAAGTCAAAACAAAAACACAAGGGGAGGCGGCTTTCAGTTTTTATGGTCTCCGGTTGTGGAACAGCCTGCCGGAGAGCCTTAGGGCCACAGAGACTGTTGATATTTTTAAGAAGAGGCTATCTTAAATTCTCACACTGTGTGTGGTTGTGTGTGTGTGTGTGTGTGTGTGTGTATGTGTGGGTGAGTGAGGGTGGGTGTGTGTGTGTATGCGTGTGGGTCCTTGGGTGTGTGGGTGGGTGGAAGGGTTGGGTTTTTGTCTTTATTGTTGTTTTTAGCCTCTGTGATGCACTTTGAATTGCATCTCCTTTTGTATGAAAAGTGCCATATAAATGAAGTTGAATTGAAATTGAATTGAATTTTTACTTTTAGCCAGTGAATTCTCTTTCATCTGTTTATTTCACAAGAAGCTGGTTAAGAGGCGTGAACGGAGCAGTTGTCCACATTACCTCATGTGTGTATGGGCGGACAGGCACCCCAAAAGCTCTTGCCAAACCAAAATCAGCGAGCTTGATCTCCCCCTGGGCATTGATGAGGAGGTTTTGAGGCTTCAAGTCTCGATGAAGAACCCTGTGGGAGTGGCAGAAGGCCAAGCCTTGCAGCAGCTGGAAAAGATAACTCTACATACAAACACAAACAAGCACCCAGGTTAAGTAACTCAGTTCAGTGGGAGTCAATTTATTCTTAGTTTCATAAAAAGATCATGAGAAATCTGCTTAGTAAACTTAGCTGAGATGTACCTTAACCAAGGGCAGAGGAATACCAGTGACCGAGGAAGAGTCCATGAACTTCTTCAGATCCTGATGAAGGAACTCAAACACAAGGTAAAGCTTGTTTTCTGTGTGAATGACATCTCGCAGTCTGAAACAGATGACAGGCAGAAAGGCAGGTCGTCTTCAAAACATACCGGAACAAGTACAAAGACATTTCTAGCTGATACAGTCACAACACTGGAAACTTACTTGACAATGTTAGGGTGGCTGAGCTCTTTGAGGAGTGAAATCTCTCGAATGGCAGTGCTTGGTACGCCCTCTGTTTCCCTGAACAAAAAGTATAGAGAAAAAAAGCGTGTGTTACTGGAATTGATCAAAATTTACCCTTTCTGTAATTTGCTTTCACCTGTTTTATGGTCTCGAAACATTAAATGATTCCCCAACATTAACATTATCAAATTATTTATTTAAAAAATAACAGAAAAACAAATCAACTTAAGTTTTGGGGCCAGGGTGATCATTCCTATACATCCACATGTCCAAGTTATATACACAGACTAACCAATTTAATATGAACACCTGGGCAATCTAAGACTACAGCTCTACCACAAATTTAAAGGCACTTCAAAACAATCAACTTTTGTTGGCATGATCAGACAGGTGGTGGTTGTATGTTATATTAATTAGTGAAAATGCAGTGGGTGGTGGTGATTTACTAAGGTGTGATATGTTGAAAGGTGCTCTTTATATTTTTTCTGAGGAACAATTAATGCAAACACAGCCATCATCTGTTTGACCATATCATAAAAAACTGAAACTGCAGAAGCTTAAAAAAGTAGAATTGATGGTAGAGGTGTTGTATTAGTCTGGTTTATTGATCAGGTGTTTATAGTGTTATGGCTGGTTGGTTGATTGCTGCTGATACAGTAAATATAAAAGTCAACACAGATAAGCATAGCGGTATTTTTTGCTTTCATGTGCCTCACACAAATCGTAGATAATAATTGAAAAACTGGGTCAGTGATGCAAACTCACTGCACCTTGTGAATGTTAATTAACAGAAGTCAAATCTCATTGTCTCCTAGTTTTTTGGTGGTCATATTTCAGTCCAACATAAAAGATAAAGATAAAATAAAACCATTCAGGAAGGGATCAGTCACTCCTCAAGTCGTAATGTCATTCTAAGACTGGCTGAAGTAAAACAAACAAAAAACACAGTTACATTTACCGTGTAGGGATTTGTCAGAGCGTTGCTGAAATTAAGTAAAATATCCTTAATAAACCACAAAAATCTGGGAAATTAAAGAGTAAGGAAGATTTGATAAATAGTCAAGAATGTGGGGGGAAAAATATTTGGTGTTTTTTTTTTTATGTTTTCAATTTTGCATTTCAACATTACAAGTCAAACATGATTGGATTTTTTATTTCATGCTTTGATTTTGTTTAACTCAGTATTAAAACGTGTCATTTTTATACTTTAGATTCCAATATTAAATTTTAAGTCATATTTTGACCTTTTAAACCTAATTTCAACGTTCTCCTCATATATTTGCTCTTTAAAAGCATTATTTTTGTTTTTAATATCATGCTCTGATCTTTTGAACTAATAAATAAAAATAGAAAAAGAAAGTAAACTTTTTTTCTTTTTTTTTAATTATCTCAGATTGCCTTTAATCTTAAATTTCCCTCTTTTTGTTTATTTATTTCTCTTCTTTATTTTACTTTTTTTTCTTCCTTTTTCTTAACCCTTTCTTCTGCTGTGTGCAAATATTATTTCACTGTCACACCCTGAAGACCCCACGTTTGAGCTGGAACGGCTTTAGTATTTCTAATTCACAGTAAAAGCACCTCAATAACATTATTTTGGCCCCTCTCTGTGTGTTCAGATGTAATACTCGTTTACTTACGTGTCCAGTCTGATTTTCTTTAGAGCAACAGTTTCTCCGGTGACTTTGTTCTTCGCTTTATAAACCACTCCATACGTCCCCTCTCCTATTTTCTCCACCTTCTGAAAAGTATCCATGTTTTAAAACTGTGCTTAAGCAAGTTTTGTTCTGGTTGCTGTCCTCTTTGTGCGGAGCTAAGGGTTGGTCGGTTGCTACAGGAACAAACGAACAGCAGCAGCAACAGCACCGACATACAATGAACAGCTTTGTCCGGACTGGTTCTGTTCTGGCGGTCCGGACTCTGCACAGCCAGGCACAGGCGGGTTAGCCGAGGAAAAATCACCACGAGTCAGAACCACACCGCCAAAATAAAAACTGGGTCGCCTTGGTGGAGATTATATCAGAAAATGTGTGGATTAGCGTGAGGGCTACTCTATGGAAAACACTCAACTAACAGTACGGCGTTTCCCGCGTTAGCCCGGGAGCGCTCGTTTTCAGTTCAGGACACACCGGCTATTGGAACCAGATTTTAAAGTCGAGTCTCTGCAGTCGGATCCTTAAAGGTGTCCTTTTTGTAAGTTGTGATGTGGGTAACTAGTGCCCGATGTGCGGAAAATTACATTTTCAACGGTGTGATACGATAATGTCTTATTCATACGCCAGTGTCTGGGAGTACAAAAGATGTCATGTCGTTTCGGGATGTGAAGGAAACTACAACGAACACAACAGCAGGCCATATGGCGAGAATACGTAATGACGTACACAACGTAGCCGGAAGTACCGAGACAAAACTTCTTTGTGACTTCAACGTCTTTTATTAAATAATCTATTTTTTAAAAGTGTAGATACTTTTGACGATACAACGACAAAACACAAAGCGGTGGCGAAAATTAAAAACACAAATAAATAAATAAACGCGTGTCTACCATTTTAGGAGGGCAAGGAGACAGAAATTTGACATTAAATCATTGTTTGAAAAAGTAAAAACTATGAGATAAGAAAAGAGCAATAGATCACACGGCATTTTATACACAAAGAAGATTATAGCACATTTGTTGCAAATATCTTGTGAAGTGTAGCTCCTTCACACATCAGAATATTGGCGTTTCCACAGTGGCTCCATCTAGTGGCAGTAAGTGTGACATACCTCGTGTCCCATAAGGGTTATAGGGGAGAGTGGGGTAAGGTGAGCCATTTCTATATTTCAGATCATTAAATCAAGGCAATCATAGTTTTGTCTCTAACTAATGTATCTGCATATATTTCAAGATGTTGTCCATCCCTGCAAACCAACAGAATGAGTGTAAACATAACTGTCTTGATAATATAGCATGCCAAAACAAAGTGGTCTCCTATGATCAACTTACCCCATGTATGGGGTAAGTTGAGTGTATCCATACTCTCCTCCCACTCTCCACCCCAGCCCTCCCTCACCTTCTCTCTCCCTAAATAACAGTCACTTCTTCACATTCATGTGTACTTTCATCTATTATACGCTATTCAACTGAAACAATAATTATTTTTATCATTACTATTGCATATAACAGCTAAAAAGCTGTTTTGTAAAAAGCCATTTTAACATGAGAATGTCTTTAAGTGATTCAGAACATTCACAGCTGTATTTTTGAAAAGAAAAAGTAACACACTTCAACAATCTGAACTGAAACTCTAATCCTCTCATCAGACTCCTTTACATTCTCAGTTGAGCCACTGAATCAACTTACCCCAGAATGACTATTATGACTTTATTAGTCCTCTAAGCTAAAATGGTGGACTTTTAGGCTAGGTTTTTGACCTCATGTTGTAGCTCATAGATACCACAATTGATGTATAAAAGAAATTTAAAATGATCTTTTTTGGTCTGAAAACAATTCTAATCAAACTTATGACAGACTAAATTCACTTTCAAGAGTGAAAAATGTTTTTTTGGAAAGAAAATGTCTAACCCCTTCACCCATGTGCTTCTAACCGTCACTGACTCCATGAATTGATGCGAATCTCCTAAACATTTGGTCACATGATCAATTTCTTTTACCATTTTCAAGCAAAAAGTTACCCTCTGGCTCAACATACCCCACTCTCCCCTATCGCTTTTGTTAACTTTTAGTTGACGCTTTATTTAATACGTCAATAAACTGACAATAAACAATGTATTGAAGTGTTTTTAACAGATGTTTGGCCTCTTCATTGTATAAAAACACTCAAGCGGTATCCACAGTTGCTGTGTATGTCCAAATATCGAAATGACTGCAACAGTTTACAGAAAATAAACTATATTTGTAACCTTTTTTCCTTTTACAAAGATTTTCCTTTGATGCTTATGGCTTGTTAAATTCAGCCTGTCAAAATTATGGCTCAGATCTACCCACAGATTTTACCTAATCTGAGTCGAACCTTTTTTTTTCTTAATTAGAAAAATAGTAGCCTCTTAAGAGATTAATAGAAAAGATTAAAACTATGATGAAAGTCAGAGCCACAGAAAGTTTTGCTTATATTTGAGCATAATCCATTTGTCCTTTTTGGGGGCATTTCTGTTTGGGTAAATGCTCATACTCAGTTTTTAATCCAGGGGGTTGTAGAAATGAGGGAATCAAAGAGCTGTTAAAGAAGAGGAGGATTAGTTTTGAAATAAAGAGTGACAAAAGCATCAACCAAATAAGTACCACATAAACTGGGAGCACAGATGTCTTTTGGGAACCACATATCAGTACTTTCTAAAAACTGCTCCCCTTGTTTGAGTTTTGACATAACAAACATGATATGGACCCATTTTCTGAAAGCAGTAACAGCCTTGGTCTACATGTAAGTCTTTGATAGATATCTTACAGCTAAAATCTAAAATGAAGTACCCTAGTCAGGAGTCACTATTACAAACAAACAAAAAACAAACCTGACTGCATACAATGGCCCCAAACAACTCATTAGCCTTTTGCTATGATTGGTTGTAGTGTAAAGTGACATCCCAGTGTGTGTCTGTCTGTAAAAGATGACTAGGAAATCTGTTGTAAACTGGACTAGTTTTGGAATAATTCGTAAAGTGATCTGACAATGTTCTTACTGGCAATCTGACGAGTAGGAAAACACTTAGTAGTCAGTCATATTAAGCACAGTTCATTCATCAAGGGTATACACAGGATCACAGAGTCAGGTTCTTTGAACAAAAAGTGCCAAACTGTGCTGAGATTTCATCTGTAACATGTGCTTGTTTGTTTCCAGATAGCAGAGCATTATTGCATTATGGCTGTAATATTTAACCAGAGCTACACCACAGCCAGCAATTGTGCCACAATCTAGGCACAACATATTACAGGCATTTTTGACCAACAGTCATTTCCATTCAGTAAGTTTTAATCAATTTGCTGCCTAAGACTGAGGATGATGGAGCTTTAATTACCCTACTTCAGAAATTGCAGTTTGCAGTTTTGTCTGAGGTTTTTTTACTGCCCAGCATCCTGAGATTTGCTATCTATAATACAACTTTTTTCCAATAACACATTGAACCTCAGGATCTATGTTATTAAGATGCACCATAGTAGAGCTTAAAGAGAAAAGAAGCTAATGGTTGACTATTTGTGGTATGTTAGGTCAGGTGCTCTCTGGGAGGGATTTGTTTCTTCCCGAACTTTGCTAGAGCACATGAGGGGTCACATGCAGTGCAGCCTAAACAGTCTCACAGACATGAGACAATATAAGTAGAAAAAACAACAGCCAAACACTGTTGTACCAGAGCTCATAATGACAAACACTGGTGAAGGAAAAAGAAATGAGTGAACAATAAAACCGCTAAGAAAAAAAGTTACTCTTTTTATTTTCACCTCATTCTTTTTACTCTAATAAGACGATAGCGGGACTTGAACCACTTCAGTATTTTTTTGAAAACTGAAGACAGTCCTGAAATTGTGCCTTCCAATCTTTCCTTGTACCTCATCTATTTATTGTGCTGAATTTTGTCTTTTCTCTTTTCATAACCTTGTTTCCTCTTCTTTGCAAAATTCAGAAAGAACAGAAAATCCTGTTCATTACAGTTCATATGAAAGCACATGCTTTGATGAAAATCATAATCAGAAATACTCTATTAAACCCCAAAGGGGAAATTTGGATATTAAAGCTCCTCTGAGGACTTTTTAGTTGAACTTGTACAGGATCAAATAAGCAAAAGAATAAGAGGTAAATGACGACAGTAGGTGTCAAAGTCAATGCAAAACAAAAGTTCCTCATAGGAGCTGTATGATGACTTATGCATTTCAGCATTAGCCTTTAAAGGTTATTATTACTATTATTATTTATTCATTTTCAGATACATTTATTTTGTTAGATTTTAAAACATTTTGACATCAATTTGTAAATCACACATTTTCCAGTCAGGCATACTTCACTGTTTTTTTATGCTATGGTGCACACTATTTCTAACAAAAGTGCACCAACAGCTTCTCTGTGTGCAAATGCTGCGAATTTGAGGGGCTGGTACTTCTTTTATTAATACCATTATTCAAACCATTTCCCCTTCTGAGAACAGTAGGAAATGAAGTGGAGCAATCAGAATAACATCAATAATTTAGTGTGATATGTCAGTGATATCTTATTACAGGGTTGTTTGATGCCTTGTCTTATTTGAGGATGCTAAATGCATGCCCCTTACGTAGACAATATGTAATTCTTCCCTCAAGAAAATCATAAAGCAAGAGAAAAGAAGCTGATTGTGGAAAGTATTCAAAAGAATTTCTCTTCTGTATGACTTTCCAAGAAACATAGATGAGTGGAGGTATTGATTTTAGCAAATTCCAGACCCTGTCAGCTATTTCCTGCACGTGTCATCTTCTCTTGATGTGAGTGAAACTCTATGATCATAAAGGAAGGTATATGCCCCATGAAAAGAGCACGGGTGTGTCTGCAGACTCAGAGCTGCAGCAGCCCGAGGTGGACAGCAGGAAACAAAGGAATGGGTAGAGGAAATGAAGGGATGCTATTGATTTGCTGGCCACACACTCATCTTGTGACGGCCATGCACTCATAGCTCTAAGGTCATACGTCAAAGGCTGGCATAACTCAGGCTTTGCTCAAAGTTCTAACCCTTCTCCCTGTGACCTTAAGCAGGCATTGAGTACAACATTTTCATTTACACCGTGTAGAAGGCATCCATTGATTTTCCAACAATGCACTTAGAAAATATTGTCCTGCTTGAGGGATGTCTGTTGCCTCATTTAAATTATTAAGATGCTTTTCAGTGCCAGAGCTTTGGGGCCTTTGAAGTTAGAGCACAAATGTCTGAGTGCTTTATTAGAGATATTGATACAGTGTATTGATACATTGATACAGTCAAAATTATTTAAACTTACAGACATTGTGAAATTCCAAACAGCACAAATTATGCATAAAGCTAAAAATAACCTTCTACCACAAAATATACAGAATTTGTTTGGGGATCGAGAGAGGGGTTATCAATTAAGATGGAAGTATAATTTCAAACTCAATAAAATCCGCACAAGCAGAAAACAATTTTACATTTCATTCTGTGGAGTGAGACTGTGGAAAGGTATGGGTAAGGAGTTAAAACAATGTCCAAACATAAGCATATAAAGAATATGTTTTCACGGGATACAGGGATGTACAATCATAGTAACTATTATCATTATTGTTTTGTTGTTGTTTTGTCATTTTCACTGTGGTGATTATTTTTATTGCTATTATTACCATGATGATTAATATTATTATATTAGGTTATATATTTAATCCATGAGTGTAGGAGAAAGGGTGGGACTAGATATGTCTCCACTTCTTCCCACTCCTTTTTGAACTTGAATAACTTTTTGTCATTTGTTGTTGTATTCTTTACTTCTTCTTCTTCTTCTTCTTCTTCTTCTTATTATTATTATTATTATCATTATTATTATTGTTATTATTATTATTATATGTTCAAAATGAATTTCAGTTTATCTATCAATTGACTGACATGTCATATCAGAGTCAGGGAAAGGCTTGAATGTGGCTTACAAAAAAAAAAAAGATAAAACACAAAGTTCTCAAATTTAAGAATTAAAAAATCTGTTTACAGCCCCAAGCTGCAACAGTTACTTGGAAACATACTATTAGTTAACAGATCTGTCTGTTGTAATAGTTGAACAGAGGGGGCGGTGCCAGTCACAGACTCCCAGTGATGTCAGAGAACACTGAGAAACTTTATGGTAATTCATTTTCGGGCCCCTCTTATATTGAGAAAGGAGACTTAAGTTAAGTCTCTCTGGGAGTTGTGTTGGGTTTTTTGGACAGCAGGGTGAGGATTGGGGCTCATAGAGAGGACAGGATGAAGATGCTGGCACTGGCACTGCTGGTTTTAACTTTTGCATCTGTATCTTCAATTGGATCAAGTGAGTGTTTTATCGTTTCTTTCTTTAGCGGACTACATGATATATTTGAAATTTACAATCTATATAGAGCAAAAAGTAAACCGCTTTGTAGGGTGTAGCACTAGGTCTTGTTTCTTCAACAAAAATGGAACTTAAAGAAACAATGAGTTTCAAATATTTTATTCTCAGAACAACTAAATTGTTCTCTCTTACCATTGGCCTCTCGAGAAAAAATCTAAACCAAGAGAAACTACAAAAGGATAAAGTGGAATTACCTTAAACCATTTGCCCAGTTATTTTCTTAATTATGAAGGAAACAAAGATTAAAAGATTAAAACCACCTGTTTAGATGGACTTTATCTTTATGTGATGTAACACTGACTATAAATCAGTTAAGCAACAGGGTAAATCATTGGTTTTAAATTTCTGTGACTGGTGAAAATCAACAAGTTCTGCTTTTCCTGTAATTTCACGCTGAATCTTAGAGTTATCTTTCCAGTTATGAGCCACTGATTGAACATAAATCATGCTTATTAGTGGTTTTAAGTTGATTTCATGCTAACACACCCTGCACTTTGTTAAAGAGAAGTTAAGTTTACGCACATATAAACACTTTTGTTCTGTCTTTTGACAATTTGCATACATGAATGTACACTCAGGATTAACGATGTGAGTACAATTACATGAGATGTACAAAGAAAAATATAATTTAGAATACATTCTTCTTATACCTAGACATTTGGAACCAATTATTATGCTCTTGAGGTATTTCATTTAATCACACACGAACACACACATGCACGCACGCACACACACACACACACACACACACACACACACACACACACACGTACACATGCACACACACTAACATGAATGCATCACTTGCTGAGAGAAAAAAAAAAATCTCTGTGAGTCAGTGCCTGGGATCCTTCATTCCTCTCACTGGGATTACTGATGCTGCAGCTCAGCTGATAGTCACATGAAAGGGATTGGGAGGAGGGATGCAGATCGTGTGACTCCCACCACCAAGATCCCCGACAGTCCTCACCCTTCAACAACCCCAAAACACTCACCTGCTATGCTTTAAGCATCTCTAGCATAACATTCAAAACCCGCCCTATTATTATGAAATGCTAGAAAACCTTAAAATACAATGTAATCAGCCTATATATTAATGATATAACCACCATCCACCTGGTACGAAAACTAAAAAGTAACACGATAAATATGCTGACAGTAATGGAATATGATCTGAAGATAAAAATACTCATTCTTGTTTTGTATCAACACGTATATTTGACATAAAATTCTTTCATTCCTAAAATGTGTTTATTTCTTTCAGTGCCTAAATATCAGTTCACACGGTACCACCCATGGAACAATCGGATGTACCCGTGGTGGAAAGATGAGGACCATAAGTTCAAGAACGCGTGGACTGGTGAGGCTCACTGATCTACCAAACAGACTTCTTACTGCCGGTTTTACTAAAATGAGTCAAACTGTGTTTTGTTCTTAATCCTTTCCAGGTGGTGAAGTAACTTTTGATTTGAATAATGATTCACCCACCTTGACCGGAGCCAGAGCAACATTCAGTATTCAACTGAACTTCCCCAAAAACCAAACCCTGCTCCCTGACGGACAGGTAGTCTGGGCACAAAACTGCACTGTTAATGGTAAGATAACTTTTCTAATAGTACCAGTTACTCCGTACTACAGGTCAGTTTGCAGGATAGTAAGTAAACAGTTACATTTAAATTTAATGATGATGGTTTGAGGGCAAAAAATCTTTTATTTGACACATTTGACTAGTCAAAGAAATCAGAATGAGATTTTTAACAGAAACTACTTACCCCAGTACAGGACGGATCAGCAGTGAGAGTACAGATACTACTTTGTCCACAAGGGGGCACCAAAATTGACACAAACACAGAGTTCCTTGCAAGAGCTTTAATGGTCACATATAATCAACAATTAATTCTTCTTTCCACCTTTTACCAGTATATTTAGGAACAGCCAGATCTTTGTTATTACCTCTAACTTTGCTGTTGTGTTAACAGGGAAAAATTATCACAAAAATGAGCCTGTGTACCCTGACATCGACCATGCCCATGACTGGAATGGAGTTTTCCCAAATGGCGCACCGTTTCATAAGGACAAGGGCAAGGACAAGGACAAGAAGAACCGCTACGTTTATGTGTGGAAAGCATGGGGTAAATCTAATTAACTGAATAATTATTAGTCTGTTTTAGTATTTAAGAATCCTGCTGTGGTAACAGTGGGTTTTATCTGGTCTAATTATGGTTTTAATCTTTTAAAGATTCCATTCAAGTCTAGCATGTTTTACAGCATAGTTTAGAAATTGTAATTTAAAACTACTACAACCTCAATTCCAGAAAAGCTGGATGGTTTGGCTCTTCACTGAAAACTGCAACTGAGGCCGACAAGTTTTACTGTTTTCTGAAAATATATACTTAATTTGAATTTGATGCCAGCAACAGACATTTAAAAAAGCTGAGCCAGGGGCATGTTTGCTTTTGTATTTAACAATTCTGTAATCATTAGGAAACTGAAGAAATTGGTTTCTGGAGTTTTGATAGTAAGATGTTGTCCTTCTCTTTCAGCAGCTTAAAAGTTCAGGTCTCCTTAAATGTTTTCACTGGGGTGAAAAGAAGGCAAGTTTGGCACTCAGGCTTTAAGGGACAGTGCTGTAGTAATGTTTGCAAAAAAATATGGTTTGCCATTTTCTTGCTATGATATCCTACCTGTAAAAGGCAATGAACGGCATATACGTAGTTGTTTCAAAACCTGTACACTGTTCAGTGTTATTGGATAAATGGGGTCTTCCTAGATGTGTGAGCTACCCACTGCCATGGAAATCCCCATACCATCAGAGATGCTGGTATCTGAACAGTGCACTGATATTAGACCTGGAGGCCCTTATAGTGAAGGATGCATCAATCATGATTTCTAGGTCAGATTTTGACCCATCAGGCTGCAGGAGTAATTTCCTCTTGACCTTCGTCTGTCTCCAAAGGGGTTAAAAGAGTTGACTACATTTCTGAATCATGTATGTGTATGGTTTCATCTTTGCAGGCAGTGGTTTAACCTGCATTTGTAGATGCAGTGACAAACTATGTTCACAGAGTACGACCTTTCGATGTGAGTTAAGGCCCATGCAGTGATTTCCACTACAGAGTCATGTCTGTTTTTAGTGAAGTACTGCCAGAGCGCCGGCAGATCAGAGCCTTACAGTAGTGGTTTTTAGCTTTGTTCTGCTTGTACAGTGATTTCTCCAGATTTTCTTATCAAAGTATTCAGTACTAAAAAGATTTTTTTAAATGTTGCATATTAGTTGTTTCTTCAATCTTCTACTTTCAGTATTTTATTTCAACATTTCATATGTTGTCTTTGTACTTTTTACTATTGAAACAGGGTTTGAAAGAATTGCAAACCATCAAAGCAATTTTTCATCTACATTTTAAAAAACCATACCTACATTTTGGGAATTAGGGCTGCATATTTCATCAGTGTCTGTCCAGTTAAACACGTTTTTAAAATTCCCATTGAAATAACACCTGATATACTATTTAGGTGATACCTAGAGATGTACTTGTATAGTATGGCCACTCTAAATGAGCCGATTGTTGCTTTATTCTAGGGCGCTATTGGCAGGTTGCAGATGGACCATCTTCCTCCCTCGTTGTCAACACCCGTGACACTCCCCTTGGCTCCTACAACATGGAGGTTGTGATCTATCACTGCCGTAGCAAAGACAAGTTCATCCCTCTCGGCTATGCCTCAACTGTCTTCACAATCACAGGTGACTCATCAGAAAATATCCGGCTGAAGAATGTTAAAATATTCAATTAAAAGCCTTCATTTCTTCAGGTTTACAGAGTCATAGTTAAAACATGTCTGCCTCAGGCTACAACTTCTACAGACCTGAAAAAATCAAGGCTCTTAACTGAATAGCTCTAAGAATTCTGGATCTTTGGAAGGAGTTCATACCTGGATCAGCACACTGAAGGACACCAGAAAGACACTTTTTTCCTCCATCTTTCCCCACCCCTGCAGCACTCACGCTTCTGCTTTTTTGATTAAAGCTCTGACCCAACTCAAACAAAATTCCTCCATGGTGTTTGTATTTGACAACCCTCAATTTCTAATTCCTACATCTTTTACTTCTTCTTCAGACCAAGTTCCCTTCACCATGTCACTCAACCAAGTCAATGATGTAAACCAGGAGGACAAGAGCTTCATCCAAAAGCGAGCAATCGCGTTCAATGTCAAGATCCACGATCCAAGCCAGTATCTTGACAGCGCTGACATCAGCTTCAGCTGGGACTTTGGTGACAGCAGTGGTACCCTAATCTCCAGAGAGCTCACAGTCACACACACATACCTCGACATTGGGACGTTCAAACCTCAGGTGGTCCTGATGGCCTCTATCCCCCAAACCTGTGGGAGTCCAACAGCTGGTGAGTCTTCAACTCATCATATTTTTAAAAGTCCTGAAGGAATTCAAATACCTTTAGCAGACTTAGGAAATACTGTTTACTCAGTTGTTTTTTAACTTACCTTTCAGTCGCTCCTATGGTTGCCTCTGAAGCTTCAGAAGTTGTGATAGCACCTACTGCTGCATCCATCCCAACTGCAGCAGCTGAGGGAGGAGATGACATAGCTCAGGACATCTCTGTTTCTGATGCTCCTCAACTTGCTGCCTCTTTGGAGCCACCTGTAGCAGGCCAAGACACAGAAGATGCAGGTGCTTCAGTTGCTCCTGCTGTCAATGCAGCTGTTGATCCAGAAGTGCAAGATCCTGCCAACACTGTTGCCCCTGCTGCAGGAGAAGATGTTGCAGCCATTGTTACAGCAGCGGGTGAAGTAGTCGAGGTTGCTACTGCTGCTCCAGTTGAACCTGCTGTGGTTACAGGTACAGCTGAGGACATTGCTCTGGCGATTACCGATACTCCTGTTGCCCCTGTTGCAGGGGAAGAAGATGGTGCCATTGACCCTGCTGCCACTGTCACTGTTGCTCCTGTTGCAGGGGAAGACGTGGATGCTGCCGAGGTTGATGCAATTGCCACTGTTGCAGCAGTAGTGGTAGCTACAGAACAAGGAGCTAATGTTGCTGCAACTGTTGCGCCTGAAACCACTGATGTTGATGCTGCAGAGGTTGTCCAAGATGAAACAGATGCCACAGTGGATGAAATAATTGTCACAGTTGTCACTGAGACTCCAGCTGTAGTAGAGGCGGCAGCAGCTGATGGAGAGGCTGAAGCAGCAGCTACTGAGAATGCAGTTGCAGCTACAGCAGCAGCTACTGCAGGTACATAATTAATCTACATTTAAGTATTTATCAGTCAACATAACAATACAAAAATGTAGCCGTAGTTACATAGATGCCATTAAAAAAACTTCTCTTGTTTTTAATTCCAATACCTGTTGACGCAGATCCAGCACAGGTTGCCCTCGTTGTGGCAAAGAGAGAAGTATCAGAGCTGACAGCTGACTGCAACATCTACCGTTATGGCTCCATCAGCACCTCTTTAGATGTTATCCGTGAGTCATTAAAGTTTCAGTAATAATCCTAATAATGGAATTTTGGGCTTGAAGTTTGTAATTTATGTAATATCATTTACATTTAAGTCTCTGCCACTTTTTATTTACAGAGGCGATTGAAAGTGTAGAGATTATACAGATGTCTGGTGTTTTGTCTCTGGCGACTGAGTTGGATCAGAATGCTGTGGACGTCACTGTCATCTGTCAGGGAAGGTGAGAACTGACTCCATTTCATTACACAACACTGTAGAGTTCAGTCAGATTTTCATATAGTAATTCATTTAAATTCATTTAAAACAGTCTAAGATCAAAAATTCAAAGGAAGTCAAAGGAAAAATATATTACACACCACCAACCAACAAGTGACAGCAGAGCGATATGTGCTAATAAATGAGAAATAAGCTACAATAAGTACCTTACCCATAATATAACCAGCTGTTTATATTTTGATCACCAACCACAAACACAAATACTTGTCATACAGTATCATAGTTATCTAAGTATTTTGAATTTTTGTTTTGGCATCCCCCGGAATAAAAGTTGCACCAGTTGCTATTAGCAAACAGACAGAGGTCAGGAGGTTCGGTTACTGCTCTTCACTTAAACAGTAGCTGTGCATTGATTCTGACCTGTTGATGTAATTTATGACTAATACAACAACTGTTCTCTGCATTTTTATTACCCTTCCTTCAGTCTGCCAAGAGAGGTGTGCACAGTTATTTCAGATGCTGACTGTGTAACACCGATGGAAACAGTATGCAGTGAAGCCAGACCCTCCCCAGACTGTCAACTGATCCTTCGTTCTTTCTTCAATGACACTGGAGTATTTTGCATCAATGTCTCTTTGACTAATGATGTCAGTTTTGCTGAAGCAAGTGCCAGAGTCAGTGTATCACTAGGTGGGTATAAGACAGGTGTATAAATGCCACTGCAGTTCTCAATCAATTGTTTTGTCTCTCATTAACAATGTGCTTATATTGCAGCCTCCACAGGTTCCCCGGTTGGGACTGCAGTCACAGTCCTGGGTGTGATGGTTCTAGCGTGTGTGGTCTGTGGTTTGGCTTTGATGTACAGGTGGGGTCTTAATGTATGAACTTATTCAATTTGAGGCCAAAATTACAGGAAACTATGTTCCTCTAAAGGCTTTAATAAGGGGGTTCGAATTGGACCTCATATTATTGTGAGTCTTTTCTCATGAGTTTTTCTCATGTGCAGGAAAAGTACAAGTGATATCAGTTTGGCTCAGTTAAAAGCATATTTCTGTAGGATGTTTAAAACATTATTACCACAGTATATAATTTACCCAAACACAAGAACTAGAAAGAGTAGGGGTCCAGGTATTGATCCCTGTGTGATGCCCAAATATATAACCTCCTGATCAGAGTCTGACCAATAATGCTGTGAGTTAATACTAGCTTGTTGCAATTACACAGCAAATATGATGATGCACAGCAGGTAAGAGTAATCATGTTAACAATTTAAATAAGAGGTGTTAGCATGTTTGCAATCACTTTTTAAACCAAGAAGGTAAGGGCTACAATGCTTTCCTGTTTGCAGCTTCTAGGTCAAAAACCAAATGCACCAAAATAGGAAAAACCATCCATAACTTTAAGAGAAAACTACATGATTTCACAAGACAAAAAGTTGTTGCTTGTCCACGTGAGACCATAAATGATGAGATAGTTTAACATTGACCAAAGTGATGAACTGGTCATTAAATCAAGAACTTCTCCTATTTCTTTACCATATCAGGAGACAAACACAGGACTGTCAGCAAAAAGGCTACAAAATGCAAAATAAAGTTGTGTAGCAGAGCCTTATGTTACCTAATGTAATGTAACATCACAAAATGAACCATAATTTGATGTCACAGAATTTTACGCATCACAAAATGTTTTGTAATGTAATTTAATTGCCGTAGTGACGTAATGACTTGCTGTAGCATAATGTAATGTACCCTTACTACTTGCACCATACTGCTGTCACAAAACATTTTTTATTTTGTTTCAGGTCAGCATATTTGCTATGACTAAATTTATCTTTCTTTCCTTTCCCAAATGTTTTCAAACAGGCGATTTAAGCAGTACCAGCCGCTCAGAGAGGATAGTCCTTACAACAGTGGAGGCAGCTCAGGGGTAACATCAGTGCCGATGTTGTTGTGGAACTTGTTGAGCCGACAGTCAGCGGGGGAGAGTCGTCCATTGCTTCATGGGAGGATTGTCTAAATATCATCACCAGCTTGTGCATTCAACATCCCCTAAAATATCAGCTTTAACAATCCATGCTGTCTCTGTAATGTTATTGTTACTCTCTGTTAATATGTGACCTCAGAGCCGTTTAGGTGAACCTAGCTAAATGCCCCAACAACTTTTGCAACATGTGTTGCAAATGGAAAGGAGTCATGTGTAGTAAAAAGACTAATAATTGAAATGTTTGCAGAGGAACGTAATATTTATTTTGACCAACAGTATTTTCACTAATTGGCACTGATAGTCGGCAGAAGCCATAAGTTAGTATCGTACTTGTGGCAAAGTTATATTAACCCTTTAGAAAATCAATGTTGACACTTTCTTTACATTGTATATTAATCACTCACATGATACAACTTTGTTATGTTTGCAACCCTGACATTAATAAAATGAAACTCTATAAAAATCATGTTTGTCTTACTTTCTTTTACTTTTTTGTTTGCCTTTCATGAGCTTTATCACTTGTACACAATTCACAGAAACTGATTGCTGTGCTGCAGACAACAGTATAGGAGCTTAATGTGAGCTTGGATTTTTAGGTTTTCACTTCAAAATCACTTGACTTGAGAGAGCCCTTGCAGCTTCAAATATTCAATCAAATATTTCTCTTTTAACTTTTGACTTAAATCTTTATTTCAGTAAGACCTCATCAGTTAGTAACTGATTTATCATTATGGTCAAATTAAGAACTAATAATTAAAGCTGTGAAAAGGTTTTCACTCTAGCTCTTAAAACTTTGGCCAGAAAACAAGGCCTGTTGCAGATGACTGCGGCAAACCAAGGCTGAAAGATATAGACAGTTCTATCATGGGCAATAAACACAGCCTCTTGTAAGCACTAAACAAAGATATATTAAAGAGTCAGCATACATATAGAAACACTGCAGCTGTGTGCTAAAAAATTATGGCCATCACATTCTGGTCTCTGCTCAATTTCAGTGATTTATCAGGATGTCACAGGGTGCTTTAATGCACAGAGCCTACAGAGCCGCAGACACTTACATGTACATCATATGACCCACTGCAGTGCAGGAAAAACGGCTGACGTCACTGCAGCAAAATGTTTAATGGAAGAAGCTATGGCTTAGCCGACACAGCAGAAACAGAGATGTGGAGTGATAGGAAGTGAAGGAGAAGACAGGACAACATTGTTAGCATTTTTCAAAAGGAGGTGAAGTTCAAAGTCAAAATTGTTGTTTTATGATGCGGGTTGATTTTCTTGAGTGTGTTTTTACTGTCCTGTTAAAGAGGAATGCAGGCCTCTGGGCTTTAAAGTGAGAAATAAAACTGTTTGATATACGCACATCTTAGCAAAAGTTTTTAAAGACAGCAAAATTAAAATAGTATTTGTTTAACCCCCGCATGGTCCCCTCCATTGTGTCTGTCTTTAATTACTTACTTAAATATTCAAATGAATTTCTCATTGACAGTCTGCTGTACACTGCAGTGCTCCATTACAGTAATTACCAAACTCTGCTGTAAATCAAGCTGTGCTGTTAACATGTCTTTGAGCCACATGTACTAAGTGTTGTTCCTCCAGCCCTGTTCGCTCCAGACCTGCAATGCAGCCAAGTCCAACCCCAGCTCTGCAGGAAAGTCATTTAACACGAGTGATCTCTATCTCAGACCTGACAGTGACCGGGCCTGCAGCATTTTACAGGATGCAGTATTCTCACTACTGGTCCAAGCAAAGCAAAACAGCATGACTGGATTTTATCTGTTAACCAGGTCAGACTTATACACCTCACTGAGTATTTACTGAACAGAGCGCCTGAGGGAACACAATCAGAACAGCTCCACAGCTCAGATTATTTCAGATGACGCTCGTTGCTTACCACTCCCTAGCAACTGATCTGAAGTAGGATGTTACTTCCTTCATCTGTCCTCATCATTGTAAAATCATGACAGCAATTGATAAGACTCTCTGCAGGCCAGAATCAGCATACACAGCTCATCATGTGCATTGGAAAAAAATGCTGCTGCACACCACATAGGGACACGTTTGTCTAAACAGGACCTGAAACCTGTTGCCAAACAGCCTGCTGGTGCTGAGATACAGCCAGTTACCTTAAATCCAACACTTAGACACTTTTTGAGTGACTACTTTTTGCATTGTTCACAAAGCAACCTCTGTCTTTGACCAAAGACTGTCCTGAAGATACACCTTCCCCAACACTCTACCTTTCTTTTTGGTGTTAAGCAGGTGACACTTGAGCCTCATTCTGTGAATTAAAAAAAAAAGTCAAATTAACTAGTTTCACTCACACTCTCTAACCTCCACAAATTTCCAAACAGATTGATTTTACCAAGATGTAATTAACTATTAACTATTTTTATGAGAAAACCTTTAAACTGTGTATGCTTCAAGACCTCCAAAAAACTGTTTTTGAACATGTTAATGTGCTGACATTTATACTTAAGCAGAGTGTCGACATCAAAACCAAAAGAAGTCTGATAAATTTATGGTCAGTTTGTTCAAAACTGACCATAAATAGAAAACATGAAAATGTCACAGACTGACATCGACATAGCAGAAAAACTCAGTAAAATGCGGCACAGATTTAGATGGTCCTGTTCATTCGGTCTGTTTTTACCAACAGTGGAAATGACTGGTTAAATGTGAGACTTATTATCTTGGCTTGCTCGAATAAAGGCAGCTATAGAGTTTACCATAACTTTGGACATTACTCATACTGTGACTGTAACTGACTATTTCAACAGAAGAAATATAGTCATTTTGACATTAATAATATGGCGTTCAAACCAATATGGTATACAATACAAGGAAATGTACAATATTTAATGCCCTAAAGCTTCTGTGAGGAACTTTTTGTTGGTGTTGATTTTAGCTCCTTCTTGACAAATTACTAACTCTCATCCCTTTGCTTTTTCACTCGCTTTAAATCTCTGCCACGAAATGTAGTTGTTTTAGATCATGTACATGTATGTGTATGCAATTTAATCTTTTTTGTGTTATCTCATGTGGAGGAAACTATATGTACCGCATTAGATAATATATGAAAAGCAGGTTGTTATAGCAGACCGTTGCATCGGGAATCAGGTCTCAGCCTTGAGGGGTGGAAAGATTTCTCCACAAATTTAATTTAAAGAATATGCCATAATAATACTGCTGAGAATTTCAAAACTGTTGTCTTAACATGTGGAAAAAAATCAAACATAATTGGACACATATGTGGTGTTATGCTTAATTGTTCACTATTGATTTTCTGGTGTGGAAGAGAGTTGGGTTTTAACCATTAAAAATGACCATGTGAGATCCTGACATTGAAGAATTATGAACTACTGCTGTGAATGACAGTAAATAAAAGCTGGAGATGTTGCTGTGTGAGCAGCAGAGTTCTGGACAGTTCCCAGAGCTGACTGCTCACAATTTTTGTCATATTTCTCACCAAATGTCAGACTCATAACATGAACCTCGCATGCAGACATGGATTAACTTCCTTCCTGCTAAAAATGCCTTTTAGAACAATGAGTTTGATCTCTATTAACCTGCAAGAGAGAGATATTTAAATGTCTGTTGTAATTTGAAACATGACACACGTGCAGGAGTTCAATCCATGGAAATGGGAGGAGATATTCTAGCCTGATAGTGTTGAAGAAGCCTTTATGGATTTTCCTCTCTCCCAGGGGAATCCTCCGAGAACCATAACGGTCAATCACTAATGGTCACATCTGGATGATGGCTAGTATTACAGATACGCTACACTTCAGAATCGCTGAACTGTATACTTGTGCATGTGTGAGTGTTTATGTGTGTCTAATTCACATGCACATTGCTAAATATAGTGTTGAAATGCAGATATAATCCTTGCACTGATAAGAAACAGAAGCATGAGGGCAGGTTGAGTCAAGTCTGGAGAGAGAATAGAAAGTGAGATGTGCCTGGAGTGGAGGGAGAGCGAGACAGAGAGGGGGGGATGGAGAGGAGAGGGTAACTGACCATAAAGCAGGCTGATTAGATTACAGAGCTAAGACCAACATGGGCCATTTATTACACAGGGAGCCAGGCCTCCGCAGTAGAAGCACTGCAGACATACATGGAGGAAACCAAGTGTGTTTGTGAATGAGAAAAAACGAAACAAAAAAACATTACATGAGGATCCAGATGTTGCATTAGGAAGATAAAGCCCCAAGTTAAATATGAGTGAAAAAGTGCAGAGGACAGATTGGAATAAAAGCTCTTTGATTTAAGACGGTCTTTGTGCCCTTTTAAGAGAAAAAAACCTGACAGAGCAATTTAAATCTAACAGTGTGATTCCCATAACACAGCATGAAAAGCACAAAACAGCATGATAAAAGGTACCCAGCAACACAGATGACACAGAGGAAGGAAAGTGCCACACCCATGAGCGACAGAGCATGCTCAGAATTACGTCAACTTTATGTAAAACTGGTAGCTTCACTGCAGACCACAATTAAAACCTCTACAGGCACACACAAACATGCACCCACACGCACACTCTCTGCAGGAAGGTATGATGGTGCTGTCCTGCAGAGGACAGCCAACTATTATTACATTGTAACCAAACATTTAAAAGGTAAAGTGCATTACTGGCCACCGAGAAAAGAAGAAATATGCTTACAGGTGCTAGATGTTGCTGCATGCTTCCCATGTTGTGTAAGTTAAGCCTTTATTTGGTTTAGCAAAACAAAGTTCTATATTGTCATATTATAAATGTACAAGAAAACTTGTAGTCCTTGAAACTTGTCGTTAAGCGTAAGGTTCACAAATCCATTAGAAAAAATAAACTACTTTCTAGTGCAGGATTGTGGTTTTTAAATCATCACCAGGGGGGAAATTTCTGTACTGTTTTGCTTCATCCGCTATTTAGATGGTTGTTTTTATAATAATAAAAGTGTTTATTGAAAATGACCAAACTCCATAAAGTTCATCCCTTGACAGTTTGTTTATTGAGGTAAGTCATTGCATTTAGACTTTGTCATTGGAATAAAGATTCAATATGATTCAACTAAACACCGATCACTCACTAGAACTATTTCCAAAGTTATTCAACCACTGGCTCCAAGAGGGGATAACGGTATCTTATGTATTTCAAAGAGATAGAATAACTGCGGAGTCATGGTTCTGTCCCAGACGCCCAGAATATCAATAAAGTCTTCCATTACTGTAAAAGGAGAGAGACAGAGGAGAGAGGGAAGGAGAGAGAGAAAAAAAGAATTGATTCAATGTGTTCATGTTATTCAATTAAGGCTACAATTTCACACAGTCTCTTTTTGGAAAGGTATAATATGATCTTTGAGACATAGAACTTACACAGTTAGACTCAGATAATGTGGAGGAAATCATAGTCTGAGAGAAATCATGCAGAGGAATCAAACTAATAATGAACAGCAGACCCTGACTATGCAACTACAAACTAGTGCAAAGAGTCAGCGGGTGCAAGATTCAGAGGGATGGGCATGAGGAGACATCTTTAGTAATCATAGCAGCAGAGTGGAAGCGTGTCTGGCCTCATGCCAAGTGCTCTGGTAAAAAGGGTGGAGCTGTCGAGACACAGAAGAAGACAGGGCTGGGAGAGAGGCAGGGTCTTTCTGTGAAGGGTAGGGAGTGGCCAGAGCTTGTATGCTGATGAGTGATGGAGAAAGGCAGGGTACATGTGGGTGGGGTGATGAGGAGGAGAAGGAGGAGGGGGAGGCGTGAGGGTGGTGGGACAGCATACTTAGAGCATAAATACCACTCGCACTCTCCAGTCGGATGTCCTGTTGCCTCACGAGCATCCTCAGCCTCCAGCTCTACATCTTTTCCTTGAGAGAACAGAAAAAGGCCAGCCATGAGCTCTTCGGTCCATACCTCCACTTCCTACAGGCGCACCTTTGGGAGTCCCCACCCCATCGCCATGTCCTCCTACTCTCCTGTGTCCTCTCGTATGCCTGTTTCTTCAGGGCGCTACATGCGTTCGATGTCCCCTGCGGTATCCCGCTCCACCACCTACCACCAACAGCGCTCCCGCCCAGGCGCCCAGCCCCCTCGCCTTACCTACGACAAGGTGGACTTCACCCTGGCTGAAGCCATCAACCAGGAGTTCCTCACCACCCGCAGCAATGAGAAGGCCGAACTGCAGGAGCTCAACGACCGCTTCGCCAGCTTCATCGAGAAGGTGCGCTACCTGGAGCAGCAGAACGGCACTCTGCAGCAGGAGCTCAATCAGTTCAAGGGCCAGCAGCAACAGGGACACCCCAACCGTGCCACCGAGCTTTTCCAGGAGGAGCTGAGGGAGATGAGGCGCCAGATGGATGACATCGGGAAGGAGAGGGACCAGTACCTGCTGGAGAGGGACAACCTGGCCGAGGACCTCACCATGGTCAAGCAGAGGTATCAACTCAAAGAAAAGTTTGATGAACAGATGCAAAAACAAATAAGTGATGGAGATGTGTAGATAGTTTGATTTACAGGTAGGCGGGTTAGAAAAGCAGACAGGAGAAAGTTTACAAAACTGTCTCAACAACAGCTGTCTTTTCTTTTAGCGACATTATTTTTGTGATTCAGGCCTGTGTCAGATTTGTAGCCATGTGGCTGATGTGTGACCATAATGATGGACTGTAAAGTGTCCACTTTAATCACAGTGGAGCTCAGTGAGTCCCTTGGGTATTCATCAAATGAGTTCAGAGTTGATACTGATGTAGGGCGTGGCACTTTAGCAGACTGGACACCACAAAGCAGCAGCATGATGCATGACATTGCATTGCATCTTTCACATGACTGTATTGATTTCTGACTGTGTATGTAGATTAAATGTCTTGTACACTTGCAGGACAAGTCATCGAAGAAAGAGGAGAGCGAAAAACCCACAGAAACTAAAACACTTGATGCAAATTACATTTTGAAGAGTAATGAAGAATGGTTCCTCTAAATTAACATAAATTATTAGATTTTTGGAGACATGCACTCACGCCGGGGGAAGAGAAATGAAAGGTTGACCAGCTAAAGGGTGGGGCTAGCTGGAGAGCAAGGGAGGGGAGAGAAAGGGAGAGAGGCTGGGTATCAGGCATGGAGAAAATAGCAGCAGGAAAAATCAATGTGACTCAGTGACTCCATTAGGTTTGTTTGCAGTGTCCCTTCATGCTGATGGGAGGATGCCAAAGACCCCATTAGGACAAAAAGACCCCTGTAACACAGCATGAATTAAAGATGAGGTCCAAGGACCCACTTTTCTTCTTCCCCCAGTAATCCACTTAATTTCCAGTTTGGACATGACTTGTGTCTGATACCACAGATCGTACCAAAACATTCAGACATGGACCGACACAAACGTCTCATCAGTCACAATGTCTGCAGAGAACGAGGACACTCAGATTTAACTTTCTGATATGATTTGTGATGAGTCATTACAATGACTCCTCAATTGTAACTGAGTTTGAAGGAGGTTTATGACATTTCCAATTTACTAATGCCACTCCCATGATCAGTTCTTTTAAGAGAAGTGTTTCTTTAACCTTGTAATGTGTGCAGATGACCTAGTTACTCTGAAGGGAAAACACGTCAGATGTAAGGAGCAGCTGTTGAACCCACTGAGTGCACCTCCCAACCCTTTTTAGAAAGACAGTGAATTAACTAATTGATCCAGAAAGCTTTTGGCCAGCTGATGCCCTGCTGCAACCCCTGACAACAAAAGAGTATTCTTAACTAAATTCATTGTTTCCCCTGCCCTCCCCAATTTGTAGAAACAGGAAAGGCCTGAAGAGAATCTGTACAGTGTCTGATGTATTTTGTCCGTTTTCTTGTTATCAAGGCTGGAGGACGAAGTCCAGAAGAGGGTTGATGCTGAGAATAACCTAACTGCCTTCCGCAAGGTAAAACAGAAAACAGCTCAAAAACAACTGTAATACCAGCAAAATGGTGTTGTAGTAACATGACATGGCAAGTTTCAAAACATCTAGATCTACGGGTAAAAATACATTTTTTAAACAATGAAATGATTCTTATTTATTGTTAGTTTATTTCTACACTTATATATTGTTTGGAAATGTCTTTCTTTGCATTAAAGGGAATTTTTACTACATATTTTCAGTCTGTGAACACATGTAACTCACAAAAACCAGACAGTCGTGATTTTCCTTTATTTCACATCTAAAATCAGTGATACTTGTGTGATATTTTAAAGTAGAAATGAGGTCTTTCAGCAAAAGATGACATATTTCAAATATAAATTATGTCTGTTTAATATAAAATTAGGATGTGGATGATGCTACGCTGTCTCGCCTGGAGCTGGAGAGAAAGATAGAGTCTCTGATGGATGAGATTGAATTCCTTAAGAAGCTCCATGATGAAGTAAGTGGTATTTCCCCATCTTCTCCTTTTTATTGTGCTTGTATAACAGTTTTTTTTTTTTTTTTTTTTTTGTTTTTCTGGTAAGAGACTTCTATTACCTTTTGTTTTCTGGAGACCTGCAATAGCAACATCAAGTGCAGCCTTCAGGTATGAAAAATGAAGCCAATGCAGAGGGCAACAAACTGCAGTTCTTCAAGCAGCCACTTGAGGCAAGCTTCTTAAACGAGTCATTCCCAATAAAGGCACATATTTCGTGGACTAACTTTACTCAGAACTAAACATGTTGATGGCCTGGTACCAATTCAACAATCTTCTCTACTGATTCCCTCTTTTTTTTTTTGCTAACTGTCACCTTATAAGATAAAACTGTTTCAATTACTTCAAGGCTTAAAGTCACTTGAAGGGCATTGCTCCTTTTCCCCATAAAGACAAAGTGGTTTTTTGAGATAAGAGGCGTGAATTTATTTGTAGCTAGCAAGCATAAAGTCAGCTCTGTTCTGCACTCCTGGTGTGCAACTTTCACTATTAGAAATAGAACTACATCATATGAGATATTTAAACTTTTCTAAATACCACCTAATTAATTAGCCAACTAGATTTGATGATATGATCTTTTCAAACCCTGCACTTTCCTCCAGCAACTACCTTTTTTTTTTCAAGATTTTGGCCACTGTTCTCCTGAAACCAATGTCAGCCAAAATGCATAACATCAGGAAAAACTTTTTGTAAAAACTTTTGGGAGACATTGTTTTGTTCATTATTTCAATAGTCTGACTCACACTCTAATTTTGCATGCACATGCAACCTAAAGCAGCTGACTCTTAAGAATCCATTAAAAACTGTTTTTTTTAACTCATAGTATAATTTTGCACTGACATCATCCCAGTAAATGATTTACAAAAAACCTCTTCAAATATTCTCTGTAATTTTGTGTGCCAAGATTAACAAACTGCGAATTATGTTTTTCATATTTTATTGAGAGTTAACGCTAAAAAGCTGTCTGTTAGGGTACATTTTGAAACTCTAAAAAATTTGGTTACACTTCATTTTTGCCTATGTGATGTAAAAAATCTGCACTAGCAAGTATGGATATTAATGCTTGTGACAAATACTTCTCCAAACTCTTGTCCTTATTGCCTAGAGTATTGAACAAGAGTGTCATCTGCATATAGGTTAAATGAAATGTACCAATCTCAGTGCAGAAAGGCGAAAGGGTTCAAAACTGAACCCTGCAGGATTCTGATGGTTAGATGCAAGGAGCTGAATAAGCTCTTCACACCTTTTTAATATTTCTACACAGTGGAATCATTAAATTATTAAAAATGTTGGTAACTGTAGTGCATTTCTGACCATTTACTTGAATACTGGTGTTATCAGGAAATCCAGGATGTCCAAGTAAGCGTCCAAACCCAGCAACTGAAAATGGAGGTAGACAGCAGTGCCAGGCCCGACCTCACTGGTGCTCTGCGGGATATCAGGGCCCAGTATGAGAACATCGCCATGAAGAACATGCAGGAATCTGAGGACTGGTACAAGTCCAAGGTCAGTAGAAAAACACACAGAATCCCACATTGACACAAACCAGTTTTAATTGTGTTGTGCTTTGTCTTTTTAATTCTTCAGTTTGCTGACTTGACCGAGTCTGCAAAGAAAAACACTGATGCTCTGAGGCAGGCCAAGCAGGATGCCAATGAGTCCAGGAGGCAGATTCAGTCTCTTAACTGTGAAATTGATGCTCTGAAGAACACTGTGAGGCTAAATACCATTTTTCAAAACACTGACCTCAACTAAGAATCTGTCATTGTACATGCAACATCTTCTCAATGCACTTTGTGTACCACTTTGTCCTCAGAACGAGGCTCTGATGAGGCAGATGCGTGAAATGGAAGACCAGTTTGGCAATGAGATCACCAACTACCAGGACAACGTTGGCAGGCTGGAAGAGGAGATCCGCCACCTGAAGGATGAGATGGCTCGCCACCTGCGCGAGTACCAGGACCTCCTTAATGTCAAAATGGCTCTGGACATTGAGATTGCTACTTACCGTAAACTACTGGAGGGAGAGGAGAGCAGGTAAGGGAAAACATAGTGTCTCTTGCTCAAAATAAAATGTATTTGTTTCAAAATTTTGGTAAGTTTCTGGCTCAGTCTAATACATAATATGCAGTGTTTAAAACAATTTTCATCAATAACTCTAAGATTAAAGAACGTTAACATAAAATTGCATGATTACAATCATGGCTGTCATCTTTTGTCACCTGATTGAGGTTGCAAAAGACTGGTTTGCTTCCTGCAGGGTTTAGTCTTAAATTTATGTGCATGTCAGCCCTCAGAGTAATTGATGTAAATCTAACTTAACCATTCATCACAGATTAATAAATAACACCTAAATTTTGTGTCGATTGTTCAGGATTACTGTTCCCATCATGAATATTGGCATGAGCAACCACTTTGGTGACCGAGGTAGGTTTAGCTCTTTTCATTTAAGTTCAAATAGGACGAGCTTCTTGATCTGGACTGCATTTGTACCCTTTTGTTTGACCGTCTCAAGTTTTTATCGCTGATATTACTTTGTAAAAATACAAAACATACCTGGATAACATGACGGACCAGTTGATTTTTATTTTATATCAATCCATAGATCTAATGCTAGGAGTTTTTAATGAATGATGCTCAGTTTATTAATTTAGTCCATGTATGACCTACAACAGCAAACCTAATCAAAAGATTAAAAAATGAAGAAAAAGAAACAAAAAACCTCTAATACTTTAAAAATCGAACCACTATTTTGTGATGGTTTCTTAATTTAAAACTGTAAACTCTTACTTTTCAGACTACGAACCAACTTCTGATACCCAAGGCAAGAGGACTGTGGTGATAAAGACAGTAGAGACAAGAGATGGAGAGGTACAATGATTTACAGGAATGATGTATTTATTGTGGGAATGTGGGGGCTACATCAACTTAATATAGTGACCAAATTTATCTTTGTTTTTGTCAGGTGGTGAAGGAATCAAGGAGGGAGAAGGACAGGGAGTCTGCAAGAGCTGACAAGGACGACCACGACGAGTAGATAACAGCTGATCACAAAATGTGTGAGGGCAAGTGCCATTAGCAAAAAAATGTTAGCAAGAGGAAACAACGATAAACCCGACCGCAATTTTAACAGCCCTCATTCCCACTAGTTATGTGTTAAACTGTCCGGCAAAGATTTTTTTCAATCTTAAGAGCAATGTCAAAAGAATCCCTTTAGAGAGTGTCCCTCCGGTGCTATTCAAACTACTGAACTTTTGCTTAACACCTGTACCATGAATCATGTAGAGCTGAGCAAAACCACTTTGATAATATACCACTTGAGGCCTTGATTTACAGTGCAATGCCTTCAAATCCTTAGATAGGTACACCTTTGCAGAATATTACATTACAGGCTAATTTTGAAATAACTCAACACAGTTTTAGTAGTTTATGTCAAATATTTGACTTACTGACAAAATTTCAGACACTACCTTTTGGTCAAGATCCAGTAGAATACAGAAAGGAAACTAATTAACCTATCTACATTTGTTTTGAGCTTCGCTACTATCTCACTGTGCAAACCAACAAATTACCAAAGTCATTCTTAGATGTGACAAAAAGAAAATGTTGACTGAAAAAAAAGAAAGCTGCCAAGTGAATAGACTTGCTGAATGTGCTTTGCAATGCTGTGGGTATCTGGCACGATTGATGAATGCAAATGTGCGCAAAAATAAACTTCATTGGAGCAGATCTGTGTTGTTTGTCCAACTTTGTCGTGACTTTTCGAGAAATGATTTTTTAATCTATGCCAATTTATTTTTATTGTCTCCATTTGCTACAAAACCAGTCCAGAAAAAGTGGGAGAGGCCAGAGGGTATTCTTTCAATTGTTTAGCCAATACATCTGCTGGAAAACGCCTACTTTACTACTTTACTAGTACTACAGATTTCCCTAAAATGTCATATGCAGTAAGTAATATGCGAACAATCCAAGAGTCACAATATACCAAAAATACTCAGGTGACGTACTGATTCCGGAAATTTAACACTATGTGGAGAGACCATAGACTGTATAATAATAGTAATAATAATAATAATGCATCAAATTTTATATAGCACCTCATCAGAGACCCTTAAATGCTTTACATTGGATACCTTATTGATTCGCTCACACAGTCACACCTAGGTGGTGGTAATATACCTTAGTAGTCACAGCTGCCCTGGGGCAGACTGACAGAACCGTGGCTGCCAGTTCGCGCCTACGGCCTCTTTGACCACCACACAACACTCACATTCATACATCAATGGAGGACACACACTGGGAGATAGGTGGGTTAAGTGTCTTGCCCACATTGGATGGATAGGGATAGGGGGGGAATCGAACCGCCGACGGATATTAGACGACCGCTCTACCTTCTGAGCTACTATGGACAGCTTGGTTCTGCCCTCCGCCAGTATACGGATTTGAAGCCGAATTGCTCTCGGTATTTCTGCAGTTTTTCATGATTTCCTGAAACCAAAATTGCGCAGTTGCGTTGTATGCACTTCACCACTTGCAAAGTAGCATTGTACACATTTGGTGGGAGAGTTGCTGAGAGTTGCTGTGATGATGCTCGGCTCAAACAGCGTATCCCCCAGGTGAGCTATGCAATCTTTGTACGCCCATAGACTGTATCAAGTGTCAATCATAGAAAACATGAACCCCCCAATAACTTTCAAAAATGGAGCTGTACAGAAAAAAGAGGACTTGAGCACAAACCAGTCTTACAGTAACTACATGTCAACATTGCAAGCAGGAGGGAAAAAATGTATATTGTGTGTAATAAATTTTTAAAGTTTGTCCACAGCTCCATAAGGATGACTGACGGAGGCGGGATTTATGACCTATACTGCAGCCCGTCACCAGGGTGTGCTGTTTTCTGAGTGGCTCCACCCAGCGAGGAGGCAGATGCTGTCCATTCTTTATACAGTCTATGGGGGGAGACTGCTCAGACACACCTGGATTAATCAATTTGTCCTATAATGTAAGACAAGAAATAAAGGAGCTGCCTTAAATTCAGGAAGTAGTGGATCGGTGCATGGAGCCCATTGCATTTGACAGGAATCGGCAGTGGGCAGTTTCGAATACAGACATTGTCTTATCCTGCACATGTTTACCAACAATTAAATATACCGTGACACAGCTTTCAACAAGAATCATAATAATTAAAGGTTATTAGCTCTTCTTCTCCAGGCCGAATTTTGACTGTTACTGATCACTGTAATTACACCTCTGCCTATATACACTCACCGGCCACTTTATTAGGTACACCATGCTAGTAACGGGTTGGACCCCCTTTTGCCTTCAGAACTGCCTCAATTCTTCGTGGCATAGATTCAACAAGGTGCTGGAAGCATTCCTCAGAGAGCTTGGTCCATATTGACATGATGGCATCACACAGTTGCCGCAGATTTGTCGGCTGCACATCCATGATGCGAATCTCCCGCTCCACCACATCCCAAAGATGCTCTATTGGATTGAGATCTGGTGACTGTGGAGGCCATTTGAGTACAGTGAACTCATTGTCATGTTCAAGAAACCAGTCTGAGATGATTCCAGCTTTATGACATGGCGCATTATCCTGCTGAAAGTAGCCATCAGAAGTTGGGTACATTGTGGTCATAAAGGGATGGACATGGTCAGCAACAATACTCAGGTAGGCTGTGGCGTTGCAACGATGCTCAATTGGTACCAAGGGGCCCAAAGAGTGCCAAGAAAATATTCCCCACACCATGACACCACCACCACCAGCCTGAACCGTTGATACAAGGCAGGATGGATCCATGCTTTCATGTTGTTGACGCCAAATTCTGACCCTACCATCCGAATGTCGCAGCAGAAATCGAGACTCATCAGACCAGGCAACGTTTTTCCAATCTTCTATTGTCCAATTTCGATGAGCTTGTGCAAATTGTAGCCTCAGTTTCCTGTTCTTAGCTGAAAGGAGTGGCACCCGGCGTGGTCTTCTGCTGCTGTAGCCCATCTGCCTCAAAGTTCGATGTACTGTGCGTTCAGAGATGCTCTTCTGCCTACCTTGGTTGTAACGGGTGGTTATTTGAGTCACTGTTGCCTTTCTATCAGCTCAAACCAGTCTGGCCATTCTCCTCTGACCTCTGGCATCAACAAGGCATTTCCGCCCACAGAACTGCCGCTCACTGGATATTTTTTCTTTTTCGGACCATTCTCTGTAAACCCTAGAGATGGTTGTGCGTGAAAATCCAAGTAGATCAGCAGTTTCTGAAATACTCAGACCAGCCCTTCTGGCACTAACAACCATGCCACGTTCAAAGTCACTAAAATCACCTTTCTTCCCCATACTGATGCTCGGTTTGAACTGCAGGAGATTGTCTTGACCATGTCTACATGCCTAAATGCACTAAGTTGCCGCCATGTGATTGGCTGATTAGAAATTAAGTGTTAACGAGCAGTTGGACAGGTGTACCTAATAAAGTGGCCAGTGAGTGTATATCCTCAAGCAATGTGCTTTGGTCTCTCTTGACATGTCTTGATTAGTACTATCTTTTCAAACAAGCAGCTGTACTTTCCTGGAGCAGTTTAAAATTACTCACTTTGTGTCCTTGTTGCTTCTTTTCTTTGCTCACCACCGCTCCTTTGAGGATACACTTTTTTTCTGCCGTCTTCGTCCCCTGTATTTACGGCTAGTACAAATCCTGTAAAGCTCCGACCTTCATAATTCCCGCTCTCAGGCCTTCCTCAACTCAAACTCACTGTCTGATACGTCACTTCCTTCTGCCACCTGCCGTCCATTCAGAGTCCAGCTGTGCCAGCTCCTGCTCGTGTCTTTATGTATTTTACTTTATTTTATTTGTTTCTTTTTTCTGTTTTTTTTCTGCTCGTGTCTCCACCTGTGGGCGTGTGTTGCACTCTGCGTTTTCGTTTCTGCAAGCGACGCTCTTCGTGATCTTCTTTTGCCTGATTGCTTAAATTCTCAGGCAACAATATAGGTGGAGCTGCAAGTAAATTCCACAAAATTACGGTACAAACAACAATTCACCGCTAGCTTAGATCTTTAATTTATGGTTTTTGCACATCAAACCCAGCCATTTAATTTATTTTAGATTTCTTTACTTTTTTTGAGAAGGTTCGACTGAGCAGACGCTGCCTGAAACGCCAAACTCAGGGTAAAGTGTCTAATGTGACGACATACTACATCCGGTCTGAATCTCCGCTCGCTGTCTTGGCGCGAGACTTCAGACTGGTCGGAACTGTTTATGAGGGGAAAAAAGCTTAAAACCAACATCAAACCCATGGAAAACTCTTAAATTTACATACGACTCGTCACTGAGCCCGATACCTGCAGAATTAGCGTACCTACGGGTAAGTTAGCTCATTTTTTCCAATTTTTAAAACGACTTTAGAAGCTGTGCATGGTGAAGCTGTTGTGAACTGAAGCAAAATGTCTACTAGTTACATTATGAATACTTCACAAAACAACAATCAGCTCTGAATGAAATGTGTTTTTTTAATGCTTAAACTATTGTAAGTCGGTGTTCAATCAAACAAAACCAGAACAGAGTAGAGAATTTAAGGTCAGTCAATGGGATGTCTAACTCGGTGTTACAGTGTGTTTGAGCCTAAATTATTTTACGCCGGAATATCCCTTCAACATAGACTTCACATAAAGTTGTGCAGTGGTCCTCAACTGTCTGTCTTTCCACCACCTTAAGGCTGAACCTTCACCTATAAGCAGGACTATCTCACGATGAATTGTGAGCTTTTGGCAACATGCAGTGCTCTGGGCTATTTGGAGGGGGACACCTATCACAAGGAAGCTGATTGCTTAGGTGAGTGTTTAATGACACTATTACGTTTTTGTCTAATGATGAGTCAATGAGTCGCCTGCATTGCTATTATTCAACTTTAAACTGCTCTGTTCCTTTCTGTTACAGAAAGTGTGAAAGATTTAATCAGGTATTTACGCCATGAAGATGACAGCCGCGATGTCCGCCAGCAGCTGGGTGCTGCCCAGATTGTGCAAAATGACCTTCTACCCATCATCGTACAGCATGGACAAGACAAGGCTTTATTTGATGCCTGTATAAGGTATAAAACAAGTTAAATTTGCTGAACAAAAAGTGACTAAAGCTGCATTCCTAATTGCAAAATCATTTATATCTCAATATAGTAATTCGCAATTAACACATAGCAAAAATCTTAATGCAATGCTGTCAACTAGGAATTTATTTATTGTATACGGTCATTGTCTTCTAACATTAGCATGCACATCTTGTAGATGGAGACATGTTATAGCTATGCTTGTACTTCATTTTAATACACTGTGACAAATGAAGCTTCAGCTTACCTCAGATTTAGCGGTGATAAAGTGGTGATGAAGAAATTGCTTTTTGGATCTGGGAGTCATAAATCATAAGAAGAAATATTATTTTTTTACTGTATATATGTGCATATAAACACACCACATTTATATGTATTCATTTCCTGTTTTTTTTTTTTTTTTTTCATATTGATTTTTTTTTTCCAAATGTTGAAGTTGTAGAAGCAATATCAGTTTTCACCAATCTCTTGCTGCCCTAGTTTGGACAAATGGTCAGTATAGAAAAGGGATTCAAATCTGGTAATTTTTACAAAAACACAAATTTTCATAATACCCAATTGCAATACTGGTTTCAATCATATTATAATTCCACAGCTAATTGAAGAATATATACAAATGTGTTTTTTTTTCAGTGTTCTGTTGAATCTGTGTAGGATGGAGGAAAGACTTGTTACTCATACAGCCTTTTTTCTTTCAGGCTCATGGTCAACCTCACCCAGCCTGCCATGCTTTGCTTTGGGAAAGTCCCAGATGACCCCGTCTTTAGGCATCACTTTTTGCAAGTGACATCTCATTTACAAGCTTATAAAGAGGTACTGTGTTGTTAGTATGACTTCCTTTCTATTTCCTTAATTTTCTCTCACCTTCATTAGGAATTCTTTGTGTTTGTAATCATCTTTTGCTTTTCATTAAGAGCATTTTGGGTTTCTTGCTTTTGTTTATAGGCCTTTGCCAGTGAGAGGGTGTTTGGCATTTTGAGTGAAATATTATACAACATTTTACAACTGGTGAGTGTTAAACTGGTAATTCTAAATCATTTTAATTACCTGATCTGTTTCAGACATATCTGTAAAAATGAGTTTGATGTTTATGTGTCTCAGGACTGGGAGCAAAGGCAGGAGGAGGATAACCTGCTAATAGAAAGGATCCTGCTGTTGGTCAGGAATGTGCTTCATGTACCCGCTGATCCCTTGGAGGAAAAGGTCTATACGTCTTGATGATAAAATTATCAGTGTCAAATTTGTACTTAAGTAGACTCATTACACCGACAGCATTGTCCTTTGTGTTGTATGTCTCGTGTAGAAAGTGGACGATGATGCCAGCATCCATGATCGGTTGTTGTGGGCCATTCACATGAGTGGCTTTGATGACCTGGTCAAGTTTCTGGCCTCAGCTCAGAGTGAGCAGCAGTGGAGTATGCATGTGTTGGAGGTCATCTCTCTCATGTTCAGAGACCAGGTTAGTATGAGAAACCCCCTACAGGTAAACAAATCAATCTTCAGCAGATACCTGTCTGAACTTTGTTGTTTTCTATAAAGACACCTGAAGCTTTGGTGAGCGCAGGTCATGCTCGTTCAGCAGAGGAGAAGCAGAGAGACTCCCAGGAACTGGAGGCTTTGAGGCAGAGGGAGCATGCGGAGAAGCGTTCACGCACTTTACAGAGAGGGAACAGGTACAATCACGCTGTCTTCTTCCAGATCCAAATTGTATTTTCTGTCCATCTTCACATAAATATCTCAAAAAAAGAAGTTGGGGGAGAGTGCTTTTCAGACTGTAAAGGACTTAATTCATCTACTGAGAGTTTGTATGTCCTTAAATGACTTTTGTTCTTCATTTTAGACACTCGCGATTTGGAGGCTCCTTTGTTGTCCAAGGGCTCAAGGCGATTGGGAACAATGATGTGATTTATCACAGAAATCTTAATAATGTAAGTAGATAACTTCTGATAGCCTATTTTTGGAGCCAAGAAATAATAGAGGACTTGTTTTGGTGATTCTTAAAACTTTTAAAAATAAAAATCTCTTTTTCTTCTTTCCTTTTATTCCAGTTCAAAAATTTCTCTCCTGACGTGGGCAAAGCAGTAAGACGTGTACAAAAGAAGAATCGGAGAGCTCAGGAGTGTGAAGACAAACGCCGGTCAGCCTTAAATGTTCGACTCTTCCTGCGAGAGTTTTGTGTGGACTTCTTAGAGAACTGCTACAATCACCTCATGTACCTTGTCAAGGTCAGCTGTTGTAACTTTATTGAAAAATATTTTATGCACAGAGTTATATACAAATATCTCAGAGAAGAGATGCTATAAGCCACCATGTTATCTTAAACTTCTGTAGCTGTAGCTTAAACAGTAAAACTCTTGTATTTGTTTAAAAGGGAATGTCTGAGTTCTAAAAATTACCCTATTACTAAATATTCTTTTGGAATACTCTTAAATCTGTCTTTACTCCTCCACAGGAGAGCCTCATACGGGAGCAAACCCAGCAACATGATGAGACATACTATCTCTGGGCACTTACCTTTTTTATGGCTTTCAATCGTGGCAATGGTTTCCGTGCTGACTTAGTTTCTGAGACAGTGTCCATTCGTGCTTTTCATTTTATTGAGCGCAACATCACAAACTACTATGAGATGATCCTCACGGATCGCAAAGAGGCAACATCCTGGTCCCGCAGGTAAGAAGATTTTTTAGGAAGCAGGCTGATAAAAAAATCAATGTGTTGGTCTCAGACTGATGGTATCTCTTGTTTGTCCCAGGATGCACCTGGCACTGAAAGCATACCAGGAACTGCTGCTGACTGTGAATGAGATGGACCAGTCCCAGGATGAAAGCATCCGACAGAGCTCCAACGTTGTTAAAAGTAAACTGTTAACAGCTCTTATTCAGAAAGATTATTACTTTAATTTAGGATGTTTAAAGTATAGCGTTTCAGGCATCATGATGGAAAAGCTCGTAGGGTTTATGAATATATTACTAAGTCAAACAGTTTTTATGTGTCTGTTCACCTTGTTCCTTCATCTGTATCCCTTTTCTTTCTAGGTAACATATTTTACCTAATGGAGTACAGGGAGATATTTCTGACACTGCTGAGGAAGTACGATGAAACCAAACAACCTCACTCCTATCTCAGAGATTTAGTGGAGTCAACTCATCTCTTCTTGCGCATGCTGGAGCGCTTCTGCAAAGGCCGCAAAAACTTAATGGTTCAGGTGAGATCTCGTTCTCGATTTCTGGGGACACTTTTTGTCAGTGTCGCCTTCTGAGAGTAATGACATTTGTCTCTCTAAATTCTGTAGAAAAAGAAGGTTCGACGGAAAAAGGCTCGTGGTAAAAATAAGCCACCAGCTGCAGACACGAGTCCAGAGGCCCTTGAAGAGACCTGGAAGATTGTGGAGGAAGAGCTGAGGTCAACTTCTTTTCAGGTCGGTTAGAAAGTCACTCAAGCAGAGAGCCTTATTTTTTAATTCCAGGTTTTTTACAAAAAGCAATCAACTATAAAGTTTTAAGACAAGAAAACTCTGCACCTGCACTGAATTTCCGTTCTTTCTGCTTTCAGCTGTCTGAGTCTCTAACTGAAAACATCGTGCCATTTGATGCTGCATCAGAAACTCCACTTGAGGAGCAGCGGACAGAGGCCATGGTGCGGGTGCAGGATGCCCTGCTGGCTCGCCTGGGACCAGAGGCTCTTGGACTGCTTCGTGCTGCAAGGTTGACCAGACTCATCTGTCAACCACTGTGGCAAATGTATCAAATATGGATGATATTAAATAGTGGTAGTTCGAATTTGTTTATCTTCTTTTGCTACTTAGGGAGGTGTGGCCAGAGGGAGATGTGTTTGGTTCAGCGGATGTCGAACCTGAAGAGGAACTAGAGCTTCTGAAGCAAATTCTTCATGCTAACCTGCCAAGTATGTGTTTTAAAATGTCTATTTATGATCTTTTTGTCATGACATCTGTGCAGTTTTCCAACTTTGACTTTTCATTTGAGGGTCCTCTCCCCCTGAGCCTGTGGAAGATGAAGATGATGATGGAGCAGAGTTAGAGGAAGAAGAGCTGGCAACTATCCAGATATCTGAAAAAGAGTTCAACTTTCTAGACTTTATCAAGAGGTAAGGAAAAAAAGATAGGGAGACTTCAGTATAAAATAATGCATAACACCTGCATGCGAAGTATGACCTTGTCTTACCCCTCACAGGTTTGCTAGCTCCAACATTGTACGTCCATACTTCCTGTTGTTAAAAACCTACTCGAAAAACTCACCGCACACAAACCACTGCATCGTTCGGATGCTGCATCGCTTGGCTGTCGACCTGAAAATGGACGCCCTGCTTTTCCAGCTGTCAGTCTTCAACCTTTTCAACAAGATCCTCAGTGACCCTGCTGCAGCTGCCTACAAGGTGCAGTGTTGATTAAAGATACTTAGATCAAATAAGGTCAGACAAAAGGGCTAAATTTTGTTTCCGAATTTGCAGGAGCTGGTTACCTTTGCCAAGTTTGTGCTGAGCAGGTTCTTTTCACTAGCAAAAAAGAACAACAAGGCATATGTTGAACTTCTATTCTGGAAAAATGTGGGCGCTGTACAAGAGATGACAGAGGGCTACACCAAAGAGGGGTTTGTACTGGTGTCTACGTATTTACCACTTTTTCAGTTTTCTTGAATGCACATGTGTAAAAGTTCAAGGCATTGTTAAAATTTGCACAAAAATGGGTTTGAGTCATTGTTTTAAAATATGTCAGAAAGGGAAAGAAACCAGCATGGACTGAAGAGGAGGAGGAGGAATTGCGTAAACTCTATGAGGAGCATCGTCACTCTGATGGTCTGTTTTTTGGTTCTGTTATTTTGGTTCTACACGATGCAAATACTCCTCTGATCATCACTTTTACATTGTTCTAACGACTGTTGATTTTGTGTTTAGATCCAGATATCGTGGAAACTCTGCTGCCGTTGCTTAGCAACACCAACCGGACTCGGCGCCAGGTAGTGACACAGCTAGTCCACATGGGTCTGGTGGACACAGCTAAAGATCTGAGCAAACCGAAGTATGTACTCATGGCAGTGTACAACATATAAAATGCAATTGTTTAGATAAACCTACTGCAGAATGAGTTTACTTTGTCAATTGAAGTAAAGAAAGACTTCTCTTTCCATTGACAACAGGAAAGGCACTCAGATAGTTCTCTGGACTGAGGACCAGGAAGAGGAGCTGCAGATGCTCTTTGAAGAGTACAAAGACTCTGACGGTCAGAACACCATAAAACTATTGTGTATCCCCACTACCCTATTCCTTGTTGATCAAGACCACTTAATAATTTTGTGTAATAACTATTTGGTAATACTTAAATAGATGTGCTGGGTAACATCCTGAAGAAGCTAACTGCTAAAAGGTCCCGGGCACGAGTGGTGGACAAGCTGCTCAGTCTGGGTTTGGTGTCTGAGAGACGAGAACTTTACAAGAAGAGGAGTCGGGGTGCTCAGAGAAAGAGCTCTGGAAAAGGAATGGTAAAGTTAATTCATATTTACTTTTATTATTAATTACCTGTGTCTTTTAGAGTAGATTTTAAGGTTCTTTTATTAGTTTTTAAAGCGCTTAATGGTCTTGGTCCTTCTTATTTGTCTGATTTGCTTTTACCGTATGAGCCTAGTAGAGCCCTCGGGTCTTCAAGTGGTGGTCTTTTAATTGTTCCTAAAGTAAAAACTAAAACACAGTGAATCAGCATTCCTATATTACGGTCCCCATCTGTGGAACAGCCTACCTGCAGACCTAAGAGCGACACCTACTGTTCATATTTTTCAAAGTAAACTAAAGACCGACCTTTTTAGTCTGGCTTTTTGTTGAATTTTGTTTTCATCTTTTAATCTGCATTATGGGATTTTACCCTATTTAAGTCCTAGAGTAATTATTTTGTGTTTTATTACCTCTTTTACTCTCTTTTATTGTTTGATTTTAAGACTTCTATTAAATTAACTTTTAACGCTTTATCACTTTTATTATATTTTATCATGGTTTTATCGTTTTAGTCCGAGATTCAGTGTTTCCTCATCTTTTTAACTCAAGATAGTGTTTCCTCAGTCATCTGTAGCAAGTTAAAGTGTCCTGGGTTTTTTTTGTATACATCTGTGTGTGAGTGCTGTATGTGTTGAATGGGGTTTGGGTTGGTGGGTGGGGTTTGGTATTTGTATTTGTATTTATTTTAATTATTTTTTAATATCCTGCGAATGGACAGCACTTTGTGCTACATTCAATGTATGAAAAGTGCTTTCAAAATAAAGTTTGATTGATTGATTTATTGATCTTTTACAATACCTGTTAGCTTAACCCTGTTTTCAGGAGTTGGGATGCTGTGTGAAATGTAAAATGCAAAGGAATATGATGATTTGAAATATATTCAAGCTCCATTTATAATTGACTTATCCACATAACATAATGAAACTGAATTTTTCTTTGATTACTAGAAAAGTTCTTTAAAAAAAATTAACATTACTTCTCTATTTGCAGTTTACACAGCATCAGAAGCGTTGTATATAGGAAGATGTTTCTACAATATTTTGTGATTTTCTTCTGTAGACTGAAGAGGATTTCCTTGAGAGTCTAACACAGGGATTCCCAAATGATTCTGTGGACGAAGTTGATGAAGATGGTAGAGAGGATGAGTCTGATGAAAACGAGGAAGAGGAAGATGATGATGAGGAGGAAGCGAGAGAAAACTCTCAAAATGGTAGAAGGAGGAGCCAAAGCCTGGACTCTCCAGGAGAGAGGAGAGCTGATGTCAGTACCATGGTTTGGGCTCTACACCAGGAGGGTAAGGAGGTCAAACTGTGCTCTTTGTGTTTTTTGTAGTTTTTATTTTTATTTTTTAAGATAAGATCAGAGAAATTACATTGCTGAAGTAGGTCTTTGTTTAACAAATATGTCTTCAATACTACATGAAATAATATAGATACTTCTGTAGGATTAATGATGTTGTTTTTTTATAACAGGCTTGTCTGGACCCTTGTTGTGGCTTCAAAGGTGTCTAAACAAAACGGCCGATGACCGTGACACCGATGGTGAGCGAGAATTGAAGTTTTTGCAGTTCTGTAGGAAGTGATTTGAGCTCTCAGACATGTCAGTTTGTACAAAGAACACAGAGGTTTTGTCAGCGAAACTAATTGTCCATTCAACAGGGTTTTCTCTGGCTGTGCCGCTCGTTCCTCTGACTGAGGAAAATGAAGAAGCCATGGAAAACACGAGCTTCAAGAGGCTGTTGCGCAAACTGGGAATGCGAGCACCTGCAAATGAACAGGTTTGTTCCCCCTCATGTTAGCTGCATGCATTGTCTATTAAAGTTGGCTCAAGTTTCTCTCTAATTTTTGATAAAGTTCAAGAATAAATGTTGCAAATATGGCACAAATATCATACCAACCACTGACAGAAAAGAGTAATGTACTGGCTTTTTTAGTATTATACTTTACCCTCAGCAACCCTGAGATGAATTCTATTTGTACTTTTGTTAATTCAACTATCTATTTATTGCAGTCTATCTGAAAGGACAATATCATTTGTTATTTTGGTTGCAAAAATATGGTTGATTAAAAACACAGAATTGTAAAAAATAATTGATATGAATTGAAATATGCAATAACTTGAAATATTTTTCATGGTTCTGTAATCAGGAGCGCTTTTGGAGGATCTCAGAAAAAATAAGTGTGTCCCAGCTTCGAAGTGCAGCATCAGCTCTTAGTCCAAGAGACGAGGAACCCCAAACAGCTGAGGTGCAAAATAGTTCTGAAAATCCAACCAAAGACACTCCAGAGAAGCCGATGGAGGAGGAAAAGGAGGTCTCAAGTGAAGGTAGAGCTCAGGCTTTGAGGGCTCTGCTGCTCACACGCAAGAAGAAACACCACTCCTCTGAGCAGACAGGTATGTGTACAAGTTTCCGGTTCTTGTCTCAAATGACAGCTGTTAATTACAGCTGTCTCTTTTACGTTTCAAGTGACATGGTTCACTAAACCAGCCACAGAAAGCCTGCTGTGGCCAAACTACCAAGAATCTATGTTTGTGCTTCAGTTTCCTGGGATTATAGCAGAAATCCATAAACACAACAATTTCTCATATGATATTATAGACATCATATTGGAAAAGCAGCACTATTATTTTGTGTATCAAAATGTCCAGCAGAAATGAGACTGAAAAACAATAACATACACAACCACAAGTCTAAAGCTGGAAAGTGAAAAGCAATCAAATGATATTTGTTTGACAAAAATAGAAAGCTTGGAAGCCACTTCAGGACCCACTGAAAATGATCAAAAAAAATAGCCACTGTGAAAGGTGTTACTAAAACTATCCTGGTTGATGGTTTACATTTACTTCTAATCAAAGAGGGCTGAGGATTTTTTATGATTTTGCTAACATTATAACCGCATGTTGTCGTTTTTGGCTCCTGTTCCAGAATCCACTCCGGCTGAGGATACAGAAAGTACTCCTGCGAGGTGGGGGACTGTTGGATGTTTTCGTTTACCCAATACCCAGCAGAGAAAAGTCTGTTTTTGAGTCTAAATACTTTTAGTGTTTAATCTGTTTGTGTACCCATCAGATCCAAGAAGACCTCAGGGAAAAGAAGCCGGGTTCTGAACGATGATGATGATGACGACGATGATGATGATGACGGTGAAAATAACGGTAAATGGCTTTTGTTCTGCATCAGTATTAAAATGAATATAATATTGCCAGAACCACTGAAAGACTGAAATTTAACATTTGAGGTTTGGTTATGACCCACTCTTAACATCATATCCAAAGACCAGTCATGAAACCACAACAGTAGTTGTGTCTCATCATGAGTTATCTGTGTCATCACTCTCACACATTGCTGTCTTTACAGATAAGGACTCCACTGTTGCAATGCATGTGGATCCCAACGGGGATGTAGATTCAGACGAAGAGGATGTCTCTGCTCCTGTGAAGCGCAGACGTAGGATGGTCTTAATTGCTGAAGATGAAGACGAGGATTAGCGGATTTCTTTAATGGATTGAAAGCTGCAGGCAGGGGACACATGAAAGGTGGATGCTGCCCCTTGGAGGAAACTCATTAAATGGACCACCGAACAATAGAACAAAATAGACCCTCTGAGCTGCCCCTGTGGGTAACCTTACTTAGCAATATCCTTTCGACAGCTTTTCAGTAGTTGAATTGTTTCATGTAGTTCTGGTAATTCTTGTTTTTGTTTTTTAATCACCAGCACACAATTGACAGCACACAGTTGCTGCTGTTTTAAAAAGTACAAACTTGCATCCTCACTTGTTCTGAGAGTTGTTGATTAATTGTGACACTGGTTTATGAAAACTATATCCATACAGCATATGTTTCCTTTCCAAATTCCTGGTCTGTTTCTTAAGTAGCCACGTTAAGCTACATAAAACTTTGTCAAATAAATAAAAACTCAGTCAAAATATGCACCTATTAATGCTTTTGTGGTCACTGTTGCATTGTGTCTTTTTAAACACTAGGTGGCACAAAAATGTTGAAGTATTTATCTGGAGCAACCTTTATAATTCTGTATCTTCAAAAAACAATTTGAATAATTTGGCCATACTCTACAAAAACTTGAATGAATATAACCCTTTTTGATGTGCACTTTTTACAATCCTGTAAATGTCAACCTAACAGCTGAGCATTCTTCCACACAGGGATCCCGTTCATGTTCACAGACACTGCCTGTAGTGAACCATGTTGTGCAGCTGTGTCGGAGGTGGTCCCTAGTCCATACATCTGGACCATGTTAGTAACTTCCTGTCACAGCATCTGCTAGGCCCCCATCCCACAGAGCCAGCAGCAGACCTGATAGCACATAGACACTGCTTTGAGTTAAGTATGAGAGCACAATGGATGGTTAAAGACGTGCAAGGATTTAGAAGGTTGAAGATCTATCCCTCTGTTCAGGGAAAAGCCTCATATCAACTCGAGGCAGGCGAAGACAATCTGCTGTGATGACTCATTGTTTGTAACTAGAACTTGAAAGGAAACGCCTTGAAGCTGTATTACGTAACTTTTAGGAACAGATGCATTGTCGCATCATTTTAGTTTGTTATTGAAAATAAAGCACAGAAAACAGCCCTTAGTGCTATTTTTTAGTTGCAGTGATAGGTTTTCTAAATAAGGTGTAAGAAATATGATTTTAAACCTCACAGAGAGTTAGCCAGAAGTAGAACTAATGCAATTGGTTAACCATATTAAAAGTTTAATCTATTATGAGCTGAAAGAGGCCTGTAGGGTGTTTTTCCTGCGCCAGGTCACTTTAGGACACTGGCCTAGTGCTCAAGCAAATTCTCAGTAAAACGCTCAGGTCAGTTGTTGAAGTTGGAAAAAAAAAAGCTTATTTGCTTGTGGTGTTGCTCCTGAATTGCTCTGTCAAGTCAAACCTGGTCGAATAGATCGTAAAGTGTTTTCCATATGTTAATGTACTGTGAACACCTGCTAGTAGTTGCTGTACTCTGGATGTAGTAGCTTTGAATAGGAATACACTGTTCCTGGAAAAAAAACTAACAAACATGCAAACAAGACCTGCCCCACTTCTGAATGACTGAAGTATCCCCACAGCCTCAGCTCACCCAACAGAGGTTTAGGGGAGACTGGGCTAAGTTGAGCCACGCCCTGTTGCTTGGAAATGGTAAAAGAAATTGATCATGTGACCAAATATTTAGGAGATGGGCATCAATTCATGGAGTCTGTGAAGGTTAGAAGCTCATGGGTAAAGGGGTTAGACATTCATTTCCAAAAAAACATTTTTCACTCTTGAAAGTGAATTCAGTCTGTCATAAGTTTTATGGGAATTGTGTTCAGACCAAAAAAGATCATTTAAAATTGGTTTTATACATCAATTAGGGTATCTATGAGCTACAACATGAGGTCAAAAACCCTAGCATAAAGGCACCATTTTAGCTTAGAGGACTAATAAAGTCAACAGTTTCTTCTGGGGTAAGTTGAGCCAGTGGCTCAACTGAGAAAGAGTCTGATGAGAGGATCAGCGTTTCAGTTCAGATTGTTGAAATGTGTGACTTTTTCTTTTCAAAAATACAGCTGTGAATGTTCTGAATCACTTGAAGGCGTTCTCATGTTAAAATGACTTTTTACAAAACAGCTTTTTAGCAGTTATATGCAGTAATAATAAAACGATTGATTGCACCTGTTGAATAGCGTGTAAAAATACACATGAATGTGAAAAAGTGACTGTGATTTAGGGAGAGAGGAGAGGGAGGGCTGGGGTGGAGGTTGGGAGGAGAGTAGGGATACAGGTAAACTTACCCTGCTTCTATGGTCAACTTACCCCATACATGGGGCAAGTTGACCATAAGAGACCAATTTTTGGCATGCTATATTATCAAGACTGTTATGTTTATACTAATTCTGTTGGTTTGCAGGGGTGCACAACATCTTGAAATATATGCAGATACACTAGTTAGAGACAAAACTATGATTGCCTTGATGTAGTGATCTGAAATGTGAAAAAATACTCCTTACCCCACTCTCCCCTATTCTCTGGATCAACACAAGCAACAGTTCATCATGTATAAACCGTTTATAGACTCCTCAGTATTTTTGTGGACATTTCAACACGTGACTGTTTCGCTTCATTTATTTTTGACGTTAAAGAGGCTTTCGTTATTACAGCCTGCTTGAGTGCGTTTCAGCTAAAGGTGTCCCTAATATTTTGCCTCTCCCATGTTTGTTGAAGAAGTTAACAAAGAACACCTTTCACCATAAAACACTCCAGTGCACCACCACCGTTCATAATTCAAGAAATATGTAAATAAATGTATCCCCACTTGTATTAACAAACGTATGGCCTTGAGTTTAGGTCAAGCTAACTTTTTCATGATGTCCGTTGCCGTGTCCCCCTCTCCCCCTCCCATCCCCCCCTACTTCAGGGCGCTTCCAACGGTCCAACTGACGACGTTGCTGCTGCTGGATGGAGACAGAGAGAGAAGGGGGGATTGCCTCAGAGGGAGAGGGGGATATACGTTTTCCCCTGTGCTTTTTTGTAATTACCCTTTACTCAAGGAGAGAGGAGGCGTGTGAGTAGGAGTGTTAACATTTTCCAGAGAGTAGGAGTTATTTTCAGTGTGGAGTCACAGTGTGGAGGAGCTTGAACGGTTAACTAAAGTTGAGTGGGGCTCCCGCGGAGAGTGGAAACTAGCTAGCCCTCCTCACATCTGTTGCCAGTCAAAGCTAGCTATGCCTTTTAAATCATCGGCACATAGTTTGGTCCAAAGTAAAATAGTGCCACTTCTTGTATTTGTAGATTAGCGCAGGTTTCCACGTTTGGAAAGGGAGAAGTTGGGAAGAAACCGGTTTTCCCTGGTACTCTTGCGCCGCTTTTGTGTTTGTGAATGGTGCGGTGTTTTTCCTGTTTGACAGGGCCGATTGTCAGGGAGAAGAAGTTTACTTCACTGCTGCAGAACACACGGGCTCATCGGTAAGTTGCTGTAAAACACTTATTGTCATAAAGAAATGTGATTACGCGTTGTAAAAGCTATACCACTGGTTTACTTTTCACTTCAAGCCCAGGGGTTTGGTTGTGTGCAAGTGGTTTTCAGATACCTACAGATTTCACTACCACAGATGATCGATAATATTTGAGCAATTCAGTCTCTGGGTCTGACTTATCATTGTCAAAATCCATCACGCGAAATGTTTGTCTCACTCAACACTTATCTACCAAGATTGTTTCTATTGCTGCTTTTCTTTTAAGTCATTGTACTCCAAAAGCCAACAATGCAACTCGTCCTTCAGCCTTTGACAAAAGACATAATGATCCAGTGTGACTGTGGCTTTGTTTGGATGCACTGATCACATCACATTGTATTCACTTTGAAATTAATGCATTGAGTTTTAAAAGGTGTGGTAGTGGATGATGAGAAGTACTCTTTGGCTGTAAACAAAAACAGAAAAAGTCAACCAAGGAACAAAAACAATGAAATAAAATCCCAAAGAACACCCACTGACACATTATCTTACAATGAATACTAAATAAAACAAATAAGAGTTAAGATAAAACCAAGAACAGTATAATGAAAGACCTGTTAGACAATGTACCATAGCAAGAGACAGAGTTGACTTAGATTTAAGGTCATCGAGAAGACGTCTTTAGCAGCTGCTATATGATTTGTTAAGGTGAATTCTGTCACATCCTGTTGACTCCACAGGGTTGTGATGAATCTGACCGTTTACTCAAACAGAACTACATGTTCATTCTTTATTACCATCTATAATAGTCTAAAAAAATATGTGAACTATATGAAAAGCAATATTTTCATGTCTCCCTATGGCCTCTGTAGAAAGTAGACAGCCCTGGCCTGTGGATCTGCTGTGTGATCCAAGGTAGGAGTGCCGCTTGGTTCTTTGGGCAGCGTGATGACAGCCTACAGGTCCTGTCTTTACTGGGGAGTGCACTCTGTAGTTACATCCCCCCCTTTCTACTTGACCTATACTCTGTCTGCCTCCACCAGATGGTTTGGCCCCTTTGGAAACCTTTGAAAAGGCAGAGAGAGGAAGCCCTTCCCTTTTTTTTAGGGGGAAAAACGTGCACAGGAAAGAAAGCATGAAGAGCAGAGGGTGATGAAAGTTTGACTGCACATGTTGTTTTGCTGGTACCTTTCAATTAGTTTGAATGAAAAGGTCTCATTTTTGTCTTTCCGTGGTTTTGAGAATATACTTAGACCATGCTTAACTTACATAAACAATGAGATTTTAAAATTTAATGATAAGGGAAACTTAGAGAATTGAACACATTTGGAACTGCAGTAAGACTTTGTGAGTTACTGCTGTAAGAGTAAGTGAGTAACAGACGGTGACACATAAAGCAAAGTAGGAAATTCAGCGTGAGGGAACATACTTTAAATTTTGGATCAGCATTTTGTCAAAAGCTGCCTTTATGTGGTCAACACTTGACCAGTAGCACACTTCATGTTGAGATGTGAAGTCAAATAGCTTTAAACTAATCTGGTTGTCTAAGAATGCATATAGAATATGACCTAATTAGTTGTTGAAATTTTAGCTGTTGTACCAGCTGTAGACTAAAGTATTTGTAGTTTATGTGGTGGTTCCTCATAATATATTTTACCAGTAGAAACTGATGAGAGAAACACAGAATCTGCTTTACCTCTGCTGTCAGCTGTTGAGACATGAAAAAGGTACTGAGAATTGAAGCAGTCACAAATGCAGTTTCACACAGGCCCTGTTATGTACTGTTCAGCTGAGTTTACTTCAGATTGTGGTTCCTCTTCCTTTGTCTATTGAACAGCACATAACAATAACACCTCTACGTCTTGGAGTGATTATTAGCTTGGTCTTTTGAATAGGAGCAGTGTTAAAGAGGATATCTGCGGCTATAATCTGCACAGGACCCACAGCTGGGATTTATCCCTAAAGGAAACCACTGTTTTTAGTACCCAGACCCTCAACTTTTCTGTGTTTAGGGAATTTAATAACTGTGGGACAAATCATGTGTATATCTATTAGGGCCCGACGGATATGGATTTTTTGGGTTGATGCCGATACCGATTATTGGGGGGGGGGGGGGTTCTGATTACCGATTAATCGGCCGATTTTTAACATTTTTTATTAAGTTATAAAAAATATATATAGACTGCAGATAGTAAATATACTGTAGGCTACTGCTCTTCACGCCGACAATAAGACTGACTGATCAAACTCATGCAGCTGCCTCAGTAAGAGAAGTAGCTCGATCACGTACTGTGTACTGTTGTTTATTTATTTTATTGTTACTGGCATGGCTAACAGTTTAGCAAGGCTAATAGCAGATGGCTAACTCTAACTTTAGCTTTCATATTACATTGTGCTTCACCGTTAACTTGGCGTGACCCAGACCAGCACAGCGGGGAACATCGTGAAGTGGGTTGAACTGAAACTTGTTGACTTATTGTGTACGTCACAAGCTGGTTTATTTACTGTTGCTGCGGACCACTCTCCTCCGTGCGTCTGCCTACTTCAGATCCGTCACTCTGCTGTGCTGTGAGGTAGTTAGTGGATGAAGATTGTCATGAGGTCGCTGTGCCATCTACAGGATAAGTCGGGGAACTTTTCAAATGGCGGAACATTTTCGAAGTGAAATCTTATCTTATTTTATTCTCCGCATTTTATTTCTGAAAATATCGGCGACAATCGGGGAGTTTTGGCTGATTACCGATTAGTCTCAAACGGGCTAAAATTGGCCGATTTAATCAGCTTGTCGGTAAATTGGTCAGGTCCTTATATCTATATACATTTCCAGAAATTTGAGGTTATCGATGTGGAATGTAAGGACTAAATTGAAATAACCTTGTACTAAGAAGTCTCTGCTGCATAAATAATGAACAGGTTTAGTCTAACAGGGCACAGAAGAAAATTTTAAGACGTCAAATGGGGCTTGATGTGACTTTTTGTATCACTTATTTGCATACCTTTATAAACCATAACTTTGTCACACAGACAGGAAAACTGACCTAGCTAAGGGTTAACCTGAGTTAGTGTTGTACTCACCAATGGAAGGATCTCCCTAGTGCTAGAAAAGCCTCATTGTTAAGTGAAAACCACAAAAAAACTGATATCATACCAGTCCTTTTCAAACACCCATCCATAGGCTACTTATAGCACTTAAACACTAGCTACAGTTGAGACATGAGAGCGCCTTTCAGTTTGCTTAGGAAACGGAGCCCACGCATGATATTTTAGGACTGTGAGATCGCTGTAGGAGGTACAATTATTGTGAACTGGAATTTGACAAAGAGGGTTAAATGGCCGCTCTAAATGACAGAGCAGCAGAAATATATAGGCGCTGCATGGAGGTCTGAGCCACGACTGTGTTCTGACCTTCCTTATGCCACTGAAGCAATCCTATCTGACCCTAATTCAGTCACTGGCTTATTTTATTTTACTTTGGCAGTCTGCCTAAGCTGCTTGATCATTAGTTCAGCTGTTTGATTAGAGCATAGCAGAGTTTAGATTATGCTACAATACCATGCTTAAGATTTCCCTTTGTTCTGTTCTGTACAGAGGTCAGAACAGCTCAGAAACCAGTTAGGCATCGCTGTCTCTCTCAAGGGCTCCTCTGCACCACGGGGCGGTTACTTTTAGGTTCCCTACACCCACCAAGTATTTATCTGCAGCGTATACCATCTCATACACAGCTATAATGTCATGCTCTCTCATATGAACATCAGACTCACTCCACCACACTGTCAACTAAATGCTGCTCTGAACCACAAACCCCTAATAGAGCGTTGTGGGTCTGCTCCTCCTTGCTTGCCGCACATACTGTAAACTCCTGTTGCTGGGTTGAAACTCCGACTTACTGCAGCACACACCTTAACTTCAAGGATGAATAGAAGTTCTTAGCATGGATTTCAACCATGTTAATGACCATGTGTATACTGATTTGCATTATGCACACATACACCATCAACATGTGACTCTCTTAAAGAGGCTTCACAATGTGTTTTTGATCTTTTCATGCCTCACTATAAGAAGCTCTTTGCAGTATTAAGTTAAAAGGCCTCCATTGTTTACACTTAAGTCAAGCAGGAATGTGATTACGAGGGTCAAAGGAGCAGGATACCACAAATAAAATATTAGAAAGCGAATGGAGTCTTTAGTGAGGGTGCAGTTAATTTGGTTGTAAAATCATACACTTAGTTCTCATTGTACAGCTTTAAATGATCTGAACAGGAGCTGGAAATATTCGATTTAGTTTTTGTAGCCAGTGAGATTATGACTCCTGTATTGTCGAAAACAGCTGCCAATCCTACATGAATTTATGAAAAAGCTAAACAGTTCAGGAAAATATTGCAAGTTTTAATAACTCAGGTAGTGATGCATATCTGAAGAATTCCAAATCGTGCTCTGTGTGGAATAACATTGGTTTAATAAATCAAGTCATCTTTCACAGACAGATACCGTAGTTCTGCTCAAAAGTTCACAATTTTCATGGATCTGTTATCACAACAAAAATGAAAAATGGAATCATCTTTTTCCTTAGATTCCATGGTTTAAATAAGATTTATTGCGCTCTTAACTGTGTTTCCATTTTCATTAAGAGTTGCTTTTGTCAAGACCACGAGGGTGCGTATCTGATAGAGATGGTTTAGGATAAAGCAATTCACTGCTAGAAAAAGCAGAGGAGTTAGTTTCATCCCTGATCGGGGAAAAAATGAGCCTTGTTGTTCCTGATGTTCCTGATCACTCATGACCCTGAAATGGCACTTAAGTGATGTAATGCTGTGTGCTGAAAGCTGATGATACAAGTAATGAGTGCGCGCCACGTGCAACAAAGATTGCCAGACACACATGTCCACGTGTGTGTTGTGCATGCAAATGAATCCCATGTGTTCTTGTAGTCAATTTTTGAATATCCAGATTGTTCTCATTTAAAGATGGGGAATAAATTTGCACTAAAACAGCGCATCCTTAGTCTCACAGTGCTTTCACACTACTCATCATATTCACCTACATAAACCACTCAGGGGCAGAGGATGCTATAGATGAGTATTGAGAAATTCCATTCATATGCATTCACACACTGCTGGCTATGTCATTTGGAGCAATTCAGGTTCAATGACTTATCTGAAGATGCTTTGGCATGTGACAAGCTTGATAAAGAGGTCTGACAAGATTTTAGATCCAACAACTTTTACAGAATTGGAAAGTAAGGAATGAGGCAGGTGTACCTGATAGTGGAGACTTGATGTGCTGCCAGGGTTTGACTTGTGAAAATGAATTATTCCTGAATTGGTAAAACATGTGCCTTATTGTGTTTTGAGCATGGTGTCATTGAGTTCAGACTCAGATGAAACAAAATTAGAAACATCTCACAGCAATCAACGAAAGATTTGTGCGTTAAGTTGACAAAACAATTAAACACCGATACCCCCCTTAATACAGGGCTCAAGAATTTCTCATTGGTCCAAGAAGTTATAAACATTATTATTATTGCAGGCCTGAAGTGCTAGTCATATGTTGTGTCGAAGCAGTAGTGCAGCCACCCACCACTAACTGAGGCTGTTACTGCCATAATGCTCTACTATCTGGATGTAAACAAGCTCAGATGACCAATGGAATCTTGTAGTGCAGCATGGTTTTGGCTTTATTTTCATATAGAAAATGAAGGTAAAGTTGTGCTTTAATTGTGTTTAGCTCTGTTAAGGAATAACCATGCACAAACAAAACTGTAAACATCTTTAATCACATGGAGGCACTTAACGACTCAATGTAAAGTGTTACATGGGGATTAACCCACGAGCCAGACAGATTACAAGATCTGCAAGGTTCCTGTTCTTACTGTTTCCTTGGCATGGCCGGATTGCTGAGTTATTTGTGTTGACCATGTAAACTTTGTTGTGTGGTACAGAGTTCTAGCTAGCTGTCTCATGATTGCCACACCCAAATTGTTCGCTGAAATTGAATGAATAGTGATGTTTAATTGAAATAATGTTTCTGTATCGATGATGTTTGTGTTGGTTCTTCTGCTCCCTGCGACAGTTTCAAGGGATGGTTCCCGCTAAAACTGTATTTTCCACTTCCTTATATGATCCTAAGCTTCCCCTTCCTGTTTTGGAGCAGGGTGCTCAACTGCGGCTCATGCCTGACTCTGTATGATCCACAGAGAAAACAGAGGTTTTTGTAATACTGAGCATGAATTCATCTGTGTTTACTTGGTTTTTATCCTTACACAGCCTAGCATCTACTTTAATGTGTGACACTGTGACAGTATCGTTGCCATAATGCTTCTTGACTTGACAGTCTTTTAATTGGTCAGGGTGCTCAGCTGAGAGGGGCTGGCATGATTCATTACTGCAACTGTGAAGACAGCCACAGAACCCAGTGCATTTCTCATTCTTGGTAAGGCCATCCAAGTGAAGTTGCCAGATCACCAAGTCATCCTCGCACCACAGATTTTCAGTCTCTCAGCTGTCCCTTGTTGTCAAGGCGGAGGAAAACACAGAATCCTTGGCTGTGTTCACACACGCCCACCCCTTCTTTAAACACACCCAATTAAGCTATGTGGGGAACTTGTAGTCAGACTGGCCTGTTCCTCAGCAGCTGAGATCTGCTCTGTTCAACCCCCAGCTGTGTTTGTTCAGGAGTAGTCTATCCTTTGGCAAGTTTTTGTTTCAGGGGCAACATGATATTCCAAGAGGTCATCTACAGCTGATCCTCATTGTTTGCTAACTCACAGTCTCAAACGGTTGCCTCTTCTGTGATGTAAGTGATACCTCTGGAAACCATCATGTGCTCTTTTTTCATGTTGTTCAAATACAGTCAAGAGTGATTGACACTTTTGTAGCTTTTAATGATAGTTGCTAAACATTAGCCTCAGTTTGGTAGTTAGCTCATTCAGAAATATTTCAACAGCTGTTTAATGGATTGTTCAATCTGTTCCACTGTCATGTGGTTCTTTGAGCAATAACCATATAGGCTGTGGTGATTCTTAGATTATTGCTCCAGCATCATCATGAAGCTAACCCTTTTGACAAAAATAAAATATTGACAACTTTGATGGTATTTAGTGGAGTTGTGTTTCTACAGATGGGTGAGATATTTCAATTAAGCCAGTACATTTGTAAGACAGATACAGTAGACCTACAGTGATTAATATACTGTACCTTTTTATGAACTAGTTAAGGGGAGTATCAGCTGTTATCCATCCTGAGGTCCCAGAAAAGACGTTAGGAAGGAAAAATGCTGTTGAGATTTCATTAACATTTAAAGGGATATTCCAGCGTAAAATTAAGTTAGGGTCAAAAACATCAAGTTAGACACCCCCTCGAGAGATGAATGTTGCCGACTGCTTGCTTCTCTAGTTATACCAACTTTAGTAACAACTGCAGGATAGCCATACACAGCGGTCTGAGGAGCCATAAACAAACCTCAACCAAAACACAACTCTAGGCACTACAGCCACAAATAATGTTCAGAACAGTACCTAACTTCATCAACAGTACATATAAGGTCCCAGCCATAGCGCTAGCCACCAAACATCTTTTTAACTTTGCCTAATTTCTTTATCAAAGAGACTAAACACAACTCACCTACTCTCTTCAAGCAGCTTGTTGTGGCAAGACCTTGGACGAGTCCATTATGGACTGCTGCAGGGTGACAAAGCTCAAGGAAGAACATTTATGATCATTTCTTCATGGAAATGCAATCAGACCAAGACGCTAAGGCAAAAGAACTACTGCGTCTGCAGTGCAGGATAATTAATCTGGTGATTATTACTTCAAAGAAATGATAAAGAGGTCTATAGAGAAGCTATCATAGTCAGTTGCACCTTTTAGCACTTTGATACGTTCCTAGATTTAACCTTATGCTTTGTGAACTAAAAACCTAAAAATCTAATGACATTCCCACCAACCTCTTTCAGACTTTGTGTTAAGACGTAAGAAGCTAATTAAAGCCTACTAAGAGTCCAAATCTGGCAGTGGCCTGGTTTAATTGTACCTTCAAACATTAGCATGCTAGAATCTAGCTAGAATGAAGTACAACCCTACGGGGCAGTTAGCATGGCTGCAGACTTAAAGGATTGGTATCTTGTATTTAACAAGTTGCCAGGCAACTTTTGTAGTTGTCTGAGTTGGGTTAGGAGATCTTTTGGGGCCCTCTCAGAATCCAGTCATTAAGATAGATAACTCTGTTTCCAGTTTGAACACCCCCCTCCACCCCAACCATCACTCACCAGCCCCCAGAAGGCAAATACTTGGCACCCAACTAAAAGCAAACACTAGGGGAACTACCAGTTTCCTTGGTGCTTGGTGATCTCTATGTGGTCCCCTTTTTTGTCCGCATGGTTTCCTCTAGTGCCACTAGAGGTCACAGCCATGGGCCTCAGCGTCTTTGTTAAGCCCCATAATGGCCCTATTCTTTCACTGCAGCAAGAACTTCCACGCCTACTAGACAGTTAACACCACTGAGACTCACAGAAAGGAAATTAGAGGCGGATGCACAGAGATATGGGAGTGTAAATGACTATGCATGTGGTGTAATCTCTGCGAAATGGTTTAGATATTCTCTAGTTGACATTCAAAGTGTCATTGGTAAACAGAACAGTTTTATCAGTAGCAATGTAAACATTTAAGTTGCCGAACTTGGGATGTGACTGAAGTGAGGATGCTTTCTATAAGCATTACATTTCTAATGTGTGTCATTTTTATTAAGAATACTTTGTTTAACTAACATATTCATCTGAACGCAGTGTAAAAAGCTGTATTCGAGTTGATATGCTCATCACTTTGTTCTGTCTTTGCTCTTTCAAAGACCATACAGCATCAGTCTGGTTCTGTTTTTTTCTTGTTTCAGAATAGTTCAACATCATAACCTCAAACCAACATGTAGAGGCAGTCACAGTGAAAAGATCACAGAGCAATACAAAAGACCCGAACAATGAGGTTCCTGTGTCAGTCAGCCCATTTTCTAACCTCCTTTTCTGGGTCACATGCAACCTGGGTCTTGGATTATTGGGCAAGACCGGTTGCCCTGAAACATAAAAGGCAAACATAATGGTCCAGTTTTTGTTCAGTTGTATTGGAAATGTAATGCCTCTCTTCAAGTTATGTATAAAAGCTGCAAAGACAGAATTGTAAACATCAATTATGCAGTGAGGTAGTTACATAAAAATGAGGTATTTATGTCTATATAAAGTTAAATATTTTAGATATATTATATATTTTGAGAGACACAGAACAATATGGAAAGCTCCCTGCCAGTCAGTCAGTCATATTCTGACTCTTTTTACCGCAAGGCCTCAGTGCTAACCACTGAGCCGTTGTTAATATGGTGATCATAAACCTGTTCGGTAACAGAGATCCCTCTGGATTTTAATGGAAACTTATTTGGCATGGTAAATTAACCTGTGATTTATTAATAGTGGGGACTTTTTTAGCCTTTACTTTTGCTCTTATGAGGACAGTCTCATATGAATAGCTGTACATCACTGACAGTGTTGAAAAATAAATGGATAACCAATTTGTGATATACTTGCTAGATATTAACAAGTAACTTCACCCACATAGTATCATTTTACAAAGTGTACTTCATATCTCATTTCCAGTAGACTTTGATAGTCATTCATTATGCAGTAGGTGTCCACAGTGTTGAATACTAATCTTTAAAGTCTTAATGAGCAGAATTATGTGCTCTTCTCCTTTTCTGAGCTTGTAACCAGAACCGTACACAAAGCTGTGATTGTGCTGTGCTGCTGTGTCTTGCCTTTTAACAATAGACTAAGACAGAGCAGTTGTCAGTGAAAGAAAGCAGAAGAATAGAAGAGAGAGGAAAAGAAAGATAGGTACTTCACAAGTGTAAGTGACTAAAGAAGAAAAGAAAACTTTCCAACGGGCTCTCATTTTTTCCATGTAAAAGTCATTCATAGGCAGGACACAAAATTACAGAGCCCCTTTTCTGAGAAAGAGAGAGAGGCCAAACAAGTGAGGCCTATTACAGTAAAAGAGAAAATAGATTTGAGGAAAGTTCCAGGTGTGGAAGGAGAGGTTCAAGTAGATGAGCTGGAAAAAAGAAAGATCTGGAAAGGAGCAAAGAGTAAAGGCAGGACCGACCGTTCTCGACTGTTTGTCTCAAGTCAAAAACGTGAGTTTGCTGTAACTGGATCTCAGCTGTGGTGAGCTCATACAAGGGGCCTGCCAGCAGCCTCAGAGAGAGCAGTCCACCCATGATCCTTTAGCCTGCTGTAGCACTGTGCAGCTCAGCCACAGGCCTGCTGGCTTAAATATCGTGTATAGTTTTACAAGAGTACTAGTCTGTGAATATGGCGGAGGTGATAAAAGTAGACGTGAATGAAAATCTGACCTGCTATCCAGTGAAATACATGAATTTATTATCCTTGTGTTTGCACAGATTAACGTGATATAACTTTGTTTACACAGCACTGGCTTTCTAGGGCTTGAGTGACGAGTAATAAAATCCTTAAATCAATTCTAAAACTAACAATAATCTAAAGTGACAACAAGATCCAAGAGTGGCCAGTGGCATGCCACACCATGTGTCCTTGTGTGTGCCATTGTCATTAGTGTGCCACCAGAGGGCCAGCAGCATATGTTGATCGTGTTAGATCAGTGTACCAGTCCCTCCATTGGTATGCCACCTGTCGAGATTCTGCTCGGAAGTGAAAGAACATATCCTGTCGCTATCAACATAGCAAAAGCTTCTCTTACCAAATAGATTAGATACATCATACCATAGCTTTACTGTGACATCTTCTACTATTTTCATCTTACAGAGGCAGGTATATGCCAAGTTGGAGCACTGTAAATACATTTAGTAACTTCTTGTCTTTTACAGCTTTAAACAGCCACGATTTTTAATCATGCACTCAACATTTTCACTGTCAAACTAGTTTTACAGAGAAACAGTCAGAAAACTTGCTCTGAAGTCCACCCTATATATTCCTCAAGATCCCAGATTTCACCGTTCATCACGATAAAAAACCTGCATGTGCCGTTGTCTACCGGCATGCGGCTTCTGATCCAGGGGTGTGTATTGTTTCCTTACAGGATAGTGACTTTGCCCGCTGGTGGTTTTATGTTTTCAGTTTAGAATTAGTCTGTGTGTCTGTGTCTGGTGAAAATATTCTGAAGGGGAAAATAGAAAATAAAAGTTCTCATTTTACATGAAAGTTATCGACTGACTTCCAGGATCCTTGACTTAAAGGGATGTTCTGGCATAAAATTCAATTAGGGTCAAACACACCGTAACACCAAGTTAGACACCCCCTTGAGAGATGAATGTTGCTGACCGCTTGCTTCTTTAGTTATACCAACTTTAGTAACGAAACCTAAACATAAACAAACCTCAACCAAAAAGCCACTCTATAGCCACAAATAATGCTCAGAACAGCACCTAACTTCATCAACAGTACATATAGGGTCCCAGCCACAGTACTAGCCACCAAACATCTTTTTGGATTATCCCTTTAATTTACTCCGTGAAAATAACTTCATCTTGTCTGTGTTACAAAAAAGTAATAAAGCAGAGCTAATTAGACCTCAGATTATTGATTCCTCATGACTGTCAGATTTTATGAGGCATCATCTGTCCTCACACGTGGATTTAAGTAAGTGCTTAAGTGTACGCCCACGCACACAGGATTTTACTCAGCTGTGTCGTTTAGTACATAGAGTTTGTGTCAACACCAGACAAGAAGTCGCAGTTGACCTGAGGGTTTATCAGCACGCCCAGAGTCCTTGAGTTCTTCCAATTATCAAGATATATATTTGACAATGCCATACACTACTTTGTTCTGTATTTTATTATATTTTTTCTTCCTTTTCAGTTGCCAAACCTGCTTCGATGGATTTGAGATAGTGCCAAGAGGAGTTTTACTCTCACCCTGAACTTCAGCCTCCCACATTCACCCACAATGGCAGATCCTGCAGGGCTGAACTCTGAGGGGGCTGGGGCGGGCATATCCGAGGTCGACGCCTGTAGTCTGGAGATAGTGAGGAAGTATGATGTCATCCCTGCTGTCATCTGCTCCATGTGCTGCCTGTTTGGGATCATCTACTGCTTTTTTGGTGAGGGGCAAAGTTTGGCATGAACCAAGCTGGAACACAATGTTTTATTGATAACATCACACCCATTTGATTTCTAATCATGACAGTCTGTTTCTAAAAGGACATATGGATGACCTCTCTTGTTTTTCTTCCTCTAGGTTACCGCTGTTTCAAGGCTGTCATGTTTCTGTCTGGTCTGATGTTTGGCTCTGTCATCATTTTCTTGCTGTGCCACAAGGAGCATGTGCTGGACACTCAGCTGAGTGTGGAGGCCAGCGCAGGTATTGGACTCGGTATAGGCCTGCTGTGCGGTCTGGTCACCATGCTGGTGAGAAGTGTCGGCCTCTTCATGACCGGCCTGCTGCTCGGCCTCCTCCTGGCTCTCGCTGCCCTGCTACTCGCTCACCAGTTCTACACTCCCACCACAGTCTGGGTCCCACTGGGTGCTCTCCTGGGAACAGGCATGCTGTTTGCCGTGCTAACTCTGCAGTGGCAGAAGCTCTTCACCATGCTCTCCACCGCTGTGTTCGGGGCAGCCATCATGACTGTGTGTGCTGATTACTTTGTGGAGATGCTGGCTTTGGCCATGCACATATATGACTGTCTGCGACTCACAGCGGGGCCCCCTCTCTGCTGGTACAGCTGGGTCATTCTGGGCATCTGGCCCGTCCTTAGCCTCATAGGCGTGTTGGTCCAGTGGAAACTGACAGACGACAATTTCTCACACACTGACGGTAAGGAGGAAGTGCTACGACGCTCTCATTTTGCATGTTTAATGGAAGTGGTTGAGTGAATGTATTAATCTGGATGTGTAAGATTATTCTTCATTTGAAAGCTGCTTTCCCCTCCTAATTAGGGACTTCTTACTGAATAACATTTAAAGGCAACTCTGAAGTTACTACATGTATAATCATAGTAAATGAGAAACACAGGGATTCTGAATCTGCCCCTTTCTCAGTCTTTTGATAAATGTTTTTATTGATATTCAAAAAGATTGGGTTCTTGAAATGTTTGATGAAATGAATGCAACATTCTTGCTTTATTTCCTGATAATTTACCAGCGAAAGTTAAATCAAATTAAAGAAGGGTGTAAATTCCGCTCTTGTTTCTGAAAGTTGATGCAGAAAACGCAATATATGAAAGATACACACTGACAAATGCAAACACAACTATGGCAGTGGTTTTTAACTCTTGTGAATGCAAAGAAATAAAATAACCACTATTACCTGCAATCTTTTAATTTGTAATTGTAGATTTAGAAAAATGATCCTATAGTATGTAAAGGATAACGTGTGTGAATTAAAACCCTGACCGGGTGAGTGGGGCCCTGATTGCTCTTGACTCAGGGAGAACCACCTGTTCACTATACGATATCCTGCTTATTACCAACTGGAATCAGAAATAATTTGACACAAAATATTAAAATAATCTTAAAGCTGCTTTTGAATTTCTTCCTCTTCTTGTAGTTGTTATTAGTCGGAGACAGAAGAGAGTCCAGCTGATGCGGATTCGGGAGAAAGACGCCAAGAAGCGCCAGCAGTCAGGTGGGCAGGAAGGCACATACCGCCGTAAACCCACTCCAGTGAAACGTTACGCTGGGGATCTATTGGCACCGGTCAGTGTCACCCCACAGAGCGTGTGCTGCTAAATTTAAGCCATAGAATCTTCATTTTTATCATTTTTTCTACATCTCTCTTTTTTTTTTGTTTTGTTTTCAGAGCTACCTGCAAAGTCTGCGGGACAGACAGATGGGCACTGGCACTTCCCTTAGCAGCCTGGGTACAGTCAACCACACCATGATTGACCTGGACTTTGAGACTGGGTCCACTGCCCCTCTCACAACAACAACCCCTGTTATCAGAGTCTGAGAAACTCTAAGGTTCGAAAGGACTGATCGGTGCTCGCTGGTTCCCCAGCTGTGTCTGCCTTAAGTAGAGCAGAACAAATAAACTGTTTCCTCAGCCAAGGGTTTATCCTGCCTCCAAATCGGCCCAGAGCGAGGATGGGAGTCCGCCTGGGTGTTCAGTGAAGGAGAAAGCTGCCTAGTCAGAAGTACATGTGTGAAGCTCCTGTTTGGTGAAAACTATAACCACTGCAAGCTGTGTGTTTCACAGAGAAACACTCAAGACGGATATTTCACACAGCAAGGTCCTTTATTTCCTCTCATAATGAAGCGAATGCATTCAAAAGCAAGTACGAGCCTCGAGAAGTATATTTCTGTTTTTGTCGTGAAAATGACTCAGCAATATGTTTGACATTACATGTACTGTACTCAAAAAATTAGTCATCGCCATGAAGTGTTGTTTTATGATTTCCTGTATGGTCAATATGTGAAAGATTGTCACTGAATAACCTTTTTTTAGAGGAAAGTAAATATGATATTTAGTTGGATAAATGGACATATAAAAGTGAAGCAAAAACTAGACAATGCAACTGAAATAGTTTGTTTTTAAAAGCTCTTTGTTTGAGCTTTTGGCCGAATCTTTCTCAGCAGCACTCTTAATCCTACGACTTTTTGTGTGTGTGTCAGAAGACAGTAGATGAAGATTTGTGTATGCTTGTGGATTAAGCTTTTATAACTTATTTTATATAATAATAAAGTAAATTGTACATTTGACAAAAAAAAGAATAAAAAACAAGCATGACTGTTGTTACTTTGTAGAATTTTGAATTTTCATACCTTTTGTCGTGTGGATTTTACAGAAACAAAACACTTTGTTACCTGTTTATGTACATACTTGTTGATAGAAATGTCAAAGATGAATAAATTTGTTTGATACAAAAACAGAAACTTCTATTTGTTCGAATCGGAGAAACTAAGCTGTTCGCCCCTTTAGGCTCTTGGCAACATTGGCAGCATTTTTTTTTTTTTTTCATGGAAAAGAAAGAGGTCATAGGGAGGATTTCCTACTCTGCCAGTGGTTGGGCTTTTCATGGTCCAAGTTCTGTGTGTGTGTGTGCATGAGTGTATCAGACAGTACGGGACAGATCAGGCTTTTATCATGATAATTGTTAAAGTTATTGAGTCATTTAACTGGTGAAAGGAATAAAATCAAGAATACAGTTTTACACTTCTCATTTTGTCTCGTTTAATCGTAGAAAATGTTGCACATAGGTCACACACACACATATGCCTCATGATGTCTCACAGTCCATCCATGAGATCATAGATGTGTTTAGCTACATTTAAAAGGGTTGCATAATAAGGCTGAACAGAAAGTGCACACTCCCACCGTCATATTACATCTTACAGAAAGCATTCTTAATCCAACACATATGTCTGAGAGAAAAACAGAAGGCGTCCCTTGATTTCTCCCTGAGATCATAGAAAAGTTACATAACACACACACACACATAGTCACGAAAACAAAAACTCAGAAAAATATTCAAAAAAACATCCTGCACTGGAGAGCAGGGAGTCACTTGTTTAAAATCAGATCCAGTGAAATAAACTCAGTACAGCTATGAATCACTGCCTTGAGGTTCCCTTGTTGTCAATGCCCCTGGAATGTATAACCAGCGCCACCTGCTGGCTGATTCTCTCTTGATGCTTTCTGCCCCCTGGTGGTTGACTTTTAGCACTGCATCCAGCGCTCTTTCTTGCTCAGTGGGTATCCTTTGTCGACACGCAGCATCTCATTCACGCGCCAGTACTCATCCCCCTTAAAGAAGAACACTTTCCCATTAGTCCAGGTGAAGGCTGCGTCTGGACTTGAGGGAACCCCGGTGAAGAGCATTGAGAGCGGTTTGGGATAGTGGGATAGGTCGTTGTATTTCATCTCATCCCACTGCCAGTGATCTGACCCCTGTACAGCACAGACCAAAGAGAGAATTTTAAAAAAAAAAGGTACTAAATAAAAAGTTGATTTCTTTAGTGTTATTTATCTATGACAAGATTAAAAACAACTCTGAGATTACTAAACATACTTTTTGTAATTGCTTGGATTAATTAAGTGATTTAATATCTTAAGACTTTAAAACTTTTTTTTGTAACTTATTTAGGTATGCATGCTTATTTATTTATATATTTCGACAACACCCTGAAAGTTGTATGTTTGCCTGTACTGGTTTTGAACATTTGTCTCTTGTGCACAACAAAACAAAGCAAATAAAAACATTTTGACAGAAAACAGAAGTTTTCTGTAGGACAGCAACAAAAAGGGTGAGTGGGAGGGATTGTTTATACGATCAAATATACAAACAGTACAATTGTAGACAAGAAATTCCCTATTTTTTGGAGCTCAAAAAGGAGTCGGTAGGAGCTGTTGAGCTTATTTGTACCTACCCTCATTCCTTCCTATTCGTTGACCCTTTACTTTTCTAGAATTTTAGAATTTCTGAAGTCACCAAAAAGTAACTAAAGCTCCAAAGTCTAACATGAATATGTAACAAATCATTTATACTGAAACAAATACCTTATATATATACATATATCCATACCTATATACAGGTATATACACACAAATATGCATTTTATATATATACCTAGAATGCTACAAATCTCTCATTTGTACCATACCCATATGCAATATAATAAATGTGACAAAACGCAAATCACTTATGTATTTTTCAACCATACTCTGCTTCAATTTACTTTTAAAGTGTGCCATTGTTTTAAAAGAATCGATCCTGAGTCACTGTTTTGTGTCACATTTGTTCATACCTTAATAAAGACTAGTTTCTTGTTCCTCTCCAGGTACAGAGCCGCATCAATACTGTGAGGAATTCGTTTAACTTCTTTGGGATATCCCCAGTCCAGACTGAAGCCGGTGTACCTCCACACTTTGCTGCCTGTGACCCCATACAGAACAAATGTTTAGGTGGAAAACTGAATGTTTAAGATACAGCAGCAGATAAGGACATGAACTGTACCTTTCAAAAAGTAGGTCTTATTGGTTCTTGGAGAGTGCACAGCAGCATTCAGGTTCCCTGGGAGAGTCGTCCAGAGCCGAGTGATCTTTATAGGTGGGTTGTGTCCCAGGTCAGAGATGGTCCAGACATAATCACCACTGAATGCGTAAGTTTTCCTCCAAGGACCTGTTTTTAAAAAAACACTGAGCTACTAAACTGTTTCTGAGACATGATAGGATAAAAATTCAAGTCTTTGTATGATAGGAGAGCCAAATATGAAGATGTTGAAGCCCATTTAAAAAGATTAAAGGGATATTCCGGCGTAAAATTATTTTAGGATCAAACACACTGTAACACCGAGTTAGACACCCCCTCAAGAGATGAATGTTGCCGACCGCTTGCTTCTCTAGTCATACCAATTTTAGTAAAGACCGCATGATAGCAATACACAGCAGTCTGAGGAGCCATAAACAAACATCAACCAAAACACCACTCTAGCCACTCTATAGCCGCAAATAATGCTCAGAAGAGCACCTAACTTCATCAACAGTACATATAGGGTCCCAGCCACAGCACTAGCCACCAAACATCTTTTTAGTTTTCCCTAATTTCTTTTGCAAAGATATTAAACTCACCTACTCTTTTTCAGCGGCCGCTTGTTTGTTGCGAGACCTCGGGCCAGTCCATTGTGGACTAGAGCGGGGTGACGCAGCTCAAGGAAGAACATTTATGATCACTTCTTTATCATTTCCTTGAAGTACTAATCATCATATTAATCATTTTGCACTGCAGATGCGGTAGTTCCTCTGCCTTAGCGTCTCGATCTGCATTTCCATGAAGAAGTGATCATAAATGTTCTTCCTTGAGCTGTGTCACCCCGCTGTAGTCCACAATGGATTTGCCCAAGGTCTCGCGACAAACAAGCGGCTGCTGGAAGAGAGTAGGTGAGTTGTGTTTGGTCTCTTTGCTAAAGAAATCAGGCAAAGCTAAAAAGATATTTGGTGGCTAGGACCCTACATGTACTGTTGATGAAGTTAGGTGCTGTTCTGAGCATCCTGTATTCTGTATTACATGTATCCTGTATTACAATTATGATTTTAAGAAACTACTATGGAAAGATTGATTGACTGATTGTGTTGTGGTCAGAGTTTCTTCTCAGCTTTAACCCTTTTCTACCCCACTTACTCACCCAACATGATGGCATCCAGGTCAGCAGTACAAGGGTCAAATGGGCTCTCAGTCTCATGGCTGCTCTCTGTGGGAGTCAGACTGGCAGTGCTTGTTGCTCCTGCTAAGCTGCTGCCAACACTTTTTCCTACAAAACAGAAAGTTGCAAAGGTAAAGGAGAGGAAACTAAAGTAATATCATGGATTTGCAAACTGTAAAAATCAACTTAAAATGGACATCTCTGATCCTCTTATGTCTTCTCTGCTCTCACCATATAAGGCCTGGATGCCTTGGACGTCATCAAAATGCAGCCTGAAGTTGCTCTGGTATCCGTTGTAGACTGGAGACATCAGAGCTCTCCTATACTCTGAGTGAAGGAGGCCGAGAGCGTGTCCGATCTCATGAGCTGCAACGATGCGCAGGTTCGAGCCATAATATGTCCCCTCAGTCCAGAACTCATCATCGTCAAAGTGGACAATACCAGATTCTGGTGACTCAGCATGAGCCAGAACACGTCCTGTTTGGGAAAAAGTTAAACACTTAGAGTAGTTTGTGTTTCAGGGGTGAAAGAATGCAGATTAGAAATAAACACTAACCAGGGCCATCAAATGGGACCAGGCAGCCGTCTTTCTTGTGGAAGGAGATCTTAATGTCTGGTCTTCCATAGCTGGTTTCTCTGAAGGTCAGAGGAGTCACATCGCTCCAGTACTTGAAGGCAGAGCGGATTGCACTGTCCACGTTTGATCTCTTCATGTCAGGTGTGTAGTTGTAGATGCGGTATGTCAGACTATTCTTTCTCCAACGACCTAGAAGAGAATTATTTTAGCTTCAAACCCAGCGAGAGTTTTCTTAATCAGTAAGTTTTATCTTCCCAAAGGACACCGATGTTAGTGGCGGAAGGGGCGTGTCGGTAACACTTAACAATAACCATAATTTATAAATGGTAAATAGATAGTTTATTAACGTTTAATCATCATTTATAAACAGCATCTACACCAATTATTAATGGCAAATAGATAGTTTATTAATGTAAGTTAATAGTTACTTTACCATTAAGAAGCTATGAAATTATGATTAATAACTTTCATTAATTATTAATGGACTATTTATAAATGGTTTATATAGGGTTTAAATATCGGTTGTAAAACATCTAGATTAAATGGTTAATATTTGGTTTTTAAGCCATCTATGAACATTACTTAGATGGTTATTATAAAGTTGCAACTGATGTTTGTAATACTTTATAAATGATTAATAAGTGGTTTATAAACCATCTATAAACATTACTTAGACGGTTATTGTAAAGTTAGGGTTAGGTTCTTAAAATTGTAAAATTTATTAATGGTCTATATGCTATTTATTAATGATGATTAAACATTAATAAACTATCAGCTTATTAATTAGAAATGGTCTATTTACCATTTGTAAGTTATGGTTATTGTAAAGTGTTACCGGCGTGTCCAGACTTTTTAGACTGATAGATATGGGATGAATTATTATAATAAGACAGATGTTTACAGATGGTTTCTTTTTGAATATCTCACTGATATTAAGTTCTTCAACTCTTCATATAAAAGGATTTTTTTTTTGTCAGTCTACATAATAACTAAAACTAGTAAGTTTGTGCTCACTGGTTTATACCTGTTGAGTTTGTTTTAACCACAGCAAGATGCTTTTCATCCAGTTAACAAATGAGGCAGTCAATGTTGCCGCTTTATCCAGGTTTAACAAATCCAAAATATATCAGATAAAGAGGTTCCAGACACTCTGCATTACTCACCATTCACTCTGAATTTGTGGTGTTTCTTGTTGAAGTTGTCCTCCATGCCACAGCGGGGTGCTCTCATCACACTCAAGGTGGCTTCATCTGGTTCACCCGTGGGTGGGAGATCATTGGCCCTCTGGAAAACCCTGCAGAAAAAAAACAAAACATACAATGACAACTGCAACTTCATTTTTAAAACACAAGGCGGGCTTCTGCTATTCTCCTCCTCTGTATCTTTGAGATTCCACAGACCCCATACAGGCACAGTGTGTTTGAAATATAACTTTAAGTCTGATCCTCCCTTAACAACAGGTCAGTGAGTTTTACCGGAGAGCCTCTATGATCTGTTCCAGATTCTCAGGGTCCTGTGAATCAGCGTAGTCACTCAGGTAGCCAAACTGCCTCAAATAGGCCTGTGTGTAAAGAAGCAGACAACAAAAATCATATTATATCCTCATTAAGCCTGATTTTACATACAGTTTTCCTTTTTTGAAATCATCTGAAAGAAAACTATAATCTCACCTTTGCTTCATTGAGATCTGTCCACTGCACCGCTGCACTAAAAGCTCCACTGATGTTGAGCAGCAGCAGCAGCAGCAGCAGCGGCCCTTTGGTCTCCATGTTTAAGTTCAAACAAAGAGTTTTCTGTCAGTAGTATCCAGGTCAGATGCTCACAGTCTGGGGAGTGCTCAGAGGAGTCCCACAGCAGACTCTGTTTGTTCTCGGAGTTCTGCAGCAGCTTTAAACTCACCCTGGGGCGCATGAGTCAGTCCTGTGGCTACGATGATCCACCTCTGAAGAATGAGGATGACAAGAGCAGCCAGCTGACCACAAGCCAGCACGTCTGCTGCTCGAGTGTACAGCTGTTCACAGGAGACCAGGAACCCCGGCTGTAAAATTCATCTCCTGCGACAAAACTATTCTATAACATGCAATCTCACTACTTTAGGGTCAAAGCTTTTCAGTAGCTGAAACACTCCTGTCTGTCCTACAGCATGTATTAAAGCTCAATTATGGTCCCAAACCACCGGTCTCACCTGACACAAATATTTATCACTCAAATTACACAATTTAATCCATTATAAGGCACATCCATGCTTGCAGGTAACAAAAGATAGATGAGACACAGGGTTGGAATGCAAATACACGGTGTCAACAACAATATCTAGTTTTCTGTTTAAAGATTGAAACGGTAAAAGATTAAAAGGTCCTGTGTTTGCATGTAGAACATGAAGTGACCTCTTAAAAACCATAAAAGACCTCTCTAGAGACCATTTGGTGTGTCCTCTCTGACTTATTTCTGAAAACTGATGTTGTAACACGGCAGACTAAGTGTAGGGACCACTCCCATATTAAGAAAAAAAGTCCTTTTACCACTAACAAAAACACCTCCAGCCATATAAGTATTTTATTTTTCTCACGTTGTTTTGAAGACTTTATGTCTCCAGGACATATTTCATGGAGCTTTGAGCCAAAGTTCTGAGTTAAAAATAAAAATATCATTTATATAGTCATAGAAATGATAATGACTACAGTGTTTAATGGTTCAAAAAACACTTGTACATTTAGGTCCAAGTTCAGGTCGAGGTTGAACATATTGGTAGATTTATTTTGTATCAAGACGATGACATTCAGTTTAACTAATTAGATCATGGGACTAAACAGTACGAGTTGGAATAAAACATTAAAAACAAGGAAACAGGATTAAAAGTTGTTAGCTCCATCGAGGAAGAACATAACTGAAAAAAAGGAATCCGATAGATAAATAACTGTTGGAACAAAACCTAGATATAAGCAATGACAAAAGGCTGATATAAATGCCTCTGCAGTCTCATTTTGCTCTGCTCAGTGATACTTATTTGTTCAACACCTTTAGACTAAAAACCTCCATCCAGAGAGAAGAGCTGCAAAGAGTGAGAGACATGGATTTAATCAGACTTAACTGTCTGATGGACAGATCATGTACGCTATTCCTCAGACAAGGACGGTTTTTGGCGAAAGCGCTTCCAAGGCTTTTGCACCCTCCTCCTGGTGTAATTTACAGGGTTATTTTAAATTGGATTATCTGCCAAGTATGGAACATTTTAAAACTAGAATTAAGGAGTTTTTGAGTACTGAATGCACATGTCCTCTTACTGAACGCCGATTTATTGTTGTGTTTTGCATACTGTAACTGTTTTGTTTATCTGCATGTTTTTCTTTATGTGGAGCTTCTTGTGCTGCTATCCTGGCTAGGACTCCTTTGTAAAAGAGATTCTGAATCTCAATGGGTTTATTTCCTGGTTAAATAAAGGTTACTACTACTACTAACTTTGCGCTGTACCTTTCTGGTGAATGTGGATTCACTAATCAGCCAACTAGACAATTCACATTTTGGTTTGACGGAGCTCCTCTCTTCAAAAGATGAGTGAAAAAACTATGACAACACAGAAAGAGACAAGACCAATTCATCAAAAACATGTTAAAACACGCTCATGATGGTTCCGTTAGTGTGAAAATATGATTCTTTGATCTGGACTTTTCAGAGCTCTGCAGTTATGGAGGAATGGAGGAACTCAAATACAACTGAAGTATTGCAAGGTTACAGAAGACTGCTCTGTTTGATTACAGCTTATACTAGCATTAGCTTGAAGTCCAGCTGGTCTCAAGATGTTCTTATAACATGGGAACCCAAATCTCCTTAAAGGAAGGAGGAACAGCTCTGTTAAGAAGTGTTCCTGATGGATAAACAAGCTCAAAATAGCCTTGTCTGTCTTCAATAAACCAGTTTGAAACGAATACAGTAATGAGCGGGGTATTTCTGTGTCAGCAATGAAGCAAAGGGATGTTTGACACTCTGAGTCAAGGGTTTGTAAAGTGGACAGAGATGCAAAAGCGTAGTTTAAATCAATCACGAACAGAAATGGAGCCTCCTCAAGTCTTTTCCTGGTTCTGAGTGTATAGCAGGGTCCATTTCTAAAATAAAAGCCAATCCTCACCTTGAGCATTTAACCATATTGCTAATATGTACATTAAATGAAAGTTTGTTGTCTGTCCAAACACCCAAGCACTTGCAGGAGGTCCTATCCTCAATATACTGTCTGTTCACCTTTAGAAGAGAACATTTTAAGCTTTTGAGAAGATAGAAATAACAAATACAGATAAAATAAGAAAATCCTCTTTTATCCTCTCTCCTTTGATTATTTCCTCACAGACGCCTCTAACAGGTATTTTTTTACAGTGCACACAACACATTCCTTACTGTATCACAACTTCACACACAAAGAAATTAAACCAAAGCTTTTGTGCACTGGTTTGCATTTACCACCAATGTGACACAATGCTGGGTATTTGCTGACAGAATGAGGGGCAAAACCCGAGTCAGCTTTTTCTGCTTCCTATCTACTGTATTCAGTATGAAATTCATGAAAGATCAGAAAGAGGAAACAACCAAGAAGTGGGAGTAAAGCGAGGTTATTTTTGGATAAAGCTGTTTTTAACATGTAACCAGACAGCTGTTTCCCAAATATCACTCTGAGACATTATTTTTGAGATGTTTGATCCAAGTAGGAGTGAATTGACGACATGCTGGAGGATGTTGTGCGTGTGTCCTCGATCGTACGCTGCTGAGGAAAGCAGTTCACTCATTTTTGATCATTTCCTTGAAGAGTGATGAGTAGTTCTGCTGACTTACTCAGAGCAGCATCGAACATCTGTAACACACAAAACAGATTAATTCTCATAAAAGTCACAGACTCCCCCAGAACCAAATAAAACCTGTTTTATTTATTTGTTTGCTGACATTTCCCTCTCCACGATTTTACTCATTTATGACTCAAAGGTGGATCAGAATGAAAAGCTTACGATGAACATGATTCAGACACAACTCCTTAACTGGGTCAAAGCCTGCGATAAATCCAGAAACATGAATCTCACAGCAGATATTACACAAAAAAAACTCAAGATTTATCATTTCTAAGCAATGTTTGTGTTGCACTGAGCTTCACCCGCTATCAGTGTTTGTGTTGCACAACTGGACATGTCCAGTTTGAGTCTTACTTGTCCTCCCTTCCTCTCTGCTGGTCATCTTCCTGGCAGCTGCAACATCTTTGTATGCTGTCTGAGTCATTTCATATCCTGTTTCCTCTGTTACCACATCTAGGAAACACAAACTAAAAGTAGGACAAGATACATATGTAGAAAACTGCAGCAAGTGTTTTTCTTTTTTTTGTCTTTTCTTGGGGGGTGAATGATGTGTTTTCAGGCTTACATTCTGGAAATGAGGTACTACAAATGTCTAGAGAGATGAATTTGCTGTTGAAACTTAATAATTTACTCACGCTAACATCAGGTTTTCATAACAAAAACATGGCTGACAAACATACAAAAGCACAGACTGTGTTAGTCATGTAATCTTACATGCACCAAATTTTCCCAGTTTCTTTCTGCAGTTTTCCAAAAATAACAACAACAAAATCAACCTGGAAAAGATGAAAAACTATAAAGATCCAGAAAGTCCAGACGGTGTCTCGTCACTGTGGTTTTGGGAGTTAAGACAGCTGTGGTTTATAAACTAAATGGTTCCTTATATCAAACCTTTTCTATTTGAGCTTTAAAAGAATCAAGGATGGACCAAATGAAAAAAAAAAGTATAATTAGTGATTCATGTGCCACACATTAAGATTTAGCAGAAAGCACTTTTTTTTTAGTTTAATTACAGCTTCATATTTATTTGGGGCAAATATGTCGTCATTAATTGCCCCACCTTAGCCGGGGGCCACAGTTTATCCTCATTTACAGACACTGAGTCATTCAGGCCCTCATAACCTTGTCTTAGATGAAGTACAAACGTAACCCTACAAATTTACAAAAACTTCATTCAAAAAAAATTTCCGATCAAAAAATTATTTTGCGACAAAATAAATTATGTTAGTGTGCTTTATTATTACAAAAGTAAGGTGCTATTTTCACTTAGACAACCAAAGAAACTCTTATTTTTTCAGTTTAGTTTTGGGGGCTTTTATACTTTTATTGGGAGGATTAGACAGTGGAGGAGGAAACTGGAAGAGAGAAAGAGAGAGAGGAGGTAAAGATCCACATGTCAGTGTCTAACCTTGGCCACTCACTTTCAATGATTATGGCCAATGACCACAATGAATTATTACAAACATTAATGGGGCTAATATGTATTTGGCTCTTGTGTATCCACACAAAAACACAATTTTGCTTCCCTAAACAAAAACTGTACAAGTAGGTTAAACATGAAGCTTATCAGCTTAAATTGACTTAAATTGACTCAACACACAATTTTGTTGTTGTTGTTTAGGTTAATGCCTGTCTGCAGTGTGAATATCAGATGACAATGATACTTAAATTTTAGTCATTCAAATTAAAGCTCCAATAAGGGACTTTCTGGTTCTGTAAATGTAAAGGATAGTTTCAGACAACACCATCACTCTGGTCCATATGTTTACATTGTGTATACTTCATACTACTCTTGTGTCATATTTCTATTCCCATATACCTAAACATGTGCAATATTCCAAATCACTGATGGACAACATACATTCATCTGCACATTACATTTATGCTACTTCTGTATATTTACCATATGTATTCTGTTAATAGGATCTCAGGACTGTGCACTTTATATTTTATAGTTATACATTACATTTATGCATATCCGTACCATATTTATCCTGTTAAAAGAATCTCAGGTCCACATGTTTACATTGTATATACTTAATAATAATCTCGTTTCATATTTTCTATCTATCTTTTTTCCAATGTCTTGCACTGATATGGGTGGCTTTAATCTCATTGTACTGCGTATAATGATAATAAAAGGCATTCTGACTGACTGTAAATATATGTAGGGAGAAAAAGTGAGAAAAAAAAAAGTGTATTTCTTGAGTGTGTCGTCTTTCACAGCGAGATGATATCAGGCTTGGTTTTGTGAGGCAGCACCATCTGTTAAACTGGTTTAAAAATGGGGTGGTTTTCTCAGAGACAGAAGTGTGTTGGGCTAAAATTAGAGCTTCTTAATAATCATCATTTTGTTTACATATTACACGACACATAACAGCGTTGCTTGGTTTAACACAACATCACAAAAATTAGGCTGTCAGTATGACTAAAATAAGACAAATATGACTGAATGTTTCTGTGAACATCTTGAGTACGGTTTTATTTTGGTTAAGCTGTATAATTCAAACAGAGATATTTAGATGAACAGTGAATATTCACTAATACTCTCTTGGTTAATGATTAAACTTAAACCCTTCACATGACTTTTTGCTGTCACCTCCTTAAAGAATACCTGATGAAGATCAAGTTAAAAGTGTGCTGGAGGAAAACTTGAGCTAGATCTTGTCAGTAACATGCTTGAAATTAACAGAAAACAAGTTAATGGATTAAAAGGAAATAATATCATATTATTCAGCAACAAAGCCACAGTTCAAGATTTACAAATGCTCCCAGAGTTTGAAAACTTCATAGTTGATTCCAGTCTTTGTAAATCTCAGTTATTATCTCGCAAGTCAAACAATCTGTTTAACGGTAATAGTCTTCATTTAGAAGTATGACACAATTCTCATCAACATCCGAGTGAGGTGAATTAATCTTATTAAATAAGCTTTAAATTAGGACACCTTCCATTTATCGTACATCTTCAGCTTTGTGAGAGTCAACACTGATAACAAAAATAGATTCTTAGCTTTAACATATCACAACGACTCAGAATGAACTGAATCATATTTTCCCTTAAGACTGAGGTGTAAGAGAACTGTCACAATAAAAAAAATACAGATCTTGCTCGGGTTTGGTCACTTATTTTAACTCAGTTAGTACCGAAAATCTGTCGGATAACCCAAGCAACATATTGCATCAAAACCTGGATAAAAACCTGCTCAGGTAGTACCTCAAAAGTTCATCATAAAACTGTTTTTTTCCCTCTACCTCTATTCCTGCTGGGCGATCCATTTAAAGGGATAGTCCGGCGGAAAGTTTAATTTAGGGTCAAACACACCGTAACACCGAGTTAGACATCCTGTCGAGCGATGAATGTTGCTGACCGCTTGCTTCTCTAGTTATACTAACTTTAGTAACGACCGTACAATAGCAATACACAGTGGTTCCAGGAGTCACACGCTCAACCGAAAAGCCGCTCTATAGCCACAAATAATGCTCAGAACAGCACCTAACTTCATCAACAGTACATACAGGGTCCTAGCCATAGCATTAGCCACCAAACATCTTTTTATCTTTGCCTGGTTTCTTTAGCAAAGACTAAACACTACTCACCCACTTTCTTCCAGCAGCCGCTTGTTTGTAGGAAGACCTCGGACGAGTCCATCACAATCGAAGCAGGGTGACGCAGCTCAAGGAAGAACATTTATCATTTCTTCATCGAAATTCAATCAAACCAAGACCGCTGCAGTCGTGATGGACTCACCGAGGTCTCTATGTACTGTTAATGAAGTTAGGTGCTGTTCTGATCACTATTTGTGGCTATAGAGCAGTTTTTTTGAGCGTGTGACTCCTGGAACCACTGTGTATTGCTATTGTGCGGTCGTTACTAAAGCAAGCAGTCAGCAACATTTATCTCTCGACAGGGTGTCTAAGAGATGTTATGGTGTGTTTGACCCTGAATTAATTTTACGCTGGAATACCCCTTTAACCTACCACTCTCGCTGGCCTTTCTCTGCCAGCGATCAACCTTTGGATTCTCGATGTGGCGCACACCTCTGAGTCTATTCCTCGCTCTCATCCTCTCTGATCTTCACCTTCACTCGGTGCCAGGCGTTACTCAGCACCCCTCGCAGGTTCCAGATGGGAGGAACTGAATCAGGCTGCATGTTGTAACTGTTGTCCACTGCTTTGCAAACTATCTCCAGCTCCTCAGCTTCTGCAGGAAGCGCAGCCGTCACCTCCCAAAGCTTCCACGCCCACGCCTGTCCCGGTGGCGGCGAGGGTTCAGGCGCTCGTTCTTTGTCGCCACTCCTCAGTTGAGCCACCTGCCAAGTCTTCCCTCCGTCTACAGAAACGTCCACACGCACCACCTCTCTGCCTCCGCCGCTCCAGGCGTAACCCTTCACTGTCACCTCCTCAGCGCTGCGGTCCACGGTCGCCCCGTCTGCTGGCGTGGTGATGGCGGACTGAATTGGAAGTTCTTGGATGGCTGGAGCAGACTTAAAGTCCACCGAGTCCCAGTCTGTGCCAGGTGAGAAGCCCTTGTAGTCATTCTGCTGCCAGTGGCTGCTGCTTTCCTCGGCACTCACAACGATCTTTCCCAACCATTTGACATTACGTGCGCCCACCGTACCAGGTACTACAGCACGGACAGGAAAGCCATGGTCAGCAGGGAGTTCTTCGCCGTTCATTTCATAAGCAAGGAGCACATCACCTTCCTCGCTAACAGCTTTGTTCAGCGGGATAGAAGCCCCATATGTTGTCCCAGTCACGTCTTTGTCCAGTCCTTCAAACTGAACATGACGTGCCCACTTAGCCTCGTCCTTAGAGTAGCCAGCAGCTATCAGCACGTCTCTCAGCCTTGCTCCGCTCCATGTGGCGTTGCTAATGGCGGCGATGCCCCAGTTCAGTCCTTTCACCTGCTTCACTTTGTTCATCTCTGAGCGGCGGTTTCCAGCACACTGCAGAGTGGCTGTGATGGTGTGTTTTGGGAACCGAGTCTTCAAGTCTTTTAAAGATAACGTCAGTGTCCCTTTAGGGAGTCCTTCCACCTGGAGCTGATAAGAATCAGGGTCCACCTGAGGGACCGGCAGGTGGTTTCTTTTGAAGAAGATAGCAGAGGGGGTGATGTAGCTGTCAGAGAGGATTTCAGGCGGCGGCTCTGCGTTGAAGGGTTTGAGGCTGTTGATTCTAAGGATGGGGTGACGCTGAGGGTCGGTGGAGAAAGGATCTGATGATTTGACTTTCTGCTGCTTCTTCTGGTCCTCTAAACTCAGCTCACCAACCTTTATTTGAACAACAGTTTCAGATTAGATGAGTCAGACACAAAATACATCGCAAGTTCTTTTAAGATAAATCAAAGCTCAATTAATAGTTTTTTCTTTTCTAAATTTTCTAAAAGCAAATTTTTATTAGATTTAAATATCCAACAGATGCTTTGGGCGGGCATTATACTGTGAGGGCATCCCCGGTTAAGTTTGTTCAATTTTTGCTATTTTTTTTTTTTTAAGTTTGGGAGTTTTTACATAATCAATTTTTCATTTTATTTCTTAGTCAGACTTATTTTTTTAAGGAGATTTAGGCATGTTTCAAAAACACAGACTTAAGTCTACAGGATGTTCCAAATGCCAACATCTACACCTAATATCGACTCTGGTGTTATCTGCATAATATAATCCTTAATATAACCCTTGTGAGAGGGATTTGGGATGAAGTCCTTGTTTGATAGACTCTTTCTGACCACTGCTAATCTGCAGAGACTGCAGATCTGTTTTCTACAGTTTTTCTTTGTTGAATTTGTTTTTCTCACCAAAGGATTCAGAGGCCACTGCTGTGTGTCCAACCTTACTTGTGGCTAAACCCAAAGTAAAACTTATCCCTAACTATTTTTTTAACCTCATTTAAATGATCGACCCCTGAGAGGTCAGTCACCTTATACTCTGAGAGGATTTCCAGCACATGTTCCTGGTTGTGTACGGCATACAGCGACCAAAAGGGTTCAAGAGCTCCTCCTGCCGCCAGCATGATTCTATCCCCACCAGGATGCATGGCCACAAACTCAGTGATGTCGTAGACACCACCTTTGTAAGTGACCCACACACCATCTTCTATGGAGCGGTGACTGGTGACCTCCTCCTGAGTGTAGATGGGAAGAGCTGAGGTCTTCCCTATAGTCTGAACTTCGTTGGACCCTGACTGCTCTGCCTGTGGCAAAGAGAATAAAGGAGATGTTATCGACAATAAAACATCATCAGACACAAGAAGAAAAAGGGCAGAGTTCTGTCTGGAAGAAGGTTACTTGGTTAAAGATGTTTTTGAAATGACATTATCAGTCATTTCTTCATTAACCACTGGTCTGGATTTTGAGAGCGGTGTCAAGATCTTGCCTACCCCTCCAAGTATCCAAGCAGTTTAGTCTGAATAGAATTAAAAGCCAAATATCTGTTGTGCAATAGACTAAAATCACAAACTGTCCTTCTCAGTAAAGAGCTCATTAAATCCATTCTGAGGGCACGAGTTTTGCTAGGGCATAGTGTGTCCCCTGATGGTCAGGGTTAAATTCCACCCCTCAGCCATCCACGCTCTCACTCCCAAGTATTGACGTTTTCTCTTCAAAATAGAAGACACAACTTACAATAGATGAACTTAGATGTCATTTTCTGTGTACCATGTGACACAAGAGGATGCACCCATACATGGACACACTATAAAACACTAAAAAGTACACTTGGACTCCTACCTTCAATAAAGAGCCTTTGTTGTGAAAACAACAGATAAGTCATCTGGTAACCAGTGGGACTTTTGTTAGTGAAACAGCTGCATGTTAATGAGCTTTTGATGATTTTTAATAGTTTTTTTTTTTTTACTTAAATTTTATTTGCATTTTTTAACCATAACAGAAACAAGGCATACAGTCACACAAAGAAAAATATAAATAAAAACAAACAAACACAAAACATGGTGTCATTCACAGAAAAGAAAAGAAAATTGTCCATGTATCCACCATCAAAGTTGTCCATTTTTTTTAAGTAATGTGAAAATATTTATATGTCTTCAATTTTTCCCACTTTAGGGCGTTTATTTCTTAAAGGAGTCATAGAGCGTGTGTAAGTTTCTCCATTTCACATAGTTCTTCCACCGTGTTCAGACAGGTTTTCTGATTGGATGGATTCTCCTTACACTAATTCCTTGTGATGACCTTCTTTGATGCTGCAAGAAGTATTTCAGTCAAGTATCTGTCTTTAGTTTATATGTTTTCCTGCATAAGATTGCCCTGGTACTTTTTGGGAGCTCGTAACCTAATACTTTTCTTATTCCTTTACTTATTTCTTCCCAGTAGTTCGTTATTTTCCTGCAGCACCAAAAGATATGGGTATGGTCAACACCCTGTTCTCCACAGTTTCTCCAGCAAGGCTATTTAATAGTAATTAATTTTAATAGTCTTCCGTGTGTGGGGAAGAGGCACTTCCTACTAAAGTGAATGTCTGTAAACATGAACTATCTGTACCACTCCTACTACTATACCACTAGTTAAACAACAACAACAGTGGTTTTGAAAGAGACGGTTGTGTCATCGTGTTAATTATTTACACATACATAAAAAGATGCTGCCTGGAGTAGTTAATGTTTTCTTAGTGCACATGACAGTTATGAAGAATGAGAGTTAATCTCACTTACATTGTGTCAGAAGATGAAAAGATGAAAATGTGTCTTTATGTTGCTTTTGTTGACATTAATTTGACTTGCAGTAAATTTGAAGTCAAAATTCATAAATTTTAAGCTGTTATAAGGATGTTCAGGTGGTTATGAAACATTCTGGGATTCATAAGGATGTGTTCACATCGTCTATGCCAGCATACAAGGCCATCAGAGACATGATTCATTGTGTTTTTATGGTTATTTTTAATGCGTGTTAAGTATCAGATGAAGCAATGAACAGCATGCTGACAGCGGGTTTTTTATTTATACTTTCCATAGAAAGAAAGGAAGTTTCCTCAGAAGAGCTTTATCTATTACTTAATAAAACATTTTTTGAAAATTCAGTATGAGCAACATGTAAAGATGCTGATGTGTTTTTTTTTTTTTTATCAGTGATGGAATTAGATGTCAGTACCTGTTTTTTAAAAATTCTGTTCAAACTTCCTTCTTTCTTTTCTCTGTAGAGCTTAAACATCCAGCTCAGCTCAGGGTGTGAATGCACCTTGAGTCACATCAAATGCTGGAATAAATCCTGAAAAATGAGCTGACCTTGTGGACACTGTCCACTGTAAAAAGAACAAGGCCATAAAAGGTTGTGACTGACTGCAAACTCTGCAGAAAGTTTTGCAGCAGTTGTGAAAAGGACTGAAATTATCATAGAGGCCTCTCAGTCAAACAGTGCACTGGGAACAGCAGCACACCGGTCAGCCGATTGTTCCTAAAATGTATTGGTCACTGATACGATGTGTGTTTAGACATTTTTGTTAGAAACATATCTAATTGCCTTAATTTAGACTTGAAGTGTAAAAACAAATGACTCAGATTCTTTCCCACAGCTTTGATATCTTGCTCACCTGATGGTGGTGGAGGCCATAGGCCAGCACAGCACCTGTCCCAGCCAGCAGTCCTGCCACAGCATGTCTCCACCTGAGCCTGTGAGCATGGTGGTGCGACTTCTGGTCCTCACTGCTGTAACTGCTCCAGAGACGAATTGCACACGATGCAATGACAGGGGCTAATTGATACCTGTAAAACACACAAGCAAGAAAAAGCTTGATTCATGTATTCTTTAGGTCAATTTGTATATTGCAGTACAGCTGCAAACCTTAAGTTGAACATGTCTTAGAGATATTGAGATATGTTACTTTTTTTAAAAGGTACAGTGTGCAGAAATTAGCTGTGTGTGTGTCTATTGCAGGGAGGAGAGGGACGGGCAGGACTGGTGGAGAGTGCAAAAATATGTGCCAAGCCTCTTTTAGGGCCATAGAAAACTAAACTGAAATGGGCCCTTAGTTAGTAGCTCTACTATCAAGTCTTGATTCAGATGATTTCAGCAGGCTATCTGATGTTCAGTGAAATAAACAGCTTTTATACAGACAAAGTCAAACATGTGAAAAAGGTAAATACTTCAGCAAAGTTAGACCTACTTATGTGACTTTCTAGGTCCAGATATGTACCTGTTATGTGGCTGACAGCCGTGTGAAATCAATTAAGGAAAACAAACCAGACTGAGAACTACACATAAACTATTCTATAAACCCCCTAACCTATAACAATCTGAATAGAAAAACTGTTTTGTTTTCATTAATTTAGAATAAGTCCTTTATAGCTACAGAGTCCCTTCCACTGTGGCTGTCTTTCTCCTGTAGCACAGAATCGACTATCTAATAACATACCTGATTTTGTTTTTAGTGAGTGGCCATGCAAAATTTGCTAGCTGGGGGACAAAAAACAAGAGTGGTTGTTTTTTGCAAAAGAATTTGTACTGATAGCATTTTTAATGGTATAAAAATAACAAATGGTCCTCAAAAGCCACCATTGCTCCTCCAAAAAAGGAGGGGTGAACATGGGAGTGTTTCTGGCTGCTAGGTATCAATAAATATACCAATTTCTACACACTGTTCCTTTAAATTCAGTTCAAACCCATGTCAGCTACAGGAGAAATAAAGGCCAGGTAAAATAAAATGTGCCAAAGTATAATTTTGTTCAAGAACACTTACCTCTTAGTGTTGAGAGGGCTAAACCGAGTCAAGCTGTGGCAGCATCTGAGGAGCAGCATTGCACTGATATTCTGAGAGGAGACAAATATTTCATTTTAACCACACAAAGCATCTAACAAAGACAGTTTGTATTTCTGTGATCAAATATAACACACAAAAACAAACTGAAAGTGCAACTTTCACCAAACAGACTGTAATCACACATGATTTTATGCCAACAATATACAGACATTTAGTTCACTCATGTACACAAGTGTGTCATTGTTTTCAATAATATGATCATTTAAAAAAAAGGCAAGCAGATAATAGAATAAGAAACTAGAAAAGGGGCAGCTAATAGCAGATTATAGCTCAAACAGATTCTTTTAGGGACTGTGTAATCTGCTTTCATGGCTCCAAACCAAGCTACCAGGGAAATTCTGCTGAGTTTGACAGTACACTGTGAAATTTCCCTGGAGTGCCAAGGGCAAAAACTAAAAACAGTTTCACTAAATTTAGTGTTTGCATGCCAGATTTGGTGCATTAGCCAACAGTTTGAGCCAGTCAGACAATGACAGCTGGAGCAATTTAATAAGGAAGTGGTTTATGATGTTAAGATGCCAGTAAGGGCTCTATAAATGTTGAGAAAGAAACATCTGTCATGTCTTACTGATGATGATGCCCAACAAACATTTTTATACTGATGCAATGAAAAGTAGGACTACAACTAGGGATGAAAATTGCACAGTGTTTATTCCTCTTTGCTTGTTGACACTGTGACAAAAAATGTTCATTAGAATTCTGCAATGGGGCAAAAATTTTAGTTTACAGATACTGAGAACAAATCAGACAGATCAACAGAAAGAAATTAACAAAGAAAATGAAAACTAGCTCCTGTTGTCACTGCTATCTAATCAATATTTATTAAGATTAAGAGAGGACACACCTGACTGAACCTATACAGCATTACATACCAGCACTTAACATTGCAATCTGGATAATTCTGCAAGATTTTTTCCAACTTCAGCAGCTTCAAATAAAATTGAACCTTATTATTGGGCTGTGCATTAGACTTTACAGCAGGTAGGAAACATGCAAGTTCATAAACTGAGGTTGGCCAGCAAATATCTACGATAGTGGCAGCTGATAATGTAGGTTTTATCAGTGATGTCAGTATTCAGTGAGCATGACATAAAAACAAACATTCTCCTGTCTGCGTGGTCTTTTATTTGAAGCATTGCCTGACTTTTTCTGCAAAGACAACCAAACCTGCTTTCACCCCTTGGAAGTACATGTGAGTTTCTATAGGTGATGAAGCGAATGCTTTAACTCCTCCTAAACTGACCAACCAGCAGTGACTTCTACTTCAAAAGCAGCCAACCAGCTTAGGGGGAGTGAACAGAGCAGGGCCGCCTGCGCTTCAGTTCGCTACTCTCACACCATACAGATGTAATGTTCCACACAAAAAGTGTATCAAGCAGCGAATTGAGCAACTGACTCAAATCTATTCACATTTATCTACAAAATTAAACACAACATTATCACCTCCTGTTGACAAAGCTTTGACATTTAGACAAAGGAAAGTTAGGAAAGTCATGAGTCAATAAAACTCCAGACTGAGTCAGAGAACACAGTGATGCCTCTCACCTTAAAAAGAAAAACATCAAAGAGGATTGATCTGTGTGAAACTGGGTCACTAAACGAACAGCACAAATTGTCCCTAAAAAGAAAACCTCACAGCGTTAGAGTAGAGAAAATCATAGCTTGAGGTGTAGAGCATAGGTAGTAGCTCTCTCTTCTGGAGCAACATTGGCTGTTTTATCACTTTCACAGTGGTAATTATGATTATTCTACCTTATCTTCAACCAGCACTAACTGAGGCAGCACGCCTGCCAACAGCCAGAGAGTGCTGCTTCAGCTCACAGGGGTCAGGGGTGAGATGGGAACCTCAGTGACGAAAAGATAAGTTAAGCTATAACAGAGTCGCATGTCTACAGAGCTGGGTCAGGCCTTGTCCAACATGTTGGAGGAATAATTCTCTGACAAACTTAGAATAACAACAGGATCCAAGTGAGGCTTTCATATTTAAAATGGTGGAATATGATGCTCTTTAACATGTGAATAGAGGAGAAATTATTATATGTGGCCCATCAGTTCAAGTTGACAAGAGAAACAGTAAATAGTCTTATAAAGACAGGCTTCCAACAATCCTGACACATGTAATAATATTTATAACTTTATTTGTATAGCACTTTTAAAAACAGAAGTTTACAAAGTTCTTTGACATACAGTCATAGAGCACATGGAAAAAGACAGATTAAAACAAAAAGCTCAGTTAAAACAGAATTGAAGGCCATATTCATGCCATAAGGAACCCAGACAATACAAGAACTATGCAACGTAAAATGAGACCATGAGGACCAAAATAAAAATATAACATAGTTAAGAAAAAAGGAAAATGCAATTGAAAGGGAGGTCGAAAGCGGAAACAGGATAGTAAATATAAAAGGCAACATCAACATCAAATAATAACAGGTAATCTCGATAAAAATAGTAATGACAAGATAGAGCAACAGAAATGAGCAAGAGATAAAACAATAAAAGGCCTAAAGGTTCATTAAGAAAAGAATACAAATATGAAAAAAGTTAAAAAGACAGTAAAGCTGAAATAAGATAGAGGTAAAAGAGATAAGAGATGACCGATAAAAGATAAAGATAAAAGACCAAACGTCACATTTACTCTGCTATTTTCATTTTAAATCTGTGGAACAATCCTGTTCATTAACTTACTAAATATGCCACCTTCAAGGTCTGTGGTGCACAACAAGGGCGTAATGGTTAGTTTCACATCCCTTAGGTGAATTAATGTATAACTTTAAAAGCACTCAGGGTAATAAAACAGTAATTTGGTTGACTACCTCCCATTTTGATGTTGGATGAACATTAACAACAAAAAAATGATTTAGAGGAGAAAAAATAATTTAAGGGCACTCTGTTTAGGAAAAGAAATTGACCTTAACATTTGTTAGTTAAATTATTTAAATTGTGCTACTTCAGGTACAGAGGTGTATGTTGGAAATTAGCGTTACACAACATTTCGCCTCCAAATGCGCGTACAGCAGCTTTGACACAACCGAGGAATGACCAAAAACCGCCTTTAAGCAAAATACCAAACTTAATCATGTTTTAAACTCTTCGTGTTTTTATCATTTTCTTAAAAGACACAGTTATTGAATGCTACACTCAAGCAGCTGCAAGGTAAACATGTTTATTGACTTTACAAAACTTCTGTTTTTCTTTGCCTCAACATCTGTGGGTGAGATGAAATGTTTATCGTCGACGTTTAATTTGACAGTGAAGGGCTCATCGTCATTATCATCATCATTATCATCACCATCATCATCATCCTTTCAGCTAACTTCATATGCTAACATTCAAGTAAGCTAACCTGCCACTGATAGCCAATCCAGTCAGACCTCATCTGCTCAGTCACATAAAGCCATAAACAGAGGAGTTGTTAACGCTTAATTCTGTCATTTTGTCTCAATCAAAACAAACAACTCACTCGTGTTGTGTCGGTCCTCTCCTGAACTCAGGTACTCCAACGATGTTTGATTGAAAGCAATACGTTGCACAACTCTGAGCACCGAGCGAGTTACGTTCAAGACAACTAGTGCTGCTCATTCACCTCCGCCTGCTGTTGTGGAAAGCGCTCAGCCTGTCTCTCCAGGACAGGGGAGTTTAGGTCAGGCTAGTAAAGTAGGTTTATATAGCTCTCTTGTAAAAAGAGTGAAAAATATGAAGGTCTTTCACACCTGACCGCTAGAGAATGAGCTGGGTTTTAGAGTGAATGAATTATAAATCAACTTGGACGTAATGAACTCTGGCTGCTAAAAATCTCCTAAATGCACCACAGCAGTTGTCATCATTGCTCTCTGTTCATGCTGTTTTTGGGCCAGTAGAGCTAAATTCTGTATTTAAATAATTAACCATAGGAGAGAGTGAGGTAAGTTGAGCCACCCCCTGTTGCTTGGAAATGGTAAAAGAAATTGATCATGTGACCAAATATTTAGGAGATGGGCATCAATTTATGAGTCTGACGGTTAGAAGCACGTGGGTGAAGGGGTTAGACATTTATTTAAAAAAAAAACATTTTTCACTCTTGAAAGTGAATTTAGTCTGTCATAAGTTTTATTAGAAAAAGATAATTTTATTTTTTTTTTATTATTATTATTTTTTTTACATCAATTGGGGTATCTATGAGCTACAACATGAGGTCAAAAACCTAGCATAAAAGTCCACCATTTTAACTTAGAGGACTAATAAAGTCATAATAGTAGTTCTGGGGTAAGTTGAGTCAATGGCTCAACTGAGAAAGTAAAGGAGTCTGATGAGAGGATCAGAGTTTCAGTTCAGATTGTTGAAATGTGTTTACTTTTTTAAATACAGCTGTGAATGTTCTGAATCACTTAATGACATTCTTGTGTTGAAATGACTTTTTACAAAACAGCTTTTTGTGCAATATTAATGAAAAGAATTATTGAACCAGTTGAGCAGCGTATAATAGATAAAAATACACACGAATGTAAAGAAGTGACTGTTATTTAGGGAGAGAGAAGGCTAAGTTGAGGGTAAGTTGAACATGGAATGAACAGGAGACCACTTTTTTGGCATGCTATATTATCATGACAGTTATGTTTACACTCATTCTGTTGGTTTGCAGGGATGAACAACATCTTGAAATATATGCAGATACACTAGTTAGAGACAAAACTGTGGTTGCTTTAATGTAGTGATCTGAAATATGAAAGGTGGCTCATCTTACCCCACTCTCCCCTATAGACCACTGGTTAGCCATTTGGAACAGCTATGGTTATATTAATTGAAAATCCAACAAATTATTGGTTTGAAACTTAATTATGGGGCATTAATTAATTTGAGTCCAATACCATGTATATAGGCTTACCTACACCATTTGTTAAGGCTCCTGGAAGAAACCCATGTTAGTGAAAAATTTGACAACCCCCAGTGGTAAAAGTGATGCCTCTTATCCCTCTGTTGCTCTTGTTCTGTGCATGTGTAAATAGTGTATTCCACTAAACGAAGCGCTTCCTGTTGTCTTTGAACAATGGGACCTAAAGCCAAACTCAATGTTATTATTGTATTTGGATAAGTTTACCTTAATGAACTGTAAAGTTGCATTTTTTGAGTTGTATGCTTGGCAGACAATAAAAACATACATGCAAATAAAATCTGTTCCCTTGAAACAAAACCTACCTGAAAACTTGTCCCTTGTCCACTGAGGTTAGCAAAGAGCAGGGTATCAAAAAGAAATTGGTGACAATCTGGACAGTCACGTGAGTCGGTTGAAAATTAGCATAAACTTGTTCTGTTTACATCCAGTCTAAGATCAGCATATCCATTCTTTCAGAGCAAAATCAGCGCTGCCACGTATTCAAGAAAGTTGTTTTTGGCATTTGATTCTCTCCTCTCACCACCTGCTCCTAATCCCTCCAATCTGGTATCTCCAGACATTTTGTCTCACATTTACAGATAAGGTTTCTACCATCAGTAACTCATTCTCAGAGCCTGACCAGCTCTGCTTTAACCTCTGACTGAGGTTCACTCACTGCTTGGCTCTAGGCCCATGACCTGTCCCACTGGACCCAATCCCAGCGAATCTTAAGATAACCTTTCTGCCTACACTCAACTCAGCGATTACCCACATCATTAATTTATTGTCATCTGGGGTTTTACCTGAAGCATTTAGGCAAGCTCAGGTCACCCTGCCGCTTAAGAAATCCATTCTTAGCTTAGCTCAGTTGCACTGATGGTATTTTCTGGCACCGGTGTTGTTTTCTTCTCTTTAGATTTCCTCGTGTTGTACTTGCTCCCAAACGTACGTTGTTATGGGCATATTGCAACACACAGTGCTCCCGCTCTGTAACTACAGCTAATAATGAAACTCTAAGGAGCATCACAATTTCTTTTTTTAACACTTGTTCAAGGTTCAGATCAGGAACTTTTCTGTTACTGATTTCTTAGACATTTCTGACTGTGATCACAAACATTTATGAGGTTAAATATCACAGTTTCAGTGTAGTATTTCGACAAAAACATAACCAAGTGAAGTGATGTGACTGAAAGCGGTGGGTTTCCCCTGTTTAAGCTCTGTGCCAAGTTAGTCGAGTCCAGTCAAAACACACCCTGTGGCACGCGTCTAGTTGGTTTGTGTATGGAAACCACAGACTCACTGAAGCGTGCCGTCTGTGTTTTGATAACAGTGTGTCCAACTCTTCAGGTTTTTCTTACACTGCTCACTGAGTATTTACTGCAAAGGTAAACTTACCTCTATTATTTTGACGATTTATGCAGTTCAAATGTTTTTTATAATCTCAGATGTTTTTTGGTTCTGAGTTGTTTTCTTCCAGTGTCCTTGCTGTCCTTTGACACCCCTGTGACCTTTGTGTTGATTGTGGAAACAACTTTCAGACAGAACAATCCCATAAGTGTACAGGTGAGAGGCTGAACTGTCTGGTATTTCCATGTTCAGAAAAAAAGCAGTATCTGTCAAAAATAACTGGCATACCTTAAGAACATATTTTTTGAAGTGTGATGGTATTTTGTAGAGTACGGTCTATTGAGGAGTATAAATGCCAGAAAGAAGAGTCAAATTATTCTTGATGGTAATGTTTAGCACAATTTTAAAACCATTTTGTACTTAACTATAGTTCGCTAATCATAATGGATTTTGCTTTGTAATTTAAATCAGTTGAAATAAAACTCCCAAGAAGTATGTAATTCTCTGAGAGCACAAAATTGGTCTGTGCTCTTATGTTTTTATTTCATTTTAAAAGTTTTTTTTTTTTGCCTGCTTTTATGTCTTTCCTCTTAATGTTTTTGCTTCTGCAGTATTTGTTCTTTTTGATTTGACTGTGTAGCACTTCAGTGAACTTGAATATTTTTTAAATAAAGTGACTTGGATTTGATTGGAGTATTCTGGGAATCTGTTAAATATGCCTCTGCTATTGCTATACATATAAACACCTTTTACCAGGACAGTGTATGGGATACTCCTCTACTTCTGTACCTATAGCACCATCCACTGTAGATATTCAAAACTGCAGCAGCTTTTACATAAAACAGATATTCTTTACATCTACAGTATAGACAACCAAAGCATTCAGTGAAACACTCCATTAATAACCCGTTATTTCTTCATGTAGAAAACAAGAAAGGACTTGCACGTGTTTAAAGTGTTAAAACCAGCACATAAAGAGTCTTAAAATCAGGATACAACAGTTATTATTCAATCTTTCTATGTGAAGCATGTTGCTCCCAAATGCTATAAGTCATTGCCATACATCATTGGTGTAGTGATTTTAAATACTATTGCTATTTAGATTTAGTTGTTGATTTGTTTATTGACCAAATTTAGTGGATTTAAGGAAATATTATAATTTTCCTTCATAACTTTGCTCAATAAGACAAGTTGAGATCAACATAAGGTACAATAGCATTAGTGAGGTGTGGTCCAGTAAACAGTGTATAACCATGTATTTTTGCTATTTCCAAAGTCTGTACATCCAATGTGAGGTTTCCAAGAGCTCAGGGTCTATTGTCACACCAATTAATTTGATTTCCTCCACCATTTAAATGTCTTTGCCATCTATCAAATATATGACCTCCACATACATTCTCCTGTTCGCAGACAAAACTAATACACGTAACTCTGTCAATATTTAGGTTAATGAAGTTTTGCCTTTACTCAATGCTGTAACACGTGCTTTAATTGGTCAGCACATTGATTCAACTCTGCTGTTTTGAACTAACAGCCTTCAAGCTGTTCATGTCAAAGAAAACATGTAATAATGATGTAGAATAAGTGTACCATGAAATGATGGCAAAGTATTACTTTCTCCTTTTTTGCTACTTTCCTTCAGTATAGATATTCAAAATTTTTATTGTTTTTGCGCAAACTACATAGACCTTGATTATTCAGGGACTTTAAGGGGACCGCCCATATTAACGATTTGTTGTTTAGTTTTTCAAAATATCCAACTTGATTCTTCAACAGTAAAGTCACTGCAGGAAACTTCGGAAAAATGTGAATACATTTTAATACCTTCAAAAGCGTTTCTACAGAATTTAAATACAATATTATGCAAAGTTGAAAAAAAACAAAAAAACAGAACTTTACCATGAGAGTGTCTACATAACAACATGGGAAATGTCCAGACGTGTTCAAACTGTAAATATGTACCTCCATGTTTAAGTGGCAGCATTACTAGTCTCTGTGGGAAAAGCTGAAATCCACTGTGGGCAGAGAAAAACTGACTAGATCCACTGTGTCCTCTGTGTTCACTCCTCTCTTCGAGGGCTGACGCTCACTGCTGTGTCATCTTTGCTGCTTCAGCTTTTATCAATGAGATGAGTTCCAGGTTGATTAGAAACACAAAACGAAGACCTGCGATCTGAACAAACATGCAGAATGAGGTTAACATCATGTCTCATGCTAGTGTGGAAAAAACATCTTCAGAGGGGATTGCATTTTACTGTCACTTTGCTCTAACCTCCACAACTGAATTGTTGTTGAGTTTCCACTTGTTCCCTGACAGGACTGGTCTTCCATCTATGTAGATGGGTCGTCTGCCCTCATTGGCGATGAAGAAGTCTCCATTATTCTTCAGCTTGATAATTCCTGTAGACATCAACACGGGTCATTGACCAGATCTTAAAGAATCTTGAAATCTTGGATCCTGATCACAAAACATCAAACATCAAGCACTCGGGCCCTGGGTAGTCAGGTCCACTTTTCCCTCCACTACAATGCCCATGACCCTGTGTGCTGCCTTTGGATGCCTAACTTTCTTTGATTTCTCCAGTAAAGAAAGTAAGGCATCCATGCTTTCCACAGCTCGAGTTACTTTTTTACACCGATTCCTTTTCACAACTCATACAGGGTTTTTCATGCTCTTTTTTCCCCATTCAGAGTTTTATAAAGTTCTCAAGCGTTAAATCTTCAACTTCAATAGGTCAAAAATACTGCAACCAGACCCATCAGTAATTCAAGAAAATACCACCACACATTCCCAATCCTGCATTGACTTCTCCTCCATTTCTGCATCATTCAGAAATATTAAATCCAACTCTTAGACAAAGGACTGTCAGGCTCTGGAGTGAAATCCAGCTGGTTAGTTCTGTCTCTGCTTTTGAACCTCCTCTGAAACGTTATGTTTTGGTAAAGCTTTTATTTCTTTACATTATTTTATGTCTTGTACCTCTGCATTTTAATTATCTCAATTTCTATTGTAACATAAGCTGATTCTAAAGCACTTTGTTTCTTCGTGCCTGCACTATTTAAATAAAGGTCATAAATGTTGTCACAAAAATTGCTGAGATATCTGAGAAATATGTGGTTATTTCAAACAGGATAGTAGCTGCTGATGTTGGGAATCACAACATGTCGACACTAGAATTTATCAGTGGAAGACATATACTTATGTAAGGTCAGTTGTTTTCTCCTTGTTATCTTGACTTCTTGTGGCCAAACAGCAGCTTATCTGCTATCTTTATGCTGATACAAAGCACAATAGATCTTTTTTGCCAGACAAAAATGCTGTAAAGATTTAACCCAGTTCCTAGAGAGTAAACTTTGTGGGTCAGGTACTACAAAATAAAGACACAGGTTCAAGGGCTAAAAAAGTAGTGTAAGGCTTCATAACCGCGAAAAAGTCACCAATATATCTGATTATCAATATGGCTAAATATTCTCAATGTTTAGAACACCACGTTGTGAAAGTAAAACCATTCAAATACTTCACTAACGCAAAATTCAGAGAAATTTCATTAGCTTTCATTGCTCTCCCTCCATTCTCCAAGCTGCTGCCTCTTATTGAAAATCAATCAGTTGACACCATTGATCCACACGTGACATAACAGCGAGACTTTCAACAAGAATACGCACCTTGTTTTCTTGAGATTTTCCAGGCTGGTCCCTCCAGTGATAGATCCACATCTATGGGTTTATCCTTGGTCGCCCTGCCCAACGTGATCTATATGGATGGATAGGACATGCATTAAAGGTTGACCATTCTCAAGATTATTGTGGAAATAGTTCAGATTACACCCCCTCTCCCTTTTTTCCATGCACTACTTCCGTCTACAGTTTCTGTAAGAGTTCTCACCTCTCTTGACCTCATGAGGTAGCGTACCATTCTCCCCCGTAGAGCTGCCAGTGTCTGGTTGTCAAAGTCAGGCATGCTCATTCCTGGTAAACAACACAAGTAGAAAGCTAAATACCCAAAGAAATACATACCTAAATTAATCTGCTTCCACTCGAAGACTAAAAGATGACCTACCTGTGATACTGTCTACTAGGACTTGCCAACGAGGCAACTCCTGCTCTAACTGCCGAATCTCCTTTTTCTGGTTGCGGTCTGAAATCATCAGCTCTGCAATGAATGAAGGGAAACCCAGAGACAGTTCATTTATCTTAGCACTATAAAGGCCAACAAGAGATACAAGCATTTTCTGAAGGGATCCATAAGGACATATTCCATTAAGAGCAAAAGCAAATGATTATTTAGAACAAGCCAAGCCTGAACACGCTTATTCTGGTTTCTTACCGTGTTCCAACACCTCGTCTCTGCTCTCCCTGTGTGAAAACAAACACAGCTTTAAGCCTCACAGCCACAGTATATGGGGTGACGATACAAAAACACTGATGCAAAATGAAAGACTGACTTACTTTAGCTTCACATCATCAACCATCTGCTCAGCATCAGAGAAGTTGAGGACCTGGTCCCCCTTAGGGAGAGGCTGGACTGCAACACACAATCAAAAAGCAGATGATGTATAAAAGAACAACAGTCAGTCAACAATCAGGGCTAAATCCTAACACAACCAAATTAATTTTCTTTCTATCTTTTCATAGATTCATAAAAAAGATCCCTTCCTGGTCAGGACCTTCATCTTTCCTTGGTCTCTTCTACATCAACACAAAGCCCCAACTTTTGATTCTGTGCTTTACTCACCACTCTGATCATCAAGCAGGTAGTACTGCTTAAGCAGCTGCCAGTGCACCAGCAGGCTTTTGGAGGTGCGAGACGGGTGAAAGACACCAGGGTGTTTGCTTAGAAGCTCCTGGAACACGTCCAGTTTGGGCTGACTGGTCTATTCAATGACAAATTAAGCACAAAAACAATTGTCAAAATTGTTTAGTTATACGATTTGGTCTGCATCAAATGTTTATAAAAGCAGAATTCGATTGTTTGCAAATGATATAAAGCCCAGATATGATTGAAAATATGGCCAAGACAACTCAACAGATGTTAATACTTTACAGATACAGACTTTGTTTGATTAAATTTTATTGTTATATTAAATAATCATATTGATAATAAGTCATTTTGTTCGACAACAGTTCTTTTACAAAGCAGTTTTTACTCACTGAACCAATCTTAGCCAGCAGCGCCTCCTCAGCCTGACTAAACAGAGCTTTGCTTTGGATCGCTGCAATGGCTTCTGGGTGAAGCTGACGCATGGCCTGCCATGCGAGCCTAAGAGGAGAGACAACAATAACAATCAACAATAACAATTCGGTTATCTTCTCAGTGAATAATATTTAGACATGGTGGGGAAGGTAAAGCTCCTGTAGGCTGAGTGTCTTACTTTGAGATGACAGGATCATAGAGGAGAGCGTACCACCTTTCTTTTATCTCGCGCAATGTGAAACGACAGCTGAACTTGACACCAAGGTGAACAGAGGTGAGGTCTGTAGTCTGGAGACACACCAAATCATAAAATGGCACGACAGACTGACAACACAGTCTTATAGTTCCCAACAATAACCGGTCTATGAGTTTAACTTTTTTACTTCTTACCTGCAACACTGCATTTATCAGTAGTAGGTCATCAGTTGGTTTCCATCGCCCCAAGTCTTTAGTGATATGTAGAGGCTGCTTGCTTTTCTTCACTCGTTTAGTGATGGGCGTAGGGTTCATTATCATAGGTAAAGGTGGAGTGAGGGCTGAACCTGACTTTGTCACCTGACAGATTTGAATTCAGATACAATCATTATCCATCAAACTCAGGAAAACATCTCATCTTTACCATGACATTGTGTGATGATCTGTGGATTCTGCTCTAGTGTATGTACCTTTTTCTTCTCACTAGATGAAGGTTCACTGCCTGAACAGCGGACAGGCTCTATGACAGGAGGGCCTTTGACTCTACTGGATGACTTCACAAGACTACTCTCCACCAGCTCATCATCAAACTTCTTCCTTTTTATTGACCTTTTGTAAGAAAATACAGACAGAAATTTTTGTGAAATTTTACAAAAAATGCTTAATTTTTTTTACAGCCCTAAGAACCACACAACTTTGTTTAATGCAATACAACAGGAGACAAATCAAACCTTGAGGAACTCCTTCGTTTGGGAACCCCACTGCCAAATACTTGTGTCGCTGTCCTTTTCACATCTTTTATGCTGAGTGATTCTTCATCTTCCGACCGACTCTGAGCACCAGCTGCTGCCATCGGTGCACCAACTACAGGGTCACCTGCCTGCATCTATTCAGTACAACATAAAACACAACAAAAAGAGTCATTTGTAGACATTTCTTAGCCAGAGCGGGAGGGATTAAACAGCCCATGGTCAATATTTGTTACAAAGGGGGAGGTTAGGCTTATTCTTTATGTCATATACTGGAAAGAAAAACACAATAATAATGATAATAATAATAATAACTTTATCTTTATAGCACTTTCAACAGAAATTTACAAAGCTCAGTAAAAACAGAATTGAAGGCCATTTTCATGTCTTAAGGAACCCAGACTATACAAGAACCATGCAACATAAAATGAGACCATGAGGACTGAAATAAAAACATAACATAGTTAAGAAAAAAGGAAAATGCAATTAAAAAGGAGGACGAAAGCGGAAACAGGAGATTAAATATAAAAGGCAATATCAACAATGATAATAAAATAGGTAATCCTGAGAATGATAGCAATGATAAAATAGAGCAACAGAAATTAGGTAAAAGAGATAAGAGATGAAAGGTAACGATAAAAGATAAAAGACAGCATCACATAAAAGCGAGTCTGTAAAAGTACGTTTTTAAATTTGGCTTAAAAGAAGTGACATTCTCTGCACGCTTTATCTCCTCAAAGTCGAGGAGCTCTGATGGAGAAAGCTCAATTACCTTTAGTTTTGAGCCTCAACTTTGGAACAACCAGGAGGCCTTTGCCAGAGGATCTGACGCAGTGAGTTGGCTCATATGGTGCTGAGAGTTGGCTCATATGGTAGGTTAAGTTTGATTTGAATTATAAAAAAAAATAAAGGACCAGAAAATATCTATACTAAAACAGAAATAATCTGTATGTCTTTTATGCAGAGTTTTTAAATGCCCTATTTGATTGCAGTTAGTGATGATTTTGTATATCTTTGACTCCATATTTTCTAATTTTTACACCACTTGTTTTTTATTGCTGATATCAGTGTTTAATTTGTCTATACAAATTTGTCTTCGCAGTTATTATTATTATTAGTTTTTACTATCTACGCTATTGTGATGCTTTAATCTGTTTTGATGTTTTACATTATGTCATTTTGATTACATAAATTTAATTGCAGTTGGTGTAAAATCATCTGTACTTCAAAATCCGTTGCTGCTCAATATATGTCCAACGTTCTGTCGTTATTTTGGACATTTTCTTCTTTTCAGTCACTGTTAAACACTTTAAATTCTACTAAAGTTGATGAGCGACGCCAAATAATTTTTCCTTTGAAAAGCATGTTTTTTTTTAAATAAAATGTTGGTAGTTGTAGATCAATAATCGAGCAGGAATATTACTACTTTTTTTTGTTTCAACGACCGATGCCCTCCTTTGACAGTAAACATCCCAACATCAATATGTGACTGTATGTGTCAGTAAACTGTTCACATTATGTAATGTTTCTGATTTTGTAGGCTTCGGGTTCACTAGTTGACTCTTTCATAATGTGACCCCAAAATCAACCACCGACCGAAGGGGTATCAGCAAAGATACTGAGTTTTTGTTTACAGAAGCAGCCACACTACTGTCTGTTTACATACAATGTCAGCCAAATGACTTTGTCAAGTTCCTTAAAATGTAATAAATAGTTAGAAATTAAGAGACAAAGTGCGTTACAACGTAATCATAGAGAGTATTCATATACAGCAAGTTTAGTTAAATATCATAATTCAACGTAACTAATAACGTTTACTAATACAATATTGGCCTTGCTGTCGTAGCTAAGCATTAGCATTAGCTTAGCAGCTACATTAGCTTAGTGACCACAACGTTCTCACGAGGGCAGCGTCAGTTAGCAAGCTGCGGTCTTGTTACTCACCTTTTCTTGCCCTCTTTCCAGTCTCGTTAGCAAATCCCCCACCTGTGGTTTAAAAGGTTGAACTGTGGGTTTTATTTATAATTTATTAGTTAGCTACATGGCTAACTGACTACATGGATGTAACGTACAACTGTTAGCATTAGCTGCGGAGCTATGTGGTTATCTTCCGGTGACAAACGACTTTCCGGCGCCTACTGCCCCCTTTTGGACAGGATGGTGGATTTTTGGGTTGGCATTTCTATTTAAATAATTTACATAACATATTGTATTATTTGATCTTTCAGTTTAATACATTTTATCCACTAATTCAACCACATGTGAAATATTTGCGTGTCTTCCCACAAATATTACTAAAAGCAGTTCCCTGCACATTCTGACATTAGTAACCAGGTAACATAGATACTGTATGGGTTGTTCTCTCCTACAATATTTCTGTCTATCGTAGAATGACTACATTTTACTTCAAATGATACTGAAAGTTTATTCAAAAATGCCTTGTAGTTCAATACATTTAAAGTTTACCTCTGAAAAAAATTTAAAAAATGATGTATTACCAGTACTATGTCTAATCACAGACACGATTCATACAGGCTTCTCAGACATTACTTAGGATGTTTTATTTTTGACTAGTTTCAAAAATAAGGAATGACATAATGGTAGAAATAATATCTCTTATTTATTAGAAAAGACAAACAAACAAACAAAAAAACTAAACAAAAAGTACCTCTGCTATTTTATTAGCAATCCAACTTGCAGAACATTTTTCTCACTTTGTTAAAAACAACCATGATGGCCAGACAGGACGTAAAAACAGGACATGTCCTGGGAAAACAGGACATTTGGTCACCCTAGTCTATAGTATGTAAACATACCCAAGTACATGTATGTGTGGATGATCATAAGTTCCAGATAATGACTATAGATCTCAATTCTTTGCATTTTGAGCTTGTGGCTGGAGTTTGGAAGTCAAAGTCCACATTTTTAGTTAGAATAAAACATTTCTGGAAAAACGCATGTGTCCTTTGCTTTGGAGTGAATTGGTTGACCTCAGGCAGCTGCATTACAGCTCATAACACAGACAGCGCAGTCCTATCACCCTGAAACTTTGATAACCTAATTGTATTTCTTGGAAATTACTGCCAACATGCCTGCCAGAATTGCATGAGTGTCAAACCTTTATTAACATTGATCAGTTAGACCAAATCTGATGCAGTTAAACACAGTAAATCCTTAAGTAAAAACAGAGTTGTGAAAGAATGGATTTTATTTCATAAGCACACATATAGTACATAGGACATCACATCAAAACACATGACAAAGGTGATACATTGATATTAACTAGATGTCTTCAGTTAGGCGGAAGAAAATTAAAAGACAAGAAAATGTCCAACTTGAAATGTTTTCTAGACATTTACAGTAACGGTTTTACAATGTGTTAAATTATAATAAATACTACGTTCTTTTTACATCCATTGTATATCACTTAAGTAGGTTAAGATGTGTTATAAAAGGATAAACTTGCATTGTGCTGCACTGTCACATAGCGGAAAACATTAACAACGCAAAGACAATATGAACAGATTGAGAGTTTAAGTTCCTACACAGGATAGTCCTACACAGGAATAATATCAACAGCTGCCTTTTTATATAAAAGGATACACTAGTAAACATTTTTCATCATAAGCACCTACAAAAATACAATTTGATCAAAAATTTCAACACTTTCTGTCTCTCATAGTGGCTCAGTGGGATCTGGGGATATTCGAAACCGGTCCCATGTTCAGTCTGAGACTCTCTTAATACTCTGAGTTATTTACTTGCAGATACATGTCATGTGCATCTTAGCATATTAGGAAAACGTATACAGAAATGCTTTTGAAATGAATTATTTGCACATCAAGCACAAACAGGACATTACTAATACATCCGCGTAAAGACTTCAGAAGATCACAGATCCTAAACAGATAAAAGAAGGAGGGGTCTCAGATTAAAACAAACATCCAAACATGGTTACAGATATCACAAAATGAGATGCTTTAAAAGTACAACTAATGTCTAATGATTGTCTGCTGAAGTGTACTAAGGGAATTCACTGGTTTTCTTTTTGACTTCAGTGCAACTAAGTGCTTGACGAATAATTTTATGAGAAGAAAACACTTTAAAAATTTGGAGTAACACTTCTCCCAGTGGAAAGCCTCAGTGCTGAGCTGTCATTGTTCATCTTTCTACTCATTTTTCCTCCATATATCAGCCTTGGCTCATTAGGTGACAGGTATGGAGAGCTGCATCAAAGGTTGAAGTTCCTCTCCCCAACATGATCCACTACGTGCAAACAACCACACAATTCCTGCGAAAACGCTGCCTGCTCTGTGCTGCTGAGAGGCTCGTGCTCTCATCACAGATCAGCCCAGTAGAGTGGGTCATCGTTCAATAAACTGGAGGCTAATGACATTTTCAGGAACTAGAAGAGTCCGTGTCATGGGCTTCACAGAAATCCCCTCAGGGTCCGGCTTTACATCGAACTCTAAGAGGATCTGATGTGGACAGAAACAGAGAAAACACGTTAATACTGTGAGGGATTGGGGGGAAATGAGCTGCACATCAGGTGCTAAGTGTTGAGAAGTGACTCTTTACTAAAATCCCTGGATTAAGTGATCAAATTAATTCATTTAGAACTGGATTTGCACCACTGCTTAATTTAATCCCCCCTTTTTTAGTTTCTTTCATTGTTTCCAGGAAGACATAGAGAAAGAGGATTTGTGGGAAACACAGACAAACTGGATTTGATGGTAAACATTTGAAACATTGTGTTATATAATTCAAATAATCTGTTTACATTGCACATTCAATGTAGCCTGGCTGGGCCATCCAGTTGCGTGAATTACTTGCCGTTCCTTGTTGTGGGAAGGAACGGCAAGTGATTCACACAACTGGATGGCCCAGCCAGGCTACATTCAATGCCCTCTCTTTTGTTTAGTCAAAGTGCTGGCTCAGCCTCAATTACAACAGATTTCGTCCCTGAAAATTTTAGAACTCTACAACTTCTGCAAAAAAAAAAAAAAAATCTGTTTTTAAGGTTTCATAGAAATAAGTTCAAATTTGGTCACTCACTCTGGACAGAGCGAGGTAGAGCTCCAGCTCAGCAATACGTCGACCTATGCAGCCACGTTTCCCCACTCCAAATGGCAAAGAGGCGTACGGGTGGTGAGTCGAGTCCTTCTTCAGCCATCGATGAGGCTGGAATTCATCAGGATTTTGAAATACTGCTGGATCCCGTGATGTGGCATAATGGCACAGGGTAATGAGAGTCTGAAGAGAGATTGAAATCATCAGATAAAGTTTGGGATGCATCGCCAAAAGAAAGGTAAAACAAAGTGCTCTGTTCAGTGCAGTCTTTATCTCGTGTGACTACAGTATGAAAGTGCTTTAATTTGTGGAAATTGCTCACATTTTTAGGTATTTCGTATCCTCCAACTTCAATGTCTCTGTCTGTTATGACTCTTGCATTGGCAGGAATAACTGGGTACAACCTAGAAAAAAAAGGATTCATAATTTAAGCACCACTCAACCTGCAGACAGAAAAACAGATAACTAAATAAGACATCGTGAACAGTTTTATACCTCAAAACTTCTTTCACCGTGGCCTTCAAGAGAGGCATGCGGGCCACATCTGCTGCCAAAGGTATTCTCCGATCCCCCATCACACTCAATACCTCATCCCGCAGCAAGGTCTGCACCTCAGGGTGACGTGACAGCTCATACAATGACCAGGACATGGTGCCAGAGATCTAGGATGGACAATGTAAAAGTTGTTAAATCTGTAGGACCAGCAACAGATTCAAGAGAAAAAAAAGAGTCAAAGATGAAGAATTACCGTGTCGACTCCTGCGAGAAGCAGCTCTGTGACGTTGCTGTAGACAGTCTTCATAGGCAGGCCGGTCTGTGACAGGAAGTATGTGAGATAACGGCCCTCCACCTTCTCCCCACGGGCAACCTTCTCAGCCTCAGCCGTCAGACGCTGGTCGATGTGACCTTTTGCTGGAGTCACAGAGATTAGAGGATGTTAGAAAAGTGAGGGTACATGACACAGATACTAAGACACAGAAGTAAATTCAGAGCTTTTATATGTTTGTTTTTTCAGTGGTTTGACATCAAATTCCCCTCTTAATAAATGTCTAAAATCATTTATTTTACACCCAGTGAAGAAACCACACTCCTTTTTTTGCACATTTTAAATCCGTGTCCTTAACTTGAGGTCAAGAACTTAACTTCCAGGCTGATATTAACCTCACTTTAATCTTTATGACTTCTCCCTTGCAGATGATCTCGTAGTGCGTGAGGGTTAAAGACTTTAATCTTCTGCTTCCTGTTCCAGTTTGCACCAGAATGATTATTTTAAACATGTTTGATATTGACATCCCGGATCAGGATAAGTCTTTATGAACTGTGAGAGTGAGTGGAACGAATGACCAGAGTTGAGTGGAAACCAACAGAGGCCTACGAGAACTAAAAAATAATTACATGAAGTATGGAAGGCATACGCTATGTTCAATCTCCGTGTTTATTTTAGTCCCAATTCTAGATGAAGGGCTAGCTGCGTGTACACCATCTCTAGCTTGTGTAAAGACTGGAGCTGTCTTGTACTTTCATGTGGAATATTTTTGACATGTTTGTTTCTGTTTCTGCCTGATTTTGTTTCAATATCTCAAAGACTTTAAAGTATCTACATTTTAAACTGTTTTTCAATGCCCAAATGAAGCTCAAACATTTGGGGTAGAAATGACCTACCGAAGTCAAACATGAAGTCCCAGCACTGACAGAAGATGTTCCACTGTTTAGGAAACAGATGTTTCAGCCAGCTGGGCATGGTCATGGTTTGAAGTGTCATCACAAACATAGTGTTGATCGCCTGAATGAAATGTTCAGTTTCTTCAGGGACAACCTCGTCCAAACAGCCGATTCTGGATTCAAATAACACAGAGGATATACCTGTGAGAATAAAGAGAAATGAGAGGGTGAGGAACAAATGAGGGTTGACAGAAAAGTGCATTCATTGTATTTACATGTATTACATAAATATAAGTAAAGATCCTTTGACAAGATCTAATATGTTCAATTGTAAGGTCAGTTCAGAGTGGACAATAGCATATACTGTATGTCACACTCTGACATATATACTGTGTCTGAGCACAGTCTCCATTCAACAACACAACCATTTTTAACAGTGGTGGAGTTCATGTTAAAAACCCTCCGTCAGACCACGCAGTCACTTGATTGAAACTGTGTTCAGTCTGGAGATGTATGGGGGAATAAAATGAACGAATAAAGCTTTCCTCTCTCTCTCTCCTCAGGAATAACTGTGGGAACATTTATGCATGCATCCTCAGTGACTTTGCTTTCAGTGTTGATCTTCAAAATAGGTCCTGCAATATGCTGGATCAATACAATGTGAAAAGGAGAAAAGCTAGGAGGTTTTGTGAAAATATCAAAAAATATTGGGGGCTTAAACGAAATAATAAATTAGAGTTTAGTACAGTTCACTTTTATGAATATTACCACTTGAGAAACTTAGACTGCATGACTTAAATTTTAGAACTTATGTTTTGAATTTAAGTTTTTGTTTATTATTTTAATCTTTTAACACAGTATGATTATTTCAGAACTATAGCTAAACTGTGGAAATAAATAAGGTCCAGTAATATTTGTATGTTGTTTGTATTGTTCTAGTTTTGTTGTTTTTTTTGTCTCATAGGCTGTTGTGAGTTGTTGTGGTTATTGACGTTGTCTTTGTGTTTGTGGAGTGATGTTTTTTGTGACTTTGCGCTGCGATGGAGAGCTAATTGTTCATGTAGACTCCAGGGAGAATAGCAATGGCCTTAGCCAAAGCTAATGGAGATCTAAATAAATGAATGAAAGTACTTTCAACTTTTCATTCACTTTGAACTGATTCTTTTATGTTTTTTTAGTTAACCTATTCAGCTCAGCCAGAACTCTAACTTCATTGATACTTTCAGCTAACTTTTTAAAGACTTTCAATTCCAACACGACTAGAGCTTTAAGAAAAATGAACGAACTGTTTTGTACTGTACTGTCATTTAAATTTCTTCAATTAGCCAGTACTTTTGAACATTTCAGCTGTTCATTTTTGCATTTTAGTTGACTGTTTCAACTAAACCTGTAAACTATTTCAATTGTTATTTATAAATGTTGGTCAACTTTTACTGTTATATATCCTATGTGCTGAGTTTACCCTTTAACCCATTGATAAAATACTTTTAGGCAGGTATTTCAACTTTCTATTGATTATGTTAACTGCTAGTTCATTGCTTTGAGCTTGTTTGAACTGATTATTAATTTATGAAGTTGGACCTTAAAAACACTACAACATTTCCTTTTAAAACTTAAATTTAAGGACTTTAAATCATGAACCTCAAAAACATGAAAATGTTACTTCTACATTGGAAAATAATCTGATTTGCCAGTTCTCAGAGGTTGAGATAAAGGTTATTTGTCTCTATTCATGAAGGCTATATATTTGAGCATGTCAGGCTTTGACTGGCATGTTTTGTTTAAAATGTCACTGCTATCACACAGCATTTCTTTCTGCATGTGGCCTAATTACCAGTGTTTATATGGTGTGGTACACTGTGTGATGTCACATAAACTGGCCTCTCCTCACACGACGACACGTGAAACCTTACCCTCCAGGCCAAAGCGGTAGAACTCTGTGGTGATGTCGGTGACAAGGCCTTGAGAACTCCTGCGAAGCCTCAGTTTGCTGATGAGGTCGCTGACCACGCTGTTCAGGGTCTCATCGTACGCTTCGACTGCCTTCGGCCGCAGCATGTGTTTCCCCAGAAGACTTCTCACTTCCTGCCACTCCTCCCCTTCACTAAAAACAATAGACACGTAGGTTAGAGTAACATTACATGAACTTCTTCAAGTTTTTTTCACTTTACTTCATTCACAGTCAGCAAACAACTTGACACCAAACATGGTATACAACTGAAAAGTGAATAATTCACTCAGGGGTCTCAGTGGTACACTTCGAGAAATTGAAGCTGGAAGTTCAAGTAAAGACCACATATCTCTCTTTCCTTGTATTTTCATTACATGGAGCATGTTGTGACTCAGTCTTTTGGGTTACTAGACTGCATCATTAAAACTCACACACTAGAGAAATGCTGTAAAATCAGAGGGAAACTCACGACGTCAGAAGTCCATAGTGGTGTCCTCTGAGCTTCCTGTAGTCTTTCCAGGAGGACAGGTTAGAGCGCATGGGGTGCTGGCCCTCCTGCCTCAGGACCTGCTCTATAAGCGCCGGGTCAGCCACATGAACTGTCAGGATGGGGCCAAAGCTTGCCTTCCACATTGGCCCATAGCGCTGAAGTCCTTCCAGCTGGGACATGAGAGAGAGAGAGGGAGAGAGAGAGAGAGAGAGAGAGAGAGAGAGAGAGAGAGAGAGAGAGAGAGAGAAAGAGAGAGTTGACCTTAAAAAGGGAACAAAAAAGAACCTGCTGGCTGTGGAAAAAAATGTGAATGCACTTCCCTCCAGAACTAAATCCTCCTTAAAATCCAAAGAAAAATATCAAGAGCATTATTAACATCACACAGCAGATCTTTAAAACTTCCTTTTTGGTTAAGAGCCCATTAAGACATAAGTTACAGACATTTCACATTATTCAACAAGGAGTGGCCCTTTGGAAACAGGAGCAAAAGAAAAAAAAATCCTCTCTCAACCATCTGCAAACATAGGATGGACAAAAAAAGTATGTAGGAGGGAGAGACCATCAAATAACTGAAGAGACTAATACATTTAATGTCTTTTTTTATTGCAAAGTTACAAATTTTTATTTTTATTTTCAGGAATTGATCCCTACAGCCTAACTGATGTTATGAGAAGTCCCACTGCATCAATATTCTCATCCATCCATCTCTTTACCTGCAGCTTGTGCAGCCGTGACAGCCCCCGTTTAGCGAACAGGTCCCAGGCAAAGCTTGGTAAAGACGGCCCGGGCATGTCTTTCAGCTTCTTCACCGCTTGTCCCTTGGTGGTCCCCCCTTGCGTGGCGCCCTCAACCCACTTCTCCATCCACTTGACCAGGGGAAAGGCGCTTCGCCCGGACACTCTGAGAGCTTGCTGCAGCATCCTTCTTGCAGAGATAAGCATGAGACATTGGCCGGTCGCTGCTCATTTTCTTCACTCGGACTGGAGGCTGTATTTATATCGCGCACGAACCGCTCCTCGGACCCGCGGAGATAAAGCTGTAAATTTTCGTATCCTGGGCCAATCACGGGTGTTAATGCAGTACAGACCCCGCCCATTATGGATGGTAAGTGTGGAGGGCGTGACTTTAGAATAAGGTGTGTCCAATCAGACGGCTGAGTTTGGACCATCCCAGCTCACCCAGCGCACGTGGAAGTCTTGAATAAATAATATAGGGCTTTCCTTCTGCTCTTTCAGGCTTATCTGAGCGCTGTGTGCAGCAGCACTTTGCTCCATGAAAAAGCTGCAGACTGTCTAGTGTGATCACGCACTTGAAGAAATGGTGTCTTGTGTGCTTAAAGGATCGCTTACACTCAAGGCCAATGTTATTATGGATCCCATGAATGTAGGCCAGTCAAAACCTCAGGCAGACAGCTAAACAAACAGCTGCAAAAGGGCCACAAATGGCCATTTAGGGGAGAATCACAAACAGTCTTATTATGGATGGATTAGTTGTTTCAAGGGGCTTGTATTAACAGACACACTCGAACATTATTTCAAGCCCCACTTGGTGAAATTGAGGAGGACAGCCAGTGTCTTTGTCAGACCTGCTGCTGCTTTGTTTACCCACCAGTTCTTTTGCTGACTGGGTAGGTTTCCTAGCGAGAGAGAAAATCCTGACCTGATTTCATGTGAAGTGGAATTTGTCCAAAGCACCATGTGTGCTGACTGTGAAGTAACAACCTGGGCTGTACCAAGAATCTGCTTTGACATTTACTCCTGAATTTCGTATGCACTTTCTAGAAATCAATCAGATTCAGAGAAGCATGAGGGATCAGCTGGTAAAATCAGCTGTAGCTATATGCTTAACTGGAATGGTATGCTTATAGAAACAGTTAATCTACTATAAAAAGTCTCTTGAAACATATGAACATTTTTTAAAGGTCTAGATTCCAACCAACTCTGACTTTACAATCAATTACCTTTTGTAACAAAGAAATGCATATTTCAGATTATTATGTGACAGTAAACCACACTAAAATGTGTTCAAAGTTTTTGCTTATCTCATTGCCACAGTCAAATTGACAATTAATTTGTGACCTTTAAAAAGGTTTTTAGCAATTCACATTTCAAAGCCCTCAACCCATTTAGGCTTAACATGAATCTGTTTTAATCGATCAATACTTGCAGCCTAAATAGTTGGATAATGTCTGATCTCAGCTTGTGTCAGTCAAATGGATCCTTAAAGGAAAAAAAAAACAAACATATTTAATTTCAAATCAACAGTTTTAAGAAAATATCGTATTTAACTGTTGTTAAAACTTTTTTAAATGTAAAAAGGTGGTGAAGTAGTGATGGGCACGGCAGTTCTTTTAGATGTACTGAATCACTAGAATCAGTTCACTAAAAAGATTTGTTCAAAAGATTCGTTCACCGAATCACCAAATCATTCAGTGCTTGGCGGGAGGAGCCTGCGACTTTGACCTCCTGGACTGATACACAACTGAACGGTTCAGGATTCAGTTCAGATCACGGCTTCTGGGACCGGGAGACGAGAGTGTTTGGCTGTGTTGCTTTTGCAAACAGGTTTGTAAAAATGAACTTGTTTATAAGTCATGATGTTTTCAGTGTACTGTCTTATGGTATGCTATTTATCAGGTCGACTCAGTAAATTGGGCTCAGTGAGTGATTGGTTCACTGAATGTTTAGGAGAATTCACACTGAACATGCACCGTTCCCTTGCAAACCACTGCATTGATAGGATGCTACAGCTTTTATGCACTACTTGTTACATGCAGTGTCCTATTGAATGCAAGTTAGTTTTGCCCAAAATAAATGATTCCTGAGAGTGTGGTTCAATGCGTGATTTGTTTACCAAGTGATTCAGGCGGCAGTACGTGCATTCCCTTGTTCCCTGGCTGCTTGCCTGGCAATGCTGCATGCCATATCAGCTGTGCTGCTGACAGCTCAACTGAAGTGAGAAATGAACGAATCACTTGAGGAAGTGATTCTGTTCAGTACTTCATGTAAAAGATTCAGTTCTTTTGAACGAATCGTTCACAAACGACACAACACTAGGTAAAAGACAACATCAATATTACCCCAAAACAGGCACCATACTCGTCCACATTTTTCTTTTTCAAACAACTTAAAAACCAAAGTTTGTAAACTTTTCCTAATAAAGACCTCCAACTGCACGTGCAAATCTGTGTTTTATGGTGGGAAGAATAAACTATGAATAACGATTTGTGTTGGCTTTGTTCTCCCCAGCTGTTTCAGAGTAAATACGCCAAAAAATATTCAAAATAATCACACTATGAGCTTCAAAGTACTATAAATGTATTATTATAGATCCAACAATCCTTTAGGTGTGCAAACATATGCCCTGAAGAAAAAAGAGATATGATTTGACACAAAGACATTAGACAAGCAGCTTACAGGTAGCAGGTTGTATTGACTAGAGTATTGACTAGATTCACTACAATGGTATGGACCTGCTCCCCTCTGCTGTGCTGACTCAGGCATGAACTAAAAAAGCTTAGATATGTAAAGTAAAACACAGAGACGTTTATTCAGCTGTCATTTAAAAATAAAACAGCTTTCTGTGGGTTTAAGGGTTGCATCTAACTCAATACATGACATTTTGATTTAAGCAGCTGCTGGATTTTGTGAGAACTGGAGCGGAGAGCTTCCAGCCCTTCACTTGTCATCAAGTGAAAGAAGGATGATTTATCTAGTGTGCTGTGGCGGAATCAGTCTCATATAAGTGCGGCGTGGTGGATCAGATGTGATCAAATATAATAGATCTGGCTAAAAATAAGGCTGTGAAAAAGTAAAAGGTCCATTTAATAAACGTTAATGATTGAAAACCAACAGCTGTGCAGTGCTCTCTGGTTTCACAGAAATGTACGCAGACCACATAAGGTGAAGTGGTACTGAGAGGTCTGGTTGAGACCCAAGCTGGTGGGAAAAAAAGAATATTTGAGAAAAGCGTGACAAAGATGAAAAGCAGCATTAAGATCTTGTTATAACAAAGCTAGATTAGATTGCACAATGATGACTCCGCACAGTAAAGTCGTCCAAAATGAACCACAGATCAAACTAACCACAAACTCTCCTCACCTCCAGGGTGAATGAGGTTATATTGGAAGACACTTTTAAAGCACCGTAAGAAATCACTTTATTTGAACTCACTATTTACAGTACTTGACCTGAACATGTGAATCAGACTCGTGCTGCAGAGATGAGTTCTGGGGATAAAAGAGCAGCGCGGAGCAAGGGTCAGACCTGCCTGGTCAGAAGACGTCTATACACGAGACAAGTACACACGACTTCCTGAGTGGAAGAAGGAGAATTATCTGCATGGGCGAGAGATAATCACTGACCTCTGAATTTTATGTGAACACACAAACAACTTTCAAACAAGGTCATCGGTGTCTTTAAGATTCTTACACAATACACTGCAAACAATTCAGGCTAGACAGCTTGGGGTGAGATGCTAATTGGACTTTTTTTTATGAAATCTGTTTTTGAAGTATTGTATGTTCACCCATCAGTGTTCAAATTGTGTGTTTTTGTCTTGTCCGTTTCTAATTGTTTAAAAAAAAAAAAAGCAAATTTGGTAATAGTTTCCTTGGCGCACTGGCTCAGATGCTCATCTTTAGTTTCTTGTTCAGCAAGCTGGTAATTTTAAGACCTCACAAGAAGTGAACACAAATGAACCTCCCCCACATAAACCAGATATTTTTTAATTAATCTGGTTTGAGTAACAGGGGATTAATATTAATTATGAAGAAAATATATAAGAAATCCTATGAATGAATGACTTCTTTGTGTTGTGGTGCAGTGCGAACTGATGTGGCCCAGTTGTAGATCATGCTGTACAGTGCAGTGGGGATAGCCTGTGAGGTATTTCCCCTTATTGTATTGGCCCAGTGCCCAGAATGGAGGCAGCTATATTCCCAGACTAATGTGTTAAAGTTCATGGCTGCAGTCTGCCTGTCTGGGTGGTATCAGGGTGCTTTTACATGTATGCACGCGCGCGCACACACACACACACACACACACACACACACACACACACACACACACACACACACACACACACACACACACACACACACACACACACACACACACACACACACACACACGCTGATGTGTATTTGGCCAGAGGTGCAGATGAATGAGGGTATGTGTTTTCCCTCACTCAGCAGGCTGATGATGATGGTGTAATTATGGAAAGCTTTTCTATACTGTTTGAATGGCTCTGCTTGATGCACAGTCACCCATAATTGCATTAAGTAAGTGCCTTTAAATCCCTGATGTTTGTTGTGTGTGCTTCATTCCTATCAGTCTAGAGCTTAAACCTGTGCAGCTCCAACCAGCATGTTTTGAGACACTCTTATAAATGGGTCATTAATGGAATGAGGAAATATTAACTATATAAAGCTGAATGTTTCATCTGCCACTTTTTCAAACGTTCAAATGTGTTTTCCCTGTTTTAATCAAGTTTACATGCTAATTCCACTAAAGTGGAAGATGTTTAACTAAGTGCATCTATAATATACAGTAATTTGATTACATATTAGTCAAACAACTATTTCCCAATGTTTACTCAAACAATTTTTTTTCATAATCAGGATTGAGTAACTCTGTCCTGGAGCTGTGAACTTCAATTCCCAAAGATAGTCTTTACCATCAATGCATTAAAGTTTTAAAGAAAGAGTGCACTTTCATATTGATTTGTTGTTTGTGTTTTGAAGTGTTTGTTTCTTGTCTGTTTTTTTAACAGGTGGAGGAGCTGTTAGGTGCCATTTTACGCCCTACTATGAGCTATTTATTGCAAACTTTAATATTTGTCTACCTCTTGACCATTACTCTTGATTTTAGTTTTGCTAGCCTGGTCAATCCTGCTAGCCAATGCCTTTTTTCAACTTTTTACAAGAGACCTTTCTTGACTTTTTCATTACTGGTTCTTTAATACTGTCTTAATTATCCAACAGATCATTTACAGACATGTAAATGGGTTAGCAGAATACATCACTCAATATCAAATATTCACCGTAAAGCTCCTGGAGGAACTTAAGTGTCCATTTTGGCTCACACTTTTTGTGCAGTTGTATGATATTTTCAGAGAAGAAATCTTGTCCTGCTCCTTTTAACAGTCAAATGTATCACTCATCATGAATATTTTCTTCCGGCAGAGTAAAGATGGGATTCCCTTCACCTTGCTCCTCCTCATGAAGAACTTGTCGGCTTTAAAACCAACAATATAGAAATTGAAAATCTTTTTGCCAATGGTCTTGTTTACCTTTTTCACTCATCAGCAAGCTTCTAGATTAGTTTCAGTTTGTTTAGTTTGAAACTCTTCATAAGAAATAGCTGCAAAACTTTTTTCTGCTGCTTTTTATTAACTTTTGCTTAACGCTATAACTGGCTTTGGCGCCAAATAGGCTGCAAAAAAGTTGATGGCATCAAATTCAAAATGAACAAATATTTCACATAAACCCAAAAAAACTTTCCAGATTTTACCTCTATGTTGTCTTTGATTTATCTTCCATAAGTAAATACATTTAATAAATTTATCTTCAACCTTTTTAAATGTTGGTGATATTATTTTTGGCTATGCTCTACCAGCTCTTGATGTTGCTTCATATTATTCATTTGTTGAAGTTAGCAACTTTAACCACTTATCCATCACTGTTTACTGTTAACTCGTTACTGTTATCTACTTCAAAGTTGTTATATTGTTTTAAGCTAAATTGTGTACATGACTTATCAGTAAATACATATTTATCACTTTAATTAACTTTAAAAAAGGTTAATCAATCTTTGCACCAACCAGTCTCACTGTTGAGCTCACACTTGAATTGTTGGTTTCATAGTATTTGCCACGCTAACTTTGTCACTTGTTTAATGACTTTGATCATTTGTTTTTTGATTTGTGGTAATCTTACTGTTTGATGCATTATTCATTACTCAAAATCATCTATTTCTACAATCTCTTGATGAACTGTTGCAACCTCTCTGAGGCCTATTAACGTTTTTAGTTACATTTAAATATCGCAGAAACTCTCTAGTATGTTTTTAGGGATTTGTTAATTTATTTTCCTGAAGAATAAAAATGTATGGAAATTGTTTATGAAGTCACACCTTTTCCCTTTGTGTAATTTTTAGGGTGACAGTGTTAACTATGCTTTAGATGTGTTCAGACACGAAAAGCCATTGGCGCACAGCAAACTAAAGAGTTTGTGGCTGCTAACAACGTTAGCTAAATGCCCAACAACAGCTGCCTATGAGCACACAGGATATGAGGATGTGGTAATGAAGGCAAGTTAAAGCCATCAAATTAGTGGATAATTATTTTTATTGCCGTACACCAGGTAATTGAATAAGACTGTGCAAAAACAGTTCCATGTGATGGGTTTAAAAAATGGTGATCTAGGTGTGGTGAAGGGCACCTGAACAGATTGAGAGCACATCTGGACACCAAATGTGTTCAGTCAAATGAAAGGGTGTTTCATTATGTGTGTATATGATGTCTGTCCACCACTATGACAATATTCAAGTGAGAGAGAGAGAGAGCGTCTTTGTTCCTAGGACGGCATGTAACAGGTGCAGGCCTGATGTATTTAATGACTCATTAGACAGAAAATTTAATTATCAACAACAGAGAGATAGAGCACAATTACACTCTGATTTTATGTCTTGTTTACATTCTGCAGATGTGGCCCTGCGAGTTCATGGAAATGATCTTTTACCGGTATAAAATCTGACAATATTATTTATCTGCTGTTTTTCGTGTTGCTCACCGCTCTTGGCTTTGTTTCCTCAGAAGCATGTTCCTATCCATAGACCTACTCAGAAACTTAAGTCCTCACTGCTTTTATATTCTACAGAGAGGCATTAAGTATATGACGAAAATTCATCGGTGAAAATAATGAACCTATGGATCACTGCCATGAGGAAAAATTACAGATTCAGACAAAGCTAGAGCTAGCATGCAGGAGTCTAGACATGGTGGGCACAGTTCCATGTCTAGGTCATCTGATGTCAGCTGGCTTGAATAATGAGCAGTCATGATATCATGGGAAGCAGGTGTAAATAGTTAGAAAGCTGCAGCTGTTCCAGCCCTTAACATAATTACTGGTGTCCATCAGCAGCATTGCTTACCTAAAGATTGGAGGGATCACATTTCCTTTTTATCACTTACATATGGTGGATATGGTGGTGGGACCAAAACAGACTTGATATAGAGATGATAGCATTGTTTCTGCATTTTGTTTGACCCTTTTGAAAATGATTTATTCACTTAAGTTATTTACTTCAACGGTTTGGTCTGGCTCATTTTGCTGTTGTCCAGCTTCCCTCTTTTGAGAAAATTCTGATTTCAAAGTCAAGATTTCCACATAATTTGCTTCACTAGATGCAGACTCTTGAGAAACACGCCTTCTGCTGTAATACAATCTTCGTATGAGATAGTTTTATGACGGAAAAAAGTTTTTGTTTGGCTGTTATCCGACGTTAAAAGCTGCTTATAGTGGCCGATTTCATGGCACAACAACAAAGCCACTCATGTGACTTCCCACTGAGCAATAGACGGCTATTAGACGTCAACTTTTTTTAGACCTAACTTCAACTGTCTAGATTCTGTTTATTTTTGGATGAAATTTAGATGTTGCACTTTAACCCATTATTCGATAACTACTTATTTCAAAAAGCGTTGAGTTATGAGTTGCATAACTGATCTCCAAGTACTTAACCAAAATAATTATGATAGCCGTTGAGCAATATAAAGTGTAGTATAGATATAGCCCAAATATAGATTTAGTCTAAACTTGGTCTGAATTTAGACACCTAAAAAACTTTAATTTTTAGACCTGTGGTAGCCTGATTTTAGACCAGTCGTCTGGGCTACATTTATTCGTCCATTAGACCAAAAAATGCCCAGTGGGTTGAAACTTGAAAGCGTTCAGTGTATCTATATTTTGACATAAAGTTAAGCATAATTAAGAGAGTGTCCAATCTGTGAATTACTAGATGCTGCAAGGTGTCAATTAAGCATCAATTTGGCAAATTTGAGTACCTGATCTTGGCTTCTTTGGATACCCACCCTTCAAATCAGGCTTCAAAACTCAAGTCATGGCGATATCCTTTTGCTTTTTAATCTTAAAATGTAGTGCTGCAGTTTACAGGGATATTCCAGCATAAAATTCAGTTAGGAAGAACATTAATGATAATTTCTTTATGGAAATGCAGTCAGACCAAGACGCTAAGGCAGAAGAACTACCGCATCTGCAGTGCAAAATGATTAATATGATGATTATTACTTCAAGGAAATGATGAAGTATTGATCATAAATGTTCTTCTTTGAGCTGCGTCACCCTGCTGCAGTCTGTAATGGACTGGCCTGAGGTCTCGCTACAAACAAGCAGCTGCTGGAAGAGAGTAGGTGAGTTGTGTTTAGTCTCTTTGCTAAAGAAATAAGGCAAAATTAAAAATATGTTTGGTGGCTAATGCTGTGGCTTAGACCCTACATGTACTGTTGATGAAGTTAGGTGCTGTTCTGAGCATTATTTGTGGCTATAGAGTGATGTTTTGGTTGGGCACGTGGCTCTCTGTATTGCTATCCTGCAGTCGTTACTAAAGTTGGCATAACTAGAGAAGCAAGCAGTCGGCAACATTCATTTCTCAAGAGGTGTCTAACTCGGTGTTACGGTGTGTTTGACCCCAACTCAATTTTGCACCCAGAATATCCCTTTAAGACAAAAACATGATGATGAATTGAATCGAGGTCAAACGAGTGAAAGAAAGATGATCAAAAAAGATGAATAAGCAACATTTACTAGATATTTTGCAACTCTTGAGTCTTGACCAGAAAACTCATTTCAGTCAGAGTTAGGCCAACAATTTTTGATGATGGTTTGTGACTGATGAATGACCCATCTGTTTTAGGACAGGCTCGAGAACAGTGGGATAGGTTTTTTTCAGACTATATAGGGTGAATGCAGGAATAGGCGGGAGGCCAAGAGAACAATTTTTCTTTGTTAAGCCGAAAAGATAAAATCTCATGTTAAAGGAGGTTTCTCATTAGTCCAGACCAAAAAAGTCCCAAGCGGGGAAGAATTTTGATGCTTGCCTGAAGGAAGGTGACTTTGCTGTGTTGTGGCTGTGTAGATCTTCACCATAATTGTTTATGCTGTGGAAGGAAACAAGACAGGATTTTCTGTGGAAATCCAGCAGCTGAGTTGAATTTAGGTTGAGGTTGTCGGGCAGACACACAGCTGGGGGTGTTAACCGGACTGCACGGATGCATGTCTCAACCTGGATATCAGGAGGGAAATGGGGGAAAAAGAGTGAAGTGCCTGTGACTCTGCAAAAAAGATGTAAATGTCTTGTCATGTGTTGATGAATGTAGAAAGGAGATCAAATCACAAACCTTCCTCATTAAAAACGATGAGTCCTCTTGGAGTATAAACATCCAGAGATCCTCGTGTCAATTTGTGTTGGAGGGTGGTGACTGGAAGAGAATTAAAGGCTTTGAAAAAAAGTCTGGGAGAGAGAAAAGAGACTAGGGGGTTTACGCTTTTTACAGGAATAGTTCATCATTTGCAAAACTTGTTCAGTCCCCTTACTTTAGTACTGTTTGTGTGTAAGAAAGCAGCTAATTCCAGCCCATACTGAAAAACCTGCTATGTATGATAAAAAAAGACAAAAACTTCAAGTATTATTTAACGTCCGGAATCTATAAATCTAATCTATAAATAACCCTGGATGTCTGTGAAGTACCCATACAGAAGTAATCCTAGCTATAAAAAAAACATGGCGCTTACATGACATGCAGTTGACAATAACAGGTGACTTTCACAGTTATAAAACAGCGCCCACTGTTTTTCACAATGACACCTGCTTTTATAAACCCGTTTACACACATATTCACCTTTGACCTCAGTAACATTTTGACACCAGATGCATTCTTTGCATATGAAGCAAATGCGCCGTCCTCATCACTTTACTCTCAGCCTTCAGTTTCTTTCTTTGATTTCCCTGCAGCTCATTAAAGTCAAACTCCTTCTCGATGACCTGATGGTGCTAAAATGTTAAATGGAATACCTAGCTGACTCAAATAGATAGATAGATAGATAGATAGATAGATAGATAGGGAACTTTATTAATCCCCGAGGGGAAATTCGGTTGTTATAGTAGCCGATACAAGCAATACAAGAGAAATACAAAAAATAGATAAAATATACAAGACTATACAAGACTATACAAGATAATGATGAATATGAGTACTTAAATAGTATGTGCTAAGATGAAAGAAAGAAAGAAAAAAATGAAATGACTCTGTTGCCACATGGTCATCATAAGTGATAACAGGACAGCAGCATCCAATCGGCGTTTCGGCTTCAGCGCACTTGACTGTTTAACATTTTCACACCATAAAAAGTTAGTGAATATATCCTGTAGTTACCAAAGAATCTGAAGACCTCAGGAAGCAAGTCAGACAACTGAGCTATAAAGTTCACTGTGATAGGGCAGCTTTGCAAATAAGTCTCAGCTGAGGGTTTGTTTCCTTTGTGTTTCTGAAGCTTTTAGCCTCATCTCTTTTTTTGAGACTGTTATGGTGGGCCGTGAGATTTGGATCAAAGATTTGTTGAAACCGAGTTGTTGAACTTTGCTTTGTTCCTGTCCAAGTAAGAGAGGAGTTTTCAATTATTCACCATAAAAGCTGCTATTTTCTTGAAGTTAAACTGTTTCCATTTCCATGAGGACTTCTCTATAGGGGACACATTTTTCTGATTTATATGCAGACTGGGAGACTTATATCTCCTTTCATGACCTGTGAACAAATGTTTGGTTACCCAGGCACAGAAAATTCTATTTGTTTAAGAACAAATCATTCATCCTTTGCATCCGCAAATTTGCTTTTCACAGGAACAGCTGACCACAGCGAGAGGTTGCATCACTATAAAGGGTGAGCTATTTCATCATAACCCGAGTTGTTTGATTGGAGTAGACATATGTAGAGTCAGTGGTCTGGACAAATGCCAGTGCACGAGCCTATGTGCTACACGTTTCATTAAATATTCACAAACTTTAGTATGTAAAACAGCAAATGTAAGTTAAACAACTACATTTGTTCTTTATAATTCAGAGCACTTAAAGGTGAACAAATTAAACATCCTGTCAGCCAAAAGTGGTCCAATAATGGCAGAAAGCCAACACCTTTAGAAAAGTATGCACTCTCTCGATATTTTCCAATATCTTGACTTTTAGTTTACGAGTACTTCAACTACCTTCTGCCACATCATCTGAAGTTTTCCAGTGTCTGGCTTTCTTTCACTCAGGCATGTGCCGTCCTGTTTTTAATCATCACCCCCTGCAGCAGCATGAGGGCTTCAAACCTGCACTGTCCCGCTTTTAGACTTCTGACAGACCAATACCAGCCTGTAATATACAGCTAAAGTCATAAAGTGAGCAGAGAAAATCCTGTTTCACTGTCTGCTCCAGACACAGCCAGTGGCTGAAATAAATGGTCTTTTTTTAAGATAGCATATGCAATTCCGAAGCAATGTCTAGATACATTGAATTAAATCTGTGGACACTGTCACAAAGGACAGAGCTGTCTAAAAATGTCTTTCAACAAGAAAGGGTTTCAAGTTTTGTTTCTGAAGACTATTTTCTAACAACTTCATCAAGAAGGTCTAAAAAAAAGTTTAAATGACATCTGTTACCTGCTTCTGTTTGAATTTAAGCTGCTAAAAATCTAAGTACTGCATTCACCTCTCGCAGGACGTGCTGCAGCATGCAGGTTTATCTTTACACCAGATAATGACCTACAGCAAACAAGCGGTATTAGGTTGTTGGCAAACTTCTCAGTCTGATCCATTTAAGACTCAGCCCCAAAAACTGTTAATTATCACCATAAAGCCGATATTAGCTTAGAGAATCAGCTGTATATGTTTCAAATATCACTGAAGACTAGGACCCTGTTTTATGAAGGTGAGTTACAAAAGCCAGCATGACTGAAAAAAGTGCTCAGACAAGCCTCGCTCAAATCCAGGACATGGACCGAAATCAAGAAAGAGGCTGTTCTTTTTAATTCAGTACTGATCCAGCTAACTTGAGTTCTTAATGAAAAAAGGCACCAAAATAACAGCAGCACAAAGTGCAGCATGCCAAGAAAAGGAAAAAAAACTGCTCATTTCTATTGTTTTACTAAAATAGTTTTCAGATTTACAGGTAATCAGAAACCAGTACTTTGGAGTCTTGCAAAAGAAATTATAAAACAAAAGTGAACTATAATAGAACAAAGCATATCTCAAATTAAGTCTGCCGTTAGATCCTGGCATGAACTGCTCCTCTTGCGATGTGCTGTATATATCGTGTGATGTGATCTTAACAGTTTGGCATCTGTCTCTCCAGAGCGGCAGCAGCCTTTGACTTTTATTTCAGTTCACCACATGTCCAAACTGTTTGGTCCTAAACCGAATCCTCAATCCTCCGGAAAACTGCGAGAAAATTCTTCCCTCCGTTTCGCTGAACTTTCTTTCCTTCCTCTGTGCAGGTTCCCAATCGACTTATGATGACGTCCTCACACTGCAGACACAAGATAAAACATGATAACATTAAAGGATGAAGTGGCAGATGAACTCACTCAGCTAGTTTATACTAACTCGTATTAGTTATTATTACCAATATTACCAAACAACAAAACCGACTGAGCCAATTTGACTTCTTTTCTGGTACATGCTGAGGTTAAAGGGATATTCCGACATTAAAATTTAGTGAAGGTCAAACACCATAACACAGAGTTTGACACCCCATCGAAAGATGAATGTTGCCGACCGCTTGCTTCTCTAGTTATACCACCTTTAGAAATGTCCGCACGATAGCAATACAGAGAGCCACGTGTTCAACCAAAAAGCCACTCTATAGCCACAAATAATGCTCAGAACAGCACCTAACTTCATCAACAGTACATGTAGGGTCTATGCCACAGTACTAGCCATCAAACAGCTTTTTAGCTTTGCCTAATCTCTTCAGCAAAGAGACTAAACACAGCTCACCCACTCTCCTCCAGCAGCTGCTTGTTTGCATCGAGAACTCGGGCCAGTCCATTACAGACTGCAGCGGGGTGACGCAGCTCAAGGAAGAACATAAATGATCATGACTTTATCATTTCCTTGAAGTAATAATCATCATATTAATCGTTTTGCACCACAGACGTGGTAGTTCTTCTGCCTTAGTGTTTCGGTCTGATTGCATTTCCATGAAGAAAAGACTATAAATGTTCTTCCTTGAGCTGCGTCACCCCACTGCAGTCTGTAATGGACTTGCCCGAGTTCTTGCTACAAACAAGCGGCTGCTGGAAGAGAGTGGGCAAATTGTGTTTAGTCTCTTTGCTAAAATTAGGCAAAGTTAAAAAGATGTTTGGTGGCTAGAACTATGGCTGGGACCCTATATGTACTGTTGATGAAGTTAGGTGCTGTTCTGAGCATTATTTGTGGCTATAGAGTGGCTTTTTGGTTGAGGTTTGTGTGTGGCTCCTGAGACTGCTGTGTATTGCTATCTTGCGGTCGTTACTAAAGTTGGTATAACAAGAGAAGCAAGCAGTCTGCAACATTCATCTCTCAAGGGGGCATCTAAACTGGTGTTACTGCCAGAATATGCCTTTAATCATTTAAAAGTGATTTGTTTTACCATTTTTCAATTATTGTTCCAATGCAGCACACACAAGGTGCATCAACAACTGGCTCCAGCATTAAATCGAGCACACTAATCTGAAGGTGGCTCTCTTGTTTTCTTATTTATGTAGCACTTCATCAAACTTTTTCATCAATAATTCCAACTCCTAATTTTAAACAGAGGCGTTAAATGCTGCACATTAACATACCAGCTCTTCATCAGAGACACGTGCAAACAGTGGATGTTCAGTGAAGTGTTTCACCATCCAAAGGTGTACTTCCTCCACGTCCGTGATGGTGTACACCAAACCCTGACATGACCAGACAAACACAGAGGTTATTAACACAGTTCTGGGAAAACAATAAGTTAACAAAGCTTCACTGCTGGCTGGACCTCAATGAATGTAAATGGACCATGATGTCAACCCCTGCATTAATCAATACAAAGATCATGAAAAACTAATGATTTTCTTTTCTGATATTCCTTTTTTTACATGACAGCTTCAGAGTTGAATGGTTTATTTCATCACCTTTGCAGAGCAATGGCCAAGATAAAAATAACCTACAGACAACATAGAGGGTAATCACCTTTGTCACTGTAGTTTGCTTTGCAGACTGGACAGATAACATTACCAGAAAAACGATTTCTTAGAAAACTCAGTGATGGCACACATTTCCACATCAGTCCACATCAGCATGGATGTGTCTTTTCAATCAGATAAGGCGGGCTGACCAGTAGATGTCTGTTTCAGGTGTGGTCTCATTCGAAATGTTTTAACAATGAACTGTGATTAACGGCTTCTGTAAAAGAGCGCTTTTTGACAGCCTCCCTGCCCACCAGCACAATTATGGCAGTCATCCAAAGCTTAAGGCCCTTGTAGAGCTTACACACACACACACACACACACACACACACACACACACACACACACACACACACACACACACACACACACACACACACACACACACACACGAATACACATGCATCAATGCACACACCAGAGGAAAAACGATAAAGCCAAATTTAGACACAAGCCTTTCATTGTTCCTCAAAAATCTCCACTGGCGCATACACCCTGTTCCTCTGTCCCTCTGTTGCTCTGACAGGCAGCTGCTGGGTGTGTGTGCAAATCAACCATTTTCTGGAAACACAGTTTGCTCCATTTTATTTCAGTGAACTGCTCGATGTCTGTGGATACAGCGAACTGCGAGTACAAATGATGAGGGGAAGGCTATCTGCTTTACAACTTTGATAAGGTTTTGAGATTTTTCAGCCACATTTAGTACATTAATTTATTTGATGTTTTTTGACAAAAGCAAAAAAAAACGTTGAATTCTGTCGGCGACACAAAAGTATTTTGAAGACTAATGCTGGCAAAAGTCTAATTTGGGATTTTGGATTGTTTATGGAACCCATTGGTAGACTGAACTGTTTGTGAACATGTACTGGGTTGACTTAGGAACTTCAAACTACCCATCATGCTGGATTTAGTTTTAACAAAATGATGAGGAGAAGAACTCAAGAAAAGCCATCCTGGTCTGTTCTGTGGATGGCTGTGAAAGTAAATCATGAATTATGTCAGAAACCCTTGGATTAAGCTATTCTATAGTGTACCAAAAAAAAAATCCCTTCAGACAATATTTGCCAAGATCAAGCTGCACTCTTGGCTTTACAACACCCAAGATAATCGTAACTGGTTTACAGTAATCCAAACAACCCAGAGTGTTTTTTTTCATCTTCAGTCCAGAATTACACAGGGGAGCTACAAAACTTCCCTCAAGCGCCGGCTCAGTGCTACGACAAAATGTGATGATGGGGGTTACCATGCCAGAAAACTAAGGCACACCTGTTTTTTTCATTCTTAAAGAAAAGAAAATGGATTTTTTAAAGATATTACAGCAACTCCTAGAAAATTGATGTGTCCTTTAATCAAGAGAAACTTTTAATGGCGTATAGGGAAACATGCTTTTCCCTGTATTTGGCTGAATTGACTGTTAAAAAGTTTGAATAAAGTTTCTGAATCTATGCCAGTGTGTTGTCAATGATAAGATGACTAAGAAAATAACTGGAAAACTACACTAAGGAGCCGCATTATGTAAGAGACAACGTATAGAGATTCAGCCTTAGGAGCTCAGCACTCTTACGGCTGTTCTCACATCTGTTCCTGTTCACCGTCACTACTTTGTCACTGTCCAGACAAGCAAGATGAGATGGAAACTAATGTTTTGCCACAGTGTCAACAAGCAGTGTTTAAATGAACCAGACTCCTTTACACAGATATATTTAGTGAGTTGTGTGTGATCTGATTGTTCAACTGTAGGGTTTTGACCAATCAGAACCAATTATTTAACACTGTTAGGTAAGAGGAGATATCATTTGTGCTTTATAGTTTGGATGCAGTTATCCTGTTGATGGTTCACATACTGCTTGTCAGTCCAGAGAGACAGAAAACCCTTTTTTTTTTTGCTCTTTTTGAATTTTTAGGTATTTTGGGAGGAGGATTCTCCCTCATCTATAACCTCCTGAAACTCAATGTTCTTTGTGATTTGGGGTTATACCAGTAAAAACAGCCTCAGTATTCTCAACAAAAAAAAAGTTAAACACAAAGATTGAAGTGTGTCAATTTCAATATTTTTTTACCACATTTGCAACAAGTGTATTTGTATACATACCCCGACTCTCAGTGTGTAAGCGTACTCTGCCAACAGAGTGGAGCTGATGATCCTCCATTTATGCTTGGTCTTTTTAAAGTGAGGGTCAGGGAAGAGGAAGAACATCTTACTGAGCTGAATGACAAAAAAGGGGGGAAAAAAATCAGCACAGTTACCACAAAGTGAGAAAAATATGCTCTTTTAAACACAAGTTATTATTTCCCACACATGAGATCAAACTAAAACGGCGCCATTTTTGTCTTCTTTGATACCGCAGTGCTAAAATATATAATTATCATCTTTTAAATGTGGGCTCCATTATTTTTTTGTGGCAAGATTTACAAACCATGGATTGCAAAACTGGAATTTCCCTTCTTGATTTTTCTTTCCATAAAGTTCCCTGTGTCTCTTTCTTTGACAGGAGTTCAAGTGAAGGCTCCATTGATATTAGTCTGGCTGATACATTAAAAACCTCCCCAGTAACTTTTTATTGGTTAGAATAAATAATGTCAGGTATAGACAGAAAGATGTGGGTTTAATCACTGGGGATTGCCGCAGCCTCAGGGGCCATGTCAGTGCTGATGGAAGATGGAAAAACCTTCACACTTTGAATTATTTTTGGGTTACAAAACATACTAAGAGGAAGGGGGGAAAAAAGGATATCAGGCTTTTAGAATATGCTGCTTCAACGCTTAAAACAGATCATGCATGTGAGAAGGATTGGGACTTGATTCTGAGCTCTTGTCTGGGTGGTCGCTTTTTTCTTTTTGAGCTTGGAAAATCCTTGTAAAGACAGTTTTGTTAACAACCATGAACAAAGAAGACAACTAACAGTCAAGCATTCTGGTAAATATCTATCCCTTGCAAATAATTCAAGTCAAAAGTTTTGGTTAATATAAAAACAAGTCAACCTTCTCTTTCAAAAGAGTCTATTTGAGTCCAACATTTTCAATCTCAGCTTGGCAAAAGACCTGAACTTAGACTGTCTAAGAATAAATCTGAAATGGCAAACTAAAAATTTCTGAAGAGGAAAGATCCTGAGCACACGAAGCGTTTGAGCAGTTTTATTAGCAAGTAAAACTAAAACTAAATATGTCAAGAGGTATCAAATAAATGTTTTTTTTTCCTCTAAACTTGATAAAATTATTATTCCATATGTAAAGGACTCTTACTGCGGTTATTTTCTTTCATTTATTTCTTCTTTAGTACTCAGTCGAGGGCATCTGAGGTGAAGGTTTTTTTTTTTTTATCCAGGGTACCTAAATTTACCCTGGTACACTAAGCCTACTGTGTAATCTAATGCGAGTTTTAACAAGTCATAGATTACTGCAGCTAATTGGAACGGATAAATGCACTGCCCTACACTCAGCTGATGCGATGCCTTGCGTGTCAGTCAATGACCCCATTGTTGGGAAATCCTGGATTTATTGAGCAATCCGTATAAATTAATTCAGTCCATATGTTAAACATGAGGAAAGTAATTACTTTACAGTCAGAAACATTTGAGCTGTTATTCTTATTGCCTTGGCTGTACCAGAACAGACTGTCAGCTTTCTCTGAAGGTTATTACAGGCCGCCCAGATGAGCTGTTATACGACCCCAGGCCTTTTCCATATATGAGCCGCGATTTATATCAAGTATCCTTTGTATTACTTTTCCATATATAGCAGTGCATAAAAAGCCAAAAAATGTCCATCTGTTGTACTTCATACGACAGTGAAATACAAGAATTAAAGGAGGTGAATGCTGTTTTTAGAAAGCACCACAAACACAGCACAGCTTCTCTGTCTTTACTGCCAGTTTGAACTTTTATTATTATTATAGCCGCAACCACAATGACCTAAATGAAACAGAGCAGGCGAAGGGCCTAATTCCAGAAACTGAATCCTGCATTGCTTTGCTGTGCTATGTTATTCTAGCATAAGCTTGTCCAACCTAATGAGTGTGGCTGGGTGCTAGATGCTGTGTCAACATACAATGAGAAAAAAAAAAAAGATTGTTTTAATTTGACTGACATGTGCCTGTTATGGGAAACCACAAATGATTTTGTCCTTACTTTAACTTCCCATGCAGAAGACTGGTGTCTGTTTGGATTCAACAAACATATCTTTATTAACCTCTAAAAGGGTCAGTACTGACGCTATGACTTAAGTTATCAACATTTTCAATTACCATTATTCATTTTTTTTCTCTATAACTGTTTTGCCCACATTGGACATGACATCCTGAGCCAGAAGTCAAGACCAGAGCAGCTGCTCCTGTATAAAGGTCTGTACCATCCATTGTCAGTCTTATTGGTACTACTGTAGAAGCTGAGACAGTTGAGTGGCTAAATGCGGTAGCTAACACCAATAGCAGTTAAAAAAAGTTATCATTTCAATTAGCAAATACCACTTTTTTGGGTAACAGATGTCATCTCACATTGACGGTTATATTTTCCACAACATTCTTGTGAAGTTCCTGTATTATTTCTACAGTTTCTTGTTGTACTTAGAGTCAGATGGAGCTAAATTTGTGGCTTGAACAAAAGTATTTTGAACGTGTATCTGAGACAAAAAGGATAAGCTGTGATAAACAGTGAAGTGAATGTCCCACTGACAGAGAATCCAGAAGGACATGGCTGGCATCAAACAATGTCATAACGTCAAGAGTGGGGAAGATGATGGGCCTTTTGTATCACTGTCTGATCAGATAATGATAAAACTAGGTGTTAGTAAAACTATCTGTGTGAAGGAAGGTAACATTCGAAAAAGGCAAAATGCATTTACAGTGATTTTTTTCAGAAACTTAAACTAAAATACACACAATTTTGAAAAAGTTGGGATGCTTTCTCATGGCCTGCAAGTCATTTAAATTCTACTTTTGATTAAAATAATAATGCGAGGACAACATATCAATGATGAAACAGTGCAAAGAAAAAAAAATAACATTTTCATGATAACTTTCCTCAGGGTAATATTACAAATTTGGATTTTATATCCTAATTTATCTCCTAATAGCATTCAAATAATCATCCCATCTGGAAAAATCTCTGTATAAAAGAGACAAGACCAAAAATCAACACTGAAAGGTCTGAATCTTCATGGCCTCAGGCAGCACTGCATTAGAAACACACATGACTCTGTAGTGGAAATCACTACCTATCTTGCTTTATATATCTTGTTTTTGCTGCATTCCCTGACCATGATAAGCAAGAAAACATTTCACTCACACATGTACATTGTAGACTGTAAATATGAATACGAATATGATATGACTCATAATCTAGCCATTAAAATGTAAAAGTGTGCTTTCAGACAACTTTTGCAGTCATGTTAAAATTCTTCCTCAGACTGGACACATACTAGACTGAAGAATTGCCTGTTTTATATCACATTGCCCGATTTATATTTATACACAGATGGGTTTTGCGATCACCATCATCTTGCACCTTCCTGCTCAAATATACAGCTCTCCATTGCAAATTTTGTACCTGCTTGGCTCTATTTAGATTTATCTAAATTGAACATGTTTTTCTTGTTGTATTTTGAAAGTAGCAGTATTGTTGTGTAATTGTTTTTTTTACTTGCATACATTTTTTCCTATTGTGAATCTGTGTGTGCAATAATGCACACACATCCTTATTCCCGAAAAAGCCCACACTCTTATACGGCCGAACAAGCATAAAGTAAGAGTTTAAAACTAAACTCTTAATATGAAGACAACTTAGTATTGTTGTCCCTATGGAGTTTACGATGCAATACCTGAAAATGCATCATTCAAAGATAATAATCTTATGCAATTGTAGACAAATGTATGTGGATTTGTCATCTTGTGGTTGTGACATAGTACTATAACCCTAAACGGTAACTAAAAACTGGCTTCCAAATTTCTGTCTACGGTGTTGTAGGCCTGGGCGATATGGGAAAAAATTTATCACAATATATTTTTTTCATATCAGTCGATATTGATATATATCACGATATGAAAAAAAAATCACTTGTCAATCTTAAATGTTCCCCGTTACTCTTAAATGAAATTTAAGTGCTTATTGGTGGCATGTCTTTTGCAATACAATAAGCTACTGCATCTGTGAGGTCTTTGAGTCTTTTTGACATTGTGTCGTAAGGCGTTGTGCTAGAGAATGGTCAGCTGTCACACCTGCACAGGCACCATGGGCTGCACTTGTTCCGCTCGGGATTTGTAATCTTTTGCATTGCATGTGCTCTGCCGTGTAGCACTGATTCAGGTGGTGAAAAAGATTTGATTCCCCGGCTTTACGAGAACACGTCCTCGACATAATTTGCAGTGCACATTACTCTGCTTCATGTCCGACTTAAAAGAACAAAAGTGCCTCCACACCACTGACGTTTTCGCGCCAGTGTTGTCGACGATGTCGTCATCTGTTGAATCTTCATCTGCATTTCTGTGGGGGGTTGCACTCATTTTCTTTTTTCTCACCGACAGTGCTGTCAGCTTCACATGTTAAAATACTATGGTTGCATGTAGCTGCAGCCTGCTACTACGCAGTTGTCTGCTACTTGGTTCTAATTCAGCACATGATTGGTTCAGCAACTCCCTTTTTCATTGGCTATTTGTATAGTCTACCAAAACATGGCAGAATACGGACTATTGAAAAGGATACTGACCATGTTTTATACTGATATTGAGGGAAATTAATTTTCTACATATATTGTTATTGTTTTATCGCCCAGCCCTAGCCCTGGTGTTGAAATTATGCTTGAAAGGACTAGATAGACTGCAAATCAACAGACCCACACACATCATTCGTTTTATCCAAACCTACCTGTCCTTTAGAGAAGAAGTTGGGGAGGTACTTCATTGCATTGCTGCGAAGGCAGGCGATGTTGTGGTACTTTCCTGGCTCAGAGGCACGCAGTGACTGAATCCGATCCTGGACGTAATCAGATACTTTCACTCGGATCTCCAGGCCGAGCATGAGCTTGTCTGGAAACAGAGGAGATAACTCCACTGAGGGAGGAGGATGACAAAAAAGCAAGAAGACATTTAGTTAACATAGAGCAGAGATAAAAGTTTGAAAACTAATGCATGGGGTTAGACCTGTACCTAAAAGCCCCCCATATCCACATCCAATGTCTGCAAACTCAACCCTGGGGGTGTCTTTATCAGAGGGGTTACCATTGAAGAAGTCTGGATACAGCTCGGACCAGTCCATCTCCTCAGGACAGACTGGACTGAGAAGAGAAGGAGGAGAAACATCAAAAGTAACAGAGAGCTGTAGTGGTGCAGATAATTTATATGTCAGCTTCTTTGTTAAGAAAGAGGACCAAGGCAGAAACGCTGCACCTATCATACCTATCATAAACTACCAACAAAGAGCAAAGTCATGGAGTAAACTCAGCCTTTCCTCCATTTTACAGCCAGTTGATACATTGCACATGCACATGAGGATGACAAACCGAACAACAAATCTTTATATGTGCTCTCTGTGTTTAACTGAACTCAGACACAGACAGAAAGACAGACAGACACACAGAAACACTCACTAATCAAAGGAGTGATAAGCCATCGGGTTTGAATGAGCCCGCTGTCTGTAGTAACGCTTCTGCGGCATTGACGAACTCATGCTGGACTCAAATTCACACCCAAGCCTGTCACGAAGCGATTGAATAAACACCGGTGTCTTCTTATGAACACCGAGTGGAGGGGAGTCACGCGTGTTTAAAGTTTACTTTACTACCGGTTCAAAGTCGCGGGATTTTTACGTCATAACAACGCGTGTTATTGAGTTGCCAGCTTGGTTGCCAGGTTGGTTGAAAGTGAAAGTCTCATTCATTGTACAACAACCTCGTTCAAAATCACAAAGAGTAAAAGCGTCAGCTAACGGATGCTTACCTAAATGTAGTATCTACTATGCTGGTTTAAATTCTTCTGTTAAATAATGGCCTATGTTTTGGATAAATAACAAAATAAGCCTGAACTGTTTTTAGCAAGGGGAAAAAGCATTGTCAAAGGCTATGTTGAAAACAGAGCTCCAGTAGGCTATTCTTCTTTTAAATTTATCCTTGTCACCAGTTTGGTCCTGACCCAAAGGCTGAAAACAGTAGATTAGACCTCAAATTCACTATATTTCTGCACTTTTGTATGCAAACCAAAGACTATATATAGAATGGACAACTTGGTTGTCGCCTTCCGCCAGTATACAGATTTGAAGCCAAAAAGCTCTCGGTAATCCCGCGTTTCTTCTCCACTTCCTGAAACCAACATTGCACAGTAGCGTTGTACACACTCCACTACTTGCACTGTAGCATTGTACGAATTCGGCAGGAGAGTCGCTGTGATGAAGCTCGGCTCAAACAGCATATCCCCCGGGTAAGCTACGCAATCTTCGTACACTCAGAGGCTGTATCAAGTGTCGATCATAAAAAACATGAACCCCCTAATAACTTTTAAAAACGGAGCTGAACAGAAAAAAGAGTACTTGAGCACAAACCAGTCTTACAATTACTACATGTCAACATCACAAGCAGGGAGGAGCAAAATTTATGTTCTGTGTAATAAATTTCTAAAGTTTGTCCACACCCTAATAAGGATTGCTGGAGGAGGCGGGATTTATGACCTATACTGCAGCCCGATACCAGAGTGTGCTGTTCTCGCAGTTGCTTCACCCAGCGAGGAGGCAGACTCTGTCCATACAGTCTATGATGCAAACGCATACTAGCCATTCAATATATGTAGGTTTGGTGGAAATGATAGGCTGTGAAGGGGTGGCATAACATAGCTCATGTTCACACAGCTCACTGTTTCTGTCTCCACGCAGCAACCCTTTATTACTCACTGGCATCTAAGTCTCATGCAAGTGTTACTTTCCTGTGCAAATTTTGAACTTCAAGAATAACACAGTAGAATGTGTACTTATAAATCTTTTAAGTTTAAGTCTCCAAGGACTCAAAGAATAAGATGTTTATCTAAAGTCACAACTTTGGGGTATACAACTTGAAATACCCGTACAATACCATCATCATCATAGACTGTATAAAGAATGGACAGAGTCTGCCTCCTCGCTGGGTGAAGCCACTCCGAGAACAGCACCCTCTGGTGACAGGCTGCAGTATAGGTCATAAATCCTGCCTTCGCCAGCAAAGCTTATGGAGCTGTGGACAAACTTTAGAAATTTATTACACAGACCATAAATTTTTCTCCTCCCTGCTTGTGATGTTGACATGTAGTTACAGTAAGACTGGTTTGTGTTCAAGTCCTCTTTTTTTCTGTGAAGCTCCGTTTTTAAAAGTTATTAGGGGGTTCATGTTTTCTATGATTGACACCTGATACAGCCTATGGGCGTTCAGGGATTGCGTAGCTCTCCCGGAGGATACGTTGTTTGAGCCGAGCGTCATCACAGAGACTCTCGGCGGCTGCACGCCCGAATGCGCACATTGCTACTGCGCAGCTCTGGTTTCAGGAAATGAAGAAAAATCACAGAAATACTGAGAGCTTGTTGGCTTCAAATCCGTATACAGGCGGGAGGCGGAACAAAGTTGTCCATAGTATATACAGGCTATGATCATTATAAATTTATTCCTTACCAACACACCCATATTTTCAATTAAGTGTCATTAGAAGATTGAAAGGCCAGCCCAAATGGTTGACATGGCAAATTGCCAGTCATCATCATTTAATCCAAACAATCTTGGAATTTTGGGCCAATCTGATTTCCAATGGGGGCCCATGCAGGCCCCTGGCCACTCCTTTGGATACACCCCTGCACACAGCGCAAGTTTATTGTAGAATAACATTTATAACATCATCAGACTCATAGTTTAGTAAACTGAGATAACTGTATACTTGTTGCTGAAAGTGGGGATTGCTGTATTACGCACATTCAATGTCATCACTCCATCTTCTGACACTTATAACATGTATTATTGCTTATGTGTCATATTTTAGTTGGTTGCTCATACTGCTATCATTTGCATCATGGACCTTTACAAGAACATGGGAAAGTCTGCAAACTTTTTTCATATTTTCTGAAGCCACACTATCTACTCTTGTTATAGACAATATTGAATATTTCCCAGGTGGGTAAGTTATTTTTTGCTCTGTGCTGGATGAAACTTCATGTCATGATTTCAGTGTCCTTACAGTTACATTGCAAGCTTTAGCTTCCTCTGTGTTATCTTTTAAATCAAAATTCTGCATTTCCCTCCGGGTGTCCTTTGAGTCAACTTTAATATCCTTCTGTCCATGCTGTCAAGACTGAGGTGGCGCATTATTTTTCCTCCTGCTGTAAGGTATTATGAGAGACTGGTTTATGTCCAGAGATGTGAAGGGAAGTTGGATCTCTTGGTCTGTTCATGACATTTTACATAACATTGATAACAACTTTATAGAATTACATAGAAATATGGATGTGGACATTTTAAGTTCTTTACATATAAGTGGACAATAAAGCGAATCAAATGTGGAACAATGTGTCAAAGGGTAAAGGTTTTATAATGTGTTCATTAATTTAGATTCAAGAATCTGACTGGGTTCAGACTGAAATGTATTTCTACTTAATAGCAAATTGTTATACTTTAGCTACTGTTGTTATATCATGAAACAGGCTACATGTAATATTTCAGTCAATATATCACTAAACTACATATTTTTCACTTCATAAATTGGCATATCCAACAACACCACTTGTTGCTTATCCTGAATAAAACTGAACACACTTGTCACATTAGACGCATATGTTAAGTAAGTGTATGTTTAAAATTCCATGGAATAGGCAACCTCAAGACAGATGTTTACATTTTAAAATCAGGATCTAAAGGAATAAACAACAAGTATCTAGCAATGCGATCTTGCATTACACCAGGTGGATACATTTCTTTATCAGCTTTTTGACACATTGTATAGAATGTTTTTATTTCACTGATTTGACATAGTTCAAAACCAAATAGGAGAAATCTAAATTGCATTTATCCAAGATTTTGTTGGCTAAAAAGAGACAAAAAACACTCACACAAGTTTTGCTTTGATATCAACAAATTCTTTATTAAAAAAATGGGTTTTGTATTTCAAGGTTTTTTGTTTTTTTTTTACAGATAAGTCTAACGAATTTGTAGTCCAAGTTAAAATTTGCTATATTATGGTTAAACCTCAAAAACATTGTGAATAATTTAAGACGCAGGCTGGAGTTTATTGTGGTTCTCACATTAGAAGACATACAACTATTTCCGCAATCAAACTCTTTTCATATGATTCATTTTTTCACTTCGACATCTTGTAAAACTATTACAGTGTTCAAAAATGTTTGTTTCTTTAGAAAAGCTCTGAATCTAAAGTTGTTTTCATTTTGTGTCATATTTTCATGGTCTTTAAAAACTCAATCAAATCTGCAAAGTTCTACATCTTTCATTGTGCATTTTGGCTCAGGGAGAATATGCAATGAAAATTAAGACTACAAATTTATTGGCAGTGTTACTGTGGGAGATTAGGATTATTTTTTCATAAATCCCAATCAACACTGTGATCTCCTTCTTTGCATTAGAGCACTTCTGTCTGTGAGCCAGCCTCATACTGTGGTCACCCTCATGACCACCTCTTGGTTGGCACTGTGCAGGTTGTTGGGTCTTAACTGGCTGAGGATGTGCAGAATAGTGTAGCCACAATGGTGATGAAGAATAGTCCTGACATGTCGGCTCGTCCTCCGTGCACTGCCTCTGATGCTGTGAGAAGAGCTTCTCTCTACACGACCAGTTTTACCGCTCAAGCTGATGGGGTCACCCAAGTCCTTCGCTTTCTCATAATTCAGCACTTTCCACTGCTGGTTCACAGCCTGCCAGCGCTTAAAGATCCGGTAAACAGACGATCCTTCATGGATTATAAGGCCTGGGCATAAAGGACAAAAGACGGGGGAGGTTGGGGGCAGGAAACAAGGTTACATATAGACAAACACTTGTTTGTTTGAATGAGAATCAGGAAATACTAAAAGGGTACAAGAGGGGCACAGTTAATACGAACTATATGTACTCAAAAATAAAAAGATTACATTAAGAACACTTGTTTGTTTGTGTTTTGGACTCATGTTTGTTGGAGAAACATGTGATAGATACAATTCTTTTACAACAAATTAAGAGGCAAGAGCAAATACTCTGGCACCAAATAGATGCATTACTTCATTTCTGTTGTGATGTTCACGTGGCTGCTTATGAAGTGTTTTTTTCCCCTTTACCACATTAGCTGCACAGGTCTATACTGAAAACAGTTTTAGTTTGACTAAACCTTTTCAAAAACAACTCAATGGATTGTGATGAAAATGTGAACAAACCCACCTGACCTTTCACTTCGATAGCACATCCAGCACCTTTACTTTTTCAGTGAAATGTCTGGTCAAATGTCAAATGTCCCACTGAATCCATGGTTCAATATAAAGATCTGCTTTGATCAATGAACTCATGTTTTTAAAGTTCATCAATAGGGGTTCGCATCTGTCGTTTTAATTACATTTTCCACTGTTTAATTCTTTACTAATACAATCTAATTTGGCATTAGGATCAAATGTTTTATCTGCAATGCTCCCTGACTATTCCAGATCCTCATCATCATCATCACTTTAACCTGCAGTACTCATGACCATCCCTTCAAACTGAACTCAGTTTGATCATATTTACTGTACACTGAGTGCTTGGTTAGCGCCAGGGTGTTGATGTAATAATTGTTAACACGTTAACATGCTGACATGGAGCTGTGTCAAAGTTCAGCCTCACGGAGATGCCTGCAGGACTGCAGCCTGTTAATCTTGTTAATAAGGTGAGTAATGGACGTGTTCATAAGACACCAAATTAGTAACACTTTATTCAAAGATCTTAAATGCACTCATGATTTCCATGCTAGTTTCCTGAGTACTTTTTAATATGGTGCTAATGATAGGAAAGATTTCAGAGATTTTCCCCTCCAAGGATTGCTGTATTTGGACCTATATGATGTTTTGTATAACTGATTGATTATTGGAAAGCTGATGTGTTATATTCTTACTCAAGTACGCCCTAGAAAACAATGAATGTTACATATTTAATTAAAGTAATGAAAAACTGAATATATTCTTTAAGTCATGTGTAAGGTATTCTCATTGTTTTAAAGGAAAATTAATCAATTTGAATAAATACTCTGGAAGTGTCTAATCAAAATCATTTGAGGCTTGAGACGGATCACAACATTGCAACCTCAGTGCATGAGTCTCACCTATACAAACCATGTCCATGAAGCCGTACATGCCATAGCAGATCTGGAAGAGAAGGTCCTGCCGCTGCCATCTAGCTGAAGGACTGAGTGATGACCACACTAACCAGGAGATACTAGCAATGAGGAACAAAGAGCCAAGGATAATGGCTGCGATCTGCACCTTCTCAATCACTGTCAGAGAGATGGCCTGCCACTGGGGAGAGAGAAAAACATGAAGTGAAACATTACAGTCTATGTACATTTCTATTTAATTTAAACTTGTAAGATATTTCATTAGAGTGAGGTTTACTTCAAATGTTAGTCAAGTTATTTTTTAAAAAGTGTCCCTCCAGAGAGATTTAACTTCTTCTCACCATGTGCATATCAAGTGGTTTTCTGTAGTTAAGTTCTGTAGCATCGCTGCAAGCCTTGTTATATTGTACTGTATTCCAACATACCGCATTGTATCATAAACCACACCATACTAAATCATATTTTTCTGTATTAGATAGTACTACAATGTATTTCATTGTATCATATCATATAGTAACACATTGTGTCAAGTTGTCTTGTATCATACTTTATCATTTGTCTCTATTATGATGTATTGTGTGTCTCTCTTAAAAAACATCAGTTTTCTGGCTCTGCATATTTCAACATACGTTAACAGTAATGAAGACCAACAACAACTCAGAGTAGATTCAGACACAACATCTGCAGGAAGAAGCTATTCACCTGGTAGACTCATGCCAGTATTCAAAATGTGTCCCTGCCTGGCTTCACTTTCTTCCCCTCCATTTGTCCATGTAAAACTAAATAGCTCTGAAATGAGCAACTTGCTATCTTTCTTCTGACAGCAATCTGGAGCTGATGAGCTTCTTTTGGGACTGAATCACTAAGACTGAACCAGAACCATTTCACTAAGACTGAAACAGCTGTACTGTGGAAGAAAATGCCACAAAATTCCCTTAATGATCAATGATTATTAATGTGACTTATCAATATTGAAACACAATGAACCTGGTTTCCAAAGTGAATTTTGAAAGTGGCCACAGAGACAGGAAGACATTTTGTTAGGGTCTGTACCTGAAGAGGGTTTTTGGTGCTGATGGCTAAGACCTGGTACTTGAAGTAGCAGAGCTCACAGCTCCAGGAGCCTCTCTCACTGATCCAGCGGATAAGGCAGGACTGGTGAGTGCAGCGCACAGAGCCAGCACAGCGACAAGGGCTCAACAGCTCTCCCTAGAGGACACAAAACTCAGCTGCAACTGACACACATCATACACAGAGGGTACTATAGATGTTAAAACCTTTGTTGATTCTGCTTATTACAAGATTTGACCGGGTAAAGAGAACATAAAAATGATCAAGACCTTTGACATGACACTTTTGGAAAGCCCCAGCCCCTGCAGTTTTACTATATAAAACTCTCTATATTAACAAAGAAAAGATGTCATGATGTTGTAAATGTAATTTTGAGGGACTATTAGAGCAAATACAACAAAAAGGCAAGGTAAAGTTGGTTCATTTTAAAGTACTCTGTTTTTCTTGTCTTTTTTGATAACACATTTGAAGAAACACAGAAAATGAGGGGAGCAGGGAGTAAATGTAGGAAGAGGTGTGGCAAAGGGTCATGGACAGGATAACAGGAGTTTAACCAGCGACTGCTACTACAGACAACAGTAAAATAAAAGTGTTCAACACTCAAGATTATTGGCTTTAACTTTTATTGTTGTAGTCATTATACAACATCAACATATTTTGAATTAAACTATAATATTAGCCTATTTGTTCGATTATCATTCTTTTTTTGTGACTGGTAGGATTTCATTTTCAAATCTGAGAGAGAAAAGGATTTAAGTGACGCTGAATACCAATGAAAAGCTGTTAATTATGTATGATAACATCTAACTGTGATTTATTTGCATAATAAAGAGCATTACCATTCAAGCTGAGCTTGAATGGGATTACTTTTATAACACAGTTCTTCCATGATACACTGAGAATAACACAGCAGTGCTTTTTTTGCTTTCTTGGTGATCTACTGTACATCTTCCTCAGCTTTTTGTGCTTACATATCCTTCCTGTCTGTTTCTTTCTCATTCAGATAAAATCCTACTCAGTTCTTGTTTCAGTTGAAGTGTGATGGAGCTGATTGTCATCTCCAGTCACTGTTTTTCCTCTACAAGCTTTGTTTCTGGTTGTAAACTAAATCTCAGGTGTTGAGATCTAAGCTTCTACATCTCTGCTACACTTAGTATCTTCTTTCACTGCCGGCTCACTGCTGTTTATATTGTTCTTTTGAATTCACTGGAACAAAGGGGTGCTTCAATTCACAAAAATGTAGGACACTAGTCTGTTTGTTTTATATATCTATTATATTCTGTTAACATGCACTAAAACTAGCTCCATAAGAAGCGCTTTCATATTAACATGGAACAAAAAATTCTCACTGTTAATCAGTGATGCATAAATATGCATAACTGGTTTGATAGTCTTCAGTTGTCTCCATCAGTAGTTTACAAAGCCGTATCTATGTAAGGGAAGACTTTGAGATAAACTGTCTGGTTGCCACATTAACACTTACAATAACAGACCTGGAGCAATGTTGAGCCCTTGCAGAAATAGTTAAAATAAGAAAAAATAAGAGTTAAAAATAGCTTTTCTAGCTATCACGAGGAGATAATTTAGGCATTTCCATGTAAATCACCTGCCATTATAAACACATTTTCATCTCGTGCTCCAGGTTCTCAATACATGAAACAAAATGCAATAAAATGAGTTTACTCTCTAGTTGATAATCCGCAGCTAAATGCCTTCATTTGGGTACAGTTTTGCTCCTCCCCTGTCACTTTGCTGTAGCCTCAAAAGAAATCACAGGACATCTGGCTCAGGTTTTTGTTGTCAGAGTGAGACTCCCAGAGGCCCCCGTACTGACAACACTCGCACATCTCACTTTATTTCTCATCTGACTCTAGGTGATGTGCTCTCTTTAATTAGTCCGATATCTGGAGGAGAGGGAAAAACTTGGAGACGTCCAGCAAAGTCTGACTCTTCAAGGTTGATTTTGTCAAAAAGTTTTGATGTGTTTACTTCAGACCTCTGTGTGTTTGAAAGGAATGACGCAAGACAAACAAAGCCTGATGTACTCGGTGTAGGACGCTTGTGCTGTACTTTGTGTTACCTTCCTGTCATATAAGGGTATGACTGAAGGTTTGATTCCTGTAATAACAGATTCTGAGTGATCCTCTGCAAAATGTTGAACCGTACTGCCCCCCCCCCCCCCACACACACACACACACACATTTAAATCCCTCTGAAAAATAAACACAAACATCTTTGATGTTGAGGAATCATTCCCAGAAACAATCTTTTCTCTTTTTTCAAATGACCTATTTTTCCTGCATCAGATGCTGAGGCTGATTCTGTGGGTAGAATTTCACTGTTTTGCAGGGTAAATAAAAAACTACTTCTGCTCCCCAGCCTTTTCCAAACTGATGCCCTCTGCCTGCTCACTGCTATTTTAAGACCACTGTTGATAGTTTGGATCTCTTCTTTAGAGTCAAAGTCACTCTGTAATTCTCCTTCAAGTCTGAGCATTTAATTTAATGCCACCAACACCAATTTAAAACAGATTGGTATTGATTTGATATGAGGTATATCTTTTCTTTACAGAGAATAGGTACCAGTAAAAGAAAAAAGATAATCAAAGCTATTGTGAGTAGGGATGGGAATCGAAAAGATTTTGTTGATATTGATGCCACTATTGATTCTGCTTATCGATTAAATTCTCTAACGATTCCCTTATCAATGCCTCTCTTTGATTTAAAAAGTAGACTATAGGTTTTCACCGTTAACTCAAAGTTGTTTTGAGTCTCTGATAACAGCAGTCTAAAAACAATCAAACAACAAACTATTAGTACAGCGTTAACTTCATTCGGTATTAAGTCGAATTAGGGTGACCATATTCTGGATCCCCAAAAAGAAGACATTACTCAGCGGAGTCGCGCGCAAAATGTAGAGGGTTTTTTGCACTTCTAACTCAGTTAGTCCAAGTCTGGCATGCATTGTGCTCATGTTAACACAGGACATTCGTACCTTCCATGCTGTTGCTGGGACGGAGCAGCAGCTGCTGACGACCAGAAGAAAGGAATCATTAAGGGAATCGTTAAGATGAAATGTAAACAATATCTATGGATTGAACCATTTGGAACCGGTTCTCAACACGAACCGGTTCTCGATTCCCATCCCTAATTGTGAGGAACTTTTGAGTTGCCTGATGTTTGGCGCCACTTGAAGACAAAAATGTACAAAAATGTGAAGTTGTCTGTTTTGGGGCTGGTGACCTTGTTTACTTCTCTTGGTCATATGGAGGCATTAGTATCAATTTTAATTTGCAAAGTTTTCATAATTTCTTTAGACGGCATCAAGAATTTCTACTTATAATTAAGTCTTCTGTCATCGATTGTACCCACAATGAACAAAACAAAGTTCTTGGGTTGTAGATGTTCAAAGTTGTGTACCTTGCTCATTACACTAAAGGAAACAGAGACAGTGACTTGGCTCATCCTTTGCTTGGCTGCAAACTCTAAATAAAAGGTGTTTTCAATTTTATTCCAATACCTAACAACACACTGGATCATAAATTTGAAAAAGTTTTCTTACCCTTTGTGTAATCAATATCAGGTAGCACTCTGAAAGCTACTTATAGAGGCACTTCATCAATTTTACATAAACAGTTTGGATACTTGTTATGGGGACTACGACTCAGTTAAGAATAGGGTTACACATAGTCTTCTGTTGCTCTGAAGAAGTTCTACAATAACTAAGAAGATAACCTTGATGGTGAATGGTGATGTAACATGCCCTAACATGGTCATGAGCTTTATAACTCAAAGCCTGAACTAATAAGCCAGACACTGACTGACAAAGGTGAAACAGAGGGCTGGTTCTGAACTGTTGACTTCAAGTCTCTATTTGTAGATAGACTATAAAATAAAATAAAATTATATAACATATCCTGAAACTCAAATCATTCACCTTGTTTCATGTTATGGGCTACAACAGCAGTGATGAGCTTGCCCTGGTGCTGACCTGCTTGAACTCACTTCCCCCTGGCTGAGCACCACATGGTTTTAGGCTTTGAGAACATGTGAGCACCTGAGGTTCTAAAGTGTCTGAAGGTTCCTCGAGGACCAAAACTTTACCTTCTCTGGCCCCTGGAAACAGATGCGGCACTGTGGGGTTCGCATCCCACACTCTGATAGACTCGGGAGGGAAGCTGCCTCCAGGCCTCCCCCTCCTGCTCCTTCTCCCTGAGGTTTGGCTTCCTCCTCAAGAGCCATGCTGCGTGGCCGAGGGTCAGAGCCGTAATACTCCTCCTCATCGTCCCGGTGAGAGCAGTTTAGGGGAGAACAACCACAGCCCCCCATGGCCAGCCCTCTCATTCTGGTCTGCGTGTCTGGGTCTGTGCCTGTGGCAGTCCTCCTGTTGGATCCAGATCTCATCAGAACCAGCACTTTGAGTTCATTGAAAAACATCCGGATCCGATACTTGAACATTCTTTTGCAGCTGCTCCAAGAAACAGTCTTCAGCTTGACTGTAGCAGGTCAATCATAAATTCCTAGGTATTGATGATTATGTTATAGATTACTATATTATTGCTATGACATCAAAACCATTTTGTATTAGAAGATCTCTTGGGTGAAACACAGATCTCGGTCAAAAAAGCATGCGAGAAACACGATAGGCTACTAGATCAGCCCATAGCTCTTTGCATATCCTGTTGTTATAGCATGTGCACCTCCATCCAGCCAATGGGGAGGGATTATTTTTCATTGACAGAGGCGTTTTCTTTCGAGATTCAATGGAGGCTGTAAACCATATAGTGTGAAGCACCAACGTTTGAGTCCCAGGGGTCCAATAACATCCTCCCATGTCTACATGTTCATGCCAGTTATTAGTTAATAGCTTACACGATCCTTAGATGGATGCAGCACGAGCTGTCTGAGAGGCAAACCGCCGATGTGGTTGATGGCAGCAGCCACGGTGATGGAGGAGGAGAAGGGAGTTTGGCACCGACTACTTCAGAAGATAAATGTCAAATACGATTGTCCATCTCCATTTTCTTGTTTGCCAACACGAAGCTAGACTTACTAGAGATGAAAAACGAGCGTCCTTTGTTGTCTCGCGGTGGCGTCCATCAGTTCGCCGCTCATTTATTGCTGATTTTGGACAAAACTGGTTGTGTCCCACACCTTGTACCGGCAACCCGGTCAAAAAGTTACAACTCAGCGGTGCTCAATGGCGGACATGGATCCCACAAACTGGATTTAGGTTCCACAAAGAGCAGTTAAAAATAAAAAAGCCCATTTCACGACGACCAGCGAGGCGTCGGTTTTCTTCTTTATTCGACCATCTTTGCGCCGTAAATCAAGAAGAGGGAGGATATGAGCCCACCAAACATTCGTCCTTTGCTTCTTGGCTGTCAAATACAGTCCCACCTTTTCATTATCATCATCAACATCATTGCCATTGCCATCGTCATCATCATCTTCATCCTCATCCTCATCTCTTCACCACGGCCCACATAAGTTAGTGAGACAACACAACACGCCTCAGGTCGATGAGTTCAAGACTTCCAGGATTCTCAAAGTTGACCTCAATTGTAAGTTGTTAACGCGTGGGCACCTTTACGGACTTTTGTGTCTGCAGAATGAAGGTCTGCAAATTTCTTTGAAAACATCCTTCCCTCTGTGTGTGCAGCCGAGAGAAGCAGAGATGAGCTCTAATAAGAGCCGGAGGCAGCAGCGGGCTGATGGAGGCTGCTGCTGTCCAAGGTGCTGACAATCACGTGACGTGGAAGCCACGTGCTGTTGTATTCTTGGGCGTCGAAGAAGAGAAAACCAAATATGGAAAAACACGGACAGTGTGTGGTTTACGTGTCATAAAACTTACAAAAATTCTGAGTGTTTTCTTTTTATAAATCTTTCTAACGCTTTTGCTTTCTGGGTCAGGATCTTCAGTGAAAATACCTACATTTATCTAATCCTCGTCTTATTGAAAATATGATCGCCTTTATATATCTTATTTATTTATTTATTTGGATGCCCATTAGCCACATTTTTAAAAAGATTTAAAGACACTAGTTTCCCAAGATGTAGATTATTGATCATACAGAACACAAAAAAAGAAAAAGAGCTTTATTGAACCCCAAAGGGACATTCAGTAAGTAAAGGACTTCAAGTTTGTTATAAACCTCAGCATGGTGACTAGTATCCAAAGATTAAAATAATAATTATAATACATTTTTATATAACATTTTTCATGACACTAAAAGACACTTAAGAAGGAAAAAACACAGTAGTAAATAAATAGAAAAAACAAAGTAAAATCGGATTTATAAAACAGGCTCAAGTACAATTGCATCCAAAATTGAAGACATTGGTGAGATGTATGCATGTACAGAACATCACCATAAACAATCAGATGCATAAAAGTGGCAGTAATAAGTTGTTTTATAGCCATAAATGAAAAAAGCCAGACACATTTAAACTTCTCTTCAAGTTGCTCATTATGAAGCTTAAAAGTCAGAGAATCATCCATCAAGAATGTTTATAAGATGACACAGGCTCAATTACATCCCCCTGTGATATTAATATTAGTTATTGTAATGTTACATAATTATGATAATGTGTGATTGTTTCTCATTTTACTCCACAGAAGAAAGAAAGGAAGCTAGAAGATACCATATCAGACAGATCTTCAGCTAAGAAGACAAGTTGTTGGCGTCGCCTACTTGGGGTATGTTTCAGAAAGCCAAACAAACAAAAAAAAAAAAAGCATTTACTATAATGAGTTCACAAAAGTGACCTTTCAGAACTAAAACTGTACTTATTTATCTCTGCATGAACTCAAACGGATTTTCTTAAACCCCACAGAAAAGAAATGAGTTCCTCCAGAACCCTACAACAGAAAACAGGTGGAATGTGAAACAAGGTAAAGTATCAACACATGCTGCATCAGTGAAAGCTTTAAACACTTTAAACTTTAGCTCTCACATCCTCTTTCATTTTTGCTTAAAGTGTCTTTGTGTTATCTTTTCTCTCTGTAGGAAACATTTAGAATTGAGCAGTATTGCAAGGCAGAGCGCCACCGCTGTGGACCCTTATGGGTAAGTACATCTACAACGGCACAGAAGTCCTGATATGATTCCTTCACAAAAGAGCTCAACTCTATGATTGGTCAGTCAAAAGTTTTGATGCTGACATGAATTGTAACTAATTGTGTTTGTGCCACAGGTTTCCAAATATCAGACAGAGCTGCGATATGAACTCTTGCCTGCAGAGTTTCTTAACACTGGAGCAGTTTGTTCAGGACATCAGCCGTCGAAAGAAGTTTGGAATTCAGCCCCTCAAGCCAATTTGATCAGGTACTATAACTACAAACTCTCAGACTTCATACACAGTCATGTCACTCTCAGATGTCTCCACAAACATTCAGAAGAAAATGAACCAACATATTAACTCTTTTCTATTCTTCTCTGCAGACATTTTATGGCTCTGAGGGATGCTCATTTGTTAACGGACCGGCAAAGTAAAAGACGTCTTCTGCAATCGTTCAAGAAGGCGGTCTCTGATCAGGAACCCCAATTCAGGGACGACCAACAAAAAGTGAGCAATCTAGTTACATGTCTTATTCTTTCACCTCCTAATGATACTTTTTTTTTTGCTGCATATAAATACCATTGTCTGTGCTTCTGTGTGTTTAAGATGCTCACGAGTTCCTGACTACAGTCCTCAACCAAATAAGTAGTCTGGCACAATAGTGCCTTGGGGCAAAACTCTGAGGCATTATTGTAAAGGGGTCTGCTCTCAAGTTTATAATCCCTCGGTGTGTTTGCTGTTAAGTTTATAGGATCCCTATATATATATACTGTATATATCTATTGTATAGGGGCCAGGGCCTCAGTGCATGTTCCCTGTGACCCGAATAAGGACTTTGATTGAGAGTCAGTGTTTTATCGTTGATCAAATTGCTCTAAAAAATTCAATGATGCAGCAATATCAGAGCAATCTCTGATTAGTGAATTGGTATCAGCTGTGGGCCTAGCCTGAGGCTCTCAGGTTGCCATGGCAACTTGAGCTGGTCGCCTATGATGATAGATGCACCGCAGGCTGAGGCAGCCAAAACGAGCAAAAGCTCCAATCAGAAAAACAAAAAACAAACAAACAAACAACAACAACAAAAAAACAGCAGACCATGATCAGCAAATCTTTGTATTAGCATCAATGAGGAGCAGAGGGAGACATTGTCACACCTAGTGGCTCTGTATTTAAATTCTGTAATGTTCTCTGCTTAGATGAACACTTTGTTAAAGACACAAGTAAGTACGCCTACAACTGTGTAAAAAACATACATGTAGAGTGTAATTTGTGGCTGGAAGTAGCATGGAATAAGAAAAGTTTCAGACAATTTCATGCAACTTCTCTCACTCTAGCCGATGAATTCACTTACTGTGGCACAAAGATTCCATGCAATGCACACTCATTATATACCCATTAGACATTTAAAAACTTGTCATCAAAATCATTCAGAGTTCAAAGTAATATTTTAATAGCATAAAAATGATAAACACAAATTATTTCTGTCTTCTTTTTTGGTTGATGAAAACAGCTGCTTGTCAAATTTCAAAACTAGGTCAAAGATGATACCAACATTTTTTCAGAGTTTGTGGGGGAGGTGCTATGAGCCCTATAAGCCATAGGCCATTAATAAGCTATTTCCCATGTGGCATTGTGTAGCTGGTCACAGTAACTGGTGATTTTTTTTTTCCCACAACTTTTAAAAGCAAAGGAAATTTTGAATTGAGCCTGTTATCAAAGTTTCATTTTTGAAAGAGAGGATGGATCAGTACCTGAAACAAAGTGGCTCATTGTTCTTCTGTTGTAAAATATAGTGGTGAGAAAATTAAATATATTATAACAGTTGTTAATATGATAAATTATACCTGCACTTTCCTAATGACTGCTGTTTAAAAAGGAAATTAAAAAGTACTACCAAAATAGGAAGGTGGAACAATAATAAAACAGTTCTTGTCGTACCTTCTTAAAGACGTCCTCAAAGATGAGTATCTTCCTATTTCTTCACACGCTGAAAGGTGTTAGAGATGCAACAATGGTTCTGACTGATGTTCCCTTTTTAAGGTGTTCTCTCATATGGAGCAACAGAGTAAATCAAGCGTGACAAACCAGCAAGAACTCTATTTATATAATATAACTACAAGTCTCTCATTCAGGTATTAGTTAATTTGTCTTTTCTCTGATTAGTACCCTTGTTGACCTCTGTCTGTTAACCTGTATGAGCGGTACCCTCTGATTGGAAATTCAAGTTGATTAGTTAAGAACTAATTTAGGTGATAATGATAAAAAATATAATTTTTTGCAGAGCAGCGTGTCTGGTTTAGTTCAAGTCCTTGTGCAACATGTTTAAGGTTTTTTAATGAGGAGTAGACCCCGTAATGTATGTGAAGTACTTGCGCAGGCTCAAATTAAATGCAAGGATAAACTGTTTGTAAATGTAAAATACAACACATCATATATAAATGTGTAGTTATGGATGTGAATGGCAGAAATATTTTCCTCATTTTCCATTTGTTAAGTAACTGCTCCTGAGCAAGATTCACTTTATCACATTTCTCTCATTAAAATCAATTACACTGTGTACAAGCCTGAAACTTTTCCTTGTTCATATTGTTAAACATTTAAATAACTACATGTGAACGGTATTGAACCTACTGCTTAAATTTTGGAAACTGTGGCCCCTGAGCAGTTAAAATGCTCCATGAAAACTGAGATTTGCTACTTTAATTCGGGGGAGTTACTGTATGTTAATTTTTAGTTAATAAAATAAATTAATAAATAGAAACGTTTCTGTCCTCTTATTTTTGTGCTCAGGCTATTGAGTTATTTGATATTTTTTCTCTTGTGTTTGTTCATTTGTTTCTGGATCCACAAGTCTAGTCTTAACTTTTTGTTAACAACAGGGGGTGGCTCAACTTACCCCACTCTCCCTTATGTCATGGTGAAATGTAGTAGGCCTACTCTGTGAAGCAGGAACATGATAAAGAATGTTTTTTTGATTACTACTTAGCTTCAGTGATATTTAAAACGGAATGTATAAAACTTTAAATTATTATTGAATATTAATAAAATAAAATTAACAATTAATTCTTATGCATTTTGTGTCCTTGTGAGGGAAGGACAACTATTTCATGGGATAACCCAACTGGCCAAATAATTTCTCCAGAGAAAACAGATCCCTACTGCATCACAGCCTTGTAGTTTATCAATCAACAGATTTATAGTCATTATTCTGGTTTCAATTATTTCAGGTCAATTTAGACAGAGCCTTAGATAATGAGCTGTGTGGATTTAAGCCCCGCCCCCTCCGGAGTTGCTAGAAGCAACAGGAAGCGACAACCCCAAAACTATTGTAGGCAGGCAGAAAGAGAAAAAAACAGAGGAGGCCAAAATCAGACCGGATAAAATTCCTCCTCCTTTCATCGGATCCCAAACTAGTCTGATAAAAACCTTCAGGCGGGATCCCGACCTGCCCTCCCTGACCCGGTTCTGGGGAGAAAAGACGTGGCAGATTCATGAGCATGTCCTCCTGATAAAGCTACAGAAAGCCTCACCTCACCTGCTGCTCAGAGGACACAGACGAGGTAAGAAACGCCTGTAACGTGAGTTACATGAAGCTGACTGTAATTCATGCGCGTTACACTAAAGCAGCTACATGCAATGTGGTGCCAGATGTGGACATAAAAAGTTAGCAGGCGGTGATTCGCCCTATCTTATCTTGGCTCTACTTTTCCCCTCCGCGCTCCTTCGTGTTAGTATTTGAAGTTAGAAAGTTGTTTTGCTGTTTTTGAGACGTTTTCATTGACTAAGGAGAGCTATGGAGGAGCACCACGTGTCACAAAGGGAGGGCTTGCCTTTCCGTCTGTCCTGGCCTGTTTCTCTGTCTGCCTCCGCCCACCGCCGCCACGATGTCCGGTTACATCTGCACTGATGAAGAAATGGATCACATAAGGGAAAGAAATGTGACTTTAACCCTTTGAGTTAACTAGCAGTGACAGGGGATCCACAAGTAGGTCAAAGTAATGACCTCTTTGGGGTTGAGACATGAGAAACATCCAGGTGTTGAGCAACAAAAAGAAAAAAATCTTTCCTACCCATCTGGTTTGCTGTTGTGAGCAAACCTGAAACAACAAGGCAACAATTTCACACCTAGTAGGCCTAAGACCAGAGGAAAGACCACATCAAGTCTTACCATTAATTTTGAAACTGATCTGTCTGTGGCAGATTGGTTTTATTATAAACTCAGAAGTATTTCATGTCAGGAGAGTGGGCTGAGATCTCCTTCCGGGAGTTACATGTTGCCAAATGATCATTATAAGCATCATCTCTATTAGGCTTAACAAGATTTTAACTCAGGACTCAATACCATCCCTTTACACAGGCCTCTCTCTGCCTATTTAGTGTTATCTGTAAGTCTGTAAGAAACTTGGTGCATTTTTGTGGTTGTTCTGCCTCCCACAGCCTGTTGACACACTGTTGGGCTTTCCAGTGGAAAGTTGCGCTCTTTTTTTTTCCCCCAAGCAACATTACTCTAAATTTGTTTGTTTTTAAAAATCAGATTATGTTAAAAGCATCAGGGAAACGTCCATCAAAATAACAAGAATCAGTGAAGAATTATTGGTAATCCTAATTGTTAATTTTTAGTTCTACTTTGCAGGATATACATTAAGTTGCAGTCTTTTACTGCTATGATTTGTGAACTTTATCAAATCAAATTTTCATTGTATTTATATAGCGCCAATTCACAACAGTTGTCATCCCAAGACGCTTTTCAAAGAACAAGAGCAGGTCTAGACTACGCTTATTGTTGAATGAATTATCAAGACCCAACCTAAGATGGGAATTGGCCCATCTCATCTAACATGAGTGACAGTGTCAAGGAAAAACCTCCTTCTAACAGGCAGAAACCTTGAGTAGGACTAGACTCATGTTAGACAGCCACCGAGCCGCTGCTGGGTTAGGGAGAAATACAGAGAGAGGGCAGGGGGAGAGAAAGAGTAGCCTGGCTGGGCCATCCTGTTGCATGAATCACTTGCCGTTCCTTCCCAATGGCAAGTGATTCACGCAACAGGATGGCCCAACCAGGCTAGAGAAGGAGAACAAGCTAGAGGGAAGAAAAGGGAGAAAGAGTAAGGGAGAGGGAGGGAGAGAGAATAGAGAATGAGGGTGAGAGAGAGAGACAGGGGACAGCAGCAACATTAAAACAACAGCAACAACAACAACAACAGCTCCTACAGAGTAGTGGTTGCAGAGCAGGTAATGATGAAACAATATGAATTCAGTCTACAGGATTAGGATATAAGTAATTTTGGACTATGATGAATTAATATAATGTGATTACAGTCAGCAGGTCTAATAGTAGTTAACGCTAGTTTTATGTTATTATACATATTTTAACATAACACTGCAGCTACCATGACAATGGTATCAAAAAAACTTCAGATGCCTAATGTATCCCAATTAATTTAAAACCATTCACTGTGTTAGAATTAATATGTTAATCAGAAAAGCACAAATATTGCATTGAGGGAAACATTTTTTATGTCCATGCATGTTATTTTAGAGAAAACACTATACATGTACACTATACACTATACATGTATGACTGTACATAATCTGAGACCACGCATGGGAAAGATTTTTAAATAGAGTTAGATTTGAGTTCATGACTTAAATGCAAGTTTTTTACAAAAAGACAAATTTTTGTGTCTTCAGGTCAGAGTATTTTTGATGATTAAAATGATTTTGAAATAGTTAGGATGCATTAAACAATCACCTGAAGTTTTTTTTATTTATATGTTCTTGTGTTTTTTTTTTTTCTTGCACATTTTCAGGATCTCAGTTTTGTCTGCAGACACTGATGCAACTTTCTTTGTGAAACAGGAACAAATGTGTTGTGTCCGACAAGAATTATGCAACATTATTCTTCTTATTTTCAAAAACTTTTGACCACTTCAACATTAGCGGTTTTGGCTGTGAAGACTCAAACCCTGGAACACGCTCAAATTTGTCATCAAGCAGGTGATAGAAAATAACATTTTAAAGCATATGCAATAAAATTCAGTTCTGAGTTAATCATCTTGCCCCTGTGAGGAAGGGCATGGTCCTTTAAGTCCTGTCCTTGGAATAAAGAAAACTAATGTCCTGAAGTGTACTCTGATCCTGTGAACCATGCTGAAAACCCCTGAGGGCAGCAGAGACGAGAGGAAGCATATCTGACATAAAGTGTGAGGTATGAAAATGAGAGGTTTTAATGTTCAATTGGGTATAAGTACGGATGAAGATGAACATGTGTGGGCAGGAGATAAAAGAAATTGATTACAGGTTGACTGTAACAAAGAGTTAGCTGATGCTCTGGTTGTGTGTCTGCTGCCTCGTACATGACAGAATGGATGGATGGAGCTGGTACAGAGGCCAGAGGAAAGCTGTCTGGGTTGTGCAGGTATGGGGGTGCTTTGACCTGTGTGGCCAGAGTTGCTGCCAAAAGTCTTGTGTTACGTGTATTTGCTTTGAAATGGTGTCTCGTTCATTGAGTCATTTGAATTCTCTCTTGAGGTCAGGTACTTTGTCCTGTTGTTTGTAGGTTATAAAACATTTTGGCAAATAAGAACGACAAATGAGGAAGACATCTACTCTTCCATTGGTAGGCGGATAGATGTCTGCAAGGCTGCTGAGGTAACGGCACCGTTGTTACATTTTCTACAGAAATATTCACAATCAATGATGAGTTTAATTGTCAAAAGTAAGAATAACGACATTTCTGTCAGAAGTTTAAAACTCCTGAGAAGAACTTTAAGTTTGAGACAATTTTGGCTTTCCCTGTGGAAAAGAGGTTACCCTTGTGTTTGCTGTGGGTTTCGTTTTGTCCTTGTGAAAGTGGCGTTCATTGAAAAAACAGAACACAACCTCTAACATCCGTTTCAGACATGTAAAATTAGGATATGAAACTTGTCAATCTTGTAGCTGATGGTCTTATTTGCTTTCGAGTATCATAGAGAAACATCAATATCAGTTTCAGTTTGTTTTACAAACATGAAAAAACTTCTCACAAGAGCTTTAAATGCAGACTGTAGAAAGAGGAGATGCAAGACCCCCCTTACCTCTGAAACATGACGGGGCATTTAAAAGTCAAAGAGTAAGAATTTAGACCATAATAGAGCTCAAGAAGGGCTATTATTAGACTAAAAATCCACCCAAAATGCAAGAAAAAATCCTTTCTGTGTTTACTGAGTTTCAAGATGTCCACCTGCCTCATAGAGTGTAGCTGTACCTGTGAGCTTTGAAAGTTGAGCACCCCATGATAACCGACCACTTTTCTTTGACCTTAATTAACACGTCATTGATATAGCATTAAAGGTGGTTCAGACAATAGATACAATCATAACACTAGATGCCTCATGACCCTACCCAGAATGTGCCAAGACCACCACCATCTTGGAGTGGTACTTGTCAACGGTTTTGTAGTCAGTTGAAATGTTGGAAGCCTGCGGTTTACCTGACAACAGCATTTGTTTAAATTCAACACCATGCTTGACAGCAGACACCGGTACCGCTCCAAGATGTTGCGGTCTTCACGTATGCACTGCCGTTGTCATATATGGGTCCTCCTGAGGCATCTAGTGTTATGATAGGAATAGGAATTACTTCATCGATCCCAAAGGAAAATTCAATTGTCTGTCGTCTCATTTGTCATGTCTCAAAAGTCATCTACGATTCATAAAAGAGCGGTTAAGTCTGATGGCTGTTGGTACAAAAGATCTGAATCTTTCTGTCCTGCAGCGAAGAGAGAGGAGACGTCCACCACCATTGGCCCTTTGGTCCATCAAGGTGTTACGAAGTGGGTGATCCATGTTCTTTAGAATAGTCTCCACCTTCCTTAATGTACATCTCTCCACCACATCCTCCAACTTGATTCCAACCACAAAGCCAGCTTTTTTCACCAGTTTGTTCAGACGTCTTGCATCTTTGTGTTTGATACTTCCTCCCCAGCACACTGCAACAGAACACGTGCCACCACAGACTGATAAAACATCTACAGCATCTTACAACAGATATCTATTGGGTATTAGATATTTAGGGCCCGAGCGTAGCTGCTAAGCAGCTGCGAGAGCCCTATTATTCCTGATGGATTCTTCTTTAGGGCCCGAGCGTAGCTGCTAAGCAGCTGCGAGAGCCCTCTTGTTCCTGATGGATTCTTCTTTTGTTATTATTATTATTTTTCCTCCGCTTTAAACTGGAAAATGGCCCACTTCCCACTGGCGAAAACTCATGAAATTTGGCAGGACGACCGGGCCTGGTGAAAAATTCGATATTCTGAAGTCGCCCAAACAAGAAAATGCAAAATGGCTCCATAGCGCCCCCTAAGGTGAAAATTCACACTATTGACTGTCACGCCTGTACGCTTTGTCATATTGACACAAAAATTGACACACACATGTATCTCAATAAGATCTACAAAAAAGTCAGTGCGGGCGTATCTGTCAAATGTACGGTTAAAGGGTTATTTTGCAATTTTTGCAGATCCGCACACATTGGAATTTCGCTAACTCCTCCGAAGGCTTTCGTTCCACCGGCACCACATTTGCTCAGGCCAATCTACACTCCATGGCCATTCAAAGTTGTACAAATCATAATGCTGCACCCCATGGTTTAGGTTCTAGGGGGCGCCAAAAATAACCCAAAAATCCACATTCTTAAAAGTTTTATAAATTTTTTTTTTTGTCCTCACTGGCCTCCAAGTTTTCTAGGATGATGCAATGTCCAGCCATCAACACATTTGTGAAGGAATTTTTACTCCCCAAAAGAGCGCCCCCCCATGGCAGGAATAAAAAGTCAATTTTTTCTTGTCCCCTAAGGTGAAAATACACATTGTTGAGTGTCACGCCTGTACGCTTTGTCGTATTGACAAAAAATTTGACACACACGTGTATCTCAATAAGATCTACGAAAAAGTCAATGGGCGCGTATCTGTAAAATGTACGGCTAAAGGGCTATTTTGCATTTTTTGCCGATTCGCACACATTGGAATGTGGCTAACTCCTCCTAAGGCTTTCGTCCCACTGACACCAAATTTGCTCAGGCCAATCTACACCCCATGGCCATTCAAAGTTGTAAAAATCATGCCGCTGCACCCCATGGTTTACGTTCTAGGGGGCGCCAAAGATGACCCAAATATCCACATTCTTAAAAGTCGTTTTGGCCACTGCAGGAGTACAGAGTACTGCAGGATACACACACACAGACACACACACACACAGACACACACACACACACACACACACACACACACTCAGAGTCTGTTTTTTAGCACCTGCAAAAACATGCTATTTACATATTTGACAACAATGCAGAGGCTTCCTTTTGCCCCTGAAAAAAATCAAATTTCTAACACAACTTGACTGCTCATTTCTCCAAAAGACAACCATGAAGCTCCATCCAAACCTGAAGCAGGCAGTTGGTGCATGTGTACAGTAACCTGAGGGGAGTGAGGTGACTGCTTCTGAGGAGAACATGAGCAGTGAAGATTCACCTTGGAGCGAGAACAGGGACGTGCACATGATTATACGGGGGCAGGGGCTCAAGTTTTTTCCAGTCGTTTATACAATATGGAAATTAATGTGAAATTAAAAAACAAAGTATTAATAGAAAGGTAATGACTGTCCTGTGTAGGTGACAGTGATATCCAATAGGCTAGGCACTCACAAGGCTGGCTGTGGCAAGTGTAAGTGAAAGCAACACGCACTGGCAGGAAGAACAGCAAACGCCGATGAAGGAAAAGGGTCTTTGCAGTGATGGGCGTTACCAGAGAGGACGATGGCCAGAGGACGCGAATGGGACGGGGAGGCAGCGCGTTGGGGGGGGCGACACAGCTCGGGCCCGCCAGTGCCCCAACGGGGCCCTAGTTCTTCTTCTTCTTCTTATTATTTTTCTGCCCCTTTGAACTGGAAAATGGCCCACTTCCCACTGGTGAAAAGTCATGAAATTTGGCAGGACGACCGGGCCTGGTGAAAAATTCGATATTCTGAAGTCGCCCAAAAAATCAAATGCAAAATGGCTCCATAGCGCCCCCTAAGGTGAAAAATTCACATGATTGAGTGTCACGCCTGTACGCTTTGTCAAAATGACACAAAATTTGACACACACGTGTATCTCAATAAGATCTACAAAAAAGTCAGTGCGGGCGTATCTGTCAAATGTACGGTTAAAGGGCTATTTCGCATTTTTTGCCGATCCGCACACATTGGAATTTCGCTAACTCCTCCGAAGGCTTTCGTTCCACCGGCACCAAATTTGCTCAGGCCAATCTACACCCCATGGCCATTAAAAGTTGTACAAATCATGACGCTGCATCCCACGGTTTACGTTCTAGGGGGCGCCAAAGATAACCCAGAAATCCACATTCTTAAAAGTCGTATAACTTTTTATTTTTGTCCTCACTGGCCTCCAAGTTTTCTAGGATGATGCAATGTCCAGCCATCAACACATTTGTGAAGGAATTTTTACTCCCCAAAAGAGCGCCCCCCCATGGCAGGAGAAAAAAGTCCATTTTTTCTTGTCTCCTAAGGCGAAAATTCACACTATTGACTGTCACGCCTTTACGCTTTGTCATATTGACACAAAAATTGACACACACATGTATCTCAATAAGATCTACAAAAAAGTCAGTGCGGGCGTATCTGTCAAATGTACGGTGAAAGGGCTATTTCGCATTTTTTGCCGATCCGCACACATTGGAATTTCGCTAACTCCTCCGAAGGCTTTCGTTCCAAAGGCACCACATTTGCTGAGGCCAATCTACACCCCATGGCCATTAAAAGTTGTACAAATCATGACGCTGCACCCCACGGTTTACGTTCTAGGGGGCGCCAAAGATAACCCAAAAATCCACATTCTTAAAAGTCTTATAACTTTTTATTTTTGTCCTCACTGGCCTCCAAGTTCTCTAGGATGATGCAATGTCCAGCCATCAACACATTTGTGAAGGAATTTTTACTCCCCAAAAGAGCGCCCCCCCCATGGCAGGAGAAAAAAGTCCATTTTTTCTTGTCTCCTAAGGCGAAAATACACATTGTTGACTGTCACGCCTTTACGCTTTGTCAAAATGACACAAAATTTGACACACACATGTATCTCAATAAGATCTACAAAAAAGTCAGTGCGGGCGTATCTGTCAAATGTACGGTTAAAGGGTTATTTCGCATTTTTTGCCGATCCGCACACATTGGAATTTCGCTAACTCCTCCTAAATCTTTTGTCCCATCGGCTTCAAATTTGCTCAGGTCAATCTACACCCCATGGCCATTCAAAGTTGTACAAATCATGACGCTGCACCCCACAGTTTACGTTCTAGGGGGCGCCAAAGATAACCCAAAAATCCACATTTTTAAAAGTCTTATAACTTTTTATTTTTGTCCTCACTGGCCTCCAAGTTTTCTAGGATGATGCAATGTCCAGCCATCAACACATTTGTGAAGGAATTTTTACTCCCCAAAAGAGCGCCCCCCATGGCAGGAGAAAAAAGTCCATTTTTTCTTGTCTCCTAAGGCGAAAATTCACACTATTGACTGTCACGCCTTTACGCTTTGTCATATTGACACAAAAATTGACACACACATGTATCTCAATAAGATCTACAAAAAAGTCAGTGCGGGCGTATCTGTCAAATGTACGGTGAAAGGGCTATTTCGCATTTTTTGCCGATCCGCACACATTGGAATTTCGCTAACTCCTCCGAAGGCTTTCGTTCCAAAGGCACCACATTTGCTGAGGCCAATCTACACCCCATGGCCATTAAAAGTTGTACAAATCATGACGCTGCACCCCACGGTTTACGTTCTAGGGGGCGCCAAAGATAACCCAAAAATCCACATTCTTAAAAGTCTTATAACTTTTTATTTTTGTCCTCACTGGCCTCCAAGTTCTCTAGGATGATGCAATGTCCAGCCATCAACACATTTGTGAAGGAATTTTTACTCCCCAAAAGAGCGCCCCCCATGGCAGGAGAAAAAAGTCCATTTTTTCTTGTCTCCTAAGGCGAAAATACACATTGTTGACTGTCACGCCTTTACGCTTTGTCAAAATGACACAAAATTTGACACACACATGTATCTCAATAAGATCTACAAAAAAGTCAGTGCGGGCGTATCTGTCAAATGTACGGTTAAAGGGTTATTTCGCATTTTTTGCCGATCCGCACACATTGGAATTTCGCTAACTCCTCCTAAATCTTTTGTCCCATCGGCTTCAAATTTGCTCAGGTCAATCTACACCCCATGGCCATTCAAAGTTGTACAAATCATGACGCTGCACCCCACAGTTTACGTTCTAGGGGGCGCCAAAGATAACCCAAAAATCCACATTTTTAAAAGTCTTATAACTTTTTATTTTTGTCCTCACTGGCCTCCAAGTTTTCTAGGATGATGCAATGTCCAGCCATCAACACATTTGTGAAGGAATTTTTTCTCCCCAAAAGAGCGCCCCCCCATGGCAGGAGAAAAAGTCAAGTTTTTCCTGCCCATCGCTCAATGGCTCAAACGCATCGCTCTCTCTGCAAAACCGAAAGGAGGAGCAACTTGCCATTTGGATATATACTAGCTGTGTTTGTGCCCTCACTCATGGTCCAGACTTTTTTCAAATAGGACATGTAGTTTGTCTGCAGCGAGCGTTTTGGTAGAAACTGCGCCTCCCATTCATTATAATGGGAAATGACCACAGACAAGTGCGCACACCATCTTTGGACCTTGAGTGTGACGCGATCGGGAGGGGGAGGCGGTCACGCTGGGGGCGGCGCGACGCGGCTCGGGCCCGACAGTGCCCCACCGGGGCCCTAGTATCTATTAGATGTCTATCTATGGTTTAGACATCCTGTTTATGCAGTCTGTTTATTGTTTGGGCATGTACCTCACTGAGATAGAAATCCCCTTACAGATATTTCATCCTTTAAATAGATTTTTGTTAAACGCCTGTAAAGTCTTATCTAAATAAAATGGTTAACTGCCCTCTCAGTACATCCTTTCTTATATAGAGAGCACACTCCTTGAGGCTGAAACAATATTCTTTTTTTTTATTGTTACTGTATTGAGGATTTTTCAGAGGGATTTTATGATCACAACAAACATTTAACAAGTATTAAAAACATCTACTTAAGAATAACTAGCTATACGAAGAACCCACACAACAAATAAGTAAACATGAAACAGAAAAATCACTATAAAAAGAGGATTAACCAAATAAGAACTATAATAAATCAAATGAAAAGGGGAAAAGAAGTGGTCTGAAGGGGGTATATATATCAGCCTTCATTGTCTTAACAGTTATTTTTTTAATTTTATACTTTGAGCTCACTCTGCTGTTTAGCCTGTGTGGCAGGTTTTTGATGCATAGAGGCCATGTTATATTATTAATAACAGCAGTACTTAAATTCTGCATAATGGTTTGTTTTGGAAACAGACAGCTATAAAATGGAATTACCAAAGTAGAGAAACAGCTGGAATAGCTTGTCTTTGTGAAACATGAATTACGTGACATTCTCCTACTTGTAAGGAGATATGGGTCAGTGGCTCACTGATTTATAGATCACCACCACGCTGATGTAAGTGTCCACTAAATGAACTCTACTTCACACTCCAGCACTCCTCCTTTACTCACCTTCTCCCCTGAGTATGCAGTTGAAAACTATCAAGAGAGAATTTTTTGCTGACAGCCCTACCCAAAAGTTAGGGCCAGATCTGGATGTGATATTAGAATTCAACATATTTTAAGTAATTTACAGAGCTCAAGAGAATGTCACAGAGTTGACTATAATGTAAGAACCCATGACCACATTCATATTAAACCATAAGAGCTGTTGTGGAGAAGGAGAGTCAAACTGTTAATTTGAGTGAAAGGGCTTGTAATTTAAGTTTCTGATGTTTGGTCTACTCATGTGATGCAGATGTACAAATTTGCAGGATTTCCTCTCAGATGTATAAAAAAAATTAACAGTCCTTTAATGTTACTACATGAGAAATTTGGTGAAGACTTTCTCCTTTGGTGTACAGCCTTGAAAAAAGGTTAATATTCAAGTGTTTTCTTCTAATACCTCAACATCTTTTTCATAAACTGCCATGGAGTTTTGTATCCCTTTGGTCAACCTCTGACTTGCCATCTCCTTAAATCTATGCTAGCTCACAAAATGCCCTTTTTATTTTTACATAAACTAAAGTAAAAAAAAACTTTTCTTACTTGCCTACAAGAATATTCTTACCATTAAACTCAAATTCAACCAATTTCACAACTTGTACTTTCTCTTTGTCTCTCAGTCTGTTGAATCTCAGCCATGGCCCATGCCACCAGTCTTCAGTATGAGCCCGTGGCAGAGATAGGAGGAGGCGCTTATGGAACGGTTTATAAAGCCCGAGACATCGAGAGCGGACAGTTTGTAGCTCTGAAGAGTGTTCGTGTCCAGACAGATCAGAACGGCCTCCCTCTCTCTACGGTCAGGGAAGTGGCACTGCTGAGGAGACTGGAGCAGTTTGACCATCCTAATGTGGTCAGGTAAGACAGATCAGTGAACTGTCTTTTTTTTTTTTAACTTAAGTTGTTTTTGTTTCACTGTGAACACTTCTCACAGAATCCACTTTTCATTGTACATGACAGGTTAATGGACGTATGTGCCACCCAGAGGTCGGACCAGGAGACTAAAGTCACTCTGGTGTTTGAACATGTGGACCAAGACCTCAAGACATACCTAGAAAGAGCCCCCACTGCAGGGTTATCCCCTGGACACATAAAAGTGAGAACCAGCTAAAATACTATATGAACTTCAGGCATATTTATCTCTCTCTTCTTACTTCTGTTTTGGAGCATGTGTTTTTGAAATATTCCGTTTTTGTGTGTCCTTTCAGGACCTGATGAGGCAGTTGCTTTGTGGTCTCGCATTCCTTCACTCTAACCGTGTGATCCACCGAGACTTGAAACCAGAGAATATTCTGGTGACAAGCAAAGGCCAAGTGAAGCTGGCAGACTTTGGACTGGCCAGAATCTACAGCTGCCACATGGCGCTTACTCCTGTGGTAAGAATTTACCTCATTGTGCATAGGCCTGTCTCAGTATACCAGTGTGGACAATGACATGTTGATATTGTGCTGAAAATAAGCAATGAGCATATTGTAATACGCTGAGGTTTTTACTGGTGTGTTGTCCTCTATGCTGGTTGCAACATTTCATAAAACAGAGAGAGGAAAAAAAGAAGCTGGTTTTAGCAAGCATGCATGTAGCAGCCCTTTGAGAAAAGATTAGACACTTATAAAACAGAAAAATATTTATTCATATATTTACTGTTAATCCAAAACCGATGTTAGAGCTTTTGTCTCTGTCTAATCAAGGGAAGGATTAAGTTGCTCTGCCCTTGCCTTTCCTCAGTTTGACTGATTGTGTTGCCATAATTTTGTTATCTTGATATGTTATGTCCATGTTATCAGGCATCATTCAGTAGAAATGTTGCTAAATTATATGAATTTTTCTGCCAAGAAGTTAAAAAATACAAGGACCACACCTCCTTTGTTATTTTCCTGTATATGATCAGTTAATACCATAGACTGTATAAAGAATGGACACTGTCTGCTTCCTCACTGGGTGAAGCCACTCCGAGAACAGCACCCTCTGTTGACGGGCTGCAGTATATACCGAGAGCTTTTTGGCTTCAAATCCGTGTACAGGTGGTAGGCGGAACCAAGTCATCCATAGTATATACAGTCTATGGTTAATACAGGATCATATTTATATTTGATGCTCTCCTGTCCAGTATCTCTTTTGATAAGTTACAGATTTTTAGGCACATTTACACGTTTATATTGCTTTGACTTCCTCCAATCATGGATGAATGGACTCCATGTTTACATTTCTTAGGTGGTCACATTGTGGTATCGCCCCCCCGAGGTTCTGCTGCAGTCGAGTTATGCCACTCCTGTGGATATGTGGAGCACCGGCTGTATATTTGCCGAAATGTTCAGACGCAAGTAAGTCAGCAGAAAAATAAGCACACAAACCCAGATAATCTTTGTTTTTATTCCTTTTTCAAATGTCTGTTAGGAATTTCTGGGTCATATTTAACACAGTTTTATGTTTGTGCTAGTGATTGAACTTAGGTTTAGTGTTTTTAATATGAAATGATTTTTAATTAAGCTGCCTTGTGTGTTGGATCTTTTTATCATTTAGAAATAGTGGATTTTTTTCTCTTGCTTGAACATAATAAAGAGAGTTTGGAGTAAGACGGCCAAGGCCAATGTTTAGCCTCTTGATAGCTGTTGGTTTTGGTTACTAAGAAATTTGAATATGGTCAGTGAAAGATTGTTTCCTTGGTAATTATATGTATAAAAAAAAAGCCTTATCCTCCTCTGTTGGTGTAAAATCAGCAGTTACATCTTAAATTAAACACGATCAGATCTCTCTTAAATCTAAACCGCAATAAATTCAGCATATTCCCTCAGTGTAACAATAAAAGGTTCATTATTCTCAAGTGGAAAGCGAACAGTCTGCAGATGTAGAGCCAAATATTGTTCACATTAGTGTGTCTACTAATAGTCTCTGCTAGCGAGAATCATAAAATGTGAATTTAAGACACCTTATTCTGCTTGGACTGTTTTTTGATTGAGCTGCCAGATTGTAGTAAAGTCAAGCACCATTACAGCTACATACACACAGCAGCATCTTCTAGTGGTAAAAATGACTCATTGCACGGACACAGTGGTGAGTTTCATACTTCAGAGTGACTGTTTTGCTCATTGTTAGAAGAGTTTGTTGTGATGCTACACTGAAATGTTATGGTGAAGGATTGAAAGCAGTGAATCATGAATAATTCACTGGTTGATCTTTTATAAGAAAGCTTGTAAAAACAGTATAGTTATTAACTAGACCTTTATGACAAACTGCTGTCTGCTCAGGAGGTGGATCAAGCTCCTGTTTGTTCTCCTGCTTCAGCAACAAGCTAATAAAACATGATCTGTTTCAGTGTATTAACTTTGACTCAAACCTTCTCTCTGGTAGACCTTTGTTCCGTGGAGAATCAGAAGTGGACCAACTTGGGAAAATTTTTGAGTGAGTAACAACCTTTATCACCTTTATCACCAGATTCTGCTGATTCACATGAAAACTATTTTGTTGAAATGTTCCTTTAGAGTTATCGGCTTGGCTCCAGAGGAGGAATGGCCGACTGATGTTACTCTCTCCAGAAAAAACTTCCCCCCTGTCTTACCTCAGCCGATCACTGACTTTGTTCCAGAGATAAATGAGCAGGGGGCGAAGTTATTGCAGGTAGGACTTTACTGAGAGTTCAGAAGAAAAGGTGGGATCCAGCTCACCACAGTATGATTCATTTTCAGTTGTTTATATTGTTGAAATCATGTTTTTCAACAGATATTTTCCCCAGACTTAAGAACTATTCTTTACACTCATAGTCTGCTGATGGTCAACAAAAACCACAAAAATGTCACTGTGCGTCAGTGTGAGACATAATCATGACTGGTGTTGCTAATACAGTTATTTAAACAAGAAAACACTGTTAAAAAAATGGTCAAAATTAGTTAATGGGACTAAAAAGACATTGTACATGCCTTAAAATAGATGAAATGAATTGATTAGTTTGTTGCCCTGTCCTCCTTCCGTAGCTATATTATGAAGTGTGAGATAGAACATGAAAATAGAATGTGCTGAAATAATCAAATTAAAACTCTTGCAAGGATTTTGATTTGTTATGAAAAGACTGAAATTAATCCATAGGAACCTCAAAAGAAAACAAGACCATCAGTGATGGGATCTGCTCTACTTCTAATGCCAGACACTGCTGCAGAGCAGGTGTCTGGTGAAGTGATTGACAGCACAGTGAAAAGACAGTCTTACTTTTTCAACAATTCACACTGCAAACATTCACAACAAATGAAACATTTGACTGTTAACAGACAAGGTAAGATTTTCTTAAATCCAAAACCATACATCAGCGAGAGCTTCAAGAACTGTTTTGTCATTAAAGTGGCCAAACTATCTCAGTGCATGTCTGAAATTTGTTCAAGTCAGGACACATCCAGCATTTGCAAACATACAACAAAAAATAATATCACGGTGAAAGATCCATAAATCTTGTGATATGCCTGTAATGGAATTAAATAAATGTGCTCCATTATTTTTAATTAATCATTCCTGATTAATTAAATGCTCTGCAGCTTCCACTCGTCTTGTATCTTATGTGGCCAATGTCACCACAATGGGCTTTTGTTTCCGGCTTGAGTTTAACATATAAGATTATAGTGTGTCTGACATCACCTTAAGGCTAAAACATACAGGATGTGTATTTGGAGCGTGGCAGCAGTGGCGCGTATGACGCAGCAAATAGGTTGCCATTCTAATCAATGCAGCAAAGCGTACAGGACGCGTATCAGCAGCACTGCTAAAGATACGCAACAAGTCTGTTTTTGCTGCTCTATGCTTCCAATGCGTATCAATCATAGACTGTATATACTATGGACAACTTGGTTCCGCCTACCGCCTGTATACGGATTTGAAGCCAAAAAGCCCTCGATATTTCCAGGATTTTTCTTCATTTCCTGAAACCAGCGCTGCCCAGTAGCGATGCGCACATTCGGTCGTGCAGTCGCCGAGAGTCGCTGTGATGATTTCAGGCTTTATGTCTGCTAAGACTTATTTGACGCTAAGCTAAGCTAGGCTAACATTTTGCTCAATACTGTTCCATATCTACTGCACAGACAACCTCTTGTTTTAACTGTCATTATTTCTTAAATTAACCTTTCACACTGAACAATAATGTTTTTTTCTCCATAGGAAATGCTGACCTTTGACCCCTTTAAAAGAATATCTGCCCTGAATGCCCTAGAACACCCATATTTCAAGGAGGAGGAGAAATTGACTCAAACAAAAAGCTGAAAAGGTGCAGTGAAACATTCAACAAGAGGTAACAATGCCAGAGTTTGGACCGGGCCTAACCATAAAGGATTTAAGTTTCATTCAACGCCTTTCAAGACAACAGGGTTGAGCTTTGGGATATTTTTGTCACCCCTGCATTAAAAAAAATGGATTTAAGCCCGAGAAATGGAATTAAAAAAAAAAAATGAAGTGGATGGAACTTAAGGATCACCAACATGCTTCCCAACGTGTAAAAAGTCCAGATTAATGGTGTTAACATGTCACGTCTCTGAGGACAGTACCAGTGTTTTTGATGATGGGTTTCTGCTGGAGTCTTGTCAGCAGGGACTGATGCACAGAAAAGCCTGTCATCTCCTCTGAAATGTTGTTCTTGTTGTTTTTGTAGAGAGTTCAGACGGAAGCAGAGATGTCATCTTTCCTTTTGAGAGGCTGAAAAAAGTCAGACAGATGACACCTCGGGGTTAGGAGAACCAGCTGTTAGAGATCATGCTGTATTTGTGTTCAACATCACAAGCCTTTGATGGGGAAATTAGCTGTACCACAATCATCTGAGAACAATAGTCTGGATAGTAAAGAGAAAAATGCACTAGTAGACTTGTTTGTCAAAAATACTGCCATTGCCCTTTTGTCTCATTAAGTGTTAGAAATTTTGTCCTCTTGGGGACAAAAGATTTTGCGTTTAACATTTTTGCTTGGATCACCTCTAATCAACCAGCACTGCAACAACAAGTGAATAAAACCAATTTTAATCACATTTAGACACTTTCTGTGAATTATTTTTGAATTGTTGTCCATATTGAATGAAGATATGTGATGATAAAAAAGGGACTGAGATATGTTGCTAAAAAATAAGATGTAATAGATACTAAAAGACCAAACCAAATGCACCAAAACCAATTCACTGTTTCTGTCCTCAAGAAGTAACCACTGAACAGTAGCCCCTGTCAAAATCAGATTTTCTCTTTCTCTCTTTTTCTGAAATAATTGCATTGGAAAATCACATATCTTACTGTATTAGTAGTTTCACACTGCCCATCAAATGTTTGAATAGCCCCATGTGTTTACAGTCAAAAGGAATATTTTCATGAAACATCTGGTTCAGTACACTGACATTTTCCCCAGTAGTAATACATTAAATCTGTAGTATTGAGTCTACATTCTGCACAGTGTAAGTCTAGATCTCAAACAACTGAAAGGTGATGTACATTTATGAAGAAAAGTTCAACATTCAAGGTGTACACTCAGATTTAACTTGATTCAGGGGTGGATCCAAAGAGGTGACAAGTGGACAGTTAGCCTTCATCAGTCTTGAAGTATTTGGTTCAGAACTTTGGCTTCATGTTAATTCAATACTCCTTTATTTTCAGTGATTCTGCAGGGGTGTCCGAGTGGGTACTGACCATATACTGTATATACTGTATACTTCTATATACAGTCTGTGGTACTGACGACATTGGTCGCTTGATGAGCCAGAAATATACAAATGGATTTCTTTGCTTTTTTCTCCCTGAGTTATCACTATCACTGTTAAATCTAATAAACAGAAACTCTGAGTTTCTTTGTGGAAATATTGTGAAGTTTGGCCCCCTTTACCCCTCCCAAGATCAAATGGTATATCCCCCTTTCTCCACCTGTAATTGAACAGGATAGTTCAGACCATAGTCTATAAGAAGGCAGAGAGAAGAAAGAAAGCTGTGGAGGATCATCTCTGGACAAGTTTCTGTCAAAAGAAACGTAGGCTATCTGTAACCCTTAAGAAGGATTTAAGCTAAAACTAGCAGTCTATATTTAATAAAATAAGCTGTAATCCTGTTAGCATTTTATGTATAGGTATGTTCCAGCATCATAGGTACAATCTCATATTACTCTTAATTTGTACACGTCTTCGCGATATAAACGGTCAACTTTGAGGCGATAATTAGCATATTTCCATGTAAGCTAGCATAACATATCTGACGCCAACAGATCTATTATGATTTCCAGATTTAAATGGATGAATAACATAGTGCTAGCTTTGAAACTGAGCCTGATAACGCTTTATAAACATAGCAAATTTGTTGTCAAGTGAAATTATTTATTATTTTGCAGTATTTGTTTAAGCTGTTTGCTTCATCCTTGTCGAGGTTTCAGTTTTAGGAGCAGGTAGAAGAACAAGGTCTGTTGGGGAATGAAGAAAGTGAAGAGAGCAGGAAAATTCTGGTTTCTCTGAGAATTGGCAAAATGATGAAAAAATGGCAGAAGAAGGTGTAGAAAGTGGTCTGTGGTCAGAGAAGTTCACCAATCACCAATGGAATACATTTGTTCTTGAGGTAACTTTTCCCTGATTTTAAGGATTGTTAAAGTTACAGCAATTTAAAGCTTTAATTGAGACACACTTTTGGTTATTTTGCGCAATAATGGGCAGCAATGACTCTTGCTTTACTGTTTGTTACATTTAGATAAAAAAAAAAAAAACAGGATCAAACTTGACTTGAGAGCAGAAAAATATTTAACCAATAGAAATTAATTGAGGAAAACTCCAGCCTGGACTGTTCTGCATCAAATACTTCAATACAGATGATCAACTGGCATCATTTCTTCAAAATAACGAATGGAATAAAATCTTTTTAAAGTTATTGTGTGTAAATAGAACAAAATAGATGGTGTAAACCGTATCTTTACTCCGATGAACTCCTAATCTACTCATTTAAAGTCTTAGCTCTCTTATGTTTCTGACCCAAATAGAACCCTAGACATGTTTTAAATCTAATAGGGTTGCAATGTAAAATATTCATGTGCACACATAATCTTTATCCATTTTCCAAAGCAGATTTTCACATCTTCTATTTTCACATAGCGTCTCCACCCTCTGAGGTTTTAGTCTAATCTTGTTTGATGTGGTTTGATTGCTCCAAAATATTCATTTCAGCTCTAAAGGAGCTAGAAAGTCATATTAAGCTGAAAGACGGACAGAAATGATGTGCCAATTAACTTGATTTTTTGATGTTTTTTCAGACAGGTTAATTGCACAGAAGTGAGGTAAGAGGGAAGAGAGGTGGTTTCTGTAAAGAGATGTTTAGTGCATTTTTTAAGATGCTAGAAAATGTTTCCCTCTCCTGTCTCTTTCAGCCTCCTCGCTAAAAACCCAAGCCAGTATCTTCAGTTTTCTATCCATGTAATTTGATTTCACGCTATTTATTTGAGTCACTCTCTGAACATTTTTATCCCCTGCGTCTATCTGTTCATCTCCTATTTAATCTCTCACAACAATGACCCATACACATCCAGATTCCTCCTCCTTACTTGCTCTCTCCCTCAGAGGGGACAGACACTGTGGCAAGAGGAGGAAGCTGGAGCTGCTCATAAATCGTTTTGAAAAAAAAAAAAAAAAAAAAAGGAGAGAGAGGAGAGCCGAAGAGACGGGGCAGATGCATTGGCAGTAGAGGCTTTCTCCCTCTGCCTCTTTTGTTTTGTCGGCACGGTTCAAAATCTGGCGAGCACATGCAAGGACCACCGCCACCAGCACCATCACCAGCGTCAGCATCACTAGCACCTCACTGCAAGCCTCTCATCCTTAGTCTGGATCCAGTGTGGAGCTTCTCGTGAGGCAGGCTAACGGTGGCGGCTAGCGGGGGCTGTGCAAGGTTCTGTGGCAACCAGAGGAGGAGAAAAAAAAGGGGGGAGAGAGGAGGAGGAGGGGCTGTAGTGAGCTGGTGGGCTTCCTCTGCCTCACAGACACATTTTATTGACTTGCTAATTGGATGAGGCGCTCGGAGGAGAGGATGCGGTGAACGAGAGGAGCTGCTCCCCAGAGAAGGGATACAGGCACAAGGAAGCATTGAAATTTGGCTTCTTCATCATCTCTTTTTTTTCAAAAAAATTCTGGGGATATAACAACAGATGTTTTTTCCTGCATCTCTCAGTGACCCTCACACTGTGCATACATAATTTTATGCATGACATTGTCGAATTGAGGCTCCAGCTGCTAGACGTTTCGTGACAAGTGAATGATTCCCATTCTGGTGGGGTTTTTTGTTTTTTGCACCCTCTTCGCTTTCACTTGTTTTTTTTTTTTTTTCCACCAGCTGGAGCTCTTTTTTCCCCTTCAGCCTTGTTGGATATAAATGGTAATCTGGTGGCGAGATAATCTTTATCACATCAAATGTACCAAGGACTGTGCAATGGATATCCTTCAGGAAAAATGAAGGTACGAACCAAAGCCAAGACACACAGTGGAGTAAGGTGGGATTCATCTGCCAATATCCATTGTAGTGATTGTCAAGAAATAGATCAAGCGAATGTATTGACTGTTGCATAATTCCAGCCTGACATCAACACAGAAAAAAAAAGAAATGTCTGCTCATGTATAGTCGTGTGTCTGCTCGTTAGATTAAAACAGAATAATTAAGTTTTAAAAGGACAGCTGAGCTGAAAGAGGGGGATTATGAATGAATCAGTGGTAAAGAGCAGTAGTAGCGGTGTGCATTGAGGAGGATTAATGGAGGCATTAAAAAAAAAACAGTCTAGACTTGTTCCATCACTGGGTCAGCCTTTTTCAATACATTTTTTAAATTGTAACCCAAGGCATCTCCTTCTATCACTAACTCCTTGTGTTTTTATTTTGGAAGGAAACTGGGCATCCTGTCAAGCGCACAGGCCTGATATGAGACCCATTCAGCGAAACGAGGTTTGATCAGGTCTCTGCGTTTGATCCGTTCTCTCTCCTCTTCAGTCACCGCTCCATGTTGCCATGTCTGAGGTGTGCAGGTTTGGCTAGAGTCAGAGAGCGGCTGCTACTGTGCTGAGGTCTGCCGTCCCAATGAGCAAGGAAAGCAACCCTCAGAAACGCACCACTTACCTCATCTCCCTCACTCTGGTGAAGGTTGAGGCTGTGCCAGACGATGTAACCGAGAACCAGAAGGAGGCTCTTCCAGAGGGGGAAGGGAGCCCTAAAAAGGAGGAGGGGGAGGAGGAGGAGGAGGAGGAGGAGGAAGAAAATGAAGAGGGGAATGAGAAGGATGTCCCTGAAAAGGAGAAAGAACTTGTGAGAGCAGTAGTGGTGGAAAAGGAACCCAGACAGGTGGAGGAGGAGGATGTGGAACAGGTGCAGGTGAAGTATGGCAGCCCTGTTGAGAGCTGGGGGAAGCCTGAGAGGAGGGAAACTCCTGGACAACCAAAGGACTTTGTATCAGTTGGGAAAAGCAAAGACACTTTTTTTGTGCACCCACCTGTTAGGCAGATGGTCAAAGTGTACGGAGGGACCTCTGAGGGGACTGTGCGCAGGGAGGGGCCTCGCTCAGACGCCATGCGTCCTAAGACAGAGCTCTACAGGGAACCCCCTATGCTGTACCTCAAAGGGGAAAATGGAGCAGACCTGAGCAGCCGCTCCCGTTGCAGCCTCCCCTTTTCTGTCCCACCTCCACCACCGGTCAGCCAGCGCACTGAGGTCCTCATGAGGTCTCATACAGGAGCAGGAGGGGGCTCTGCTGGCTGGAGGGATCTTAGAGAGACCAACACAGGCCTGTATCACTCCGCTAAGACTCTGGATCGGAGGGATAACCGCATGGGGGATCAGTCTCCGTCAATGGCAGGTACAACTCTGGGGCCCTACAGAGCATCCTGGGCTGACAGTGATGGCAGGGGGACACTCATCCGCCCAGGAGCTCCCATGAGTGGAGGTTTTTCCGGCATCATGACAAGGGACAGCCCTCAAGCAGAGAGGTTTAAAGCGGTTTCCGTTTCTTTCCCCGCACCCTCTGCCTCTGACATGTCCAGACCTCAGAGAAAAGGTACAAGCCGTACTCTGGATAACAGCGACCTACATTCCCCCCCTGATGACCTGAGGAAAGCGAAGGAGGCGCAGGGAGGCACCATCCAGAGAGCTCCTCCCCGAGACCGGAAGATGCTGAAGTTTATCAGTGGCATCTTCACCAAAAGTACAGCCACACCACCCAGTGCTAATGCTGCACCGCCCCTCTACCCAGCCATGGAGAGAGGCTCCAGCGAAGAGGAAGGTAAGGCTCCCCCCCCCAAAAAAAAACCTCTATGACTTCTTTTTTTATGAACAAATGTGGAGGTAGTTTATTCTCAACATGATTTCAGCATTATATCCTGCGTTTTTATTTAAGGGACCCACAATGCTGCTCTTGAATACACAAACCAGTGTGAAAAGGTAATAAAAGAGGCAAATGGCTTCTTAAACAAACAGTTTAACATTCATTCAAGTCTGTGGAATAGATAGAAAAGTACCTCTCAGTGAGACTTTGGTGATAAAAGATCCGTCATCACAACCGTCAGTGCTCACTTGGGCTAAAATTAAATGACTCCAAAACCGTTTTGTTCACTGTGATTATGCAGATCCCATATTTATTGTCAATATAAAACCACAGGAGTTGTGTGAATTTAAACCACAATTTACTTCAATTTCTGTCCCAATAAGGCTGTAATGCTCTTTGAAATCAGTAAAGTACCTCTGCGTTTGTATGTTTCAGCAAAGGAGCTGTAAAGTTACATATAGCCGTAATTAATTATCAGACAAGGGTGATTATTTAAATGCAAAGTGGATCTCAATCAGGCAAGACTAAAACATAAATGAATGAACTCAAGGGATCACTGACAGTCAGAATAAGCTGTTATGTCATCTGTTTGCAGCTTTTAGAGGTGTGAACATGTGAAAATGGACACGTGAATTTAAAGCTCTACTTTTGAGCAGCAGCAGCGGTAGCAAACACACAAGCTGAAGGTAAACCTGTTGATGTTACTGAAGCCTGACCGAGATCAGGTCTCATGTCTTTATGAACAAAATCTTTGGTTCTTTTGAAATCACTGTCAAGGCTTCACAGCATCATATGTCACTATGAGAGCTGCTCCTTTACAAATACACAGAAAGGTACAGAGTAATTCTTGAGCTGACTCAAGAACAACAACATATCAATATATGTATATACGTATTTAAGCGTCTAAGTATGACAGGTACTAGTCAGAAACGACTGATGAAAGAGTATATTATTGTCATCTATATAAAATTTTACAGATTCACTTCATTGAAAATCCAATTTCTGACCACTGACAGATCCACAGATAATCCAACAATGAGAAATCTCCAACAGTTTGCTGATAATTCGATGAGAAGACAGAAAATAAACCAACACAGTAATCCAAATTATATTCAAGTCCAAAATAAATAAAAAACTTTTCAGGCTTCCAGAATATGTTGATGTACTTCTTTTCTTCGGTATTTATGATAGTTAGCCTCAGAGTAATTAGGGTGTTGGTACATTTTAAACTCACTTTCTGACATTTTATGGACCAAAAAAATCCATAATATCATAGATATTACAGCTCATAAATTCAGTCTCACGACGATCTCTGGATTTTCGTCAGAAATGTCAACTCATTGAGTCAATTGAGTTTTGTCAAAAGCTGGGTCTGTTTTGTAAGATCTCACAGGCCTCCGATGTTCTCTGTTTGGAAAAGTGAAATGAATCATCAAGACATACTGTGGAAGAAAGAGGCAAAAACACAAACACAGCAAGCATACAACTCAACTTGTTTTTCAGACGAGTAAGATTCTGACATTTTAAGATGTTGTGGACAAAGTTTCAAATTCAAGTACAGCTTGTTCTTTTTAGCTTCACTCTACTCCACAGCAGAAAAGAGGACTGAAATACTGCCGCTACCAAAGATTAGATTTTATTATGATGTCGAAGTAAATAAATTATTGTACTCAATGTTTTCCAAATCCTGACATAAAAAAGACGGAAACAAGTTCAGTTTAAAAAAAGCATGAAAAACGCTCTAAAATTTTCTCTCTTTGAAATGAAAGACAAAATACAACTCTATCAATCTTTGATCATTATTGATATATAATAAAAACGGTCTTTGACAGAGTCTGTGGTATCAGAGTATGCTCTGAATAATTTGTCAGTAAGTGGGACATGAATAATTAAGGTTGGGGATACACAGAGCTGTGTTCATGCTGAGGAGTGAGCAGAGTGGGAACCTGTCACTTCCTGCCCTGTGTGTGGAGTTAATCAGCCTCCAAATAGAGCCTATTCATTCATCAAAGCTATATTGTGTTTAGGTGTTTGCAAGATGCATAGTCAGTATTGATGCACCGGAAATATAGAAGAAAAATTGATCACATTTTCTTCAAGAATTATTTATCTGTATTGTCCAAACATGAGGGACGTTTCCCGGCATTATGTGAGCATAGGTGGACATCGTGTCTCTGTGCTGCTTATACCCGTCACTGTATCCACGAGAGACCATTTATTGTATAGAGACCCTGGCTGGAGGCTTCTGGAAAATGGAGTTGCCATGGCAACAGCAAGCCGTAAGAGATGCTATTTGGTCTGTGATGTGACGCCGTTGATGGAAAGGAGGGTAAAAGGGGCGTGGGGATCGCCCAAAGATGGTGACAAGAAGGAATTTTGGTTCAAGTTAGAATTTGTATCCCCAGAGAGCCGGCGGATATCTGTGGCTCCGCCCGAACACAGCATGACCCAGCAGCTTCAGTGTGTTTGTGTTTGTGTGTGTGTGTTGTGATTTCTGCACAGATTTACAACACTCCCACAGCATCATCAGGACTGTTAGTCAGTGCATGTGTCCTCGCTTGCTGTCTTTTTTTCTTCTTTTGCTCAGCCTCATATCTGCAGATGTGTGTCTGTGAGATGTCCTTCATTGCTCTGTGTGTGTGTGTGTGTGTGTGTGTGTGTGTGTGAGTGCCTGCTTTATTGAATCTCCATTCACAAAGGCCCCTCAGCTGCAATTCTACTGAGGTTAGAGCTGAGACACTCAAAGCAGAATGTTAAGTGCAGCCTGGCAAAGAGTTTCTCAGAGAAGTCATCCAATAAACCTTTAAATATAAAAGTTATCTTGCACAGAGGAGATCTGATGGTTTAGGGATTATCTTGTTGAGGTATTATCCTTTGTCAATCTTATTCAAACTTGTTTTAAAATATTTGAAACTGGAGGGGATATTTGATCATATTACCGACTGATTCTCTTTTTTTTTTTTTGCTAGATATAAGCGTAAGTGGCTTGTGATGGATATTATTTGTAGAACATAAAGCTAAAACGAATATATGACCTCCTGAATTATTTTTGAGATCGAGCCAAGATGAAGTAATAAACCCAAACATAAACATAAATTCCAGCAGTTGTTGTAATGCTGCCATACTGTGACTCAAGTAAAAATTAGCATAAATACAGCTAACCTTACCGTGTCTAACTCATTCATTATTTAAGTGTATCACTGCCAGATCTGATGAAGCGTGACTTTCTGCACCGACGTCTACACAGCAAACAGACACAGCTGGGGGATTACTGAGATCACAATACGGCACTAAAGTAGATAAATTTGGCCCTAATTGTGGACTATATATCACTGTGACACTTGGAACACAGCGTGTGTTTTTAATATTAACACCCAGTCATCTTATTGTCACTGTCAAATGTGAGCCCTTATCACTAAAAGCAGAAAACAAACACAGAGACAGCTCTATTATTGAGTTTTTATACGTTTAATATCTGGTTATAGATCCAAACAACATTAAAAATATACACTGTGTATATATAATAAGATGATATTGGGTGCAGTTTACAAAGTACTCTCTGAAGAATTACTCTAAGCCCTGGAGATACTGATGAACGTCTCAGCCTACATATTATGCTTTGTCATTAGATGAGTCACTCAGCCGCACAGATGTCTAATTTTTTCTGTAAGGGTCAACTCTTTATTGTCTGAGATCTAATTAATTGCTCATTGAAGCAACTACTGTAAATTCCCACTATTGATCATCCGCTATTAAAACATTAATGCAAAAAAAAAGTGCTATCTGATTCATCCCTCAAGGCTTTCTTACAACAGTACAATGCCTTCACTTAGGGCTGGACAGTATTGGGAAAAAGTTTATCACAATATATTTTTTCATATCAGTCGATATTGATATATATATCACAGTATAAAAAATCAAATTTAACAGTGTTTATTGGTAGCATGTCTTTTGCAATAGAATAAGCTACTGCATCTGTGAGGTCCTTCTGTCTCTGACGTTTTGTCGTAAGGTGTTGCGCTAGAGAAAGCGAACTGAATGGTCAGCTGTTTCGGCAGCACAGGCGCCATGGGCTCCTTGCTCTGCTCGGGGTTTGTAACCATTTGCATTGCACGTGCTCTCCCGCATGGCACTGCTTGAGGTGGTAAAAAAGAATTGAGGTATTCCCCGACTTTCCCTGCTCGACATAATTTGCAGTGCACATTACTCTGCTTCATGTCTGACCTCAAAACACAAAATACCTCCACACCACCAACGTTTTCATGCCAGTGTTGTCAACAAGGTCATCATCTGTTGAGCCTTCATCTGCATTTCTGCTGGGGGTAGCACTCATTTTCTTTTTTCTCACCAACAGTGCTGTCAGCTTCACATGTTAAAGTGCTATAGTTTTGTGTAGCTTCTGCCTGCTACTACGCAGTTGTTTGCTATTTGGTTTTAATTCAGCACAAAACTGGCTCAGCACAAAGCGGACCCGGAGAAGCTCTCCTTTTCATTGGCTAGTCGTATAATCTACCTAAACATGGCAGAATGCCGACTATCAAAAAGGATCTTGACCATGTTTGATTCTGATATTGAAGGAAATTAATTTTCGATATATATCAAATGTTATCGTTTTATCCCCCAGTCCTACCTTCATTTTTCCCTTTTTGGTCCCTCTGTTTTGATAAATACCGTGTCACAACACTGCATTATGCAAACACCTGGTCTGGCATGAGACTTTTGTAAAAAGTCACAATATAAGGTGTTTTTAAAAACAGCAGAAAAAGTGTTTAAACATATCATTATTTGACCTGTTTCTCCTGTGAATGTTCTCCTTTTAAAAGTCTTTTCCTGCTGATTTTACCTTCTTAATTCTACTTAATTAGGGAGGGAAGATGAATCCTTATGTTATACGACACTATGAAAAAAGGAGAGCTTACATAGAAGCTACTTCAGTAACAGGCACAAACAGGGGACAGTACTCAGCCACCAAAGATCATTGACATGCTTTCCAATCATTTGGACTTTTACATTTGCACACTTGATTGAATTTTCTGGGCTCTCAGTCCCTTTGGATCCTGACTGCACTCTTAGTGTCCAGTCTGTCAGATGAATCCTACATGGCTAGCAGTTTCAAGGCTACTCTTTTGAAGTAACATCACAAACATTTCAGAAAAGTATGGTATTTTTTTAGTATGCTGAAGTTAAAAGCGAATGCCGGTCCTTTGTAGGAATATCTACTTCTTTTTTGTTCATTCCCAGAAATTGGTCTGAGGAATTTCTATTGCAGCTGAATACAGAGAGAGCAGATTACATACACATTAAACTTTAACCATAAATGCGTCTGTGGACGGTGCAAATGCTTACAACTTTACTCCATGTTAATGAAAAATGTTTCACATTGTAAAATAGTCTTCTGCTTGTTAAATCTTGAAAGATAAAGCTTGTTTTTTCAGTTTTCTTTCAATTTTCTTCCCTGCAGCTGTGTGCACAAGCACTCAAGAATGGACCATGAGCCAAACAATACAAGAGCTTCACCTGGTGAGCACGAGAACATACTGTAGTTTTCACAAACCTGCATATGGGATTTAATGTTAATGAGATGTGTTTCATGTTACCCTGCAGGGTGTTTTGGGAGGTCTGTGCAGTGGGAAGTCTGCTCTGGTCCACAGACACCTAACAGGAAGTTACCTGCAGCTGGAGATCGCAGAAGGTTTGTTACCCACCGCCTTTTGTCATTTTCTTTATTTTTTAAGTAAATCTTATCATTTCACCTTGTTCACAAAATAAGCCATTTTCCTTGGATGTAAGCTAAGTGTAGGCAGATCTAATGCTGTAATTACCTCCGCCAAGGAGATTATGTTTTCGGTAGCATTGGTTTGTTTGTTTGTTTGTCTGTTAGCAACTTTATGGAGAAAGTAACAGACAGATTGACCTAAAATTTTCACCAGAGGTGCGTCTCAGCCCCAGGAGGATCCCGTTAAATTTTGGTGGTGATCCGGACAAAATTCTGGATACTGTGATCCAGAACACACAAAAATAAGGGTGTCGTTGGAATTTTCAATGCTGAAAGATAACCAATGGGCGGCACAGTGATGTAGATAGGCGGCACAGTGGTGTAATGAGCTGCTTGGCGGAGGTCTGCGCTCTCCGAGTGCTTTTCTAGTTTTGTTATGCTGTCTAAACCCAGAAGATCTGAAAACTCTCATTTGTCTGTTATCTGAATGATCAGCTGGAAACATATTAGTAAAAAAGAGAGAAATCTTAAATTTGAATTTGAAACATCACATTCGATCACCATTTAGCAACTGTGAGCCAATAAACTAGAAAGTTAATGAAAGCACAGAACAGCTTCCTCACTAACATTATATTTTGATATTACCGGAGCGGAAAAGACAAATCTCTAACCGTAATATCAGTTAGGTAGTTAGTTGATCGCTAATGTTGGCTGTTGTTAGATTAAAGTTTAAATTGTTTTAGATTGAAATATGGTTTGATGTTTCACTGGATTTACATAACTTAACTCCATGAAGGGTCAGGTCCAGTGGCGGCTGCTGGTCTTTCAAGGAGGGGAAGCTCATTTTTCTGGCCTACATCATAATTGTATTTGTTTATCAGTATGTAACAGAACAGAGTCGCCAAACACAACAGCAGTCGTTTTTAACAAAGACAAAAGTCGCTGAGGATCGGTAAAGTCTCTGGAGCAGTTAAGAACAACGGAATGAATGACTTGGAAAATGCTCTGGTAGATGTTTTATTCTTCAAGATCGCTGATTCGCTTGTTTAGCTGTCAATCAAAAAAGGATTTCGCCTCAGACAGCTCATCCAATCATGAATGCAGAAGCTTGGAGTCCGGGAGAAAGTCGGGACCGCCCTCTCGCCATAGAACTCCAGTGAAGCTTAGCTTCCATTGGGCGGGACAAAGCCCAGCATTTATCCAATGAGCGTCTAGTTTCGCTGCTGGAACAACCCACTTTAAGTTTCCACATTGAAGTCAGCAGAAGCCCAGCGTCCGGCTGTTTGAAGCGCTGAGGCGCTGCGAGGATGAATGAGAACGAAGTTATGCCGGTTACCTGTGTTTATCAGCTTCTTATCACAGTGTCTGAACAAAAGTTGAAGGCTTTCTAGTGCGTATTTAGTTAATGAAATGTACACACAGCCGTACGTATTTCACCACTTTTTCTTTTTTTGGGGGGGTGACATTTTAAGGGAAGCCGAGCTTCCCTTGCAGTCTTAGAGCAATCGCCACTGGTCAGGTCATAGAGTCCATTTTAGAGGTATTCTTATTGTGATCTCTTTGCAGGGCGCCAGTACATTAAGGATGTCCTGGTTGATGGACAGAGCCACCTGTTGATAATCAGAGAAGAAACAGAACTCCCAGATGCTCAGGTTGGCTGGAAACTGATATGTTTAACTGATTTAACTTAAAATAATGTAACCCATGCTGTCAGTCTGCCTCTGTGATGTCTGAATGCTATCCTTCTTCACTTTCCTACAGTTTGCATCTTGGGTGGATGCCGTTATCTTGGTCTTCAGTTTGGAAAATGAGACCAGCTTCCAGGAAGTTTACAAAATCTACCACCAGCTTGCAATCCACCGGCCTGTATCTGAGATAGCTTTCATAGTGGTCGGCACTCAGGGTAAGAATCTCACAGACTATGTATGCTTTGATTCAGAGGCTGATTATAGAGGTGTACTTGCGTTGCATTTGTGTATTTTTCCAGATAAGATCAGCAGCACCAATCCCAGAGTGATCGATGATGCCAGGGCCAGGCAGCTATGTTCAGATGTGAGGCGTTGCACTTACTATGAGACCTGTGCAACGTACGGCCTCAATGTGAACAGAGTCTTCACAGATGGTATGTTTCAGGATTCTTTTGCCGTAAAAGATAAAGAAATATAAAAGATTTTTCCACCTGCTGATTCTCACTGTTTTTATTTCAAAGCTGCTCAGAAAATCATGACTGCCAAGAAGCAAGCTGCTCTTCTGGCTTCCTGTAAATCTCTCCCAAACTCTCCCAGTCACTCTGGAGGTTCTACCCCGGTGTCAGGAGTGTTTCCAGGACAGGTACAACTTTCACAAAATGGCTCTAAGTGGCGCCACTGACATGTGTTGACTGTCTTGTTTACTTCAAGGTTGCTGTCAGGTTATTTTCAAGAGTGCTGTTGTAGCAAACTCAATTATCTCCTGTTTTCTGTTCAATTATCGCTTCATCGCTCTCGCTGGCTTCGGCTCCTTCCTCTCTCTTTAGGCCAGTAATGGTGGTCAGAGCAGTGATTACTCCTCATCACTTCCTTCCACTCCTGTGATCAGCCATAAAGAGATCGGCAAGGCAGGAAAACAGGAAGGGGCCACGCCTGGGTCAGTTCGTTGCGCCACACGGAGACGCACACCCCGGTTTGCGGTACATACTGATCAAGCTATTGATTTTGTCTGTCTGTAAACCCTTTTATTGTATTTTTTCCTCTTTCTGTTCCATTTTCCCTTCACACACATAAAACTTGAGATATGTTTCAGGGTTACAGACACTATGGTCTGATGGAGAAAAACTCAGGGAGAACTAAAATCAGCGGAAATGAATCAGATATTTTTGGAGATATTATTTGTCCATGGTTGTTTTATGGATTATTGTAATTGCCTGAAAAACACATTTACAATTGTGGATCCAGGAAATATCCCTCCTCTTTTATCTTTTACATTTTAAGCTTTGTTTTACTTGTGAAAGAGGTTTCCTCTCACCCTACCTGTTGTCCGATAGTTTCGCACTCATAAGTGTGAAAACCAAACAAAACCTCGGACAGCCTTGTGCATAATAAAGTAACAAATTAGAAAGATGATACATCATTCGTAACTTCATGATTGAACCGTAGAAGGTTGAATGTATAAAGAACATTTGGTAACACTTTATTTCACGCCTATCTCTATAACCCATTATAAATATATGTATAATGCATTACAATCCCGTTACAACACTGTATAACTATAGTTATAAACACTCATAAATTATCATAATGCTTTATAGCAATAATCATAACAAATTGTTATAAAGCCTTATAATAATTAATGAGTGTTTATAATGACAGTCATACAAGTTTATAAGCTCATTATAACACATCATAAATATATGTATAATGCATTATCTATGTGTGCATTGTCAGTGAGTTGTTAACAGTTGTTACACATTATAATATCTGACCTTGTAAGTCATGATAAAATGCTTTATAATGTCAAGTTTATGTGTTATGATAATTGCTATAAAGCATTATGATCATTTATGTGTGTTTATAACAATAGTTATGCAGTGCTATAACGTGATTATAATGCATTTTACATATTTTTATAATGCGTTATAGAGATAGGCGTCAAGTAAAGTGTTACCGAACTCTCTTTTATCCGAAGCTAGCTTGTATTGAAAAAATAAACATTTACATTCCCAGATAAGCTTGATTTTTCCTGTTTTTCCTATTAATCATGTCTTTGAGCCGTTTTCTCCATTCCCGCCTGTGATGCAGTCATTGCTCGTCTTTTCTTTTGTCCAGGGTCGCAGAGGCAGTGACTCAAACAGGAGGAGCGCAGACTTTAAGGGCGATCTTGGCAGTGGGCGCTGCATCCCCATCAAACAGGTTAAAAAAACAGTTAACACTTGATACAGGAAAAAGTATGATCAATGTAATGCACAAGCACTCTCTTTAAATCCAATTTGTGAAGGCAGTCTCCTCGTGTGGGGAGATGAAGTGTTTAGATCTCTCTTATTGGTTTGATGAAAAGGAGAGTGGGTGTATTTTGGCAGCCTGCTGTTATCATGCTCCTGAAATGTGCAAGATGAACACATGAGACATTTTGCAATACATTCTCATTCTCCATTTCGTTTTCCATCAACCATCAGGGCATCTTGCTGAAGCGCAGCGGGAACTCGCTTAATAAAGAGTGGAAGAAGAAGTATGTGACGCTGACCAACGACGGCATACTCTCCTATCATGCTAGTGTCAATGTGAGTCAACGCAGCGCCCTGAAGCGTCACGCTTCTGTAAGCTGTTGGAAAGGCTGAGTGTAACGGCTGATGTTTTGCTTGGCAGGACTATATGCTGAACACCCCTGGAAAAGAGATGGATCTCCTGCGAGTAACGGTGAAGGTGCCGGGGAAAAGACCGCCACGCGCTGTACCTGCTGCACCCACCTGCGGTCTTCCAGCTGGGCTCAACGGGCGTGTCAAAGATGTGCCAGGGCCGGAGGGTGTTGGCCCAGGTCAAACAATAAACCTTGTTTTTGTATATTTAAGTTAAATCTTTCTGCATGGATGCTTGTGTGTAAATCACTGATAAAGAAATATTTGGTTGTTTATTTTCTCTCACTTTCATAGGAAAGTAAAGGTGCAGTAATAAGGATTTTATTTAAAAAAAAAACTTAAAAGAGGGGTCAAGCATCTGTAGCAGAAAGGACAAAATTTTGCAAGAGAAGCAAAATCTGAGCTAAAGAACAAAAGAGCCTCCTCAGGGATTTTTCAAGTTGTGCGAGGGGGTGTGAAAGACTCCAGGACTTTTTCAGTCAGACTCTGCATCTTTAATTTCCTCTGGTGTTCACAGTGATTCAGTGTGTTTTTTTTAAACTATAAGTACCTCTGTTTTACATCCAGTATTACTCTTACATAACTGCATTCTTGCTATCATCTCTTTAGTCCCTGTAAGCGCAAGCGGCCTCCTTCAGGTGGAGGAGATGGAAGGACTGGGTGGTGCAATTTTCTTGAGGAGTAACAGGGGAGTGCAGCGATGCCCCTCCACACTATCCAACCACGCTCAAAGTGTTGGTGAGGAAAATTACCTTTTTCTGTGCATGTTACTGTCTGGAAAAACACATGCTGTTTATTTAACAAGAAAACTGGATTTCTCACTTGTTTTTGTGTGATCTTGTTGCTAGACTCTGCTGTGGAGGGTGTCTCCAGCTCCTCCTCCACCAAAGACTTTGGCTCCTCTTCGCCGGTGACAGACAGGAAGAAGCATCGCAGAAAGAAAAGCATGAACATGAAAGGAGACGCAACACTTGGACAAGCAGATGGTAAACACTCAACTGCCCATGAATTTTTAACATGAATTTAATCTTCATTTTATCCAAAATTAAGGGTAACTTTTACAGGATTTTGTAAATTTGATCGATTTTTTTGTCGTTGATTTCTCTTACAGCCAAGCGCAAAATGTGGAAACTTAAAAGCTTTGGTAGCCTGAGAAACGTGAGCAAGACAGGTAAACCTTCCTTTTTCTGAAAGCCTACCCGGACTAATTTTATCTGATTTTATCTGCTGACTGTTTTTATTGTTATGCCCTGTTGCTTGATTTTACTGTTATTGTTTTTTTTTGTTTGTTTGTTTTTTTTTTCTGTTTTCGTTGTGCACTTTGAGATTTGTTTTCAAATGTAAAGTGCGTTACAAATAAAATCTATTATTATTATTATTATTATTATTATTATTATTAATGTTGAACTAGCATTTTCGAGTATGTAACTGTACTGGCTTGAATTATAACTTCTCTGATGAGATTATTTCCATTTGTTTCTTTTAACCACATGTAAACTCATTGATCTCTTTAGAAGGGATACCTGTTTGTTGCTTGTTAACACATTGTTAATATCCAATCAGCCAATTTACATGGCAGCAACTAAGCCCATTTAAGCATGTAACATGTAAATGTAAGCGAAGAACAGGAAGCTGAGGCTACAGCAAAACCAAACAATAGAAGATTAAACTGGTCTGGTGAATCTCAATTTCAGCCTCGACATTCAGATGGTAACATGGACCCATCCTGCCTTGTATCAACAGTTCAGGCTGCTGGTGGTATAAGGCTGTAGGGGTTTTTTTGTGGCACACTCTGAGCTCAAATCATCTCAAACCTGTTTCTTGAACACGACAGTGAGTTCACTCTACTCCAGCGGCCTCCACAGTCACCAGATCTCAATCTGATGGAGCCCCTTTGAGATGTGGTGGAACAAGAGATTTGCATCATGGATGTGCAGCTGACAAATCTGCAGCACCCGTGTGATGCTCTCATGTAAATGTGGACAAAAGTCTCTGAGGAAGGTTTTCAACATCATGTTGAAAGTTTTCCAAGGAGAATCAAGGTAGCTCTGAAGGCAAAGGGGGGTCCAATCTGATTCTACCAAGGTGTACCTAATATAGTCTTGATGGAAGCAATGAAGCCGTTTGAACATCATGACTTTTTTACCACATGAGGCACAGCATTATGAGGAGCTAAGATAAGAACCTCTCAGAAAACAACCTGCCACCCATGACTTAATACAATTCACAGAATCAACTAAAATGGAGAATTTAGAGGCTGAATGTCATCTGCATATAACTGATCAGACACCACCTGATTGATGAGACAAAGTATTTACCAACAGCAACTGAACAATTTCAATCAGACAATTAAGAGGAAAGCCAGTCTAATGCTGTTTCAGAGATACGCACCCACTGTCTGAGTCGCTGAATTAACACACTGTGCTCCACGGTTAAGCCGCCCTCCCTCTCAAATGTTGACAGAATATGGCTGCTACATTTCTACATTTCTGCAACTGCTTTGAAAACTGAATATTATATGGTGATAATGTCTTGAATTTGTGTTTTTCTGTGTCAGACGAGGATAACTTTGATTTCCTTGTGGTGTCGAGCACTGGCCAGACATGGCACTTTGAAGCTCAGAGCATGGAAGAGAGGGACTCCTGGGTCCAAGCCATTGAGAGCCAGATCCTGGCCAGCCTGCAGCTGTGTGAGAGCAGCAAGAACAAGGCAAGCATGAGAAAAAAAAAGCCTGACAGTATTTAATATACACTGTGTTTTACTACATTAAATCAGTGTTTTATCTTTTGAAAGGTATCTCTTGCATTAATTATGTCTGCACATGGTCTGTAATGCTTCCATTAATCATGTTCTGGCTAATGCTGCTTTCATGGTGGAGACACTAACCTTAAAAAAAAATGAAAACATTTGTAGTGGAATACAACAAGGAAAGGCAATGAAAACCAAAATAGAAAAGAACAGTGAAGGAGTGTATCTTTAATACATCCGTTCAGGCCTCGTAAGCATTTACAGTGATGAGTCCCGGAATGTAGCAGAGGTTGGTCTTTTGCAATTACAATAAAAAAGCAACAATGAGATTTTAATGCTTCACATATTGAAATCTGCGGCTGATGTTGATGCATATTTCCTCGCTTTCCCTCCAGCACTAAAAAGATGAATCATACTTAGCATATTTATTTGCTCTATTTGCTCTACCCTCTAAGCATATTCTTTCAACATGTGTGAAGCAATTGTGTTATTTTCCGTTCTACAAGATTAATTCAACTGACAAATGACAAAATATTGTGAAAATTCATCTGAATTGCTGTCTCACTCAATCTCAGAGAAAATAACGGCCCATATTTCCATCATAGAGCCTGAAAAATCCGGCTGCAGGTTTTGGTGATTTCGTGACATGACCAAAAATGTCTGTTAACATTAAAGGTCCCCTATTATGGCATTTTTAATCAAGTTTAAATCGGTCCCAGAGGTCCCACAATAGTAAATTTGAAGTTTGCTGTCTGAAACACCAGTTTATTTGTGGATATTAGCCAGCCTGTACCCCCCTCATTTTGAGCTTCACTGAGAACGGGCTGATTCTGCGCCTGTAACTTTAAATGATAATGAGCTGTGTGTAACCACGCTCTTCCTCTGAGCTGCCAGCAACGCAGCGGTGGTCCAGGAGCGGTGGTCTGGAGATCTTCTGAGGACCTCTTCAGAGGACCTCCAGAGCACGGCAGCTGGAAGCACCAGCCTGACCTCTGTGCCCCCGAGGAACACCCGCTGCTCACGGGAATAAAAGTAAATAGAAGCGAGTCCGAAGACGAATACCAACAATGGTGAACACACGCGATTGCAGCTAAAGCACTAGTCATGCGGGCGGCGATAAAGCAACATAAAATGGTAAAACTTACAGCTTCTACGTTTGAAGTTGGGTCCCAGACACGGACAGTCCGGATCCAGGTTTTATCTCCAGCGTCTTAGCGAATCCTGCTTTGAACTGCCCCTCGTTGGTAAAACAGTCCGTGGTGAGATGGTTAGCACACACATACAACACTTTCGGAGTTGTTGTGGGCCTACATTTCCATCAAAATAAAATTAATTCACTGGGTCCTCAAATCTCCCGACGAAGGCGGCAGAAATAGACTTCTGTCTTCATTTGTGCAGCCAAGAATCATAGCTGGGTTATTGCTTCGACATGGTTGCTTTACCAGAGTGGCGTAAAAATGGCTGAGGCTACCTCAGCGAAAAAGTTTTAGAGGGTTGGGCGAATGATTATCGGGCGCAGTGCCACCAACATGTAGGAGGGGCTTATGTGGTTATGTCATCATAACCGCACAGCTTTTCCGTTCACCTGTTTGCGCTCATGTTTTCAGAGAGGAGGGGAAAGGAGGGAGAGAATAACGTTTTTTCATGTCAGGGGGGTTGTTGGCTTTGAGGGGATGCATATTATTGGTAGAAAACCACCCAAAAGTGGATTTTTCATAATAGGGGACCTTAATGGGGGGCAGAATCATACACCTGAGATTGTGTTCGTGCAGACCAGATGGTGTAGTATACTGGTAGTTATTTTAGCTGCTTACTCACAGTTTTGTAGTAAATGAATACATGTTTGTAAATTCAACCTCCAGTGATGAGAATCAGTCTGGCTTATTTTAGTGTCGGCACAAGATAACACCACTGGGCCTGTAGTTACTACCGCACATAAAAAAGGAAATCTGAATTTAAAGGGGATATTATCTTCCCTCTGAAGTCCATTTAGAGTGCTGTGTTATCTATTTGTCTGATATGTATGTGCACCTTGGGACTTCAGTGTAGGAACATTTTTCGGGGGGGCTGAGTTAACCTTGGATCTTCTCTCATCTTGTCAAGGAAATGATACAGCTCCTGCTTCTTAAAAAAAGTGATGAAAGCAGCTAATTAGACTGACTAAAACTAAAACCTGCTTCACTTCTCCACCTGACCCGTACAGACTGCACCCTGATGACTGTGCTGGTTGTTGTTCATTTATCAACCCTGGAGTGGAATTAGTCCAATTATCTCCAAAAACGATGCTTTCAAGTTACGTAATGATTCCAAATGATAACGCTAATTCCATGATGCGTGGCTTTATTAGTGTTATGAGGGTTGTGTGTCCTAGGAGACCAAAGCCACTCATTTTAAAGCTTCAAATGGTCATAATAATTATGACTCTCCTCCGCAGCCTGGTCATTTGAATTATAATGATAGTTTTTGCCAACAAGAGCAGCTGGCAGAGCTAATATAAGAGTGTGTTGGTATGCTGGTGTTTCTTTTTATTTCAACCACACACCCCGTGTTTCCGCAGGCTCGCAGGAACAGCCAGAGTGAAGCAGTGGCTCTGCAGGCAATCCGCAACGCAAAGGGCAATAACTTCTGCGTCGACTGTGATGCTCCAAGTTAGTGACACCCTTCAGTGATTTTTCTCCTCCTCTCAGTTAATGTTCAGATCTGTTTTTTTTCCCCTCTGAGTTTATGTTCAGATCTGGTTCTGGCTTTGGCTGATTACTCATCTGGTCTCATTTCAAACCTCTACATGTGTCATCATCCCTCCCGCGCATACTTGTCAGTCGCTCCTTGCTCTTTTTTTTTTCCATCTCATGTCTGTGATGTTGAAATAACTATCAACGAAGCTTCACAAGAAAACAAGGTTTCATCACATTTATATATAGTGGGAAATTGTGGAGACTGGAAATATTTGCACTTCTGGCCTGTCCTCTATCCAAACATCTAAAATCTACATCTCAGACTGCTAAAACAAGACCACCTGTGCCATTGCTCATATCATTGTTTTTTGCATCTTTAGTGTATATTTAGTTAATATCCAACAATACATTTTATTTCTTTGTCTTTTTGCAGCGGTCTTTTGCTCTTTTCACAGGTTTGATTGAAGTACTGCTTACACAGTATATCAGTATACATTCATATACAAGCGCAGCCACATGAAAGACAAATACCAACAAAATGAAATATGATTAAAAGTACAGAAGAGAGTTGACCACCCTGATATCAAAAGTATTCTGAAGAATCTGGAGATTAAGTCCCATTCTTTCCACGTGTTTGATCATATTATACTGTTGATTGATGGAGTGAAATATTTGATATCAATTATCAGTGCAGTAGCTATAAATGGGGCAAAAGTACCTGCAATGTGGTTATTGTGGACTGTGAGGAGTGATAGGTAGGAGGCAACAGATCTAGATCTAGGACAGGACTCCATTGTTTAGCAAAAGTTGGTAGAGGCCTTAATAAGAGTGAGATTTGATGTATTCGATCAGTGTCCCATATTTTTTAAATTCTTATATATAATAAGTTGTAAGTACTGGGTTTTGGCCATTTAATAGTTAAACAGTTCAAGGCTGCTGTAAGAAAAAATATTCAAAAGTTATTATTTGCTCTTCTCTCCAGGCCTGCAGGCGTTACTCCTCATGGTGCCACTGTGGGATTTCATGCTAAAAACCCTCTTTGAGGCATCAAACACTTCCGTCCAGAATAAACCTAGCCTCAGACAAACTCAAAATATGGGTGTTATTTTCAATGTGTCTCCCTCCACAGTTCCTCCAACATGAGCTGAAGTGTGTTGGACCCATCTTAGATTCTATTTCTTGTGTTTTGAAGAATCTAGAGATCATGAAAATCCCTCCATGTGCAAATACTGTCAAATCCACAAACTGGTCATAACTGATACAAAACCAGTTCTGGTCTGAACAGCTCATTTCCTCATTCAGACAAGTTTTAGTTGATTTATACATTACTCATTGATTTTGAAGATATTGTTGAAGGTTATGAGTTTCACGTGATCACAATGAGGGGTGTGGCTGACTTCAAATATGGTGAACATCATTGTTGGTCTTAAAAGCTCAGATTAATCACTAAAACTGTCTAGTTTTTACACAGTCGTTGTACAAACTCATAGCAGGAAGTGCGACTGTAGCTTAGTGTTCAAAGGGTATAAGGCCAGTGGTGGATCCTGGTTCTTGTCTACAACTCTATTAGCACCTCTGCTTCTCAATAAAAGCACAAAAGCCCCCCCAGAATCTTTTAAAAACACTTATTAATACAAATGTGTTACTGACTCTGAATTGTGCTGCCTCGAAATAACTTTTTTACTCCCATTAGCAGAAATATGTGCCAAGCAGCTGTTACTGTGTTAATCCCAAGATATCCCAACATATTGGCGACCAGCTGCAAAGAAAAATAATAATGAACCTTTGCTCTTAGATAGTCAGCTGATTCAACAAAAACAGATCTGAATCTGGATACTCTTATAATGTTAAAACACTGGAGAACACCAGGATTTGAGAGGAAGATCATTTCTGGCCTTTCATCTACAGATCCTTTCATATGGCCGACCACTAATGCAAATATTAAAAATCTATTGATTAGTTCCAAGTGAAGCCACAGTCTGATTTTCTGTCTCCTATCTCAGATCCCACGTGGGCCAGTCTGAACCTGGGTGCTCTCATATGCATCGAGTGCTCAGGGATCCACAGAAACCTTGGGACCCACCTGTCTCGTGTCCGCTCTCTGGATCTTGATGATCTGCCGCGAGAGCTCACGTTGGTTCTCAGCGCCATCGGCAACCACATGGTGAACAGTATATGGGAAGCACGTACCCTTGGTCGTAAACCTGCACCTGATGCTTCACGGTAAAAAATTAAAAAATGATGGATGTGACTCAGGGAAACAATACTTAAATTAGTTTTTAAGTTTGAAAGACATTTTTAAAACTTTGAGAATGAGATTTAGAGTCACAGGAGCAAGAAGAGCTTGTTATTTATGTGCAGAAGAAAGACTTCAAACTGGAAAAGTGTTTCACTGAATATTTATCACATCTCTGTTCTTCTTCTGCTTGCTCAGTGAGGAGCGCGAGTCGTGGATCAGAGCCAAATATGAGCAGAAACTCTTTGTGGCGCCATTGCCCCCCCCTACTCCTGGCGAGGGCCCAGACATCACGCTCTCCGGTCGTCTTCTCCTGGCAGTGATGGAGCACAACCTCCCCAAGCTGCTGCTCCTTTTGGCCCACTGTACTAAGGAGGACATGAACGCCCCCCTCAGTCTGGCCATCTCCTCCAGGTCCCTCATGGCACTGAGACTGCCCGGCTCTGCCCTTCACGCCGCCTGTCAACAGGGAGACGTGGTGATGACACAGCTCCTGATTTGGGTGAGTTTACTCTCTCTGACATTGAAATCATTGAAATTAGTTTTTGAGCTCTGTCTCATATCAACCAAAAAGTCAAGTGAGTAGGAGTAGATGTATTGTTTCAGTGAATGTGCAGACTAGACAAGGTGTGCACTCAGGGCTCTATTTTCTTGTACGTCTGTGAGGCGGCGGAGGGTGGCGGACCCCGCACAGTTGTATTTTCTTCTGGCGGAGCCCGGCGTTCAGCCAGTTTGGTATTTTCCTTGGCTGACTCCCTCCTTTTCTTTCTTTCTCTTCCTCTTATTTCTCGCACAGCCGGACCTGGACATGTCTCCGTGTCCTCTCCCCGTCCTGCTGCAGCTGATTTGTTTCAGTGATCAGATGAGTTATCTACTTTAAGCCGACATACAGATATTATAATATTCAGTTTTGAGAGCCAAATTTATTTTATATGCCAACATCTATGAAGGAAAGAGCCAGGCCATGGAGCGCGATGCATTATTACGCACAGATGGTTCTGATTTTAATGCCATTTTTGGAGTTTATGTTGTGATCTGTGCGCACAACCCACCTTTGTCACGTGAGGTTTGAATATATGCAACTTTATGTGAGTGTCTTCATTTGTGGAAAGGGTATTTGTCTTACTAGTGGGTCTAAACTTACACACACCAAATCCATCTGTGCTCATGTGTGAGAGTGTGGAGGACACCCCTGCAGCGCTTACATTGACACTTGTTGAGGGGCTGCCTTCTGTCGCCATCGTGGGGCATTACTGTCTTAAGACATCTCTTGATCTCTTTGACTACTTTACGAAAATTCGAATACGCCTCGCCGGTGGCGGATTTAAAGGCGAGGAGAGGAGCTAATGTTATTAGTCAATACAGGTCTCGACTGTGTTAAACCCACTCCACACCCTCTCTCCTCCCTCGCTACGACTTACGCTGCTGGGAGGAGCTGAGTTTTATCATTATCGGCAGAATGGCAAAAATTATCATGATACATTTTTTAGCCCATATCGCCCATCCCTACTGCAAAGATCCTTCCAGTCGCATCAGAACAAATTATAGTGGTCGTTTAATGCAGACCCTCATGGAAAGTTCATTGACCCTTGTGTTAGTATTTTTTATGTTTCCTCTGGCATTTTACCTCTACTCCACCAATCCAGTGCTGGAGTCTGTGGAGCTGTCATTCATGACGCCCCTTATTCCCTCTTTTTGACTCAAATAGCTACAACCCCTCAGAGGAGAATTTGCATACTTTACAAAGACAATCTGAAACCACATGCTGCTTGTATTACAACATCATAGCTTTGTTGTAGTGAAGTCTGCCTGCAGTCCTGACTCAGTGAAAACACCTGAGGCATCGTAAAACTAGAAATACAACAAAGGAGACCCTCAACTAAAAATCTTAAATCTGGCCAAAATGGGACAAAGTTTCACTTTCAAAACTGCAGACTCTGGTCTCCTTGACTCACAATCATTTACAGTGTTGTTAAAGACGAGATGAGAACTTGCCCCGCTCCCATTTCTTTTTAAACTTATTGCTCCCATCAAAATTGAAAATTCTTCTCATTTTCTGCCAGGGCGGATCACACAAATTAATCATTTGACAGCCTTAGTGTTGTCTGCCTCCCTGCAACCTCAAACAGAAAAAGCCGTCCAGAAAAAGAGATCAATTGACTATATTTTTAAAGTCTTTCATTCTTACAGAAACATTGTAGAACTTTAAAAAACTGGTTGCCAGCATTGTACAATAAAGCGAAGGTAAGGTGACCATATTCTGAATCCCAAAAAAGAGGACACGACTACACAAGGGCAGGAGTCACAGAGTCGTGCGTAGTAAATTTTGAGTTTTTCAGGTTGGGTTGAGTGTTTTTTACACACTTCTAACTCAATAGACATTTGAAGGATTTTATAAACTCCCCCGGACAAAGCCAGACAGCCCCCAAAAAGAGGACATGTCTGGGTAATAGAGGACGTATGGTCACCTTTGCTAAGGTTTTTTTATAACTCTTTGGTACTTGTTAGACTTCCAGTGCTTCTAAACAGGACAGAAGTCTCGGGACCAAGCCCTGGTTTTATTTCAAGAAGGAATTACCATACATCTAAAAAAAATCTCAGTCCATCATTAGAATCATCATGTAAAAACCCTTACAAATACGTAACATTTTCACAGCACATGTTCATCTATTGACCTTTTCTTGGTAGGTATTTGACAAGCCACTTACTGGTTATAATTTTTTTTAGCTGGTAAAGAATGATTTCTCCAGAGAGTATTTGTCTTTGGCTTTAAATCTGGATTATCTATTCCCTGAATATGTAGTGCCATTGCCAACAATCTTCTTTTCTTATTTTTAGCCAATTGAAATTTGAGAAAAATAAAAAAAAAAGAAAACGGTTAGTTGTTAAGCAGCTGTGCTGTCTTCAGGAGTGGCTAAAATTTGTTCTGCTGTTGAGTCGATATTTTCTCCTTTCAGCATAAGTACCAGTAAAACCTGATAACAGACGGGTTTCTGTGCAATGTCAGCGCAGGTATGCGCATGCAGCCAGGGGGCAGAAAGCAGGACATTTCTTAATAGTTTACTAGCGGAGTTAACAGAGAAAGAAAAAAAACAAGTCTGTAGTGCTGTAAATTGTCGTAAACATTTTTACTTTGACGTTGTTAGCATTCACTAACATCACGACCCTGCTTCTGATATTAGAAACATCCAAAAAACATCACAACCTGGTTAGCTGAGTGAAATTCATGAACATTTCAGCAAGTGTTTTTTTTTTCTTTAATTTGTGATGCAATGAAAAACAAAGCGATTTTTCAATGAAATGACATTTTATTGCAATTGTGTCAGGGAGAACTTGCAAACAAGACGGCACTTCATTGATACCAGTTCACTCCGAAGCAGGCTTTTGCACCCTGGTTGTGCGCGCACCTAGTATTGTTTGTACACAAGAAGCCCGTCCATAGTCTTTCATGCAAATTCTCTCCATTGGCTAAAACTGGAGGTGGTGGACTGTAGTTTGAATAAAAAACTCACTTTATTATCTAAGCAGGATGTTTCTACCTTTTTAGTCAACAGAAATAGGCTCTTCATAAAACTAATCTGTTATTTTTTGTGTGTTTTTCTCAGTACGGCTGTGATGTTCGGTACCGCGATGCTCAGGGGCAGACGGCGCTGTATCAGGCTCGCAACGCTGGCAGTCAGGAGTGTGTCAATATCTTGCTCCAGCATGGCTGTCCTAATGAACTCTCTCCCTCCGTCCCCTCGGCGGTCAGTTTCGCTGCCGCTGCCACATCAAGCTTCCCTGTTTCCATGACGCCGAGCCTGACAGTCGCAACTACGCTGAGGATCTCGCACAAGAGTGGCGGCACTAGCTTAAGCTACAGCACCACGAGACGAGCAGTGTCATAATGAGAGTGTGATGTACCAAGGTGTGCATTTGTGTATGTGCGTGTGTGTGTGTGTGTGTGTGATTGAACCAAAACAAAAAGAAGTTTTCCTGATTACACTTTCTACCCAGTACTAAGAGGAAAAAGTATTTCATCGGGATGCCTCTGCATTCAGATTTAAAAGGAATGTATTGCACTGTATACCAGCTGGTATGATTTATATTTCATCATGCAGTCGATATTCTTCACTTAATTAAGAATGGGAGTTTTTGGCTTTGGCCTCAAACAGCATTGCTGAGCATCTCAAGACCAGAGGAAGAGAACTGCAATAAGTCGACAGTTTTCAAGTCTGTCTGTTTCTGCTTCAAACCCTTATGTCAGACACATCCACACTTCTTAACTCTATTGACTGCGAATGTCCATTTTGAAACTAGAGTGCATATACTGTGTTATGTTTGGCACAGCTGGTCGTCCAGTGCTTAATAATGTTGTGTGTTTAAAAAAAAAAAAAACTTCATGGTGGCTGAAAAGGGGCTGTTTTAAAGATAATCAAAAATAACTGTATAGAAATACATTGATAAAATATTATAATTCTAAGAAATTTAAAAGTGCTTCATTTGAAAGATTGTTATTGTATGATTTGTACAGTTGTTTCTGTGTATAAAACTTAAAAGAGTTTCTCATAAGCTGATCAGAGATTTCCTGTGCAGCCTCATGGCTTCCTTTAATAACCGCCTGATCGAGTCTTTAATATCCCAGACTGAGATTTCTATGTTCTGTTTGTATCACTGTGTGCAACAGAAACACTGTACATGACACATGCATTATGACTCCAGCAACAGCTCATTTATCAAGGCAAGTGTTTTACTAGATGTGCAACAAGCTAAAAAATGCCTTGATTTTGATTGAATGTATACAAAAACAAATGGTTTGAGTTCTTTACTTCAAAAACTGACATGTGTTTCAGAGAGATATTCTGTTTGATGGATTGTTGGGGCGTTTTTTTAATTTATTTTATTTTATTTAACTCATTTTCTTCCTCCTGTGACTAATGAAATAGTATGGTTAAATAGATTAAAACTGGGCTGAGATCCTGTGTTATAAAACTGGGCCTTTGAAAGATGATGTGGCTGAAAAGTCAACATAAAATAGAAAGAGTGGTGCCCAATTTAATACTTAAAAAGAGGCATAAAAAAACAACTCTCCTGCAGTACTGTATGTATTTTTGTGTTAATCTAAAGACGCCGCTGAGTGTACATGTCTGTGGTGTAAGCATCTATCTCCATTTGTATTTTTTTACTCATGCGATAACTCATAGAGCATTCATTATCAATACACTGAGGCTGAAGCTCATCATGGTCTGAGTGGTTTTCTGTGTCTGAAATCATGCCAATACTTATTGCAAAAGGCCAGATGGTTTGATTTTAGTGTTTCTATGGTCATTTTCATCAACAGTAATAATTAATGGGGAAAGGGGGGAGGGGGCTTCTGCTTATACTATAAAGGGGTGGAAAGCATAGACTGTATATACTATGGACAACTTGGTTCCGCTTTTCGCCAGTATATGGATATGAAGCCAAAAAACTCTTGGTATTTCGGTGTTTTTTCTCCACTTCCTGAAACCAACACTTCGCACTACCATTGTACGCATTCGGGGGGAGAGTCGCTGTGATGACCCTCGGCTCAAGCAGCGTATTCCCCGGATGAGCTACGTAATCTTCGTACGCCCATAGGCTGTATCAAATGTCAATCATAGAAAATATGAACCCCCTAATAACTTTTTAAACTCCATAAGGATTGCTGGAGGAGGCGGGATTTATGACCTATACTGCAGCCCGTCACCAGAGGGTGCTGTTCTCGGGGTGGCTTCACCCAGCGAGGAGGCAGACGGCGTCCATTCTATATACAGTCTATGGTTGAAAGTCACTAATTACATTTACTGAACTATTTACTCTTTGATGACTTTCCCAGTAAATATTAAACTCAGCAATTTTAATTTCACCAAGTAGTTTCTTCAGTATTAACTTCACGACCGTTACACAGCATGAGTGACTTAGAACAAAATTACAGTGAAAAGTGGAATAGATGTTAGCTTTATTTACAACACAAGATCATGCACGCTAAAGCTCAAATCACAAGAAAGTTGGATATACGGTCATGGCTTTGGTCATCTTGGGTCGATAAGCAGACAGCGAGCCAAACTCTGATTTATTAAGAGTCATGCCTGCACACAACAGGCCATGACTCACGGGCACAAGGACTGTCCACAAAGTACAATCAAACTATTCAGTTACTTTTGCCTGAATTGGTTTGGCGTCAACAAAATCACCTGACACACTGATGACCTCCTGTTAGATTTACTTCAGCAATCAGGAAAATCTGCTTTTTACATAACTTGTGGGTTATATCTCACTTTTTAACCCCAACCCCGTGTTATAAAACAGTCTACTCAGTACTCTTAACTTTTACATTAATATTTATGCAGACTTTTCAATTGAGAAAAACACTTCAGTACTCTTTCCATCCCTGACTAAATACCAGTAGTATCATCATATATGCTGGCTTACAAAGGCTTCATGTTTCAGACCAAGCTGACCAAGATCCTGCCGGTGGATCCTGCAGTCTGCAGCAGCACTTGACACTTTCCAATGTGAGAACTTCTGGATCAAACCAGTTCCTGTTTAAGGCCCCTTCTGGCTTTGACCTATTTCTTTCTAGGTCAGAGTCATACTCTCATTTACATACCATTGAACCTACCCGAGGTGGTTACAGTTCTCAGCTTCACACTTTGAAAATGGCATCTCTTAAAAAAAAATGGACAAGAGTCACACTAAAAAGGAGACACTCTATCAAACCTACAAATTTTTCAATGATGAGAAAGAAAACAGGCCAGTGGGAAAACAATAACGCTTGTGTATTTTTATCATGTTTCCAAACCAACTGTTTTCAGTGGCATTTAAATCACACTTGACATATTAAAAGGAAAGAAATATACTACTAACCTAACCGACATGTTGAAAAGTGCTGGAGTCTCTACTCATGCAACAGTCACTTTTTTATTTGACCTTACAAAAGACTCTGAGAATAAGGATTACATTCAGTTTGCTAATTTCTCATCAAAGGTGCAAATTGATAAATGATCGATGCTGTGTCTTATCAGGAGTGTTCAAACCAAAACATACACTCTATTAAAGGAGCAAATACCGTGCCTGGTACCCTCGTGTAGGCATGTTTACTGTCTGTCATGAACATTTCTGATCTCTTCTTGACACTTGATGACAGATTTCAAATACAGTACAACCCTGAACTGAAAATAAATAAACAAATGAATTATTTAAGAAACACATACTGTGGAGGTCATGAATTTGTAATAAACTAGACTGAATTCAAAAGACGAAAAAGCATGCTGCTGTTGGGTCTGATAAGACTCATCTTGTTTCGTCATTTTTGTAACATAAGCTGATAAAAGACGTCTCAGACTTAATACGCTCCCACACTCTTGTGGGTCCTCAGTTTTTCCTCGTCCCCCTTCTGCCTGTTTGTCCACTAAAGTATTAAAAGTGAAATCCTCATGATAATCCAAGAGATCCAGGAATGTGTGTCAAGACGGCAGGGACAGAGGAGAGGGACTAAAGGATGAATTCACCACAGAGCAACTTTTAGAAGGACACATGAATCAGTTTTTAGCTGTAGCTCACATCCACAGCTCTGACCTTTGAGAACATTTGACTCCTTTTTCCAAGAGAGTGTAATGTTGGTAAATAGTTCATACCATGCAGAGGTAAAACATGTCATGCAATATGCTGCTGCATCTTTGCATGTTTTAACATTTCAAATGAAAGCTCTTTGATGAACTCGCTGTTTAATATTTTGTGAGCTGCAGTGCTTTCTAGATGATGCAAGGGTATGCAGCATCCACAGACACTGACAAAGCACTGCAACACTTAATGCTTTGTGTTGCACAATAAACACTTAATACTGAGACGTGCTTAGAAATGTGCAAGTGTGCCTTTCCAGTTACTCACTTATGAAACACTTGAAAATTGAGACCATTTTACTTACATATCCAAAGAAAAGAGCAAATGTGTCTTTCTGTCCCAGTGATAAGAACAAACTGTCCCCAGATTTAGATCCAGAGGGGTCTCTAATGATATCACCAGTCTATCTATTTTCTCTTTGCAAAAATAGGCTTTAATAGCACATAATTATAATGTCACAATTATTAATAAAGTCAGTGAAAACCCATATTTCTGGTGGTTTTACTTATTCATGTTTAATTTTGTGCTTGATTTTTTTTTAAATAGTTTAATTTTCACTCTAAAAATCCAGCCTAAATTCAAAAGGCTATCCTATCAGTGTGGAGGGCAGTAGTTAATAGCTGGTACTCATTCACATTGTTTTCTTGGATTTGCTCATTAAAAATCTGCTTCTGGCCACATTCAGCTACATGTACAACTCAGGTGAAAGGAGAAAACAAGATTAGCAGTATGATATCTCTAATTGAGACACGGTTGTTTGCCAAGTATTGAAAAAATGTTTCTCGGGTTCATTGTTGTCACTGCCGGGGAAGAGGATACATGTCTGTCAAAGGTGTTCAATCTATTCTATGTCCTGTGATTCCCTACACAGTGTTGAGATTATTTAATTTAGTATTTGCCAAGAAGACTTTCCTCCTTCATCTTCCAATCACATTTCTTCCATTCAGCAGAAAACAACAGGGAGCATGACTTACAGACAGTAAAAAACATGGACAGGACAACAGCTTTCCCAAGTAGAAGACAAAACCATTTTCTGCCTTCAAACCATAGACTGTATATACTATGGACAACTTGGTTCCGCCTTCCGCCAGTATAAGGATTTGAAGCTGAAAAGCTCTCGGTATTTCCACAATCTTTCTTCATTTCCTGAAACCAACATTGCGCAGTACCATTATACACAGTAGTCCTCTATGACTTGAGGACAAACCAGTCTTACAATAACTACATGTCAGGTAGGGGGGAGAAAAATTTATATTCTGTGTAATAAATTTTTAAAGTTTGTCCACAGCTCCATAAGCTTTGCTGGAGGAGGCAGGATTTATGACCTATACTGCAGCCCGTCACCAGAGGGTGCTGTTCTCGGAGTGGCTTCACTCAGTGAGGAGGCAGATGGCGTCCATTCTATCGTCTATGCTTCAAACCCACCCATCTGTCAACACAGCAGGTACATGGGTCAAACTAGAAAATTTAATTTCACATTGAATAAAATGTTCACAACAAACATGCATCCTGTCACCTTATTATTTAAGTTCATTTTTACTATGAGATTTTACCTTACAATTATCATGGCCCCAAAAAATCACAGTAATGAGATGATTACAATATTGAACATAGAGGAAAAAATGCTGTCAGACAACTTAAAGAAAAGCTACACAAATGTTTATAAACTTTCTTAATGTGAGTGGATTTGACCTACTTGACTGTCTTCATCTGTTTCTGATAATGTTTAAAGTTATGTTTTATCCTCATCACCAGCCCTAAGATGGAATTATCCAAAACTCATCTTTATCTGCCCGTTTTTTGCATTATACATGTCCTTGAACCTCCTGGCCTTTTCCTGGTTATAAAAAAACAACTCCCAAACCGGCGAGGTAGCTTTCTGGGGTGTGGGTAAGGTACTTTGCTTTCATCCTTCATCTCGTCCAACATGATTTGTGCTGGAGTAGAAGCACACACTGCGATAAAGGCTTTTTACCCAGCTGGCTACTGATTAGTCTTCTGTAGCCTCTTCTTTGTCTTGTCTCGACTGTGAATCAATTTGTTACACAATATTACCCCATGCTGATTTTCATCAGTAGTATCAATCATTAATTTTTCTAAAAAGACAGCTGTTGTCAATAGCAGTATAATAACAGAGCTAAAGCTTTTTATCTTTTTATCATGCTGCCTGTTTAAGCAGGTGTGGCCCCTCCGCAGCATCTTCTGTCTGATTAGCAGAGTAAAGGAGGACGAACACTAAACACAAGAGTCACTGAAAATCAACACAAGAATCTGTCCTACTGTGGATTACACCAACCTGAAGGATATTTGACATCTTTATGTTTAATGTGTATTTTGGTAAGTAGAAAGGGTGATATCAGCCTCTGCCAGCTGGAAAGCTTCTGTGCATACTGTGGCTCCACCGATTCAATATGTCAGCCTCCTACAAGACAGTATTTTGGCTCCACTTTTCACAGAGGGAGGAGATAGAGGCACTCTGTCCATGTTGAGGTGTGGTCAATGGTGCAACTTCATATTTAGATTATTTAGGAATTAACAGGTAAATTTCAGTACTGATTGATGCTGATTTTACCGACAGCATTAGAAAGTAACCAGAACTTTAAGGGATATTCCGGCGTAAAATTAATTTAGGGTCAAACACACCGTAACACCGAGTTAAACACCCCATCGAGAGATGAATGTTGCTTGCTTGCTCGCTTGCTTCTCTTGTTATACCAACTTAAGTAACGACCGCAGATAGCAATACAGAGAGCCACGCGCTCAAACAAAACGCCACTCTATAGCCACAAATAATGCTCAGAACAGCACCTAACTTCATCAACAGTACATATAGGGTCCCAGCAATAGTACTAACCATCAAACATCTTTTTAACTTTGCCTGATTTCTTTAGCAAAGAGACTAAACACAACTCACCCACTCTCTTCCAGCAGCCACTTGTTTATACGGAGACCTCTGGGCAAGTCTGTCGACTGCAGCGGGGTGACACAGCTCAAGGAAGAACATTTATGATCATTTCTTTATCATTTCCTTGAAGTAATAATCACAATATTAATCATTTTGCACTGCAGACGTGGAAGTTTTTCTGAATTAGTGTCTCGGTCTGATTGCATTTCCATGAGGAAATGATCATAAATGTTCTTCCTTGAGCTGCATCACCCCACTGCAGTTGATGAACTCGCCCAGAGGTCTCAGTACAAACAAGCGGCTGCTGGAAGAGAGTAGGTGAGTTGTGTTTGGTCTCTTTGCTAAAGAAATCAGGCAAAGTTAAAAAGATATTTGGTGGCTAGTGCTATGGCTGGGACCCTATCTGTACTGTTGATGAAGTTAGGTGCTGTTCTGAGCATTATTTGTGGCTATAGAGTGGCTTTTTGGTTGAGAGCATGGCTCTCTGTATTGCTATCTGCAGCCGTTACTAAAGTTGGTGTAACTAAAGAAACATGGAGAAACAAGGGGTCGGCAACATTCATCTCTCGGTGTCTCACTCGGTGTTATGGTGTGTTTGACCCTAACTTAATTTTATGCTGGAATATCCCTTGAATCCGCTAACTAGGCAAAGATCTTGGTGATGAACTCCCGGAAACGTTTCGCATACTGCTCTGGATGAACTGTTGAGATTTCTGCTCCTCCCTGCAAACACACACAGACACACAGTCAGGAGATGACTGGATAGACATGAAAGCGTCCTGTCACACTTTAAACAACAGAGATCGAAAGACAGCATATGCTAAACCAGTCCCTTTATAGAGCGCTGGTCTCTTACCCCGTGTTTGACAGCTTTGGCAGCGTGAGCAGCTTTCTTCTTGGTGTCATACTGTGTCAGCACGTCAATCAGCCCCATGAAATACACCTCCCTGCGGGGAGCACCTGGAGGAATTCATGGCATCTGGTTAGTGGTACTCTTCTGGGTGTATGATGTCCTCCCGCATGGCATGAAACTTGTATGTTTTAGAGATTGAACTCACCTATAGCACTCTCGATAGCATACACATCTATGTACGGGTCAAACTCTCCAGGTCCCATGGGTTTGTAGCAGTTCATGTAGCCACTGATACCCTCAGGAGAGGTGGAGCCAGGAGCGAGAACCAGGCCGTTTTCATCCTCCTCTTCCTCTTCATCAGTTGACTCCATCTCCTCCTCCTCTTCTTCCCTCTCTGCTCGCTCCACATCATGGATACCGAGCAGCAGACTGTAGTCCATGATCCTCATTTCCACCAGAAACTGCAGGAGAGGGAAACAAAAATTACATCGGCAAAACATAAACAAACAAAAACTGGCAGTGTGCGTCATCAAGGTTGTTTCATTACGTCAATATCTCTGTTGAGCTTGTCCATGATCTTCTCTTTCTCTTCGTCGCTAACATAAATCTTCTGCATGTTATTCTTAAAGTCAACATCTTTGTAAGTGGGCAGTTCCTTCTCCTGGGGACAAAAATAATTGAAAATATATTTAGTGTGAGGAACAGATCTTTTTTTTAGCATTGAAAACAATCAGTAACATAATAAATCAAACAGAATGAGATAAGGTTTTCACATTTCTGCTTTTTGAACAGCGATTTCTAATCATCTAACAGGAATCAGGGAGCCAGCAGAGTGGCTGAAAATATATTTTACTGTTTTTTAGAGACACCTATTCTAAAACTGTTAACAATTACCACGATGCACTCGATGCTGTATTGTGTTGGATAAAGGAATTGTGATTTCATGAGAAAACAGAATGAATATGTGTCTTCACCCTCACGCATCAGGTTTTCCTTATAGAAGATACAACACAGAACAATAAGCTGTGTTCAGAAGCAAAGGGGAAACAAACACTCTTCTCTTTTCCCTGCTAATGGAATAAAATTCTTCCATTCAGAAAACCCTGCAATGCTCCGAGCACAGACATCTCTAGTCTCTGTGTTACCTTGGTAACTTCAACACCACAGTTATCTGTTCCTGCTACTGTAGAAAATTTACATCTCAAAATATATGTAGCAACAAAACAACTGATACCATTTCAATACTTAGTTCTCTATTAAAATGTGCGCCTGTAAACTAAAGCTATTACATATGGGAGAAGATTTGTATCATAATTCAAATGAAAACAGATTAACAGAAACGCATTTGCATTTTCAGAATGTACCTGCACTTCTTGACTCATAAATAAAATCAAAAATAAATAATCTGAACTGAAATTGTTTTTTCTTTTTCAAAACTGATCATTCTGTAACTTAATTTAAATGAAAAAGAAAAAGTCATTTGAGATTTAATTTTCAAAGTATGCCTCAGCAAATATGTACCAAAATGATTCTAATGCATTTGCAGTATGGCTTTTTCGTTCCAAAGTCAAAACTGCCTAATTTGACTCAGAAATAAAATTAAGAATAAACAATACAAATTGCATTTTCATTGCAGTTCCAAACGGGAAATTGTTTTTTCATTTTAATGTCTGCCTGTCGCTATCCGAACTGCACAAGTGCAAATTTACTTCACCTTAAAAACTTTATTTAAACTATGTGACAGGCTGGCTAGCAGGAGGCTCCAGAGTTAATGCCGAGGCATTTGCCAGAGCTCCTGCCCAGCATGGTGAGACCTTTCGGGCCACAGAGAGCACCGCCACCCGGTCAAAATTATGGTTCTCTGACTTTTCAAAGTATTAGTGGGGGATGCTCTAGAGGTGTGTGGCCACAGAGAGCACCATAATTATGATCATTTATTTAATCTATGATGTAAAGATAAATTATGATAGATAGATAATTTAAAATAAGAATGTTATTTTGCCTTTGATTATGATGAATGGTAGGTTAATGTGAGTGGTAAATGCCTCATTCTCTTTTAGGCTAACAAAGCAAACTATCTTTTACACTTTTACAGACATGTCTACTAAAAGCAAATGTGACAGCATCGCTTCAAGAAAAAAACACAATAACATTACAGCTTGTAATACCACCTTAACTTGATCTCACCTTTTCTTTAAAGCTTGCTTCACGAGACACCCGAGACCCCTGAGGAAGACGAAAGAAAGTGGACAAAAAGCATCAGATACCACACTGACACATGCTAAATATTAAACTAAGTAACCAAATATTATACTGAACATTATCTATGATTCCAACCAAGCAGGATACCTGGGGTGTGATTACCCCTTCAGTGCCCTCATTGATGAAAAGCACAACATAGTGTCATCAAATGTGACCTCACACTCCCGCGTGTTTTACCTTGAGGTCATACTTCCTGTGTACATGCAGTCTGTGGCTGAACATGTTCCTCATTACTAACAGGTAGGTGTCTTCACTCTCCACTGTGACTCTGTACATGGCCAGGAACTGAGGGAGCAGCGTGTTGCCGTGACAGGTGACAATATGCTAGACGAGAGAGTGAGAGGTGAGAGGACATTAAGTGATGGGAGCAGAAAGGAAACATGTCAACACAGCAGCATGAAGAGACAGTATCCTTGGCTTTATTTTATACTTCAATCAATTCAATTGTGATTGGATTCAATAGATGTGAATATTCAATTCAATATTCACATCTAGCTTGTGTATTTGACTTGCTTTATTCTTGCTATTAAAATGAGTCAGAAGAAGTTCTTCGCGATGGCGGATATTGTGTCAATGGGGTCAGTATATTTGGATGTCATACTCAGATTTGGTAGTTCAGCTGCTGTAATATTGTCTTATTGTCATTTATCAGTCTGGGAAAATCAAATAAACACCCAAAGGTAATCCTCATATTTCAGTTAAATACATCATATTCAACTACAGCTTATTTTAGCATTTATCTACTTGCTAGCTAGCCTTACAACTTCATTAAAACTTGAAACAAAAAAAAAAAATCTTTAGTGTTACTAAAAGCCTCGATTCTCAGGTAACAGCAACATTATCTAGGAGATGAAGTAAGGCTAACGTCAACTGTCTGACTGTTTCTATGTTAAAATATTGATGTCTATAACTGCTGTGTCGGGGCGGATACACTAAAGAAACAGCCTCTGCTACTTTTAAAAATTTACATTAAGTGAAAAATTTACACTGTGAAATGAGAACAGGGGATGTTTTAACACCACTTACAGAAGGATGACATGAAATAACAATTATACTAGGGCTACCCCTTTGTCCACAGGGGGGCACCAAAACAAACAGAAAAATCCTCACTGGAGCTTTAATAAAATAGCAAAACCTGGAACACATTTATACAACAAATATACAACACATGACAATCCTACCCTGCATGTGACATCAGAGGAAAATGGACACCATGGGAATAGTTTGAACCAAAATACTTATCTAGGTTACTAGGCATCCTGTACAGGTTTGGACCTTTAGTAAGACAGTGGAGGGACGTCTTATATTCTATAGGGGGCAGAAGTGTGAAAACATGCAAAACGGTGCATGTGCAATATGCAACATGTGTTGATAAATGGGCCTTTATCAGGGTTCCTTTTTTCTCTTTGTTTATTTATGGGTCTTATGGAGAAAAGGTAAGATAAGAAGAACCTTATTTGTCCCCAAGGGGGAATTTGATAAGTCTGTAATGTCTTTGAAAATACAAATATTTTAATTTGGCCATCGCTGTGTTACATTAAAACATTTTTTAACATGTATCATTAGAGATCCACAGATGTACTACATAACATTTGACAATGACTGATTTCCATTCAACTGCATGGCTTGGTAATGTGCCTGCTGACTCATTATTACGGCTCACAGGGACACTTGAATGGAGCCGAGGCATGGTTTGTGGTTTAGGCGACACCTGTGCATTTCTCATTATGGCAAATCAAGAGTCTGCCGTGATAAAAGTCTACGAGGACAAAACAAATGCAAATTCCACTTTCACTACAGCACCAGAACAAAGACAGTTCCCAAAACATTTGGAGATCTGCTTTCTACATTTGCTGCTTTGATATTTTAGCACGTAAAAGTAATGTGTCGCTCTCTGTTTAGTTCATGTCTTTACAGAATGCATCTTGCTCTGACATCTTTTTAGTCTGCTCTCTATTTTTCTGTGAGTACTAACAGTCCTAAAAATGTTTTCTTGCTCTTAGTCAGTTTCACATTTAACACAATCATAAAAGGTGCTTGCTGAAGAAAAAGTCTCTGTTTTGAATTCAAACGCTTGTCTTTCAGCTTTGATGTTATGAAACCTTTGCTATGGCAACCAGGGTTATCACAAAAAGGGCAAATTTCTCCAACAGCAGACAAAAGACACATGACAGAAAGGGCAGAAAACACTGTATATGACTCATAGAATCTGAATGCAGAAATTTTGGATGAGTGGGGTAATTGCAGACTAGAAAACAGATGAACTCTAAAGGTTATGTTTTTTCCACCTGAGAAACAGAAGCTTCCCACTCTGTGGTAGTCATACCTGGTGATACTCAGAGAGGATGTTGTGCATTTCCTCCACCTCCTCACTGGAGATTTCTTTAACTACCAAGGTGCGGTCATATGATGAGAACAGCAGCCCCACACTCTGGCCGTCCTCATCTTTAAATAAAGGACTGCGGGCCAGAGACACCTGTTGGTGAGAGAAGGAATGGTATCTTTGATTCTGAGCACTGCAAACATCTGACAACCTTTTAAATCCACTACACATTTACACATTTTCACTGAAATACAATTCATAATGCATACAGAAGATGTAGTGTATACACTTGTGTTAGGATGATTACAAATGAGTATGATAAGCTAGATTTTATCCTGACACACCACCACTGAATTTCCTTTCAGGGATCAATAAAGTTCTTCTTCTTCTTCTTCATTCGTGTTTTTAAGACCATTCTTTCATCTGTTTTTTTTGCCGTGCAGAAGGAAAACCTTAACTGGCACAAAGTGCAGGTACTCTCCTCATATAAAACACTCATGTTCTAGGCAAATGTGCTCAGAGCAGAGCGGATGATGACTTTGTGTGCCACCTGGCGCATGCAAACATTACACAAAGGAATGCAAATTTTGAAGGGCGCAGATCAATTCATTCAGACAAGTGTCTGGTTTTGAAAAGGGAAAATAACACAAAGGAAAACCTTGGACACTCTCTATTTTCAAAAGCCAGTGTGTGTTTTTTAACACTTTACCCAACCTTAAATTAAAAAAAAGTCTGTTTTTTGTGCATGATTAAACGCTTCTTTTGAGTGGAGTAATTTACCTGGTAATCTTGGTCTTCAATTCCAAAACGCTCGCGCAAATTCCTGAACACCTGTGGACAGTAGTCTTTGAATTTGAACTGTCCAGGAAGGTTCTCTCTGTGAAGGAAACCAGTTTAGACACATGAGTTATGAATAATACAGCTGGATTTACTTTAAAGAGCATTTCACCAGCACATGTCTATCGACGTGAGGAAAATTTAACATAAATTATACTTGACTAAAGGTAAAGGTAAAGGGAACATCTTAAAATCATGATATCAAAAGACTAACTATAAAAAAACGTACTGTTATGTGGAGCCTGGCTGATACACCAGCTGTCAAGATTAGTGGGCTATTATAAGCTAATCAGATATATGTCTGTATTTATGTTTGTGTTAATCATTGTGTACCGCTATTTCAACTAATCTGACTTATGCAGAAAAAGTGACGCTTAGGTTGACTGATCAATAATGTGACCAGGTAGTTTTTCTTTCAGATTACTCTCTCACCATCTCTACAAGTGCAGCTCTCTTAGCTCTGCCTTAAAAACATCCTTAACTATGTGGCAGCAGCCAAGGAGAGAGTGACTGGGTTCAGTGATGAAATGTAATGTACCATGGAGAATACCTATGTATTTGCTGAATATGCATAAAACTGCAAAATGACAATTTTAAAGCTCCTATAAGGATTTTATGTATACTTATGAAATAGTCTGAAATTCATATCGATGCCTTTTCATGATATCCAAAAGCAAACGACACCATCAAGAATTGCACAACACTGGTGCAAGGGGGGTAGGTATCAGACAGTTGTGGCTTCAGAAACAGCCCTAATTTTAAAGTATTCACAGTAAATGATGTATTTGACTTGTTTTTGTGGAAAAATTCACAACTCAAGCAGATAAACAACAAAATAAGCAAAGACTTTTATCCTCAGGGGATGCAAAAATGTACCTAACAGGAGCTTTAAGTAGATTTGATATAAATTAAAAAAAACAACGCAGCTATAGTAACCAGCTACAAATGTATCCAGCGACATTTTTAAGTACTTTTTGTACCACAATGCCACAAATCTATACATTTACATGCATTCAGTAGAAATGTGTTGTAAAGTCTGCAAACTTTTTAATTATCTAAAGTGGGACTTACAAAGTTTTCACATCAAGTAACATGAACAACACTTGAATGAAACCTAGTAAAGTAACAGCACGGTGACGTGAAAAACATATTTTATTGTTCTGCCCACCTCTGTTTGTAAGTCCCTACAAAACCTGGATTCCTGAATGGATTAAAGGATTATTGAGAGCCACTCAAGTTTTCTGGTCTCAATCCCTATAGAATATGAACTTCAAGGGCAATACAAAGTGTACTTTCAGAAATAATGATCTAATCTTTCCCTTATACCCCTACACACTTTATGACACATCATATTAGCTCATTTCTCTTGTTTTTCTCAAACACCCTTTACACAACTTCCTTGAAGAAAATAAAGCCCCATTTCAAACTCCTGTATCTTGTACCAGTCATGAAACCTAAAGCATTTCTCCTCTGCCTGTCTTTGTTATTGTAATGAATGCTTGCGTTGTTCATTACAAATATATAGAGGACACTTTTTGAATAGAAAATTGTGCTTTTCTTTTGAAGGGTGAGGTTCTTGTTAAGCACAGAAAAGCCAAAGAATAGCTTCATAAGACACAAAAAATGTCAGAGAGCTGCAGGATGAAGGTCCCAGCAGGTTAGCAGAGAGGGGTACAGTACTTGTTGAAGAGGTGGTTGTTCACTTTGATCTTGGTGCTGGCTTTGAAGTCGTCTGGCAGCAGCATGACAGGTACGGGCACCTGGCTCAGGTCATTAATCTGGGCATGATCAATGGATAAATAGTTAATAAAGATATTCATAGAACCGGCACACACGTTGGGCTCATGAAAGCAGAACACATACCCACCGAATGATTTACTCCCCACATCAACACGCTCAGCACGGGGTCACTGGCTCGGAAAACCTCCACCTTCTGCTGAACAAAGTGCTTTTTCTTGGTCTTCCTCTTTCTCGCCAAGATGCTCAGAGGGTTGGAGGTGGCACTGGGAGAAGACATGGTACTTTTCACACGTGTCTGTGACCTCTGAGGATGGTTTTCATCCGTGGCGTCCTCCTGTGTATGTAAAGTGGGCCGAGGTTCGCTGTGTGGAGGCTCTGCAATAGCAACACCTCCTCCTCCTCCTGCTGCTCCTAATCCACACAGTCAGACTTTAGTGGAGGTTTTACGTCGGGTTAACGCAACAACAATAAAATCCAACAGGTGCAGCAGCACCCTGAAGGCATCATCATCATCGACGACCCTGTGACAAAAGTTAGCATTATGTTGTTTCATATGGTAAAACAACAGGGAGCATCAGTCTGGGCCCACTCCTGGCATGCCTTTGATGTGGATTTGATTTGGATTAAATTTTAATTTGGTATGTTTCATTCAATCTGTGGCTTCAACTGAGATAATAGTTTGTTTTTGCATGGCTGCCAATTGTAGCACTGTCAGAGCTAAAACGATAATAATACTGTATTTTCTCATGATCATAAACTTATAGTCTTAATATTGGGTTCGTGTAAAAGGCATATGTAGCCATTTAATGCACGACATCACAAATTATGGCCAGAAAATTCAATTTCTTTGGAGCTGAAATGTTTATGTCACTTACTACTGAAAACCCCCTAAAATCAAAATGTCCTTAAAATTTAACAAATATATTTATTTATCTCGTTTGATACATTATATGTTTTTGGAAACTAATAAACTACAAGAGGACATTTTTATCATTTATCAGACTGTTTTTTTAGTAATTTGTGGATCATATTGATTTGATAGAAGTATATAAAATATGTATCAAATATGATACAAAAGGCATTAAAGGGTTAAGGTAGTGTTTCCTCACATCATGTCTGATTCATGACCATAATGTGGATTTGCAGGATATTACCAGGAGCCACATTGATGGTATTTTTTTTTTTCTGTATTGAATTAAACAGTCATTGTGTCCCAAACAGTTACCTTAGGATTCCCTTATCCAAATCACTTAGCTGATATTTTGCTCGTAGGGGAGACCGGGGCTTGTCGTCACACTTTTTACACTCTTGTATATTTCTTGCAATCAATACATCATATATAAACAAAATGTGTACCAGATGAAAGACCAAAGTCTCAGGTATATATTTTGTGTCATTTTCATATCTTGTGTTAGTGAAGAGTTATGTGCAATCAAATAAAGAGTGTGAACATGTGACATGTTGCCCCACCATCGGGTAAGATGTCACAGTGGATTTTGCAGCTAATAAAACAAGGACAAAATTATTGTTCTAATTTTTTTACATAAAAATGAACATCAAAGTCAGGCACAGAAAATGTTTATCATTGAGCCAGAAAAAGTCATTGAACATAGCCATTGCACAAACGTTATCATAAAATATTATGCAAAATGCTCTGGAGTTTGGAGAGCTGTCTGACTCAGTGAATGCTTTTGCAGTACCGAGCCAAGGTATGGTAGTTGACATTAAAGTCCTTTATTGTACTGCAGATTAATTTATTAGCCAGGGTCACCTGCCTGACTGCCCTCAGCATCACGTCAGGTACTGCACTACCATGTTCTGTTTTTCTTTTGAAATTCCTGACCATGTTGTCTCGCATTCTCCTCTACTCTAAACTCTTTTTTTTCTGTAAAAGTAAAGTCAAATTTTCTGTATGACAACTGTTGATAAGCAGACTCTCTATGTTCATTTTAATACTTTTTAAACATGTTACAACTGACCCCAAAATGACTGAGACATGTTGCCCCAAACTAACATGTTTGCTAATTCTAGGTTTAGCTTAAAATTAGCCATAAACAGAATAATGACTGAGGTATGAAAGGATGCCTTAATCTTTCCTCTATCAAGTCCACGTGTTTCACTGCTAGGATTTTTATCTGGAAGAAGCTCATTTCAAAACATATAAAGTTAAAAAATTTTACTTTGGGCTGTACAAAATGGTTTATTGGTGCTCATCTCAGCTCACAATGTGCTCTTCTCTTCAGGACACGACCCCTGACCATGTAAAGGAAGAAAACTAGTATTCCACTTTTCAGTTGCACCCTCTGGTGGCAAAGATAATTGCAATGTGACAACTTACCCTGGTCTCCCCTACTTTAAGTTGTAAAACTCAATTGTTGGTATTATGTGCATCAGTCTTGAAGACTGCTTCCAAATTAAACGGCAAACACTGATGCAGTTGAGTTCCTTGAACCCAGCACTGGCTCTATTTAACACACATTATATGTTCTGTAGGTGGGATTCAGTTCCATAGAAAATTCTTTATTCATTGTCTTTTTATTAATTGTCTTTATCTATGCTAAAAAAAAAAAAAATACAAATTCACCTCTTCAGCAAAATAGTTTTTATTCAAAACATGAGATAAAATGCAGTCTAAATGCAATAAGTCAACAAAGCATCGACATTAATCATTAAGTGTCAGTCATAACCCTTCTTAAACACAACTCCTCTGATTTTTCAAGAGACAAATTTTCTTAATAAAACCCCAGAAATCATGAAAAATGATGCCTCCGTTTGATTCTGCATCAAACACTCAGGTTAGAAAATATCTTACCTGCTTTTATCAGAAAACAATGATAAATTAATTATTCAAATTACTATTAATATTAGCATAAATATGATATATAATAAAAGAAGCATAAATAGGATAAAGAGATTATGTACAGCACGGTTTTAAAAAATACTGTGAATAGTCCTTTTAATAAAGAACACTGATCCAAATCTTTCCTATCCGGAAGTCTGCCTAATATGAAATTGAATTGTTTCCACCAGGCTAAATTGCTGAAATCTAAAGACACACAGTTTCAATATGAGCTGTTCTCTCTGTAAGATGGCTCCTGGTTGGATAATTTATGCTCATATAAATTTGATTGAAGTCTCCTGCTCATGTAAAACAAATGTGTGATCAGTACAATATTATCACGTTCAGTAGAGGGCGCAAATAGTCAAAGCTACACCTGGTTTTGAAGCAGCATCTTACTGGTGTAGATCTGCTTCTGGCTGTTGGATTATGAAATGTGAGACAGTGCTGAGCCCCTTTTGACTCTGTATGTTGTTCCTTCATTTTAATGTCATGTTGGTCAAAGAGCGTCCTCTCTTTAGGTCCAGGCTTTGTGCTTTTCTAACAGCTCAGGTGGCCCTTGTTTCTCGTTGAGGTAACTGGCATGCCGTTCTGATTCACACACCAGCACTTTCCACGCTGCTTACCGCGAGACGACCAACACTGCACACACAGAGCAAATGCATTCACAGCTGGAAACACAAATACGTATCTAAATGTTGCATGCTGTAATTTTCTGTACATCATGAAAACTCACCTGCTTCTTTCTGAAGAAACCTCGCTTGTCACAGTTGGGCATGTAGATGTCATGTTGTGGGTTAAACAAATGAGCATTAAGACCTTTGATAAGAGTAGTCAGAAGTTTGCGACAAGGAGCCTGCAGGCACAGACAGAGAGGATCAGGTACGTGTAGGGGAGAGCATGCTTTCATTTTTCATTTTAAGAGACGTTTTTTTTTACCTCATTGGGATCCTCAGTAGGTGCTGGGTCTAGGAGCGAACAAAGACAAACACAATTAGAACTGATCATGCACCGCTTTACCAATACTTATTAAGAATATAGGAAACATTTCTGTCATTGTTCAGTCAGATTCGGTTATTGCAGTTCATCAACTCCTTGAAAACAGCTTTCTTTGTAGTAAAGTGATATACTGAGAGCACAAAAAGTATTTTAAATCTATCCTACAGAAATAATTCTCTATTTGTACAGTGATCAATGAAGGATGAAACCTTTTCAAACAACCTTGAGGATTTTTTTTTTTTTCACTTCATCTCTTCATACCAATGGGTATCTGTGATAGCTTGTCTGACTAGACTGAACAGTTTAATTGTGGAAAAAGAGGCTGTGTGTGTAATCACAGGTGTGTGTTTCTGTGTTTCTGTGGTTGCCTGTTGACTATCACTGACTCGTAACCACAATACAAATTGGATTACAAGGACTTTGAGTCATAAACTGCAGAACTAAGTAGGTAACTGTTTGCTGATCTATCCTTACCCCAAACCCCTTGATAAAAAAATTCATCTCTACTCATTCACTGGCACACAGTTCGATTCTCACCTACTGTCTGGGTGGTTTCTGTCGGGCTGAGGCTGCTGCCGTTGCTGCAGACTCCCCTGCCCTCCAGCAGAGCACGGAGGGGCCTCGCCTCATCCTCAGGAGGAGCACAGCGTAGACCATTGGCGCAGCTCAAAGTGTAGACTCCACAAAGCTCTCCAGCAGCCAGAGCCGTGGAGTTTGACTCCACAGGCGGCTGAGCCTTTGTGGGCTTTGTTTTGCAGGTCAGACATCCCCTGGCCGGTGTGGTCTGTGGTCTTGGGCTTGAAGAAGCCGGCTGCAGGAGGATCAGTACCAGGAGGTTTAAATACAGAATCATCTCACTCTAAAAGTTGTCCTAAAACATTTGGTAGCAGTAAAGTATCCAACACCTGCCCTTTTATTTTTCGGAGGACTTTTGCTCTAAGTTCCACCTACTCTGGCTTGTTTTGATGTGATTTCCTAAAGCCAAGACAGAGTGATAATTTGGCAGACACACACCACTGGCAACAGCTTTTAAAGAGCCCAAACAAGTGGGGAAAGGTATGGGAGGGTACGTGATGAAAGTGTTTGTTTTCCTGCACATTTCCACACAGCCGAGCACACCCCATTTTCCCCTCACACAAACTCACACGCATGCTCATACCATTTGCTGTCTGTCATCTTTGTTGCAGGTTAGCAAAGTTGTCTGCAGACAGTCTGACAGAAATGATTGCTACTCCATTACTCTACCTTTTCCCAACTGAGAAGGTCATTTATTCACAAAAGTGATGCTTGCACTTAACTGGCCAATCGGGGTTCAACACACTCAAACTTTACCATCCTCAATTTATAGGCTAAAAAGTAAAACAATATTGTACTTGATCCGAAAATCTTCCATGAAGATGTTAAGAATTTGTGCCTTATAATCACCCAGTAAGTAGAAACTAAAATCTGAAATGATGGAAGAAAGAAATGGAAATATAAATCAGTAAATGAAAGACCATCTGTTGCAGGGTAATCCCAGTAACATATTTAGGAGAGTGTTAAAAATGACAAACTGTCACTCCACATACTTATCTTTTTTTAATTTTTGCAGATTTTATATTTAACTCTTTGTGGAGATAATGTTTTGAAGCTACACGCCTTTTAAGAGCATCATCAGAGTATATTTTGGACTGTGAATTGTCCTAAAACAAACAATTTATTCACGGTGCTGGGTATCTGGTGTGGATTGTGGTAACAAGAAAACTTATTACTTTTATAATGATTTGATTATTTATAAGAAATGGGGAAAAATCACAAATAAAACTACTGTCCTTGTGAAATACTCGCAGTGTTTCAATTAAAAGTAATGTGAAAGAAATACATATTTACAGTTGTCAGAATAACCAGTTTATTGTACCTAGCTGTTCTTGTTTTGGTCATTACCATGACTTTTCTTTAAACAGCAACCATTAAACAAACACTTAGTTCACTGAGTTTGATTCAGAGTCTGTAACTTCAGGGCTTATGATTGAGAGCAAACGGCCGACACAAAAAGGCTGAAGGAGTGCCACTCAAGGCTGGATGACTAAGACATTAATAGCCATGAGCAAAGTGTCCCACCCAGCAAATTCCACCATCTGTGAGTCACAAACAGATTAAATTAGAAGACAGGATCTCAAAATCTGACAGCCTGTCCTCCAACATGATGCATTAATATCCAGCTTGGGACCACTTTGTTTCTTGTACTATTACTACACAGTTATGAAGTTAGAGTGTGAAAATATCTCTTTTCCACTTGGATTGCAGAAATGTATTTACTTGACTCAAATACCACTAATGTTGAGATATAAAAGCTTCTAACAACACAGTACTAATAACAGAGAGAAAAGGCTATGTAATGTAAAAATTGTGTGGGGATTGACCCGAATCTCAAAAAGGACTTTCAATATTTCAAACAGAAGAGTCACATTGCATCACTCTCAGGAGGACTTTTGGTGAGGCACCACAAACCCATGACTTTCTCTTCTCTTAGGGCACCTCTCAGATTTACTTTTACTACCACATGCCATCCAAAGTAAACCCAGAAGTGCTACAGTCATACTGTAATAGAAAAAAAATTACATCACATCAAGCCGGCGGGACTTTCTCTACCAAAGTGAAGCAAAACTTTTCAAACGTGACAGCAGTTTTTCATATGTAAGGAGGGAACTGTGAAATAGTGTCTTTAAATGTAGGCAATGTAATGAGGCAGTGGTTCTCAACTGGTGGCTCCCGACCCAAAAGTGGGTCATGGAAACATTCTGGATGGGTCACGAACAGCTGGTCAAAAAAGTGAATATTTGATGCGCATCTGATGTTTGACATGTCTTTTATTTTGAAAAATAGCTTATTTTGAAAGGCATTCGTTATGTCCATAGACTATATAGAGAATGGACAGCGTCTGTCTCCTTGCTGGGTGAAGCCACTCTGAGAACAGCACCCTCTGTTGAAGGGCTGCAGTATAGGTCATAAATCCCGCCTCCTCCAGCAATCCCTATGGAGCTGTGGACAAACTTTAGAAATTTATTACACAGAACACAAATTTTTTCCTCCCTATTTGTGATGTTGACACGTAGTTACTTTAAGACTGGTTTGTGCTCAAATCCTCTTTTTACTGTGAAGCTTTGTTTTTTTTGCATAGCTCACCCCTGGGATACGCTGTTTGAGTCCAGCATCATCACAGCGACTCTTGGCGACTCTCCCTCCGAGTGTGCACAACGTTACTGCGCAGCGCTGGTTTCAGGAAATGAAGAAAAATTGCAGAAATACTGAGAGCTTTTTGGCTTCAAATCCATATACAGGTGGAACCAAGTTGTCCGTCGCGGTAGAAAAATTAATTTGCTTGGTTTGAATTCTATAAAAGTGGGTCGTGACTTAAGGACCCTGGGAAAATGTGGGTCCCAGAGTGAGACCAGTTGGGAACCACTGTCATAAACTACATTAGTATACTGGAAACATGTTCACACATCAGAAGGGAGTCCCGTTTCTTTCCTGACAAGTTAATTTTCTATCAAATAAAACCAAAATTTCTATACTTAAAATCCAATGAATGAGAAATATTTATTTTCAGGCACACTGAAGTGTACTTCAGCACGGACGGGACCGCAGAGGTTAAAAGAGTAAACGCTGTTTTTATCCTGTCATCTGATTGGTTGGAGGGCGGGACTTCCGGCTGCTGCCATAAAGTGACAGACTTCTCCTCCTTAAAATTGGAAGAAAAAGCGAAGGACGACGCGTTACAAGTTCAAAACAGTAAGACACTAACACGAAACAACAAATAAGTTTATTAGCTTGTTTATAACCTGTGATACTGTCACATTAACTTTAAAGTTTGAACTACACAACGTGTTATATCGCTTAAAGCAGCTAACCGGCCAACCGAGTCCTGCCTGTAGTTTGGTAAATTCAATGCTGCGTTCAGGGGAGGCTCGTTAATAGGTAAACGTGAGAAAGTTACACTGTACGGATCATTTCATCAGCTATGAACTCGTATTTTGTTTTCTTTTCCTTAAACACACGAATAGTTAAACTCCGGGCGGTTTTACCCAGTTGTTTGGATGCTGACACGTATCTGTAACCATCAAAATAGAAGAAAAATCACTCATAACATCCCATCATACTTCATGACTCAAGAGGAATAGAAAATAAACGTCAGGGTTTTTCCAGTGAAACAGTTTTAACCCTAGGCTAGTCTACTTAATCCGACATTGGGGCGTAAAAACAAAATCTGCATCGGAAACACATCTTTTCTAGGTTATGAATTGACTTTTAACACCCGTTGACAAAGTACGCTCACCTGGACGTGATTACATAACTAATAGTTATTACAAGAAGTCTGTCGGTGTTGAATATTAATAATCAGCCACTTTGTAAATTGACAATAACAGAACAATATTCTGACTATGGATTAGTTTGCTCTCGGTTTGCTTTCGGGATGATAACAATCGCCCAGTTGTTGTTATTACAATGTTCAGTCGTTAAACCGACTAAAAACTACACAGGAGATTAATAGATGATAACAAAAATGGCTACACAAACATCACTTTGTCTTTGTGTTTCTTACACATAACAGGAGAGCCAGTCTGTTCTTGAGTCTGTCACTGTTTAAGCAGGGTGGAGGACACCCAAAGGGACACACCTGACCATCACAGGACTAACACGAACAGGGGACTCACGTTTGTGCCTGCAGGCAGTGTACAGTCACTGTCCAGGCCTTTGCTTGTCTGTGGAATGTGGGATTGAATGTAAATGGAAAAAAACAAACCTACGCACTGTCAGCTTCTTCTCAGGAAGGGTTTGGCCTGGGCTTCAAAGCCAGGTCCTTTTTTTTTTGTCAGACAAAACTAGTAATCATGTTGAGGTCAAAGATGTTTGCTGTGTCTTCAAGTAGGATTCATTTTGCTTCTGTTCAAGTCCTGTTTTTAGAGATTCACTTCTCCACAAACAATAAGACAATAATAATTTACTGAATGCATCCAAAACTAGAAAAGCACTCGTAGAACGCAGACCTCCGCCAAGCAGCTCATGTTCCCCCTTATATTGTGATTCACACCAAAACTTTTACTGTTACGTGTCTTTTATTAACTTTCATTTGTGTTTAAACTGGTATGTTCACTGATTATAATGTTCCTAAAACAACAAAGCTCATATTAGATACATAAATGCATGATTTATTATGCAATATTTGTAAGCGTATACTTCCTTGTATCTTCATTGGTTATCTTTCAGCATTGAAAATTCCAACAACACTAATTTTTGTGTGTTCTGGATCACAGTATCCAGAATTTTGTCTGGATCAGGATCAACCTTTGACACCTCATAAAACTCATTGAGATCCTTTTGTGTTATTTTTTACTAAAGACTCTGGACATTTTTATAGAGTTAAATGCAAAAATTCCAAAATTTGCCCTATCTCACAAAAATAAAGAATCCTTCAAAAAAATTCCTGGATCCAGAAGGTGATCTGGATCACCACCAGAATGTAATGGGATCCTCCTGGGGCTGAGACACACCTCTGGTGAAAATTTCAGGTCAATCCGTCTGTAACTTTCTCCGTAAAGTTGCTAACAGACAAACAAACAAACAAACCAACGCTACCGAAAACATAACCTCCTCAGCTGAGGTAACATATACCCACGATTTATGATGACAAAATAATCCATCAGTAATTAGGTTATTTCTTTGTGTGCCCTAGATTGTAATGATTTTCAGACATGGACGACATAAACCTTCATTATCGCTTTCTAAACTGGAGGAGGCGAATACGAGAAATTCGTGAGGTACGAGCTGTGAGATACCGTGAACGGCTGAAAAAGATGTTAAGAGATGGAGACATACTGAGGTACCAGTAATGAGTGTTTGCAGTATGAGAGCATGAATTGTAGATACAGATTTATCATGTATAAAAACTAGATGAAATGCTACAGAATGTGTCTGATTACAGTTTTATTAAGTACAGTTATATGTCTTCCTCTAGGTACCATGGGAACTCAGATGAAGTCGGCTGTTTTGTAGCGGCGAGGCCTTTGTCAAAGAGAAATCGCTATTATGAGGTAAGAGTTGACAATTTTCTTTTAACTCTTGACTCAAAAAACAGCAAAGTTGACGTCAGTGTAGCTTGACAGCAACAAATGTGTTGATCAGTAAGTTGAGTTCACAAAATTGCTTTACTCACAATTTATAGTTTTTGTCCTTCTTCAATGATGAATCAAATTGAGTCTGGCTGCAGCTCTTCTGTCATTTTAATTACTTTCCTTTGTTAAACAAGTTTAATGAGGTTTTCAGCTGTTATTTGCAACATCTGTTCAATAAATTGTATATATATATGTTTTAAATGACTCTTTCAAGACTTCAGAAAGAAATTGGGTTTGGAAGTCTAAGATGTCAGTAAAGCTTTAAGAAGAAACTATTGTGTATATATTTAGGGGAAGTTTCTACTCTGATATTTCATATTCACACACAACACACTTGGTGCAACTTGTTTGAAATTGTTATGTGATCAGTGGTGTTTTTGTGCATCCTTTGTAGAAAAGGATGCTAGTATGCATACCAGTACATTATTGTATGTTGTATTGATCGACACTTTGAAGCCTCACAGCATAGAAAAGAAATAGATAAGCTTATTAAAGCTCAATGAACCATTTTCAATCCTAACAGTGTGTTTTTTTCTAATGACTGAAGTTTCAGTTAAGGCAGCGTTCAGAGAGAAATACATTAGGTGTCAGAAGTATTTATGTTTATTTTGAAATAAGGACACTGATATTTTTCTGTGTTGCTGAGAGGAGACTTGGCAGGCTGCGTCTGTCTGCTTGCCTTCATGAAGTTAAGCCATAATGAAAAATAAATCATGACACCTCCTAGGAACAGAGGAGAGATCTTTCAGCTTGGAAATAGATTAGTGGAATTACTTGGCAGCTCCTTTCAAAGTACGCAGTACAGTAACTGAAGACTGATCCTGTGTCTAATATAATGTATATTTTATGCTAAAATCGTTGAGACAAATCTGAACATTGTTGGCAGTTAGCTGTAGTTCCAATCACACAAATTAACCGCCATAATTATTTTATATTTAAATTTGTCTTCAACTGCAATTTTCTTTCATGTTAATGCAGAATGAATGACTGTTTAATCAAGAAATTATCTTAATGTCTTTTGAGTGTGAAATAAAAATATTTAATGAACTCAGTTATATGTACACAAAAGCTGTTGTCAGATACTGTCCGGCCTTGCAATGTAGTATGGGACACATGTGGCAGACTTAAACTACAAAAGGGCCCCAGCTGCTTGCAGTAGTCTACCAGTAAGCAGAACATATTTCACTATAAACATATCATGTTTTGTCGTTAACATCAGTATGATCAAAATCTACAGTTTGAAATAAGCTCAACCAGTAAAACTGACAGCATGTGAGAAAGTTGAATACTTTTCTACGAAGTTAAATAAATGAAAGCACTGGCTCAATCTGAGTCGAGAGAGCTTATCCTGTCTCAGCCCTGTCAACATGGTTTCACACAGCCAAATCTGTCACAGCTCATAACAAACCGTGTGTACTGTTGTGTTTATTTCACTCTGCCTGGTAATCTAGACACCGTAGCGCACAAACAACCCAAAACAGTGACTGTTATTCAGATTAAGCCGTGTTCGAACCTGCCTGCAGCTCTGACGTGTAGTGAAACTGTAACTAACCCTTTCAACCTTTATACTTTTGTGTGCCTCATAATTGTGACTCACTTTGTTGGAGTCACAAAGGGGAAGGGAGGCAGCCATTTGCGTAAATGGATATAAAAACTATGAAATGAGAGGAGGGAGGATACTTGTTGCAGATATAAGGGTTCATTTGCATGTCTTCCTCTGAAACAAAAAGGGATGTAATATTTCTGTTTTAAGAGGACCACGGTTGAGGTCATGGGAAATAACTTCAGGGTTTTTCCTCTTCCCCTAGTTCAGGATTTGCCAGCAGGGCTCCTTTTGCAGTGTGTTCATGTAGGACTCCTCAGGGATGATGTCATACGGTCAGAATTCAGTTATCATAACAATGATGAAGTCCAGCTCTTGACTCAAGGGTTTTCACTTTGAATAGATATACTAAACAGCTTTGGGTTGGTGTTGAAATTTCATGTTTCAGTTAGAAGAGGAGCAATGCCTCTATAAAATCATTACACTATGGCCATAATTGGTCCTTAACCCTTTGTGTGAAGGACCAGTTTGCAAATGTGAGCTATGATAACATACAAGAGAAAGATGCTGAACAGACATCATGTGTGAGAGATTGTCATAACCAGCCTATTAGTGTGGTAGAAGGTGGTATAGAATCAGCCAAAGAGCAAAAATCCAGTGCATTAGATAGAAATAAGCAGTCTAGCTGAAGTTGAATGATAAGGAATTTTAGTCCTGTAATTGGTTTCAGTGTGTGGTGTTAGAAAATGAGATCCTACCCTGGTCATAGGGTGTACCACAAGGTTCAATACTAGGTCCTGTTTTATTTACAATTTACATTGATAATATTATGCCTTCTATCACTGCACTGTCAGCCCATTCAAACTCTGCAGCAAGCTCTGTTTGATCTGAAACTGGTTCTCAACTCAAACAAAGCAAAATACACGACATTTTCCCGAACCAGAGATATTGTAGAGGAGGGTTTACATATCAATGCTCTGACTGGACACCATATTGGAAGAGTCACCGAGTGTAAATGTCTTGGATTATGGTTGGATCAAAATCATTCTTGAGAAATTCCATGTTGATTCTCTTGCCCAAAATATCAGATTCCTCTACAGAAACAAAAGTGAGTTCCCAAGGCTCTGCAGAAAACAAATCACTGTGGCCGTCTTTTGAGTTGTTTCAGATTTTAGTGACATTGTTGATTTTCAATTACTCCAATGTTGGGTGTAATTGCTTCTGATTGTGTTATAGCCAGCTTGTATTTTGGAATTTGTATTGTTCTGTACTTTTGTCTCATTTTGTTGTACTCTCGACATTGTTGAAAATGAGAGCATGCTCTCATTGGTCTTTGAGATTTAAATAAAGTTTAAATGAATGAATGAATGAAGTTTGTTTAGCTAAAATCCCCTCAAAAGGAGCTCGAAGTATACTTAAAGCCTGTTCCTTTTGAAAATAACACACTTTTTACCTCGTTTAATTTCCCTCTGGGACTAAATGACTTTCCTCTGAGTACAACAAACCAAAGAGTCTTAAAAAACAGTGAAATACAGGCCTATATGTGTCCTTCATCCTCAGTGCGCCGCCCTCTTCCTCCTCCACTTTCTTTGTTTCGACTGGTTTCTGCTGCTTAAACTGTTTCACAGTATCAGAGCCTCCTACACATGATGTAAGATGAGAAGTCATCACTGGTTTCTTAGGAACTAATGGAATCTTTGAAATTCAAGGTTTGTGTGTGAAGACGTGACAGATTTTTTTTTTACTTTAGCTGATGGTTTTGTTATGTGCCCATTGCTTTAAATCTTGGGTTAGTTGGAGGTCAAAAATGAACTGAAACCATCTAAAAGAGATACAGTTGAGCTCAGAATAAAAGCAGTCCCGCATCACTAGAAAGATAAATCACTGTTTCAACTTCTAAACCACAAGTAAGTTTCTAGAAGGTTTAGTTTAGGTAAAGAAAACCAACAGACCCAACAGGCGTGACATGCGTGCTGCTGATTATAAGAAACTGAATCATTTACTGAAAGGGGCGTGTTCAAAAAGAAAATAGCAGTGCTGAGTTCAGTTAGTAAGGTCATTGATTATGTGAAAAAAAATAGGTGTTAAACAGGTGGCCCTTATTTAAGGATCAAGGCAACAGAGTAAAATGGGTCCTTCAAGACACTGTTCAGAAGAAGAGCATTCTTTGATTAAGAAATTAATAAAAGAGGGGTAACCCTATAAAGAAGTGCAGAAAATGATAGGCTGTTCAGCTAAAATGATATCAAATGTTTTAAAATGGCAGCCAAAACCCGAAAGGCGTGGGAGAAAAAGAAAAACGACTATTAGAATGGATCGGAGAATAACCAAAATGGCAAAGGCTCAGCCAATGATCGGCTCCAGGAGGATCAAAGAAGATCTAAGATCTGCCTGTGAATACTGTAACAATCAGACGACGTCTATGTGAAGCCAAGCTACCAGCAAGAAGCCACCGCAAAGTCCCACTGTTCAAAAAAATACATGTGCTGAAGCGGTTACAATTTGCCAAAGAACACATTGACTGTCCTAAAAAGAAATGGCGTAATATTTTGTCGACTGATGAGAGTAAGATTGTTCTTTTTGGGTCTAAGGGCCACAGACAGTTTGACAGACGTCCTGCAAACACTAAATTCAAGCCACAGAACACAGTGAAGACGGTGAAGCATGGTGATGTTGATCCTATTTATCGCATACCAGAGATCACGGATCAGTTTAAGTACATCAGAATACTGGAAGAAGTCATGTTGCCGTATGCTGAAGAGGAAATGCCCTTGAAATGGTTGTTTCAACAAGACAATGACCCCCAAACACACCAGTAAGCGAGCAAAATCATGGTTCCAGACAAATAGAATTCAAGTACCGGACCTTAAAATAAAAAATGCTGATCATGAGTCGAAACCAAGAAATGCAGAGGAATTGAGGAACGTAGTACAATTGTCCTGGGCTGCAATACCTGTTGACCGGTGCCAGAAGCTGGTCGACTCCATGTTCCACAGATGTGAAGCAGTTATCAGAAACTGTGGTGATGCAACTAAGTGTTATTTTATTATTCTCAGGAAAGTTGAATCTTTAAGCATTTCTTAGTTTATACAGTACATTTTTAAGTTTGTAAAGAAAGATGTCAACACTGCTTTTTTTTAACATTACATTTCTTGACTTTCTGTAAAATGTTATCAAATTCAATTACTTTTCCAATTTTTCTTGCTTTGAAACAGAATGTGCAGGGTCCCCAGTGCATTTGTGTTCATTAAAATACAATTTATTTGAAGAATTTTGAGGTTTACTCATCTTTTTAAACACACTGCTATTATTATGAACATAACTGAATATGTTGTCAAAAGTGGTTAAGACAGCTTTATGATGATATCCTCTGTCTTTGAAGCCTTAATGGCAGAAAAACTAGCATAAAGAAAAGGTGTTTTTCCTCTTCCTCTTTTTTAACAGTGATTTATCTTATGCTCTTTGCAGGTGACCATCATTGATACAGGAGTGAGGGGAATGATCGCTGTTGGTTTAGTGCCGCAGAACTACAAGCTGGACCACCAGCCGGGCTGGCTCCCACAGTCTGTGGCTTTTCATGCTGATGATGGAAAGTATGTGTCCATGATGATTTTCTGTACATAGGCTGGACTGGACATGTGGATGCACAGTTTAATGATAGTTTGATCAGGTTTTCCTTCTTATTATGACTCCTTCAGTCCAAACAGAGATCCTTTTTACTGGGCTTTTTACATCCTCTGGCAAAGACTTGACTTGAAATGCGTTTGGAATAGTCCTTATTGAAGAAACCAGCAAATATCCTCTCTCTGGAGGTCTTATGAGGGTATGCCGGAAATTCATTTTAAGTCTAATGCAAAGTTTTAACACTCCTAAAGAAGTCAATCCAACAGCACATTAGAGCAGCTGTGAGTTCATTACATAAAAGTGAGTTTTTAATGCAACCAACAGGGCTATAACAGTAAAACAGATTTCAGGGAACTATAGGAGGGGGATAGAGATAAACATATAATCTCTGGCCACAATTATTCAATTCAGTGATCTAAAAATCCTTAGTTATAACACACTGCAATTCAAACGCTGAATTTTCTTCTATATTCTCGAGAGACAAGGGAAGAGACACTCAGTGGAAGATAACACGAGGAAGCTCTGATTATGTGCAATTTTTGGTCTCAATTTCTTCTTGTAGCTTTTCCTGATTCTTCTGCTTTAGGGAGTAAATGTGCAAAATCGAAGACATAATTAGCTTCATGATTAGATCATCAAGATTTTTGCTATTTGTTCTTTCGCAGGCTGTATAATGGAAACACAGTAGGACAGCAGTTTGGTCCTAAATGCTGTCGGGGTGACAGAATTGGCTGTGGACTATCTCTTGACTCTGAAGATGGACAGTTGACAGTGTTTTTTACCAAGAATGGAAAAGAAGTAAGTTTTCCGTAACCTCACTTCACCTGAGACAGGAGTCTTCAGTTTGAAAGTATTTATCCACCATCCTCATCGACTTTCCTTGTCTGCATTTGCCCAGATTGGCAGTGTTGAAGTTCCGGGGCCTCCTGATGCACTGTACCCTGCTGTGGGGATGCACTCTCTTGGGGAAGAAGTGCTGCTGGACCTGAATGCTGAATGGGGGATGGATGAAGATGATGGGCAGATGATAGTGGACAGTCATGAAGAGGACTGGTGCCGTCTTCATGATGTCAAGGTGACTGGCACGGTAAGTCCTGATGATAAGTTTAAAAAAAAAGAAGGTTAAAAAAAAAATGGATATTTAAAATTTGCTTTGAGCAAGTGTGCCATTAGGAGGTATATAATGTCTCAAGCAGCCTCCAACAAGGTTTCAGCGCAGTAGGGATGTCCCGATACATCACTGATATTGGATATCAGTCCGATATCAGTAAAAAATTAATATCAGATTATACCGGCCTGCGTCTAAAATCACTGATATCAGTACTCCAATACAAGCAGTCCATTCACATATTTTCAAGTTGACACAATGCGCTTGCGTCACCACAGTAGAAAGAGGAATATGCGCGGTTTTGGTTTTGCGGAGCGGAACAAATGAATGATGAGGGGGCATTTTTTTTTTTCTGCAGACTAGCTTCAGTAGCTCATTAGCACTTCGCCTCTGAGTCGTGGGCGGAGACAGCACTGCTCTTTACACCCCTCTTAACGCTAGCTTGCAGCCTAACACTGCCGGTGTGGTAGCAGAAGCAGGTAACATAGAAGCTACTCAGACACTAATGTCTTTTGGGACATGATGAAAGTTAATATCATAATTAGCTTTTTTACGAGCATTCGAATCCACAACCGCACATGCTTCTTCCACAATTGTTCCAAAAATAATTGCACTTTAATGAAAAAAAAAAAGTTTTGTCCGATTACTCAATTAATCAATGGAATATTCGGTAGAATACTCGATTAATAAAACATTCGATAGCTGTAGCTCTATATTTCAGACCCCGCTCTGGCCCCTCTATCTAGCAGTGCCTTGATCCAGCATGCAGAGCCCACATAATCACAACAACAGTATCAAGGAGTAGGAGTGATGTTGGCCGTATGTCAGTATTTTTCATTCAAGTCTGAAAAATACGTTGCAGCTGAGTGCAAAAATTGTCATGCACAAGTTTGTGCCAATATCAGATCAATATCAGTATCAGCCAATACTACAATATCAGTATCATATTGGAAGTAAAAAAGTTGTATATTGGGACACCCCTGCAATGCAGTGATTAGCTGCCATCAGCTGGGGAAGAAACTATGTACGGTAGATCACTGATCTGAGACAATCAGAAAACTTTCATTAAAGCCACTTGAAACCCAAATCCTAAACCAGTTATCTCGTCATTAAAAAGTCCATTTCTGCAGCTATTTACACTCATTGATGCCGTTGTCTGTACCTGCTTACTGAACACATCAAATGTTAACTGTGGACTGTTGTTGACTGCAGCTGCAGGAGTTAATTGTGTCAGTTGAGGTTTTTTTTTTTTTCACCAGTGGGTATAGAGCGTTGGCCTTGCAAAGTATTGAGCTGTTGAATGTTGGATGTTAAGTCTCAGCTGCTGAAACATATATACAGGTATTCAGGATCAATACTGTTTAATGAGGAAAAAGGTGCATAGAACCTTTTTAAGGCTCTGGAGGTGGTGTGTGATATCTATCATGTTAAAAAAAAAGAGGAAAAGGTAGAAAGAAAGAATGATCCACCAAAACCTTCAACCCTCACTGTTGTCAGTCTCGGTTTTTTGCCTCATTTATGTGATATGTTTCATACCATGCAAATCTGACAAATGTTATTAGCACACAGCTGAATCAATGGACTTCCCTCTGACCCAGTCTATGAAAAAAGGCCTTCCTCTAATAGTGGCCGAGTGGACCTGATAGTGAAAACCCACACAGTCACAGAGTCAGTAACAGCAGGTGCTACAAAAACTCAGGTGAAGTCAGGAGAACCACCCAGGTAATCGGTTTTTGAAAGAGATTTAAATGTGGTCACAGTCTTTGTTGAGCTGGTGGTGAGACTGATTCCTGGTCCTGGCATGAGTTGATATTTTCCACTTCCCTTCTCTCTCCCTTCATTTCCCGTCTCCTGTCTCTCCTAACCCATTCTTTCAAAATAATAATTTAAAAAAAAAGCCCAAAAACGAATCTATGGAAATGAAAATAAATGAGGGGTAATTGAATCTGATGACCCTTTCTCACCAGGTAGCTTGCTCCGGAGCTTTCGGGCTTTAACTGAAAATACTCTATCGCCTCTAATTTTCATCAGTGTCTCAGAAACACATAAAAGGCCCCTGTGCAAGGATCTCCAGATAGTAATTGTTATAAATTGTCGAAAACCTTCCCCGACCTCTTCTCTCTTACTATGTCTGAGTCTCCACCCTTCTCTCTGATGGCAGGGCTGCTGTGTTTGTGTCTGACTCAGGCGTTGATAAGCACTGAACCTGAATTCAAAGAGGATGGGAGGAGATCACAGCTGACTCGCCCTGAGGCAGGAGTGTAACCTGTGCGCCACCCGCACATCCAATTATCCTTTATTTCAACAAACATAGCCTTGACTTGAATGAATGCAGGGCTCCAAAAATGTTGTCGGATCTTCCTCAAACTCATCAGTTACACATTTGCACAACTTCATACAAGAAGCTGTCAGGAAATAAAAAAGCTCTCAGTGACAGAGCAAAAGTAATGCTTTCCAGTGGAGTCTTAATGTAAAATTAAATGTAAATGTTCTTTATTTATACGGCCCTTTACAACAACCCTTTTAGTGAACCAAAGTGCTTTACAATAGAAAATAAAAATGAATAAATAAAAACAATAAAAGCAATAATGTCCATGAAGGATATCGGTGCATCACTTTGAAACAAAGGTTTTACTACATTTGTTGTATTTGTGACTTCAAATTAGTACATGTTCTGTTTTCTGGATGTCTTTTATTGGTTTAATCTCCATTAGTAGAAGATTATTACAATAAACTGCATAATTAGTTATTAAAGTAAAAGCATATAATTTTTTTTTATCATGAATAGTCACAAAAATTATCAAAGTGATCTTTAGAGTCCCACTCCAATCGTTTGTTTTTACTACTTAAAGTGTTCTCATTGGTCTTTAAAGTGTAATTATGAAGTTTTTACCATTCACACATTACCTACATTAGCTTGCAGTTAATATCATAATTAGCTTTCTCACAAGCATTGCAATCCGCTAACGCACACGCTTGTTCAGCGATCGTTCTCTGTATTTCTCCTCTATATGCAGAGTGTGGCCTGCATAGCGGGGCTCCGGGGGCGGAGCTTGGATTGATTACATATGAAATCTCACTGTTTCTGAACCTGCCCATGGAGATTCTCATTCAGCCAGGTCATGGTTATCTCGAAGACTCCAAAATCAGGCAAGTGGACTGTGTAGAGTGTTTAGAGAATGACACAGTTCAGTTGCCTGATTTTGGAGTCGTCGAGATTCTGAACCTGCCGTTTGGGTCTGCCAGAGATTCACAGCGATTTGAATGAAGAAATACTCAGAAATGCAATTTCACATTGAGTTTTCTCATTATATGTCCCGTGGCCTCAGAAAAATGTCATATAAACATATAAAAAAACATGAATTTCATCGGAGTGGGTCTTGAAGAACATCTAGAAGATTTCGAAAACAAATGATCAAAAACCCACAACAAACGTTTAGACTCCAATCCAGTTAAAGTATTTTCTCTTCATGTGTATTTCCACAGCTGCTGGAGTATGTGGGTAAAGGGAAGAGCATCATGGACGTGGGCTTAGCTCAGGCCCGTCGACCTCTCAACACACGCTTCCACTACTACGAGCTGGAGATCACGGACGCTGGAGAGAAGTGTTACATCGCCCTGGGGCTGGCACGCAGGGTAACAGCCTTCACATTCTAGCCATCACCATTTCAATCCCACGTCATTATCAGTGACACAACTTGTAACTTCATGTACACATACACACACACACACTCTGTGGTTATTTGTTAAGAAACCCCCCTTTACCCTCCTCACACCTCGTCACCGCTCTCCCTCATGTGCGCCGCTGCTCTCACTGTTTCCAGTGCGAGTGATTGATGAGGGACAGAGGAAAAGCTAACAACAAAATAAATATTGTCTCATTTTGCCCCCACATCTGGTCTTCCATGGAGAGCAGGTTTTTCCATTTACATGTGAAATGACTATGTTTAACAAAAATACAGCCAATTATGTAAAGGTTAGTTATGAGATACGGCGGGTCTGTTGCTTTCTGTGTCTGCTTTGTTTTTTGTTTTCCGTCCTCTCTCTATGCAGTAAGTCTCCATGTAAAGGCAGATAAAAAAGAAAAGAATTAAAAGTATGCAGGACTTCCTCGGGCGAAATAATTGAAGCGTCATAACCTAATTAATTTGTCTCCATTAGGTGCTTTTAATCTGAAATGATGACAGAAAATGATGATGGGTATTTTGGAAATAAGCAGGGTGTGAGAGAGGACTTGTTGATTGTCTACACATTAGAGATACAATCATCTGTCATCGCTCTTTTGGATCGTCAGAACGGCCTGATTGGACTCTTATTGACTGCCGATCACTCAGCTGTTTTTACAGCTGTGATGACGCCCACAGCCTGGAAGATGATGGATTATGGCTGTACATGTCCATGACATAAACTCCTCCTCCACTCCTCTGCCGTCACTTACTGCGTGTGGGCACTTTGCGCCCTCAGGTCAGACTGTGAGGAGAATAGAGCTCTGTCGTTTTCGCTGATTGTTTTCCAGGAATTGTTTTTCTCAACATGTCTGCGGTTTTAGCGGAGCGTCATAAATCCATCAATTGGTCATTCCTGAGGTTTTTTCTTCCTTCCCCCGTCCTCTTCTGTAGGACACATCACTCCGCTGATGTGAAACATAACCTCTTGCTACAAAAATCCAAACAAAGATGTCTCTTTCTTTTTCTCTCTCTGTGTGTCAGGGTAACACATGCTGAACGGTTGCTCAATCCTTGTTTATAAACGATAAATTAGTAATTGTCTATGGTGCATTCCTTTTCTGTGTTGTTCTTTCAGGGAAAATGTTTTTTTTTATCTTCTACTCACAAGTCATTGTGTCCACACTCTTCTTTTTCTTATTCTTCTCCTTCGCCTTGTTCTCAGCCTGTTGCTCAGTCCATTAGGACATAGATGTGGGGAAGTCTAAACTTAACTTATTAAATTGGGCATCTAGAAATATTCAGTGGATTCATTCATGGAGATGTAAATGCTAGAGAAGTTTTAAAAAATCAAATAGATCATATTAGATCAAGGATCTCAGTAGAGATGAAGAAATGTGATGTGAAGGCTACAGACCATTAAGGTACAGACACATAGGATAATGATACATATGTGAGGGGTGGGGAGATCTAGAGCCCAGACCCCAGGGAATTTTAGGGTCAAAAGCTTTATGTCGTATAATTTGTCCTGAATTTTCTTTGAGGGCATTCAAAGCAGGTTTATTCGGAAGCAGCAGGCAGTATTTTCTAAGATGATTTATCTTAAACTAGAAGAAGACTTTTTTCCATCTCTAAATCTGAAATTCCTTCAGGATAAATGAAGTATTTATCCATCTATCTACAGTGAACCACATCATCTTTGTTTCTGCGGATGAGTTCTCAGATATGGTCAAACCAAATCCAGTAAGAGTGAGATTCACAAAAGCGATTAAATGTTGTATGAGTGGGTAAGACCCGCGTTTGGGTGGGCTGAGTCCACCCAGGCCTCTTGCTGCTGCTGGTTCAGACATCAAGGTAAAGAAAACTCTGATAAGTCTTAAAACAGTCCAGATGATTCAAAGGTCCTCCACAGTTTCAGTAGTCACTGTTGTCTGGAAGTGATAAGGCTGATAAGTGTCGCACTGCTTGAAAAAAGATTTTGTTTCCCTGAAAGTTGAGTCACTTTGCCTTTTCCAAGTCCCATTAAAAGGTAAAATCATAAAAACTTCATACAGAAACTAAACCAAATGGATGCAGAAAGTTTTAAAACAACACATACTGACACTTGGGATCACTCTCTCTTTATGTTTTACAGGACTACCCCAAGAACAGACATCCAGGCTGGAGCAGAGGCTCTATAGCCTATCATGCAGGTGTGTACATTTATAATGCCACGTGGCGCTCGCTTATGAAACATCTGCATCATATTTATTTTATAGCACCACGGTCGAAACGGCAGACCCTGTGAGTCTGTAGTGTGCATGTTTGAGTCACTAATGTTCACTATGATGGTATCAAAGGTATATTTTCTGCCTTTGTTGTGTCACATTTTCTCATCAGCACTAAAGAGGCTTTCTTTTACTCTCTGCAGATGACGGGAAGTTGTTCCAGGGAAGTGGGGTCGGGGACCCATTTGGACCGCGCTGCTTTGAGGGAGACATTATGGGCTGTGGGATCATGTTTCCGCGGGACTACAGCCAGGATGCTGGTGGTTAACATCTTCATCATTGCTTCCAATTTGTTCACACAGTCCGCACAATCACTGATGATCCGTGTTACTTTTTCTTTTGGTCTTTAAGATGACGGAGATGACTGGGACTTCGAGGTGTTCCAAAAGCCTGATGAGGTTCAGAATGACCTGTATGCAAATAATGAAGATGAGGAAGAGGAGGAGGGTGAAAATTTGGACGGGAGAAAAGTCATGGTGAGATGATGTGAAATTAAAGATATCGAACAGGGGACTCAAAAGTGAAAATATTCTCATCCTCTCCTTTTTGTGTCCTTTCTTTTTCGGTCAGGTGTTCTTCACCAGAAATGGAAAGGTGGTAGGACGGAGGGAGGTGGCTTTACCTGTAGGTGGATTATACCCCACAATCGGCATGATGAGCACAGGGGAGAAGGTGAAAGTGGACTTGCACCCTCTCAGTGGCTGAGCGAAGGATATATTAAAATGGAGCGATGACTTACATGAAGCTCTGGGTCGATTTGGGAAATGGGACAAAAAGTAGTACCTCCAAACCAACAGGCTGAATGATATTACTTGAAAAGTCACTCCAGACTAGAGGGTGAACATGGCTCCAGAATCATCAGACTGTTTGATATCATGTTTTGTTTTTTTGATCACAAATGATCAGAATAGTATCTTCTTATATTACATGTGCCTCTGAAAGTGCTTCATGATCGAACGGTTAAACAGAAAAAGACACTTTTTCATTCTCTCAGAACAAGAAATGAACAGAAAATACCAAAAAAGAGGTCTCACCAGAATAATGAATTTTTAAGCTCTACAGACCTTCTTTACTCGCAGAGATGTACTTTTTAAAAATGAATATGTAGCTACATCCTCACAGCCTGTGGTTCTATTGTGCTCACACCCAGAGATCTGTCGTACTTTCACCCTTTGATGGTGAGTTACTGACACTCAGTGGTGAGAGCGATAGCCTGAAAAATTACTGTCACACATATACTTAAAATTTCTACAATCATAATGACCTATAATAGCAATATTATAGTGGGTGTTTAAAACAGGAACAATCACAACATGATTGTAGCTGAGTCGTCATTTGAAAGACATGGTTTACAGTCACGTATTTTGTGAGCAAGATGTGACAGTGAAACAAAAATGATGCCAGGGAATAAACCCCAAACAGACCAAGACCAAAACTAACTGAGCCAACATAATCTCAAGACATCAGTTAAGGAAATGAATGTATTATTATTATTATTCTTTTTCTTTTCTTTTATTTGTGCAGAGATGTCAAGTCTCCAAGTTTTACTGCCAAAATCTAATTCAGGCTTTAATCTGTAAATCTGTCTTTGAAGTACTGATCTAAATGTTAGATTATTTAGTCAAAACCAAACTCAGCAAAGCCTTTTTTTACACACACACACACATATACATATACATATATATAGATGAAATTTATGAAAAAAAAAACAAATCTTTTTTATTTTTGGTGGATTTAGAAAAACTTTGATTTAAAGGGAATCATTGAGGAGGAAGTGTATTTAACCTGCAGGACAGTCAAGGATCAATCCAGGATAAAGTAGCATTGGAGTAAATTTGTAACAGTTCGATATCTGAGGGTGTGTTGAGAAAGAGCTGAATGTTGACAATGAAGCCATACTGTAACGTATATTTTTTTGCTCTCAGGTTATGCTTGAAAATCAGAATCGCTCTGTCTTTTTGTAAGGTTACTTTGTAATATATGCTGTATTTTAAAGTCAACCTTTGATCGCCAAAGGCCTCGAGTGTGTTTGATATGCTTTTCTTTTTTGTGTCACAAGAATCATGTTGTTTTCATAACAAATCAGTTTCTGTTAAAACAGAATTGTAGTTTTCCCCTGACTCTTTGTCAAAGTTTACTGTTGGTTACCGGGGGAAAAGGCCTTTTTTTGTGTGATACCAAAACTTAAAACTCTGACTATACCTTTAATTAAAACTGAAAAGAAAGAGTTTGTCTTTATTTTCTGTTTGAGACAGCACAGCAGATTTCTGGATTAATACAAAGCAATCATAGTAATATGCTGCTGACGACAAAAACAACTTTAAAAGTTTTTCTTTTTCTTTTTTGTACAGTTTTAATACTGTATATATTATCAGTTTCACCCATCCTGACTCAAACAGAGATCAGACCTGGAGCTCCTTTGTTTGCTCACTCCATGTTCGATCCATGTTAGGTGTTGAATCAAAAAATATTTGAAAGCATCCATGAAGTGTCTCCCCGCTCAAGCAAAAGTTTTAAAGACTGTGGTGTTGTCATGTGATGCTGATTGTGCTGCTAACTGTGTGTGGTGGAAACTGCACACTATCACACCAACATGTACTGTGGACAGGATGTACCCAGGATTCTACTTCACACTTTTCACACTTTACCGTTTTAATAGTGAAACTAATCATGATTGAAGTTAACCAAGACATCTTTAAGTCTGTCTTTTGTGTACATCCTGTTATGTGTGTTTGTAATTCCTATTTGTCAGTCTTTTCACAAAAAACAATCAGAAAACCATGCCAAAAATAATGTTTGTTAAATAAACATTTACAATCAATTCACGTTTTTGTCTTTCCTTTTGCATCAATATGATTTAATTTTCTTTACTCCTCTTATTGGAGTTAAAATACTTTTTAATGCAGACCTAGTTTTTCCAGTCCCTAAATTATGTATATGCAATAATATTCTCAGGTGTGTGTAGTTATAAAAAAAAAATATAAAAAATAATATATGAGAAAAAAATAAAACTTTATCATTATTTATATTCTGTACACATGAAGATTTGACTCATAAATATTTTTTGTCTTTTTTCTCAACTCTTAAGTTGCTTTATACTTTAATTTCTCTTTGTATGACTGTGTGCTGCTGTATATTTGGAATTTCCCCTTGTGGGACTATTAAAGGAACATCTTATCTTATGAGAAGGTAACTTGTCCATAGAGGATCTGAAGATGCTGTTTAGCAGATATGATTATCATGACTAAGAGACGCTGTTATCTGTGGTGACAAATTAAGTCAGCACCTTAGATTTAATTTAAAATGACACATATAGCAGTGCAACTGTACAACTTGTTTTTCCTACACTGTAAGAAAAAAGTAGGTGGCTGTATTTCTTTCTGATTGTGCAGATGTCAAATTGAAGCAATGCTGTCTCAGTGATAAGTGTGCTTGTAGGTACGTTTTAATTGTTTAACAAGACTTTAATGTCCATCGTGTCAGTATACAAATTACAAAATATTTTGCAGTGCAAACATAAATTCCAAAGCGCATTTAAGATTACAAAGTGATTTACATATCATATAAAAATGTTTCATATTTGACAACATTACAAGAAAATCCAGAAGGCCCAGAAGAGATGATACATGCTGTATTTTGGATTAATATATTTTCCAACATATTTTAAATCCAGACCAGGGTGAAAATATTTAAAACAAATGCCCCACTGACTGATAAATCAAAATATTTTAAGGCTTTTAAGTACAAGAACACCGATGATGGAGATAAAGATGGCCATTCCTCTGCAGCTGCAGTAGCTGTTTACAAATCCAGAGCGCCCCCTGCAGGAAAGTGCTGTGAAGGATTAGCTTTTCTTGTGACTGACCAATAGAAGGTATGGACTCATCAACAGTCTGCTCTTTGGAGCTTTCACAGTCAGTGAAGTTTCCATGAAATCAAAATCTTTAAGAGTGGCACAAAAGTAAAGCTCTGAGTACATGTTCACACCGACAACGACAGTGTCTTCAACCTTCAGATAAGAGATGTACAGGTTGTAAGGGAGGTTTGCTGGAAATGTTAAATTTTCACTGAGGTTAACATTCACTTTAAGACGGTGTGAAAAATGGCCTCACATTTAGATTTTGAAGTCTTTTACCGCTTTATAGGAAGGACAAAAACACATAAAGGCGCAGAGAGCGAATGGCTGTCATTAAAAAGGACTTAAAAAGCAGCATAAAATATTGTGTTTTAGTATCTGCCATCAGAAACGGGGTTTAAAGAAAAGAGGTGTGATCAAATTTAAAGGAGGCCACGCTTCTAGTTAAATCAGGAGACATAAAAAAAAGATGTGTTAAATATTTTCAAGAAGACATCATACAGGAAAGGTACAGTGTGTGGTTTATAGAAGCAGAATAAACTTTGTCAAAAACAGAATTTAATATTTGTTTAGATTAGAGTATTATCACCTGTTTTTGTTTATTTAGGATGAGCCTTTTATATGTTTAAATAGGAGGAGGTGCCCTCCCATGTTTCTAATGTAGCACAGAAAGACAAACTAATAAAACATTCATTTTTAAATTGAGCAAACAAAAATCCACCGGTTGAAAGATGTATGAAGGATCACACACATCATGCTTCACAGGAGCTTTTGTCCTCCATGGCCACCGTCACTTGGGGAGCTTCCAGCAAGAGGGTTGAGTAGGGGGAGATAGATTTGGCTAAATGTTCCCATTTCCACCACTGTACCTTTACAACTTAGAAATACTCAAACTTAAACGATTAAAGGCAGTTATTGAAATTTATATGCACATATATGTTTGCATCTCTCCTTTAAACTATGACACCTGGCAAAGCTAAATTTGCGCTCTACTTCTAAAATGAGATGAGAAAACTGACAAAAGTGTAAAATGTTAGATGAACATTAAATTCAAAGTTCCTATGACTCAGAGTCGTCCTCCTCGTAGTAGCGGTTCCTCTTGATTATATCCTCTGCGCTCAGCTCCTCGGCTTCACTTCCCTCTTTGTCCTCCTCCCAGAAGCCCACATCCTGAGAGGCGCGGTTCTGTTTGGGCTGTGCAGGTGGAGAGGGGGATGGTGAGACACCAGGTGAGATGCCATCTTCTGCTGCCACCTTGTCTGCTGAAGGTTCGACTCCCTCTGGTGGGCTGTCACTTTTCTTCTGCTGTGGAGTCTCCTCCTCTTCTGATACGGTCGCTCTTCTGCTCAGTGGTTCTTCACTCAGCTCTTTTTTTTCTTCCTGTTTTTCTACCTGGTGAAGATCCGGCTTGTTTTCCTTCTTTGCTTCTTCAGATGATTGTTTTTCCTCAAAAGATTTTCTCCACTCCAGGAGGGATTTGAGTGGCCGCCGAGGCTCCTTGGGGCCCGCACTGGGTGTGACACTGGGTTTGGCTGCGATTGTAAAAGGTCGACAGCGCTCCTTTAGAGACTGGCTCCTCCTCACACCCTTCAGCTCAGCCCGCTCTGAACTCTGGAAGGATGACTGGACCTCATCCTCTGGGGGCCACTTGGCTCTCCGTGATCGGCCAGGGGGGACCCCCTCTGTGACCGGACTGAGGACTACAGCCCCGGGTTGGTTCTCACCTCCTGGGGGAGGCCAGGCAATCCTGAGCCTGCGTGTCTCCGCCAGCCTCTCTGTAGACTGAGGTTTCTCACCAAAGCTTACTTGTGTCTTCACACGCGTCTCCAGGGCCGCAGTCAGGTCTGTGACTTTCACCTGCGGGGACGTCTCCTCAGCTGGGGTTAGTGGTTTGTCCGAGACACTCTCAGTTGGACTTGTCACTGCTGCAGGTTCCTCTTGTTCCTTTGGCTTCACCCCTTTGTCATCCTCTTCATCGGCTCGAGGCTCCCACTGCTCCTTGTGGGGCCGGTGGCCAAAGCCCTCGTCATAGTTTCCTTTGGCTTTGAACAGCTGGTTGAAATGGGGCTTGCAGTAAACGTTACCATGCAGAGAGGCGTAGTTCCCTAGACTGGAAAAAGAGACAACACAGATCATTTGGTTTTGAATCCTCCAAACAGGCAGCCAATGACTTCTATGAGGAATTTGCAGCACAGATTCAAAGACACAGTTTCAACAAATAAAGCTGACAAAAGTGTGCGTTACCCGAGTCTCATGCTGCAGTGCACACAGCGGAAGCAACTTTTGTGATAGACGTTTTTAAGAGCCACCAGTCTCTCCAGGGGATATACCGTCTTCAAACACGCACTACAGCTCTCTCTCACTGGAGGGCAGAACTTAAAAACACACAAAGACGATAAATTAATAAATCCATTTTTTAACTTTTGAACATTTTTGAATGATTTATGGATTTTTTTCTGCTTGTTGTAACAATGTGCTTACCCTTGGTGCCTTTGGTTGTTCACTGTTTTCTCCTGAAAGAAACAAAGCACATAAAGAGTTATCCTGTTGTACTCTGGAGGTTCAAGAGACTCTCAAACAAACTTGTGTCGCCTTACTTTCTTAGAAAAAGTTCTTCTCAACATTTCTTATTACATTTCGTTCTGTTTCCACTGTGGGCTTTGATAAGTTGTTAGACTTACCGTTGCACTCAGGGGCGGGACTGTGTTTCTGATTTACTGCCGCAGATGTTTTTGGAGCGGGCACCTCTGAGGCCACACCCTGCCGGACACACAATGTCAAAGAGGAAAAGAAAACAAACACTTCTGTGAACTGGCTCCTACATAATAACCTGTTGTGGTTTTTTACCTATTTCTGGAGCAGACAGGAAGGAAAAATGCAAACAATGTAGAAACATTAACAGGAACAGAAAGGGGTAAAACAGAGAGACCACTAAAACATGACGTGACATTACTTTTATATGTAGACTTAACATCTCTTTTTTAACAAATCTTAACAAAGCTCAGTTAACACTCACACTTTATGTATCAGAATAGACACAGTATTAGTTTTTATTAGGATGGATAATTTGGCAAAAGACACTTAAATCCCATTTTATCACACTTTAACTTACTGCAAAACTATTACAGCGAAGAGATTCTATGAAAATTGTCTCTTTAAAAGATTTGGTTATTAGAAAAAATATTTGTTAACATATAACGTTTACAACCCTCTGATATTTCTTTAAATACTTCCTCGTGTTTTAATCTCTATTTTGGTGTCTTCAGACAAAAACTTTTTAAACCTTTCACTGTAAAAACTTGGATTCATTTGTATTCAAGCACATTTATAGTACTCTTCAATGAGCATGTCTTCAGCTGCTTATACTCACAGAGACATCGTTGTTATGTTTAGAAACAGAGGCCTGGAACTTCGCCAACTTCTCCTTCATGGATGTTGAATCGATCACTCGTTTAGACACAGACAAACCTAAAATAAAACATTTACACTTCAACATTTAAACTCAGGAAAAATGTGGCTGTAAAAATTCGGTGTTGCTCTGCAGTCCAGATGTTTAAATCAAACTCCAGTTGTGTCAAACAGTGAACAGCACTACAAAAAGGATCAAATGTCTCAAGACAAGGGCCTGATGATGAACTTTGGACTCAAAAATGATTATTAAGATAAAAATGAATTTAAACCTGTTTGTTTCATCATTTTTAAGGAAAATGTTCGTGTTTCTCTTTACCATGTTGATCCATGTCCTCAGAAGAATTACTGCGTAGCGTTGTCCTGCCAACCTGTGAAATAGAAAAAATGAAATAAGAAATCTAGCTTACAAAACTACAGCTGTGAACTTTGTTTGCACCAACTCTCCTCCCTTTTTAGCCAAATAGCTTTTTTTTTATCTGCAACATTTTCAACAGGGCAAAGTTTTACTGCCTTCCTGTCTTTCAGAGAAACAAATGCTACTATAAATCTTTGATCACCATGAAGCACAGACTGCTTTTAGATTCATATCTAATCTTTTATGGACATGCTTGAGTCTGTCCACACAAAGGACATACTGGTTCAAATGATCTTCATACTGCTGTAAAGAGGGGAATTCAGTTTGGTTCTATTTAATCTTAAAACTTTATATATCCTCTCTGGTCTATTTGGCTCAGAGCATAAAAAACACAAGAGGTTTTTATGATATAATGAAGTGAAGCTCTGCGTTTTTTTATTTTTATTTTTTTCAACTGAACAGGCATCCAACACAAGAGAGGGCTGTGATTTAAAACATGGTGAGAGGCCTTATTTTGAGAGGGTAGAAGATTATAAGGAGGTTGTGATCTCATAAATGACAATTACGAGCCTTAAAGGGATATTCCGGGGTAAAATTAATTTAGGGTCAATCACACCGTAACACCGAGTTAGATACCTCCTCGAGAGATGAATGTTGCCAACCGCTTGCTTCTCTAGTTATATCAACTTTATTAACGACCGCAGATAGCAATACACAGCAGTCTGAGGAGCCACAAACAAACCTCAACCAAAAAGCCACTCTATAGCCACAAATAATGCTCAGAACAGCAGCTAACTTCATCAACAGTACATATAGAGTCCCAGTCATAGTACTAGCCACCAAACATCTTTTTAACTTTGCCTAATTTCTTTAGCAAAGAGACTAAACACAACTCACCTGCTTTCTTCTAGCAGCCACTTGTTTGTAGCGAGACCTCGGGCCAGTCCATTACGGACTGCTGCGGGGTGACGCAGCTCAAGGAAGAACATTTATGATCATTTCTTCATGGAAATGCAATCAGACCGAGACACTAAGGCAGAAGAACTACCGCGTCTGCAGTGCAAAATGATGAATATTACTTCAAGGAAATGATCATAAATGTTATTCCTTGAGCTGCGTCACCCCGCTTTAGTCTGCAACGGATTGGCCCGAGGTCCCTGTACAAACAAGCGGCTGCTGGAAGAGAGTGGGTGAGTTGTGTTTAGTCTCTTTGCTAAAGAAATCAGGCAAAGATAAAAAGATGTTTGGTGGCTTGTACTATGGCTGGGACCCTATATGTACTGTTGATGAAGTTAGGTGCTGTTCTGATCATTATTTGTGGCTATAGAGTGGCTGGTTGGTTGAGGTTTGTTTATGGCTCCTCAGATCGCTGTGTATTGCTTTTGTGCGATGGTTACTAAAATTGGTATAACTAGAGAAGCAAGCAGTTGGCAACATTCATCTCTCGACGGGGCGTCTAACTCTGTGTTACACTGTGTTTGACCCTAAATTCATTTTACGCCGGAATATCCCTTTAATAGTTCCCTAAATTTTCATTTATGTTTTTTATAGTTTCCTACATTGAATTAAACACTTATGAATAGTTTAAAATAAATCCATCTAGAGCCACTGTATCTACAGTTGTCCTCTGTTTCACCTATCCTGATCAAATGTTCAGCCTTTGTCATAAGAAGGTCATTTTAGCATTCTTTCCAAACACCCAACTATAGACTCCGTCTCAGTAGCACTGCAATAAGGGCAGAAAAAAATGTCAAGTATCTGCTTGAACAGCCAGCAACATGCCTTGGACTCTCAGTCCAGCGACCAAAACTCTTCAACTGAAGTGTGTGAGTTTTTGTGTGCCCACGTGTCAAGGACAATAATGGTTATACCAGAGTCTCTCTCAGCAGTGATCCTCAAACCTGGAAAACATCTCAGCCAATTAAAACCAACTTTACTTCATTTCTTTTCCTGAGCTGAAGAAAAAGTTATTGAACCTCATCAGACAGTGATGAGAGCAGAGGAACAACAATGCTCTTAGTTTAGCCTTTAAGTCTTTTACACCTCACCGTCTAAGTGTGGATGTGATGTGATGTTTTTAATCATACAACTTAGTATCCCCAAAAAGACCAAATCTGCACACAGTGACATACAAATCAAAAACCAAATCTCCCACTTGAGACTATTTGAACTTCAAGAATATACACAGTGGTTTAAGCCCAAAGTAAGACAAAGACTGTTCGCTCCTTAGAGGTGATTGTCTGAGGACCGAAACAGCCGTAGGTCAGGAATGTTCCTGCATTCCTCAGCTGAGGACGGTGAAGAGTGGAGGATTGTTGTGGGCCGAAAAGGGGGAGACATAAAGAAGAAGGGGGGCAGACACAGGTGGGAGAAAGATGGGCAAAACTCAGGAAGGACAAAGTACTCAGAGTGAAAAAAAGAGAAAAAACCTGGGAAGGACAGTTACAGCGTGTTGTATAATACTCGCTTATAAGCAAAATATGGATCAAATGTCTTGGGTGATTATTCAATGATTAATCAGTTAGCTGTAGAGAGTAGATGTTACTTTGTAGGTCATAAATGTTACTGTTAATAAATGCACTTTGTATACTTTTCCAATATACTGTCAGTATTGAAATTGTCTTTTTTTTAATCATGTTTGGGCATCCATTCTGAAGATTGTTGCTTAGTTTTTGGCTTATCTCTAATACAGGGGTGTTAGCTATTAATTTGCATATACTTGAATACGTATATTTCTGTCTGTTTTCTATCAGGCAGAGATGAACAGTGTGTGGTTTCATGCTATATTAAGCTTAAAGCATGTCTCAATGCAAACCAACTGGTTAAAGGTGTTGCACACAGCAGACTCACTGGGTTACGGCTGCGGTCATGCGGCCGATGCTCTCTGTCTGGCGAAACGATACTCACCATCAGCCACTTACAAAGCAGAGACAAAGGTTGAGAAAAGAACATACAGAGAGATTTCCCACAGTGCAGCAAAGCTGGCACACCGTTACTCTCTGCAAACACGGGTGCTGTCTGAACGTGTTTTCAGCCCCCTGGACCCATTTTGACCCAGTTGTGCTCCCCAGTTGTGCTGACTGACAACAGGCCATGTGGACATGCTTATTTTTCTCAATAAGAACAACTGAGTAAAAAACTGGACACTGTGAGTCTGGATATGTTTTCTGTTCAGTTTTGTTGTTGCAGCAATTCTTCATTTAGTCATCTGAGTTTAGTCTATACTGAGTCATCGTTTTTTAGATCTGCTCTGCATGTTGATATCCGGTGTGTTTAACAACTTGTATGTACTGTTATGTTCTGTCGCTTAGGAATACCATCTTTGATCCAATCTGTTGGCATAAATAGTAAGGAATTAGGGAAAATGCATTCAGTATCCTTTATGTCAGGACAATTCAAGAGTCTTTTTCATGAATAATTAAAAAATGATCACCAAATTTTTCCAAAGGTCAGTCATGGAGAATACTTCGAATTTGCATCCCCTTCTTTGTTTTGTTATATGCTGTATTTCTAATTTTAACTTTTGTGTCTTGGCTGTTAGGATAACTTGGATCAACCTTATCAGCCTTGCTTGAAGAAGTTGTTTGGTCTTTTTGTTGAAAAAGTAGCTTCTGATTATGTAACATACAATTGGCCACGATTGAGAGATACCCTCGGTACACTTAATCCCACTGGTCAACACGGTGGTCACAGTAAATTCCCTGAGAAACACGACTGATAGATGCGCAGCTGTCAGAGCTGTAAATAAATAAAGAGCCAACAGAGGAATGTGTGCACAACTGAGAGTTTCTGCTGCTACTTAAATAATGATCAAGTGAGATCTTCTGTATTTATTTTTGTTCATACAGAGCTTACTGTGTGTGAGTGTGTCTACAGTTACCTTGCCCGTGGCGTTCTCTCTCCTCTCAAACTTCATCTTCAGGTTGTTCAGTGGCACCCTGGCTTTCTCATAAGAGGCACGGGGGCTGGTTGGAACTTGCTCATCAAGCTTTTCAGGTCTGTCTCTGTGCGTCAGCTCATCCCTGTCCATCCCTCTCTCTTCTTCACCTCTGCTCACTGTTGGCTCTGCAGGCTGACCTTCTTGGTCGGTTGGGACAGTAGGACTCTTCACCGGAGGAGGTTGCTCAGTGATAGATGGAGGTTTGCTCAGAGCAGGAGGTCTGCGGCGGATGCTGGACAAGGTTGGAATAGGGGTTGAGGAAGACTTGTCCTTATCGTTGCTGCCTCTTTGCTCCCATCGCTTCTTCAGAGCGCTCAGGTTGGCTGATCGCAGAGAGGGCGATGCACTCTCAGAAGCCTGTGAGAAAGAGTGACAAATAGTTTGAGGCTGAACTTAAAGTGAAAACGTCAATCAAGTGCTGAGAAGGCCAACTGTTCTTCCTCAGCTAGTGTCACTCCAGAATTATTCAACTATTTCCTCTTGGCAACAGAGCATGTGCAGTGCTAAGCGCTCAGCTCAGCACATGGAAGAAAGGAAATGCCGGGATCAGATTTTGGCTTCTGACAGATGAGGTGAACAGCTGTTCAAAGCTGGACCAGGAAGTGAGTGTTTTTCTGAAGCTGCAGAGAGAAAAAACAACCCGCTCAAGATGAAGGTGGCAGAGCTCAGCATGTTTTTCTTTTCCTCTGGCTGCATTCCTTCCACAAGAAAACTTCACCTTTCCAAAAAGACGCTGGAAGGGCTCTGTTTAACACCCAGCCATTCATGTCCACACAGCATGTACAGCCGTAATCGCAACAACAGAACACCAGGCACACTACTGCTGCTGCTGCTGCTGCTGCTGTGTGACCACCAGAAACTTCCCTTATTTTAAAAAAAGAGGAATTAAACTTTGGAGAAAGAGGACGTGGACATTTAGATAAACCATACAAGTTTACGAGTTCACCAATGAACCCTCAAAAAAAAAAAACGTGAGCAATTGTGAGAATTTCATTTACATGAGAAATTGACCCACCTGAGGGTGTGTCATTAAAATACACTTCTATGTAACACATTATCAAAATTACAAATCCTTTTTTAACCGTCACTTTAAGATCATTTTAAACAAACATTTAGCCTTCAAAAGAGTTTGGTAACCTAGTGTATTAATGTATCTACAATTTAGTTATTTGATCGTGCACAGAGACAGACAGTGTAACAGACAGATAAACTTGAGAACATAAAGAATAAAAATAAGGCCTTAAGAATGAAGAACTGTTCAAAAGAGACAAAGACACCCAAGTGGATATAAAAAAAAAACAGGCAAACAATTACTGTCTTTGTGAAGCAGGTCCGGGTGAATGGAGAGTGTTGGACAGTGGCAAGATTGTTCCTGTTTTTGATCGCAAAAAGTAAAACAAAAAAAAGGGGAAAAATAAAGAAAGAAACCTCGGCTGTGAATGCGCTAGAGTTCAGGACCACAAACAAGACAGTTCAGAAAGAGAGAGTCCTGTGGTAGTCTTTCTACAGGTCCAGCTCTCCCAGATGTTTGCAGCTAGTCAGAAAGTGTTCATGAGAGCGAGTCCAGCCCCTTTAACAGCAGGAGGGTGAATGAAAGAGAGGGAGGGAGGGAGCAAGAGAGAGAGAGAGGGTGGTCAGATACCCAGGAAACCAGAGCAGGAAATGATACACTCAGGGAAAAGTTAACTCTTTGTTTACTGTGTGGGTGAAATAGTTCCTCTTATTCCTGAAGAGAAAAGGTCCACTACTTCATAGCCCCTACCTTTACAAACCGGACAGAAGATTTTAGAAGAATGAACCACTGAGTAACTTGATAAAAAGAGCAAAAGTCACTAAATAAATGAAGACATAATAGCAGAGATGAGTAGTAACTTAGTTTTGAACAGAGTTTTCTACACCAACCATTTATGGTTTTATTATGTTTATTATACACCAGGTTTAAGTATATAGAGTAAAGATTATAATCTGACTAATTTATGCTCTACGACAGTTAAAAAGGAGTGTCACGTCAGATTCACAGAGCTGCAGAAGGTTAGTATTAAGGAGTTGAAACTCATTGTAAAAGAGAGACTAATCTTGTACGAACTGCCCATGGATAAAGACACCTTGACAACATATTCTTCGCAGAGTACAATGAATATAGACCACTGTGTCTTTCCCATCTGGAAGGTTGTGGTCACCGGTGACAGATAAACTAGTCAGAGGAGCTGGAGGACTGAGCACAGCTGGTAAATGCTAAAAGAAGAGCATGTTTACTGAATATGTCTTTTTTTTCCAGAGTGAAAACAATTCCCAAAAACTTTGTTGCAGGAACAGGCCTTTTTGTTAACTTTTACGGCAACGATGATGACAACAAGAACACATTCCTCAGATTCTGTGTGTCAAACTTACCGGCAAATATTTTTAGGGTTTCTTTTATGCACTGTTATCTTATGATAAGGGCTAATTATCTCGTTATCTCAACATAACAAAGATTGTTTTTTGCGATAACAAATAAATTAATAATGTGTCCGCCATTGTTACTGTTGTTGTCCAATTCGCACATGGCGGTTAAATGTAGTTAAAGAGTCGCCTTGCTAAAGTTTTTGTTTTTTTGTAAAAAGGGTAGGCAAAATAAGCATGAGCTTCAGCCTACACCTTTTCGATTAGCTTTATGATGCTTTTGAAATTTACTATGTATCTGTTGTGGGTGGATTTTAAATGCTAATCGAATAAAATAATTGAATTGAATTGAATTGAAATGTTCCCACATTAAAAGCATTATCAGCGTTTTCATTGAAACCCTGGCTTGCTGTTGACAACGGTGGCTGCTGCGTTTTAGAAATATCACAATCTAGAGGGCGTTTTTAAAAGTAACCGTTTTAGGTAGGCTTCACAACATTTCTGTTATCACGAGAAAACGAACTTTGTTATGTCGAGATAATAAGTCGTTATAACAAGATATAAAGATAAAGAAATCCCATGGCTGTTCTCGTCTTCTGTAGATATTTCTAAAGTTGTATGTTTTTCTTTGTCTATCTGATAGACTAATCATTCATGTGTAAGAAGACCCAACCCCCCCCCTTCTCCCAAGACACGCACAAACACGTTCAGACAAACAGATGGTCCCTCGCACCCCTTACTCACACATGCCTCAGACACATCAGGGAATGGGTTTAATCCACAAAATATTAAATAGACTTCTATATCTCTACAAAAATGGCATCAACACATTTTCACACACGTTTGTTGACTGAATAGTTTAAAGGTTTCTGATGATTTATCCTGAAAAGTGCAGAAGTACCTCCACCTGCAGAGAGAAATTTGCCTCTAGAGCATCTTTAAAGTTCTGTTCAATCAATTTTGCAAGTAATTTAGGCAAATATTGAGTCATAATTGGTTATAATATGCTTCTACAGGTGTAAAATAACAGTTTTCCTGTCATTTTCATTAATTGTAGCTCATTAGACAGAGGCTGCAGACACTGACAAGCTTCAAAGCAGCTGGCTCTTACTCACAAACTTGTAAACAACCCCCAGATTTATCATCTACATCCACAGCTGAATTACCTTATATTTCCTCATAGCGTTTGCTGATCAGTTCCTCATATAATGTCAGTCCTGGTTTCTTAATCAGTGTTTCAAAGTGACAAAGGATGGACCTACAGAGAGCACTGCAGGAGGATTACACTGTAGCAGGATTATGGGTTTTATAGGCTGCCTATTGCAACAAGTGGCCAATAAGAGATCAGTATAGACAAGACATGTGGCTCAGACAGTGTGTTGGCATGGTGTGTGTGTGTGTGTGTGTGTGCGTGCACGCACATACTGTACGTGTGTTTACCCCTTATCCTTTCATGCAATAATTAGTTCAGCACCAGCAGAAGTGGCTGAGCAAATGAGGCAAAACATGCAGTGTGCACAAAGTCATGTAATCAAGTGCGTTGCTGAGAAAGGCTTATCAAAATGTTGTCAACGGGGTCTATCCTTGATTTGTCAATAACAACTTCAGTCCTAAAGTGTCTCAGACATACTTACTCCTTTTTTCTTCTCTGCACTGGCCTCCTCAGCAGCTTTCTGGTACCTGAGAAGGACAGAGATATAGACAGTCAGACAGACAGACACAACACTGACCTCTGCTGACTGACCACAAACAATGAAATATGGGACACTTGACAAAACAATAGGTGTTCTTTAACAGCTTTGTGAGATATTCACTTTTGGGTTGTTACCTTCACATTTGATTTCAGCTTACAGTTCATTCAAATATTACTTCTTTTTAGTTCCATCAATATTTGCCACAGGTTTAGAGGTACATGCTGTTTTTAACTGTATTTTAGGGTATAATACTGTAAATTATATTTTATCTCATAAAAATAAAATTAATTAATACATCTTGCATCAAGGTTTGTAAATCATATGAAAACATTCATTAATCTTCAATAGTTCATCGGCGAATGAAAGAGAAATTCAAGAACAGTTTTAAGAAGCTAAAATATGACTTAAATTTTGCTCGAAGCATTTTTAACGCTCACGTAAGTACTTAAAAGCTGATAATGAAACACGAGACTTAAACGATACTGTTGACTCAATGACCTGCAGAAGCGTTAAGATGTATTTTTCCTATTTAACGATTTCAAATGCTTGTATATGCTGCCGAGGGAAGGTACCAGGCAAAGCAATTATAGCATGCTGTCAAAACATTCAATATTTACATTTTCAGCGATAAAGATCCAAAGAAAACCAAATGTTACTCACTTGGAGAAGCGTTCAGCGATGGCATTGTTTTTCCCACGGCCGCTCAGTGATAGCTCCTTTGCAGTGACACGCAAGGACTGTGTCGCCCATGACCGTCGATTGAAGGGACCGCTCTCCATCTCTGGGAGCTTTCTGGACACCTGAAATACAAATACTATCAGAATTGACAGTAATTGGCCTTACAAGTACAGTAGAAACTCATGGCTTCTTAATGACTTCTCAAGCAAAAGGAAACTTAAAGGTTTGAGTTGTAAGACAAAACCGTGTGGCAAAATTCCCAAGATCTCCAAAACGGTTGTTCTAAATGGGTACAGAAGAACAAAGTCTAACTTGAGGAGACTCTCCTGCCAGAGTCCATGTTTGTGCATGCAGAGGAACTCTTTGCTGTCTGAGATCACTGCTTTACAACTTTTCACCATCCTCTCGGTCAATTTACCCCCTGTCTCTCCCCACTACCTGAGTGAAACTACATACCAAAGGGTGCTTGAACACATGTACGCATACAGTGAAGCATTCAAACAAACAGGTCAACGTGTTCAAACTCGAACACCAGCTCATGCCGCTTGATCGCCAAGATAAAACGACAAACTACACGCAGCAAACCTCAGCATAAGCACATTATCTTTATGACAGAGAAGAGTAATTTGAGACCCAAAACCACACGACGTAACAAATATGATCTTTCCTTTACATCACTACAACAAACACAAACCAAGAAATGAGAGTCACAAACAGATAACAGGCCTTTGATAAACTTTATGTCCATAGACGACTGAAATGTCAGGCTATGAATCCCTTTATCAGTGCTCAGACAGTATATTATGGCCATGTGTAATCACCACTGGGCACCACTCGAGAGTTAATGATCTCTTACTGTTCGTGCTTTTCACCCAGGTGCACCCATTACATCACAGCCCAGATGAAAGCAACACTAGTGACATGTAGTGAAGGGACTTTGGACTGAATTTCAGCAATATCTGAACTGAGACAAAACCATATGAAGTTATCTCTGACTATAAATCGCTAACAGAAAATCCAGTCTATAAGAGTGGAATATCTAGTTGACTTTATTTCAATATAAAGTTCAATAATACATTAATGTATCTGTTTAATGTAATGTTTTATTGGTCTGGTGTTACTATAGGGCAGATCAGAGGATTGATATAAAAAAAAAAAAAAAAACATGGTTGGACTCTGCACTGTTACTTTGACTGGGATGTTCTCATCTAACAAGCTTGAGGCTGTTTACTGTTGCTACAGGTTTTCAGTCCTGATGGGCAGGTTAGATTACCTCCACTATTGATTAGCTTTTCTGCAGTGTTGGGCACAGATATTGTAAAATACTTCTATATGTTCAAGCACACAAAAACTGCAATCTGAGAACCATGTTAGTTTGCTCATTAGAGAGCTTTCTTGGTAGATCTTTGGGGGGACTGCATGTTGTTCTGAAGACTGTACCTATGACATGTAAGGTACACACCCCAGAAAGATCACAAGTCCTTCCCAGGGACAACACAGATGAAACTGAGTGGCCAGTCCACTCTCATTTGCATATCCTTAAACTGCTAAAGAAATCCAGAGTAACTTAGAAAAACAGGCAAAACAAATAAGGGTCGTGAATCAAATTCAGGTTATTCTACATTAGCGGACAAGAAGTACAGATGGTGAAATGTGCTACCATCTGAAAATCTATACAAAACAGGAAATGTTTCGGACTTGAATAAAGAACAGGGTGAGGCCATAGAACGCTTAACTTATTTCTGAGAACAGTCTCAAGGCATTAGGCGCTGACTCTTTCCATTACTTGTTATGGAAGCCAAAGGCAAGAAATGCAATGCCTTACTCTGCAGACTGCTCTGTATTTTGACTTTGAATTTAAAGACTATTGATCAGATCCAAATAATAAATAATGATAAAATATCACAACTCAAACACAGCCTCTACAGAGGTGTCAAAGGTTCAGTAGAGACAGTCTTAAGATAATGACAGGCTATCTTAAAAAGGAACTTTAAAAATCTAATACTCTAGCATTTTGCTTCATCCTCATCACCTATCACAAAGGGGGATCCTGACTTTAACCCCTAAATTTTATCAACAAGTTCCCCTTAACAACAAGTAACCACAACACAGGCAGGAAATACAGTCTGACTCATGCTGAAGGAGGAGCATGCAATTCTTAACACATGATTAATCTTACAGGCAATAATTGATTAAAATACAAAAGCATACATTCTTAAAAGATAATTGAGTTCGACCTGAACAATCAGCTGTGAGGCTTCATAATAAAAACTGTTATGAGTCATGCTCAAGAGTGGCAGCCCTGTTAATAGGACATCATGTTATTGTAGGAGATATGTCAGGTGTGTTACAATATACGACCTGTGTACTAAAGGCTGTGACTTTGAGCGACAAGCGTTAATTGTTTACAATAAATAGAAATGTAAACTTTCATATCTCGTTTAATCTTAATGTTAAGAGACTGGGATAAATAGAGAGAAAACTAGACTACAGAGTTAGTAGCTGGACTGGTTTAGCATCAACTCGGCCTGAGGACAGTGGACTCTTTATTAGCGAGACTGACTAGGTGCACGTGCTTAATTAAGATAAAACTTGAATCTAAACACTCGCGCGCTCATTTTCCAAAGTATATACTTTCTCACGCTGTAAAAGAAGTTAAGGTTCTGTTGCTAACCTTTTAGTTTCGTCTTACCTGAGCGAACTTCCGTTGACAAAGTCTTTTTATGAAACCCTGAGAGACACCTGACACTTGTTGCTGCCACTGCGTCACCGCCCGGTGTGCAGCCGACAGAGGTGGGGAGAATGGAAAGGTGTCATGGGAGTGGAAGAGTCAGGTCATGTGGTTTTTTACACACCAATGACCTTGGGTATTGCTTTACTTCTACCTGGTACATTTGTGTGAGTGTGCGCACACTCTTGCCTCGCTACCATACCACCCACCCTAAAATTCCTGAGAACTACAATCAGGAAGCCTACTCAGTGTACGCTCATATTTGAAGGGAGGTAGGGAGGTGGGAACAAGAGGGAAAGGACAAAAAGAAGTAGGCAAACCAAGCTGCTCAGGTTTCTTATAGTTAGGTTCAGTCAATGGCCAGGTCTAGTCGTGTAGTAAAATGGGATTCTTTGAACACTGCTTTTTATTTATTTTAGTTATATGGGATAGTATATGGGATAGTACGGTGGCCGAAAACCGCCACTGCAAATAAAAAAAGAATGCAAAAAAAAAAAAAAAGTCACCACGGAAGTTACTGATGCAACAAAAAAAGAAACTGAAGCCCGCTGCAAATTAAAAAAAAAGCCACAACAGAAGTTAAAGACGCAAAAAAAAAAGACATGCAAAGTGTATTCTCTGGTCTACTCTGGAAGCATATGTTACCCCAAAAGCTGTGTGTATCATTCAGCATGAATAGTGCCTTCCCAGCCATGTTTAAACAGATATGCTATTGTAATTTATGCCCCCCTACCATCAAGGGTTAGTGCTTTTTAATAACAAGCCTGGTGGTCCCTTCCATTTTTAGAGTCGAAGATACAGCATCCGTGATTCCCAAAAAGAATGCCAAATTTTGATCACTGGAAAAGTTTTCTACTTTGCTTCAGTTCATCTTAAATGGCCTCAGGTAAGAGAAGCCACCTACATTACTGGATCATATTTATGGTTTCCTCAATGCATTGGACAGTTTTCACCTGTAATGTGGATGCAGCAACAAAATAAGGTCATGGACTATGGTGTTTTACTGTGATTTGCAGTAACATTATGCAGTGATCTCCACTTCAGTGTCATGTCTGTTTTTCCTGTAGTACTGCCTGAGAGCATGGCGATCACACCCATCCAGTATCGATTCAGTTTTTTTCCCTTTTGTACAGAGTTTCAATGGATATTTTAATGGTATGATGTATCATAGTTGGTGAATCGCCAAAGCTTTTTTAGTATTGGGGTTGTAGAAATAAATAAAGCTTGGTGCTGTCAATGGTGCTATGGCTGTTTGCATTTCATTTGCCTTCAAAATAAGGCCAGTGAGAAACAGAGAAAAAGTGCTCTCATTTTAATCATGTGAGAATCCTGTGAGTATAACAGGTTATTTTACCCAAGGGCTGTTATTGCAGCAGATTTTGGAGGTAAAGGTTTCACTTTTTCCCCGACCACAGGAAAACCACTTCTCTTGAGAAATAAAACATATGTCGAATGCCATCTCTGAGAGGTGTGTTGAAACATAAAACCATCTCCTGTATATATAAATTATGAGGAACTAAATTTCATTCCTCTGTTACCATCATTATAAGACACTTAATTGTAATAACAGTATTTTAAAGTGAAAACATTGCCAAGACGTAATCTTCAATCACTAACAAGCGATCTTAATTAATACAGTGTCAATTTCGATTTTCATCTCGTCCTATCTTGTTACCACTGAGCAGGCCCAGAAGCAATACACATGAGCTGCATGTAAAGTATTCCCTTCCATACAAACCAACCATGTAGTGTATACAAATAAACACATGAAAAATAGTAAACCCACAGACAACAAATGATGGAGCTGCAAATAGTTGTTATTGGCTATAGGGGAGAGTGGGGTAAGTTGAGCCAAAGGATAAGTTGAGCCACCCCACCCCCCCCTGTTGCTCGGAAATGGTAAAAGAAATTGATCATGTGACCAAATATTTAGGAGATGGGCATCAATTCATGGAGTCTGTGAAAGTAAGAAGCACATAGGTAAAGGGGTTAGACATTTATTTCCAAAAAATAAAAAATAAAACATTTTTCACTCTTGAAAGTGAATTTAGTCTGTCATAAGTTATGAGTTGTGTTCAGACCAAGAAAGATCATTTTAAATTTGTTTTGTACATCAATTGTGGTATCAACGAGCTACAACATGAGGTCAAAAACCTAACATAAAAGTCCACCATTCTAGCTTAGAGGACTAATAAGTTGATCCTGTGGCTAAAGTGAGAAAGTAAAGGAGTCTGATGAGAGGATCAGTTTCAGTTCAGATTGTTGAAATGTGTTACTTTTTCTTTTCAAAAATACAGCTGTGAATGTTCTGAATCATTCAAAGGCATTCTCATGTTCAAAAGGCTTTTTACAAAACAGCTTTTTAGCAGTTATATGCAATAATAATAAAAAATAATTATTGTACCAGTTGAATAGGGTATAATAGATAAAAATACTCATGAATGTGAAGAAATGACTGTTATTTAGGGAGAGAAAAGGTGAGGGAGGGCTGGGGTGGAGTGTGTGTGTGTGTGTGTGTGTGTGTGTGTGTGTGTGTGTGTGTGTGTGTGTGTGTGTGTGTGTGTGTGTGTGTGTGTGTGTGTGTGTGTGTGTGTACCCCATACACGGGGTAAGTTAACCATGGGAGACCACTTTTTTGGTCACTCATTCTGTTGGTTTACAGGGATGCGCAACATCTTGAAATATGTGCAGATACACTAGTTAGAGACAAAACTATGATTGCCCTGATGTAGTGATCTGAAATATGGAAAATGGCTCATCCTACCCCTACTCTTCCCTACTGGATACAATATAGTTGGCCTCAGGGGTGATTTAAACAAACAAGGCAATGGGACAGGGCAGGGGAGCAGCGGACTAAACCACCACCTCTGTTTGTCTGTGCATCTCTGGCACCCCCACACCCACCCCCCCCCCACCCTCACCCCCACCCTGTACACTCCTTCCTTTCATCCGCGTCTTTCAGTCGTCGTCTAAATCAGCCACAAGCCTTTTGAGTCCGGCCACACCACGAAAATACAAATCGACCTAAAACATAAAGACTGCGCGGAAGATTCTCACATGACTGACGATGGTTTTTTGAAGATATTTGTTGAAACGCTGAGATGCTCCACGCTGTGTTCACGGGAGCAGAAAGCAGAAGATGAGTCTTTTCTCTGGTTCGGAGGAGGCTGTGCTGCTGCTGCTGTGTGGGGGAGTGGGTTACATCCTGTGGCGTTTCCTGTGTTTGTAAACTAGACGCTGTGGAAAACGTCGGGTGAGTTAGGCTAAAAGGTACATGCACATCTTTTCATTTTTCCTCTTATTCTCTGTATTTCTCTGACCTGCTGTTTACTTTCTAATTACCCATGCTCGTGATCGGCAGTGGATAGACTTTCCTAAAACATCACCGTCAACGTTAGCCATTGCTAAGTTGCTAACAAACGTTAGCTTAATGATCGGGAGGGGGAGGCACTGACGACGGCCATCACGAATGTCTTTATCGTCCAATCTTGTCTTCAACGATTGAAGCCTCTATATTTTATCGTCGAGAAAAAGATGAAAGGTTAATTTTCCACTCTGTATGGGATATAAATTCTGTGCAGTTTTCTTTTCGGTGACCAGGTGGGCAAAAATAGGTTGCTCGATTTTCTGACATTTTAGTGAACGAGGGCGCCAGCGAGCAGCTAGCTATTAGCTTTTAGCATGCTAGCTAGTGTTAGCCAGCTTGTTCAACATCAGCAAAACTAACGATTGGTTTGGGTGGTAATGCGAAGGCCAGCTCACATAGTGCATGGAAATGTTAAATATCACAGTAACAGCATTCTACTGACATGACTGCCCGCATGCTTGCGACCGAAACAACAACTACCGATCGAAAATATTGTACAACTTGACATTAAAAAACGCTAGCTTCACACTGGCTGTGTATTTTCATAGCAACGTTAGCTGACCAACCAACGAGACTGGCGGGGGCTGTGTAGCGTTAAATTGTATCTGTACATTCACAGGGGTATCGTTTACCTTGGAAATATAACATAAGAGAGCTAAACCCTTGAAAATGAAGACACCCAAATGTGTTAGAATTAGGAGAGTTGTATCAAAACAGGGCAGTGTTTCTGTGAGTGAATTCGTGGCCTTCGAGAAACACAGCGTTGCTCATTAAAACCCACACAAACTTCTGATTTGATAAAGCACAGACCTGGAATCAAATATTTGCTTCTATGTTTATATGTTGCACTTTCCAGTTAAACATATTTTTAGATATTACAGGTGATCAGCAACAACTCTTATCATCAGAAAATGTTAGACTTTACCAAGTGGTTTTCCTTTTATTTTAACAGTAAATTCTCAGACTTAACATTGTCTACTTAACAAGTTGAATATTGATTTCTTCTAGAGGAGATGGCTATGTACCAGTCATGAAAACAATGATAAAACAGTAGACTTTGACTCTTATTTTTTTCTCTCTTTTGCTTCTAACATGAGAACCCTTGCTTCTTTGCTTGCAGTCAAACAGTAACAAAAACTAATCAAACATTTCAATTATTTTTTACTCTCAGAGTTAAGAGACATGCTTAATGACAGTAAAAATTATGGCTTGAAGAAACAAATAATCAACATATTGATGTGAAAAGATAAAAAAAATACAGTGTTTCATATAAGTACATTTTACTGTTACTCTGGGAGTGCTTTAGTATTCTCTTTCTCTTTGTCTAATTCAACATAATGTTCTGAATCAAGGAAACCTTTCAAAAATGAAAGTCATGCTAAGCAAGTGAATAATACTCAAAACATCAGTGTTTACTGAAAGATCACAGATACAGCATATGGGTAAAATGTCAGTTCAAACATAAGTGGAAAGAACGATGGATGAAAGACATAAATTCAGTGGTAGCCAGGGAGAATTAAGTCGTACTGTATTTTTAAGGCACAGAGAAAAAAAATCTATCTATCTATCTATTTAAATCTCTATATACATCTATACATTTGGTTTCTTTTTTTAAAGAAAAAATTTACATTCCACATTTGATGTTGTTTCTCCCACAAGTGGCATTACTTTTATGAATCTAAAGAATTCTGGACATCTTTTTAACTGTTTGGTTGCTGAGACTCAAGAAAAAGAAAAAATACAGTTCAGGTATTCTGTAAGTTTACTAATAAGAGCATTTGCTAAAATACAGATGTTTTCATGCTGATAACAAGAGGGTGTTTTAGTTATTGTGGTTTTTATTGCAACACAGCTCAGTTGAGTTGGCTGATAAATTTTTATCCAACCCACAGGTTTGCACTGACTAGTATTTTCTAGTTGTGGGATCTTTCAGAAGTAGAAATTTGTGGAAGTCTGTCCAATGGTCAACTGTTGCAGCAACAATAGTGCCATCAAACAATCATATTTGTGTGTGCCATGTTTTTAGATGTGTCAATGTCATTTTGAAGAACTGCCACTTTAACTGGAGTCAGTAGAACATGTAATGACAAAGACAGCCCATGATAGTGTGGTAATCTAAATGTTTGTCTGTTTCATCCACATCCTCCTCTTCCTCAGTTTTAATGCTAGATGAGTGAGGTGGGTGTGGCTTCCCACCAGCCCGACCATCCTGACTGACGGATCTCTGGATGACCTTGTCCCCACCCCTGTCCCTGCGCTCACATACACCACAGCAATGTCACATCTGCCCAGCAGCTCAGTCCGCGACCATATGAAATGGGTTTGTTCCTTGAGACCACCAAAGTGGTTACAAATAACTTTACTTGCAGTCTTGTGTCACTCAGGATGTTGTCGTTGAAGGCTAACTTGGCAAATGCCATGTTGTCTGAAAGCTAGATAATTTATCATTGTAGATCTCTTCGCTAAAAACATTGTGTGAATTGATGAAGTGTTGTTTTTCATTCTGTTTCTTCACAGGCGGGACTGCTCGGCTGCGAAGCTGTCCTCTCCAGCATGGCCCTGATGCAGGCCAGCTCCATGGCTGCTCCACCAAAAAAAATGATGGCTCCACTTGGTCATGCGCCACCGCAGAGAGAGGGACCTGACCGTGCCCCCCAGAGTCACATGATTCTTCCATCTGGAATGAGCTGTCCACCACTGGTTAGGACCCTGACATGAACCACACACAATTTAAACCTCCAACATGACTTGCTTTAGTTTCATCAGACGAGGCATTTACCAGTAAAATGCCAAAAATGTATTCCAGAAAACTAAAAATATATATATGTGCATGGTCTTGGATTAGACTTGAATGCACATAAGGCTTTAAAGGGGACCACTTGTGCTCCTGTTAACCTCAGATAAATGTCTGATATATTAAAAGTTTAAACCTTGCCGTTAGTGTCACAATAAGTTGACCATATTCCTCAAGTATGAAACATTTTACTGCTGGCACAAAATTTGCAGCTGTCAAAAATATATATCATAAGGATTAAATGGATCCTTCAAGTCATGTTGCGATAATCTTGTTTTCATTTTAAAGGTTTCTATTAAAAGGAATTAATTTGATGTTTTCCGTCTCTCTAGCTTATCCGGAAGGAAGGTGAATTCCAAGCTCCACGCCTCCTGGATGAGAAGGAGATGAGGGCCAATGAGGACATGCAGCAGAAAAAAAAGAACAGGAAATCAGTAACGCCCTGTAAAGTGAGAGAACAAGAGGGAAGGGGAGGGAAGGTCAGTGGCTGTGGTCGCTAAAAAAAGGGATTGGTCTCTGCTGTGCATGTTGTTTTTTTTTTTTTTTTTTTTACTTGCGACAAAAACTGTTGCTAGTCGCTTCAATTATTTTTAAACACCTAGTTTTGTTGAGAGGCGCCTGACTTAGAGCTTTCATGTGTGCACTTTTTGTTTGTATGGGGGTGGGGGGAGGAGCTCAGGGAAGATGTGGAGGGGGTGGAGGATCTCTGGAGAGGAAAGAGGGGGAGGGGAGCAGAGCGGAGCGTAGCACAATAACTGCAGTTGTGTGCATAACAGGGGGAGCAGTAACATGAGGGCATTAGGCCACTGGGAGGGCTTATGCAGTTCTTCACAATTCAGATGTTAATTACACCTACAAAGAAAAACAACAAACCCTTGGTGCCTGCGTTTTCGCACGAGAGATAATTTGAGTTTCAGAAAAGGAAAAAGAACACAAAACAACATATGTGGGAAAAATCGCGAGAGGCTGATAGACATTTTATTTAATAAAAACTATCGTGAGAATTTTGCTTTCATCAACAGTTGTGGGTGGGTATATTCGACAAATTGTACTTTTATTTCTATGTACATTATTTCCATCAGTTTTACAATATGAGGCATTTGAAACAAATGTTGAACTCTTTTTCTCTGTTGCTGTCATTAGGGCGCAGGTGGAGACGAGAACGGTCCATCATCCAAAGTGCAGAAAAACTTTATTTGTGATCACTGTTACGGAGCATTTAGGAGTGGCTACCACCTGAAGAGGCATATCCTCATTCATACAGGTATGGGTCATGCTTGGAACAACTCAAGTTCACAGTATAGCCACTTTTTTATGCCTGAATTTTGTGTGGAGAGAAGTCCTGAAAGCTTGAGTTGGACTGAATGTAGGAGTGTGCAGCAATTGTAAGGTTTTGCAATGGCCTGCTTAAAACCTTGTTTGGTAATAGCTTTTGCCTCACAGCTAATTGGTGGTATCTGTGGGGACTTGAACTAAAACTGGTGCTCTTCGGTTTAGGGGAGAAGCCGTATGCTTGTGCCGTATGTGACATGAGGTTTATTCAGCGTTACCACCTGGAGAGACACAGCCTCATTCACACGGGTATGCGTCTTTTAACCGTACCCATATTACATTAATGGGACTACATCTGTAGTCTTTGATCAATGGACAGATGTTCAGGGTTCATTTTGTCTGTGGACAGTAATTTCCAACAAAGCCACCCATCAAATCTGTTCACCACCCAAAATAAAGCTTAGCGTTTATTTCATACACCCTGATTTCCCAACAGCAGGAAAAGTTTATGGAGGATGATAAACAGTGTGGTCCAATGGTCCTGAGTCCACTATTGAAAACTGTTGTTTAAACTTTGCAGACAAATCAGGTGTCAACTGTTTTGAACGACTGTGATTGGCTTTAATGGTAATTAGATTTAACAGGTAATAGTTTTAGATATATATCTGGTAGAGAGCTTGGTGCTCACGGAGGCCACATGTAACTCACTTGAGAATGTCATTTACTTCTTCTGCAAATCTGATCTAGGACTGTCCTTAAAAACAAATGCTCTTCAATTTGGATGTTGTTCGGTATATTCTACATCTGGAGTATGTTTTTAAACTTGGTTGTTGCTTAAATGGTCAAACTAGTCAAATCTGGTGTCCTTTGTCAATTTGAATTTGTTTTGTCGATGCAAATGGGGTCATGTCCTACAAACATCTGAGTGATGCACTAGTTTTCTCATGACCGGGTGTGGTCACTTTGAACTATAATTTACACCTAAACCTGAATTTTTGCCATGTTCTGCACCTCTGCACCAGTACAACACCTCACATGGTGTTTTTGGGCAATACTCCAGGTGGTTATGGGAACAAGTCTGAAATTTCATGAGAGCACAACTCCTGTATGGCTGTATGTTTGCTTTAGAGATGGATTGGCGTGGGGAACTTTCCAACTATTCAGCAATATCCATTTTTGTATTTTAAGTTTAACAAACCAGTTATTGAAAGACCCCAAAATATATTCGTCTGTACATCCTCAGTTCCATGAGAGTTTGGTTGCTGTGTGAAAGGAAGATAAGGGCAGATTTTGATGAAATGCATGTTATTTAAAATCTTCATTGCATAAGAATAAGTACAAATACAACATATCAAATGTTGAGACTGAATATTTCCATTTTTAAGCTTATGAGATGAAACAATTCACAATATTTTTCTCATAAAAACTGAATTGATAAGATTTAAGTTGTAAAAAAGGAATTTCTTCAGACAAAAGTCATGAAATGCACAACAATGCAGGTCTGTTTTTGGTGTGTTTTAACTAGTCATTTGGAAATGACTGTATCCACTTCTAGTTTCTGACTTGATATGAATTATCAGAAGCGGTAAAAGATACAAACAACATGTAAGCAGTGTAAAAGTGTCATTATTCACATGTTTGTCTGATAATGCTTACAAAAGACGGAGAAGAGTTTACTTTTTCACCGGTGCAGTGCTCATGTCTTGTAGTTTCATATACATGAAAACCCTGTTTGTAGTTACAGCTTATCACCTCAGGAGGAGTATCTTCATGCTTTGGTTTCATGAGTTCTTAAGGCAGGCGCTCTGACCCAACCCCCAGTAAACATACCGCTGTAAGGACTTTTTATTACTAGCATCAAATCTGATACAAGCATAGCTTTTTAAAAAACAACCATTCATTTTCAGGGTCAGTATTCAAGTTGGCGTCACACTGTTTTCATTTAGTGTAGTATTTGAATGACTTCTATCAAAGATCTGCTTTTATCAACCATTGACACAGAGGCCCAACCTTGTGTTTATAACTGGGGTTGTTTTACTATTATAGATTTTAGGTGAACTTGCTTTGTGCTGTTATGGTCTTTGAGATATTGTTTTTTTATATCAGAACTAAAACAGATATCCTAGATAGACCTAGGATAGGGAAAATAAGTCTTGCTCAAATTACTTCAAACTGTTCTGTAAACAAGACTTTTTGGTAGTGGACTTCAAATTGGACTCAAACTTGTGGACCCTAGTGTGTGTTTGTGACAGCCTCCAAGCACAGGCCGCCAAAGACATTTGAGATTACTTACCTAAAACAAGACAGAACAAAAAACAAAACAACAAGACAATGTTTGAATGTAATTTTTGCTTTATCAGTAACTATAACTGCATGGACATCAAAGGACTATGTTAGTAATTGATTGTACAGTGAACAAAGGGACAAATGAGGAATTAAATTCAAATTTGTGTTGCACCGTTTCACATAAATGTCTTTGTTTTTCATTATTAAGAAGTTTGCTGTGGGTAAGTCAACTTCCACCCAAATACTTTTCAAAGTCAGTGGCTCCACTTCAGTATTCAATCTTTAAAAACATCAGTTCTTAACTAATGACAACCACCTCTCAGCATCTCAGCTGACATTGCTACACATGTGTACGTATCTTTAAATCTACAACCTCCTCTAATTAATTTTAAGCTGTTGCTTCTTGTTGTAAAAGTGCATCTGTTCTATCGTTTTCTGCTTAAAGCCAACTAGACATTTTTTGTTGTCCCCATTTTGTTGGTTAGACCTAAAAGCTAATAACTTTATGCTCTGTGTGTGTAGGAGTGAAGCCGTACGCTTGTTCCATGTGTGACATGAGGTTTTTCCAGCGTTACCACCTGGAGAGACACAGACTCACTCATACGGGTATGCGTCCTCTTACCGTGCCCATTTCAAATTTAAAAAACTGCAAATTAAGTAGTTTCACTGACAAGAATATTTCAGTTAATGTAGGCATTGGAAAAAAGTATCAACAAAGATTTTACCAACATTGATAGGAGAGTTTTCTGACATAATAACAGAAACTGCTCCTGTGGACCACTCAAAGTGTATTTACCCTCTTGTACCATTGCTGCTCAACAACCATTGGCTATTACCTGTCAGTACTTACCTGCGTGACATGAAATACAATCGTAAGGGAATTTTTAAAGGAATTTGTTCAAATTTTGGGTGAAAAGGGACATACTTTCATACACACAGTGTAGAGATAAGTTGACAGGACACGATGGAACAAGGACATTATGGAAATAAGATTCAAAACGTCTTTTCGTGGGAATCACAAACTTTGTTGTTTTGAGAAAATCTGCTAAATCTTTATCTCTTAAGTATTGATGATTTTGAGTTTGCTGTTTGTTTCAGTGCCTCCTTGTCTGATTCCATTATAAAGAAGTTGCTGTCAGCCATGGTATACTATGGGAATAGTCCTTTGATGTCCACCTCCATTTAGACTATTCAGTCAATTTAGAGCCGCCCAGCAAACGAGTCTAAGCTGCAATTGTATGGCTTTTGGAGTATTTGTGTATGTGTTTTTCATGCTGTTGCCCAGTTTCTTGCAAAGATGTTTCTGCTGTGAGTGTATGGCGGAGATCAGATTGGAAGCTTTTGACACTTGAGGCAGATCTTCAGTGTGAAAGGCTGGAGGACAAGCACTTTTTAGGCTTTCAAAGCCAACCTAAATTTAGCTAATAGGCATTTCATCTGTTTTAACTTGCAGTAAGTGACAACAAATATGCTATACAAGGAGTTAAAAAATGCTGTTGACAATATTAGTAGTGAATGTAGGAGAAGCTTGTTCGTGTTTCAGCTTCAGCTGGCCAGTGTGATCACCGTCGTAGACCGTATTCTGCTATTGCTTACATTTGTGTACTGTTTCATTCATGCTTGGCTTTAATGTCATCAGTTTGCTGCCAAACTGAATGCTCTACATGATAAAAGACAGTCAAGCTTAAGTAAAACAAATCGCCGCTTGCCATAAAGCTTAACAGGGATCTAAAATGTTTGCTGGGTTCTTTTGATTGATTGTCTGTGAATCATGCTTTCCTTTGATGCTTAAGGAACATCGTAGCTAATATGTCGATACTTTGTGTATGTAGGGGTGAAGCCGTACGCTTGCTCCATGTGTGACATGAGGTTCTTCCAACGTTACCATCTGGCAAGACACAGCCTCACTCATACTGGTATGCGTCTGGTGATCCTAGCTCATGACTTAGTGGAGTTTTAAAAGTGCTTATTTTTAAAATTTATATTCACAGCACTGTATAAACACTGTGTTGGGAATTGAGTGATTTGAAATGATGATGAAAATTCTGACATTCTCATTTAGAAACCAAGTAATGTATCCAGACATGTGTAAGGATTGTATTGTGTAGATCCTGAGTATAAACATGCATACATAATGGGGCACTTTATAGAAGTAAACAACTTCAGCTGTTCCACAGCTGAATGCTCTACTTTCTCCTGCCAGCTTTAGTCCTATTTTTATTTTAAACATAGTTTATTTTGTTGATTTAAATCAGACTCAGTCTGATATCAAGGACTGGTAAACAAGCACGTGTTTTCAGGCCATCTGTGTAACCTGCAGTTGTAGAAGAAGAGCTTTTCAGAGGGAAAAGTTGATGGCTTTGTGATAAATCTGTTTTTCCCCCCCTGTCTGGCTTATGTTGAAATACTTTTTATGTGTGTAGGGGTGAAGCCATACGCTTGCTCCATGTGTGACATGAGATTTTTCCAACGCTACCACTTGGCAAGACACAGCCTCACTCACACGGGTACAAGTTCCCATTTTCTTTTCTCCAATGAAGCCTAAATACCCATTATACCTGAGATTGTTTGCCCCTTGTTTAATAGACATATTAATTTAGGTTTCTAAAACTTAAGATAAACACAATTTTTTTAATAGCTGGGGCATGCTAAAGGAGTGCTTAACCTTTAAAGCTTTGTTTCCAAATCATAGCACCTCCCATTTTCCCATCAGTGTCTGTAAACTAATCCTCAACTTGTGTGCCAAGACCTTTTCAGTGTTTCCTTTAATTGCAAACATTGAAAATCAAGGCTCAGTTAAGTAAATCTATGTTCTTGATCAGCTCCCTTTTCAAGCATGTGAATTAGAGGATCTTGGCCAAACCCATGAAGTGTCATTCTTACCCATGTTACAGCTTTTGGCATGTCTGGATACATAATTTAACTGAGTGAGTCCTGTCCAGCTTATTGTGTTGTTTTTTGTTTTAAATTTTTTTACAAAATATTGTGCTCTGTGTGTGCAGGGGTGAAGCCATATGCTTGCTCCATGTGTGACATGAGATTTTTCCAGAGATACCACCTGGCCAGACACACTCTCACTCATACGGGTAGAAGTTTTACTTGTCCCTTTTACCTGAAGCATCAGAGTGTACTCACTGTATTTGTCAAATGTTCTTTTATAATGAAGTCTGAGTTATTTCTTCTTTGTAAAGTGACCAGATATTGATACATTTAAATCAAATACTACTGTGTGTATACTGACATATGTATGTGTACATAGTTAATGAGAACACTTTCCTAAAGTTTGGTACTGTATGCGTTTAGGGGTGAAGCCATACGCTTGCTCCATGTGTGACATGAGGTTCTTCCAGCGTTACCATTTGGCAAGACACAGCCTCACTCATACTGGTATGCTTGAATTGCTTCCTTTTCCCTATGAAACTTTTAGCCTAAATGCCATACACATTTTCTCTGTCAAGCCCCCTTTACAAAGAATCTACTTAAACTGTTTTAATAGAGTTTCTAGGCTTTGTTGGAAAACTGTCCACTGAAAAAGTGACCCTGTTTGTCAGTTACCTTTTTTGAACAGTATATAATGGTACAATTGCATGTGTATTGTTGAGTAATCAATGAAATACTCCATGAAAGACACATTACACTAAAAGAGTTTGAATCCAAGCTTTAGTAGAGTATATTGTTGAAAAAAAGACTTTTGAGAAGATTTTCTGTACGGTTAGAATGAAGAAGGTGCATCCTGAATATTCAGCAACTTGAAGAAAGTTTCCACATGACATGGATTTTGCATAGTTGACTGTTAGTGACAATATTGTATGATTTGTGACTAAAATTGTGACTAAAAAGTATTCTAAGGTGACTTATTTTCTGGTCATTGAAACAGAAACTTAAGTCCCAACTAGCTTACTAGTCTGTAGGTAAGAAAATGAGAAAGCTTGCAAAATTAAGCACAACATTTTTAAAACAGCCAAACCTGGGGGAGTATGCAGGTTAACAATGTGAAATGAATTTGCAGAAATTAGCAGAGCTAGCATCATCAGCCTTCAATCCCCCCTGCAGGTTAACATCCACATGCATGTGCTGGTTACCCTTTTGTTGGGTTGGGTTGACCAAAAACAGTCTGCATACATCTCCAATTCCTGCATTGAATTACTGCCAAACCAGGTTGTGCTACAAAGTACCTTTGGTCATCCATCCGTGCTTGTTTACATCCAGGTAGTAGAGTATCATAGCTAATAGCAGTTTCAAGCAACTTTAGTTATCGCCAAGACCAGTGGCTGGTTGCTGTGCTACAACTTTTTTATGACATATGATTGGCTTTTCAGGCCTTCATTAACAGAAATATTAATAACTGGTGACAATGTTGAAGCATTCAGTCAACTGTCTAAACTCTATTCGTTCATGGTCTCATGTTGCACTTGATGAGTATCAGCTGACTCTTAGTCTTTTGGTGTAATGTGTCTGATATAATCTTTTCTACGTTAAGCATGCAACAATAAAAAAAAACAAATCATGATGTAGTTAACTTTACCTTTAAGTTGAACTGCGTTTAACTTTGCTGTACTCTGTTTAGGGGTGAAGCCGTATGCTTGTACCATGTGTGACATGAGGTTCATACAACGTTACCAGCTGGAAAGACACAGTCTTACACATACAGGTATGTTTTTTTTTCTAAATGTTGGCTCTGACAAGTCTACTACTGACTTTGGCTTGCATGCGCTTCACAATTAAGTTCATTTGGCTGCTTCAAACTCAGATTTGAAATGCTTTCTATCACTCTCAGTAACCAAGTTGAATGCTTCATGTATTATTTACAAGAAGCTCTGTAAGTGCTGGCTAACAACTCCTGCACCCATACTTTGTATATGAAATGACATTTCCACTCAGAAGTTATACTTACCACGTATAAGCGTGAGTATTTGGGCAGCACAATAGTAAAAACCTATTGTGAAAAACATAAGTTTGGTCAGTGCAGGAAAAAAATGACACATTATCAATCTGATCAACAAAAGGCATTTCCCTGAAGCAGCTGCAGTTGTGTGAATTATTTCAAAGACGATCTATTCTGGATTTGTAGATTTCAGCCAGTCTTAAACAAGGTTGGCTGTATCTCAGTATAGAAGACTCCAGGATTATATACATCATCTAAAGGCACAGAGTCTGGCTCATTTGGAAGCGGGTACAAAAAGGGTTTTTAAAATTCTGAATCGGGGAGTTTTGTTTGTCACGCAGCCTAGTCATGTGGGTCACAGTTAATGAAGATAGTGCTTTATATTAGGCTTACATGTAGCTAAAATTAAAAAGGTTTCATATTTTTATCACCGAAAGTTCAAACATACAACTCAAGAGCTGACTGCTCACACAGCTTTGCAATTGTGTCATTTCAGATTCAAAGTTATGGTGAGAAAATAACAACAACATCCAACTGTTATGAATTATTAGGTCTTCCTGTTCATCATAATTATCAGACTTGATGTGAGGAAATGCTATTATTCTTTTATTTTTGAGCATAAAGAGGAAAAAAAGCTAATGGTTTATTCACCTCTGTAACAAACTAGTGTAAGTGTGATGATTTTCAGAGCAGTATTTGTTAACAACAGTTGAGTGCTGTGCAAACGAATGGGAAATCTTATTGTGTTGTACATAGCTTTTAAACAACTGCCTAAAATTGTCTGACTTCTGCGATCAGCGTCACAAAAATTCAAATGACAAACCTGGTCTGGAAATCAGATTGAAGAATGATCAAATTCTATAAACACAGTCACGTATTGGCGTCACATGAATCTGTTAGTTGAAACATGGACACTTAAGACTTTTACTTAAACTCTGGTCATTTAGCAGTTTTGTAGGAACAACAAAAAGGGATTTTCCTCGTACTCAAAATCTTGATATCACGACCCAAATTTGCTGTTTTCAACCTTTGCAGTATACCTTTGCCACATCCAGTTCAACACAAATCCAATGTGAACAGCCATTCCCAATTGGACCTCAAGATGTTGATAAAACATACTGGATTTGCCAGTGTAAATGAAGCGCTGATGAGTGCAATCAAACTTTCCTGAGCAATTAGTAAAGTTTGACACCGATCATTTTCGGCAGTTGATTGTTCCTTGCTAAAGTTGGTACTTTGTGTGCATAGGGGTGAAGCCGTACGCTTGCACCATGTGTGACAAGAGGTTTTTTCAGCGCTACCACCTGGCGAGACACAGCCTCACTCATATGGGTAGGCGCCTGCCAATCTTAACCAAGTCCTTCGATTGAGCTGATGCAACATCTGTGTGCTTGATTAAGTCCTAATCATCTGTATTTCTGCACATTTACGACTTAACTGTTATACAGAGAAAGATGACATCTTCACATCATCATCTCATGTGTTGTGATGTGTTGGTAGATTGAAGATCCCATCTGTGAATTTGGTATCTGAAACTAGTTCTCTATTATACCATGTACCCTTTTTTCATTTTGGGTATGACATTGGTTATTAACCACAGTTATAAATTCAGTTCAGACTAGAACGCCTCACATATTAAAAACAGTTGTTTGTTTTGTCTTACTTGCAGAGGCTTAAAATTAATTGTCTTGATGCTCTGCGTTTAGGTGTGAAACCTTATGCTTGCACCATGTGTGACATGAAGTTTTTTCAGCGTTACCACCTGGCGAGACACAGCCTCACTCATACGGGTATGGGTCCGTGCACCGAGCCCATGACATTCAGTGTTAGAAAACAGTGTGCACATTCAAGCTTTCTTATTTCACTACAGACAGATACTTTTACACACTTAAGCTGGCCATTAACAGGAGAACAGGATATTGGTTTTGAATGATTTTGTTGATTTATGATTCTTGGTAAACATGAAAGTATTAAATGCAGACAAGCTAAAAGAAGATCACATTCAAGCAGTTTCTGTGTTTTTGCATGAATTGGAAATAGTGTGGTTAATAACCAATAGCGTAGGTGTAAATTTCTAAATCTAAAAAAGAAAAGTCGAGGCAAAGTAATAAAATACTGCTACTTTGCATTTAGGTGTGAAACCTTATGCTTGCACCATGTGTGACAAGAGGTTTTTTCAGCGCTACCACCTGGCGAGACACAGCCTCACTCATATGGGTAGGCGCCCGCCCACCGTACCTTTGTCACTAAGATGTCATAAGAGAGTCAGCCTCCTGAATAGTCTCCATTCTTATTCTCAGCCAAGAAACGTTTATTGAGCCTGTCTTAAGTTACGTTCACAAATCCAACACATAAGCTGGTCTTAATGTGGACAAATCTGACTGCAGCATCATCAGCTCATGTAATGTGTTTAAGTTGTGGATTTAAAATTTGGTTTCTACAGTTAAATGTGTTTATAAATGGACTTTGATGAGAAATTACAGTAACACTGCGCTTATTGCTCCCAAAAATTGAAATTGAAACAATCTGTAAGAAAGTGGTTAACTACCCATCAACTCTGAACAGATATTTATAGTTTATTTCCTGATGGATTGTGAACTCAAAAAATACAGTAGACTGGAAATAATACCTTAATGCTCTGCATTTAGGTGTGAAACCTTTTGCTTGCACCATGTGTGACATGAGGTTTGTTCAGCGTTACCACCTGGCGAGACACAGCCTCACTCATACGGGTATGCGTCAGTGCACCTGCCCTCCTCACATTGTGAAATTCATGATTTCATAGTCTTTGTCTTTTGTCACACCTACTAATCAAACCTACTCCAAACAGACAACACAGTTCTCAGGATCGGCAAGTTGGAAGTGTATAAACTGTAGAGCAGAATAGTTTGATGTTTCCTTGACTCTCAGACCATAAACTCCCTGGGCCGTATTCCTAAAGATTCTTGGTGCAAAGAGTTGCTTTAGTGGCCAAATTCTAAGAAAATTCTTAAAATCATGATGTTTTCTAAAAATTTCCCCTAAAAGTGAAGAATAGATCCTAGAAATGATCAAAGTTATTCCTGAAGAATCCCAGCTCCTAAGGTGAGATCTGTTAAGCGCAGGGAAGAGGAGTTCCCTAAGCAGAGGACAAAATGGCGAATGGAAGAGGCAGGAGAGATATTCTCCAAACACTGGATGACTGTGAATTAATGAAACACTACAGATTGGAACATGCAGGAATTATTATTGTGGTTGATCTCACTAGAGATGCACTTACTTCCCCAACCCAAGCCACAATGCTATACCACCGGAAATGAAACCCATCGAAACGCTGCTTCTCATGGGCCGGTCAGCAATCACACACATTGAGTATAGCTGAGCCATTTTACCTTCATTAATACCAGATTGAGTCGAAATGTTGAAAGTGCAAAAACTACCAGCATTGCAATTAATATAAGCAAATAAATATAACCACCACTTTGTGATTACTGTGCAAGTTTTCACAAATTTTGTAGGATTATTTTAAAGTATAGCTTACTATTTATTTATCAGATATTTTCTTTTATGTGAAATATAATTTACAATTACACAGTCTTCATAATATTAAATTCTAGGATTACATTTATTGATTTGAGGGTCCATCCTTTGCCCGTTATCACCAAAAGTATATTTTTTATCTAGCTTTTAGGATCAACCAATCACAGCTTTTGAAATAATGACTCATACCAAGCAACGGGGTCAACCACACCTCCTGACTAAGTTAGGAATTTCTGTCCATTCCTCTGAGAATTTTCAGGAATCTCTCCTAAGCTAATACCACCACCAAAGTCAGCTCTCGGAGCTGAAAATGACGTCGTACTTGAGTTACCAGCATTTTAGTTACAAAGTCGGGAAAAAGCAAAATCGGAGGCAGAAACAAGATGGCTACATCTACAAAAGTTATTTTAGCTCTTGTCTTGTCTTTGCCTATATCTGAACAAGGCAGGCGCTAAAATAACTTTCGTATACATAGCCATCTTGTTTCCACCTACAACTTTGCTTTTTTCCAACTTGGTTACTGAAACGCTGGGAACTCGGGTGTGACGTCATTTTCAGCCCAGACTTCTGACTTCCGAGGTAACTCGAACGCAGCATAAGACTCCTTGCCAGGAAAATTAGGTCAAGTTAGGAGCTCTCTGAGAAGATTCTCAGAATCTTTAGGAATATGGGCCCCAATCAATAAAAACTTACAGTTTAAAAAAAAAATAGCGCTGTCATAGAAAGAGAGTGTAGATAATTTCCCATCCACCATGAGCCCGTCTACATTAATCATAAACTCAACTGTCACTTAAATTCACTTTTACGTGACTTTCAGTTAGGTTAAATCAAAGTATGTTTTAATAGGAACAGAGAAAGAAGAGTAAAAAATACAATAGTCAGAATTCATGGGCCAATAAAAGTGAAGATGCTGACTATAATTTTCCTTTAGACTAATCATGGGTAATCATTCTGATTCCTGTTCACAGCTAAATTCTGTAGTTTTCTTTGCATACAGAAGTAGATGTACATTTCACACATCTTGTTTTTGCATGAATTGGAAATTGTGTGCTTATTACAGAGAGTGTAGGTGTGTTGGAAAAAGAAGTCGAGGCAAAGTAATAAAATATTACCACTTTGCGTTTAGGTGTGAAACCTTATGCTTGCACCATGTGTGACAAGAGGTTTTTTCAGCGCTACCACCTGGCGAGACACAGCCTCACTCATATGGGTAGGCGCCCGCCCACCATACCCATGTCACACAGACTGTCTTATACTTCACATGCAGACAGACTCACTGAGTGCTGTCTGAAGCAGTTATTCGAAAGTTCATCTGCAGAAACCAGTGCAGTATGTTTCTAGTGTTAAGGCAAGAGTGTGTTATGAGTAAATGCCACATATAGGTCTCCACATGCGAGAGATAACAGGACCGTGGCATCATCAGCTCATGTGATGTGTTTAGCTGTGGATCTGAAATTTGATGGACAGAGTTTAATGTTTTAATTGAATTGATTAAAACCCAATAAGAGATGATAAGTGGTTAACAACCCATCAATTTTAAGATTCTTGAAATCAACAATGATTGATGGATTGTGACAAATACACAACAAGTCTCGAATATAATGCCTCCATGCTCTGCGTTTAGGTGTGAAACCTTTTGCTTGCACCATGTGTGACATGAGGTTTGTTCAGCGTTACCACCTGGCGAGACACAGCCTCACTCATACGGGTATGGGTCCGTCCACCTGCCCTCCTCACATTATAGCGACCACAATTTACTTCTTCTCTTCTTATTGACAGGTTGCACAAATCTCTGGGTAAAGTCAAATTATGGAATATTTGCGCTGTTGGAATTTAAAAAAAAAAAAAACATCAAACATGAAAAATGTTGAATTGTTTGTCCACTGAATCCGCAAGTTAAAATTATTCTGATTTTGTTGTCGTTTTTGTGTACCAGTAGATGACATGTTTACCACCAATATTGACAACAAAAAACTATTAACCTCAGTTTTCAAATTTAAGAAAAACATGGAATTCAAATTATCCCATGAATGCTCTCCTTTTCCCGGTTGTTGAATCATTAGAGTAGATTGAGCTGTTTCTCGATTGTTGTTTAAAAACTTGCATCAAGACATCATAAAATGAAAACTAGCTCGGTAATATATTTGTAATGTTAGTATAGCTGCAATCAAAGGAGAGGATGCTTGAATCGTCTTTGAATTGATGTGAAGTTTGTCTATTTCAACAGAAAGTCCTGTGATCAACCATCATTTGCACACAGAAAATATGACAGATATGGATATTTTTGTTTAGCACCAGACATTTTAGAGTTTTAATCTGTGCAAATAACTCACTGTACTGTATTTACGGTTTGCATTTTGTTTGCATGACACCTTTTCCACACATTTGATAAAATAGAAATGCACATTAGATACTAAGAAATGATGAGCTGTTTTCTCAGTGTTAGCTTGAGCTTTAAAGTTGTATTTCTTGTGCCTGTGAGTGGCAGGGCTAATATATTGCTCTGTGTGTGTAGGGGTGAAGCCGTATGCTTGTTCCATGTGTGACATGAGATTTATTCAGCGTAACCACCTGGAGAGACACAGCCTCACTCATACGGGTATGCGCTCCTTTGTTACTGCGTACCCTTACCGCTGAGAGGCTCTGGCGTTTGGGGTCACAACAAAATTTGAGTCTGTAATGTCAAGTCATTTGATGGGATGTTGAACCAGCCTCAAAATACTCGCCCCATTTTTGGGGGTCAAAATGCTGCGTAGATCTGGGCCATGAAAACAACAAGACATTTCCACTCTGATCTACACATAATGAGTTGATGACGAGGCCTTTAAGAACATCAGTTTTACACTGTCAAAATTAACTCATAGGGCAGGTTTCTCCAACTTTTTGTACGTGTTGGAAATATAGTTTGCCAATACCAGATGGGTGGCGTAAAATGTCAAAAGTGTTTTAACCAGACACCTAAATTGATGCATTGACTGTGTATCTGTGTGCTCTTCTAGGAGAGAAGCCATTTGCTTGTGACATGTGTGATATGAGGTTTATCCAGCGCTACCACCTTGAGAGACACAAGCGTGTACACAGTGGGGAGAAACCTTACCAGTGTGAACGCTGTCAGCAGGTATGTGCATGTGTAAACAAACCAAAATCACTGCCATTTCATAGTTTGACTATTCATGTGTTGTCCTATGCAAGCTTAAATTAGTTTAATTTATACCAAGTACGACAGCCAGAATCCCACCAGATTAGCGTTTGGTCTGTATCTGTTTGCGTCCACTTTGAGAGGGCTCCAGATTGCCTGGGCTGAGACCAAGCAGAAATGCAGGGCAGCGGAGACAGTGGAGGTATACACAGTGATTAAAATAAAAACCTATCTGCTCATGTCAGGCAGAAACATGCTGCCCTAACATTTGTCACAGGGGCTAGGGTTTAAAAAAGTAACAAAAGAAGTTGCTCCTGTCAGGGACGATGAATTATCTTAGCCAGCAGGTAAAGCTCTACAGTCTGCCTCCAGAACCAAGATGAAGTGGGACAAAAGTGGGGTTTCAGGGTGAAGGCCTTAAAGAGACAAGTGCTCATAGGCTTGGTATAGACCTTGAATTCACTTATGAAACTGCACAAAGAGCAAGTTTAAGGGACTGATTTTGAATTATGAATAAGCTAGCCTTGAAGAGTCTTATAGACGAGCATCAGGGGTCCTTGTCTGGATTTATAGCTGTTAAAAAACATAGATGTCAATGATTGATTTAATCACATCCACTTTTTGTTTTGCAGAACTTTTCACGGACAGATCGGCTGTTGCGACATCGGCGGTTGTGCCAGGGTCGCAGTGTAGCTAAAGTAGAGAACCAGCCATGCTGCGAACCACGCCCGTACCCCCAAGAACCCCCACCTGCACCCCCAACCTGGAGTCCCCTACACCCTCCCCCGGGGCGGCTGGCAGTCTGACATTCCATCCTCCCCTCACCAACAACACCACCAGAGTCGGGACAAACCACAGGGTTTCTTCTTCTCAGCTCTGTGCAGAGTGACGCCCTGCTCTAGCACAGGCTGATCAAGCAGCTCCGCTGTCGGGATTACTAATGACAGAGGGACATATGTGTTCTTGTTTTGTTGACTTTTTACTGTGATTCCTTTTCTCCCCAGTTTTTTTTTTAAAGATGAGACTCTTCTGTGATGAACAGTGGTCCTGTTTTGTACTTAATCTACTAGATTTTTGAAAAAAAAAAAAAAAGCTTTTATTGTTGTTCAGATATATCTCCATTTGGTGGTACTCAAAAGGGCATTGGGTATTGTTTATCCTGATGTGTGAGCATCAAAATGGGATTATTAAGTGGTGAGAAAACGTATTTGCGCTTGTTTCTAATGAGGCCCATTTTGCCTCCAAATGATTGCCTACTCTTACAAACTGGAATTTCCCTCCATGTAGGACGAAGAAACGACTTCATGAACCTCTTTATTCGACCAGATACTGCTTTATTTAAAGGCTAACAAGGGGATGAGCTCTAAAACAGATTACTCAGTATTATCTGGTCGGTGATTACATACAGCACGATTTCACTGACTCTCTCTGTACATGACAGATCGTCAATGGTTACTTTATGTAAATAATGGATAATGTTTATTATTTTTTATGAACAGTTTTTTTTTTTAAATAAACAAAAATGGGCAAAAAAGAAACAGAAAATTAGAAAAGGTTCACATACGGTTTCTTGCCACTGTTACAGTAACAACCAGAGGAGATCTGGGTAACTTTGGAGTGTGTTAATTATAAGAAGAAATGTCAAACTGTGAACCAGGACTTCCAAGAAGGGGATGGTGAGAGGATGCTCTATGTGGAACACAAAGAGATCAATCCCAGGAGTACTAAGTGTGTGTTTCACCCATAGTCTGTATATAGCATGGACAACAAGACTCCGCCTCCCTTCATTGTACGAATTTGAAACCAAACTGCTCTCGGTATTTACAGGATTTTCTCAAACTGGCATTTGCGAAGTAGAGTTCGGCTGTATCAAGTGTCAATCATAAAAAACACGAACCCCTAAATAACTTTTTTAAATGGTGCTGCACAGAAAAAAGAGGACTTGAGCACAAACCAGTCTGACAGTAACTACATGTCAACATCACAACCAGGGGTGAGAAAAATGTATATTCTGTATAATAAATTCCCAAAGTTTGTCCACAACTCCATTAAGTTTGCTGAAGGAGGTGGGCTTTATGACCTATACTGCAGCCCCTCACCAGGGGGTGCTATTTTCGTGGAGGCTTCACCCACCGAGGAGGCAGACGGCGTCCATTCTATATGCAGTCTATGGTCTCACCTGTGTTTGTGTGAGGACTAAGGAAGTGGTTCAGGATGGCAGCCTTGGCAGGTCATCCCAAACCTACTGAGAGTTGTGCTGATGTGTGCTCAGCTGAGATCAGAGCTCTGTCCATACATCCTGGTCGAAAGCAGGTTGGCCACCGTAAGTCCCATAGTGTTGTTTGTACAGACTCTCACATCAGAGTGAGACAAGCGGGGTATACAAAATCTTGTGGCCTTAGTGTGTTTCTTTTTTTCATTTGCCTTTTTTTTCAGCTGTTTATTATTGTGGGTCAGATATATTTACTAAGACGAGACAGCCTTTCATCATCACGGTATGTTTTTTTTCTTCTTTTTTTGATATCCGATCGCTGTCGTAGTTACAGAATGTTGACAGCTTCAGTGGCGTTAACGCAAACTCACATGAGGAAGGTTGTGCTTTGATGAAAAGGAATTTTCTGGGTCATTTTTACTGATTACGGTGTAACAGTTACAGAGTCCTGGGGAGCGTGAGGGCTTCTACAGTCATGGTCCTTGTGAGAAGCCAATCGTGCGAAGTTGTTTCCCTCTGCAGTGCTTTGGTGAAACGCAGCCTGAGTGGAATCAGGACGTGCTCGACTCTACTACACACTAACAATTGCCTTTTTATCCAGATATTATGTGGTTGGTGTGTAATAATGGATGTCTGTCATGTCATTGGGTTTAGCCTTAAGTAAGTGCGGATACACAAATAATCATTGTAGTACTAAACGATATTGTAACAAACAGTTTCTTTTACCTATGATGAACTTTGGTCTTACTGTGTGAAAGTCTGTCGACGGTCAGAGCTGGTTGATCTGGGCCTCTTCGCTGCCCATGGATAGATTTCTCAAACTTGATCCTTCTGTGATTGGCGATCAGATGACGCTGAGTGTGCAGATTGGTCTTCTAGACTGAGCGTACATTTATATGTAGATATCATAGCTGTTCCTGTACACTATAAAGATGGCTGAAAACGTACTGTTTCACAGAGGCTTCGATAAGCATCTGACTCGATGTGGATATTTAACCCCAGAGTGGGTCATGTTGTCTCTCATTTGTCCGATGGGCATTTTTTTTTGTTTGATTCTGAAACAAGGCAGCTTGTTACCCGGTTGCGTTATATTTTACATTGTTGTTTTCTTTAGAATGACGTCCTGAAATGGTCCATTGAGATAAAGTCAAAGTTGTGTTGTGGTTCAACAGTGTACAGAGATGAGATTTGGTTTTGACTTACATGTTGAGATCAGGACAAACCAGTTGCACAAAAAAGGGTCAAGTTTGAGAAACGTGTAAATTTGCTCTGGGAACATAATTCCTGATCTGTGGAAGTGAAGCTGCGAGCACAAGCATACATATTGAAAAGGCTAAAGGGCAATACAGTTTATAGATAACGTCACTTGTTAATACATTTTTGTCATTTATTGTTTTTTGGTAATATCAATCTCATTGTTTAAAATGCAATAGAATCCTTGAGTTTCAGATAATTTGTTTATAAGATTGAGGTTCCTCTTTTTCCTTTTGAGCAGATCCAACAATTACTTTGAGAATTTTCTCAACACATTTTGGTGTTTTTTTTTTTTTCAAGGACCTTTTTTATTCTTATGAAATTGTAAACACTGGAGCAAAAGGAAAAAAAAGACAAAAAAGACAGAAGTGGATATTTTTTTTCCTTCAGACTGTACTAGATTTTAGGTTTTAGACAAAGCCTATTTCTCCTCAACTTGATATGGCAGGTGAACAGAAAACTTTGGATCAGTACAGTTGAAAGCCCAGTATGTTTTCTAATTCTGACATTAGAGGCAGTAGAACCACAAGAAAATGTTTTTTTCTTACACAAGGTCCCTGGTATTTGTAGTAAATTATATTGATAATGGTATTAGATGAACAACAGCATAACAGTAGCTATCACAGATTAGTTGTTTTCTTTATTAGTCTTGCATGCAGAGTTATGGTCCTCAGTTAAGATAGGATCTTGATATTGATTATTTTGTGTAGGAAAATGAGTGCATAAGAATAACTTCCTAAAAAATTGTTACAATGATTATTGTAAAATGGGCTAACTAATATGTACCCTTGTGATCCAATTAGTTTCAAGTATATGAAAATCAGAGGAGAGGCTTCTTACTATTATGCTGAAATAAAAAAAATGTAAAGGACGTCTGCATACTGACTGGCTGTGTTTGATTCATTTTTATCTTTTGTTTAGACATTTGAAGAAGACATGTTCTGTCTTGAAATAATCTGGACAACCTCTTAACTATTAATTTCACTAGTAGTACTAATAGCACTAGTAGCAGTAGTAGTAGCACTAGTAGTAGAAGTGCCATTTGAACATAAATTATTTTTTAGGTCCACCTGGGGGTGCACTTCAGAAAATTTTATTGTTTTAAATAGCTTTTGAATTCAATCATTATTTATGTCTCTTTTAACTGGTCTATGGGATTTTTTGACTGTTATAATCTTCTTATTTTAAGGCAAAATTTAGGTTGCCAGAAGGAAACTCTACCCTCCACTGACAGCAGTGAGCATAATTAACATGACTCTTATGACTCTTATCATCAGGTGACTCAGGGCACTGGTGAAATTATTGCTTACACAATCAAATCTTACATTTAAGAGCTATACGTGGAAAACTCCTTTGTGAAGCAGTCCAATCAATGATTAACTACCCCCGAAGGAAGTTCACAGAAGCGGGTCTATTTCATATGCACCAGTTTCTCCCAAAGACGCTGTAAAGGTGCTGCTGTTCATGCTGGTTATTGATTCATGAAATATAGTCGTCTTTATCTGAAACTGAGTCATGACTCACGTACCAGGAGTAGTTTATCCTTGAATTACTTTCAGGATATGTGATTTCAGGAAATGTGATTTCCTGTAAAGATCAGACACGTGAATAAAGGTCTCACTGAACACTATTTGAAAGATGATATTTTCATTGGTGCGCACTTTTCTCTCATGCAGTACTCTGAATGACAGACTGTTGTGTCGATCAAAACAGGGCTAACTTGTACAAAACATGATTTAGATTCATATTCCACCCACAACATATACAAATTAACTCAGTCACAATGACTTTCATGTGATATGGTGACACCCTGAGCTGCATCTTTTTATTTTTCCGCACAGTTGTTACTTACAATCTTTGGCCTTCAGATGGCAGCACTCTTACACAAATGTCTGCGTTTAATCCTGACTTTGGAAACACACAGAGGGCTCTTATCTCAAGAACAACTATATATTCATAAACACCATCTGACAATTTTCTTCTCTGAATCTAACCTTAAAAATCAGATGCACCCAGTTTAAGGAATGTTAGGAATACTTTGCTGTGACAAATTACTGTACCAAGTATTTTGCAGCAAAGCTAAATGGTCAAACTTTGAGATTACTCATGAACAAGGCCGCAGGGTTTACCCCAGTATCTCTTCTTCCTTGTGTTTGCTTTGCAGTGCAGTAATCTGCAGCCTTTGCACACTGTGTCTCCGCACAGCAGTGTGTGTCTCATCCTCCTCCTCCTCTGCAGAAAATGTGTTTGTAATGAATCTTCTCAGGAGGGTTTTATAGGATGACATGCAGCATGTGTGGAGTGTCTCTGCAGCTGGGAGTAGTGTTGAGCTGGACTTGTGTCAGAAATTCAAAAAGGAACACACCTAACTCTGTCTCTGTGTCCTCACAAATGCACAGAGAAGACACGAAGCAGGGAACTACTTGGTAAAATGTTCTGATATTTGTCAGTCTGAACTTTTTTATACTTTTTTCATGCTCTTTCAAAGGGCAATACCAATCTTTTAAAACAACACAATATGCTCTCAAATCTAGGGACTTTGGGCTGCATTTGCATGTTGCGGGAAACTTTGTGGCTCGAGAACATTTTATCGATCAGCTCAAAGGGTGTGAACTGAGTAAACAGAGATTACAGCTTGGGGCGAGTAAAATGAAGCTAAAGTCGCTTTAATCTCCAGCTGAGCTATGATTGGTTGTTGTTCTGTGGAGAATAAAGAGGCCATGTCTGAACAGAGAAATGAACAGAATCAATGACACAATTTCATGCTGATGCATCAACTTTGATTTCTATTTTCACAGATGATTCTGCTCTTTTTGTTCGGTGGGCGCCATGTGGAAGGCTGTGGCACTTCTTTGAGATAAATTCAGACTTAGATACAGTCAGGACTTAAAAGAAAGAAATGGATGTCTTTGAAGGCCACTGCAAACACAGGTTCAGTATTATAAAATCGTCTGGAGTTTGGAGTCCTGTGGCCTGTACTGTTGGGCCTGTACTTTGGCTCAGTGGTGTATTGATCTAAAGACTAAGCATGATAACACACTCATAATAACTAATGTCATTGGCAGATGTTTGTCTGGTTCAGTGCATTGCTACATACTTTTTTCAAATGCCAGCATTTTTCACTTAGCACATGTAGGAAGTAAAGGACCAGTATGTCGTTTTTTAATACTATTTCAATGTCTATTTTGTGTCCTTTAGCTGTTGTCTATCTTTTGGTTTATCTGCTTCTATTTATGGTCAGTTAATGATACATTTTTACTCACAATGTGTTTATTTGTGGTTATTTTGTGTGTCTGTTGTGGCTCTTCTATTTATCCTTGTATCATTAACTGTGTGTCTTTGTGCTATTCTTCATCTCTTGTAGATGATTTGTGCTCCATTGTGGCTTTTTTCTAGCTTTGGATTTGTAAAAAGTGTTACTTTTGATAAATAATGATAAACTAAAACTCTATCTCTTTGTGATCAGTGTCTGTTTGTGGTCATTTTGGATATCTTTTTTGTTGCTTTGTATCTTTTACGATCATACTGTATCTCAGTTTTTAGTTGGGGTTATTTTGTGACCCCTTCAGTTTTCTTTACTCTCTTTAGTAAATGATTGTATAAGTCCCAGAATTTTGTGACAGGTAGGTCTGTTCTGAAATTGATCCACATTTGGGGACAGGGATCATAATTTGTCAGTTTCCTACCTGCCTGTGTTTTTTAATCAGTTTATTGTGTATCATAACAAACCCTCCTCCCTCATTTCAGCTATATCTCCCTGTGCCAGTCATATCTCAGTAACCCTGGGCCAAGTATTGACTCTACTGCTTGCTTTTTTGTCTGATTTGTCAGCAGCTGAGGCCGTGGTCATTGACTCCTGTCTGGCACCATCATGCCTTTGGTTACCCATCATTCCATCCTCTGCAGGTAAACACTCACAGACTTCACACTGCCTTGCCACGAGGGCTGGGGTTTGATCAGTCGCGTGGCTCCTAAACCCATCCTGACTTTTCTCAGAGATTTGATCCATGATGCCTAGGGAGATGGACATGAGGAATTCGGAAAAGGTCACAGGTCAAAAGCAGCTGTAGAAGGTTTTGCCTACTCTAATGAGAAAAACCTGAGTTCCTACCCTGCTGTGGATGAAGCCACAAGACGCCTCCTAGGGTTAGGGTTAGGCTTTATCCTAGCACAACGCTGTGTCATCACAAAACTGAGGCTAAATCTAGACTGTTAAGAGATATTCCGGCGTAAAATTAAGTTAGGGTCAAACACACCATAACACCAAGTTATAAACACCCTGTAGAGACATGAATGTTGCCGACCGCTTGCTTCTCTAGTTACACCAACTTTAGTAACGACTGCATGATAGCAATACAGAGAGCCACACACTAAACCAAAAAGCCACTCTATAGCCACAATAATGCTCAGAACAGCACCTAACTTCATCAACAGTACATATAGGGTCCCAGCCATAATAGCCACCAAACACCTTTTTAGCTTTGCCTGATTTCTTTAGCAAAGAGACTAAACACAACTCACTCACTCTCTTCCAGCAGCGAGGGAAAGCAGCTCAAGGAAAAACATTAATGATAATTTCGTCATGGAAATGCAATCAGACCGATACGCTAAGGCAGAAGAACTACAACTATCTACATCTATCAGTGCAAAATGATTAATATGATGGTAATTACTTCATGGACATAATAAAGTAATGATCATAAATGTTCTTCCTTGAGCTGCATCACCCCGCTGCAGTCGATGGACTCGCCTGGAGGTCTTCGTACAAACAAGTGGCTGCTGGAAGAGAGTGGGAGAGCTGTGTTTGGTCTCTTTGCTACAGAAACCAGGCGAAGCTAAAAAAATGTTTGATGGCTAGTACTATGGCTGGGACCCTATATGTACTGTTGATGAAGTTAGGTGCTGTTCAGAGCATTATTGGTGGCTATAGAGTGTCTTTTTGGTTGAGCGCCTGGCTCTCTGTATTGCTATTGTGCGATCATTGCTAAAGTTGGTATAACTTGAAAAGTAAGCGTTCGGCAACGTTTATCTCCAAAGGGTCTCTAACTCGGTGATACGGTGTGTTTGACCATAACTTAAACTTTACACAAGAATATCCCTTTAAGTATATATCTTTGGAAAGTCACACGTGTCTGTATGTGTAAAAAGTATATTGGTATAACATTGTAGGCTTATGTTGCACAGTATAACAGATAGTACACAGTTGTTGCTGTCATGATGCAGACCTCTTGGTTGAGTTTCATAATGAGTTAATGGTGAGGTGACCTCAGGATTACCTTTGGCAGTTTCCCAATTATTGTGCCGAGACGACGAAGCACTAACGCAGTTCAGTGAAAACTCCGCATAATACACTTTTGAAAGTTGGCCTTTTAATGGAGTGCTCTCGATAAGATGAGAAAATAATCGAAAGCAGATGCTTAACTAGAACAGGCTAATTTATCAGTTTGTCACATTTTGGATGTTTGTAACGTTGGAGCTAATGTGTGCAGCTACAGTTTTTGCTAACAGAAGCACGGCGCAAGTCTTCTCATTGGGGCTTCAAAATAAAACCATGTTATTTTTAGGCTGCGCCCACTATTTTTTAAGAAAAGCACCAGTTTATTTTTGATACTGTTTTGAATTCTGAGAGGGATTTTCTAGCTGCTTTTTTTACCCTGCTATTCTTTTGGACCAGTATTGGATTGCTGTTACCTGGATGAGACTCTTAATTTGGAAAAACGTAATCGGAAGTTTTTTGCATTCCCAGATATACACTCAAACTTCATTATCATCGGAACAGTCTGCCGAGAGAGACCCAGGGTTGGGGAGAAAGGGGTTAAAGACACAGCCCACTGCTTAGGAAGACACTGTTCGGGTAGACTCTGAACCCCCCCACACTCAGACACTCCACCCCCCCTGAACAAACACATGAGTGGCCTCTGCTCTCGGACTACACCGTTAGTAACAGAGCTGCTCCACTTTCTGTCAGACACGGACGTTATGTGAACTACAGCGGACCGGTGAAGTCTGCTCCCCGGCTCCCCTCCCTCTGTCTTCTTCTTCATCATCTTCATCGCTGAGACTTCCACCAAAGACCCTGAGGATGTACGGGAAGACACGGGTTAGCAAGGGTCAGCGAGCCGGATCATCGGTGCTTTCCTCGGTGGTGAAGTAGACACCGAGGCCCGGACTAACCCGGCTCTTTTTTTCGCATGAGTTCTGGCAGGAAAAGGCTCAGTTCTGAGGCAGACCCAGAGACCCAGGAGGATGAGGAGCCCCGGAGTCAACCGGATGGTTTTTGCCTTGTGTCTTGGATGTTTGATAATGGTCCTCCTGTACTTTAACAGCAGCCTGAAGCTAGGTGAGCCCATCCTTCTCTTTTGGCTTTTAACTAACAAATACAACAGCCCAGGGTTCTTCATGAACAGGGCAAAAGGACCGGTCATTGTTAAAGATTTTAAATTGAATTGATTATTACCTCCTTCAACTAAAAAATCATGAACAAAAATGATAAAAGCAATAAAGAAAATTACTGTTGACAGGCATCGGTTTTTCAGGGCCCATGCTGAAAATGAGAGAACAGGTTGGCCTGTATGTCCATTTTTTTTTCTTTTCTTTTTTTTCTTACATTTTTTTAATACCAACAGATAATAGGATAATAAGTAAGATGTTTGACTTTTGTTAAGAGAAGTATTGCCATAAAAGGACTTAATCTCTGTCCATCCATCTGAAATAACTAGAATAGAAAAGTCACAGAGAAATATTGGGATGAAAACTAAAAGAAGTCATGTGTAAATACATTATTTCATGCAAATAAAATTCACATTTCCCTGTTTATTTTAGACAACATAGTGTTTCAAATTGAAATGTAATGAATTTAGGAAACATAATGGCAATGTCAATCAATCAATCAAATTTGATTTATCTAGTGCCAAATCACAATAGTCGCTATCCCAAGATGCTTTCCAAAAAAAAAAAAAAGAGCAGGTCTAGACTACACTCATTGTTTGATGAATTACAAAGACCCAACCTTAAGATGGGACAGATCTGACCCATCTCATCTAACATGAGTGACAGTGGCGAGGAAAAACTTCCTTTTAACAGGCAGAAACCTGAACAATATCAGCTTTGTTGAATTTCCCCTCGGAGATCAAAAAAAGTTCTTATTTTTCTTTTTTCTTTTTCTTCTTCTTATGAGAGGTGATGCCAATATGACCCAGATTACTAAAGAATCTCATGAATAGGCCAAATAAACCGTCCAACCATCTCATCACTGTGGTTCTACTACAGATACAAGTTAGTCTATTTGTTGTGAAGATAGACCGGTTTATTGGTTGGCCGATGAATGTCATTTTTAGCTAATAGGTATCACATTAGTATGCCCTGGCCAGCTCAGTATTACCAGTTATCCTTCTAAATGAAAAAATGCATTTGACAGCGTGTCAAATCTGAAACAGTCTCTTGCTTGTGTTTAATCAAATTATGATGTGCAGAATAATGCAGTTTAGTAATAATGTTGTGTTTTTTCTTGCTTACCAATTTCAGACAGCTGGGCAGAAATCCAAAAGTCCCCTGTGGCAATATTTCACTTAACCACATACTTTTCCATCTACACTTACTTAAAAAACATTCACTGGAGTTCAGCAGTTTGTTTCTCGTATATAGACTTACCAGTAGATAGAGCTGATATGTATTTATAGTAAAAATGAAAATCTTTATCTTCATTTTGCTATAGGTGGCTAAATGTGTAGTAACAGTAAAAAAGGTGAGTTTTGAAAACTGTGGACTACAAGTGCTCAGATTTTTCATTAACATGAGAGTACAGGAAAGACACACCTGCATTTTTAACCGCTCATTTTATCAATGGTCAGTAAAATACAACACCAGCACAGATAATTGTCCAAATGCCAATATTGGCCCCCAATAATTAGCTGGGCTGATGATCGGTCAGCCTATTCATATTTTGCACCACCAGTATTGTGATGTAGTTCACTGAAAATTGGATGCAAATATAAAAAGTGCTTGGTATGGGATTTAAGAAGAACTGTATCCCACACTGAGAGACTAGTGTCTGTGTTTTTAAATCCTTTTATCATGAGTCATAACAGACCCTCCTCCCTGCTTACCATCGCGTTGGCCCTTTTTCACTCCCACCCCGTGTTTGGGTTTCCCAGAAAACTGCAGTTCTTGCTCAAGGAACAATTTCATTAAATAAGTTATTGACGGAGAGTTTCCTCTTCTACGTGGGGGAGGGCAGGGAGAGGTGGCAACTGGCTGGCAGTGGCGCTCGCAAAGATCTGTTCCCACCTCTCCCAGGTCTCTCCCTGCCTCATACAATCGCTTCATTCAGACATTCCCAACTATATCATGGGCCAAAAAAGTGTATATAGCTCATACTGTGAGGTGCCTTTGGGTTTTAAGAGAAGTCAGTCATCTGGGCCCTCTCTGTAACAGGACCCTCCCCGCTCCCGCTCCCATCCTATCCTGGGTTGTAACTTAAGTTTTGGATACTCTACCAGCTGAATAAAGCATCTTTCATTAAGCAGTAGGATTTCACTCTGCATTCATGTCCCCCTGTGGTGGTCCCATATCTGGATTTAGAAAGTCCAAACAGATGTTATTTTTTACTGCTCATAACTAGACTCGATCACTCAATGTGGTCAGCACTAGCAGTTACACTGAAAATACGACTAATAGGTAGGATTGCAGATGAGCATGTGAAGGTTTACAGATAGCATCAGACCTCCTTTACTCCCCTGAGATTGGAGCACAATTTAGCTCATCAGGCACTTTTTTTGGATACGTATCTGCTGACCCCTTACCTAACTCTGATATGTTTTCACAGTACAGGACACAGTATGGGACTATTTGGACATGGAGGTATTTGGTATGTGACATGTTTGCAGAGCAGCAGCATGAGCTTCTCCAGTGCTCTGTCTGCGCAGGCTGCATTCAGGCTCTGCACTGATTCAAGGTTATTTGTATTTTTGGCAGCACTTGGAGCCCAACCCATGATCTATAGTGAGATGTTCAGGATAAAAAAGGTGGGATGTAAAGATCATATGTTAGTGTTGTCTTCTGCCTCACTGCCCTTGTTCCCAAAATATAAGAAAATCAGCTGGTGCTGGTTTAAAGGACAGTAAATTTAAGAGAATTGCCTTGTTCATAGGAAAAGCTAGCTAAATCCATAGAGCTACCACAATCCATAATGTCTGCTAAACTGGTAACATTGTTGGCTGTTCAGAGATAACTTTGTTGTGTGGTGAGTTTAAAAAAACAGGAGACAGGATATCATTTCCGACCCTGATTTTCTTTTATTTTTTTCTGTTTACTGTGCATGTCATAAGACAAGATAAGATAAGAAAGACTGAATTTATCCCCGAAGGGAAATTCAAATTAATTAATGTCATGTGGCCTTGTGGGCAATAAAAATATTCTTTTCCTCCTCACGTGATAAACCAATCTGAGGTGCTCTTTCCTTTCCACTGTGATTGAAAACCTTAGGTCTCCAAATCAGTACGAGAAATCCCTCTGACAAAGCTTCAGTCGGTTTTCTTCAGAAAAATGACACTCTAGAAGAAGCGCTGAGAGTCTGTGGAAACACAGAGAGAGGATGTTTGGAAAAAAGTTGTAGACAAAAAATTTTAAAAACTGGGCCGAAGGGCTCTATTTTCATGCCCGCCAGTGGCGCGGCATAGGGTCACAATGGTATTTTCGACTGGCAGAGCCCAGCGCACAGTCAGTTTGATATTTTGGTAGACTGGGGCGCACTGAGGTCTGCTAAACTGGGCGTGGCGGCGTGGTAGGGGGAGGTGTTGACAGAATTAGCTGGTGCAGTGAAGTTTTCGTGCCCGGCAGCAACGTGGAAAGTGGGATGAAAGCTCACCTATTCAGACTTGGTCAGCTTTCAGCACAGGCGGAGCGCAGCTGGTCAAGTGGTATTTTAGTTGACCAGTGGAGCAATTTGTGGAAAAGGGTGTTTGTCTTACCAGAGGGTACAACCTTACAGACACCAAATCCCTCTGTGCTTATTTAAGAGAGTGTGGAGGATGCCATCTCTTGATCTCTTTGACTACTTCACAAATATTGTAATACGCCTCGACGGTGAGGAGCTGATGTGATTGGTGAAAACAGGACTCAGCTGTGTTAAACCCACTCCACGCCATATTCCCTCCCTCTTTCCTACTTACACCAATGGGAGGAGCTGAGTTAGGGAGGGAGGATACTTACACTGAGTATCAGTACACTGAGCTGCGCCGCTAACCAAAATACCAAAGTGTGCTTGGGCATGCCTCATGGTCGCAGTGGACCTGACTTGGGCCGCACCTACGCCACGCCGTAGGTGAGGCACAGAAATAGAGCTCAATAGCGGTGCTGTTGACTCAAGAGCATTTTTGAGACAGGAGTCGACGGTTTGGGGTTCACTTTGGGCATGTTTATCTCTGATCATAAGCCAGTTTGGGAAATCAAGGGATTAAATGTTCCAGTAAACATGCCAAAGCAGGTGAGAAAAATGAAACACTAAGATTAAAAAATGACACTGCCATGACTTGTCTGCTTAAAACTTGGAGCTATGATTTGGTCAGGTGTGGGCTTACTTTGCTTATGTGTTGCCTCCAGACTGTGCTTAATTTTTATGGCAGATATGAGCGTATTCATCACAAATATACCCAGCAAAAGGTACTCTAGGGAACCCATGAGGCACAAAGACAGGGTAAAAACAGCATATCCAAGCTACACTAAGGTTGTTTCTTTCTTTTTTACCTTTTTTATTGTGTTGCTTGACCTAAGTGTTGCTGAATACCAAATGAATCTCATGTTTCATCACAGCAGCCCGTCAGCTTTTAATCTATTTAAATTAGTTTCAAATAATCCGTCCAATCTGTCCGATTTGCATTTAGAGTACCTTTACCTCCTTGCTCATGCTCTATCTGGGGTAAAGGTCATATTGTTTGTTCAAACACTGTATAGAGCTGCAGGAGAACAGCCACACAACGAAGGCATGCACTGCCAAGTCTGAGATAGTCAGTGTAAAATTGACTTGTTTGTCTTTTGTGTTCTTGTTCCAGACAGGATTCACAGAGCAGTGCTAAGTTTAGGATAATTATAGAGATACACAGTGGCTTTCCTGCTGCACTGTCATAGACATACATAATAAAGAGAATAGTTTGGCCAAGTATGAGATGCCTTCCACGTTGCAAAATACTTCCCAATTTAACTGTGATGTCTGTTCCCACAGCATGTGTTCCATTTTCCTGTAGACATGCACAATTCTGACTTGATTTTACATGCTGTAACTGTATACAGCTGTTGGACACATTATCCTGTCTAAAGAAAACCTGTCTTCTTTTTATTGCAGTGATTTATATAGGTCTTGCACACACATGTCAGGTCTGGCTATAGATTGCTTTCACTCTAATGACAGGACAAGATAGGCATTTCTTTAAATGTCTGGTGTCTTTTTCACGAGGACATCAGTGGTTTCTTTATATATCTTGTATGGCCAGAAAAACCGAGTCGAAGGAATTCTTGACTGGGATTCAGTATGTTGTGTTTTATTGTCCTTTGAGGAAAATAACAGATATGTAAGTCAAAAGTAACATTAAAAGTACAGATGTAAGTTGATGGTATCTAGTTTTAGCTCTTTAAACACAAGCAGAACCCCTTCCCACCATAAAACCAGGGGCTACTATTACCCAAGCTGTCTGGACACGACTTAGGGGCCAGGAAAGTCATAAAGATTTACTTTTCAACACCTCTTTATTTGAACACCTGCAGCAGCACACTAAGCTAATTTGTTGTAGGGCTACTTTGGACATAACTTGGACATGGCATCAGTCTAATGTCTCAAAGAACCAATAACACTTTAAGATATGAGATTATTCAATTAAAAAAAATACTCACAGCATGTGTGACCTAAGTGTCACATGGTGATCACCTGAAATCAGTTCTGTCTGCTCACATTTCCTTGGCCAGATCCTTGGCCATCGGGGCCATCTCCTGACAGGTCAGGGTGACCCTCCGGCCAGCTGTACATTCATGAGCTACAGGAGCTGATGAATCAGCAATTATTAAGACCATCTGCTTTGGCAAAGGCATAGTCATTTGACCAATAAAGCACATTTCAATCACAGAGAAAGTTCAAAGCTCTTCATGACAGTAATGAAGTGTCTGTTGTAAGACAGAGACAGCTGTAGCACAGTACTAAAAAAAATCTGAATCAAATCAGAAGCATGGAGCAAGTAGGAGATCACCTGTAAGATGGATCTTTGTTTGCAGAAATATAAAAACAGAAGTCTCACTCTGTTTTTGTTCAGTAACAGCCAGTGAAAGATTTTTGAAGACTAAAGTTTTTTTACTGTGTTAACATTGTTCAAGGAGGGTGGATTCATACATCTCTGGGACCGCTCAAGTTATAGAGAAAAGGCAGTGCTTCTGAATCACCTTATAAAAGTAGACAACTGGCTTAAGATAGAAAGAAAAAGGAGTAACTAGATCTACTTAGATCTCAAGTGGGCTGAGTTTGTTTGGCTGTGTCTGGGAAGCCAAGACTATCCCAGCGGTATATCCTGCTGAACATGAATGTGTTTCCCAGGCCCTGCTATTCTCTGAAGTTATAGAACAGTGACATAGTGACAGGACAAAGCAAACAGAAAAATGTCTCTGTAGATGTGCATAAAGTCTTTTTTTGAACAATATTTGCAGTTTGATTTCTTGCAGATTGTTTGTCCTTTGACAGCTGAAGAGAGACAGGAAATATTGTGTGTAGAAAGAGGCGTGTTGTGCAGTGAAGGGTTACGCTTTAAGTCAAGCGTTGGGACAGGGACTAGCTTCTGGTACATGGGGCACACCCTAACCACTAGACTAGACCAAAGCGTTGCCCAATTTCTCACTGAATCTCTCTGCCATAATAATGGGAGAGCAAATGAACCGTGTCTAATCCATCTGAACCGACTCATGGAGGAATAACAGAGATGGTCTTAAAAGCATGATCTGGATGAGAATATCCTCTGAAAATATTAACAATCTTCCTCATACTTGAAGGGATTTGTAAATGCATCTTTTCACTGTTGAGAATGACCATAGACTGTATATACTATGGACAATTTGGCTCCGCCTTCCGTCATTATATGAATTTGGAGCAGAATTGCTCTTGGTAATTCCGGGATTTTCTCCACTTCCTGGAATCATCACTTGCGCAGTAGCGTTGTACGCATTCGGCAAGAGAATTGCTGTGATGACTCTCGGCTAAAACAGTGTATCCCCCTGGTGAGCTACGCAATCTTTATACGCCCATAGGCTGTATCAAGTGTCAATCATAGAAAACATGAACCCCCTGATAACTTTTACAAATAGAGCCGCAAAGAAAAAAGAGGACTTGAGCACAAACCAGTCTTACAATAACTACATGTCAACATCACAAGCAGGGGGGAGAAAAATGTATATTCTGTGTAATAAATTTCTCCATAGGGATTGCTGGAGTAGATGCAATTTATGACCTATACTGCAGCCCGTCAACAGAGGGTGCTGTTCTCACGGTGGCTTCACCCAGCAAGGAGGCAAACGGCGTCTATTCTATATACAGTCTATATACAATCCTCCAACTTTGATGGCGAACCCTTCTGCGACGGGGGACTATGCAGCTTGGCAGGATAAAAAATTTACTGATATCAGCACAAGAAGGAAATGAAACATAAATGTTATATTCAGCAAACCACCGGATGTTGATAAACGAGGACATTCTTCAATCTTCCTGTCTCCAGCCGATCTCCAGTGGGTTGGAATCCAAAATGGTGAAAACAAGGGGAGTGTTGGTATGTTCCTCCTGATAAAATTAAACATTGATACAAAGAAATCGAGTTGACCAATCAGAGTTTTGGTCGACTCAGCACGTCAACCAATGAGTCCACCAGTCGACTAGAACTTTACAGCCCTACTCAGAACACATCATTTCTGGTACCAATCTTGTTGTGCTGTTGGATTCAACGAACCTACTTTGAGTTGACTTGTTAGTTTGCAGTCAGCTAACAAACAGCAGATCATCAAATGCACATTAGACCCTGATTGACATACAAGAATGGCATCTCTAACTTTTATATTTTCTGTCAAGATCTAGTAAATAGACACCTCAGCACATGGATTTGTCTGACTTTGTACTGACACCGTTTTCTAAGGTCCATAAAGATCAGGCCCTTGCTCGTTCAGTGTGAGTCTCAGTAAAACTGCTCTTCAGCAGGAAAGGCTAAGGAGGAGGGGGGAGGGGGCCCCCTGTTTTCCCAGTGGGACGTAAACACAGAGCTCCGTTTATGGCCCGGACAGGAGGAACACACATCAGCCTTTCTATATTTTGCATTTCCCCAAGCTCTTAGTTCTGCACGGGCCAGGAGGAATGTCTCAGAGTTAACCCAAATGGCAGGACCACTCCTTCCTTTGAATGAGCTTTCGGTGGGTTTGGTGAATCTATTCAGTGGAGCTGAAAGAGTTTTCAGTCAGAGCACCATACAGGTTGTGCTAATTGTAAATGTCACTGCATCCTTTCTTTTTATTCACTTTTGAAAGACCTGTCTTCATATCCTCTTCTGTGGCATTAAACAACAGCCTGGTCATTTCCTCTGACCTCTGCAGTGTTTTTTTTCTGTTTAGCCTCATATCCATCTGTCTGGCTGAAAAATTCAGTTAATCCTGTAATATTTTCATCCATCTCTTTGTGAAACACTTTGCAGTAGATTATGGATCAGAGTTTATTTCCATTTATTCATTTTTAGTCAAATTAACAATCTGCCGAGCTTGTTACAACATACGATTTACTCTCTGAAACAGCCTCTTATGTAGCAGGGACTGTGTTTTTTAACATCTCACTAGCATCTTGCCTGTTTTATAAAATGATAACACAACTCAGAAGTTTTTGCATTGCTTCCTATAGCAGCATAGATGTAATACGGGAATAATCTTTGTATTATTTATACACTTGTTTATTTGACAAGGACAAAAGCATCAGGCATTGCTTCTAAGTGTGTTTAAAGTTCAATGTTGATGCAACCACCTGAAAAACACACCCTCTTTAATAAAAGGACCTACTTTAAACATAGAGACTTAGCATGAGTTTACACTGTGTAAATGCACTAAATACCTCTTAAAGGCCCTGGAGGACTTGTGGCTTTTGTGAACAAGAACTCCTCCTGCATCCAAAACAACGGTTCCTTCCTGGATATTAATAATATGATCTTTCAATCTCCTCAGTACACGACTTTAGGCCCAAGTAAAGCAAAGAGGAGAAAATGTTTTTCTTAAGTCTGAGTGAGTCTGTGAAACAGAGAAGAGGTCACCTTCCAAACACAGGCTTTTGAGACAACCCCTTGAGTTCACAGCACTTTTAAGGCATGTGTCCCTATCAAGCCAGCTTTGCATTTTAGTCCTACATATACAGGTGATGCATAACTGTGCCTCAGTGTCTGGTTGTAGAAAGCATGCCAAGAGCCTTCATTTGTAACAATAGTGTTGGTATCTAGTACACACCCTGTACTGTGTGCCTGTGTCACAGAAACTATAGCGGATATTTCTGTATCAGTATAATACAGAGTTACCAAAAGGGTAGTACCATAGACTCAGTGGCGATTACTCTAAGACTGCAAGGGAAGCTCAGCTTCCCCTAAAATGTAAAAAAAAAAAAAAGTGGTGAAATATGTACGGCTGAGTGTAAATTTCATTGACTAAATATGCGCTAGAACGCGTTCATCTTTTGTTCAGAATCAGCTGCTTATCACAGGTAACTGACACGACTTCCTTCTCATTCACCTCGGCAGTGCCACAGTGCTTTACACAGTTGGACGCTGAGCATCGAACGACTTCAACGGGGAAGCGTAGAGTGGGTGTAGAGTGTGCGAAACTGGATGCTCAGCATCTCTCTGGATCTATGAGGCAGTGGGCTGGCCCAGACGCTCGGCTGCTGCGTGATGATTGGATGATCCGTCTGAGGCGGAATCCTTCTTTGATTGACAGCGAAATCCAAGTTTCTCATTCCGTTGTTCTGAACTGATCCGGAGACTTTACCGATCCCCAGCAACTTTGTCTATGTTAAAAACGACTAGCCTTGTGTTTGGCAACTCACGACAGGGTCAGAGATCATTTCCTTGAAAAGGAACAGAGGGCAGAATTTACATATAAATAAACAAACATATTTTTTGTTTTTGTTGATGTCTTGACTATTGAGTGCCACAGCTCCTTTGAAGTGCGTGATGAGAATTTTAGAATTTAGCAGTCAGATTGTAGTTTTAAATGTTTCCTTATTCACCCCTCCTGTCAGTAAAACATTGGTAGAACATTTATTACAAGAACCTCTGTAATGTTTGAAAATTGGTCCGTTTTTTACCATCAAAAATGTTGATCAATACAAATTTTTTGGTGTACAACAGCCTCTCTCTTCTTTGCTCACGAAATACAAAAATCTGAGTATTACGAGTTTGTCTGTTGTGTGCCCCTGTAGAAACATGGCAGCCTCTATGAAGAGGAACCTGCTGCTATGTGACTGAAAAAGGCTAATTTTAAGTTACCCAAAACATTTTTTCTATTAAAGTGATCACACTCACATTTCAGTTACTGATGATTGTTATATCCCATTTCTGCCAAGTCTTTTCTGCCAAATGTCTCTTAGTTCTTTACACGTCAGCATCAGCAAAGAAAATAAGGAGTAGTTCTGTTAATCTGACAGTCTGATGTTTATCATCATAGATAGGGCTTAATACTTCAAGGTTAATCTGGCCATTCCAAGAAAAGTCTACTCTAGAGATAAAATGCTGGCAATAACAAACCAATAAAACTCAGATTTTCTTCTAATGCAACAATTTTTATTCCCAATGTTACTATTTTTCACTGTTTTATTGTTGGACCACAAACTGTTTAGCCTTTCCCCTTATTCTTTCCTTGTTCAAGCTCCAACTCGAGTTATTTTCTTTTTTTTCTTTTTATTCTTTTTAATTTTTTCAAAGTTAGATGAGACTTTTTAATTTTGCACGTCTTCTCACTCAGATGTCCTGACACGTGTTTTGTTTCTCCTCAGCCTCAGAGCCGCTCAGTGAGCGGGGGAGCGGGCAGAAGTCGAGGAGGAGTCCTCTGCAGACACTTTATGATGGTGACCAGGTCAGTGCTGTCTAACATCAATGCAAACAATAATTTACCATAGTCTGTCATATCCCTCATTTAGGCCTGGACTCTGTCCCTCCTTTTTAAGGCCTGAACTTTTTTAAACAGTTAAAACCTCATCGATTAATTTTTATTTTTCCTACTCATGCATCTCTTGGCAAAATATGTGTATATTTTAGAATGTAAACTTCTCCAAACTCTTTGGAAAAAGTGATAATAAATAGCTGAGTTTCCCCGCCGTCCCCTGCAGGGAAACCTGATATTTATGGCCCATGTGGGGAAAGTTCCAGACAATTACTGGCGGGTCATGATATCCACAGACGAACTTGGCCACATGTTGTAAGCTTGGCAAACCCAGTTAAGGATGTTAAAGTGATTTTCTTGCATTGTTCAAACTTTGACCTTTCACTCTGATACAGCACTTATGCAGGGAGAAAAAAACACATTCAGTCTGAACACTGAAATGCTTTAGCCTACAGACAGAAACCTTCTTGCAGGAGGTAAACCTGTGGGGGTTAGAATCCATAATCAAACTTGAGCAGCACCAGTCCCAGTCATGTATGTACAGAAGAGGATTAGGGCCACTGAAAAAAAAAAAAGTTCAAATATAATTTCCTTTCATTATTATTCTGAGAAAAAAAGTCAGAATTCTGTCTTTAAACTCAGAATTCTGACTTTTTTCTCAGAACTCTGACTTTATCTTTAAAGTCTGACTTCAAAGTCAGAATTATGACTCTAATCTCAGAATTATGACTCTGAAGTTTTCTGACTTTAAAGCCAGAATTCTTACTTTTTTCTCAGAACTCTGACTTTATCTTTAAAGTCTGACTTCAATGACTTCAAAGTCAGAACTAGAAAAGCACTCGGAGAGCACAGACCTCCGCCAAGCAGCTCATGTCCCCCCTTATATTGTGATTCATACCAAAAGTTTAACTGTTACGTGTCTTTTATTAACGTTTATTTGTGTTTAAACTGGTATGTTCACTGTTCATAATGTTCCTAAAACAAGAAATGCCCTGACCAGGATTGGAACCCAGGACCTTCTGGCTGTGAGGTGACAGTGCTAACCACTACACCACTGTGCTGCCTATCTACACCACTGTGCCGCCCATTGGTTATCTTTTAGCATTGAAAATTCCAACGACACCCTTATTTTTGTGTGTTCTGGATCACAGTATCCAGAATTTTGCCAACATGGCCGACTGGCTGAATGTTTACGTGTTGGAGAACAGAGTGCTTTTTGATAAAAAAACACAAACGTTACAAAGATAACAACCTGAAGGACAACTTGTGGAGAGTCGTGGCGTCGGATCTCTCATATGACGATAGTTTGTGTGCTTTAACAGTTTGCTAAACGTCTGTGTTTTAACTTTCACCTGTGCCAAGTAACTTTAGCTCGTAAGCTAACCTGTTCAGATACAACATACCGTATGTATTTTCACTGTCTCTAACTCAATCACGTTACTGTCACAGCACCATTAGGTCTCGGTTGTTACCTTACGTTTATGGATTATAGTTTAATGTGCTTATCTAGTACTGGCCCCGACTCAGCACATGCTATCATGAAAAACAGTCAGTCTGCTGTGACACAACAGCAGACTGACTGTTTTTCAGTTGCGTCTTTTTCCCCCCAGAAAGTCAAAATTCACCTCCAAATATTTCGTGATTTCCCGTTCTATATTTGCGTCGGCCCCGGTGTGTAAGGACCTTTAGAATAATTATTTTTGACCTTTTTGAATTTCTATAGTTTTTTTTTTCCAGTGGCCCTACCCTCTTCTGTATGTATGAGAGGTTAAATTTTGAAGTAAAAGATGTTATTTCTATCTCTCTTTTTTTATGAATCACCACACATACCTTCATGGAGCACAATGATCAGGGTACGATAGGATGACGTCTTCATTAGGCTTTGCTGTATGTGGTCTTTTGAAATGCAAGGAAGCTTTCATACGCTGTACAAGTGGGTGAACTTTGAACCATTGTGAGCTAACAAGGCCGTTGGCTGTGTAAGTACAGTCTCACAATGTTCTCCAGTTTATTAATTATAGGAAATACTCAGCCCAGCGTATGAAGCTGTGTTGGAAAAAGTTGATCCCTACAAGACCCCTTTAATTGAAGTCCGCATCTCTTTGTTTTCGTCAGTAAGTGGCTGAATCACAAATCACCCCGAATCCTCGTGATGTTTTTATAGTGGTGACATTTTTCATGTCAGATACAGATGCTTTGATGTTGTTATTTCCAGTGAACAAAAGGTCAGCCATCTTTTTTGAATTATACTAGTGGCAGTTGAGGATTTATGAGTTTGAACTGGTAGAAAATTAGAGCTGGGTATCCTTAGCCAACCTGATACTCACTTTATTGATTACATAGGTAGTAAGTAGCATTGCAAAAAATCTGTAACAGGAGCGGTTGTTGGTCCACTGTAAGCTCATGTGGAAAGATTAATGATCAGACTTGACCCATATTTAATTGAAGATGGCTCCACTAGTAATAGACATGTATGAATCCCACTAAAAGTTGAACCATGCTGATTAATTTCCGTTCCTGAAAGTCATTGATTCTTTCTATGAATCCACACATGTTTTCAGGTATCCATCACTGTCAGTTTTTGAGCAGCACATGGAGACACAGCTCCAGAAAACCTCCTCTGTAGCAGCTGTTTCCATTTAAATCTCCCTGTGAGCAAGAGGAAGGTGAACATGCCAGAAAACAAAGCAGCTCCGGCAGACATCTTTTATTTTTTGTTATTCTTTTTTTCCTTTTTATTCAAACACTTCCCTCACTCGTGGCATCTGGTAAGCTTTCGGAATGAAGAACAGTAGTAATTTGATTGACTCCAAATGTATTTATTTATTTACACACGACACCAGTATGAGCCTGCTGAGTTTGATTTATTAAAGGAAATGAGGTGAAAGTCTGGCACAAGGACACAGACCTGCAGACCAGTTTCGTAAAGTATTGACTCTGTCCACTATAGTGAAGAGTTTTCAGAACGATGAACTTTGGTTATCTAAAGTCTGTGCAAACAGCAGAATTTGGGGGCAAAGGGGGGCGATATCTTCAGCCTGTGGACGCCTCAATCTTTCCTCATGCTGATTATCAAGAGCAGAGAATCATGTGATTTTTATGAGAAGCTTCTCTACCTGTGGCTAAATGCTGCTACTGTGTCTTTGGAGCTTTGCCACATGACTGAGGTCGAGGCTGCTGGCAGGTTTTTCACATCTTGAGACGTACAATAAAACTTTGTGTTAAAATAATACTGTTTTTTCTTCCTGGAAGAAGCTGTGCTTCAGGAGCATTTCAGATAGCTGCTCTGATGTCTGTTTCCAACACTTCGAAATACTTCCATACAGCAGACTCATTCAAGCTTGCTGTTAAAGACACGCTCTGACAAAAATCATGTTTTTCTTGGGGGTTTTTTATGTGTTCATATGACATTTTTTTATGCTACGGGACGTATTATGAGAAAACTAAGTGTAAAATTGCATTTCTGAGTATTTCTCTATTCAGATCGCTGTGAATCTCCGGAAGACCCAAACGGCAGGTTCAGACACAATGAAATTTCCTACATAGCAAATCCAAGCTCCGCCCCCCCAGCCCCGTAATGCAGGCCACACTCGGAGAAGCAGAGAGGACAATGGCAGAACAAGCGTGTGCATTAGCTGATTGCAATACTTGTAAGAAAGCTAATTATGATATTAGCTTTCATCATGCCCTTAAAGACATTAATGTCTGAGAGCTGAATAGCTCCTATGTTACCTGCTTCTTCTACTACACAGACAATGTTAGGCTGTAAGCTAACGTGAAGAGAAGTGTGCAGAGCAGCACTGTCTCCGCCCACGACTCAGAGGAGAATTACTAATGAGCTACTGGAGCTCTGCAGAAGAAAAGCCCTTGAAAATGATGCAGGTGACATGATTTTAGCTAAAAACTTCAGAATCACAATTTAAAGACAACTGAGCAGACTTTAAGTAGTAAAAAAAAAAAAAAACAACCGGAGTGGGACTTTAAAGCATAATGAATGTGTCTCCTTATCAGCCCCCTTATACGTGTCAGTGGAAATGTTCATATCTGCTGATACTGGTAATGAGCTTTTAAGCTGCTACCTGCTGACACCAATACCACACTAATGATGTCTCACATTTGTCCTTAAAAGTGCTGGTAAAATAAACAGCTCCTTTATCACACTTTGTTTTGCATTCATTCTATGATATGAGGTATTATAACTTGTTGAATTAAAACATTATTTCACCTTTGTGTGGTCTCAAATTTGATTTTAAAACAGAAATATAAATACCTTTAGACTTTAGAGTCAGGCGGGACATACAGATTTGGTTAACTTGTTAAATTTGGCTTTAATGTAAGTGCAGTTTTCAGTACACTTATTGTGCATATAGAGCCAAAGTACTCAGGTAAACCCTCTGATTGGCATGTTTATCTTGTGGTGCATCTTTGGTGCTATTTTAATATCCTTTTGGCACGGCAGAAAATCATGGAAGTGGTTCATATTGAGACTTAAAAGTCTTAGGTGGAAAGATATACAGCGTCTCCACACAGTCCATAAAACTCCTGCAGAGAGAAGGGTCAGTGTTGGCTTAACAGTTTTACCAAAATGCTGTTACCTTGATGTTGCAATGTCTGCCAGTAAACACAGAGAGCCACACATCGTGTCAGGCCTTGAGTCAAAGAGAGCAACTCAAGGCTCTGACCACTGCAGTGGAGAGCCAGGCCGAGCAAATGAAAGAAGCAAATAAGACATCTGTGCCACGAGAAGGCCAAGCTAAACTTGCTGACCCATGATTTCATTAGGGAAGGGATGGGCCGTCATTGAGACCTCCAGAGAAGAAATTTTATAAACAAGATCAGTTTAAACCGTCTGCTCACTCCTTCTTCTCTTTCTCTCTCTGCAGGTGGAGACAGCGGTGCAAGCAATCCATCAGGGTCGACGGGAGGTGCTGGAAGAAGCCTGCCGCTCCTACACCCGCAAACGTAGAGTTCTTATCCCCGAGGACCTGAAGCATGTCATTGTTGACGACCAGCATGGATTACTGTACTGCTACGTCCCCAAAGTGGCCTGCACCAACTGGAAGAGGGTACTCATGGTTCTGACAGGTGTAGCCGGGTCCCACCAAGACCCACTAGAAATCCCTGCCAATGAGGCCCATGTTGCAGGAAACCTGCGCACTCTGTCAGAGTACTCCACCTCTCAGATCAATCTGCGCCTGCGCTCCTACCTTAAGTTTGTCTTTGTACGTGAGCCTTTTGAGCGGCTGGTGTCCGCCTACCGTAACAAATTCACACGGAGCTACAACACAGCTTTCCATAAACGATACGGCACAAAGATAGTGCAGCGGCATCGACAAAACCCACAGGCCGAGGCTCTTGAAAGAGGAAACGACGTCTCCTTTGAGGAATTTGTGTATTACCTCGTTGACCCGGCCACCCAGAGAGAAGAACCCTTCAACGAGCACTGGGAGCGGGTGCACTCGCTGTGCCACCCCTGCCTTATCCACTACGATGTAGTGGGGAAGTACGAGACGCTGGAGCAGGACTCCCGCTATGTGCTTCAGCTGGCTGGGGTGAACAACCAGGTCAGCTTCCCAACCTCATCCAAAAGCACAAGGACTACAGGAGACATGGCGGCGCAGTTCTTTGGCAACATCAGCCCTTTCTACCAGAAAAAGCTGTATAACCTTTACCGCATGGACTTCCTGCTCTTCAACTACTCTGTTCCAGACTACCTCAAGTTCAGATGAGGCTGGGACCACACTCGTACCTTTAGAGCCAGAACTCTGTTTTTGAGCTGCTCTCTGTCGGCCTTAATGGACCACTAAAGAACCTTGAAGTAACTTTATACAGCCGGTGAGATCAGGACACAGAGGAGCTACAGCTAACATTACACTGTTAACACTCATAACTGAGTCCAATTGGATCGCTGCCTTTGAATGAATTCTGGTGAACTTTTGGTTTATCTCTGGTTTTCTGCTGTTTAATGCTCATCATAATGTAACTGCACATTTACAGGTGAATTGAAGTTTGACCGTTTTCAGTGAATGCCTATAAATGGACGTGCCTTTAATTGACCCTTTTTTTTTTTTTTTTACCTTCACAGACAATGACAACTTTTGAAACTGTGACTGTTGACGTTTTGTGCCGCAGGAAAAGATTGATGTGCAACTACGATTTATAGCTGTGTATTAATTTATTGTGTTAGTTCTTACTCCTCAAAGTCAGAGAAAACAACACGTCTTTATAGTTTCTATGACAGCTTTCAAATAAATCTATTACAGCAACATTTTTGAATATTGGTGTGAACACTGGAGTTGTTACCAAGTCTTGACCTCCACATTTATGATATTTGGTACACTACGTAACAGACATCCTGCAGAACCCAGTGACTACAACTTAGATATCAGTCTTTATTTCAGTGGCTGCAAAGATATCATCTAGAAGTTTCTGTAAATGTGAAAGCTCCACAAAGTCCACTCAAGCCATTAGTCTTTGTGAGATTAGTACCATCTTAAGGTGCTGTTTATAGATGAGCAAAGACACGTCTCTATCTGAAAGTGCATATCAAACAGAAAGAGCCTCATATAGAGAGACTCATTATAAACCATCTGATCACAAAAATAGCACAAAGTTATATCTGCATCTGCCAAACGTTTAACACATACTAACGTGGGGACATACAGACACTTGGGTACGAGAGGAGTTTGAAATTAGTGGCACAGGAACAAAACACTCTGTAGAAATTTGGCAACATTAGCATCAGAGTCCAAGGAAACACATCAGACATCTGAAGACGCTTCACAATCAAAGTCACAAATCAATTCAATCTAACATTCAACTGCAATCTGCAGCAGAGGAGTTATATTTGTCAACATTTACACTAAAACTTACATGGATATCAATGATATTATTGTCTTAATACAATCATTTGCCATCTAATATTTAACTGGGTGTACAGGTGTGTCAACAGTTAGCATACAGAGGTTATACAGTATTACAGGCAGAGTTGGCATTTAGATCATTCAAACTGCAGTGTACGACTACTGACAACAGTGATCTAAAAAATACAGACTAAGGTGCAAAAATAAGTCTCTCCTCTCCTTAAAGGGAGTGTAAATTTCTGGTGTAAATTTCTGTTATTGTCAAACACCGAGTTAGACACCCCCTCAGGAGATGAATGTTGCCGACCGCTTGCTTCTTTAGTTATACCAACTTCAGCAACGACCGCACAATAGCAATACACAGTGGTCTACGTCTCCACGTGTAAACCTCAACCAAAATGCCACTTTATAGCCACAAATAATGCTCAGAACAGCACCTAACTTCATTAACAGTTCATACAGGGTCCCAGCCATAGTACTAGCCATCAATCAGCTTTGCCTGGTTTCTTTGGCAAAGAGACTAAACACAACTCACCCACTTTCCTCCAGCAGCCGCTTGTTTGTAGGGGGAACCCTGACGAGTCGATCACAGAGTGCAGCAGATCATTTCCATGAAGTAATAATCATCATAACAATCACTTTGCACTGCAGACGCGGTAGTTCTTCTGCCTTAGCGTCTCGGTCTGATTGCATTTCCATGAAGCAATAATCATAAATGTTCTTCCTTGAGCTGCGAAACTCCGCTGCACTCAGGGATCATCTCGTCAGGGCTCCCCCACAAACAAGCAGCTGCTGGAGGAGAGTGGGTGAGTTGTGTTTGGTCTGTTTGCTAAAGAAACTGTTCTGAGCATTATTTGTGGCTATAGAGTAGCTTTTTGGTTGAGGTTTGTACATGGAGACGTAGACCGCTGTGTTTTGCTCTCGTGTGATCGTTGCTGAAGTTGGTATAACTAAAGAAGCAAGCAGTCGGCAACATTCATCTCTTGAGGGGGTGTCTAACTCGGTGTTGCAGTGTGTTTGACCATAACTTAAATTTACACCTGAATATCCCTTTAAATGAATCACAGTTGACTCAATCTATTCTGCAGTCCCTTATTCATGCTGATATATTGGTACGTCAACTTTCAACTGAGAAACAATCCTCTGAAGCACGAGTTATATTGTATGAAGAAATTTCCGATTGCACAACAAACGATTAAATTTTTTAAACAAATTGTATTTGTGCTCTAGTGCTGATGTGTCCTATTGCTCTCTTAGATGAATAAAAGTACAAAATCATAGCCTCAGTCGTTCAGTTATCCCTGTCTGCTGTGTGAGCCTGCTTGGAGACGCACTGGGAGTACAGGACACATAAAGAAGTAAATGACAATAAAATTAAACAATCATTGTCTTTATTGTCCTATCCCCTGGCTGTGCATCTTGTTTTCTGTAGGTACATTCACCTATTTTCAATGCAATTCAGAGTTATTTCTATTGTACTGACTGATTAATCGATTGTTCTGCATTGAAAAAACGAAACGTGCCAATTCTTCATCTGCTTGCACTCTAAAATGAAATTGTTTTCTGTGTTATTCCTCCTTCAAATATATAACACATAATGTCTCTGCACCAACAATCGCTTCAGCATAGACTGCTGTACTCACCCCCTGTTTGCTTTAATCTCCACATTCCATCATGAACCCTGTGATCTTTGCATCATGTTTCAGCCACTTGCATATGATGAACAGTACATTCAGAAGGTTCAGGGCTGGATCAGAGGTCTGTGTCAAACTCTAGTCCTAGGAGAACTGACCATCAGAATCAGTCTGAAGCTTAAAGCCAGAAAGCCTGTTCCTAACAGATCACCAAGAGCTGTGAGGTAGGGAATGGAGAAGTTGTCGGGATCCTGTCCCCGTCTCCACAACCACCGCACCACCAGGCCAGCCACATAGAGCAGAATCACCACCTGGATGATACAGAGAGCAGGAATTAAAGAGGAGAGCACCTCAGTTTTGGGTAAAACAGACCACTGCACACACACACACAGGTTTTCTTTTTGAGGAGGTCTTGGTTGATCTGACCTGAAGCAGAGCTGCAGACAGGTAACAGATGATGAAGTAGGGCGTCATGGCATTATGGCCTCCATGTAGGAGGTGGATGAAGTACAGGAAGAGGAGGTGCCCTGGGACTACAAGAATGACTAGGACCCGTGCTGATTTGGAGTTCTCATCTGTAGAAACAGTCGTAAAATAATTACATCAGTCACTTTATTTGCGGTAAATACCTGAAGTCTTGAGTTTTTTTTGTTTAATGGAGTTAAGAGTTTAGCAGGTTTATATATATATGTATATATATCCCCTGAATTGCACCCTTTTACCACTACTTCAAGAACTTGTCGCCTGAAAAGAGTCCTTTTGTGGAAAAAAGCCGCTAAACAGATATCTGTACAATCTCATTTTGTTGAAACCTCCTGGTGTGGGGACTGAGCAAACATTTTCCATAAAGGGATATTCCAGCGTTAATTTAAGTTAGGGTCAAACACACTGTAACATCGAGTTAGACACCCCCTCAAGAGATGAATGTTGCCGACTGCTTGCTTCTCTAGTTATACCAACTTCAGTAATGACCGCACAATAGCAGTACATTGGTCTACGGTATGTCTTCATGCGCAAACCTCAACCAAAAAGCCACTCCATAACCACAAATAATGGTCAGAACAGCACCTAACTTCACCAACAGTACATGTAGGGTCCCAGCCATAGCACATCTTTTTAGCTTTGTCTGGTTTCTTTAGCAAAGAGACCAAACACAACTCACCCACTCTCCTCCAGCAGTTGCTTGTTTGTGGGGGAGCCCTGGCGAGTCGATCACCGAGTGCAGCGGATCATTTCCATGAAGTAATAATCAACATAACAATCATTTTGCTCTGCAGACGCAGTAGTTCTTCTGCCTTAGCGTCTTGGTCTGATTGCATGTCCATGAAGTAATAATTACAAATGTTCTTCCTTGAGTTGCGAAACTCCGCTGCACTCAGTGATCAACTCGTCAGGGCTTCCCCACAAACAAGTGGCTGCTGGAGGAGAGTGGGTGAGCTGTGTTTAGTCTCTTTGCTGAGGAAATCAGGCAAAGCTAAAAAGATGTTTGGTGGCTAGTACTATGGCTGGGACCCTATATGTACTGTTGATGAAGTTAGGTGCTGTTCTGAGCATTATTTGTGGTTATAAAGTGGCTTTTTGGTTGAGGTTTGCATGTGGAGGCGTAGACTGCTGTGTATTGCTATCATGCGGTCGTTGCTGAAGTTGGTATAACTAGAGAAGCAAACAGTCAGCAACATTCATCTCTTGAAGGGGGTATCTAACTCAGTGTTACGGTGTGTTTGACCATAACTTAAATTTACACCAGAATATCCCTTTAAGTCACAGGTGCAGAATATTACAGATTTGTTTGGACGTCTGTAATTCAGCTCACTGCTCACCACAAGCGCCCACCACTAAAATACCATAAACACTGCTCTCCAAAGTTTACACAGCTGGCTGCTGGGTAAGTTTTCTTTTTGTTTGGTTGTGGTCAGGAAATGGATTGTTATTCTTATTATTACTCTTAATCTTATTTGTTCCTATTTTGAGTCGGTTTGCTGCAGGAAAATGTCTTTAAACAGCAAAGGTACCACAAAACCAACAATCTTGAGCTTAAACAGACTGCAACTACAAGTAAAACTTGGGTGAATCCACTCTGACCTGAAGAGAAGAAGGTTGCACAAGGTCCAGGACAGCTCCCACCAGCTTTGATAGGAAGACTTCCAGGAACACTCCGGTAGTGGAGGTAGGTGGACATCCTGCTGGCTTGAATGGCAACAAGATTTCCCCCAACACCTGCATGGATGTGGAATAAAATATTACAGGGATCAATTCTTTAAAATCAAAAGTTGCTTGTTGCACCTTTTATGGGTAAAAATAAGTGAAATTTTAACAATTAAACCTTCTATCTTAGCTTTAAGATTTAATATTTGCTATTGTCAAATTCTCACTGTATGATCACATACAAACTGCAGGATTTTTATCAGCTGTTTCGTGTCGATTTGAGGCTGAGTGTTTGCATCAAAAGACACAAAACCATCCAAGAATTGAAGCCCTAAAGCTCTCAAAAGACTCAAAAGTCCGTCTGACTATGGTGCCGCAGTTGTAACAGTGCTCTAACCTCTATCAGCTTACACAGCAGAAAAGCATGGGGACAGGCAGTGAGACCATTTATCCAATCTTGTACTCATTTATTTTCATTTTCTGCTTACACTTCTGTTCAAAGACTGCCTACCTTTTAAATCCACTCATCCAACAGTGTGACATGATGAAAACTATCCAACTGCAATTCTGATCACTTTATTTCTACAAACTGCGAAGTGAAGAACTCAGTGCTTTTACATTAAAAGCTGTCCTTTTTCCCACCACCAGCTCCAGATGAACAGGGTTTAGGCGAGGTGGCTCTGAAGCGCCATTGATATGGAAATGCACTTCCTGTACGATGACTTCAATACATGCAGGATTCTTTGTGGCGGAGGGACGAGATGCTGCAATCAGGAGCCAGTGAAAGCATAGTTGTCATTCTGATCAGGCTTGCGGTCCATGTAAAGACCATTGTTATTTCTCTCTACTTAGTATGCTGCTTTGTGGGCAACAAACTTCAGTCAGTCAAGCTCTGGCTCGAAATGTCTCTCAGGGGTTCATTTGAGAGGCTGCTCAACTCCAGCACCACTTTAATACCTCATGACTGATTAATAGTTTGGATAGAAGGGCCCTATAAATATTGGAAAAAAAGCTGCAGGGTTTTCATGCTCCAACTATTTCAACATGATATTAGTTGCCATGAAGCTTTTTAATAATAAACATAAAGCTGATCAAAAGGCCTAAATGCCACTCTTCAAAGATAAGGACTGCTGAGACATCGTTGCCCCAAATCTTAGCTCTGCTTCTCCTTCAGGGAAACTTGTCAGTGTTCATTTATTTAGCTGAGAGCGTGTAAAAGGGTTCTTTCCAAATGTCTCAGCTTTAGTTAATCCAGCACATGAATATCTAAATGAAATGTAAATAAACTTAAGCTAAGTTTCTCTCCTCTTGACCTTTTGTACAAAAGTATCTCAGCAGCTGAACGGAGTTTCATTCTCTGTTGATTTTGGCAGCCACTATGGACAAAAGTGGTAGTGTTTTAGCGCGTGTTGTCATAAAGACTCTTCTCTGGCTTGTACATCAGGGCTCCAGAAACTAACTTTTTTTGTGAGCAGTTTGAGGCAAATTACTTTGTAAATGTATTTAATATGGGAAATGAGTCTGGGGGTGCAAGACAGATGTGGAGCAGCTACAGAGCTGCTCTGAGCTGCTCTGCCGGTCTGTCTCCAGTGCTGAGGAGTTTCTCACTCCGTGGCTGCAGCTGTAACATGACACGTTGTCTGCAGGAGTCTCCTGCTGCAAGACATTGTCACCGTTTGTGACAGTAATATGCGTGTTTTCAGTGCAAAATAAAGAGAAAAAAAGTGCATGTCATCTCTGGTCGTTTGGTGGTCCCAACACCGACGACTGGCTCCTGTTTTCCCTGTTTTCACTATTTAGAAATGACTTATCTTCACACAGATGGGCTCATTTTGCTTTTTTTTCAAATCTAGTTAAAAGTTCCATGCAGGACGTTTAAGCTTGACAAATTAAATAAAATATAATCTAGTATATGACCTCATAAACCAGGTTCCCACCACAAGAGGGTCTTATTATTGACCAATGCAGGAACAAATTCTTAAATTTGTTAATGCCTATGCGAATTAAAATAACAGATCAAGTTGTTCTTGATCCAATGTTCTTGTACCAATTGTAAATGTTTCATGGGAAAGTAAAGGATACCCAGTCAGTAAGCATGTGCAAAACCATGTATTCTGAGTGACAAATATTGAATTCTGTATCCCACAGATGAGAGTTTCTTTGATATTATGTATGACAGAATATGAGTTTGAAACGTCCGTGCATGAAGAATCATCAACGTTAGCTTTGTTTTTACAAGACTAAAGAGTGAATTTAATGGTTTATGGCTGCTGAAGGCTGTAATTAGATTATTCATGTGGGATCATAAGAGTATGACTCATGCTGCTCTTGGAGTTAATGGTGTCCGCTCAATTTGCATGGACTGATTTTCATAGAGGAAGGAATTCTATACGATGTGACCACAGATGAGGTAATCGTCAAGTTAGGATGAGGTGATGCCTTAAACTTTGATGGACTGGACGTACACATCACCATCTTCTTTAGGTCCAGATTGAGCTGGATTCTGGTATAGTATATAGAAATTGGAATATGTGACAACACCCAAGGGTCAGATCCTAATCTGAAACCCTCCCTGGCTCACCCAAAGCAAAAATGGCTCTTGTGATGCCTCATTATCAGGTCACAACATTAACATTAGTCCTCCTTTACCATCAAAAACCTCCTTCAATTGGACTTTTCCTTTGTGTATAATAACCACCCCTCTCAGTTTCTTCTTCCTCATAATCCAGCCAGCGCATTGTCCGCTTCACTCCACTGAATATAAGGACTCATATGCCTGTTTCTGTGTGATGGTAGAGACATGGTAGTGTGAGAGACCTGGATACATACAGTACATGCTCATTTGAAATAAACAAAAACAAAGTGATTTTTCAAGTGAAGAGAGTACACACTAGTTAAAACATAGTGCTGAATATCTTATTCTCTTTTTGCTTAGTCTCTTCTGCTAAATCGTGCACACTATACCTTTAAAAAAGGGCATGAAAGCCAGCCCACCAGGGAAGTTTAAGAAATAAAATGGAAGCAGAAGCCAGTTATCCAATCTTACTGGAAAAATGCCTCATGAGTGTACCACTATATTTGCATACTAGTAAACAATAAATTCTTACTGTAACAAATTCCACCTCTCTATGGTATCTAGGTTATTACCATAGACTGTATATAGAATGGACGCTGTCTGCCTCCTAGGTGGGTGAAGCCACCGTGAGAACAGCACCCTCTGGTGATGGGCTGCATTATAGGTCAAAAATCCGACCTCTTCCAGCAATCCCTATGGGGCTGTGGACAAACTTTAGAAATTTATTACACAGAATATAAGTTTTTTTCTTCCTTGGTTGCGATGTTGACATGTAGTTACTGTAAGACTGGTTTGTGCTCAAGTCCTCTTTTTTCTGTGAAGCTCTATTTTTAAAAGTTATTTGGGGGTTCATATTTTCTATGATTGACACTTGATACAGCCTATGGGCGTACAAAGTTAACGCAGCTCACCAGGGGGATATGCTGTTTGAGCCGAGCATCATCACAGCAACTCTTGGCGACTCTCCCGCCGATTGTGTACAACACTACTGTGCAAGTGGTGGAGTGCGTACAAGGCTACTGCCCAAAGTTTGTTTCATGGAGTGGAGAAAAAACTCGAAAATACCGAGAGCTTTTTGGCTTTAAATCCGTATACTGGTGGAAGGGGGAACCAAGTTGTCCATAGTACATACAGTCTGTGGTTTTTACAAGTACACTGAGAAGGGGTTTTGACCTCGGTCAGTGCTCGGGAACCTTACCCCCCACAGGCTGAATATTTGCAAATACATGATCTTCCACTCACCATTGATGACAGGGGTCAACACTGCCATACCCTCGAAGTCTGGATTGCTCACAGTCTTATCCAGAATCAGACCACCAATACTGAAAAGAAACCAACAAAGTACATGAATCTGAAGAGGACATCTGCACAAGGCAGATCATCCTGCGTCATTTATTATATACAGTCAATATATTACCATTTTTTTCAGCATTTTTGCCTTTATCAGATAGGACAGAGATTTGAGGCAGACATGCACCGAAGGATTATGGCCGTAAATTAAACCTGTGACCACCATGAGGAGGACTCTACATGGAGCACTTAGCTCACTAGGCCATCAGTGTCTTTGAAACTCAAGAGTATAACATGTATAACTATCAGAGCTGATTTAGCAGAACACAGTTAACAATCTTTTCGATCAATATTCTGTAACTCGTGAAGATAAATGAACACTAATTTGAGTCTGTCGCAAACAGCTAAATTCTCCTTAGATTAAAAAAACCTGTTCTTGTTCCAAAACAAAAGTGATTTGAATTGATACTTGATAAAAATAATCTTGATTTGCTACAGGTGAGCTCACCTGCTGATGGACATGGCCAATATGACTGGTGTCCAGCCTGACTTCAGGACCTCTCTGATTGGTGGAGAACGGCGAGCAATACTGAACCACGCAGGGATAAGGAACAAGAAGAAGCCACACACGGCAGGGGGCAAGTACCAGATGTCTGCAGAACGGCAAAGGGAAGAGTTCATGTGTTAAAATCTACTATATGACAGAAGCTGGGGAGGAGAAATATGCTGTCATGCTTGGATGTTTTTATTGTTTCAGAGGAAACGTCATGGGAAAGTCTGACCATGAAAGACAGAGTAAATGACAAGGTTATGTGATTGTCTATGTTGCCCCCTTCTGGCTAAATGCTCCTATCTCACCTCTATTATGCTGCGTGGATTAAAGATCATCTTTTCTTTAGTTTGGTTCTCTTTGATTGTTGAACTAGTGTCCACACATACCACAAATACAAAGAGACAATGTGCTGATGGAGATTCAGGAGACCCTCTTGATGTTATGTAATGTGTGACCCCTGACCTCTGTAGCCAAAAAGGAGGCTGCTGATCCCAGCCAGCAAAGACAGGGTGGTGAGGTCTCCCAGGCTGGCGGCGATGGGTGTGGCCACATTATCTGGGTTAATGCCCACTTTCCTGGATCCAATAATCACTGCCACCATCACCAGACCTAAAAAAGAGACCAGATGAACTCTTGACATAGAAGTACACAATATGCTCTCGAATGTATCCAGAAAATTCAGAGCCATTTATTCCTCTGCAGCAGTTTGTGTTTTACCTAGAGACAATGCAGTGATGAAGGCAGTGGTGACGCTGCTGGCGCACAGGATGGCGGCCTGGATAACATTCAGTCTACCTCGGGTTAGAGCCCCAAGACCAACTGCTGCAACAGCTGCCAGGAAGCCGACGACTGTGGCCTGGAGCTGGTGAGGAGGAAGGACAGAGCGGAGGGACATAAGTACATAACAATGTATTTCTTTATGGGTCAAGTGATTCTCTATTAAAACTGTTATAGCCATCAATTTGTCCAAAAAGAGAAAAAGAGAGACAGTGAGTAAACTTAACTATACAGCTCAAGGAAAGAAATCAGGTATGAGCGTGTTTAATATTAAAGGGATATTCTGGCGTAAAGTTAAGTTATGGTCAAACACACCGTAACACCGAGTTAGACACCCCGTCGACAGATGAATGTTGCCGACCGCTCAAGAAAGAACATCTATAATCATTTCCTCGTGGAAAAATGCAATCAGACTGAGACGCTAAGGCAGAAGAACTACCGCGTCTGCGGTGGAAAAGGACTATTATGATGATTATTACTTCAAGGAAATAATAAAGTAATGATTATAAATGTTCTTCCTTGAGCTGCGTCCCCCCACTGCAGTCAATGGACTCACCCGTACAAACAAGTGGCTGTTGGAAGAGAGTGGGTGAGTTGTGTTTAGTCTCTTTACTAAAGAAACCAGGCAAAGCTAAAAAGATGTTTGGTGGCAAGTGTTATGGCTGGGACCCTATATGTACTGTTGATGAAGTTAGGTGCTGTTCTGAGCATTATTTGTGGCTATAGAGGCTTTTTGCTTGAATGTGTGGCTCTCTGTATTGCTATTATACGGCCGTTACTAAAGTTGGTGTCACTAGAGAAGCAAGCAGTCAGCAACATTCATCTGTCGACGGGGTGTCTAACTTGGTGTTACGATGTGTTTGACCATAACTTAATTTTACGCCGGAATATCCCTTTAAGTAAAGAACATACTCGGAAGTATCTGAATAAATAAAGCTAGTCAAGCTAGTCAACAACAAACTGTAAAAACAAGATTCAAATTGATTATTATTATTCAGAGGTTGATAATTATGTGTGATCAAATTGAATCCTGTGGTATTCTTGTATTAATACAGGGACATTATTGGATAATCTAGTTCTTGTTTCCATTTGGCAGGAGTCTGGCACATTCTGGGCACGTCTCCAGCACAGCACAGGGCTGTAAGCCATTCACACTCACACTTCAGTTCAGCGTAGAGGTGCTAATCACCCTGCATGGTATTTGGTTTTGGTTGGAGGAAACAGAAAATGTTTGAGAAAACCAGGGAAGCCTTGAAAAGTCCAAACGCCACGGTCTGCTGGCCTTCCTCTTTACATAAAAGCACTAAACAAAGTATTCAGAGGGATACACTTTATCTCTCTGGCTTTGCTGCATTCACACCATGTTGGCAGCATGACAAGAACAGGACAAATCTCATTCCCACTTGGGAGTACTTCAGTGTTATATCAAGGTGCTTTGTCCTAGTTCACTGTGGCCATATTAGATTAGTTCTTGTGATACATCTGTGCAAGCTGAGAAAAGCAGACACCAAAAATACAAAAAAAGAAGCTTGCAAAATTCGTCTTTTAAGTTGCATTTGAGAGCAGTTATTTCAGGTTGAGTCAGCAGAGACGCAGCAGCGTTTTAAATGGGGGCGACGACCTTACCGCACAAGCAAAGACTCTAGAGTTAAATAGTTTGTCCTGAATTTAGCAGAGGCGGGTCAAAATGATAGAGTGCATCATTAACAGGAAAGCGAGTGTGCAGTGGAGCAGCATGTCACCTGAATGAGAGCCAGATTACAGATCACCAGCCTCCACTGCTGCCGAGCCTCGTCCAGCTGCCCTGTGTTGGCCTGTGGGTAAAAAAGGCTTCACATCATCACATTCTGTTGGGAACAGCTTTAAAGTTGTTATCATAGGTCGCTGTCCAAACTTAAATCCAGATTAAATGACAATTACCTCAACAAATGTTCTGTTTTATTCAAAGTGTGCAAAGGTAATGAGAGTTTAATTGAGATGTTGCCCCCTTGGTGGAAGTCACTTATGTTTGGATAATTGGTATTTGGTTGTGAGAAATGAAATAATCTTTTGCTTAAGTTTAAGCTGAGAAGTAGGGGAAACTGGGGACAGTTGCAACAAGGGACGGTTGCAAGAAGGCTTAGTCCTGCAATCAGAAACATGCTAGATTGATGACACTGACAATGCAGATGCTCAGTTGGACCCCCCCCAACACACACAACCACCACCATCAGCAGCAGCTGGACAGAAGACACATTAAGCATTGTCTTCTGGATTTATTGGAAAAAACTTTTTTTTTGATGTATGAGAGTCATTTTTCTAATGGGTTTTATTTTCGTCATACCGTCCTGACTGTTTGCATGAATCAATCACAATTTAGTTAGTTTTAATTGTTGTTTAGTTGGTTTCTGAGTTACATGGTTAGCATTTGTTAGACAGGGTGTTTAGTTAGCATATGGTGTTTTGTCATGGCTGACCACCCAAGCTAGCGTTGCATGATATGTAGTGTTACATTTGCATCAAGATTTGTATTCATATTAGGGTAAAATCCACAATCCACTTACTAACATTGAAATCTGTAACATTTGCACTTCGACTCAAAGTAAGCCTATGTTCTATGCAGAAAGAAACAAAACTCAATATTGGATATTAGTATAATGGATAAATAATACTATAAGATTTTGTATATTAAATTATCATTATAATATCATAATACATATTCTCAGACCAATATGCTCATTGAGACAAAAAAAAAAAACTAATTTGAAAATTGAAATTAAATGGATTTGTGACATGTTGCAACCGTCCCAGGGACGGGGTTAGATGCAACAGTTGACTATTTCTTTTTTTTTCTTTTTTTTTTTTAAATAAATGAATATTGGGAAAAATCTGTCTGATGTAATCTTATTAGAATGGAATGGGGAATTAGAGAGGGCTGTAATTTTATGATATAAATAAATGGTTGGCCTAGTCCAAAGAGAAAATCAAAAAGTGCTGCAACTGTCCCCAGTCTCCCCTACTCCTAAATAAGTAGTGTTTGTTTCTTTTATTTTGAGCATGTGCACGTATGCTTTTGGTAAGCACATTTCCACTTACTGCTGTTGATAGTCTGGATGCCAACGTCATCTCCAGATTGCCCTTCAGCCCCACAAGAGCTGGCACCAAGATAAACACCTCAGAGATCTCTTTGAACACCTCCCAATGCTGAAAAACAACACAGTGATTTTTTTTAATGAGCCCTCTATCATCTCTGAACTTATCAAACATAACCAACCCTGTTTTTAAAAACACATTTAGTGCACAAAAGTCATTTCTGCTGCGATTTGTGACACCATAAACAGAGTGGTAAAGTTTTCAGCAGTGATGGCTGTGAATGAGGTATTTAAAGAGCAGAAATTTCAACAAGTGCAATAACACCCTTTGAGCTCTTCTTCTGTTTCAACCCACTCTTGAGGAGGATTTCTATGTCTCTTTTAACAGCATACTTGGATATTCATACTTGGTTATTCTTAGAAAATAACAAAGACATCATGCAAGTGAAAGTGGTAGACCAAAACAGTTTAGCTGTGAATGAGGTATTTAAAGAGCAGAAATTTTAACAAGTGCAATAAGACCAAGGGGAGCTGTGATTTATCGTAGTTGTACAGACTCTTCCCGGATGACAACAAGCGTTACTGTTTCATACTTTCAGTTCTCTGTAGATATTGATTTTATTGAGGCACTAAGCCAAGAAAGACCCGCTGATATTAAACAGCAATTACAACTCTGAAGGTCTGCACAGGGATTTCCTGACACAGTCAAAGCTTATTTTGTAAAATTTTATGTCAGTTTTTTTTTTTTTAAACTGCCAATGCCAGTAAAGTTTGGACATTGAGTAAGACCTGAATAAAAACAGAATACAATGATTTTCAAAATGCTGCAGATTCTTTTATTTGTTTTTGAGTCTCTGAATGGACTGGCCCCAGAATACCTGTCTGACCTTGTTAAACTGCATCAGCCCTCTGGAGCGCGAAGGTCAGCTAATCAGGTGGTTTGAGACGTTCCTCGACCCTTTTTTAAAATCTAGAGGAGATCGAGCATTTTCTGTTGTGGCTCCCACTCTGCGGAATGCTTTACCCCCGACAGTGCACACTGCGAATAGCCTTTCCACTTTTAAAACACCTCTAAAGACGCACCTGTTCACTTTAGCCTTTGGGATAGTACGGTTACTTCTATTGGGTTTTTTATTTACCTGCTATGTTTATCTACAGTATATTGTTGTTCTTTGTTTCTATTTGTATCATGCTTTTATTGTATTTACAGCTTTTATTGACTTTTTGTTGTTGTTAGTTTGTTTTTTGTTGTTGTTTCTGACTATTTTACTGTAAAGCACTTGGTAAGCCACTGGCTGTATTAAATGTTTGACTGATTGACTGAAATTTATTTTGAACATATTATTAATAATAATAATAATAATAATAATAATAATAATAATAATAATAATAATAATAATAATAATAATAATAACAAAGTAAAGAATACAACAACAAATTACAAACAGTTATTCATGCTCAAAAAGGAGTGGGAAGAAGTCGAGACTTATCTAGTCCCACCCCTTCTCCTACACTAATGGTTTAAATATCTATCATAATATTATATAATAATATTAATCATAATAATAATAATAGCAATAAAAATAATCACCACAGTGAAAATAACAAAACAATGATGATAATGATAATAGTTACTATGATTGTACATCCCTGTATAAATAAATCTGACATTGACATTAAAAACTGTTTCTACTGAAATTCATTTGAATGCTACAAAGACAAGATATTTCATCTTCAAAATGATCGAATCCATTGTTTGTTTTTGCAAATATTCACTCATTTTGAATTTGACGATGCTGTTATAACAGATTGTGTCTTCTTGGCATAGTCTTGCTGAAATAATCAGGGACGTCCCTGAAAAAGACGGGGCTCTGATGGCAGCAGACGCTGCTCCTAAACCTGTTTGTACCTTTCAGCATTAATGGAGCCTTCACAGATGTGACAGTTAGCCATGGACACACTGATAAATAAAACTGTCTAGCATTCAGGGCATCATCTATGAAACACCTCTTACACACACACACACACACACACACACACACACACACACACACACACACACACACACACACACACACACACACACACACACACACTTTGTTCCATACTTGCACTATATCCATGACTATCCCAGCCGCCACCATGCCCAGGCCAGACACCAGATATGGAAGCAGGACTTGCGCAGCGATTGTCCATGAGCTCTCAGGCAGGACGCCGTGGGATGAGCGGGTCAATCTGCACGTGAAGCCCCTCAGCTTATTCCCCTGGAAACACAGCTCCAAAGCCAGATGGGTCACCACCATGGCTTAACCGCGTTAACCCATTCCTGTCTGGAAAGTGTAGGTAGTAAGAGGCAAGTCTCCTTCACCAACAAAGTCTGCTTCAAGGTTTTTTTGTTCAGTAAATCAAGTGATGTGATGTAACCATCCACGCAGAGAAAACAATCCTTTTTTCTGACTTCTCCAGGTAGTTTTCACCTCACTCCAGGATCTTTCACAGTCACAGATCTTGCTGAAACAATTTCCCATAAAGTAGTTTGAAAAATAATGCAACAAAGAGCGATTCAACAAGTTTGTTTTGCCCTTCACCTGTCACTCAGGCACCTAGTGGGGCAGCAACACAAAGTGCTTTGCAAATGGTGGACTGGGCAGAGAAAGCTGCTTTCAAACACTTCAAGCACACACATACTAGGACACACACACTCGCATGCACACAGGTTCACTTGACAGCAGGTCTGTGAGGCCTCTGCTGTCACTATGCGAATGGCAGACCTCCACACACACTTGCACTCAGCAGGACAGCCACACACACACACTCACACACTTCCTCTCCTCATGCCTCACTCTTCAGGAGCCGGGCGGCCGAGGCAGAGCGCTGGAAGCCTGGTCTCTCACGAGGCCTGAAAAAAGTCCAGGTCCTGTAGGACAAGGACATCCAGAAGGCCAGAAGCTTCTTTTCAGCCCTCCTGTGCTGCCATTCCTTCTCCTCCTTCTCCCACCACACTTCCTTCTCTTTCTCTTCACCTCTGTGCTGATGTCCCGTCTGAACCAGACCACTCTGGTGCCCCTTCCTCATTTTGATCAGGGGTACGCCGGGATGCCCGTCCAGGCTGCAGGATGTGTGATGAGACGTAGCACACTTTTCCCGAAGAGGAATGGCAGCTGTCGTGTTGCTGCCGGGGCTTCTGTCTGGTTCCAGATGGAGATGAGTCGTGATGGCAAGCCGTGATGGAGGGAGGGATAAGACGGAGGACAGAGTGTGTGTCTGTGAGGGTGGGATAGTGCTGATGCTGCAGGTGTCTGTGTATAAGCCAGGTGACAAGTCTCTCTCAGGACTCTTCTCTCTCCTCTGTTCTCCTCCTCTTTCTTTTATGACCACATCAGAGGATACTGCAGCTGTGCTCTCCCTCTCTTTGATAGCTCCTCCTTTCGCTGTTCTTCGATGTCCTCACTATTAGTGGGTGACGCACTCTGAGCAGCAGCAGGTGCTGTACCTGTCACCAACACGTGGTGCTGCAGCTGACTGGAAAGGACAGTTTATCCGACTTGATCAGGGGGAAACACACGGGCTGCCACTTTCTCCCAGAGGACTTTTAATGTACCAGAGATAGTTACTGTAGTTTATCTCTTTGTAATTCTCACACAATTTTCTCCTCCTCACCACAGAGACGTTTGCTCAGCCTCAGGTGTACACAGCTGCTGTGAACACCTGATCTGCTGAATAGAAGTTTAAAAACAAAAAAGACAAATGAACCAAAATCAGACATTATTATCAGAGCTTTGTTCTCCCGTTAATCCTTTGCTCACATGATGGAACGAAACACAGGCGAGAACATCAGCCTGTACAGAACACTAAGTCAGACCATGTCCTCTCACGCACACACACACACAAACACGGACACATACACACACACACACAGCCAGTGACTCAGCTGAAAAGTGTCCTTGAGACATGGCTTGGAACGGGTGCTACACTCTCTGCAGCTCCCTCCTCTGACTCTTGCCTGTAACATGGGTTCAGAAATGAAAACCTCAGCATGTAAACAGGAACTATAAGGATTAAAAAATGACTTAAAATCATGTTTATTTGTTCAGTGTATTTAAGGAAACAGGCCGACTGAAAACATGGCAGACAGTCAGGGTATCAGGGGATGATACAAATCAATCGGGGCAGAATTAAAGTCCTCTTAAACGTAAAAGACCAGAGGAAGTCTTACCCACCATTCCTCATAGCTTTAATATAAGGCTTGCATTGGCCTCTGTCCAAATAGCAGCTACAGTCTGATCAGCACTGACATTGAGGAGCTACACCTGATTCACTGCAGCTGTCCTGTAAGTACATGGGGAATTAGATCGTTGGTGTAACTGTCCACACCTGAGGGCTCTTTTGTAACCCGTCCATCAGCTGCACGCATCCATCCTTTACTCTTTCACATCCTCCACTTTTGACCCTCCAGGTCTCAGCACCTTATGCTTTGATCTGTTTAACAAAATCATCATAGGTAATTGTTGTTTTTTTCTAACTTTGAATATGCACTATCTTGTTTTCAAACATTGTGGTTGTCACCTGAGCAAGGTTATAGTATTAGTGATAAAGTCATATACTTGATGACTGTAAGACTGAATATCTGAATTATCCTCCTGAGACCCAAGGGAAAAAAGGTGTTTTGATTTTGTTTTTTTGTTTTTTCAGATAAATCAAGAGTTGGGGTGGTAAAAACCACATTGCAAAGACTATTTTGTTTTTATCTAATTTCATTTAAAATCTACAACATGTGCACCTCAGAAAACAACAGGATTTCATTGATCGAATGTCTGACACTTTAACAAAATTCATAAACTGATTATGAAAATTGAAATCTCACATGAAATCTTTTTTATGAGTAGTATATCAAAACACAACATATTTACATGAAAACATCCAAGAAAAGTAGGTCCTGGGTCAACTTAGAACTTACTGACTTTTCACTCGACACCTATTTGACAGAAGTCCATTCATTTATGATACCTGAGAAAGCACTAGGATTTTTTGGAGACAGAGGAAAATTTGGCACTTCACACATCTCACATATGTTTTACTGTGGAACCCAGGTGTTCTGCACCTAAAAGGACTTGGACTGTTGACCATTTCAGGCCTTTTAGTGAAGACCTGATCTTGTAGAAACGATCACAGGTCATGGAATCAGCTATAACTTGGACTCTTGTTTTAGCAGCCCAATACATTCTTGGATAGCCTAGACATGCCATGTACACAGAGATTCCTATGAAGGTGTTGATAAGTCTCCCTCGATGATTCTGAAAAGAATCCTCCCTGCCTCTTTCAAAGACCTGTCCACTAGAAAAAAGTGAAATAAACTGAAGTACAAAGTCCTGATGTGCACCACAGTATACATTAATAAATCAGTCATTTTCCCTGTAAAAACTAAGTAAGCTTAGCTCTGAAAACTCACTCAAATTTCTTATTAGATGTTTGTATTGGAAAATTAATCCAAATATAACAACAACAACAAAATATCAAATATAAATATCATGGTTACCTTTCTGTTTTCCATAAAATGTGTTTGTGGGGATACCAGCCATTTTGAAATACAGGAAAAGAGTAGTTGCCAAGGCCACACCCCCACACATGTCAGATGATTTTAAAGGGGCCATGGCATGAAAAACTGACTTTGTTAACAGGAGGGGGGTGCATATCAGGGATAGAAAACCGCTACAATCCCCCCAAGTTCGAAAAAATATAATCCAGTTGTTTTTTAGTTATCTCTGTATTTAGGAACTGTGTGCTCAGAGCCGTTCTGAAAACTCCACTGACATGATGTCATGTCAGTGCTGGCGGGTTGATGGTACTGCCCATGGAGCCGCCCACTGCCCTGCCCAAAATATTTATCAAAACACCGCCATTACTTCCGGCCGATCGCTCGCATTGCTCCATTTAGAACCATGGCGAAAGTGCGACCTGAAAAAGAGGCAGCGTTTGCTCTGTTGTTGGCTGTACAAACGAGCACAAAACTCTTTTGAAAACTACCTGGTCGGAGGATTTGAGGACTCAATGGGTGGATTTTATTTATAATGGTAATGTACCCGCGGCACTTCCAACATATCTGTATGTATGTGCGCACCATTTCACTTCGGACCGTTTTATCAACGAGGGACAGTTCAACGCTGGATTTGCTAGATGTCTGAAGATAAAGAATAATTCGGTACCAACTATCCGTGATCCTACTTCAAACGTGGCATCTGTAAGTATGAACGTTTTATTTTGACTTATCGTGTAGCCTAAATTCCCCCCGGTGCCTCAGCACGGCCACCACGCTTTGATAAACACACCGGATCTGCGCCGGTTTACCGGATCCTCCCGTATTTTAGCCGCTCACTTCTTCCACGACAACTCCGGCGGCGGGAGACAAATCAGCATGTAGCTTTAGCATTTACCCGTGCGGCGACGCGCCTCTTTTGGCTCAAATACGGGACGTCCCGGCTAAGCGTGACCCTCCTGGCGGCTTTGAATAATGCATAGGATGTGTCGACTAGGTCGCTTCAAGTCGCGTTTGGTCTGAACGCGGCTAAGAGTTTCTTCCGGAGCCTCTCCCTCTGGGTCAGACTCTGGCTCAAACTGATAGGGATGTACGCAGTGGCGGTTCTAGACCAAATTACTCCCCGGGCGAGCACCCCTCCAAGTGCCCCCCCCCCCCCCCCCCCACACACACACACACACACACACACACACACACACACACACACACACACACACACACACACACACACACACAAACAAACAAACAAACACAAAAAGAGATAGAATTTTGAACAGATAGTTTTGTATTATTATCTAGTATTATTATGATTAGAACAACAAAAATAAAATATTTCTCAATTGCAGAAATCCTTCAATAGAAAAAAACACAATCCTGAGGGCCAGTTGAGAAGGTCTCCCAGATCCTGAGGTTTTCTGACGTGTTAAGGTTTACAAAAAAGCTGTTATCTCGGCCTCTGTAGTAGATAGAAACAAAATTCAAAAAGTATTTGAGAGCTTATACATGTGGCTTTCAAGAAAGCTCTCTTTTAGTTTTGCAGACCTTCATCACATTTTTTAAACCTTGAACAAACAAACTTAAATGAAATAAAGCGGCTGCATAAATAAAAGTAAAGGCTCTGCACTGGAGAATGACAAATAATTTGTTTTCTGTAAAACAAGTGTCAGTCATGATAAAGTGTCCATTCAATACAAATGTAAATATAGAAAATAAGGTGTTGAAAGGGTATACAGCTGCCCCAGTATACTGCCAGTACGAAAGCAGAACTAAAAACTAAAAAATGAATAAATAAATACGTGGCTGACAGTGTGTTCATCTCTGTTCTCACCCAAAGTCATGCAACACTCAGAGAAAACGCTGATAGTGTGAGCCAAAGCACTCCATATGAAGAGGTTGTTCACACTGCTGGATGTTTCTCCTCTGAAGCTGCTCTCTGCCTCAGTCATTGTTTAATTTACTCATGAAGCTCATCAAGCACGTAGCAAGATCCGAGCATGAACCCGAGCGCTTTATTCGCCTATCGAAGGCAGACGGGTACGGTGATTTGATTCACCACGACTCTAGAAATGATTAAAAAACTACAAAATAACGTCTCCGCGCTCCTGGCAGAGTAGAAATGCGCAGCCGCGCTCCCGCTGATACGCTGACATGCGTACACAGAGCAGAGCTGTCCACCCGCGACCCTCTCCCCGCCTCGTCTCACACAGTCTGTCAGCCTCTGTGCAGCACCTTCGGAGCAAGCAGGGGCGCTTACAGCAGCGGGGGGCGCCAATTTGACAACAAGAGTTAATACAAAACCGCTTTGCGGTTAAGATTTATCATTATTATCTTTTATTTTATTTTTTTGGAAGTGCTCGTGCCGCCCCCCATGAGTCATGACACAAATGCCGCCCCGGGCGGCTGCCCTGTTCGCCCGTGCCTAGAACCGCTACTGGATGTACGAGCGATCTTCTTGCAGCCATGACCGAGCCAGTGTAGCACATGGCTATCGGAGCACAGCCACAGCCCCTTACAGAGAGATGGGTGTAAAGTGGACGTGGCTTAGGTGCAGCTCATTTCATTAAAGAGACATGGGCCAAAACGGTGGATTTTGAGCAGAGCTGTTTTTAGCTGATAAAAAGAGCACTAAAATAATTGATCCAAATTGAATTTTGACCGAAGGATTTCACAGACATGCTTTTAACACACCAGAGGACTATTATAAGTTGTGTGAAATTGGCATGCCATGGGACCTTTAAAATCTACATGTGCACCTCAGTACACAACAGGATTTCATTGATCGAATGTCTGACACTTTAACAAAATTCATGAACTGATTATGAAAATTGAAATCTCACCTGAAATCTTTTTTATAAATAGTATATCAAAACACAACATATTTACATGAAAACATCCAAGAAAAGTAGGTCCAGGGTCAACTTAGAACTTACTGACTTTTTACTAGACACCTATTTGACAAAAGTCGATTCATTTATGATACCTGAGAAAGCACTAGGATTTTTTGGAGACACAGAGGAAAATTTGGCACTTCACACATCTCACATATATTTTACTGTGGAACCCAGGTATTCTGCACCTGAAAGGACTTAGACTGTTGACCATTTCAGGCCTTTTAGTGAAAACCTGATCTTGTAGAAACTTCTCTTAAGTGTCCCTCTCAGTTTATGCATTGTTGCATACTAGCTTAACTAGTTTAAAAATTCATGTGTATTGCCAAGATGTCAATTTGCTCTGACACGGCAAGGTCACCCAACAGTACCATTATGTCACTGTGACCTCCAAACCCTCTGCCACCAGCTCAGAGCTCAGTCCATTCACCTCAGAGGGACATAAAGAGACATGAACTCTCCCTACATCAGCTACAACTCCTCTGAAAGTAAATATCAGCTAAGATTTCCATGGACAATATCACCACAATCTACACACCATGGACCAGTATACCAGTTTTCCAGATTACATATCATCCCTACTGGTGTTATGTATCATCAGTGAGTGAGTCACTCACCTGTACCTTGTCCAGCAGCATACCAGCAGTAACCATGCCCAGTCCGGCCAGCAGGTATGAAGGCAGCACCTGGAGGCAGATCACCGTGGGCGACTCTCTGGCAGAAATGTGGATCTTCTCCTCCTCGATCTCCACAGAACAATTGTTACTGCTGAAATTCATGTCAGTCCAGAGCTGCCAGCTTTCGCACACTACTGCCAACTCTCTGAAAAACTGTTTAACTTTCAGTCTGTGAACTTGCCCTGCATGCACGTGTCCTTCTTGGTTATCTACAGGCTTAAATTGTAGGGGAAAAACTTGATTCACCTTTTTATACTTATGATTTCAGGGTCCCATGTTGTTGTTGATATTATTATTATTATTCACACATATTCACACGTAATTTTACCTGTAAGGCTTTTTCAAGGTTTTTTTAACATGTGAAGTTAACCTGATCTTACAAGCGTCATGTAAAAGATATCAATACAAAACCTATTGTGTTGTAGAACCTACACAGTAGATTTTGTCATTTTATTCTTGTACCATTTAGATGCTAAATTCCCCCAAAACAGCTCAGGTTGCATACACTGTGATCAGGTAGTGAGGTGGCTTCAGTGCATTTGTTGCATCCTTAATCAGAGGGCTGACAGTGGGTTTACCCACAGGGGTTAGTAGGTGCATTTCATGCCAGTGACCATAAAGAGACAAGAAAGGCATCCTCCATGGACAGACCACTACGGCGTTACTGCTATAAATATTCACTCTACACCTCCCAACCCCAGTGAAGGTTTCATGTTATATGCCAAATGCTGAGCTCGAAGAGTGGGAGCCAAAAACAACAGCTTGTTTTCTGGATTATATTTTACAATGTGTTGCAACCGCTTGTGATTTTTCAGTAGTGTTTTCATAAAAAGTATTTTTATCGGATCTTGAACTATTTGCATCACGGTCCTTCTTATGACTCAAGATGTGTTGGGTTTCTATCTGAGGGGTACCCACATTTTCTGGCAGTCAAACTTTCATCCGTCATCTGCTCACAGTTGGGTTTACAGCTACTTTGCTTACAGACAGTAAACAGGCTCAATGCGAGAGAGAAGCACGAGAAGTCTCTGCTGTAAAGGTTTGTCTCCTGAAATCTAGAGCATGCAGCAGTTTTTGAGTTGTTTCAGATTTAAATGTCTTGTTGAATGGTGGGTTTGTTTAAAAATTCTGCATTGCAAGTTTACATGACAAACTGAATGGGATTTGCATTGGTTAACTTGTTTCTATAGGTGTGTTTAATGTGAGGAACATGGCTGAGGCATGTCAACAGAGAGGTTCTTCTGAGATGAGGGGAAACCATCCTCAGTTCACCAATGCCTCTGCCACACCTAAAATCACCACAATTCGTCTTCGAGACATTTATGATCCAAAACCTCAACCTCCCAAAGCTCCAGTTCGGATTCGCCCGCCAGGCCCAAGACCTCCCTCAGCAAAGGAGCTTAATTTAAAACCCAGCAGGCCCAGTGATCCTCCGACCAAGACGATCATGAGGAGAAGAGCTCAGTCTCTTCCTCCACCGACAGAGAGGAAGAAGGAGCTCAGGAGCCTGCAAGTGCGGTTTGTGGACTCATTAGGAATTGAGTTAGAAGAAGTCAAGGTCTTTAAAGCTCAAGAGCGCCCACTGATACCCCAACATGTCATGTTCAGACTACTGATGAATTCAGAGCTAGCTTTTGGGAAGTCCTTGGAGCTATCTCTGCCTTACTTCAAACCTTGTTTCCCAGAGAACATGAGGAGTCATCCTGATTTTGTGAATAAACTCTGCACTCAGTGTGTGTGTCTGGAGCAGGTCCTGTGCTCCGAGCAGGGGATAACAGGAACTATACAAGTGCTGAATTTGGCCTACGAGAAAAAGGTCACAGTTCACTATTCCTTCACCAACTGGAGGACACACACAGAAACAACAGCATCGTGGCTATCGAGCAGCTACAGCGGAGATGACTGCCATACTCCTCAGACAGATGTCTTCAGATTTCGTCTGCCTGTGCCACCCTTCATTTTGCAGCCGGGAGCCATTTTGGAATTTGCCATCCGCTACAATGTGAGAGGATCTGACTACTGGGACAACAACAACGGCCAAAATTACAAAATGTCTTGTCACAGCTACAAGGTGACTGTGCCAAGGGAGTGTGAGGACAGCATGCTGCACTTTACCTAAAGGTCCACAAGGGGGAGCTGAGACACCGCTCCATCATAGACCACTGACCTGAGGTCAATGCCTCACAGCCTCACCTGCTTCACATCTCCCTTTACATCGAAATTAAATAATTACTCAAGCACTTAAGATTGTCAAACGGTTTGCTTTTCCTACAAAAAAAGGACAAAATTTGATAAATGTGACACACTTGTACCCTCTGCCAAGAAAGACATTGCACAACCTCACTTTGCTTCTGTTTTCAGAGAAGGACTAAAGAGCGTAGCGTTAAATCCTCTTTTTCACTGGAATCAGCTCACTCATACTCCCCATGACGCTGACCTTTCACCAAAAAGTTTCCGCTGATAAGAGAGGCCAGATTCCAGAGGACTATTTGGCAGGCGGCAGTGTTTGGCTCACAGGAGGGCATTCCTCTTTCTGCACTGCAGCAGCACAGCTTGCTTTTAACATGATAGTTGCTGCCTGAGCAGCCAAAACTTAACTCATGAACCTAAAAAGTCATCCACTGAGGGCACAGTCTGATCAACTGTGAGGGTAAGTACTACAACCATGGATTAATCAAAATAAACCCCTCAGTAAATTCATTGGTCTTCTCTCAAATTGTTTTTGTCATTTTTCTTGGAACTAAAAATGAAATTTTTTATTTTATTTTAATTAAAAAAAAGGTTTGATTGATCAAGCAACTAAAGTGAGAATAAAGAGTATGACTGTGACTGACATGGAGGAAGAAAACAGCACGTGGAGTTTGAGCGATTGTGCTGTTTACCAAATTCCATGGATTTGATACTGATCAGTGTTTTAAGTGACTTTTTGCAGAGAAGGACTAAAGAGCATATCTCTTCTTAAATGCTGATGATTTGATATTATTTGTAGTAACTGGATATAGGAGGTCTCAGACACTAGATGGCACTATTACAAAATTTAAGCAGAAAGGAACCAGCGTTGTGGTTTTCCCTTTTGTAAACGCACAGAATAGTGCTATGCTCACAATTCTGGAAACTTGAAGCCCAACTGCTAAACTCTTAAAGGGATATTCAAGCGTAAATTGAAGTTATGGTTAAACATACCGTAACACCAAGTTAGACACCTCTTGAGAGATTAATGTTGTCAACTGCTTGCTTCTCTAGTTAAACCAACTTCAGCAACGACTGCGCAATAGCTATACACAGTGGTCTATGTCTCCATGTTTAAACCTAAACCAAAAAGCCCTGACGAGTCGATCACTGAGTGCAATTTATCATTATTACCTCATAGAAATGCAATCAGACCGAGACGATAAGGCAGAAGAACTACCAGGTCTGCAGTGTACATACATGATACACAAGAACTCTGATTGCATTTTGATGAAGTAATAATCATAAATGTTCTTCCTTGGGCTGTGGAACTCCACTGGACTCAATGATCGACTTGTTTTTGCCTGATTTCTTTAGCAAAGAGACTAAACACAACTCACCCACTTTTATTTTATTTTTATTTACACTTGTGATCATTTCCTCACGGAAATGCAATCAGACCGGGACGCTAAGGCAGAAGAACTACTGCGTCTGCAGTGGAAAATGATTAATATGGTGATTATTACTTCAAGGAAATGAAACAGTAATGATCACAAATGTTCTTCCTTGAACTGCGTCCCCCCACTGCAGTCGATGGACTCACATACAAACAAGTGGCTACTGGAGTAGAGTGGGTGAGTTGTGTTCTTGTATTTGTGGCTATAGAGTGGCGTTTTGGTTGAGGTTTGCGCGTGTAAATGAAAAGTTTGTCTATTTTGTACCATGGTTTAAAACATGGACACGTTGCAATATTTCTGTAAATTTCATTTCTACCTAAACTGTTCCTGCACAAAAAAGTGCGTAGAGCTTCATTCTTTTCTAGAGGACATGCATGTGTACTCTGGGTTTTGACAGTGCACTCATGGTATGGTGGACTGTAGCTGTTGTCTGTGACTTTTGGCCTCTGAAGATTATATTGAGTGATTATAATGTCTAAAATTCTTTGTAGCAGTTATTGTGGGTAAAAGTTGAACGTGTAACTGTAACCTGAAGCGCTGACCCAAACGATAAGGCCAAGAGTGTCCTCAGTGCTGGAGGACTCTGACATGCACCCTGTGCTAGAGATGAAATGATTGTTTTTCCTAAACATTTCACAGCTGCACACTTGAATGTTCATAGCTGCCGTGCCTGTGTGTTGTTGGTGAATACATCCATGCTGCCTTTGAGCACTGTGCCTTTATTTGGGGCTGTTATCTTGTGCTTGATGCCGGTAGTTACATAATAAGCCACCATATTAGGAGGCAGCGTTATGATCAATAGTGATGTTTGCTGCATGCACAGGCTGTTACTGGAAGGTAGGAACTAAGGCATGAATGTAGGTCCCAACAATGATGGCTTACATCAACCCATTGTGGCCTATTTTGGAATAAAACCACTGGCTATGTCAATATTTGTTCATTATTGAATTTTCTTATGAATATTTAGCAGTTGTAGTAATATTTTCATGATCAAAGCCAAAATGAGGACTAAAACAGTGTCAGACACTCAGTAACATTGACGTTATCAAAAGGAAGAAGTCATCTTTACAGTTGGCTTACAAACTGCTGATCGTATGTCCGACATGTGCCTGTTTCGCCTATTTACCTTTGGCCCACGCTCATCCGAGGGATGCCGTGGCGTCAGGATTTCCCCCTCACGCTCGTGAGAACATCCCGTGTTCCTCCCACACAGCTCCACAGGTAAGCCGCCTGTTCTGGACCGGACAGGCTGCCCATTTTATTACTCCACACAGCAGGGAGTTGTGGAGTACAGTAGAATTCATACCGGAGTGGCCATCTGTTTCTCCACCAGTTCCTGGATTAAGGCTGTGATTCACACAATGTGGATGCTGATGTCAGAGAGTGAGCTAAAAACTGCACAGCCAATCTGACTGAGCTCACAAACCTGCTCCATTACGATATCAGGGTTACTTCTTTGTATCATACTTAAATGGACTGTAAAGTTAAAGGGATGATATCTGTGCAACACTTTCTCTAGTTTATATTACATTGTCCTGATAACACACACACTCTCATAGACTCCAATCAGTGTTAACTCATTTTATTCACACATCCCTGGCATGACCACTAGTGTTGTGTCGTTTATGAATGATTCATTCAAAAGAATGGAACTGCTGAGCGAACGACGTGAATGGAATCACTCCAAGACCTGATTCGTTCCTTTCTCAGTTCATTTGAGCTCAGCCGCAAGCATGGTATGCCGGTCGGGAGTGGAACTGCCGCCTTTAACTCTTTGGCGAACGACACACAGCCAGCTAGCAAGCAAGCGGGTGAGCGGAGTCTCGTGATTTGCTCAAAGCGAATGAACGACATGTATGTGAACGTCAGAACAACTACCGAGCGACCTGAGGCAGGCAGAGGAGGGCGGGGCTTAGTGTCGTTCACGAACTGCTGAGCACAGATTCATTCACTGTCAGAATCCACACTACAGCTGCGATGTTTATTCATGTCTAAACTCTCTGCTTTTCTGCAATATAAAAGAACGATGACTTGCGCTCGCTTAGTGGGCGTGCTACTTGCTGCTGTGTTGTTTCACTCGCATTGCGATGCGAACGTCGGTGGCACACAGAGAGGGCAGGGGGGTGATTCTTCCTCCATGACTTGGCGAATGAAAGACATGTGTCACCCAGTGAGCGACGCTGTAACTCCATCAGCAATGAACGAACTCCCGATCAGCACCGCTGTGCCACTCACTTGTGTACTGCACCTGGCAGGACGAGACTGAAGCACTGACTGATTCGGTGAACGAATCTTTTGAACGATTTGTTTTAATGAATGGATTCTGTACAGGATTCAGTTCAATCAAAAGAACTGTTCTTCCCATCATTAATGACCACCAGAGGCAATTTTAGGTTCGATGTCTTGCCTTGGGACACTTCAGTATGTGGACTGTGGGACCTTCAAACCACCAGCCTTTTGACTGAGAGATGACTGACTTAACCACTGGGCCACAAACGCCCCACATTTAATATCATGAAGAAAAGAGGCTGACATGCATGTGAAATTTTGCTACATTTGTCCTGAATTAACTTGTGGAGGGATAAGTGTGATGCTACATGACAATTAGTCAGGCACACTAGCTCATTTCTCCAAATTCTGATTGCTGAGCCGCAGCCAACAGCTGATGGATCAACAAAATTTCAGAGCTCCCAAGTGGACAAATGCAGCCAAGTGATCATCCATTCAAGAGGTGGTTTGATTTAATAATCTGCTTGTAGCCCTTCAAATGATGCCAGGTCCTCATTTGTTGGAGAAAGAGCTCACTGAGTGCATTCTCAAACTAATGGCTGTTTGATCTGATGAAGTCGAACTCCTCTGTAATTTTATTATCTGCTTACTTAAGCATGAAAACTCGGAGGTAAATCCAAAGGGATTCCAACACAATTATGATTGTTCTCTGACATTTAGACCCTTATTCTGATCCTTGAAAGAAAAACATGGTCTACTCACATCTTTCACTCACACATTTGTCTTTCTCCACGAGATTAAAATTGAGGTCCATTCTTGTCACAGTATTATTCGGTTTACCTTTGAAGATGATCAAAAAATCACACTACACAGAGGACAAAGTTTGCTACAAATTGAAAACTTGTATTGTGCAGACAATAAATAGTGCTTACAAAGGGATTTTTGTCTTGAACACAGACAAGGTTTCTGTTTACACTGTTGATATGAAACGCATCATCAACTGAATCAGTGAGACTCAGACACAGTTTGGGGATGTGACTACTGATACTGGAGTGGGACTGGTGGACTTGGTCACATGCACATTTCCCCTCTGTGGCATCAAAAAGAACGTCTTTCAAAAGAGTCTGTTTACAAAAAAAAGTCTTTGTTTGTCTATGGCAAATACATGACCCTGCTTCTCCCTGCCCCTCTGACAAGGTGAAGTGAGGTTTCAGGTCATGTTCCTCTGAGCAGAAGTGGAGCTTTCTGCATGCTTCCTTGTCTTCTAGCAGCTCCATTTCTAGAGACATAGCCTCCAAGGTTCACTGGACATAAAAACCAGGACACCCACCGACTGTGGGCCAGAGCGATGGAAGACTCCGTGCAAAGCCTCCACTGACAAAACCAGATATCAGCAACTCTTCACAGAAGAAACCTTGCTAAGGCCGGTGGAACCTGCACAGGAGAGGGAGACAAAGAGAGAAAGTGGGCTAAATATTCACACGCACACCGGTGTCATCAATCAAAGGTGCTATTATTAGCACAATGGACAGTGCTCTTGGAGGCAGCCAATGACCACTTCTCGAAAATTGGGTTCTTGCGTAAGCATAAAGGTTTTTTTTTTTTTTTCAAAGGCTTGGCATAAGTGAAACATAAGCTAAATATGTGCGCACATTCATTATATTGAAGAGTTGGTGCAAAAGGTTGCAACTTCCTGTTCTCAAGGGGCCTGGTTACAGCTAAATTTAAACCTTGCCCTGCAGGGTGAGCACTTATTGATGTGAAAGTGTTAGATAATACAACTTTAAGTCCTTGCACAATGTCACACTGACCTTTATGAGATGCAGTACAGTTCAATTAAAGCACACAAAAAAACAGATCTGAAAGGGTGAAATGACATGCTGACCTTGTCAGATGTTTGCTTGAAGAATGAACTTCCATCTCGTTACTTTTGAACTCATTAAGCTCCTTCCGTATCGCTGCCTGCAGAGGAAAAAACAGAACAAAACCCGTGTGAGCCCAGGTGTGTCCCTTCATACATCAGTGGAGTTATCCACTCAGTAAAGCTTGAATAAGGATGTTAGCGAATGAACAACAGCAGCTGCTCAGGTGAACATTATGTAAGCCAAACTGCGTTAAATGGCATTGAAAAGATGGAGAAGCAGGAAAACTTTGACACATTTAACCCCAAATTCATGAAAGTGACATTGAGGAGGCTCGATGACTGCTGTTACTTTATATTCTTAAGTTTTTGCAACCAGAAAAGTTACTCTAAAGGTATCACATCGAATAGATTTTCTTGCTTTTTGCATCTTGTGTATGATAAAAAAAAGATTCAGAGTGTCCAATAATTGAAATATCAAAAATATTGGTTTCTGAGCCGTAGCATTAATCCACTGCTAGAGTGAGAAACAGTCATGTGACCAGGACCTAAATTAATGGAATAACATTAACATAGATGAACAGCATTATAGATTTAATCGAGGATAAATTTATTAGCTTATAATTTCATCTTCTATCTTCCTACGGTGGTCCTGAGGTGCAAAACACAATGGCAAATCAGAAAACACAACACAAAAAGAGAAAACACAATGGTTAACGTTGTTGTGTTTTCTGATTTGCCGTTGTGTTTTGTACGTCAGGGCCCCCGTAATCTTCTCTTATTCATTAAAAAGAGTTGAGAAGAAGCAGCATTTTTATTACAGGGAGGATGATGCTGATGGACATCGACAAAAATAAACTCAACAGCTGTCTACATTATTTCTGCATCCGGATAATTTAAAAAATTTTAGACTATTAACTGAGACTGAGGGCTTTGATCATGCATACGTTAAAACTGCATACTACAGCTTTGGGACAGTTAATCCTTTACTGGGCCTTTTCAAGGAAACACAGAATTGAAGACTTTCTTTGACTCACATTAGCCCCGCAGACAGGGCACAGAGATCTTTCTCTAGATTTGGCAACTTAAAAGCTTAGCACCATAAAATGTAACAGTTTGTGTTATCTGGTGTTACCTTGTCAGCAGCAGACAGTCTGGTCCAGGGCTTGTCGGCTCTCCTGTCGTAGTCCTGAGCTTTGGCCACTTCCACATAGTCACTGAAACGAATGAGGATCTTTCTGTCCCGCAGCTCGTCCACTGTTGGCCGTTGGTTCAGCTGGTTAACAAAGAGAACTGTCAGCACCTCATGGCTTTACCAATGACTTCTAAGTGGATGAAGTTTAAGGACATGCCTCAAGTCTCGTACCTTTCTGTTCAGCCGCTGTTTGATTTCTCTCCTCTCCTCTTGTTCTGTCTGGTCATTTCTTTCTGTTGACGAAAAATAGACTCATATTATAACCACAACATGATTCAAAATCCTTGAGAGTAACAGCGACTGGACAATAACTGTAACAGCTAACTAATGGGCTCAACAGCGGGGACATGTTCACTGTGTTTTAAAAGATGTAGTTCAGTCGAATCACACACGCCATATTTTAAAAATCAGAAATATATCCATTTATCTTTTTATTTTGAAGATGACTCGCTTGAATCACATGTCAAGTTAATACACCCTCACAGTTTAAGTCATTGAACTTGACAGCTGACTTCCAACGGGAGGGCTGATATGCCAGACCTCCACACAATCAATACTCTTTAAGTGAGGCGGTCTGAGCTGAGTACAGGACTCCTTTTAAAGACTTAGATGTCAGTAGAAGAGACACACGCAGATTAGAGCCCTAATATAATTCATCTTAATTAGACAGAGCAGAAAGTTGACTAAATGTCACTTCATTTCTATTTCATCTATCACTTTTTTTCATTTCCCCTCACATTAAGCTGCTACGGCTGGACCCTTTGAAAGTCTGCAGATATTTACTCTCTTGATAACTACTGTTCAACACAAACACGTGAACTAATCCGTTTGAATTTCTCTAAAAAATGTATTGTTGGTCTGTGTGGTTGTTCAGCGTTGGGAATGTTTGAACACATGGTTCTGTGTGGGCAGAGACAGGGCCAGTGACAGAACAGACAGCTGCTCAGAGCTCACAGGTGGCCCGTCTCAGCCGAGAGACTCTGTCCTCCATAAACATGGGAGCTGATTCTTTCGTTGTTCTATATCATCAGGACAGAACAGGCTGTTTCTCTTCAAAAGCTCATCTCTTGAATTAAACAGTGTCATTGTTTTCAAATGGAGCTGGATAACTTTGATTTTAACATGGGCTGAAATCCTTAAAAACCAACAACCACAACTAAATTTTAAGTGAACTAACTCACTGGTTGAAACCGCCACACAGTGCAAATTATAGATGGACCTTTTATCAGCATGAGTTTGTGAATAAAAAAGTTTTTTGACCAGGATTTCAATGAATATCTGAATATCATGCTTAGATTAGACATTTGTAAAATATTTTCATACAAGACTTAAAATTGTAGGATGTCCAAACATTACCAAAGCCAGGTTGGATCAAAATGACTTGTTTTTGGAATACAAAACAGCCAGACTCAAATTAATGCTATTTGTGCATTAATATAATACCATGCAAACTAGAGTTGGAAACAAAGACACTGTCCTCTTTTTGTCTCCCTAAAAAAAAAACTGGCTCTGAAAAAAGTTTTCTGTAAAACACATTTTATTCATGACCCTGAGAAAAATCAGCCTTTAATCACTTTGAAAGTTTAGGGTTTGAAAGTAGACATATTTAAAATCTACTTTACCTACATTAAATCATTTGTGAAAGTTTGATTAACTTAAGATCTTTTTTTTTTAATTTAATGTTATTTTAAAATCACGTTGGAAATATGTTGTCCTCTTTTTTTTTTTTGAGAACAAATGAGCACATCATTTATGTCTCTATGTATAAATATCTATCTAAATATCTGTAAATTTTCCCAAACAGAATGAACAGAAGCCTGCAGCCTTGGTTTTAAAGCCTACTCACGCTTTAAGATGTTCCGGCTCTCCAGCTCCTCCACGGCCGGTCTCTGGCTCAGTCTCCTGCGAAAAAACACCAGAATTACATTCTGGACCATCTTTACTCCCACGCTGCTGGGCTTTCTTTCCTCAACCCACTTCACTCAAAGTCTTTTCAGTCCTTTTACTACTACTACTAGCACTTTAGGGGCTTGTGCCGATGTGCAGAACGCCAAGATCCGCACATCCAAAACGCAAACACCGCGTCCCACCTCGAGTCCCTACTCCGGTTTGTTTTGGTTTTAGAACATTTAAGGCTCCACATCGGGAAAAAGTCGGACTGCGCGTTTGAAATCACGCGTCAGATCCAGTTTAGGTAAGGAAAAATTGAGATTTCTCCTCCAGGAGCAAGTCCAGGATTGAATGTTCCAGAGAAACAAGTTTGGAGAGGTTTGAGCGTTGGTTGTGGTCCCTGCAGAGATGTGGAGGATGCTGAGCGCTCTGGCTGGAAGTGACTGAGTGAGTGAGTGGAGCACCGCCTGCCTCCTTTTTACCACATGCATAATACTAATGTGAGGGGGAGGGACCGAGGAGGAGATTCCCTCCACTCACGCAACCGCGCACACATGCACACTCATATGCACGCACATACATACACAATAACCTGCTGTAGCGTCAGTGTCAGGACCGTTTGGACAGAGAGTCACAAGTCGACCACGAGTTTTTCCAGTAAAAGGTTTCGATCAAAACCCTTCAGTCATTTTTGCTTGGTGAACTGTTCCACTAATTCACAGTCCACGAATCAGCTGAATTGTGGCAACGATATGGAAGTAAATCTGTGCCATCTGATTTTGAATTTGAATTTCTCTTTTGCATCAAAATCAGACTTTGAATTTCGAAACTATTGAATTTCACGCACGCATTTTAATATCTGACACTTATTTGACACAATGATGAAATATATTCAGTGTAAAAAAATCAGTCTCTCAAAATATTAATGTAGTAAAATTTCAACTTTAAAAAAACTGTGTAAATAAAATTTTAACATAAAAAACTTCAGTGTCAAAAAATTCAGCGTAAAGGTCCTTACACACCGGGACCGACGTAAATATCTGACACGAAATTACGAAACACTCGGAGGCGAATTTTGACGCGCCTGACTATACACATCAACCCCAATGCCATTTTGCGACTTTCCAGGGGGAAAAAAAAGACGCTTCCCGGGTGGAAGCAAGAGGACTGTTGACTGTTTTTCAGTTCTGATTAGACACTAGTGTTGAGATGACTGTCTGTCATGATAGCATGTACTGAGTCGGGGCCAGTACCAGATAAGCACATTAAACTATAATCCATAATCGTAAGGTAACAACCGAGACCTGATGGTGCTGTGACAACAACCCAATTGAGTTTGAGACTGTTAAAACTGTCTCAAAACTGTTAAAGCACACAAACCATCATCATATGAGAGATCCTACGCTATGACTCTCCACAAGTTGTCCTTCAGGTCGTTATCTTTGTATGTGTAAATGATCATAAACGATCAGCCGGTGGACCATGTTGGATATACCGGTGAATCAGACGTCACAACAACACGCAATCTGATTGGCCAGAAGTGGACACACAGTATGCGAAACTTTAGAAAAATCAACCATGATCCGAAAAAATAAATGCTGCAATAACACAGGATGGGAAAATGTTGCTGATGTGAACGCTTGTATTAACAGGATACAGGTTCGAAAAAAATACTGACGTCCAAAATAATTGCATGAAAAAAACAGTCCCGTGTGAAAGGACCTTAAAAAAGACCGACTTAACATCCGGGTAATCAGGGAGAAGCAATCGATTCTTGGTTCAATCATCCATCGTCCAGTCAATCAAATAATGCTAGATTGGTCATGTGGCACCAATTCCAGCAGAAGGTTGAGGAATAAATTACTTCTCCCTGATAACCAGGATGTTGAGTTGGTCTGTTTTACACTAAATTTTTTGACGTTGAAATTTCTTTTAAGTTGAATTTTTTTGCTGAATTTTTACTGAACGAATCTTTCGAGAGACTGATTGTTTTTTACATTGCATTTATTTCATCATTGTGAAAAAATAAGTGTCAGAAATAAAAATGCATGCTTTAAATGAAATAGTTTCGAAATTTAAAGATTTTGATGCAAAAAAAATTCAGCTTCAGAAACTCAAATTCAAATCAGATGGCACAGATTTACTTCCATACAAAAACACTGTAAGCGGTTAAAAAATGCAGCAAAGTGGGCAGAGATGAGATGAACAGGCACAGTGTTGCTGATCATTACGCCTATTTTGTGTTGATAAGAAGCATATGTGTTACACGTTTAACAAGACAGGGTGGTTTGGCACCCACACACACACACACCACGGTCCACCCTGTGTCATTCCACATCACTTGAATTTTGGGATTCCTCACATGACTCCCAGATTAATCCCCACCCCACCCCCAACACACTCACTGCCACTAAATTTGCCATGCAGCTGTTAGGACAGCACAGGACTCCAAATGGAAAGCGCTTATCATGCTCCATCTGGACACAAACAATCAATGTGCAGACTGGATCCAAACCCAGCTCCGCATACAGTTACTACAGTAAATAAAAACCTTCCTCTGATTTCAGGTGAGTGATATCAACAGAAACTGAAGGCTGCCGGTATGAGTCCATAGATTTGGAAGCTATGAGCCAGCTGTTGTGTAGATAAACTTTGTATAAAAGAGGAAAAATGTCATTTTTGTGTAAATAAGTATTTCTGGATGAGCATAATTATACGTTTTTTTTTGCTTAGAGATAATAACCTCCCAACAGGTTAATGCTGCAAGCTGTTTTGGCTAATCTTGAAAAACAAAATCTGAAAAAACTGATGCCTCGTTTGTTAGTCCCAAACCAAAATCTTTGTTCTCAGATGAAAAACTAAAAGGAATATTTGTTTTAATGGAGTAGGCCTGTGTGAGGTATCGAGAATAAGTCTTTTAGCAGGGGGTAGCTCTACCAAAATGCTGAGAAAGTGGCTGAAATGAAAACTGGGTCAACAACTGCTTCAGACTTGCAGTGTTAATAGGTTAATCTAAACAATTAACGTACAAGTGGAGGAATACTTATGTGTGGAGTCAACAAAGGCGTCTTTCTGGGGGAAAATGTGCATGCTCTTACATCCAGAATAGCGCTTAGGTTGAACGTATGGGAACACTCTTTTAACATTATTCAGAAAACATTATAGCTCTGGAACAAAATTTGCCTAGCAGTGATAAAACCATTAACCTTTCAAAATAAAAAATGAAAATAATGTGAGGCAAAAGCATTTCTAGTCCAAAGAACATTACACAAAGGTTACACAAACAGTGAGTCACTGAAAAAATACCTGCCTGTAATAATGAACAAAAATCTTTTATAATGGACCAGAACAGGGTCACAATACTCCGTGTTTACACTTATTATTTGGAGATGTAGCTATAACTCTCATACGCAGCAGGTGCAATGTACAGCCGAGCAGAAAATTGGATCAGATGTTGTCCTGACCAGCACAAGAAGAGCTTAACGTGCTGACCAAGAGAGGAACATCGCATTTACTCGGAACACTGTGTCTTTTTCAGGGCAGGACAACCTCCAGTTTTTCAAACTATTACCATGGACAGACAGCTTTAAAGTCTGGGTGCACAGCATTGAAAGCTAGCATCATCTTAAATGGTCAAAATGATCCCTGAAGAACTTACTGTCCTCTGCAGTTGTTCTTCTGAAGCCCAAAAGGTGTACCTCTGTCCGTTTAAAATGGCCTTGCAAACACCTGATGGATTGGTATGATCAGAGTTAAAGGGAAACACTTCTTTAAGGAGACTTCCCCATGTGTCAGTGTCTTTAGTTCTCAATTTTAACATGGATTAATCATATCCACAGATAAGTAGTGTTTTGCAATAAAGCGAAACAACAGATGTTCAGTCATTTGTTCAATGTTAGAGAGCCGTGCCAACCACAAAGTGCTGTGGCCGTGGTAATAAATAAATCCTGGCTGCTGATTGGAGCTGTATAAATAAAGATTGACTGACTGATGGTGTCCCGACCCTAACCTTGCCGACTGCTTAACAATAAAATTAAATAGAGTGCGATCTAAATTACAAACATCCTCTTCAAACATCCTCATCTTCCAACCAGAGCATTGTTGAGGGGAGCTTCTTTACCTGTTCCTATGAGGAACTTTTGGTCCCGGCACCTGTGTATTTTATAGTATGTAAAGCTACATTTATCATGCGGAAGCCAGGATCAGGGCCTAGATGGGATGTACACACTTAGGATGGGTGATAAACTATACCGTCAGAAAATTCCTCCGCGATTAATATTTGCCATCTCAGGATAATTGCGATAAACGCAAGTTGATGACGTAAGCGTGAACAACAGACTCATAGCCATAGCCCACACAGAAAAGAATAACAAACAAACAAACAAACATGGCCAAAGGTGGTGAAGAAGACGTTTCTGAGCAGCTTGTTGCTAAATGAGGCTTCCCATGAGGGATTTCCTTCAAGACTGGGGCTTAGATGAGCGCAGTCAGGTATGCATGACATCCGACAGAGGATCTGCTGCTGTTCACTCTGTGCAATAAGAGTTTTCAATAAATGTTGAAAGGATTTTCACATTTGAGACTTGTTTGATGTCACTAGTTTTCTCTATAACCTACCACTTAAACTTGTGGTTAAGTATCATATTTGACAACTCCAACTGGTAAGTGCCATCCAAGAATAATGATTGTGGGGTTCTCAGGACAGAGTGAGTATAAAACATAGATAGGAATTTTAATATTATTTATAAGGACTTTTCGTTATCGCCCAAACTAATAGTCAAAAAGTCTTAAACTACAATGCAGTTGTGATGACTTGAAACACAAATTTAACACCAGGATTAGAAACTCGTTTTCTTAATCTGACCTCAGATCATTTCAGTTCATACTGTACAAAGATAAAAAAAACTGAAAAAGCTTTAACAAGCTGCAATTTGTGTCCAGTAACAAGAGGTGGAATGGCACCTATAGTGCAGATCTAAAAGAAGCCTTCTGTCCTGTGATGGCTTCAGCTGTGATCAGGGCCACTGAGGTGTTATGAAACAAAACCACAGACATGGCAATACTGGAAGCTGAGGAGGGGAGATGTGCCAAATAGAGCGGAGCTATAGGAGGATGTGTGGTCTGCAGCGACAAACATTTCAGGTCAGTGGCATTTGCCTCACTTCACGGAGTGAATCACATCCTCTGCAGACACTGCTTACCCAAAATGATACCTAAGATATATTTTACATTAAGATGCTGTTGATCTAAACAGAAAGACAAAATCCAAACACCACGTAGCAGGAATGAGTCAGCCTGCTTCTACGAAAAAGCCTCATGGGCCTTTAGTCACAACCTCCTGCAGCGGTTTGCACTTCACAACAACTCACCCCCTCTGCTTGGTCAGAGGTAAAAAGGTCTTCATTTGTTGGAGGACTCACAAGCATGTCAAAGCAATGAACTGCCTGTAAAAAGCAGGGGCTGATGGGAATGTCAGCCCATGAAAAGTGGAGGAGAATGGGATGCGTCAGGCGCCACGGGCCGGGCAGCGGCCTGCTTCTGCCCAATGAGGAGTGTCCTAATGTCTTGCTCCTTCCCCTCAGTGACAGAGCCCCAGGACAGACGTGCCACAATCGGATGTGAAGTCTGAGTGAGCCGGAGCCAAAGACAGCCTTGGGGGGTGGGGGGTGCCAGTGATAATACGAAGAGCATCCCTAAATGGTAGCTCACCAGAAGCTTTGGGTTTATGTAACTCGGTTGTTTTTTGGTGCTGACCTGGATGTATGTATATATCCACTGTTACTGGGTCACATAACTGCACTAGACTGTGCCTACACAGAAGGCTGCCTTAATAAATATTTTAATTCATATTTGTATTTATGAAAAATTTTAACTACTTTTTCAGCCCGACCTCTGCAAAGCAATTAAGAGGACTCAGTGTGCTATTGATAATGGATGAATGGAGCACATTCAAAGACCCTGACATAAAACCACCATTCAACCCTCCCTCTAGCATGTTGTGTGTCTCAGAGGCTTTGCTCTTTTAGCAGAGGCTCAAAGATTGGGTGAGGGACCATGTTTGGCTCTTCCAAAACCTGCTGAAAGCACAGTGCGGTAAAGGAAGCTTCAAATAAAATGGTCTCACTTCCAGGAGTATTGCTGAGAAAACATGAGCCATGAGCTTCATGTTGAAATAACCCTGAATGGCTCTGTGAACCCAGGAACATATTGATCGTTTCCCACTGGGGCTGCCACGATTATTGGATTAATAGATTAAAGTTCAACAATCAAAATAGTTGACAACTATTTTAGTAATCTACGTAAGCGTTTTTTTTTTTCCCACTTTGTTTTTTGCTCAAAGGTGCCGTGGTACCCTCCGCTCATAGCCTCCGCCGTGTGTGCCTTGTCCTGGACACAAATATGCAGTAGAGCTCATAGAAATTGGCGTTTGACGTCACTGCAACCCAGTAACAATGGTGAGCAGGACACGTCGTTCCAGTGTTTGGGAGCATTTTACCAAAAATATAGAGGGGAAGTCCGTGAAATGCAAGATCTGCAAGGCAGAGCTTGTTTATCACGGCAGCACGACTATCATGCACCAGCACTTATAAAGAAAACATGTCGGGTTGGATGACAAAGAGGACGCCGGAGAAGGACTGTTGCCTCAGTAAGCTAGTTGGCTAATTATCTACTAATAAAATTACTGCCTACATTTGTAAGCAAGATACTCAAACATTTTCAGATGGAGGTTATTTAATGGTGACAGCAGCTACATGCTGGTGCGACAATCTGCAATGCATATACAGTATATCCATATATAAGATTAATCGCAAAAATAATCATAGTTGTGTCGATTATCAGATTAATCATTTGTGGCAGCCCTATTTCCCACAACAAAACAAAGAAATCTGATCCAAAGATATCCAGACTGTTCTGTTAAGATAGCATCCAGCTCTGAGGTAAATGTTGATGTTGACATTCTACCATGCACACAACAAAAAGCTAACATGCGATTCTAACACGCTTATGTTATGATAATATAGTGTTGACTCATCCTACCATCCAACTCTAGGACTCAGTTACAGTTGAAATAAAGATGAGGGTGAAGTGAAACATTACTCCATAACCTTTACTACTAAATGCACTTAACTTATACGTCATTATTCATTTCTAAGGATGTTCAGATGAATGATTTATCCCTGTAACAAGCCCTGTGAGTAAAGTTTGTCTGGAGAGGAAGTTGCCTCGTAAAACTGTTGTTTGTCATGTTTTCAATTTGGTGCATTTGGTACAAATTTTCATGAAAAAGTTCCTTGTATGGTGAAGAGCAAATCTTACTCCCCTACTACCATTGCCATGAGTTAATGGTAAGGACTCTGTGCTTTGTGCGCATTTTGAGTACTTTTTTTTTTTTTTTACTTTGGTAGATCCACAGACCGGTATTTAAAATTCTTCACAAGTAAAATGTTATTAATGTAACTGTTCTTCTACTTTTACTTTACCTAATTGTTGAGTTTTCAGAGCAGCCTGATCTGACAAAAGAACGAACCGGAAGATTCCTGTGTCTGAATTTCTGTTTTGTCCAGCTGTGAAAGGACTTAACAGTCAATGACGTCCTAAAACAGTGTGCATCCTTTTGCCAATATAGTAGAGGCAACCTATTTAAAAGTTTCACAACATGAGCAATCTTGCAGTCAACTGATGAAGAAAAAAAAATAGCTGGGTGAAGAAACGTATACTTAGATGTGTCCTTGTATTTATAGCCTGAGAACTGGAGCAGCGGGTGAAAAGCAAAATTAGCTTCTTTTGTCAAGGGTCACATCTCTGATCACTGGTGATCTAACCCTCGCTTGGCACAGGGGTGGAAAGGAGAGAAAACAACCAGTGTTCAGTGAGTGGGTGCAAAGGCTTTAAGACTTTTGACATTTCAATTGCAGGGTACTCACAGCCTGATCTCTGAAAAAAAAGGTCATTGTATAACTCTAATTACAACATGTAGAACAAAGATGGGTCTATACTAGTGACAACATGTAATTTGACAATTTCGCTTCGTGCCATATATGTACAGGCTTTGTCATCCTGCGCTTACGTCTCCCCAACTGCCTCACAATGTCTGCCAACTCTGGTCCTGTGATTGGATTGATGCCCGGCTGTGATGCTGCTCACTATGAAGGCACAAATAGAAACGGAAGAAACAGCACAGCCTGAGAGCTCCTTGTTTAAAGCCACAGAGGCAAAAACCACAGTCTACTTTATTATCTTCACCTAGAGCTGGTTAACAAGCAGCTCCCATTATCTGAGCCCAAATCACTGTCTTTTAATAAAGCCAAAAAAAAAAAAAAAATAAAGCAGCATGAGGCACAGCTTTCTGACAGATCGTTTTAGAGATTGGAAAATAGGGCAAACTTTGTTATGTAATGTGCACACTTCTACAGTGTTCTGTCAGATTATTCCAGGAATACAAAACAAATAATAAACCATAATAATATCCATAATAAATCACTCTATAAATTAAAGCCAGACTTAAACTCACCAATGGTAATAATGATACAACCTAACAAATGACACATTCTCCACTATGGGAGTTTTCAGACAGCCAGAACATTTCTTAATTCTGAGAAAAGGCTTCCTTTATTTCATCTGAGGTGAAAGGGTTATGAAACAGGTAAGTATTCTCAAACAGCAAACTGCTGCCTTGATTCATACAACATCCCCATACACATAAGACTTCCCAAATTTGCTTAAGCGTGTTCAGGAAAGAGAGCAGGTTTATGTATTCAAAGTGTAAAAGGTATTGCTGCTGTGTTGGATCACATTCGTAGTTATCTAAGTATAAATTAAATGATTAAAAGAGGGGGTTGAGACAATTAAAAAGGAAAAAAAAAACATTTGTACAAGTTTTTACAGTCACATAACTTGTCTGTGACCCATATTCTTCATATTACATAATATTACTTCACACCTATATCTTTTAAGCCTTTCAAGATGACTCAGTGGCTACACAGAAAAAAGAGCAAATTTGTAATAAATCCAAAAGGATAACACACTGACAGCTAGTTAGCCTCAGTCCAGGCAGTGAGCTACTAGTCAGCTGCTCTATGACCAGAGCAATACTAAGTTATTTATAGCTGTCCTGGACAGCAGCTGTGGCTTGCTGCTTCTTTCCTGTTTCATGCAGTGAGTTGTGTCAGCTGAAATTAGACTATTTGCCTTTAATACCCACTAACTCATTTTTCTACATTCAGCAAAGCACAGCAAATATTGAGTGGGCCTCTGTCATCATCACCATCAGTGGTGTGTGTTCCCGTTGCCTTCCTCTCCTCCTAATGGTTGGGCCTTTGATTTTCTGCTGTGATAGACCCCTGGCATGTTAAATGGATGTAATCTCTAAAAGGCAGACCAAGCTGATGTTACATATTCAGGAGATTTCTAAAGAGGAAAATCAGCTACCAGCCACTTTTGATTGAAAATGGTTACAGAATAAAACATTGTTGTACAATTTATGAAAATATAAAGTGCATGCAGCCTAAATGTGGTTATGGATTAAGCCCACCACTTAAGTATGGTCAGAAAAATCAGTCACTGAGTTTGTGTTACAACTAGCAATACAATGCAGGGTAAACAGTGGGCTGAGGACAGTGCCCTGTGGAACTCCTGTGTTCAGAATGAGACTATAGACTCCTCGCTGGGTGACACAACCCCGAGAACAGCACCCCCTGTGCATTTCCATTCATAAAAGTTATTAGGGGGTTCATGTTTTCTATGATTGACACTTGATACAGTCTTGAGGCATACAAATATTGCATAGCTCACCCGAGGGATACGCTGTTTGAGCAAAGTGTCATCACAGCAAATCTCGTCGATTCTCCCATCGAATGCGTACAATGCTACTGCACAAGTAGTGGTTCCAGGGCGTGGGGAAAATACCAGAAATACTGAAAGCGATTCGGCCTCTAATTCGTACAATGACAGAAGGCGGGACCAAGTTGTCCACAGTATATACAGTCTATGGATGAGACTGACTACATTGAGAGGTCCAGAATCTGGTTGTATAATAACTAAAGTTATAAACGTCAGTGGTGTGAATGTTTGTACCCTGAGTTGAAGGAAATCATCAGCATTCATGTCTTTATTTTCCAGTGGGTGAGTTGGCTGAATAAGGTTAGTAAAGCATATAAATTTGATGAAGCGGTGAAGCAGACAGCAGCAGGTCTACATTGTCTGGAACAGCAGTTTCATGCTATTACCAGCCTCTTACAGCACTTCATAATGAGGGAGGTTAGTGTGTCAGGGCCACAGTTATTTAGTTACGTGTCCAAGGGAGATGATGATTCAAATGATTTGAAGACTGACTTTATTAAACATCCTGTGTTGACTTTCATTATCTTTATTACACTCAATCTCATCATCCTGGCCGCGTCACGGGGTTTTAGTGTGCAAGAGACGGATGTCCTGCTTCATTTTTATTTAAATTCATCGAGCCAGAATGCTCTTACCTTCAAAGCAGGTCAGCTAAGATGTAATACATAAAAGACTTCCTGTCGTTGCAGGTAAACAATGAAATTATGTTTAGTATCTCCCTGCAGCATTAAGAAAATATTTACTGTCCAGAACATAAGAGAGACATAAAAATGTTTGACAAAGACTATAAATAAGATCTCAATTATATTCCAATAAAAGTGGAGAAACACAGCTGCTACAAAGCTCCAGTATGTCTGACCAATCAAGCCTACTCTGTACACATAAATGCTGCTGAAGGACACCTCGAAAGTATCCGCTCATCCTTATTTCATGTGACCGTTTCCTGACATTTTTGCTCTTTTGCATCCTCACCACCACATGACAGGTCAAAGGTGACAAACACTGGACTAAAATAAAGATACCCGTCTAAAAATGGAAACCACATGCTCCTACGAGACTTCCAGGACAATGATGCTTCACGGATTTTTAAAGACACATGATCACAACTGACTTACATCAGATCAGGTGGACTGCAGCAAAATGTCAGCAGTGTTAGAAGCAGTGTAATTTTGACATAACAGCGTCCTCAGCTGAGATCACGCGCTGAAAGCTGCTCGCACAAAAGAACGTAATGGAGGACAGAGCTGGAGATGTTTTGGAACACTGCAGTGAACTGTGTCCTGAACCTCTTTCCTGCAGAGCCCCCAGGGGAGCAGGGACAGCCAGGAACATGGGAGTGGAAATGCAATGTCTCTATCAGCAGGGGTACAAAGCTGTGACGTAGATAGGCCATCGATTATGGCTGCAGCTGCACCAATGAAGGCTAAATATAGAAACAGAGGGTTCCCTTCTGATGTCCTGGGCCGGCCCACTGCTCTGCATTCTGCTGCAGTGTGCTGCACTTTAACACGGTGAATCAATGCAACACACCACACGCTTTTTAAAACACAATAGCGGATGTGTTGCATCACAATGCACAATCATATTCATTGACCAATAGGGCAATTTTGAGCCCTATTATTAGCAACTATTCATACTTCACCATTAGCTAAAATGTTCTACATGTCCTCTATTATTTTGATTGGCTTGGACTCTTTCAAATCCAGCTGACAAAATTTTATCAAAACATGTTTTGATAAACATGTTGGAGGCAGCCTTCAGTAAATTCATCTATCATAACTATGTATAAAAGTGTCTGCTTAATGACATTGTAAAAAATGACATTGCAATCTAATGTCCACTCATAGGACTGAATTAGCCATGTGTGACCAAAGGATTAAAGGGGTATTCAAGCATAAGTTATGGTCAAATACACCGTAACACCATGTTAGACACCCCCTCGAGAGATGAATGTTGCCAACTGCTTGCTTCTCTAAATACCAACTTCAGCAACAACAGAACGATAGCAATACACAGCTGATGAGTCGATCACCGAGTGCAGCGGAGTTTTGCAGCTCAAGGAAGAACAATTATGATCATTACTTCATGGAAATGCAATCAGACTGAGATGCTAAGGCAGAAGAACTACTTCTGCAGTGCAAAATGATTATAATGATGATTATTACTTCATGGAAATGATCCGCTGCACTCTGTGATCGACTCATCAGGGCTCCCCCACAAACAAGCAGCTGCTGGAGGAGGGTGGGTGAGTTGTGTTTAAGAAATCAGGCAAAGCTAAAAAAGATGTTTGATGGCTAGTACTGTGGCTGGGACCCTATGTGTACTGTTGATGAAGTTAGGTGCTGTTCTGAGCATTATTTGTAGCTATAGAGTGGCTTTTTGGTCGAGGTTTGCACATGGAGATGTAGACTGTTGTGTATTGCTATTGTGCAGCCGTGACTAAAGTTGGTTTAACTAGAGAAGCAAGCGGTCGGCAACATTCATCTCTCAAGGGGGTGTCTAACTCGGTGTTGCTGTGTGTTTGACCATAATTTAAATTTACGCAGAATACCTCTTTAACTTTCAAGTCAAGTCTAAATTCACCTCTTTTGAGCTCTGAAGCAAAAGCTGCACATGCAGTATGAGATGTATGTAGATCTTTGACACCACTGATAAGCTGCTAATTCCCCTACATATCTTTAATATATTTCCTGACCTAGATTCTATCTTACAGGGATGTTCCAGTTCTTTTTTTCCCCTTTCTTTTTTGTACAGACAGATGCATCGTCCAAGGCCCTTAACAGCTCACAAATACTGCCATGAGTGCTTCAGACGGGACACGGCGTGCTAGCCTCCTCCACATGCACCGCTCTGTTCTATTCAGCACGACTCATTCAGTGCGACAGATTCAGAATGATTCATTCTGTGTACACAATCACTGGTACAGGATGGGTGTTTGGAAGGCAGGGTTCAGAGAGGGTCCCTGCAGCTTTTGTAGCTGTTGAGCGGGCTGCCAGGAGTGGCTCGTCATGTCCCGTAGCAGACCATGTGGTCAGCAGGACAGGACGCTGGCAGACGAGCACATGGTGCCGTCACCCTGAACAATGGCATGCCTCAGCTGTCCTCTGCTCCCTGACTCGCTTCATGTTGTTTACTCTTGTTGACTAGCCAGTCTTACTGTCAGTCACAGACACAGCTGAGCACTGCAGCACCTGAGAGAGCGGAGCCAGGCTGCAAACTTGACATCTGACTGACATTTCTGCAAAACACTGCTAGACCCTCCCTGTTAGCATGGTATTTAATTAACATCTCTGATTTTAACTTCATGTGCATTAGTACAGACTAAGGCTGTGTCCGAAATGGATCCCTAACCGCTATATAGGCGACTTTATGGGGGTTAGCGCCATTTTGAGGGGTCCCATATAGGCGACTCAAAATTTCCCATAGAGCATTGCAAAATGTAGTGACCATCCAATGGTCACTCACCGGTGGTGGGCATTCCGTCATCCATTGCGTCTCCAGTAGCAAGTCAAAAAGAGCAAGAAGAGACACAACACGAGCTCTATTTGCCATTTTCAGCTAAGTTTTTTTATCTTCACTTTACTCGCAAGTGATCTGTAGTTTTCGAAAAACAATTGTTTGCTGCGTCATATAGTCTGTGCACAATAGACGCAGCAAACAATATTCCGCACGAAAATATAAGGCCTTTTAAATGAATCACTAATTTATTGTTTCTGTTTTTTTATTTCACGAACATCCTGGAAAAACAAAAACATCTATACAACATCAAAAAATTCAAGAGATCTGAAAACAACAGCTGCAACTTCAGACGCGACAGTCTGAGCAGTGAGGTCACAACGGTGCACCATGTAGTGTCCGAAACCTCCAGTGATTGAGCTCACTAAATAGTCAGCTATATCGTGAAACCCCATATGAGGGTTAGGGGTTAGGGATTGAGTGATTCATTTTAGACACAGCCTAGAGCTGTAAAGTCCTAGTCGACTGGTTGAATTGTTGGTCAACAATTTTGGTGCTGATTTGACCAAAATTCTGATTGGTCGACTTGATTTTTTTCTTGCATCAATTTACAGTCTATGGTTAATTCCATCAGGAGGAATGTACCAAGTACCAACATTTCATAGGTAACAGCCTGTCTAAGAAAGCCCCCCTTGTCTTCACCATTTTGGATTCACCCAACCGGCTGGAGACCGGCTGGAGACAGGAAGATTGAAGAGCGTCTATATTATTCGACGTCCAGTGGTTTGCTGAATATTTAGATTTTAGCCTTTTGTGTTAAATTGCCTTCTTGTGTCAATATCAGTATATTTTCACCCCGTCGAGTTGCGTCGTCCCCCGCCACAGAAGGGTCTGGCGTCAGAATTGGAAAAAAAATCCCTCCCCGATTAGTCGATTTTCGGGTGAAAATTTCAGGGTTTTAGTCGACCAAGAATTTCTTTGGTTGATTACAGCCCTAGTACAGACACATATGGCAGGTTTCAAGTAATCGCAGGAAGTCATTAGTTTAATCGAAGATGCGGTTAGGTTTGTTATGCAGGTTTCCTTTTTGTGGTGTCTAAATAAGCAATCCGATACCTTGCTCATTGATCTGTTATTGCTGTGCAGTGTAGTACAGGTGCCCTAGTTAGAGAATAATGTAACACATTGAGCGGACAGTGTGACCTAGTGTGACCTGCAGGGAATCAGACTCACAACAGACCTGTTGCTCTGACCTTTGTGTTCAACCCACACTGTGCGCACACTGATGTGACCCAGCCAGCATCCCACTCTCACTCCTCCCCTAATTAACATAATCGATTACATCCTGTAGTTATTATGCAACAGTAATCAGGGGTTGAGTTTATGTAAGTAGTGTGAAATGTTTTGGATAAGGCTTTGTCTCATCATGATGCCCCTTGGAGACTACAGGCTAAAATCCTCTCAGCATCCCAGCCCAGCACATTTAGAGGTTAACTCATTAGAAGTTGGTGCTGCGTAATGCCTTTTGCTATTCTGCAGTTACCCGCTGGAATTTGTCCACGTGCGCACGGAGAAGCTCACGTGGAGCGAGGCGTGTTTGGAACAGCTTTGGTTTATGCTAACGTCACTGACAACATAAACACGCATAGCTGCTCCGGCTATCCAGATTGACACGCAGCTGTGAGATGCCTAGGGTGAAGGCGTAGGAAAGAAGGCACATGGAGAGGAGTGACGCCAGGCTCAAAGAAGCTGATGAGCCCGTCTGAATGCCATCCTGCCTTCATCATCATCTCTCACAGTGAAGTTACAAAGGTGGAGGCATTAGGCGTGGTTTCAGTGAGATGGGCCACCTCAAAGACTCACGGCTCTGCTGACCTCTCGGTGTGGTTAGACAGAACCAAAACTGGCTCTGTTTCTCTCTCTCAGCTCAGAGTCTTCAATCAAAGTAGCTGTTATGACCTACGATGCTAAAGAGTATGTAATAAATGAAAACCTAATGTCATGATGTGTTCTGTAAATTGTTTTTTCTGGTTTTGTTAATTTATTGAGTGCATTTTCTGTGTATTGTCCCTAGTGTTTCTGTTCCCTATGGTTCCTGTTCCCCTGTAGTCCAGTCTTGTGAGTTTTCAGTTTGTGTTTGACCCTGTTTCCCTCATGTTCTCTGTAATTTATTCTTTATTAGTGTTTCCTATTTTATCTGGTTTTACTCTCCTAGTTTTCCCTCCTTCGTTAATCACCCATGAGTTTCACCTGTGTCTCGTTTGCCTCACCTGTGTCTCGTTTGCCTCACCTGTTGCTCGTTACCCAGTGTGTATATAGTCCCTGTCTTCCCTTCTGTCCTTGTTGGGTCATTGTGTGGGTATGCTTGTCTGTGTAGTTTATGTATAAATCCTTATTCTCCTTGTTTTTTTTTTTCTTGTGCCTTTAGTTGGACTTTGCCATGGGATTTTTTCAGTGGACATTTCGAATTAAGTTTTTGTTGCTTTTTATTTAATTTTTTTTAATAAAACATTTTTTGTTCTGCATTTGGGTCCTTTTTTTCCCCATTGTTCAACTCTGCCAAGTGACACTTAAATACTCATGGGGGTCTAATCCCCCTGGAGTGAACTGGCTCCAATAATGACTGTAATGCCTCCTAAAATATCTACAGCAATATTATCTAATGACAAAAATACTATTTCGCTATTGCTTAAACCTATCGCCCATTGCAGATACCAACGACACTTAAAACTGCAGATTATTGTAGTAACGAATAAAGATTTGAAGGACAGTCCTTAGACTTTCTTATTATAATTCCAGTATTAACTGTGCTGTTCTACAATACAAATGAACATACTGCCATTTTACAATACAACTAGAATAGATATGTTACATTTTACTCCATTTCATTTAGTCCCCAGTTATCTGTGTCACTTTTTTCTAAATAACATTTCAATCTCTTCTTTTATTACCCTCATGCTAAAAAGTGAGTTAGTTGCAATCTGTTCTCTTGTTTCCATTTTTTAACTGAACACCCTGAAAACTGAAATTATCCATCAGTCAAACACAAGACAGAGGAAACAATGGCCACCCCTAAAATCTGATTGGCCACCCCAGTGCTCAACCTGAAATCCTAAACTATGATTGGCTGTTTGGCTTGTTAGAGGTGAATTTAAATGCTGCCACTCTGTTGAGTTACTTAAGAATATTAAACTTTTTTAAACCCTTTATTCATAAATTAAAGTAAATGGGATTAGTAGAGTTAACAAACCCAGGTTTGGGATTAGCCCCTTAATATGACCATGCCCAGCCACCCCTACAAAGGTCTGTGCTCCACTTTGGTCGCACCAATCAAAAAAGCCTGACTTTGCAACTGGTTAAACTAGCCTTGAAACAGATTTGCACTTGTACTGAAGTTCAACTTTTCATCTTGTACATTGACATCTTTCATTCAACTGAAGTGTCAGATCCAAGTACATTCATGAACAACGTGACAAAATAAAATATCTGACTTTATATTTCCTTTTGGCACAGGTATCAAACACTATAGACAATTTGAATTGAACTAATTTCCACCACATCCAAAGAGTCGAAAAGGCTGTATGCGCTGATTGCAGCTGTTCCTTTCCATTCAAGTTAATGTGTCAATTTCCACTGTCTTCTTTCTGTCCTGCTGCGGTTCAGCGGGATTCGCAACCAATCGCCAAAGTTCTATTTTTTTCTGGACGCCGCAGCATGCCGCATAAATTCAGCACGGGTTAGTCAATGCTGGAAAGAAAGTCGGGCACAGACACAAACTAAAACATCTGGCTTCTTTTCAAAATAAAACACTACGTGTTTCATGCAATCATATTTCACACTATGCAAATGTGGGCGGGGATGAACAGGTCAAAGGTTTATAGACAGCATTTCACCCCGTTGACACCATGGATGAGAAGATGCTGATTTTAGAAATCTAGAAGTGGATTTCCTCCTCTTGAAGGACACAACCTACTGCTTATATGGTTATGTGGCTGTCTTTAACGAAACAACTCATTATCGCGCGATTGCATGTGATTCCACGGGTATTTGTGAGTTCTCGCGATTCCCGCTGTCTGAAATTCGCCTCAAAATGCATCCAGTAGGAACTGGCAGACGGCGAAAATCGACACTATTCCGCAGCGGAGCTGTTCTGGATGCGATGGAAAATGGGGGTCGGTTTAGGTAAGAGTGAACTAATTAAGTTTGAGCATGACTGAACTAATAAAATAAACCATCTGTTGCATTATGTCACAGATTGGAGCTGATCCATTAGTAATGAACACACACTCACTCAAGCTCACAGAGAACACAGAGAATCACATGAGTGTGCATCACATAGTCCCCTATCCGTTTTAAGTGGGTGTATTCAGTTTGCAGGCAGACCCTACTGTAAGCATCAGCACATTGCACTCCCCCTCTGATCTCCAGAGATGACTGGTCTGGTCCTGAGCATCTCTCGAGGGGGTGTCTAACTCAGTGTTACAGTGTGTTTGACCATAACTTCATTTACGCTGGTATTACCCTTCAAGGCCTGGGAGAATTTTAGGTGGTTGAAAAGATCCTTTCCAGAAACATTACTCTTCACAGGGTTCAGTGAGCATGTTTAGAGTACATAAACAAGAGAGCATCCTATGAACAGAGGGATATTATTCCAACTGTACATCTGAAGAATTACATTTGCTTACCAAACCTTTGCATGACACTAGATTTAAGGCTTTGATCCATTTAATGCAACATGAGGAGTTTCTAGTTCCTGTTGTGTAACTCATAGTGCCCGCACTTCTCCCACTCACACCTGGGAAAAACGCCCGCCTGAGCAGCACATGATGGCTAACTCTCTCTGAAATCCACACAGTTGCCGAGTCCACTCAGGCAACATATCAGCTGCCACCTCTCTATCCAAAACTGAGTTTAGAAAACCAGGATGTTTTTGTACCTCAGGACAAAGGTTTTTTTTCACTGAAATGGAGCCACACCTGAGCTGTGCCTTCATTGCAAACTGCAGCATAGACCATAGTCTGCTTTTTGTAAACCCACGTGTCTTCATCTAAAGGTCACAGACTTCAACAAACTTAATGCCCATCTCTAACCATCTGAAGAGTACTCCATCTGATCATTTCATGGACCACAGACAGCCATAAAAGTTGGTGGCTCATGGCCATATTTACCCAAATAAAACAAAAAATATTGTCCCACATCATTACTGGAAAGACATTAACTCCTGGTTACATGAGCAATGTTAGCATCTAATGACATTTAATAACCACCCACACTTTCAGTCATTTTCTGTGTCAGCACATGGCTGATGTACCATTGTTTTTGGACTGTACCATTTTAATGAGGAGCTGCTTTTCAATAGAGGTCAATGTCAACTTGAATGAGTAGATAATGGCTGCTCTTAATACCTGCAAGAAGCACAGGGACAGTATCTGCTTGGCAGCATTTCATATTGAAATGAAATACTTTCTTTTTTGTCTGACTTGAGAGCAGTTCTTTTGTTAAGAAACTGCTGTGAAAAATCAGATGCCTCACTGAGCAGTCCTTTACATAATGAACATCTTGCTTTCCTTAAAACTATTTCTTATACTGTATGTTTAAACAACAACTTTAGGAGCGGCCTATAGCTGTTCACAGTCCAAGCATTACATAAATGTACTAGCACACCCTGCAACTGTATCATTCTCTACAGTAGGAACCCTGATTTAACTGTTAATCCTATTAAAATTCCCATAAAAACAGCTTATGGTCTTTTACATTAGTCAACAAATATGATTATCCTCTGTTGTGCATTCCTCGTCTGCCTTTCAGGAAACTTTGTCACACACATTTTTAACATCTTGGCCCAAATATCTTTCTCTGAGGAAAGCAAAGGGACATGGATGAATATGTATGACATGAATAACAGTTGTGTCAAAGTGTTTAAAGGATCGAAAGTCTCTTGAGAAAGATTTTAAAAGGGAGCGGAGTGAATGTCAAACAAATCTCTAAGGGGAAAATGTACTTATCAAGACTTTCTTCTCAGCACTGAGTCATAGAAGTAATGACAGAAGGCTTTTAGTACACCTTATTGTTGTGTTTTAGGCTTTTTGAGTTCAGGTTTTTGGGGTTTGCTGTCACAAACTACTCTCACTGAGGTGTATTTTGCACAGGAGTTAGCATTTCTGGTGCAGAAGCCTTGATAAACCAAGTTCACGCCACACGCTCAGTGTTCCCAGACAAAGTACATAGCTGCCTTGGGGTCACAGTGGAGCTCGCAGCAGCTAGATTCAAACACAGCTACATGATAATATGTCAGTTTATGGCTGCGGCATATTAAGTGTAAAGCTCGAGCTTAGTTAAGCTCAGTCCTTAAAAAGCTGTTTGCCTGTGTGCTGCTGACTCATGTGACTGACAGCCTGTCAGCAGCAGCAGCAGAGTGATTACTGAGCTCAAACGAGGAGGCCCTCTTTTATCCTTGACTGTGCAGTCAAACAATGTTTTTACATGGCAGATGATGAACAAAAGTCTTCAAGGAAAAATATGAGACTCACAACACTGCATGATGATTTAGTGTGACGAGGCATTGTGGCTGGATGGAGGACAGACTTTGTAGTGTGCTTAAAGACCCACTCCGATCATTTTTTTTTTTTTTTTTTTACAATTTAAAGTGTTCTAAAGTGTTAAAGTTTTTAGCCAAAATCACGTTACCTGTGTCATTTTCAAGGGCTTTTATTCCGCAGAGCTCCAGTAGATCATAAGTAATTCGCCTCTGAGTCGTGGGCGGAGACAGCGCTGCTCTGCACACTCCTCTTCACGCTAGCTTGTAGCCTAACACTGCCGGTGAAGTAGAAGCAGCAGGTAACATAAGACTTGTTCAGCTCTCTGACACTATGTCTTTAGGGGCATGATGAAAGTTATCCGCTAAAGCGCACGTTTGTTCCGCGTTCTCTTTATTTCTCTGAGTGTGACCTGCCCAGTGGGGCTCCAGGGGCGGAGCTTGGATTTGTAACGTAGGAAATCTCACTGTATCTGAACTTGCTGTTTGGGTCTGCCAGAGATTCACAGCGATTTTAATGCAGAAATACTCAGAAATGTAGTTTCGCACTTATTTTTCTCATGATATGTCCTGTAGCATCAGAAAAAATGCCATATGAACATGTAGACAACGAGAAAAACATGATTTTCATTGGAGTGGGTCTTTAAGGAATTAGTTTTTTTTTAGGAAGTGGCAAAAGAGAAACATACAACAGCCAACATGTACACAACAGTGATGCTGGTGATGAAAGAGACATACATGAAGGGTGGGGGGGCTGATGGGGGGGGGCTGATGGCAGGCTGATCTGGGTCCACACAGACTCACTTGGCCAGCTTCATCTCTATCTGTTGGCGGATTTCCTGACGCTCCTGGTCACTGCGGACGGGGAAGATGTTGCGGTCCTCCAGCTCCTGCTTGCTGGGCCGGTTCCGAAGCTTCACGGCCAGCAGCTCCTTCCTCATTCTGCGTGGGAGGGTCCCTGTAGTTGTTGTTGGACATGCATTAAGGTTAAATAAGTACAGTGCATTTTAAGCTGCCAAACATAGTTCTCCAGCTTAGCCCCCTGAACTGCTCCTAATAACCACACAGCGTGCCTTTGTGTCCTCTTGCAAGAGCTAACACCTTATTAATTAAATACATATCCAAATACCTGCTTTAGTTTTCACATTTGCCCCTGGTTTTCTCATTTCAACATTCACTATGCAGTCAAGTTTGTTTCGTGTGGAGCTCACATCATAAAAATGTTCACCTTTTATTTAGTTCTCAAGTAAATAAGAATTAAATAAAGAACAATAAATTCTCCAGGCTGTTAATTAATATGAAATCATTTGCTGCCAAATTCAGTATATAAGGGTTTCTTTCACATCAGTCAAAGCCTGTGTGCATGCTTTGTTTATTGCAATTCAACTTCCACTCGACTCCAGCTTCAAATTTTAGGTATAACAGAGATCTTTGACTTTAACACTCTTTGAGGATTTATGCTGTATTACTATTCTTAAAGGGATATTCCGGCATAAAATAGGGTTAGGGTCAAACACACCGCAACACTAAGTTAGACACCCCCTCAAGAGATGAATGTTGCCGACTGCTCGCTTCTCTAGTTATACCAACTTTACTAACAACAATAGCAATACACAGCGTTCTACGTCTCCAATGTGCAAACCTCAACCAAAAAGCCACTCTATAGATACAAATAATGTTCAAAACAGCACCTAACTTCATCAACAGTACATATAGGGTCCTAGCCATAGAACTAACCATCAAACATCTTTTTAGCTTTGCCTGGTTTCTTTAGCAAAGAGACTAAACACAACTCACCCGCCCTCCTCCAGCAGCCGCTTGTTTGTGGGGGAGCCCTGATGAGACATTCGCAGAGTGCAGTGGATCAATTTCATGGAGTAATAATCATTATCACGATCAATTTGGAGTAGTTCGTCTGCCTTAGCGTCTCGGTTTGATTGCATATCCATGAAGCAATGATCAGTAATGTTCTTCCTTGAGCTGCGAAACTCCGCTGCACTCTGTGATCGACTCGTCAGGGCTCCCCCAAAAAAAAAGCGGCTGCTGAAGGAGAGTGGGTGAGTTGTGTTTGGTCTCTTTGCCAAAGAAACAGGGCAAAGCTAAAAAGATGTTACGTACTGTTGATGAAGTTAGGTGTTGTTCTGAGCATTATTTGTGGCTATAGAGTGGCTTTTTGGTCGAGGTTTGCGCATGGAGATGTAGACCGCTGTGTATTGCTATTGTGCGGTCATTGCGGAAGTTGGTATAACTGGAGAAGCAAGCAGTCGGCAACATTCATCTCTCAAGGGAGTGTCTAACTCAGCGTTACGGTGTGTTTGACCCTAACTTAATTTTATGCCGGAATATCCCTTTAAGCTCTTCTCATTTTGGCATCATGTTGGGGTTGAACACCCATACAATAATATCAAACATCACTCAAATTGCAAATTAAGTTTTTCATTTCTATTTCCCTGATCTAGAATGAAAATGTACAAATGAAGACTTGAGATGTATGGCAAATCTTTCACAGGAAGCCCCCCCTGATGAGAAGAGCTATTCAAGGTGCCCCAGGGTTAACAAGTGAAAGTGTCATTTTTCACACCAAATGCACATTATTATGTGAGTATGAGCTCTTGGGTGATTTTAGACTGAGGTTCACTAAAAGATTGAGCTAAATCAACTGATAACCTCTTTGGATTATAGAGTAAAAATGCATCCTAATTTAGCTGACAAAATTAGGTTCAAACCACTCTCTCTCTCTCTCTTCTCTGCAGTCATCTCCTCTTTTATGATTACATATTTGTATCAAGCCCTATCTTTTATAAGTCTATCATTCAAACATTTTTTTAATACCCTCTCCCCCGTATGGTCACAGACATATTATCCCCAGCTGGTGGTGTACCAATGACCCACATCAGTGGCCAAGAATTAGGCCGTCAGAGCAGATGTTGATGAGCCGCTGAAACTTAACACCAGAAAGTCTGCCATTGGTCATCATTGTAAATCTCCCTGTCATGCTCTCACTGTCAACAAATATCAGCAGAGATTATGCTGCTTCATTACGCAGTAACAGGGTGCTTGAATTGCGTGGGCTCTTTGCACATGACAGGAGCAGCTACTGAATTTCTGCTGTCAGCAGACCTACCAGAGATCACAGACTCGTTCCAGCTGTCCTGGTCACTCAAGTATTCGTTCAGACGCCAGTTCTCTTTGTTCTCATCAGACTCCTTCTTGCTCTCTGACTCCCCGGCCGGCTCCTTCTCTGTGCTGGATGCGCGGGACAGACGACCATCCAGCCGGCGCTTCAGAGACGAGCGGGCTTCCTTGTTCTGAAAACTGAGACCACACAAGACAAGCCTGTCAAACACAAAATCATTTTATTCAGAGACACTTATAAGTTTCTATCTGATGAGAAAGTGTAGAGTTACTTTCAACCACTTCTTTTTTTGCAGCTCTGAAAACAAGTACAACTGCGAGAGAAAAACCAAGGGGTGGTGGAACTAAAAATAAACCGCAGTTTAATGAAAGAGTCACTTCTGTAACTGCAGTCACCCACAAAAGCCAAAAACAAATCAAGGATGTAAAGTCAATAAGAGCAACTCAAATTCACCTCAAACATCTTCTGAATTATAATCTGGATATCGACCCCTCTGTAGTTAGAAAAAGAAGAGGGCCTCAGTGTTAAATCTCTGAGTTTCCTGGCACACAAACTTGGGTGGATTACAAAAAACGGAGCCAAGTCTACTAAACCTTTTTCTTTGTGTCCAGGCAACATGAAGCAGAACTCCTGAGATGAGTGAGTTAACGGACGGTAATAATAACAATCAAATATGATAAACGAAAGAGGGCTGGAGTTATCGGAATAAGACTATGCAAGCCTGTTCTTTCCATGACTGTATGTACAAATCCATTCATTACAGTCATTTTCAGTTGGTTGGCCATGATCCCCTTTAAGGATTAGTGTTAGTCTCCCAAGTACTTATAAGGCTTACAATATTAAAAGGAAAAGCCTGTTTAATAAAAATCAAGGTAATCTGAGCTGGCCTTCTTAATATTGATCAAAGAGTAAAAGTTAGTAGGAAATAAACAAACTGGCTCTGTATGACAGAAAATTAGTCATCTGTTTAATCTGCTGTCTCTTTTATCTTTATCAAAAATAAAAATGGTGGAGTACTTCATGTATATGTATATATATATACTGTATATACATACATATATATATTTATAAATATATTTATAAATTATTATAAATGTAACCTTTATTTAACCAGGTTGGTCCCATTGTGATTAAAAACGGTAATGAAAAAATTAAAAATACACGATCCAATTAATCGCAAAAATAATCGTAGTCGTGTCGATTATCACATTAATCGTTTGTGGCAGCCCTACACTTCAGTGTACCACCACCTACCCATTACATCTTCAATAATAAATGTACAGCACAATAGTCTCATCTGTTCATATAAAAAAAAACTGAATATTTTTAATCTTCCAGACAGCAAAATCCAGGGTCAAGCTTTTGTAGTGGGTAATTGTCAGTTACCAAAGTATTTATGATGTTATGGCTGATTATGTAACCTTTGGTTTAACTCAACAGCACAAGATCCTGGACATTGTTTCTTGAAAATGAAAAACATGTGGAGCTTGAGCAGTGTTTAAGAAACTGAAAAAACATTTACCTTCCTGAAATTAACACTTAGAAAGGTCAGGTCTTCAAATCATCAATTGACCTATCAGTCAACAGACTGTGTTTTTCTGATCAAAACAAAAAGCAAAACCTGTGGAGGTGTTTATAAATTAAAATATAATTGTATGCAAAAATTATGGTAAAATCATGGTCTTGGATTGTTATTTGTTGTCACTGTTGTCCTGGCTTATTCCAGAGTAGCAATACTAATATTCTACCCTTTATTAATGGATTTGTACCAGGAAAATGCTTTCTGCAAATGTATCCAACATCATAAATATCATGGGATCATACTTGCTGAGCTGAAACTACACAAAAAACAAAGTCTGACCTGTCCTGTCTGTGTTTGGTGGCCAGTGCACGGTGCAGTTCCTCAATAATACAGCTAGGGGGCAGCTGCTGGTGGAGTGAGCCAAGGTGGGGGGATCCTGTGGGTGTGGACATCCTCCCTCTCAACAGGGATCCATGAGGATCTTTGGGTAGAGTGAAGTTCCTGGGTAGGGTGGCTGGGGACTTTTTCACTGGGACTCGAGGAGCACCTGAAGAGATCCTCAAAGTTAGACACTGCTGCAGATCAAAACTACCTTTTCTCATTATGTTCTGGGTCACCTCACCGTCCAGGCTGCCCAGTCTTGTGAGCAGTTTGACCGGCCTGTTGGGTGGATTGGATGTGCTGGCTCGTCTCTGAGGAAGGGCTGCCGTCGTTTCTGGTTTAACTTCAACGGACTCCACTTTCCCGACCAGCTGCTCATCGATGGGTTCACTCTGTGACAGGCTTTCATCTTCTCCATTTTCAGCCTGACTGACATCTCCCCCCGTCTTTGTATCCTCAGTCAGGTCTTGTACTGAAATGAGATGAAATGTCATTTCTGGTAAGGCAGTGGTTTGGTTAGTTCAAGAAGTCTTTGTCACTACCTAGTGGACAATCAGAGACACTGCGTCTCCACCAGAAGCTGTCATCAGCTGAACAAGGAGGACCTTCAGGCTCAAATTGAGACATTTTAAAAACAGAATCACCGTTAAGTGTTTGCACAAATAATAAAAAAGTAATTAAACACACTAGACAACCTATAAAATAGTAAATGTAACAAACCTTGCATTGTATGTACACAAAAGAACCAAATCAAAAGCCTAAGAGCCCTCTCATCAGCTCTCATAACCCTCCACAGAAAGCTTTCAGTTGGAGCTGTGTCTGAAATGATTCATTCACTGTTCAGTGCACATTTCATGGTAGAGCAGCTCTCAGTGTGTTAACAGTGAAGTTAAAATAAGAAGAAGCTACTTGTTCCCTTCAGCTGACAGCTGTTTGAGTTGACCTTTTCCCACTCAGTCAGCAGTTCCCGTGGTGGCAGTGAACTCAGATGTTACCTTTGGTTGTGCTCATCTGAATCATTCAAGCAAGCCCTTTTTACAGACAGCACTTCATCTCACTACGACATTCTGTAGCACAGGGGAATACAGTTAGCTTAGTTGGCTATGTCTTTATATTTCTAGTTTCGGTTTCCTCAGCTCATCTATTAAAGCAAATATTGGTACCTTTATTTCAAGGTTATATGAGCCAGGAGGATCTTTTTTTTTACAAACCCCATTTCCAGTGAAGTTTGGATGTTGTGTTAAATGTGAATAAAAACAGAATACAGTAACACATTCTTTTCCACCTACATTCAACTGAACACTTTACATAGACCGTTTAAGGTTCAAACTGATAAACTTCATTGTTTTTTTGCAAAGATTCACTCATCTTGAATTTGATGCTGTAACTTGTACCTGAAAAGTTGGTTCAGGGTCAACAAAAGACTGGAAACTGAGGACCTCTCCAAAAACACCTGTTTGGATCATTCCACAGGTGAACAGGTTCAGTGAAAACATGTGAGGGTCATGACTGGTTTCAAAAGGAGCACCTCTGAAAGACTCAGCTATTTTCATAAACGGACATTTCACCCTCTCCATTTTCATTTTTCTTCCGCTTCATCCAGGTCCGGGTTGCGGGGGCAGCAGCTTCAGGAGGGAAGCCCAGACGGCCCTCACCCCAGCCACTTCCACCAGCTCTTCGGGGGGATTTTGTTTACACTAACCTGTGCATATATGCCGTAAAGAGCATGCCAAACCTGTGGGTGGCAGTGAAGTGAGAAGCTCAAGCCCACATTGGCCAATCAGAATCCCGCATAGCAGCAGCAACAACAACAACAATGTCACTTGCTGTGTCCGAATTGCCCGCTCGGATACTACATACTACTGCTACATACTACTTCTAGATCCTACTCCTACATACTAAACACGTTGGCCCCATTCGGACACACTAGATGAGCGGTGGCCCCCGCAGGCAGAGAGTAGGTACTGCGCCCGTGCAGACAGTGGTAACTGAAGCCCCTCATCTGCTGGCCTGGCTGTAGTACTGCAGCTGTTCAGTTTAATGATGGAATAAGTGAGCTTTACTTCCATGATGTCGCCACATATTTGCTCATAAAATGATTACTTGGGCAAATATGACACCATGACATGACAAAGAGATACAACCGCACATTTTTTAGGACAGTGTGTGAAGTTGCATGAAACCGCCATGGTGCGCGCTGCTGTGGCCAGCCGGCGTTCGCGACACATCTATGCTGGTGGCGCTAGCATCACATGCGCTTCTACAACTTTTAAGAGGACGAAGAAGAAGCCTGCGGTGCATTTTGGGCGTAGGATGCACCGCGACCAACCTACAATGTGGGCGTGTCTAGTATCTTAAGTAGTATCTGAAGTAGCATGCTACTCGCTCCGGTGGCCATTTCGGACATGCTAGATACTACTTCGACTACTACTTGGCAATTCGGACACAGCTACTTCCTTCTTTCCTGCGCACAATCTGCTGTTGGCTACCCAAATCTCTGTTTTTCTCTGTTTACATGCAAACAGAGTTTCCCCAAAATCTCCACTCTGGCCGTTTTTAAAAAAACATCATTTTTCAGGGGCAAATTCTCTGTTTGCATCTAAACGCAGGGTGCAAACGACGGTTAATGTCTCTGTTTTTAAAAATAACCGGGTACGTACAAACAGCGCCTCAGTCCTTCACAGGCAAGGACGGAGCCAGGTTCACCGCTTTGTCAACAACTGCGTAAGCAAATAGTCAAACAGTTTAAAAGCGTTTCTCAACGAACAACTGCAGAAATTTTAAAGATTTGAATCCAGAGAAATCATTGGTGGTGTCCACCGGGCTGAAGAGGAAAAGGACCATCCAGACTGTTCTCAGGTCAAAGGTCAAAGCCAGTGCCTGTGATGTTCTGGGGGGGTGTTAGTGCCCATCACTAAGTGTTACAGCTGTCAAGGCTCCATTAGTGCTAAAAAGTACATACCATAGACTGTTTATACTATGGACAACTTGGTTCTGCCTTCCGCCAGTTTACGCATTTGAAGCCGAAAAGTTCTCGGTAATTCTGCGTTTTTTCTCCACTTCCTGAAACCAACAATGTGCAGCAGCGTTGTACACACTCAGCGGGACAGTCGCCAAGAGTCACTGTAATGACGCTCAGCCCAAACAGCGTATCCCCCGGGTTAGCTACACAATCTTCATACGTCCATAGGCTGCATCAAATGTCAATCATAGAAAACATGAACCCCCTAATAACTTTTTAAAACGGAGCTGCACAGAAAAAAGATGACTTTAGAAAAAAACAGTCTGACAATAACTACATGTCAACATCACAAGCAGGGGGAGAAATATTTATATTCTGTGTAATAAATTTCTAAAGTTTGTCCACAGCTCCATAAGCTTTGCTGGCAGAGGCGGGATTTATGACCTATACTGCAGCCCGTCACCAGAGGGTGCTGTTCTCATAATGGCTTCATCCAGCAATGAGGCAGATGGCGTCTATTCTGTGTACAGTCTATGGCTCATACAAGTTTAGGAGCAACATGAACAACTTTATAATGTGTTGAGCATTACCCAAAAATACCACAACAGAGACCTCGGACTGTAGATCAGCTGAAGTGGTCCATCAATCAGGAATGTGAAAGAGTTGACCTCCAAAGCTTCAACAGTCAGTGTCCTCAGTACCCATGAAGTGTTATTCAAAACACAGTAACACAGCATAAAATATGATCCTGAACCAGCTTTTTAGGGATGTGTTGCTGCCATCAAACTCAAAAAGAGTGAATTTTTTGATACTGTCCTTGTGTTGTCAGCACATATGATTATCAATTGCAGCATCACATTCACAAAAAACACTAAAGAAGATATTCAGCGCTAAAGTCTACCTGTTGATGCCTCTAAGTCGCTGCTTTGGTCTTCATTGGTGTTGGCAAGAGGTGCAACAAGCTCCTCGTCTCTCTCCTCAGCATCAGAGTGATTTGGGGTTTCTGGGTCTTCAGCGTTACCCCCACAAGCCAGATCTGACTCTGCATATGGTGCACAGTGAAAAAAAGCACAGAAGTGAGTGTGTGTAGCAGTTGGGGCATCATGTGGCTGAACAAGTGAACCGAGATCAGCTCAGAGTAAGGGTGTGTACGTGTGCTCATTTCTCAATTTGCACCTGTCTCCGTTTCTCCAGGGTTCTTCCTTGCGGGGTCATCTCTCTTCTGACGTACAGCTGCCTTCTTCTCTCCCGCTAAATATCAAAACACATTATTAAAACTGATTCACTGACTCCATGCCAAATGTAAACATGTAGCCTTTAAGTTTGTCACCTCTAAGCGAGTCCATAACTTTGAATATTTGGCAGCAGCACATGAATTAAGTCATACTCACCCCCTGTGGGCTTCAGTTTCTCGTTTTTCTTTTTCCTCCATTTCCACGGCTTGAAGATTCGCCCCAGGCTCGCCAGCTTGCTGTTGCGGCGGACAGGAGGAGTACGAACCCCTGAGACCAGGCAACCCGAATGCAGCACCCTCTGCTGGTCCATCACATCTACAACACACAACAAGCAGCTGCTTTAAAATAACAGTGTACAGACTACAAAACTCAAACATGAGCACTGGTGCCATCTATTGATTCTCCATCATGGTAGTTACCGCAGAGAGTTCTCATGTCATTCCCAACAAAGCTGGCTAAACACTACTGACACCCCATCATCATGAGACAAGCCAATGTGGGTCACTGGCAGTAAGTTCTTCATTGATTCAAGGCTGCTTTAGCAATGTAGAGAGAGAAGACAGAGAATCGCATTGTTTGGGAGTGACTCACATGGTTCCAGGGCAGCCAGACCTTCCTGGCCCCAAAACCCACAGACAATAGAAGGCTTTAAAAAGAGAAAAACACAGAGAATAAAGAAAAGCAGCCTCAGTGTAACTGCCTGTCCTGTGGTCAGAGCAGACACCTGCAGCCAGCTGCTCCTACTGCTTTCACACGATCATACCCTGTCAACTCACCTTACTTGAATACATGCTGGACATACTGGACACAGCTTACATGTACCGTGAAAATGCTGCTCTTGGCAGACTGGCATTTTCAGAGCATCCTGCAGCTCCCTCTTCTTCTTCTCACAGTTGTTTATTTTTGTTCTATTTTGTTGAATCTTATTAGTCAGTATTTTTAGTTGCCGACAAAAATACTTTTGGTGCGTTCGAATATCTTTTTTTAGGAGAGGGTTTTCTGTAGTTCACATTTCAATGTTAGCACATAATGCTTGGTATAAGATACACAATGTTACATGTTGTTTGAGCTAGTACTCCATGTTTCTTTTCATTTTGGATGGCAATAATACCCTTTGTTTATCATTTCTGTCGGTTAGATAACAGGTATTTTTTTACCATTGAATATAACAGCTCCAAAAAGCCCCAAATGATATATGTAAGTAGCCTGTTCAATCTAAAACTCCACAAAACTCAGTTTAATGTCATGTGGGACACAAACACAAATCATCACTTTTGGAATGCCAGGGAATGTTTGGCACAGCAACCTGAAACGGCTCAACAATGAGAATTAATGAAGTGAACAACTGCCTGACTAATGAAGTCAAGATGCTCAGATTGATTCATCGGCAGTGACTGGAAGTCAATGGCTATTCCTCTTAGTTGGTACTTAGCACTCATCAGTGTGCAAAATAAGCCGCAGAGAAGGCCTCACGATGACAGACAGGCAGGCTGAGGAACTACAGAGGCCGACTGAACTGACTCCTGCATGGAGTGGCAAAGTGAAAGGGAGTTAGAGAGCGGTTCCTTGGAGAAAGGACAGAAATAGACACTCCCACACAGTCTGGCTGCAACAACAAGCTGACACCACAGGGAGCCTACAGCTGAGCAGTGAGCTGTACAGGGAGCGCTCCATGAACGATTTCATTTTCTGACAGCAGTGTAGGACTGTAGCCTATGAATGAACTCTGTTTCCCCAACTCCACCAAACCCTACCTTCAATCTTCTACAGTTTGTCTGTCACACAAAAGACGTAAACGTGTCCCGAGCTGTTACTGTGACCCAAACACATGAGAACAAGGACAGACACAATGTGGAAACAGAATTTTAACATCATTACACACTTTTTCTATCGTATTGTTTTACATAATCACACACAGCATGGACAGGAGAAAGCCACTAAGGGTGTGTATCATTACGGTTGTGAGCTAATGTCCCATGTAGGCATGTGGTGATAATGATGTTCAACATCAAATCTATACGGTTAGCCAAATACTACACATTTTTTTAATACATCAACTTAATTACCACATTTCTAGGAAACATTTATTTTGTATTATTTTTTTTATTTAACCTTTATCGAACCAGGTAACAAACCCATTGAGATCAAGATCTCAAGACATCACAATAAGAATAATAAAATAAAAAGAGTTTTTATATTCTACATTCACTAAAGATTCCTACATACCAAATATTCTAAACATCCTTTAATCAGTGCCAAACCATGTGGTAATATCCCTGAATCAGCAGAAAGATGTGTGGCTTATTTCAAAGTGTATCACTGTTACTAATAACAAGCTACTATTAAATACACTAAGTATTTCCATTGTAAATTTATCTTATTAAATGGTGTGAAAGACTGCATCGCACTTGTGTATTAAATACTATTAATAAAGATTCGAAATTTAACACAGTTGAGTCCTCCAGGACAGGAGATTTGCTACAAAAACTATGAGACCTAGAAGCACCAAAATTTCTGGGTGGGAGAAAAAAACACACCAAAGACTTGGACATAAATAATGACTCTCATTGACATCTGGGTTATACTAAAAAAAAAAAACAGCTTTAAAAAGTTTGCATCTATTCCAGAAATGGCTTAGCATGTGATCAAAATTCTTAAAATGATCCAGAAAAACAGGAAGCCCTCTACTTTATAACCCTCAAAGCTCTTAGCTAAATGAAAGATTTCTATGAGTATTTTCATCTACCTCAACCAAACAGTGACGTAGAAGATTACTCCAAAGAGAATGAAAGCTTTGCTTCTTAAAACCCATTAAAACAAAACCCCATCAATAAGAAATTACAGCCATGACCTGCATGCTTGCACTCTCATCACTGCTGCTTAGAGTCATTCTAGTTTAAAAATTGATATCAGTGCTAAATTGAATCCAGTAAGACAACCACAGGACAAAGAAAATCCGCTGACTGTGTCACCACAGAAGAAGAAACTGGAGATTTTTTCCATCAGTTTGGCTGAAAACCTCACCAGGTTGTAGTAACCTCCTATTTGGGACTCTGCTGCAAGCAGCTGTTTGATCAGATTACAGAGGCTTTCGGCAGCTTTATCATGTCTGCTGCATTTACAAATGCAAATGACTATACCTGAGAGAGATGCACATCAGATAACATTATGCACACTCCACTGAGAACACAAGGCCAATGATGGGGGAGTTTGCTGTACCATGAAACGCAGAAACCACTGGCACCTCGGCTTTTATTGACTCCACATGCTCCTTGACTGCTAACAATGAGAAGCAGGTCAGTTAACCAAGTCATGTGTGCCTGCCTAGGATGCAGTGAGGAATTCAGGTCAAGCCTGTAGTAACCGAAGCAGCACACACCCGGGGTCAGGCTGCCGTTGCCATGGCTACCACGCTGGATGCTGCAGAAAAGGCCCTTGGAGGCAGAGAATCATCACAGCATGAGGAATAGGGAGTTGCTGGGTGGATGAGAAGGCTGTTGCCACACAGAGAGATGGGGAGCTACAGCCAATCACAGACAAGAATGCAACGATGCATAATGTAAGTCAGAGAGGGAGCTGCTGTATTTTTAATTTGCAAGTTATGTTGAAATATTTATTCCGTTGCTGGGGCTGGAGTGAGCATTGATAATTTTTTTGTGCAAACACATAAAAAAAAATATCTTTTCAATGTCAGATACAGTTCAGGGGAGTGTAACCTAGAGGTTAGAGGTTTTGACAAATATCCGCATCACTCACATTTACTTTGATTCGTTGACAAGATGTAGCAACTCCTATGTAGTCTCTATAAAGTCAAAGTTATTTAAAAAAGACAAAGTTAAGATAAGAAAAACAGAGTGGGAACAAGACAAAAGTAAGAAATGTTGTAGTTTACTGCTCTGATGTACCAAACTGAAAGCAAAACTAGTATGTATGTGTAGCCCTCTCTCTGTATCTCGCGCGCGCCTGCCGGCTCTCCAACACCTCCACAGCTAGGCTACTCTGCGTTGTGTCTGCTTATGTGTGAAATGGACCTCTGGCGGGGGGTGCAGCGGCAGCCGGTAAGGAGATGCACACGGACACAGGTGGGTTCGGGATCGTGGCAATACCGTTGGTTTATTCACAACACAGGGGTCTACAAGGTTGATATCAGAACTCTCAGTAAACTTCAAATAGAAAAGTGTATTACAATGCTACATCTCATTCAAGTTAGCGCTATTACACTCGTATTCCAAACGTAGATTTTACCAAAAATATAAAGTAGTTAGCTCAACAAATTACACAGCTATCAAGTGCTTAATGTTTCAGTCATCAAAATAGCTCATCAAAACAAACTTATAACAGCTTATATGCTTAATATTTCGTACTTTATCTTCCCATGAAACTAACGTGACTTACCTACAAGGTTGATATCAGAACTCTAAAGGAAATGCTCATTACACCCGCGATATCAACCCCTACGGTGTGTCAGAGGGACAAAAGGCAATTCTCAATAGTAAACTCTTGTTTTAATGTGCAGCGACACCTAGTGGCGCAACTCAGCATCTACCTTACACCCACCCCTTCTTTAAGAGATGGCGTCCCCGCCATCAGACTCATTCAAAAGAGACTCATGAGGTAACTCAAAGAACTTCAAAAATAAACAAATATGTGACAAGTGTGTGTGTGTGTGTATAAAGTGTGTAGAAAATGTGTGTGTGGGGGAGCTGACTCATCTAGGTGTGTGCACTACGTGGCCCTAAATGTGTCCAGCTGCTCTTCTTGCTTTGGCCCTTTGCCACAACTTTCTTCCTCTCTCTATCTTCTGCTGGTCACTTTCCACTTCCATGGCCCGGCACTCTAAAGACAGTTTCAGGGGAGGACGTCGACTCCTTCTCGGCCTTCTCCTTGGAGTGTCAACGCCTCGAGAGGAAGAGGCACCACCACTGGTCACCAGCATATCCCCTTGTGTCTCTGTGTCGGTCAGTTCGGTGCTGGGGTGCTCTTCTCCCCCAACTGCTCCAGTCAAAGCTCCATCTTCCACTTCCTCCATACTGTCATCTTCACCCAGATCAACACCAGTCTCACACGGTTCATTATCCAGCTGGCTCTCCTCCAAGACTAGGTTACTTCGATCCACAGGCAGGAACATGCACTGGGTAAGGAGGTTTCTGTGCAGCACCCTCTCCGGTCCTCCATTCTCCGGTCTCACCACATAAACAGGTACGTTGGGCTGCTTCTTGACAATGACATATGGGCGTGACTCCCACCGGTCTCCCAGTTTCTGTCTCCCCTCCACATGGCAAACTTTGACTAAGACTCGGTCCCCAGCAGCAAAGTCTTCACTTCTGGCTTTCAGATCATAGTACTTTTTCTGCTGCTCTTTAGCATGCTGAGATGTTTGGTTAGCCAGGGTATAAGCCTCCGTCAAAGAATCATGCAGAGTCTGGACATACTCGTGGTATCCACAGGGCTGATTTGCGGTGGGGGACCCGAAAATCAGGTCAATCGGGAGCCGTGGGTACCTACCAAACATCAGGTAGTACGGGCTATACCCGGTGGAGTCGTGTTGTGAGCAGTTATATGCATGTGTCATGGCATCCAAGTGTTCGTGCCACCGAGGCTTCAAGTGCGGCTTTAGTGTCCCCAGCATATTCATCAGGGTACGGTTGAACCTCTCGGTGGTCCCATTCCCCTGAGGATGGTAGGGCGACGTGTGTGTTTTAGTAATGCCGGTACACTTGCACAGCTCTTTCACAATAGCACTTTCGAAGTTGCGCCCCCTATCCGAATGCAGCTTTGCAGGGAAGCCGAAACGACTGAAGTAGTTCCTCCACAATACTCTTGCCACTGTGCCCGCCTTTTGGTCCCTGGTGGGGTAGGCCTGCGCGTAACGGGAGAAGTGGTCAGTGACAACGAGCACATTTTCAATGCCACCTTTGGACTTCTCAAGCGTCAAATAGTCCATGCAGACTAACTCCATGGGGGCACTGGTGTGTATACTGACTAGGGGAGCTCTGACGTTAGCTGTGGGAGTCTTTCTCAGGCAACATCGCTCACACTGCTCACACCAGGCTTTAATCTCTTGAAACATTCTTGGCCAATAAAATCTCTCACGTATCATCTGCAATGTTCTCTCAAATCCTAAATGTCCGGAATCATCATGAAGAGCAGTTTTAACAGCTACACGCAGCCTCTGTGGCAGTATTAGCTGCTCCAACTCTCCTCTATGGCAGTCACGGACCCGCCGGTAAATGACACCATTCTTCACCACTAATCTCCTCCACTCTTTTAAGAGAAGGCCCCCACTTGCACCCACTTCCACCCTCTCGGTGCGGCTTGGTTTCCGGTTGCGGGACTTGAAGTGCAGGACTGGACCAATGTCCGGATCTTCTCTTTGCGCTGCCCGAATCTCCTGTGTTGTCATAGCGGGCAGTGCCTCCATTCCCACGTCTCCATAGGGTTGACTCGGCTCCAGCAGCTGGCCACTCTCTGGCGCCTCCATAGAAGCAGCAGTTTCCCCGGAGGACTCCTCCACTTCCTGGGTGCCACGTGTCTCATTCTGCCCCTGTACATCAGCTACCACTTGCTGGGGGCAAGTTTGCAGGACTTCACTGACCTCTTGGTTGGACATGCGTGAAAGGGCGTCGGCGTTAGAGTTGTCTTGGCCCCTCCTATACTGGATATCAAAATCAAAGATTGACAGGTGAGAAACCCACCGCTGGCCAGTGGCGTCGAGTTTGGCAGTGCTCATTACGTACTTCAGAGGGTTGTTGTCCGTTAGCACAGAGAACTTGCGTCCATAAAGGTGGTCATGGAATTTGTCTGTGACCGCCCACTTAAGAGCGAGGAATTCGAGCTTGTGCGCAGGATATCTCGTCTCAGGTGGGGTCAAGCCTCTGCTAGCGTAAGCGACAACTCTCTCTGCTCCACCCTGGATCTGTGCAAGCACAGCCCCAAGCCCATCTCTCGACGCGTCAGTCTGCAGCAGGAAGGGCAGGCTGTAATCTGGATAGCCCAGGACCGGTGCATTGGTCAGCTTCTCTTTCAACGCCAGGAATGCCTCCTCACACTCAGAAGTCCACAGAAAGGTCGGATCGGGGGCTGGATTCTTCTGGGCCCCTCTCTTCTTGCTTCTAGGGTCTCCCGAGGTGAGGCGGTACAAGGGTGCAGCTAGACTGGAGTATGACTTGACGTAGCGTCTATAGTAGCCAGCAAACCCAAGGAATTGAAGCACTTCCCTGCGGTCTGTAGGCCTCGGCCAGTCTTTGACACGGCTGATCTTCTCCGGGTCCGTCCTGATGCCGTCTGCCGACACCAGATGACCCAGGTAGTTCACTTCCTTTCTCACGAACTGGCACTTTGACGGCTTAAGCTTCAAGCCATGCTCTCTAAGCCGATTGAAGACACACTGCAGTCGGTCTAGGTGTTCACTGAAGGTCGAAGAAAAAATAATTATGTCGTCCAAATAAATAAGTAGATGCGTAAAGTTCAAGTCACCGAAGCAACAGGTCATTAACCTCTGGAATGTGGAGGGGGCGTTTTGAAGCCCAAATGGCATTCTGTTGGCCTCGAAAAGCCCCATGGGAGTGCTAAAGGCTGTCTTGTGCTTGTCGTGTTCCGCTACCTCCACTTGCCAATAACCGGAGGTCAGGTCGAGCGTGGAGAAGTATTTAGCTTGTCCTAACGACTCTAAGGCCTCCTCAATTCTTGGTAGAGGAAACGCATCTCGGGTGCTGCAGGAGTTAAGCTTTCTGTAGTCAATACAGAGTCTTAATGACCCATCTTTCTTGGTCACGACGACCACTGGTGAGGCATAAGGGCTTTTACTTGGACGGATGACCCCGGTTGCCTCCATCTCAGTTAACATGCGCCGCACGTCTTGCCATTGGGATGGGGGTATCTTACGGTAGGGTAATCGGAAAGGCCTTGAGTCTACCAGTGGGATCTCGTGCTGTATGGTTGTGGTGTGGCCATAGTCCAGGGAGTGCTGCGAGAACACATCCGCATTCTTGTTTAGCAGTGTTTCCAGACTGGTGCGTTGATCTTCGGTCCCCACTGCCGCGTCACTTAGGTCCACACCACAGCTCGCCACCACTTGTCCCAGGCTGAGGCATGCCTCCTTGTTCCCAGGCCCCCCCCCCTCGTTCTCAGGAAACTCCAGAACGCGGTGTATCAGGACGGCACTGGCCAGGGTTGTGTGGGGCTTAATAGTTATGACACGCTGGGACAGGTTCATCACTCTAACTGGAGCACATCCTCCCTTTACATCAACAAGAACTTTGGCAACCAGGAGGTCTTGGGGAAGACGCACCGAGGCCTGGCTCTCAATCAGGGCAGTGTAGATCTTTCTCCGAGGACCATCTTTAATCTTGCATCTCAAATCCATCTCCTTACCCGCAGGAATGCGTACTTTACGGCCGGTGTACACAGCAGGACCTACCACATCATGCATTTCACTTTGCTCGGCGCTCCCCACCTTCAGCAGTGCTGTGTACCACTCTGGATGCTTCTCTTTCACCAGATGGAGGAACTGCTGGCCATATGACGCTTGGAGGTGGCTGCGGGAGGCTCTGATGACATTTGTGCCCACTAGAAGGGGGACTGAAGAACGGTAGTCGGAGTCAGGAACTACGAAGGTAGGCACAGCTTTATGCTCTTTTCCAAGAACTTTCAAGTCAATATTCACCACACCGTGGTAGGGCACAGTTTGGCCAGCTGCGCCCTCTATGGGTACTTTGGAGGGCTTTAGCTTCAGTCTCTGCAAGACAGGGTGGCTCTGCCAGTAGCTGTGTGTGATGCTGGTTATCTGGGAGCCAGAGTCAATGAGAGCCCTACACTGCATGCCGTTGACTTCGACTTCTCCTTCGTTCCTGGGCCCGACTAGAGGTGTCTCCTCTTTTCCAGTGCTAATGTCTCTTGTGGGTGGATGGGGGCCTCGCTGTATGCCCATGGTTGCCCCAGCTACCATGGGCCTTAAGCGTTTAAAGGCTGGTCTGATTGGGGTGTGGGCCCCACGGCAGGGGCGTTTGGTTGGGGGGTTCCAGCAGGGGCAGGGGCTGGCAGCACTGCTCTACAAATTCGGGCGGTGTGGCCGAGCTTACCACACCGATAACAGATGAAGCTTGTGCTTGGGGCTGCCCTAGCCCGTGGGGGCTGAACTGCTTGGATGGGGGTAGGGGGTGGTGAAGCTATTCTCCGCTCAAGGTGGGACAACTTGGCCATTTGTTCTTCTTGCTTAAGAGCTAGCCTCTTTACAATCTCAGTCAACTCTGATAATTCAGAAGTGGGGTTTACCTTTTCAGGTTTCACATTTCTATCTCCCTCTGGCGTAACATGTACTTGGGTAACAGTCTTTTTCCCTTTGTTTTGAGACTGGAACTTTTTGTTTTCTCTTGCCAGGTTACGGAGCTCATTCTGCAGCTCTCGAAAGCTCAGCAGTCTAGGTGTCATGGGTGCTATTCTCATATACACCTCTTCATCGGTGAGCCCTCTCATGAACTGGCGGGTGAGTTTGCTGTCACGGTCGGGGAAAGGCTTGCCTCCCCTCTGCTTCTCTTCAACAGCACGCAGTTTCGACTCCAGCGCTATAGCATAAGAGCAGACGGACTCACCCGGGTTTTGGCTCCGCTCATAGAAGTCAGCTAATGGGTCTAAAGACCCTCGTGCGTCGCCATACTCTGCTCTCAGTTCCTCGAATGCTTTCTCTGGGCTCTGGTTATGGATGGGTATGTTTAGAATTAACTTCCGGGCTTCACCGCCCAGGTGCCTCACCACCGTGGAAAAACGCAGGTGCATGGGGAGTTCAATCGCTTCCAGGAGATATTGCATGTCACGCACCCAGTCCTCCACTAAAATCTTGCAGTCTGGATTACCCGTGAAGACTGGAACATTTTTCACTTGATGCGTTTGCATGAAACCACCATAGGCTGACACTGGGGGGCTTGCACTGGCTCTAGTTTGAACAGGGGTCTGTGAATGCGGCGCTTGTGGGTAACTGTACAGGCTAGGCAATGTTGCAGGATCGGGGTGAATATCAGCAGCAGTATGCTCAGACATTACAGGGGGGCTATAGGGGGTGGTGTTGGGGGCATACCCATGAGCAGGGGGTAGGGGCACTGAATCACTATGGCTGGAACCCAGAACATTACTAGATGTTTCAGAGAAATGCACTTGAGGGGTCCGCCCCATAGCAGCAGGCTGGTTAGCTATGCTTGCTGCTAACGGTATTTGGAAACGTGGCCCAGGCATTTGGGTTGCAGGGGTGGAGTGTGCATAGCCTAGGTATACTGGGGGGCTGGGTCTAACAGACTGGAAAGCATAGGGGGTGGCTCTGGGGTAGGGCATGGGGAGCCGGTGAACCGCTGGCCTCTGAGCGCTAACACTGTGTGGGGTGCTTTGTGGAGGCAGGGAGGCTGTGGGTCCATGCTCGCTGGGGGTGTGAACAGAGGCATTCGCCGGTGTCTCCGTCGGGCTGCTTGGGTTGGTGACAGGACTGATGTCAAGGCAGAGCGGGGGTATCTGTCCTGAAGCCCCGGAGCCCGGCTGTCTGGATGGACGGACTGGCGTGATGTACTGAGCCACATAAGCTGAATACATGGAGGATGGGAAAGCGTGTCGTTGCAAAGGGGGCATTGAACCACTTGCTTCAGGCCCAGCTGGAGGTAAGAGGCTGGGCGTCACAGTGGAGGGACTTTGCAGCTCAAGTGCTGAATCAGTGTAATTCTGTGTCATCTTGCTATATTTCAATACTGTCTGTGTGTAATGCAGTGTAATATGTCTTTCAGTATTACCAGAGTAACCAAAAAATATCAGCTATGTCTAAAAACTTAACTTAATAGGCCATTAAACTTAATTACTTAGTCAGTTCACTTAAATGTTCAACTCAAAAATGTCACTAAATATCAGTTAGCTGAATACACAAGCTTAAATGAGTCTTGAAACAAACAGAAAAATATCCTCGAATATCAAATAGCTTTAAATAGCTTCAGTTTACCATTAATTTCCACTCAAAATTCAGCTTACCCATTAGAAAAATATTCAAAATGCAATAGCAGTAGTAATTCGTATTCACAACAGTCTCCAAAGGATATAGCTGGGACGGTAACGTTGCTTCAGAACCATGAAAAAAAAAAAAAAAGTTGCAAATGTCCGTCAGCTCCAGGAAAAGTTCACGGTTCAATGTTCAATACAAGCCTGGTTGTAGAATTCCCTCTTCGGTAAGGCAACACCACGATCCGGGTCACGGCACCAAAGTTGTAGCCCTCTCTCTGTATCTCGCGCGCGCCTGCCGGCTCTCCAACACCTCCACAGCTAGGCTACTCTGCGTTGTGTCTGCTTATGTGTGAAATGGACCTCTGGCGGGGGGTGCAGCGGCAGCCGGTAAGGAGATGCACACGGACACAGGTGGGTTCGGGATCGTGGCAATACCGTTGGTTTATTCACAACACAGGGGTCTACAAGGTTGATATCAGAACTCTCAGTAAACTTCAAATAGAAAAGTGTATTACAATGCTACATCTCATTCAAGTTAGCGCTATTACACTCGTATTCCAAACGTAGATTTTACCAAAAATATAAAGTAGTTAGCTCAACAAATTACACAGCTATCAAGTGCTTAATGTTTCAGTCATCAAAATAGCTCATCAAAACAAACTTATAACAGCTTATATGCTTAATATTTCGTACTTTATCTTCCCATGAAACTAACGTGACTTACCTACAAGGTTGATATCAGAACTCTAAAGGAAATGCTCATTACACCCGCGATATCAACCCCTACGGTGTGTCAGAGGGACAAAAGGCAATTCTCAATAGTAAACTCTTGTTTTAATGTGCAGCGACACCTAGTGGCGCAACTCAGCATCTACCTTACATATGCATGTATTAATTCAAGAATCACTTTGGGTGCATCTCAGAAATCAGACTAATATGTCACTGGAACAAATATCAACCACAAAGACCTAAATCCACAAGCTGCAAGCAAGTTGAAACAGGTACATAACATGACCAACATTGTGTTTATAATCTATTCATGCGAGACTTGGCTTAAAAATGACTAAAAAGTAGAGGAATTACTCACATATCATAGGATAAACAGCTGTTCAGTCCTCGTGCAGCTCTCGGTATTCACATCCTATGTTCCCAGCAGAGCCGCCGAGCTCCCTCTGAGTCTGAGCGGACACAGACAGACAGAGCAGGGACTCCGCAGAAACACAGACTCTGAACACTCCCAGCGAAAGCACCGTCTCAAAGGCAGGAGTAGGAAAAACTACAACTCACATCTGCACCCAACACTGAGCGACACAGAAGAAGAACAGTGTGTGTACGTTTAATCCGCTGCTAGCTTCAAATGCTGATGTGCCATGTGAACCCCGCCCCTCTAAACGGGAGGAGGCGGGCAAATAAACTGGCACACACTTATCCTCTGTACTGCAAAAAGATAGTACACTACAATAGCCGACAACACATCACAGATGACACACACGTGCACGCACGCTCACGGGATGGCAGCAGAGTTTTATTGCAATAATCCGTTTGATGTTCTAAGGTTTTAAAAGTGCAAACTAACTGTGTCAAGAACAACCAGACACAGTATGAAAATAACAGCTGGGCCATTACATAAAACCTGTAAGCAGAGTTTGAGAGTCCGAGATTGATTCTGAGTATAAACTGTATATACTATGGACGACTTGGTTCCGCCTGCCATAGATATAGTAAGTCTTTCTATATATCTATGCCGCCTACCGCCTGTATACGGATTTGAAGCCAAATAGCTCTCGGTATTTCCGGGATTTTTCTTCATTTCCTGAAAATAGCGTTGCTCAGTAGCGATGCGCGCATTCGGGCGCGCAGTCACCGAGAGTCGCTGTGATGACGCTCGGCTCAAACAGCGTATACCCCGGGAGAGCTACACCATCAACAGACACATACGTGCGGTCGCACGAGGCGACAAGTGCTGTGGACGCCACTGATTAGACCTTAATGTACGCCTAAAAACAGCCAATTAATCAAAGTTGACAGTCAAATGTAGGCTAAATATAAGTTTAAAAGAGTTGGCAACCTTGGACTACGTTTTTTCACGTTTTGAAATACAAGTCAACTCAACAAGGAAGTTGCTGCATCAGAAATCAATCAAAGCGCACCTGCAGCTGCTGCAGTCGGAATGCCGGATTCAAGTGGCGGAAAGAGAAGAAAATATAGAGGGGCGATGCACAAACAAATTCCTCCCAAAGAACTCTCCTTTCCTGGAAAGACCACCAGAATTTTCTACGGCGCTGGGTAAAGGTCCTTACACGCCGAATTTCGCCTTTTTTTAAAACAGCTTAAAGTCAATGCAAGCTTCCACTCCGGTGGAGATTTTTCCGTGGGGCGAAAAGCGTCTTTTATTTTTTCGCTCTTGTGTCGAATTTTTCGGAGATTCGCAGGCGAATATCTGGACCTGCTAGACCTCTGGCCAATCAAAAGTCATGTTGTTGATGACGTCACAGACTCATGGAGGAGAGTGGGTGAGTTGTGTTTACTCTCTTTGCTAAAGAAATCAGGCAAAGTTAAAAAGATGTTAGGTGGCTACTACTATGGCTGGGACCCTGTATGTACTGTTGATGAAGTTAGGTGCTGTTCTGGGCATTATTTGTGGCGATAGAGTGGCTTTGGTTGAGGTTTGTTTATGGCTCCTCAGACTGCTGTGTATTGCTTTCCTGGTCTTCACTAAAGTTGGTATAACTAGAGAAGCAAGCAGTCTGCATCACTCATCTCTCGAGGGGGTTCTAACTCTGTGTTACGGTGTGTTTGACCCTAAATTAATTTTACGCCAGAATATACCTTTAAACTGCACAAAAGTAAGAGACTGTTTTGAGTATCAGAGACAGGTGAGTTGCATTAACATTGTGCCCGAACTGGAGTATAATCAATGTTTTTTTTTTTTTTTTTTTTGAACGGGACAGAACCAGAGAAGTTCTGCCTTTAAAAGCAGGTGAGGCATGTCCATGGTGAAAATGGGAAATCAAAACTACACTACTGTACGATATGATCTGATACAAAACAATATGATATGACACTTTATTATGCTCTTAGGAAATTTTGTCTTGGTCTCAAATTTCCCTATACTGTCTACTTCTGCTACTGTGAATCTATCCCTGTCAGAGTAATAATGGTCATCAAACATTTCGGTTAAGTCAAGTAAATCTTTGTTTGGGGTGATATTTAGACAGTTTGGATTCACCCAAGAGGCATCATCTGTCACCACACAGTATGATTTTATTGACTTATATTGAACTCTGACCTGCTTCTTGTTAAAACCTTTAAACTACAAAAGCTACTCTGTCTTTTACATGGTTATCAGGCTGTATATTTTAAAGTATCATTTGTAGGACCCCCTCAGAAATGGGATTATTCCTCTCAAATGGCTGTACATCAATAGATTTATCGATAAGTTATGTGGTATGGCCCTATGGGAGCCTTTTTTATGTATTGGGTCCATTGGCCAGCACACATTTGTCTTTACCCATGTCAAAATGAGATCATTTCCAGTATCAGGAAGCTATTCACTTATACTGTACTGTAATACCAAAACATAAAAATGTCAGGCTGCTACTAAAAGACGGAAAATTATACCACATACAATACTGCAAGTGATAAAAGAAGATAATTGCACACTCTCTATTCAAGTATGTAAAGTACTTACATCACTGCAACTGCAGGAATCCAGCCTTGAATTTTCAGTTTTACCTTTACTAGCGTACAGCTTTGGGCCACAGGGGACTAATTATTAGGTATTCTGACAACATCATTTGGGCTGTAAACAGAGCCTTTGTGGTTTCAGATTGATTTTCTCCAGCCCCACTCACACATTAACAACAGGAAGAGCTGAGCTTCATCACAGATGATAAAAGTCGATGGCTGCATTTCTCCTCTGGGACCCACACAAGCTGTAAGCAAACAATCTAAACAACGGTGTAGACCACTCAGTGAGCCTGATCCTCATTCAATATTTACCAGACTACATTTAATATGGCTGAGGAAGGAGGGCAATCCCCCCAGTAGTGGACATCACAAACTGTCATCAGTTCATTAAAACTGACATATAACCTCCAGCTTGCCAACTAGGCAAGAAAAAAAAAAGCACCTTCAGTAATGAACTGTCCACCTGACAAACAAGGGCAAAGGTTGTGAAGGTACATTTGAATTGGAAATAGCGAAAACCTGAGCCAAGCACGCATTTTTGTCTCACCTTGTTACCTTCATAAAAGAAATGTAACATGGCAACACTGACTTTTTTCAAGATATGACAACCAAAATAACACTAAGTTTGCTGCAAAAGTTACAAAAAAATCTGCCAGAGTTTCTTGAAACAGGAATAACGTCTCAATTGAAGAAATTGAACCTGTAAATTTGCCTCATCTAGCGGTAATTTTTCTTTAGCTTGGCTTTTCTTTTTTCCTGTAATGTCTTGAAAAATAAGCTGTTTATCTGGATTTGTCAGACTAACGGGCCTTATATTAAAAGCTATATGAGAAGTTTTAAACTGGTTGCTAAACAGACTGAAACGACTGATGCTACTTTATTCATTTAAACGGCAAACAAGACCATCAGAAACAAGTCTGATTATTTCAATTCTCAACACTGTGAGGGGGGAGATGTCAAGGGGCTGAGCAGTCAGTTCTTTTTTTACTTTTTACACAGTAAATACTCACAATGAGCAAAGTCTTTCAATGTTAAAAGACGACAGATAAGACATACTACTTTGTCCACAGAGGGCACCAATATCAACACAAACCATAAGTTTATCACTGCAGAGTTTTGCAGCTTTAAACTCAATGAGCTATTTCCTCATCAAATCCTATTTCTGCAGCCACTTGCAGTCATGATCACTACATTCCTCCAAGTTTTATCTTCATTCCAAACTTTGCACTGGCGTACTTGTCATCCATGTTGTTAGTAACACCTTTTTATTTATTTATTCCTCAGAATTGCTGAACTAATGGTTAAACCACAAGACTAAGGAACCAGCAGGGAGTGATTTTCTTTGTCTACATCCAAAGACTCGAGGAGGACTCCTGCAAATATCGCGTGAATGAACTAAAATGTCTTAATTACCATGAAAATGGAGGTACTGCAGTCTTGCATGGGGGATATTCAGAACTATAGTAAAACAAAGACGGGAAACAGCACAACATAACATTGGAAAAAATAACAGTAATGAATTTGATTGAAGTATGCTGCCAAATATTTTCGTAGCTTCTCCTGTGTTTAAGAATGTGTTTTTATCATAGACTGTATATAGAATGGATGCTGTCTGCCTCCTCGCTGGGTAAAGCCACGAGAACAGCACCCTCTGGTGACAGGCTGCAGTATAGGTCATAAATCCCGCCTCCTCCAACAATCCCTATGAAGCTGTGGACAAACTTTAGAAATTTGCTACACAGAATATAATTTTTTGCTTGCGATGTTGACATGTAGTTACTGTAAGACTGGTTTGTGCTCAAGTCCTCTTTTTTTCTGTGCAGCTCCATTTTTAAGAGTTATTAGAGGGTTCATGTTTTCTATGATTGACAAATACAGCTTTTGGGATTGCTTAGCTCAACTGGGGATACGCAAACATCATCACAGCAACTCTCTGCGACTCTCCCCCTGGTGGTTCCAGGAAATGGAAAAAATCCCAGAAATACTGAGAGCAACTTGGCTTCAAATTTGTATAATGACGTAAGGCGGAACCAAGTTATCCATAGTATATACAGTCTGTGGTTTTTACATATACTGAGACACATTAGAGTTTATCTGTGCTAAAATGTCCTCACCTGTGTGTACGGACCAGAGGGACAGTAATGACCAATAATCTCTCAGCACCTGTGAGTTTCAGTTGTGGCTGAAAACTTGTGAACCGTTACTTCAAAGGGGGGAAGGAGGTCTTTTAAGTGCTCTGCAGTCATAAGGGAGCTGATGGAAAATGGGTAACATGCTCTACATCAGCAGTAAAACAGCTCAAACCTGCAGTTACGGAGAGTCCATTTGAACATTTTGCTTCAAAGCGCTTTAACATTGATTGCAAATTGCAACCACAAAGCAGTCCCATACTCAGGGATGGTTCTGAGAGCATCCTTGTTTCTAAGCCACACAGAAAACGAAGAACACTCAGTGATGGCTAATAGGTTGAGTTCAAGGAAAAGGAACTCATTAATGATCCTGATTTTAGACGGATGCTTTAATGTTGCAGTCATGTCGTTCAGCTGAAATTCTCATGTTGTCCTATAACATTCTTTACGTCAGCTGTGCCCTTTCTGCACACATACATACTGAAGTGTTTGCTGTGGTAAATACATACAGAACAATAAAAAAAGAAAGGTAGGAGGGACACACGAACCACAACTTGTTTGTTTGAATCTGCACTTGCTTCTTTTTTTGCCGTATGCCAAATGGCAAACAACCACAGACCCCTGGTTTCCAAAACAAACCTAAATATACTCTGGGGGAATACGTAAGAGGGAACTTGCACAAATAACACACAGAGAAAATGCAGTGCCAGCAAAGCCCAAGCAAAGTATAATATGCACCTTCGATGCTCTGCTAAGCCGAAGCTATGGCACTTCTTGCAGAAGATGTTAATATGCACTTTTCTGTGCAAATGGGCCTGACTGCAAAATCTGTACAAATCGAAACCACCAGTGCCAACAGCAGAGAATGATTAGAGCTGTCTGAAACTGAGGGGCAGCGGTTATAGAGAATGTCACCTGGACTTTCCAGTGCTTCAGAGAGACCGACATAAACTGTATCTCCTGATCCCTGTAAAAGCCAGTTGTTTCTGAGAGCTTGATTTCATCTTAATGCCCACAAAAAATAGTACCTACTACAGTTTTTTCATGTTTGAGGAGCTGAAGCAGAGTGGCTTCTCATCCTGTTTACTGCTTATGCCATCAGCTGTTCTCATCTGTTTAATCACTCGTGTGTCAGACAGCAAATATTACATCATATAACACATATGACATGCATATGACGTTAAAAAAGGCATTTTAAAGGGCCAGATGTCAAGCGTTTTTTTTATTTGCTCCAGGACACCATGTACTGATCCTTAAGTGTTTAAATTTACAAGAAAATTAGAGCTGAGAGAAACAGATTGTTGCCCAGGATGTCATGCAAGCTTAGGAGCTTATCCATAGGCGGTAAGTAGGAGACTGGCTGCGTTAAATGAAGTGTTTGACCTTTAAACTCTTAAACGAGCATTGCTCTGTTACTGTGCCGCCAGTTTTCACAAACATAAATCATACATTCATGAAACTGTGTTGCTGCTGCTGCACTGCTCCAGCACAGTTCCCCTTTAATCTGCTGAATCATTCATCAGGTACAGCCGCGGCCTGTACTGCCTACGAGCCAATGCAGCATCACAATGACAGATAGAGGACTGTAGCAGAGGGGAAGACACAGCCTCGACTGTGAGTGTGCGAGCTGCAGAACAATTTATTTCTGGGATTCCTCTAATGAGGATGTTTCAAGCTTGGAAGAGACCACATTGAACTTGGTGCTCTCTTTATAGGGCCAAATGATAGAGGGCTTTAATTATCAATTCATTGTTTGGTTTATACATAATAAACATAAACATTGTCCAAAAAAACCCGTATTAGCTGCAGTACAATGTGTGCCTTAAGGCCACACAGTTATGCAAAGCAAATGAAAATAAGAGCGCAACTCCATGTTTTAAATATTCAGTGAACAAACATACAACAGAGGAGTGTCGTCAGTTCCTTTAACTTCAAGGTCGCCAGCAGCACTTTTTCAGTTAATTACTAGGAAACAGCAACAGGAAACCACTATGATTTCTGTCCGTCCACCATACTTGACAGCATCAACTGACCTGGTGTAGCCCAGCTATAATACATACGTATACCCTCACTTTCTCACTGAGAGATTTTCGCTGAGTCACAGGTTTGTCCTTGATGAAAAAGAGTCACGATTTAAGCAGAAGTCTCGCTGAGTAGGGGTGGGTGATAAACCGAAAATTTACTGATACCGAAATTTACAACAATAACTGACGTCATTTTGCCAATATCAGTATATTCTGTGCCAAAAAATAGAAATAAATAAATAAATAAAAGTTGGTTTTGGTAGGCTATGGTCTCATGTCCCCCATCAAGTTTGTAACAAAGAGGGAAAGACAGGTGAGGAGATGGAGGACGGTTCAAAAGTTGTAGAGGCTGGAGCAGCTGCTGAAGTAAACAAAGTTAATGTGGGAGGGTGTGAGCAGCTTGTGGAGTAGTTATCGTCCATTTATCGTTATCAAGGTGAACGGCTTAATATATCGTGATATTGATTTGAGGCAATATCCCCCAGCCCTAATCCAGAGACTTTATTGTCTTTGTGGATAATTTAAAGGATTGCAAAATGCCATAAATGAGGGCATATCTGATCTCTGAACTGGGACCACTTTGACACTATCATTAGTGTTGTGTCGTTTGCGCACGATTCGCTCAAAAGAACCAAATCTTTTAAGTGAACGTACAGAACCAAATCACTCCCTCAAGTGATTCGTTCGTTTCTCACTTCACTTCACTCGAGCTGTCAGAAGCACAGCTGCTATAGCATGCAGCATTTCCAGGCGAGCAGCCAGCGAACAAGGGACTGGATGCACAGACACCTGAATCACTTGGTAAATGAATCACGCATTGAACTACACTCTCTGGAATCATTTTTGTTGGACAAAACTACCTTTTTTCTTTACTGCTAAATTGCCACCATGACAACTTGCATACAATAGGACACAACACTCACTGAGCCCAATTTACCGAGCACACCTGATAAATAGCATACCATAGGACAGTACACTTAAAACATTATGACTTATAAATAAGTTCATTTTTATACACGTGTTTAAGCAACAAAGCCAAACACTCTCATCTTTCGGTCCCAGAAGCTATGAATTGAACTAAATCCTGAACCGTTCAGCTGTGTATCAGTTCAGGAGGTCGGAGTCACAAGCTCCTCCTGCCAAGCGCTGAATGAGTCAGTGATTCGGTGAACGAATCTTTTGAACGAACCATTTTAGTGAACTGATTCTAGTAATTCAGTACATCTAAAGGAACTGCTGTGCCCATCACTAACTATCATGTTTTGGAATAGTCCATGTCTGACCATAACATACTTTAATGTTAAACAGAGCAAAATTTACAAATAAACAAATATATATTTTCTATTTTTCCACTTACAGTTATCTGATCATTCAGCATGCTTACCTTCAGAAATGAAGCTGAAGTCATGTTATTGTAACAGTTGAGACCCAGAGGAAAGAAACTGTTCATTTATGACTGATGATTGTGTTTCGGGTTATTTTTTCCCTCCCTCTGGTGAGCCATATTTTTGTATGTACTGTATGTTGTATGTTTTTCTGAATCAAACAGAGTTACAGTGGTGAAACGCAGCCTTCATTATTACTTTTCAGGGCCCACATCCAGCATCCTGTTCCAGCAGACAGATTTTTGCAGCTGCTGCCTCTGCCCCTCCTCCTCCTCCTTTTTTTCTTAAACACCGCTCAGAGATTCAAGTCTGTAAGAATGATCAGTCTCTCTATTCCTGCTCTAGGCTTAAGTGTTTGTTGTAATTACATCTGCCACAGAGAGCAAATCATCTTTTTTTGTGTGTGATAAAGCTCCCCGTCAGCCCGTCCTATTCCCTACCACCGTGGGATGCTGTGAAGATTTTTTCGAAATTATATCACTGAAAATAAATGAGCTGGGATGATGTTCAGCTTTTATTCTTGCCTATCTGGGGCATTGAAGTGGTCATATCAGAGCTCTGATTCCATACGTCTGGCCTTTGCAATGCCAAAAGGATCAGCTGGAAGCTCTAGTGTGTTCTCATGTGCAACATATTGCTCTTACTCGGCTCTGAAAGGAATTAGGTCAGCACATGAAACATTCATAAAAGATGCATTATGTGTAAATGGCTGACAGCTTAAGTCAAGTAGCTCCCCCCAACATGCCAAGCCCAGTTACTGGGTAGATCTTTGCCATTGCTACACATGTCATGAACTGTCTTTAGGTATACACACACTTACTATAGACATGTGACTGCATTTCAAGAATATTTAACCTCAGAAGAACACTGAAAAAACATTTCATGTCACAATACTGTACATGCAGAGCAGGTAAACAAAGGGCACAAATCATTATCTCTGTGGCTATGGCTTAAACATTTCACAACATGACACAAAATCTGAGCTGTTTAATTTCTACTGAGATCCTTGTTGTTAAGAGATGCCCTGTTTAGTTGGGGGAGGGGAGACAGTGTGCATGAGTACATGCTTCCTTGTGTGTGCATGCATATGTGTGTCAGAGGAGGGAATGGTACAGTTCACCACTTCTGTCTGCGCTGCTGCTAAATCAAGTGTATACACACGGAGGCAAGAATACCTATCCATGAGTATTGTTGTTCCACTGGGTTTTCTGAGAGGGAAGCCCTGCCTTAGAACAGGAGTAGGGAGGTTGTAAATCATTACACCTTGTTCCTTTTCATATCCCTTTAAATCAGTCACCTTTGCTTCGAGCAGATGGCCAAATCACACAAGAGCAAATGAAACAAAAGCAGCTTATAAGTGTCGTAGGCTGTCATGTGACTGATATCTTTTTTGAAAATTTATATGAACAGCTAAAATATATGACACAGTGCCACTGTGCCCACTAGGGGTTGACCAATATGGTCAATATATTTTTTCAGGGATGATACCAACACCCAGTAGTACGTGACTGTTGCATTAGAAATATATATACATTTTTTTAAATATAATGTGTAATATTACAAACAGCCAAATTAAGAGTCTAAACTGAAATGTCCAACAACATACGTATGCAAGAGTCAACAGTTAACCAGTCACAATGACAGTACATTGATGTCACATGACAGTCAATCATAGTGTTATGGATGGGACTTAATTGAAACAAAGTGGTGAAAGACCCAGAAGGTTAGACATATTGGCACCTTAGCCAAAGTAACGCACCTTTAATGGGTTTATTTTTTTGGCTAAAGAAACCAGGCAAAGTTAAAAAGATGTTTGATGACTAGTGCTATGCCTGGGACCCTATTTGTACTGTTGATGAAGTTAGGTGCTGTTCTGAGCATTATTTGTGGCTATAGAGTGGCTTTTTGGTTGAGGTTTGTGCATGAAGACATACACCACTGTGTATTGCTATCGTGCGGTCTTTGCTAAGGTTGGTAAAACTAGAGAGGCAAGCAGTCGGCAACATTCATCTCTCGAGGGGGTGTCTAATTCGGTGTTACAGTGTGTTTGACCATAACTTTATTTTACGCCGGAATATTCCTTTAACCTTACATCCCCCAGGTTTTTCAGGGTTTTTTTTTTCCAAAATTGCGCTCAACACTGTCACTAAATTGAACAAGTAAAAATCAGTTTATTATTACTTCTACATTGTTTGGTTTTTCATCAATTTTTGAGATGAAAATTTTAATAACATTAAAAATACAGTATTCTACTGTTCTTTCAAATTTAAAAATATTCGGCTAAGGTTTGAAATACAAAATCTTGCAGATACATGTTCTCTTTGGAAATTTTAACATCGTGTTCCTAGTTTCTTTGAAAAGCTCCAAAATGAGCCTATCCTCCACACAGTAGCTTTTATGTCTCCTTATTGCATTGGGTGAAGCTGATGTCATGTTTTGTCCTGCCTCTGTGCTCTTCCCCTGGGGCCCTGCAGTCAGCCAGGAACAGAGATGTCTCTGCATTGTACATAATGGCACGAGATGAGTTGGCATAAGAAATAATAGGTGCTTTTGCATTTGCCACAGTGTCTCGGCCAGCTAATAGAAAAAATCAATGCTGCACCAAAACCTCAAGGGTAAATCTAAGTGACGGAGAAACCTATTAGTGTCTGAGCAGAGTCACATTTTCATTTATAGTCCTTGATTAGAGTCACATCACTTCTGCATTGCTCCACATTAATCATCACCATGCTGTCCATGCTAAATCCTTTATCACTGCTTTCAGCTGTTCCACTTTTGAAATAGACATAAAACCATTAAAAAAAACTCTAAGAAGTTGCATCAGCCCTATAAATAGCCACAGAGGGGCATGAAGTAAGCACAGTTTGCTCAAGTCTGTGTATTTTTTTCTACGCTAACTTTGTCTGATTGAACTTGAAAAGATTTCAAAGCTTCTCCCAGTGCTGACTGCAATGTTTATCCATGTCTCAGAGATAAAGCGAATACTCATCTCACCTAGTCTGATGCCAAGTTGCCAACTCATCTTGAGCCTTGCAGTATAATTTTGAATAATTTCAGTGAGTGGTTCTTTATGAGGACAACATTCAGCGCAACCTTGAACAAATTGTTTCTGTATGCGAAGTCAGCCTTCTGCAGTGGGGGTCTCCTTCCAGCAGTGACAGCTTTCTATGTTTACTTCTTATCTATACAAATGCTAGTACAAGCCCAATGGTTGGAGTTTTGCCTGCTTGTTCACTTTCTGGAGCTCTTGACCCCACTCACCAGCGTTTAAGACTTCTTTTACTGAGCAAGCATAAAAGATGCCGTTTTGCAATCCTCCAGTTTTACATCTCGGGTATTTCTGAGAGCATCCAGCTGCAGCTTTGGAATAAAACTGAAAACATGAACCTCTCTCAAGTCACTTTTACTCTCACCAGTCTTTATTCTTTTTGCATTTGAAAAAACACAACAATCTCAGGACACTAACAAATGACATACATTTTTATACTGCTACAAAGAAATTGGGGCTGTCTGTCCAGCCATGTCAAACCATTAACAAAGAAATAAAAATCCAAGATAAATATTTGGATTAAGATTGTAGAAAATTGTAGATAAATATGTTATTTCGTGACCATAACTTGTTTTAAATAGACTTTTATGACCATGATGTTGATATCAGTCTTGTGAAGGCCAGTGCTGATATGATGCTGTTAACTAAAAATGCTGTTAATTAGGGCTGGGAGATCAACCAAAAATTTACCGATACCAAAATTTACAACAACAACCGACATCATTTTGCCCATATCCGTATATTCTGTGGCAAAATGAATAAACAAAAGTTGGTTTTGGATGTGTGTAGGTAGGCTATCATCTCATGTTCCTACATCAGAGACGTGACTCCACCCCATCAAGTTTGTAACAAAGAGGGAAAGACAGGTGAGGAGATGGAGGACGGTTCAAAAGCTGTAGCGGCTGAAGTAGACAAAGTTAATGTGGAAGGAGGTGAGCAGCTTGTGGAGTAGTTATCATCCATTTATCGTTATTGAGGTGAACTGCTCAATATCACCAGCCCTACTGTCGATCAGTCTATGTCCAAAAAATAGAGAGATATGGGGATTTTATAGCAATATCTAGCAGTCAGATCTCCTGTGGCCTCCAAGAGCTCCTGTAATGTGTGTTTAGTATGATCCTCCATTCATTCAGTTTTTACAGTCAAATATAACCATCAAGCACATTTGTTTGCACACAACAACCACTCTGATCTTTCCCTTCCTTATCGCCTCACCAGTGCATTTCCTGCGGCCACCCACTGTGTACAAAAACATGTATGTCACACCTGCGGCTGTTCTTTGCTGCTGCAGATGGCCGTTCAAGATGGCGGCCTAAATAGTCAGTGGTAAATGAACTGTATTTATACGGTCTATTTCTAGTTCTATGTTGACAGCTCAGAATGCTTTATATCACGTCATGCTCACCCACTCACACTGCATTAATACACTGACGGCAGAGGGTGCTATGTTAAGCACCTGTTTGTATGAACTGATCCCATTAACACACTGCTGGCACAACCCCACAAGAAAGTTTAAGGGCTAATTTTCCCTCCAAAGCAGAAGCATCCACCTTTGTGGTTTCACCTAAAAAACATACATGAGCAGAAAAAAGCCAGCATGTTTTATCAATAGTCAGACCCTGAGTGCTGGAGAGAGTGTGGCCACTGTATGGCAGACCATACACACATATTCTGGGGTTGCCCTGCCCTTAGATCTTTTTGGGATGAGGTTCATAATATTATTAAGGAAGTCCTGAGTTGTAACATGGAATTCTCCTGTTTGTCCTTATACTTGGGAAACATGGACTTAGAAATATCTAAGGTGGACAGATATCTTTTGAAAGTCTTCATGGCAGCAAGCAAAAAGGCCATAACAAGGCGTTGGCTTTAGAAGGAACCTCCCACTGTCAAGGAATGGTCAAACATAGTTAGTTACATTCAATGTATGGAATGGTTGACCTTTAGTTTAAAGGTCCGGGACCGATGCAAATATCCGATGTGAAATTACGAAATATTCGGAGGCGATTTTGATGTGCATGACTATACACAGCAAGCCCGATGCGATTTTGTGACTTTCCGGGGGGAAAAAAGACGTGTCGCGGGTGGAAGCAAGAAGACTGACACAACACCAGACTGACTGTTTTTCCAGTTCTGATTAGACACTAGTGTTGAGATGTCTGTCTGTCATGATAGCATGTACTGAGTCGGGGCCAGTACCAGATAAGCACATTAAACTATAATCCATAAACGTAAAGTAACAACCGAGACCTAATGGTGTTGTGACAGTTTGAGTTTGAGACAGTGAAAATACATTTGGTATGTTGTATCAGAACAGGTTAGCTTATGAGCTAAAGTTACTTTGCACAGATGAAAGTTAAAACAAAGATGTTTAGCAAACTGTTAAAGCACACAAACTATCCTTCAGGTCGTTATCTTTGTGATGTTTTTTTTTTTTTTTTTTTAAAAAGCACTCTGTTCTCCGACACGTAAACAATCAGCCGGTCAGCCATGTTGGATACACCCGTGAATCAGACGTCGCAACAACACGCAATCTCATTGGTCTGAAGTGGACACACAGTATGTGAAACTTCAGAAAAATCGACCATGATCCGAAAAAATAAATGCTGCATTATCGCAGGACGGGAAAACGTCGCTGATGTGATTGCTTGTATTGACAGGATACGGGTTTGAAAAAAGATATTGTTATCCGAAATAATTGCACGTTAAAAACGGTCCAGGTGTGAAAGGACCTTTAGGCTCCAAAAGCACAAAGGAGATGCTTTCTGGGAAAAGTGGGACAATTACATGCAAAGAGGAAACAACCTGTGTTGTACTTGACACACTTTGTTGAATGATTGTAGCAAAGATACTATCATAGTTTGTATTCATTTATCCATACCCCCCTGCTTTTGTTTTCTTTTTTGCTGCAGTTATTGTTTTGTTTTGCATACCGTGATTGGGCAATGAGTGTATCTACTGTAATGCCATTCCAGTTACTTACTTCTGTGCTCACTGTATGGTATGTGTGCGAAAACTTGAAAAAATGAAGGTTATATAAAGAAAAGTAAAGTTATATATATCAAATAATAGTCAGGCTCTGCTTTATGCTGAGAGCTCTAACTTTTATGTCTAATGGCTCTGTGCCACCACATGGCTCCATTACAATGACATAACTTGAAGCTCCTGCTGAAACTGAATTCAGCTTGTATCTCATTCTCAACATAAAAAAAGTATGGAGCTGTGAGCAAAAACTGTGACCTCAGGCAGAGTTAGAAAAACATCAGTCAAAGAAAGTAAAAGCGAGTCCTGCTTGTCGTCACTTAAGAAGAACTTTATGGACAACAGGGTTTCTCTTTCTTTGGCTACCTGCAGCCCTGTCCTAAAGCAGTTCAACTTTAATTACTGACAGGTATCACCTGTGTCCTTAACGTCATTAGGATACTCCTTAAATATTTCATCTATGTATAGCTTCCAGCTCATTGTTGCCCTGTAATGTGCCGTATGTGTATTCTGTGTCATGAAAGAAGTCTTTTAGCAAGCATTTAATAACTGCTGCTTTAGATTCAATTGAAGTACATCAAAGATTACATTTCCTTAAACCTGTTGTAACGATGACATCTCCAAGATAAGCAAAAGCCAGAGAGGTTCACAAAATGTCTAGAGTATTTCTTTATTCACTTAAAGTCATTACATTATTCACAGTTTGATGAGAGTAATATGGATTTATCAGTTTGGCTCATTTTTCCCAGTCACACCAGTCTTAGCTGCCAGCTGAATGTAAAAGTCGGAGGATGCAGAGCCCATGTGCCGAGTGTTGTTTGCAGGCACGCTAAGTGTCACATTACATCTGTGCCCATTGAAAGCTATGAAAGTCTGGTTTTTGGGTGACTGCATATGCCTCGATCTGAACGCAGCTTCACTTCCACCTTTGAGCTACAATGTTTGGCTGCACTAACAATTCTGCATTCTCTTAGACAGATGTAATCTGTATGTGCTGAACAAGGTGGATGCCCTTACACGAGTCAGACTAAACCATTCACAGGAGTCTATATGAACAGATTTTCCTCCACATTCATGTTTTGCTGTCTGCCGTCTAGGGATGAGCAATATAGACTTAAAAATGTATAACGATAAGGTTTGCCATTCTGGTGATAACGATAAAAGTTTCAATAAAAATTATTATTATTCCAATCTATATTTTTGACTCATTTTGTCTTGAGAACGCCAGTTGGAGTAGTCAAATAAGATACTTAACCACAAGTTTGAGTGGTAGGTTATGGAGAAAACTAGTGACATCAAACAAATCTCAAATGTGAAAACATTTTCAACATTTGTTAAAAACTCTTATTGCATAGAATGAACAGCAGCAGATTCACTGTCCAATGTCAGACATACCTGATTGCACTCATCTCAACCCCAATCTTGAAGGAAATCCTTCATGTGGAGCCTCGTTCAGTAACAAGCTGCTCAGGAACGTCTTCTTCATTTCCTTCGGCCATGTTCTGTGTGGGCTATGACTGTGAGCCCGTCGCTCACCCTTACATCATCAACTAGCATTTATCGTATTTATCATGAGATGGCAAATATTTATTATGGAGGATTTTTCTGACGATATATCATGAAGGATAATTTATCGCCCATCCCTACTGCTGTCTCTCTGATCTGACCAGGGTAACCCTGAGGAAGTCACTGTTCTGTGCATTAAACATGAAATTCAGCATTAAAATTAGCAATAATGTAGGTTAATTCGCATGAATGAGAGTGATTTTTCTATGGTGCTGCAGCTTTATAGAGCAGCAAGAGTGACAGAGTTTTTTCAGACACTGTTATCAGTGAAATACAATGGAAAAAGAAATCGGTTGCATATTAAGTCCAGTCTATTGTGCAGCTGATGCACAGTGACATTGCCCACCTGGGTGCCATAATAATGCCACCATCAGAGATCTGTCGCTCCCTTTTTACCCCTCTGAAATGGAGATGATTCTTCAAGTGCCATGATCAAAGCTGCAGTGGGGGTTAGCACTGAGCAGAGCGGATGGAGAGGATGGGGAGGGAAGGGGATTTTAACTGCTGCATTGCCCGGGCCCTGCTTACATGGTGCTGCACAAGAAACGTCAGCTCTGGACAACATCAGAGGATCCAGGTGAACATGTCCTGAAGTAATGAAATGAAGAGCATATCCTGGAAAGTCCTGCAATCTTTGCCTTGGAGTTGCACGTACACCAACGCTGTTATGTAACCATAACAACCATGACAACGTGACAAGCCCTGGATTCAAAACCGAGGGCACGAGTACAACAATATTCTCTGCTGGCAGGAGAACTTGAAGATCCTTTCTGCTGTGTTCCTGTGGCCCTCGTGTCTAAAGATAGCTGGCCTTGTGAAACAGTCTGATGTTCAAACAGACTGTAATATCACACACCAGAGAAAATGAAAGTGGAGTAGAGTATGTGTGCAGTAATAGGAAGCACATAATCCCATCTTACATTTTACACTATGACCCAAACATGCCAGACAGTGATTTAGTAACTGAGCCCCTTATTTGCACAGAAACAAATGCTGTATACACTATCTACCTCTCTTTTTAACTCATCCCTTTTCTGCTGTCAGAAACAGTATGTGGGCGATGATGGCTGGCAAGCAACACCATCAAAGGCCTGTAAGTCAAAATCAGTGATTTATAATTTGTGAGAATCCATCCATTGCCCAGTGCCTTTCAGAACAGTATACCCTCGCTGCTTTGTAGCTGTTGAGCAACAGTTATTACCTGCCCAGCTAGTATTCCCAGTGGAAAAGTGAATCCCATCCCACAGATAAACACGATTCACAGTCTAAGTGGCATTTCACTTTGAATGGCTGGCCACTGTACATCACCGAGTGCATTGAAAAAAAAAAAAAAGGGCCAGTTAGTGAAGCAGACAAACACCATGTCGGCTCACAGTTGGAGAGCCAAGGGCTGCCTTCTGCCATTTAGGTAACCATGGAAACAGCAAAATACACAACCAGTACTCCTATCAGCCTCTATCCGACATACTGCAGTCCATGTGTGATGCCAAGGTGTGCATGCTGTCCTCGCACCAGAGGCATTATGCCCATTCATTTTTCATGTTGGGATTTAATGATATATTCATCTTATCTGATTACTTGAGCCTCTTCTTATTCTTGAGGCGTAGTGAAGTTCCAACAAAGTGACACACACCCTTTACCTTGCATACACACAGCAACACTATGTTTTACATACAGTAAATGCTACGGGGATGAATATCATACTTCTATAGTCAGCAGCCTTCCTTAAAGCATGTTCAAATTAAATAGGACTGCATTTTGGACACACTTCAATGCATTAGGACAAGAAGAGCTTGCTTTGCATGATAGTTTGCCAGTATCCATTTTAGTCAGCTTCCTTCAGTCCTCATACAGTCCAGTTGTCTTCTTGCTTATGTTGAATCTTGCAGACAGATGTGTTAAGTAAGAAAAGCGACTCCAAACCCCACCCCCCACCACCACACACACAGGATAAATGCCATGAGGCTAGAGGTGAAGATGATGCTACCATGTTGAGCAGGAATAGGTTAATGGTGAATCTGAGTGAAATGGAGCAGTGTCAAGGTTTCATATGCTTTCATTCAAACTTAAAAAGCACTTCAGCATTGCAGGTTTGATTACTTTTCAGATGTAGACTGTGTGTGCATGTTCAGAAATTCATAAATGTTGATCACAGCTTCATGATGGGCTACATTCACTAAGGTTGGGTGATAGGTGGTCACATAGACTACCACTGCCAGGAGGCATGCAGGCCTGCTACTGACTAAATCAGCCAATCAGTGCATCTTATAGCTGACATGTAATTATAGATTCAACCAAGAACAACATGGTATGCCAACAGTTGGCTGACATCTCCGAACTGCATGGCACAGATGCAGATTTCTCATATCGATGTGAAGGACAGGTAACACTGAATATATTCGTGGAAGGCCCGTGGAAAAGAACCGTTTAGGGTACATGTAAGGGATACTAAATGACGCACGTTTACAACACGACCTACGTTTGTTGCATACAGATTCAGAGAGATCACCGCGGATGTGACCAGCTGCAGGTGAACTCCAACATCGTCATTTGTTGCTTGTTCATCCTCCAGCCAAAAGGGCACAGCGAAACGCAGGTGACAGATATCTGACATGCGTTCAGGCCCCCCTCTTCTCCTCCTCCTCCTCCTACCTGCTCTATGCGCTTCACCCAGGCGGACCTCGGTGATGCTGCTCGGGTCACTCTGAGATCTCCCCCGCTGCAACACGCATTCTTCATCCAGCCCGTCCGAGGATGCCATGGTGAACCGAAAAGAACAGCCTAAGTGTGGGAGACCAAATCACTGTGAGCCAAGGTCACCGGCATCAAGTGGTGGAGAAGGTTGAATGCGGCTGGACTGCTGCAGCTCCTGGTCCCCGATTAGCAGCAGTGTTGGGGAAATCCATTACGCGCTCAGCATCATGCCACCTTCAGGAGCTGCTCGTAAACCCCAGCTCCCAATAGCAAAATTCCAACCGACGGTGTGTTATGTTAGAAAAACATATTGTCATTATCTTATCATTTCACTGCAGGCTGCTGACTTGATTTGGTTGAAAGATATGCTGGATCAGACACTGAGAGTTAAAGCAGCGTACTTCTCCGTCGGCACACAGCTGGAACCCCTGGTTGAAACATCTTCAAAATCCAGCTAAAGTGAAAAATGTGCGCCTAAAGGAATTTGCTGCATATCTGCATAATTCAGCACATGTTTCTTAGTTGAAGACAGTCTCAAATTTGCTCTTTAGTCACATTTCTGAGAAGTCAACTCTAAGCTCTGCAATATTTCCTGCAGCTCTTTAAGGCAGCGTTAGATTCACGTCCTCCTGGGATTGATAGAAAACGGGGAATTTCTTAATGGCCTTTTCCCACCGGACTGTGTCCTCAGTATTTATCGTTGGTATTTACACGCTGGTCAACAATCTCAGATATGCCTGTTAAAGAACGAAAACTACAGCTGCCAACAATGTTAAACATTCCCCACCTGTGGCCGCGATGAAGGCATAGATATACGAAGCCAGAGGTAGTATGTGGAAAAACGAAAATGTACATTATTTGCAATTAACGAGGTTTTGTCCATGTAATTTTCAAATATTCACATACAGTACACCAGAAACTTGATTAGACTTCACTGTCAAATGAACACAATCTAATATCAAAGATCTCATTCAGGTTACTACGGTGGCCGAGAACCGCCACAGCTGCAGTTAAAAAAGAATGCAAAAAAAATAAAAAGTCACAACGGAAGTTACTGATGCAAAAAAACGAAGCCCATTGCAAATAAAAGAAAGAAACAGTGCTCGTTTTTGATTTTGCTTCGTGTGCTTTTCAATGTGTCATTTGGTTAAGCCATGTAGCGCCTGAGTCGATATCAAGTTGAACTAAAGCTAATACTAACCGGGCATCCTCCAGTTTAACTTCATATCATATCATATCATATCATATCATATCATTTCTAAGGACAGGTATGCCACCTGGTTCAAAGGGTGATGCTGCCATGCTGCACTATGATTAGACATGATTATAAATGTGATGTCCCCACTCTCCAAGAAGGGGTGTGGTAGTTTGTTGCTTATAGCGATATCACATGAAAGAGTCAAGTCTCCACCTGTCAGGTTCTAGTTTTCTAATTATCAGTTCCTGAACCTGATATTTCAGTTAACTCTGAAACTGATGAACAACAGAGAGGTGTCCATGTAACCTATCATACTTTCACACAACAACTAAACAAAATCCATTAAAAAAAACCATCAGCCATCAGATAGATAGATAGATAGATAGATAGATAGATAGATAGATAGATATTTCACTTTGTCTTTTTTGTATATATTTTCTTTTCTTTTCTCTTGCTATATCGAAAGGTAAAATCTCTCACTCAAGAAATCCTGGACTCCAGGGGAGTCCTCAAGGGTTCTCAAATGAGTTAGAGATAAAATAATGAATGGCTGTCGATGTTTACAGGTATGATGTGTTTGATGGAGGGTAATTTCTTCAACTAACATTTCTTCAACAGCAATGAGTCAAACCGGCCTGTGGGGGGCAGCATACTCGGGGAATCCAACAGAAGAGGAAGAAGCTGTCAAACAAACATGGCAGAGCAGGGAAACGATGAAGCTTCACCGAAATCTTCTGAAAATGAAACCTCTGAAAGTGCTGAATCTCAGCATGGACGGGACCTTAGGAGTGTTTTGGTCACCAGTGTCTTAAACCTGGAAAAACTCGACGTGGACCTTTACAGGTAGTTCACTTTACCCTACATAATAGTCAGCAGCTCGAACCTGAATAAGTTCATGTGCATCCGAAGAGATGAACAGTGTTATTCCCTTTACCTGTCAGCACTCATAACACTAAACATATGGTTTATTGGTGTAAAGTCAAATAATACTTGTGCTATGTCCACCTAAATTTCAAGGTGCAAAATGGCATGTAGTAGGCTATATGTCACACAGTCCCATTGTCATTCATTTAATAAAACCATGAAACCTTATAAGCTTGTGTAGTCTACATCCCTCTGCATCAGCTCAGGTTTTTGAAGCTTTTGATTTGAAAAAGAAGATATAGTTTTATGATTTAGCATTGTCATTTACCAAAAGAGTATCTATCTATCTATCTATCTATCTATCTATCTATCTATCTATCTATCTATCTATCTATCTATCTATCTATCTATCTATCGTATGGTAACTGAATCAAAATACAATAAGGCACTTAAATACATTAATTTGTCACCCTCCTCACCTCAGCGCCATGTAAGTTTGGTAAAGATAGTACATGTTGTATACATGTTTTTTTCTGCAGAGGGACACATCACTGGGTGCCACGCAGTCAGCGTCTGTTTGGGGGTCAGATAGTCGGCCAGGCCCTTGTAGCTGCTGCCAAATCTGTGAGCGATAATCTCTTTGCACATTCTCTGCATTGCTACTTTGTACGGGCAGGTAAGTTGATTTATAACTATGAGTGAGAGGCTAGGGAAAGTACAACCCATCTGAGTTTATGAAAAAACGGTCTCAAATGAACCATGATAGCATGAAGGCCAGAACAGTAGAAGTCATACTTTATCATCAAAAAAAATGATATTAAATGAATGATAATAATAATAAAAATGATATAAAAACTTTAAAGCAAGCATTGAATTGAAAAACACTCATTTAGTACTTTTTTAATAATCAGTGGAATTCACAGGCTGCTTAGTCACCCTAGGTCTCAGTAATTTTCTTTCTCCTGCTGTGTTTTGGGTGTTTTTTTTTCAGGGGACCCGAAGGTGCCTGTACTGTACCAGGTGGAACGCACAAGAGATGGTCGCAGTTTCACTGTACGTTCTGTGAAAGCCATCCAGCATGGACAGCCTATACTCATCTGCCAAGCATCCTTTCACATGCTGCAACCGAGCCCCCTGCAACACCAGTTTACCATGCCGACAGTGCCCCCACCTGAAGACCTGCTGACTATAGAGGAAATCATTCACCTGTATCTCAGGTCTGCTTAAGTACCACGCTGTTAGTCTCGTAATCTCTGCTTGTGTGTAGAGATTTTGAATATTGAAACATGGACATTTTGATTAGGTCTGATACCATCTGACTCTTCAAATCTCTTTCCTTTGTGTCAATACATTTGGCAAATAAGGAAACATCTGTAGTCACAGTCAAGTGCTACAACATTGTTATAGGCCTCGAGATGGTTACCTCATCTCTATCCTGATCTGCTCTTTCTTCTGTTGCTTCACAGTAAACCAGACCTGGCAGAAAATGCAAAACAGGGCCTCAACAAACTACTGGCTAATGAGGTTCCTATTGAAATAAAGCCAGTCAATCCACCCCACTTCTACAGACTTGCTGCAGCCGAGCCTAAGAAGTTGTTCTGGGTGCGAGCACGAGGACATATAGGTAAAATACATTAAATGCACACTTGGATTGTGTTTGCACCATATATGTTGACTATAATATACAAGTACACCCGAGCATGTTATTTTGTATATATAGATAATAGACAATATTTGCGAGTAGCTTTATTTACAATTATATACAGTATAAAAATCCTGCATTTAAGTTGGTACCTGAGCATTATTAGCATATGTCTTTACTATGTGTCTGCAGGTGAAGGCAACATGAAGCTGCATTGTTGTGTTGCTGCCTATGTGTCAGACTTTGCTTTCCTGGGCACTGCACTGCTGCCTTATCCAAACTACAGGGCCAAGTTCTCCGCTTCCCTGGACCATGCCATGTGGTTCCACAGCACTTTCCGCAGTGATGAATGGATGTTGTATGAGTGTGAGAGCCCATGGGCAGGTTAGTATGTGGTTCACTTTTCATCCCCTACGTCCTATTTGTTCAGTCTGTCTCAGCACCAGAGGAAGATGTGTTTCAACTCAGGACTTTAAAGCTCAATAACTGTAAACACTTAATGATCAAATCCTGAAGAAAACTATGAAGTTAGATTCTGTGTGTGTCTACACTCTTCACTGTTTTAAATAAACTCAAGGTAATACTGAGGTCCAGGAAGAACTAAAGTTTACCTATTTTTATTTTCTTTTGACACAAGACAGTAAGAAGCATCCAGTTGTTACATGATGAGCTGGGAGTCAGTAAATTTGCTGCTGTGATAGAAACAATCTAGAGCAATGTTATTTCTGTTATCTTGCACCCTCTCAATTTTCAACCATTTTAATACCATTTTAAAACTGAAAAAAAGTGGTCATTTTATAGTCACATTAATCAAAGTCTGACAATCATTCACAGCAGCGTGTTAAAAACAGTTCACCTTAACTTGGCTTAGTTACAATTTATTCTAACAATTTATTATTCACAATTTATTATTACAATTCTTCTATAAATAGTCGATGACTTTTTGAGACAGGACAAATGAGACTACAGACAATTGAATTTCCCTTCAGGGATAAATAAAGTTATCATTATTCTTAATCTTATTGTCTAAGAGGATGCCACAGTCCACAAAGATTTCACAAGTGGACAATCTTCCTGCTCACTCTACGTTTGCATATGCTTTGCAAGGAAATGTACAGACAGACAAGATGAGGTACGCTTTTTCTGTAACGGACTGCAGGCTTCTCTTCTTTATATCCAGAAAGATATGTAATATATATATATCAATTGATTCAATTGATCACCGAGGCTCTACATGATAAGGATCATCTTTAGTGGCCTGTCAGCACAATTAAAAACATCTGTTCAGTTCTCTCATCATTTTGTGAAGGATTGACCAAAAACCTAAATTCTTTTTTAGGCTGGTGTTCTTGAAGAAATTTGGGGGTTGTGTCCTGTTAAATATTTCACTCTAGAGAGCTGCTTTAAAAATATATATTTTCAAAAATAACAGTATTGCCGGCTGGGGAATCAGAAAATTTTATCAGGACCCTTTTTACTGAAGCAGAGAGTTTATTTAAACACGCAGCAGTTGTTGTTAGTTTTGGTCTTTGGCCATGTTGCAGACCAGCTGTTTGATTCGGTCCCCTAGAGAGTTTGGATAAATCCCCTTAGCAGCGCTGAAAATCTTTGTACTTATGCAAGAGTAAAAGGAATCCTAGTGGAAATAAAAGCAAGGTCTTTCTGGGTCTTTGCTACGCTGCAGCAATGAGTCATTCAGTTTCCTTTATTGAGTTCAAAACATGCAATTTCAGACAAGTTTTTTTTGTTTTTTTTTAATAAAGTATTTTATGAAGCAGTTTTTCACTCAGCTTGTTGCACTATGTTGGTTTTTAGGGAGGCCTTGTTTGGTTTATTTTGTTTTTTTTATACTCAGCCTGCATTGGACCACTTACAGAACAAGGATAGAGAAAAGGGATACAGAAATAAGCAGAATCACAGAGCAATTATAAAAATAGAAATTTAAGAAGGTTTACATATTTTTGGTCTCAGCCTTAATGGAATTGTTTAAAATGTACTTGTTTAGTGACTTATGCTGCCTCTGTGTTTTCCAATTAACAACACAACTCTGCACATTTGGGGGTTTTGTGTTTATCCTGTCTAGTACCTGTGACTCTCATCACTATTCCCACAATAATGATCCTTTCAAAAGTTTTAACAAAACTAACATTCCTTTGCTTTAATGTGGCCTGTGATTTTTCCCAATAGGGGGCAGCAGAGGGCTGGTTCAGGGCCGTCTTTGGAGAAGAGATGGGGTACTGGCTGCCTCTTGTTCCCAGGAGGGTGTCCTGAGAGTGAAACCAGTCACAGAGCCCAGCAAACTTTAAACACAACTGTTATATTTTATGTAATTTATTTTTAAAGATGTCTATTTTAACCCTGGTTGAGGCACAAGATTGACCATTTAAAGATGAATTTATGATTGTTTAACAATATTATGAAACTTCTGACGCATTCCGTGTGAATAAATATTGAAAAAACACAAATGGACTTTTTGTACTTTACACTTGAGAATGTGTTTGAAAATTAATAATTGCCTTTTCCACAAAAGCTAAGGGTTGCAAACACAAACTTTTGCAAAACTGATCTCAGGTTTCTTGTTTCCAGCAACATCTAAACCTGACAAAGATTAACACAGAGGCAGCAGAGAGCCCAGCTGATAGAACGAGAGTATCATTGACAGCTAAAATTTACTGTCTGTTTTCATTTCAGGTTTATCATTAGCCAGTAAAAAATCAGTCAGTTACATAGCAGAACAGACATGTTATTGTAAACAGACAGTCAAAGCAGACAAGATTGAAAGAAAAATAAATATGTGACAGTGAACACCAGCAAAACAGAAACCAAGAGCATTTAACAAAACTGAAGGAAACGTGTCAGATGAAAGGACAGAAAAGGTGAGGAAGGTGGTTTTATAGATCGTATGAAAAGTGTAAAAAAATTAGATATGCAGCAAGGAACAGAACAGAAGAGATGAGAATCTGATATCAGGACTGAGATTTGACTGCAACCCCTATAAAAACTGGCAAATGTGACTACAGACCACAGCCTGAACCAGGGATAGGGTACAATAAGGACTCTCAGAAAAATAAAGGAACAGTTTAACTTGATGGACATATTACAGACATGTAATCAACTGATTGAGTTTATGCTCTCTCGTGGAGTATCCACAATTGGGACTACCAGTAAATGACTTTAGGGGGCAGCAGTACGTCTTTGCCGCATCTGCTCTGCCTCTTCAAAACATAAAGAAGGAGGCGCTTGGTAGCCTGGTTAGCGCCCTTGGTTACCGTATCCACCGCAACGCACAGTTAGCATATATCAAGTCTACGATGGTTAGTCTAATAGCTTAGGGTAGCTAACAACAACAACACCAGCTTCACTTTGTAATGTAAAGTACACAAAAACACCGCGTTATGACAGGTAGTGTTGTGCTATTAGTTTATTAGCTTTTCTCCGATAGTTTGTACTCGTAGAGTGGACGACAAGCTAAGGTAAGGTAAGAGGCTAACGCTGGAGTTGCGTTAAAGTATACGCGTTAAAACTGTCGTTGGTCTACTAGTAAAGGGGACATAATACATCACAGTGGCTAGTGTAACCCCTACCTATAGCTAGCAGCGTCAGAGTATAATGCATTAAGAAACCTAACTTGGAGTTATAAGAGGTGTACTCACAAAAATAGAGTTGTCATTGGTGAGCGTGTTGAAATCAACGATGGAGAAGGAGCAGCACAACACAGTCGTCTTTAACAGCTCCAAAAGAGAGCTCTTCACTGCTAACAGTGGATACAAGAGCATGCAGAAGAGACTCCGAGCTCAGTGGAAGATACAAACGTGAGTGTTGCTCTATTATCTCCCTTGTGTTTGATCCACTGAACATTTCCTCGGTTCAGAGATGATTTCGAGACAAACCGTCTTTTTTTTTAAAGTGAATGTTGTCTTTTCCAGCATGAAGGACGAGCTGACTCTGGAGAGGCTGAGGGGCGTCAAGTTGTGGATAACTGCGGGTCCAAGGGAGATGTTCACAGCATCAGAGGTAATGAAGTTTTGATTCAGGATTAATCAGTAAAACTGTCAACATGATCTCAGTTAATTTAACATAATGTAACATCTCTTGGTGTAGGAGATAGTGGGCATGTCGAACACAGCAGCCATATCAAAATGTACTCAAAGCTGCTGACAGTAGTTCTTGTTCTGTGGTTCTTTTGACTCCACTTATGGGCCAATTTATACCTTTTATTACTTTACTGATCTTCTCCTTTACATGCCAAGGTAGCATTTTCTAACAACAACAACAACAAAATCTAATTATACTTCTTTCAAAACAGTCAACATGTGTTAGAATTTGATTTAACCCAGTCTTGTTGATGATAGTCTTGTTTGTTTCAATAGGTTATTGAGAGACAACATTTTTAATATGGATCATTTTTGCAGCCACCCTCTGAGCAATAGACAGCTATTAGACGTCTATTTTTTTTTCAGACCTAATTTCAACCGTCTAGATTCTGTATATTTTTAGACAGAATTTAGACGGTTGCACTTTAACCCATTATTCGATAACTATTTATCTCAAAAAGCAACCGTGAGTTGCGTAACTGATCTCCAAGTATTTAACCAAAATAATAATGATAGTCGTTGAGCAAAATACAGTGTAGTTTAGATATAGCCCAGATTTAGACTTGGTCCAAACTTGGTCTAAATTTAGACGTCTAAAAAAATTTTCATTTTTACACCTGTGGTCCAGACCAGCCGTCTAGGCTACATTTAGACGTCTATTAGACCTCTTTTAGACCAAAAAATGCTCAGAGGGCAGTTAATAACTCCTCACAGGGATTTAAGTTTGGTCACTATAATGGTCGACACTGAAGTTATTGTACTTTTATAAATTCATTGCAGCTGGAAGCACTGAAGCACTTCCTGGATGGGGGAGGAAACGTTTTGGTGATGCTTGGTGAAGGAGGAGAAATGAAATATGAGACCAATATTAACTATCTCCTGGAGGAATACGGGATTCAGGTCAACAACGGTATATTGTACAAGCTGTTAAAACTGCATTTGATACTAGGGGTGTCCTGATACGATATTGATATCGGTCTGATATCAGCAAAAAACGAATATCGGATTATATCGGCTTGCACTCCGATACAAGCAGTCCATTTTAGGCTCTGCTCCGGTATCTCTATCTAGCAGCGCCCTAATCCAGCAAGCTGAGCCCACAAAATCACAACAACTGTGTGTACTAAAGTACTAACAAAGTAGCAAAGAGCAAGAGTTATGTCAGCCTTGTGGCAGTTTTTTTTGTTTAAGTCCAAAAAAGACATAGCAGCTGAGTCAAAAACATGTCATGCACAATTTTGTGCCAATATCGTATCAACATCGGTATTGGTCAATATCTGTATCGTATCGAAAGTCTAAAAGTTGTATCAGGACCCCCCTATGTGGTTGTGAGTGTTTTATTGTCCGACAAAAGTTAAAGTGAATTCTTCCCCGTCTTTTTTTCTGTCACTACCCCAGATGCTGTTGTGAGGAACGTGTATTATAAATATTTCCATCCCAAAGAGGCGCTTGTTTCTAATGGTGTATTAAACAGGTTTGTCACCACAGTCGAAGATTTTTCTGTAGCCAGTGTTTCCATGAATTTAGATCGCTCATTAAGTTCTGTTTGTCTTTTTCTTGTCCAGAGAGATCAGTCGGGCTGCTGGTGAAGTGATCACCGGGAGCATTGAAGATGAGAATGTTGGAAACAATGCACAGTAAAACATGAACTTTCCCCCCTTTTGATTAGACAAGGCTTTCTAATGTAGTGTTTGCATGACTTAAAGGAGGTCTTTTCTGTCTTAAATTATATAGGGCTCTCACATTTGTGTACCCATATGGTGCCACTCTGGATGTGAGGGAACCTTCTGTGGCTGTTCTTTCAACTGGCTCAGTCTGCTTTCCCCTCAATAGGCCTGTCATGGCCTTTCATCAAGTAAAGGTAGGAGGTTTAACAAAGTTTTCAAACTCCTCAGGCCACACAGTATGAATGACGTTAGACTAGGGCTGGGTGATATGGGAAAAAGTTTATCACGATATATTTGATATAAAAAATCACTTAAATAAAAATTAACAGTGCGTATTGGTGGCATGTCCTTGCAATACAATAAGCTACTGCATCTGTGAGGTCTTTGTGTCTCTTCTGTCGTAAGGCGTTGCGCTAGAGAAAGCGGACTGAATAGTTGGCTGCACATGCACCATTGGCTGCTTTGCACTTGCTCCGCTTGGGGTTTGTAACATTTTTCATTACACGTGCTCTGCTTCAGGTGGTGAAAAAGATTTGAGATATTCCCCGACTTTGCGACATAATTTGCAGAGCACATTAGTCTGCTTCATGTCTGACCTCAAAAAACCAAAATACCTCCACGCCACCAGTGTTTTCACGCCAGTGTTGACGATAATTTCATCATTTGTTGAGCCTTCATCTGCATTTCTGCCGGGGGTGGCACTCGCTTTCTTTTTTTCTCACTGACAGTGCTGTCAGCTTCACCTGTTAAAGTGCTGTGGTTGTGTGTAGCTGCAGCCTGCTAATACGCAGTTGTTTGCCACTTGGTTCTAATTCAGCACATTTTTGGTTCAGCGCAAAGCGGACCCGGAGCAACTCCCCTTTTCATTGGCTATCATATAGTCTACCAAAACATGGCAGATTGCTGGCTATCGAAAAGCATATTGACCATGTTTCATATTGATATTGAGGGAAATAAGTTTTCGATACAGATCGTTTTATCGCCCAGCCCTACTTTAGACTGAGCTGACAGATGACTGAATGAGATGAGTGTGTGTCTCAACCCCTGAAATGATATATAAAAAGGTTCTTGCATATTTTGAAGGAGGCTGGCCAGCTGGTGGTGTCTGGTTCCTGCCACATGTTCAGTGACCAGTACATAGACAAAGAGGAGAACAGCAAAATCCTTGTGAGTCCAGTTAATTTTTTGACAGCATGTCACATAAGTAGAACAGTATTCTCTTCTGGTATAAAGCATATTTTTACTCACACAAAGTCTGTTTTACTCTTTGTCCTAGGATGTTGTGCTCCAGTGGCTCATGACTGATAATATTGAGCTGAATCAGATTGACGCTAAAGACCCAGAGGTGAGAACACATACTTGACATTTTAATGACATCATTGGAACAGTCATCAAAGTACACTTACATCCACCTCCTCCCGACTTTAGATCACAGACTACACCATGTTGCCAGACACAGGCTGCTTGTCAGAACAGCTGAGAGTGTGCCTACAGGAGGGCGATGAAAACCCCAGAGACTTCACCTCTCTCTTTGATATGTCTTTGTGTCATTTTACAACAGATACTTTGCCCCAAGTCATCAGGTGAGAATGCTGAATACTTGTCTGAATATTAACTCTGTGACCACATGAATTATAGAGAACTTCTCTCCGCAGTGCATACAAGCAGCTAAATGTCAAAAATGAGCCGCTTCAGCTCATCACTCCCCAGTTTGAAACTCCACTGCCGCAGCTACAGCCTGCTGTGAGTCAAAGTTCTGTGTTCTTGTTGCAGCTGATGTTTTTCCTGCATTTTAATAAGTTGTGCATTTGTACTCAAATGAAATGTGAAGGGAACAGGTAGTTTGATACCTTCAGGCTTAGACTCAAAACTGGATGCTTCATTTTCTAGGTATTTCCACCTACTTTAAGCGACCTGCCTCCACCCATGCTGGACCTGTTTGATCTGGATGAAACGTTCTCTTCGGAGAAAGTGCGCCTGGCACAGCTCACAAATAAATGCAAGTTCTTTACTTTATCCCTGGTTTTCTACACAGTTGGAATTTCCATACCCTACCTTTTAGAATTATATTTGGAAATACCTACTTTTCCATTTTAGAAAACTGTATTTTTTTACTATGGTCATAGTCCTGAAACCTAAATATTTTTCTACTTTAGTTTTCATTAACCATACTTTTTCAGACCTGGATCGATCAAATTACTTTCATACTTTCCATACTTGTGTAGGAACCCCGTTATCCTGAGATTAGACTAATCTGGCTAGGATAAAGTTTTGATCATTTTCTAATGTGGATGCTCTTGTCACAGGCTCAGACGATGATCTTGAATTCTATGTCAGAAAATGTGGAGAGATTCTTGGGGTGACTCCGAAGTTGGATAAAGAACAGAGGGATGCCAAGCACATCTTGGAGCACGTTTTCTTCCAGGTCGTTGAGTTCAAGAAACTAAATCAGGTGAGATCTCTTTGCATGTGCATAAGTGTGTTTCAGTTTACACGCATTTCATACAACCTCGATTTTTCTCTCTTTACAGGAGCATGACATTGAAACAGAGGCTCGATTTACTCCACTGTGATGGGATGCATGAAGGTTGACTAGCACAAGTCTTCCTCGTCAGGATGAAAGTTTACTCTCAATTTAAAGAGATCTGTCACAGAAGATGAACACTAATAACCAAGTTACATCGGTTTCAAGATATTGTACATAAATCTATATTTTCATACCTTTGCTTTTACTTTACTGAAGACAAAATATTAAGACGCTGTAACATGAAGCAACTGATCATTTTATTTAAACAATAAATCTTTAAAAAGAGTCATTCAGATGTTTTGCACGAATCCTTGTTCATTGATCCTGGAAGAAAATGACTGATAAAAAGGTACTTTTATTCCCACAATGAACTTTGTAGTCAACAGGGCTTCTTACTTTTTCCCATGTTTAGTTTTAAAATCATCTTTTATCCAAGATGCATGGTGGGCAGGTGCGTGAACAGACAATCACCCATCAGTCCTTAGATCCTCCATGTTCTCCATGTGAACTGGTTTGTATTGAGGAAATTCTTGGCCTCTTCAGGGAGAAGTTTCAGCTAATGAATGTTGGGTAGACTGGGGTTTTGGACTCCTCATTTGTTCCAGAGCACTGGACTCCACGAACAGCTTGGGACTGTTACTTTCTGGTTTGATATAAGAAACATCCCAAGAAATTTGAGAGGAAGCAAACTCAGTGTATGACTGGTCAAAGCAAGCAGGCTCCTTTTTCTTTTGAAGGAGCATGTAAGGAGTAGAGGACTTTCCCTGTAGAGGTACGGCCAGGTGACAGTTGTCGGTCTCCTGAGTGTTGTTCCATGAAGAGGCCTGGGAGGGAGAAATGGAATCTGCTGGCAGGCCCAAGGAAGCCAAGATGGACAGGCGGGGGTCAAATCCCTCAGCCGTTGTGTCGCTTGATGCTTTTGACGTGGACAGTTGTTCAAGAGACAGAGCAGACATCCAACTCTGTTCTCCCCAAAACCTTCTGTCAGGCTCCAGTGGAGATGAACATTCAAAGCTTTTCATGTCTGGAAAAGAATACAGGAGAAACTTGGAATCACATCATCTAAACTGATTGAAATTAACATCTGTTTATTTTAATTTAAGAAGCTAGTTTTCCTACGGTACCTTTGATAATAGAAGTCTTCTCCATTGTCTCCTTCAGCCAGTGAGTCTCTGCTAAGCTCCAGGTGGTTTTAAGTGCTCTGACAGTTTGTTAATTGACCCAGCTGGTGGCTGAGCTGGTTATCAGTTCACCTGAAAGGACACAGCAACTGTTTCCTTTCTCTCTTTCAAAAATAAGAGAATTTAAAAGGAGTAATTCAGATAAAATACTGTTATTTAGATTTTTTTTTTACCTTTTGCTTTTGAGTTTAGGGGGTCAAAAAAAAAACAGCAATTTATCTTAGATGATAGAGCAAAGGTGCTCAAGAATACACTTATTAACAGAACTGTCATATTTAGAAATGTATCGGTCATAATATCCATTTCGCCAAGATTATACTTAACTATTTGAAATGGACAAATAAAAAAAAATGAAACAATTAAATAATTTTAACAAACTTTCAACTTGTTTGGCATCAAAATCCTGTAAATTGGATGTCAAATAATTCAAACAATTCTTACAAATGGTGAAACTTTCCATTTGATAATCCTTTCAACTTGTTATTCTTTTTGCACCAATTTCTTCATGTTTTTAGAATGCAAGAATATGAAATGAACTATTAATGTTATGCGTAACTATTATAACTATTGTGCTTTATTCAGAGTTAACAAAATTACAATTCCAAACATAGCAGAATCAGTTCAATACAGTAATTTCAAAATTGAAATAACAAATCAGCTAGAAATACTTATATAACAATATAGGAAAGTGACAATGCATGTTTAGACAGGGAGAAAAAAAAATAGTAGGGAAATAAGATAAAGTAGATAGTGAAGAACAACAAGCGAACACAGGTGTCAAAACTCAAGGCCCGGGGACCAAATCTGGCCTGTGGAACAATTATATCTGGCCCACAAGATCATATCATATTTGTATTGTTATTGGCCCACCAGTATGAAGTCTGCAGATTTCCTCTGGTATAATTATGTAAACTCAAGCACCATTATTTAAAATGTCTTTTATGAGCCACGAAAATCTGGGGAATTAAAGAGTAAGGAAGATTTGATAAATAGTCAAGAATGCTTTGATTTTGTTCAACTCATTATTTAGACTTGTGTCATTTTTATACTTTAGATTCCAATTTTAATTTGAAGTCATATTTTGACCTTTTAAACCTGATTTCAATGTTCTCGTCATGTATTTGCTCTTTAAAATCATTATTTTTCTATTTTGAATATCACGCTCTGATCTTTTGAATCAATGAATTACAATAGAGTAAAAAATTTAAAATTCTGATCTCAGTTTGCCTTTAAACTTATCTTTTTATGTTTTTTGAATTTCCAAATGATTTATAATCATTGCTATTTTTGTTACATATTTTTTTTAAAAGGAAGTTGACAGTTTTGGTGAAATGTTGACCCTGTTTGACCCTCAGGTTAGGCCTAAATCCAGATTTTGGCCCTTGCTGTGGTTGAGTTTGACACCCCTGGTTTAAATGTTTTATTTTGAAGCTCAACCGGAAGCTCTCTGTGTGACATCCTCGTCCTATGCGCACATCTAATGCGCAGCTACGTCAATATCCGCCTCCTACAATCGGGAAGGGCGCGAGATAGAAATCCAGGAGCGCGGTCAACTCTGGCGCTCTGCTCCAGCTGGATTTGAGCTGCTACATAGCCATTCATTCAACACAACAACACTTGGTCCCTTTCTCCAGCACTCCATAAAGATAATAAACAGGCAGTACAAGGCAGTACAAACTCGAATATACGAGCACATGACGCGGACCAGCAGCAGGACACAGCACCGTCTGACCGTAAACAGCAGAAACAGAGGGAAATGTCCTGGTGGGCGCGCAGGTAAGAAGCTGATCTTTGTATTTAAATGTTGTTAAATATACGAAGGAATCAGCAGTCGACCGGATTTTGTTAACATTTTGACCTATACTCGCTGCATTTTAGTACAAAAGCGCCACTCGTTTATGCCGCCCTTTTCGGATAACTTCGATCAATGTGTAGCAGGGTTTTATTAAATAACCCTCCTGACTTACACAGTACAGTTTTTATTACGCTGTGATTATCCACTTATATTTCCCCCAAAAAAATCTGTCAGTAGATCATTGTATAAAGACAAGACTTGCCGCTCAGTCATCGGAACTGTAAACCCGAGAAACAGGTTTTCCTGGCTTTGTTCCTGCTGTCCATGTCAGCTTTGTTGGTGCTCATCATCATCTCCCTGCTTCACAGTGAGGACGGGGATGAGTCCATGCATCAAGACACAGACTCTGATGTGGCAGATCACAGGGATGGTGGGAAAGTAAAGGTGAAGTGGACATCAGAGGAGGTGAGCGACTTGTCCCAGTAATTTACACGTAGTCTCAATGTAAACACTGAGCCCTGTAGGACAAGAGACATGCTTGTGTGGTTTGTTTACAGGATGACAAGCTCAAGGCCCTAGTCCAGAGGTTAGGACCCCAAGACTGGAAACACATAGCCTCCTTCTTACCGGTAAGTTAACGTCTTGCTTATATTTTGACACTTGTAAATGGTTCACATCGTTGTTTTAAACAGAATCCTCTTTTTGTGCCGTGTCTTTTCATATGCTTGTTCAGAGCCACAGTGAACACCAATGTCAGCATCGCTGGTTTAAGGTCTTGGACCCAGAATTGGTTAAAGGTCCTTGGACTAAAGAAGAGGATGAGAAGGTGGATGAAATGTGAATCTCTGTGCACATAAAGTAGAATTAGTCCTTGTAAGATAAATTTACATTACTACTCTTCATTCCACAGGTTATAGAACTTGTAAACCTGTATGGCAACAAACAGTGGGCGCTGGTTGCCAAACATTTAAAAGGCAGGCTTGGGAAGCAATGTAGAGAGCGCTGGCACAACCATCTCAATCCCAACGTGAAGAAATCATCATGGACAGCAGAGGAGGACCTCATCATCTACAAGGCTCATTGTCTGCTCGGAAACCGCTGGGCTGAGATTGCAAAACTGCTCCCAGGAAGGTAAATACTCCTCAAATGGTGGTGATCTCACAAAGTTTGGAGTGGTTTTCACCGTTCTCTGTACGTATAGGCGAGGTCTGTTGGACTTGAAGGACTCTTGTCATTATATTTATTTGCAGAACTGACAATGCAGTGAAAAACCACTGGAATTCCACCATCAAACGGAAGTTAGAGATGGGTTTCTATGCGGGGGAAGTTTTAAGACCGGAAGAACTGGAAGAGCTGTTGGCTCGTGTCAATAAAGATGTGCAGGTGAGCGATCTTAAATTATGTTTTTTTTTTTTTTTTTTTATGTCAGATAAATGCACATGTTTGATCAAAATACTGGTTTCTAATTTCACAGATGGCCAGTTGTTCTTTGGATGATCTGGACAAAGACCTGGAACAAACAGCAAACTCTGCAGTACGTACACATCACATTACTTTCTTTAAATAAACATCAGCACAACGCAAAGTAATAAATATTTTCTACCTGTTTCAGGAAACCTCAGACTCAGCCTCTGTCGAAGCTGGCCCCAGTGAAGCTGGACCATCAAAGGCTGTTTCTCCCCCTGAGGACAGTTCAAGCCTCAAAACCGAAGCAGACACTTCAGGAGAGATGAACTGTTCCAGCTGGGTGGTGGACAGCTCTGGTTTTCTCTCCCCTTCTGGTCCTGCACTGAAGGAAGTCCTGGACATGGTTGATGGGGTAACTATTCATGGCAATAGAAAAGTTTATTAAAACATTCGGACTGTTTGAAGACACGGTGGATGCACTTTCATAGAAGATATGAGCCTGTTGTGACTAGTTAAACTTTGTTGTTCAATCTGACATGAATGTGTATTATCTGATTTACATGGTTATGCTTAACTTTGCTCAGAAAAATAGTCTATTTGAGTCAAGAATACATGTCCAATTAAGAAAAAATGCTCTTTCCCTCATCAGGACCTTGATGGTTGGTGTAACCTGGCAGCCTTTGACCTGCCTGAAGACAGTCCAAGCCCAGAGCGTCACCAGTTTCGCCTGGAGGCCAGCGCCTTGCAGGAGTTAAGCAAAGGAAGCAAGGGTGAACTCATCCCCATCTCCCCTGGAGGTGTAACCCCACCCTCAACACAGATCCGGAGAAACAGAAGATACACCGCCTTGTCTCCTGAAGGCAACAACTCCATGACCCCGAAGAGCACTCCGGTCAAGATTTTGCCCTTTTCTCCATCGCAAGTACGTCACTTATGCTCAGGGTCGTTAAATGCTTGAAAAGTCATATGAGATTCTTCCCTCACAATGTACATTGTTTTAGTTTCTCAACATGTGGACCAAGCAAGACTCGCATGATCTGGAAAACCCGTCCCTCACATCAACACCAGTGTGCAGCCAGAAAGCCGCCGTTGTTACAACTCCGCTACAGCGTGACAAGACACCTCACACCCAGAAAGAAAACTCAGCGTAAGGGATTTCTGACTCGCGGATAATAAGCGGCATCTCTGTGGCTCTGCTTTTGTCTAGGGAGTTTCACAATACCTTATTTTTGTTCTTGTTTTCCTCAGATTTGTTACTCCCAACCACAAGTCTGATCTCTGTACAACCCCCCGAACTCCGACACCGTTCAAAAATGCCATGGAGAAGTATGGTCCTCTTCAGCCTCTGGTGAGTATCTGATAGTCACTTTTTGTGACATTACGATCTGTTAATAGTTCAGTAACATAACCCGTCTTTGTCTGTAATCTCAGCCTCAGACTCCAAACCTTGAAGATGACATAAACGAGGTCATCCTGAGAGATTCAGGGTTGGACTTGGTTGCGTTACGTTCGACTCCACCTGAGCAAAGACGCAAAACGATGGTAATTATCAGTCCACTGTTCTACTTTTCACATACTTCGAGTGTCTGAGTGGGGAATACTGACTGGCTTGTTTAAAGGGATATTCAGGTGTAAATTTAAGTTAAGGTCACAAAATTAGACACCCCCTCGAGAGATAAATGTTGCCAACTGCTTTCTTCTCTAGTTACACCAACTTTAGTAACAACTGCACGATAGCAATACACAGGGGTCTGTGTCTCCGTGAGCAAACCTCAACCAAAAAAACACTCTATAGCCACAAATATGCCGGAATATCTCTGAGCAGAATGGGCAGGACCCAGGTGCAAAGGGGTCTTCTCTTGTTCTGGAAAGGTTCCTTTGTGTTAACTTCAACATTATACAGCTTAATACTTGGCTATTTACTATAGAAATCAGTCATTTGTTCCAAATATGGATTTGGATCAAATGATTTGATTGATTTCGATTTGATGATCCGTGATGGTTTTAGCTTTGTTCATAATAACAGTTACTTCTCTCCCTCTAGGGTAGGCTATCTTGACTTTAATTACTAATACTAAATTAAACTCTTCTTCAAATGGGCATATCCACTTGTTATTACACTGACCATCATCTGTACTGGGAAGGTAAAAGGAGGTGTGGGGACCAAGTTTTCTGTTGCATCCCTCTCTGTGCGTTGACTCTGTTGTTTGTATATCTGTCTTTAAACACCGTTTTACATCCTGGGCTCACTCCTGTTTTTTTTACTTTACTGAATTATCTCTGTAAAATACTTTTGTACTTGATAATTAGTTGAAGGGTTGGTTTATAGTGCAAACTTGTGTTGGTGTCCAGAGTAAAAAATACCAGAATCGTGGTTTGTCCTCAGATTTGACAAGTTTCTGAAACTTCTGCACAGGAGCAGCTGAATATGAAATACTTTGGTCATTCAGATTCCCAAACTCTGGCTTTTGCTGCTATCATAGTACAAGAACCTAAATATGTACCCCTTCCTACAGTTTTGTAAATGAAATGGGCCATAAATCTATTCTCCTCACTAATTTTTCACAGGAATTGCACTTCAGCACCAACATTTTTTGTTAAGGCTGTTTAACAGATGCCAGTGTTTTTTTGGTTTCTTTCATTTCAAGCTTCGGCCCCCTATGAAGAAAGTAAGGAAGTCATTGGCCCTGGATGTCATGGACTGCCAAGTGATGCCTACATCCAAACGCAAAGCCCTCAAAAATGAAGCAAAAAGAACCATCAAGGTAACTCTCTAAACAAATGATTCTGCACAGACATTGATGTGATGCAGCCCAATTCAGTTTTTCCTTCTTTTTTTGACACAGGAAGAACCCATGATGGTTTCTCTCAACTCGTCATCATTAAGCAGCAAACGACATGAAAGTATTTTGGATCAGGGATTCCTTATGGGGCCTAGTGACAGTGCCATATTTCCCAGCACTGCGCATCCACTTCCGGCAAGTTCATTTCTTTTGTTATAAAGAGCATTTATCTCTTGATCAGTTAATGTGTCGTCACTGCTTCTCTTCCTTATCCTTACCCTGTAGTGATGCTGTTTTTTTTTTTCTCTCCTCAGATGTCAAAAGAATGGGAAATGGTTGTCTGTGGACAAACGAAGGATCAGCTCATCATGACAGAAAAAGCAAGAAACTATCTTCGCTCCCTGAAATCCCACCCCACCAGCCGGGCTCTGATTCTCTCCTGAGATGCCTCTCATCTGTTCACTGAGATGTTGAATATGTTCAACCTAATGTTGCTGTTTGTCCTTTTTGCTGTTGCAGTTTTCGGGGAAAAATAACGTGGCATATGTAGAGTTAGAACCTGACGAAAGAAGTCAATAGCAATCATAATAATATTTCACATCTCTATCAAAGATTGGAGAGAGAATGTAGCTTTTAGACTTTGTATTCCTCGAATGGTTTTGTACACAATGTCAGGAAAAACGTCGTCACATGGCATCAGCGTCACCTAACAATGAATGTGAAAGTGTAAAATCACGACTTGTATGTATGTTTGCTATCACTGAGAAGACACTGTTTTACATGGCATAATGTGTGTGGAACAGACCCGTTTTAAAGTTCTGAAAAATCGTAACGCTCAGGTTGCAAATCCATATTTCAATCTTTGTTGAAAAACTGAAATATGGAGAAAATCCTAACTCTTTGATCAGTATTACATTAGAAAAGTAATTCATGTCAAAAATATCAAATGAATAGTCTTGTTGAAAGATCTAATTAGCATATGTTGTACTATAAAATAGATATGCATCTTAATAGACACATTGAAAGTTTCGGTGTTACACAGGATAATTGTGATAAGAAAGGTGGACTACAAAACCCGTCAATAATACATCCAGGAGGGATACTACCTCCATTTTTTTTTTTTACTGGAAGGGTTGACATGTTTCAATATTCAGGAGCTGTGCCGGCATTCATGGTAGAGCAGATATTGTTATTGGGCACTATTTGTAAATAAACATGTTGAATGTTTTTATCTTGTCTTTAAGAAATTGTTCAAAAAATAAAATTAAATCAATTTTGACTGATTGTCATCTGATTCTGCTCGATTAGATCTTAACTGCCCAGGAAATACACACTGATAATTTCCTATTTGGAAGAGGGATGATAACTAAAATTCAAGGAATTTTATTCCTTTTTTTTTTTAAATTTTATTAACATGTTCAACAATTTACAAAACTCAATGGGAGACAAGTGCAATTCAGATGTACATCTTACTTTTACAGAACAACAGTGATAATATACATGAGAACAACATAATGTAGAAAAGGAAAAAACAAAACTTACAGCAAGGCCTGCCTTTGGAATTCATACAACAACAGTACATATTTAGAGACATCATCACATAGGTTTTCTAGCTCTAGACTAGAGTCTTTAATTAGTGACAAAGAAGCAAAATAAGATTTAAGTTCTGTTTTAAACAATGCAAGGGATGATTTTTATTTTGCCATTTACTTTTATGGATGTGGTATTTACCCATAATTATTATGTTATTGCAAATTTTGAAAAATTTGTTTGGCATGTTGTAATTTCCATACAGCACTTGTTCCAATTTCAAGTGTGCAACTTTATCCTTTTTAATTTTCAACCAGTTTACTAAATCATGCCAAAAGTTCTTAATTATGCTGCAAAAAAAAAAGATGTTCAATTGTTTCCTCTTTTTGTGAGCAGAAAACACATGGCTTGACCTTGAAACCAAACATCTCTAAAAGGATTGTTGCTGAAGGATAGTAACCATTGATTATTTTAAACTGCATTTCCTTTTAGGGGAAATTGTCCATTTCATAAATTTTATCCATTTATTGGTTATTTTTTCATCACTATTATACATTTCTATCAAAGTTATGAAATAGTTGATCTTTGAATAATTTATTACTAATATTATTTTTGCATTTTTTTCAAGTAAAGAAACCTGGTTTAACTGTATTTTAGGCAAAGTTGTTAGGAACTTTATTCCTCATACCCCACACCTTTGACAGTCTGTGGTACTAAATTAGTACCCAGGTCCGTTTCCAAACCAAGAATAAAAATACAATACAATAAATGAAATATGCAATAGTTAAGATACAATTCAATAACAAGAACAAAATATAAACAAAAAGAAAATGGCATTTACTGTACCTTTATACCAAATGAATTGAAGGATTGACATCTTTTGTATGTATAGTATTTATTTCACACTTCAAGTTTAATAAATAATCCAGGTTTGGATTTGCAAAATCTTTCATCAAAATTTTAATGGTTGTAAGAAAGTTTAGTGATTATCTGCCTGTTTCCGGTTCGTAACAGTCTTGAGTTTAGCTGAAAAAAAAATGCTTTTACTCTTTTATCAACCAATAGTTAATAAGCATAGCTGCGATATTAAAGAATTTACTCTCGAAATGTTCATTAACAAACATCATATCATCCACAATTTGCAATATAATTCATAACATGTTTTAATCTGGAAAGCCCGCCCGGAAGTTATACCTGCAGTGACAGCTGGCTTCCTCAAACCCCGGAAACAGTACTCGGTTTTGGTGACGCTGCATAAGACTGCAAGACATGGACCGGTCCAGTAAGTGGATTTTATCGGTATTGTTCAGTGTAATTTAGCAAATGGCTTTTAAATTTTAGCTTTTTGTCTCATTGGATGAATTCCTGCTTGTAAGAGGTGGTTAAAAAAGAACACCGAGCTGCAGTTTGTTGCATCGTTAAGCTAGCTAGCTTGTGTGTGAGCAGTGAACGTCTCAATGAATGAGCTCGAACCTTCAAACCGGATCTTACATGTCTCAGAGTCTTCTTACTTCTGCAAAGAATCGTTATTGCTCTTTCCCATCAGTCGGAAGGTTCATTTTTTCCCCCTCTCTCTGTCTCGCAGGATTGTTGTTTCTTCTCAGCCTGGTTCTATGTGGAGCTCAGGCTCTCACACCGGCTCATTACCTCTCCCTGTCGGACGTGTCCCGGCTGCAGAACCTTCTGAGCCAGCCCTTCACCGACCTGGAGTCCGCTTACTACTCTGTGGTTGGACTGGCGCAGCTTGGAGCCTCTGCCCCGGACCACACGGTAAATTCATACAGTACAAATGACAATGACGGATTTTATTGACAATGAACACACGAGGAAGTCCGGACAAGTCACGGTACTGATAACTTTTAACACAAAAAAAGACCCCCATCCAAGACCAAAGGAAAATGATAGCTCAGAAAGTTCAAGTTTTCTTTAACACAATACATAAAAGAGCACGTGACATCCTTGTAAGTATGTCCTTCTTTAATACTACTGCACCTGTAAGGAAATACCGTTCAGTAATATGGTGTTTTACAGTGAGTTGCATTTGTCCTATACTCGTGAACGCACCATAGACGTTTTCGATATATATCGTTTTATCGCCCAGCACTACCTGGACCCTCTAATGCAGGGGTGTCAAACTCAACCACAGCAAGGGCCATAATCTGGATTTAGGTCTAACCTGAGCACCAAACAGGGTCAACATTACGGATGTTCCCAGCAGTTAATTAAATGATGACATTTAAATGACCATTTTGAAACCAAAAATTCGAATACACGAAAATTAATTAACTGCCAGAAAATAGCCCAAATTGAGCACATTTCGATCTATATGGCCAGATATCATCTGAAATAAATATTAAGAGTATATGAAAGCCATGCTTATAATATTAAAATATGTTACAGAATCTTATTTTAGTGCTGGAGAATGACATAAAGTACGTGAAAGATCAAAGCAATTAAGCTCCACTCTGCTGCGCTCAAGCCAAGCAGACACTTGTGAGCCATCTTTATCTAAATCAAAATACTCCCAAACTTTGCTCTTTTTTCTCACCAACATCGCTCTGGCTGATCGCATGTGTTGATTCACTCTGAGGAAGTTAACCCACGATGCCATGCATGCTGCAGGCCAGCGCTGCGAGACCAGAGCAGCGAGCCAGGCAGAAAGAGTCGCACGCAAATGATCCACACATTTTAGCTTGTTTGAATAACTTTCGTAGATGCAACCATCTTGTTTCCACCTCCGATGCTTTCTTTCCGACTTAGTGACTGAAACGTTGGTAATTCGGGTGTGACATCATTCCCAGCTCGAACTTCTGACTTCTGAGGTAACTCGAGCGCAGCATAAGTCCTGTTAGTCCTAGTTCCATTTAAACTAAGGATTATGAGTAAAATCATTTTTAGACAGAAATTCTTTGAAGACATGAAAAAATCTGCAACTAAACTTCTTATTCAATTGACTTGTACACAGTAACCTGTAAGTTTAGAAAAGTAGCTCAGGTGTTCAGTCAAAATTCAATCATTTGGGTCTTAAATGTTTCATAAAACTGTGACTCTCAGTGTTCTTACGTTTGATGAAATGTTGGTTTGTCTTTGTAGGAAGTATGCCAGTTCCTCAAATCTCAGCTCGATCCCACAAGTGTTGACTCCCTCTTCTTCGCTGCAGAGACCAGTCAAGCAATTTCAGGATGTGAGGTATGCAACAATGTTCTCAATGTACTTGTGATCAATAATATTTTTCAAGCAACGGTTCAGACATTTAAATCCGTATGTGTTTGACCCAAATATTTATCGGGGAAAGTGGACAATGAGGCCTTATATTGCAAACTCTAAAGAGATATTTGTTCATCTCGTAGATCCCGGTGTCCAATGAAACCCGTGACATCCTCCTGGCAGCGGTCAGTGAAGATTCAACCATGGCTCAGATTCATCGGGCCGTGAGTGCCCTCAGCTCTCTTGGGCTGCCAATGGCTTCTCAGGAAGTGATAGGTGCCTTGACAGCTCGCATCAACAAGGAAGACAACGTCGTGGCGTAAGTGGTGGTCAGAGGGGGAAGATGGCTCTCTCCATAGAGGATCCTGGCGTCCAGCACGCATGAGCTGATGAGTTTTTGTCATCTAACTTCTGTTCTCTCTTTTGACAGGATCACTCTGGCTCTGCAAACAGCGGCTCGTCTGTCCCAGCAGGCAGAAGTTGGAGGAATCCTAGAGGAGATTGAGGTGAGTTTCTTTTAACTTCCACTAGGCGGTGCTGTGTTGTTGTCTAACTCAAAGCAAGACTCCGCCACGAGTCTTCATTGTGTGCTGAGATTCTTATTCGCTGGCTAAGCTTTTTTTAAACCCCTTAGGATCTGACAGCTCGTTTGGATGACCTCGGTGGGATCTACCTCCAGTTTGAAGAAGGACTTGAGGCAACTGCCATGTTTGTGACTGCTGCTTATTCCCTGTCAGACCATGTGGATATGGAGCCCCCTCTGAAGGAGGTATCACTCTATTCATTGGGTTTTGTTTATGGGGTCAGTTTCTCAGCATGTTATATTCTTGTGTTAGTGTCTAATTTGAAGATGTTTTCACCCCGCAGGACCAGGTCATCCAGCTGGTGAACTCCATCTTCAGCAAAAAATCCTGGGACTCTCTGTCTGAGGCCTTCAGTGTGGCAAGTGCTGCCGCTGCTCTCTCCACCAACCGCTTCCATGTACCAGTCATTGTCAGTGCGCAGGGTCCAGCCACAGTGTCTCACAGCCAGCCAACCCTGCAGGTACAGATGACAGATATTAACAAGACTGCTGTCATGAATATCGGAATACCCGCGCACATCCCTAATTGGAGTACTGATATCAGAGATTTAAGATGCATATATTCAATATTCTTCTTTTTTGCTGATATCGGGGCGATATCCAATATCCGGTATCAATATCGCATTGGGACACCTCTACAAGAAATTAAAATACAGTTGAAAAAATTGTAAAAATCGCAATTTATGGTATCACAATACTCACTGTATAGCAATATGTTTAAAATAGCTATAATATCGAATTGTGGCCCAAGTATCGTGATAATATCGTATCACGGGATCACAAGTGATTCCCACCCCTAGTAACCACCTTTATTGTTCTGCTTCACAGCTCCTCGTCACTGATGTCATGTCTCAGCCTCTTGCCACGGCCAATGTTCTGGTGGAGTCTGCATATGCTGTGGCCTCTAAGAGTGTCATTCTCAGCCAAGCACCATTCACACTCAATGAGTATGTATCATATGAGAGAGAGATGTCTTTGCATGAACATTTATTGATAACTTAAAAGTTATTCCTGAAGGTTGTGAAAACAAACACACACTTTTACCTCTCCATTATTCATCACACAAAGTTCAGACATTGTTTGTCATGAATATATTTTGTGTTGTTAATCTAACATCAGTTTATTGATCGATTGAAAAGTGTGAAATCACAAGAGTTCTTGACCTCTCCTTCAACCATTTGCAGAGCTCCGTTTAGGCGACACTATATTCATTTTTCTCCCTTTTTTTCAGCGGCGTCTTTGAACTGAATTTCATGTCCAATCAACCAGCCAGTGGATATTACCAGTTTACTGTAGCAGTGACCGGTGATAGCCGTCTGGTTGCCAACCATGTAGAGGTGAGAAAGTTGGAATATAAAAATGAATTAGCGGAAGGTTTCCTGGTTATGAGTTATCTTACTTCCTGAGTAGGGATGGGAATTGATAAGATTTCATCTATTGATTCTGCTTATCGATTCAATTCTTTTAATGATTCCCTTATCGATGCCTTTCTTTAAAATTAAAAAAAAAAAAAAAAAGTAGACTATAGGTTTTCATCATTAACTCAGAATTTCATTGAGTGTCCGATGACAGAAAAAGATGAACGCCACCGTCAGTGAGTCTTAAAATAATCAAACTATTTGTACAGCATTTACTTCAGTCGGTATTAAGTCGAACGCATAATACGTTGTTAAATCTGGCATGCATTGTGCTTATGTTAACACAGGGCAAACGTACTGTTATCTTTTCAGCTACCTCGTTCCTTGACTGTGGTATAGGACAGCTACTTTAGCTCATTTAAGGCTGGTAACTAGCTGGTCCAGCTGACATGGCAGAAAACAGGGGAACAGGTGGAACATAACTTCAGAGCGATGTACTTTTATTCAGAGCCGCTACACACAACCGCTGCGATGCACGGCAGTGGACTCTCTCTCGCCGTGCTTGGCATTGGCATTAGATTGTTTATGCCTACTTTTCATACCGTACGCCATGTTTTTTTTTCTCAAAGTCTCTGTTCTCATTCGCATAGACCAGCTCTCACAAGACCGTTTTTCAAGGCACCCGGTAGAAAGGAATCGTTAAGGGAATTGTAAGATAAAATGTAAATGATGTCAATCGGTTAAACCATTTGGAACCGGTTTTCAACTCTCATCCCTATCCCTGAGACGGTAAATGCTTATGTGATCGTATAAACCCTCTTGTTCAGATGTTTGTTTGTTGTCGTGTTCTGACTTTAATTTGATCCTTTTTTAGCTCAAAGTGAAGGTATCCACTGAGGTGGCTGTCAGTAACATGGACCTCTCGGTGGTGGACAAGGATCAGAGCATCGGCACAAAAACCAGCAGGTCCAGGAAAAAGTCTGAAAAGTGACACGGTTTTCTCTGACCCTTTATCTCGCAACTAAAAACACTGACTGTTTCTTATTAAACAACCCAGGGTGGACTATCCCTCCAAGGCCAAGACTCCCTTCACAGCCGACAGCCACCAGAACTTTGCCATGTCCTTCCAGTTGATTGACATCAACACCGGAGTGGAGCTCACCCCTCACCAGGTTTGTAAATATTCTGTCATCCTTTTATGAACCATTTGGAAAGAAATGAGCTTCCAGTCTTGTTTAGGATCAACAATAAGACCTGTTAATTCTCTCTGAACAGATATTTGTCCGGCTGCACAATCAGAAAACTGGCCAAGAGGTTGTGTTTGTGGCCGAGCCCGACAACAAGAATCTGTACAAGTTTGAGTTGGATACAGCAGAACGGAAATCTGAGTTTGATTCCATCTCTGGTACCTATTCCCTCTATCTCATTGTTGGAGATGCTACTTTGGAGAATCCCATTTTGTGGAATGTGGTGAGTGTGTTCAGACATTGTGGTTATTTTTTAATTGATACTGCACGTGCAGACGGGTTATAAGTTTCTTTGGGCCCTGAAGTTAAGTTTTCATCCTTCTGAAGGCTGATGTCATCCTGAAGTTTGTGGACGAGGAGGCTCCAGCCACCATTCAACCCAAAACTCTTTACGTACCGAAGCCAGAGATCCAGGTAAAAATACTCAAACTGACTTTGTTTGTACCAGATCATGATGAGGGAGAAATCAAGCAGCATGCAGAAGGATCATTTCATCTGTTCTAAACGGTTTCTTCTTTCTTCAGCACTTATTCAGGGAACCAGAGAAGAAGCCTCCCACAGTGGTTTCCAATACCTTCACTGCACTCGTCCTGTCTCCTCTCCTGCTTCTGCTCGTCCTGGTAACGCTGAAAAACCATTCTCCACAATGGGTCATGTTTTGTTCTTTTGTTTTTCATTCTGCGTCGCTGAAGGGCAACCCGTGTCAGTGAAACATGAGAAAATGAACCTCAAACCTAAAAAAAAAACAACCTCCCTTCATTATTAGGCAAAAGCTTTTTCCTAATAAGCAATCGCCTTTGTTGATGTGGTACACACTGAACAGCTCTTCAGAAGAAGCCTTCATACTCATTGAATGAGGCTCCAGAACTGCATTAATACGATGTGTATTTTAATTTGAAATCACAAAAGCTAGGCTGTGTTTTTTTCCCTGGCATTTGTCGCGGTGAGTAACAGTTATTGTTGCAGCGAATCAGTGCATTGTGTGTTTGGTGGTAAACAATTTTTCAGGCCTTTTGTTTACGGCTCTTGCAGTGGATGAAATCACATTGTCTTTTATTCCCCCTCTCTTCTGTAGTGGTTAAAGCTCGGAGCCAACATTTCCAACTTCAGCCTCTCCCCCAGCACTATTCTGTTCCACGTGGGACACGCAGGTTAGTCCCCACAAAATCACATGTTTATGACAGATATGACTGTTTTTACAGCCTCGTCATCCACTATTCTTCTGCCGCTGTTCAGGACGAGAAGTGAATTGCGATAATGACTGTGTGACATCCTGCATCATCACAATTATTTTCAGCAATGTGTTATTCATGAAATTTCACATCCGAACCCACAATATGAGATCCGCCACCAACTACAGCGACAACATCTCCACAACACGAACTGAGTTTATGTAACAGCGAGGTGTCCGGAATAGAGTCATGTGAAAGTTTTATCCATATATCCAGAAAACTGCATAGGAAATGCAGATTAATGTTCATTTTTATTCTGTATGTTTTTTTTCCAAGTTAATTTAAAAATAGATGATATAGATTTTACCAACATGTACAGTCTTTTTTTTTTTAAATAAGTTTTATTATAGGCAATACAAAAACAAAGAAACAGACACAGACACAGGTGTATCCAAAGATATACAACAAAGAACACACAATTTACAGACAAAATATCTTCACAAGGAAAGTAAATACAACAGTTCACAATATAACAAAAGAAAGACAAACAAAAGTAGACAAAGGCCTTCTGTCCCTGCAGTTTATATTACTACCAGCCTTCAGCATGACTCAAAGTTTTCAATCCGCGTTCAAAAGTTACACATTATTCTTTGTTTCTGTTGATATCTTTTTCAAAAGTCCAGTGAAATTTCAAAAACATTTTGAACGGTCGATATTTAATTTTTGTTTTTTTTTGTAATTTTAAATATAAAGGTTTTCCTCGTCATAGTGATGATATAATTCAAGTCTTTTTCTTCCATTTCATTGCTTAAATCACCAAACATAATCGCTAAAGGGCAGCTATAAATCCATTGACCTACAGTTAAACCAAAAATTGACCTACAGTTAACAATAAAAACAGATGAAGATTGTTCCTCTTCACAAAATCTGCGTAAGTCACATTCTTGATTTCCCCATTTTTTAAGTCTTTTTTTTTTTTTTTTTTTTTTTGGTGGGCAAATAACTAACTTTTCAACTGTATAATTCTAATAGAAACATTAAAAGTGGTCGTATAAATATTTATAAAAACCTTTTTCCATGGAATACATAAATCAAAGAGATCATCTCTTTTTTTAACATATATAGCTCATGCCAATATGTACAGTAGTCTTTACAGACAAATATATCCTTGACTTTGAATATTTTCTCTGGAAATAGCGGTAATGTGTGTAACTTTAGCCGTTTAAGGCGTTTAAAAACACAAAATTGCACCCTGTCGGTTTTGTGAGGAGCTCAAAACCTCTCAGGATGCTTTTTAACCGTTTATTTTGATGGTTCAATTTTTTTGTAATTCACTTACCAACATACATGAATGTGAACAGTAACAGGACAACAACATAACATGAGAAAAAAAAAAAACAAATCACACCCACAGAAAAACAATTGTTTATTAAAAAAATACTTTAAAAAAATAAACTAATCCAAAATAACGACAGTTACATTTTTGAGAAATGTTAAACAGCAGCAAATTTTATTTTCAGTGTTCATATTCAAGCCTGCTTGCTTGTTTCATTTTAGCCATGCTGGGCCTGATGTACATCTACTGGACCCACCTGAACATGTTCCAGACCCTGAAGTACCTGGCAATTATCGGTGGGGTCACTTTTCTCGCTGGCAACCGCATGCTGGCCCAGAAGGCTGTGAAGAGGTACGTCTCCTGATGGTTCCTGGAACAAATGGATCTTAGAGGGTGCTTAATCCCGGAGAGACAGCCTTGCCCTTCTTAGATGATGAGGACTCTGGTGCTTTAAGACCTCTTGGTAGTTCTTATCCTGAAACCTGAGGAAAAGTGCCTATTCCATTTCAGTTGCTTCTGAGTGGGTCTCTCAAGGCAGATTTCAGTGCCAGGCTCCCTCCCAGGAGGAAATCTCATGCCTACTTGGAGCAGGAAAGTAGCTTGGCAGCAAAAATCTGCAAGAGTGATGATCAAAGTGCGCAATTTCCTCACCATCAACATGTAGAACCCTCAGAGGGCCAAAGTGAGCAATCTGTAGCTGTGTCACTGACCCCAAGACTCTCTAATTGTTGACTTTGACTTCCTGCTGTTCTAACAGCCTGTTTAACCCTTCAAAAGCAAATACAGCAATTGCAATTAATTAATTCCCATGAATCATTTTCTGGCAAGGATCTCTTTTCCGTCTTCTTCCCTGCTAATCTGTGTCTCCTTTCAGCTGGTGCCTCTGTCCCTCGATCTTTCAATCAACACGTGCTGTCTCTTTACTCCTTTTTCAGGATTGCTGCCGAGCAAAGTAGTAGGTTGGCAAAATATAGGAGTCTACGATAAAGCCCCCCCATTTGTAACAAATGAGTCGGTCATTCTTCCAGGCTGAAGTAAGGGCATCCTCCTAGACTGCATCCCCAGTGCATCTCCATGGCTGGCAGCATGCATGGCTGTGTGGTGCCTCACTCATTATAACTCCGAGTGTTCACATGTACTTGCTGCCTTCCCCTGGTTCGCTTTTCAGTCATCCCACCATGATCATTACCACCATAATCATGCTGGCACTTGATATTTCCCCCATTGTTGTCTTGACAACTATGGTTCTAGTTCTGCCATTGAATAGAGCGCCGTGTTTCGTGTTGATGTGCCAAAAAATTAACTGTCCTGATCTTAGACATTTGTCATCAAAGTTTCTCTGTTTGTTGTGGACTGGTACTCATCAAAATGCATGACAAACCTTTTTCATAACTAGATTGAAAAAAAAATTTTTTATTGACAAACACTAACTTTATTTTCTCTCCCACAGAATTGAGAAAAAATAAGGGCAAGAAAATTGAAAGAGGACACTGATGGAGCTCATGTTGTTTCAAAGGAGTCACTTAACATTGCATCAAATCGGACTTAAAAACTCAACGTGGGAGTTCAAGAATCCAATCGGCAGTTTAAACATGCAGTTTGTCAGCGTTGCCAAAATGGAAGAAATCACGATATCACGGCGTCTCTGAGGACAAAACGCTCACCGACAGATCCTCCTCCTGAGGACTGTAAAGCTACTGATCATTGCACTTCATCTTCCTGTGAGATTTGTGTTCTTATTGTCCAACATGCCAGAGTTTCCTGAGAGACCTGGGGTTTTTATTTGTGGTTTCTTGGTGGGTTTTTATTTGATTTGTGGTTATATTTTGTACATTCCTCTTTGTATTTTTCTGTGCCCGTTTCCACCTCAAAACAAAAGCTGTAAGTCAACATTTTTCAGCTGATCATTTAGCCACTGGCAGCAGCATTGACACATTGATCTTTACTTGCCATGCCAGTGTGTTTTGAATGCCCCACTTTTGTGGGAGCAGGTCTTTGATACAAAGTTGGTTTACCCTTAAAAAAAAGTGAATAACTCAAAATGGGCAATGTGAGAGTTTTTTTGTAATGAGGAAGAGGAAATAAAGAATTTGAGGGGAATCTGAGTTTGTGGTTGTATTTTGTCGCTGTTTGGTTATGTGAATTTCTGTCTCAAATGTTCTTACATCTGAAAGGTGCAGGGGGTAAAGAATAAGTGTTGTCTTTTGTGGTTGTAGATGAAAAAATCCTAGAGTGACTCAGCAGGTTGTTGTATGAAAGATTTTGGTCACTCTGATAGATATTTCAGAGATGAAGCATATCTTTTGAATACATATGAATGGCCCAAGTGTCCCTAAGAAAGATGGACCAGGGGGGATTTTTTTCCTCAGCAAAAAAAAAAAAAAAAACTACAAAAATTAAAAATCACACATTAATGACAAAAATTGAAGATCATTCCATCTATTTAAAAATAGGAAACTGTAGGGTTATTTCTCAGCGGTCAAGGTTGTATTGTCATTCTGGACTCAGCTGCAACCCACATGTTAGTTTGTGTTTGATGCATTGTAGTAGTAGCTACCCATTGAGCATTTTTTGGTCTAAATGAGCTCTAATAGATGTCTAAATGTAGCCTAGATGACTGGTCTAAAGTCAGGCTACCACAGGTTAAAAATGAAAGTCCAAACTTAGACCAAGTTTAGACTAGCCGGCTTACAGAGGTCTAATTGTATATTGCTCAACAGCTATCATAATTATTTTGGTTAAGTACTTGAAGATCAGTTATACAACTCACTGTTGCTTTTTGAAATAAATAGTTATCAAATAATGGGTTTAAATGCAACATATTAATTCCGTCTAAAAATACACAGAATCAAGACGGTTGAAATTAGGTAAAAAAAAAAAAAAAATTAGACGTCTAATAACCGTCTATTGCTCAGTGGGTTTGAGGATTAAGGCTTGTCCAAAAGGAGCCAATGTAAATCTATTGTGGAAATAGGCACAGAACTCTTAGACAAACCCACTTTGAACCCATAATTCAGCCTAGACTGTCCTCATGTAAAACCCTCATAAAGCTTTGAGATGAGTGGGGCCACATGCAGTTAGTTTTTGGTCTAAGGTGCTCCTGGACAAACCCATTTACAACCATTCAGTCCCACAGCCTCTCTTGCACTTCAGCAATGAACCAGAGTGCACCATTGCAGGACTGCAGAACAAAACTGACAAAACCAATAGTGGAGTCCAGAGTATGAAAAAAATGTTGTACATTTAGCTTTAACCAGACAGTGTCAAATGGAGCTGTGTGAAGGACTCTTACTGCCCTTGAAAATATATAACATACAGTATATCCATGTGACCACATACAATGTGTGGAAAGTAGTATTGGTTGTCAAGGAACCATGGACATAGGAATTCCTGACTTAAGATAGGGTTCGACCCTAAGGTGGGATTCAGAAAGGGAGCAAGGACTGGGTCGAGTCCAGTCTTCCTTCCAGATTCCTTTTGTCAGAATAAATGGGAAATACCACATTAAAAGACAGTCAGATATCCTCAAGTGTATCAGGTGTGTGCAGTACTCACCAACGCTGCCAAGCTCAACACAACCCTATTTTAATGTAATTTTTTTCATGACTGACTTCATTGTTGTTCAGGATGTATTTCAACAGTTTCAAAACCAAAATATTAACCCAATATATCTCCAAAAGTAATATTGTACTGAACTCAATACGCACAACCTTTTTTTTTCACAGCTTTAATGGAAATAGAAAATGACAAAACATTTCTTCCCGTAAATATCAGAATGGAAAAATAAGAAAAAAGGAGAATGATGGCGTCCATAAATGCAGCAGAGAGAAGCTCTGCAGTCCCCAATCAGTTTGATCCACTGACCTCAGCTCAGCAGTCTGCAAGAAGAAATCTGAGTTTAGAAAAATCCTGACATGCTGGGAAAATCTGCGCTGAATTTCTGACTGTTTTCAATAGAGATGGGTACTGTGGCTGGGATCCCAGGTGTACCTGTATACCTGGGTTTTATGATGTTTCCGTGGACTCCTCGGTATCTGTGGTTGCTCTGGATGGCTGTAAGATCTTCTTTATAGGTCCCTTCATAGACATCTGACTGTCGTTTCACGTAGCTCTCACTTTCATCTCTGTGGAAGAAAAACATCAGCAGCTGCCAGCATTGCTCTTGTAGGATTTTCATTGATTAAAACTGTAACATTATTCCTTCTGTGTTACCCACCCCAGCCGTTTCCCCATGATTGTTTGAAGGAACTTCCTGGCAGAGATTTGACCCAGGACTTTTCTGTAACTGTTGGTGAAGATGGCGTCAGCGTGGCGTCCTGAACTAAAACCAGAAGTTGGACAGTTCACATCAGTTTGTTAATCACATGACAGTATTTTTTTAAGCAGCCTTAAAACTGAGCAAGAAACAGACAGGACAGGCTGCAGCTTGTTTGTCATTGACCAGCATAAAGCGTAAGATTAGATGCGTAACTAGTCCAAGAGTTTGTGGAAAAGAACCAGGTAAAAATACTCCACTGTTTCACTGGAGATGGATTTATGTGGTGACCATTTGGAATTTGATACTTGAAAAATGCTGCCAGTAAAACCATAGACTGTATATAGAATGGACACCGTCTGCCTAGGTGGGTGAAGCCACCGCGAGAACAGCACCCTCTGGTGACACGCTGCATTATAGGTCATTAGTCCCGCCTCCTGCAGCAATCCCAATGGAGCTGTGGACAAACTTTAGAAATTTATTACACTGCATATAAAATTCTTTCCCCCCTGCTTGCGATGTACATATCTGATGCTGAAAATGTGAAAACTGGGCTTTTCATCCACTCCACTGACACCTTCCCCCTCGGACCAGTTACAGTCATTGAAAATTACAATGTAGAAATCATCCATCCTATCGCTGATGGCCTTGTTTGCTTTTCTACATCATACATAGACATTATTATGAATTTCAGTCTATTTCATAAACACCAAAAAATCTGATTTTTAATTAAAATTGGATGAGTTCGATGGTGTTTGACATAAAAAAGATGGTCAAGCCAATATTTTCTCAAGTAAACTCTTTCGAAATGTTCTTATATAGATTTCCACAATAAAATGAGTCTGAACAATGACAGTCAGGTCAAATAAAACCGATAAAGATCTGCTACCACCTCAAGCAGAACTAAGTGATGCACCACAGTGATGATGGAGGGCGTATCAAAAGTGATTACGGAGTCGAAGCAGGAGAAAAGTAGTGATATGGTGATTTTACTGAAGACTAACTATCACTGGGGTTTAAACTTCACTTATTCCATGTTGAATAAAGGAAAGGGTATTGGCAAATGAAATATATACGTAAACCAGCAATGACAGGATACAGGCTGTTAACTTCACCCAAAGCTAGCTGATAGCATGACGACAAACTCAGAAAAACTGAGCCTGATTTCCAAGATTCATAACAAAAATGTGTTTGTTACATTTTTTTCAAATTTACTCTGAACATCTGAAAGAATCACCCCAAAACTTTTGGAAAAGCTTTCAGCAGGGGGAACCTGCAGGTATTGCGATTTTGTAGAATTACGATAATGCAGCTTGAAGCAGCTCAAAATGAGGCATATTTTTGATCAGTCATCCAAACTGACCGTATCTCTGCTCCCTCCTCAGAAGAAGAAGCAGCGGTGTCTTCCTCCAGCTGCTCCTCAGGACTCTTTAATGAAGATGTCATCAGGATGGAAGTGTCCATCTGGCCAAACCTGAGAAATAAGACCAGAATTTAGAAAACTGTACAACATCATACTTAAATATCTCAATCAGAAGTATACAAATAAGTATATTGATTTGATAATTTATTCTAGCTTGACCCAGGAGCAGAGACTGATAAAATTATTCCACTAAGTTTTAATGTCAGAAGGTCTTTGAAGAAGAACAGTATATTTGGTCTCATTGCATCATGCTCCAGTGTCTGTAAAATTATGTATTCTGCAGTTTTGGCTCAGGACATTGTGATTAACGCTGATGTAACACCGCAATTAATGCTGACCCCTTAACCCTTATTAGCATAACACGGGCAAAGGGCAAAGCTAAAACATGCAGAGCAACCAGGTTCAACATGTTCCAATCATGTACTGTGTGTATTTTGTAGACCAGACACTGACATCCAGCCGTTTTCTTAAACAGGCGTCACCTAAACAAGATGACAAATCCATATTCCTAATAGTACATGCTCGGCAAAGCCTTCAACCATTCAGGAAAAGCACTTCATAATTCCTATGAGACTATTCTGTGTATAGCTGTGTGCTCAATTGTTTGGCTTTCTCTAAAAACTGACTACAAGCAAAAGTCTTCAGTCTATTCGTACTTACAGAAGCTGAAGAAAACATGCAGCTGAAAATCAAAATCTGTCATGCGTTAGGTCTTACCTGATGGATGGATAAAGTGGTGAACCCGGTACAGGCATGACCAGGCAACAGAACAACAGCAGTGCAGCTTTCTCCATCTTCAAGGCTACTCCTGGAGAAGAACACAGCTAATATAAATGCCAGAAGTAAAAATCATGTTAGTAAAATACCAAAGCCACAGATCTGAACTCTCCAAATGCTCTGTTTCAATGGTACCAAAGTTTCAAAAAGTGATTATACTACAACAGAAAATATGAAAATTTGATTAACATGTGAAAAAAATTACAAAGGCACTAAAATGAAGTGAATTATACAAATTAAAATCACAGATGTTTACCCTGAAATGTTGTGCAGTTCCTCTTTTATTTGCTGCCCTCCGCTCTCATCATCTCTCACTGCCAGGAAAGACTGGACAAAAGAAACCCAGAACAGTACTGCCAGTCCTGTATCCATGGTCAGTTTATACTGAACCTGTGGCTCCAAGTCACTCCCACATCACATCAAATCACTCTCTCTCTCTCTCTCTCTCTCTCTCTCTCTCTCTCTCATAGAGCTGAGCTGCCTCATTTCCTCTCTTTCAGTTGTTGTCCCCTTCGCTCTCTTAAAATCAAGTTTGTTTTATCAGCTCTGATTGAATGTTGCGATGTCATTCCAGTACAATTACTTAGTAGGTGACCAATATCAGAGAATAATGATTTAAGAGAATTCAGGGGAAAAAAAAAACAACTTTTGTTTGCCATAAAACAAAGTAGAGCCGCATGAAAGTTAAGAAATGTTATTGTTGCAAATAAAAATAAAAAAACTAAAGAATAAATGCATCAGAATCAGACATGATTTACACTTAAATCAAAAGAATAAGATGTATATCGAATGAAAATGCTCTCATGAAATGGAATAAAAAGGATTAACAATTTTTTTATTTAAAAAACATCTAAACACAATCACATCAATTGAAAATTTTGACAAAAATAGAGTAGTTTTCTGACACTCTGGAAATCTAGACAGCAACTTGGACAGGAAGAAGAGAGAAGGTTAGAAATACCATGCAGCTTGGGAAATTTTCGCAAATCCTTCTATACTAAGAAGACCTGTGTGAGTGAATTCAATAAATACTAACTTGTGATATGATAATTAAAATTTAAGTATTGGTTCATTTATTTCCTGTTGGAGAAAATCAAAATGTTTACACTGAGTTGGTCATTGGGCATTGCTAACAATAATTAACTACATTAACCCTGTTATTTACATTAGGATGTGAATGTTCTTAAAATTACTCAACATAGAGCCTTCTGTTTTCTTTTTTTTTACTGTTTAATTGAGCTGTGACTGTGTTTAGGGATTTAGAAACAACATCTGTGCTTCAAAAAAAAACCTACAAAAAAACAAGAGTCAATAGCCATGTTATAAGTACAGTAGTAATAAAGCTGATTCTAACATCATGACGCTCTTATGTTCACAGTCCCCAGGCAAGGTTAACATTGACCAGGTTTGTAGTTTTAGTTCAGTTAAAACCAACTTTGAAATTAGTTATTTATCAGATTATTTTAAGAATTAAAATTGCTAGATGAGGATAAAATGATGATTTCATGCATCCCCTGAAACCCTGATCGGAGTTAAGGGTCCAGTATTTGTTCGGATAATATTCTTTCGACCAAAGAAGTCAAACTCAGGAAATCACCAACATAGCCAAGATCCATCCTCTGGGCAACATGGAAAGCTTTGAAAACTTACCAGTGAGGAAAATCTGTCATAACCATCTCCAATGGGGAGCAAGAATTTTTGGATGTTTTTCTAATAGTTTTCCAATTATATAACTAAACTAGACAGGCTAAACTTTGACAGTAAGGATAATATAAGAATCTCCACCATTACTGGTGTTCAGCCCCTGGGGAACAAGGATATCCATGCACAATAGCACAGTGTATCCATTAGTTCAATCAATCAATCAATCAATCAATCAATCAACTTTATTTCTATAGCACATTTAAAAGAACCACAAGGGTAGCCAAAGTGCTGTACAGTGACACATAAAATCAAATAAAACAATCAAAGAACAAGATAAAGCAAGCAGAAATACAGTAATGCAAAAGAATAAATAAGTGTATAAGTAAGGAGGCTCACGGCAAGTGCTAAGATGATAAAAAACAAATGAACACTACAATGTACTAAAAGCCAATGAGTAGTTCCCAGGTTTTCACTACGAAAAAATCAATAAGTTAAAAAATAAATAAAATAATGAAAAAAAAAGGAACTTAAAGTATCAGTCAGAAAGTCTGGAACAGAAAAAATATATATATCTTGTGCAGTGCAGATTTTAGGTTGGTTTAGTCATAAAACAATAAGCCTTACTAAACTGTGCTGGACTGTACTGGAGCCATACTGGACTGTTGCTGCAGACATGAACATCAGCCTCTCTGACATTAATAACAAAAAAATAGCGATAACTACTATTAGGCCTGCTAGCTAAAATCACATTAAATCAATTTAACATTGTCCATCATTACTTATATCCTAATCCTGTAAATTCTCCTTATCCTTATTCCTGTGGATTCGTTTTGTTTCACCATTACATGGGCTGTTGTTGTTGCTGTTGTTTTAATGCTCTCTCTCTCTCTCTCTCTCTTTTTTTTTTTTTTTTTTTTTTTTTTTTTTTTTTTGTTGTTGCCACTGTTACTCATGTTAGATGAGATGGGCTAAATCCCATCTTAGGTTGGGTCTTCATATTTCATCAAACAATGAACGTAGTCTAGACCTGCGTCTTGGAAAGCGTCTTGGGATGACGACTGTTGTGAATTGGCGCTATATAAATAAGATTTTATTTGATTCAAATGATGAAACATGATTTAAAATTTAGTTTTGAAAAAGTATACGAACAGGTTGGACCGACACTCATTTGACGTTGTTTAACACGGACCCTGAAGTAAGACGGACCAGGAAAAACCGTAGGCTAACGTCGTGTTGCAAGAGGAATCTCTGACGTGTACATTTATCTTTGCTTCTGAACAGGAAAACACAAACAAGCTTAAAACATTGCCAGAGATAGCCTAAATTAACGCCCCTGTATATGGCTTTTAAGACAGGGACTCGTTTTATTCTTAACACCGGGCCTTAATTTTACACTTTGGAAATATGGGAATATATTTTAGTCTGAGTTTACGCTCGTGCAGCTATATGTACTCATAGAAAATAAGTATAACTCTTAAGATATGAAGTAATAAACAGACTCTCCATGCTTCATAATACCTGCTTTTGCATCGTATCTCTACTAGAGTTAACAAAATGTCAAGAGTCCTAAATATTCAAAATGTATTAAACGCTCGTTTGACCGGGTTTCAATCCTCGTTACTTTAAGAAACACAGTGACTTCTCTTGATCCAAAACATCTTCGGCACAAAACGACATGAAAATGTCTGAGTGACATTTCCTCAGCACATCATGCAGTCCTGAGCTCTGTCGGACAAACAAGAAAACATGTTAGTTGGAGTCTTTTTGTAGCGTTAAAAGCTCGTTTTCTCTACTTCTACTAATCTAAATAAGACGGGAAAGCTAATCCTATAGCTGGTTAGTTTTCTCATCATGGAGCACCTCAAGGCTTTAAGACTCTTGTTTAACAAATTGTGGATACCTTTAAGATATATCCAGTCCAGACATTGTTTTAATTCAGCTAAAGTCAACCCGAAAACAAGAGAGAGGAGGACAACAACTGTAGAGGAGTTCAAGTCCCAGATATCCTCTGGTCCAAGTTTTCAGGATTTCATCAAAGGAGCTCCCAGTAAAAAGACTTCTGATCTAGATGGACATCTGTTGGACGGACACAGTTATCTGTCTGAGGATTTGGAGCTGGGGAACTCAAGAAAAGGTCAGTTTATATCACTGGAAACTAAATGAATCTGTGTGGTTTGAAGAAGCTCATCTGATGTTTTATCTTAACGATACAGTGTACTTTGAAACCTATGGCTGTCAGATGAATGTAAGCGACACAGAGATAGCCAGCTCCATCCTGCAGGGTAAGGGCTACCAAAGGACAGTGGACCTAAATCAGGTAGGAAACTCTATAGAAATCTAATTCAGGTTTTTTTTCTTCCTTAGATGAACCTTAGAGCTTTTGATTTGATTTAATTTGTTTTGGATCCACTATAATTACAAAACCCAATTCCATTGAAGTTGGGAAATTGTAATAAACGTAAGATATATAATGTTCAAACTCATAAACTTTGTTTTTTTTTTTTTGCAAATAATCATTAACTTTAGAATTTCATGGCAGCAACACGTGACAAAGAAGTTGGGAAAGGTGGCAAAAAATACTGAGAAATTTGAGGAATGCTCATCAAACACCTATTTGGAACATCCCACAGGTGAGCAGGCTGATTGGGAACAGGTGGGTGTCATGATTGGGTATAAAAGCAGCTTCCCCAAAAATTCTCAGTCATTCACAAGCAAGGATGGGCGAGGTTCACCACTTTGTGAACAACTGCGTGAGCAATTAGTCGAACAGTTTAAGAATGTTTCTCAAAGTACAATTGCAGGGAGTTTAGGGATTTCATCATCTATGGTCCATAATATTATCAAGAGGTTCAGAGAATCTGGAGAAATCACTGCATGTAAGTGGCACGGCCAGGAACCAACATTGAATGCCTGTGACCTTCGATCCCTCAGGTGGCTATGTATCAAAAACCGACATCAATGTGTAAAGGATATCACCACATGGGCTCAGGAACACTTCAGAAAACCACTGTCAGTAAATACAGTTCGTCGCTACATCTGTAAGTGCAAGTTAAAACTCATTTATCAAAAAACATCCAGAAACGCTGCCGGCTTCTCTGGGCCTGAGCTCATGCAAAGTGGAAAAGTGTTCTGTGGTCTGACGAGTCCACATCTCAAATTGTTTTTGGAAATAGTGGACGTTGTGTCCTCTGGGCCAAAGAGGAAAAGAACCATCTGGACTGTTATCGACGCAAAGTTCAAAAGCCAGCATCTGTGATGGTATGGGGGTGCATTAGTGCCCAAGGCATGGGTAACTTACACATCTGTGAAGGCAACATTAATGCTGAAACATACAGGTTTTGGAGCAACATATGCTGCCATGCCAAGCCACATTCTGCACGTGTTACAACAGCGTGGCTTTGTAGTAAAAGAGTGCAGGTACTCGACTGGCCTGCCTGCAGTCCAGACCTGTCTCCCATTGAAAATGTGTGGTGCATTATGAAGTGTAAAATACGACAACGGAGACCCCGGACTGTTGAACAATTGAAGCTGTACATCAAGCAAGAATGGGAAAGAATTCCACCTTCAAAGCTTCAATTAGTCTCCTCAGCTCCCAAACGTTTATTAAGAGTTGTTGAAAGGAAAGGTGATGTAACACAGTAGTAAACATGCCCCTGTCCCAACTACTTTGGCACGTGTTGCAGCCATGAAATTCTGAGTTAATCATTATTTGCAAAAAAAAAAAAAAGTTTATGAGTTTGAATTGAATATAGGTTGAAAAGGATTTGCAAATCATTGTACTCTGTTTTTATTTACGTTTATCACAATTTCCCAACTTCAATGGAATTGGGTTTTGTACAACAAGATATTAAAGTAACTATTCTTCCTGGGGTCCATGTCTTCTTTTCAATTTTACATTTTTAACTTAGCTTTCTGTGTGTTAACAGGCAGATGTTGTCCTTCTGGTAACATGCTCTGTAAGGTAAAATCCTTTTATGTATTCAAAGTCTAAAAATATCATATTTTTACTGGTTGCATTGTTGTTGACAAAGACAGTTTTACTTTTGCAAATCCAGATCACTAATGTTGTCATATGAGGTTTTCATGAGTTCACACACTCCATGTCATTTGGACACATTTGGATATTTACAATCTTTCATTTACAGAGAAAAAGCAGAGCAAACTATTTGGAATAGACTTCAACAACTGACTGCTATGAAGAAGAGACGATTAAAGACCCAAGCGCCAATGAAAATTGGAATTTTAGGTGAGTGTATTCATCATTGTTAACCCATTTAAACATGTTACACAGCGGGTTATAAAGACGTGTGGATACGTGCACTTAGGATGTATGGCAGAGAGGCTGAAGACAGAGCTCTTGGAAAGGGAGAAGCTTGTGGATGTTATTGCTGGACCAGATGCCTACAGAGACCTTCCTCGTCTGTTGGCTGTGGCTGATGGAGGTCACCAGGCGAGCAATGTGCTGCTGTCTTTAGAGGAGACCTATGCAGACGTCATGCCTGTGCACCGTACTACTCAGGGATACAGTGCTTTTGTGTGAGTGTGTCAGTTGTTCCTGTTTCTTTTTTTTTGCCTACCATCTCCTCCTGATTTTTAAAATAATACTGTGGTTATAATTTTGTGTTATTGATCTTTGGTGCCTTCAGGTCCATCATGAGAGGCTGTGACAACATGTGTAGCTACTGCATTGTTCCCTTCACCCGGGGCAGAGAGAGGAGTCGACCCATCAGCTCCATACTTGAGGAAGTTCGGATACTCTCTGACCAGGCAAGTCACCGCGAAGTCTTTACGAGGTTAAGTTGGTTAGTAAGTTAGTAACATGCATCAGTGGCTGATGTTTTCCTTTTCCCGTGTTTCTTCAGGGTGTTAAGGAGGTAACTCTTCTGGGTCAGAACGTAAACAGCTACAGAGACACCTCAGAAGAACAATCCTGTGGAGCAAACGTGACCCAGCTCAGCCAGGGATTCAAGACCATCTACAGAACAAAACAGGGAGGTCTGCGTTTCTCTGACCTGCTGGATCGAGTGTCACGCATCGATCCTGAGATGAGGATCAGATTTACTTCCCCTCATCCCAAGGATTTTCCTGATGAGGTTTGTGATGTAATTCATTTTGGTGTAGGTAGAGAAGCAGTTTCTAAGACACAGTCCAGCAAGGTCTGAATCTCATCGTACTCCAGCAATGGTTCTGATCCAACAGGTCACAAATACGGATCATTTTTCTCTTTGATCCAACAAAGTCCTACTGCTTGCTGTGTAAAGTGAACTTGGTGGATGGAAGCTTTCTGATCAGCTGCATGTTGTGGTGCTCACAGGTTTTGCAACTGATTGCTGAGCGGGGAAACATTTGTAAGCAGATTCATATCCCAGCCCAGAGTGGGAGCAGCAAAGTCCTCAAAACAATGCGTCGTGGGTAAGAGTCAAAGCAGGCTTTTTTTTCTTACTCCATCATTGTGAATTTAAGGGAGGCTGGTTGTTAAGGCTCATTTATGTTCGCCATATGTATGAAAATATACGCGTCCGTTTCAAATGACGGTTCCGTCATTGCCCACATACTTCCATGCGTCCTTTACGTTCGCATTGATGTTAACCATTACATCCACCAGGGGGGGCAGGCTGGAGTCAAAAGTTTCTGCCTCACGGTTGGAAGATGGAGAATTCTTTTCTCTAGTCGTACCGATGAGAGAAATTGACAACAATCCTCAAAAATCCCTGTCATTGTCTTCTTCGTTTCTCTCTAGAGATGCGGATCTGGTGGGCGACAGCAGCAACACTGCCCCCACAGTCTCTGGTGGTACTGCCCCGCCCGACCCGTATCCGTAAACTTCAAGGATATGTGCAGAAATACGGACAAAGAGAATGCAAAGCATGGACATAGAGCTATTTCCGTACCTGGATCCGTATGTAACATTGAGCATAAATGAGCCTTTATGGATCTTTATCATGCCCCCAAAAGGAGCTTGTTCATGGTCCTAGATGGAGATGAACGCAGTTCTTGAAGAGCTTGGAGGAGGGACATGTGGGATTGTTTTCTTGAGAACAGTGATCTCTTATCTTGTGCCTCTGTTGAGTGAAGTAGATTCATGACGATGGAGATATAGGACAGGATTTATCAATGAAAAGAAAGCATTGTTATGATGTATTGTTATAATACAGGGCTCTAATAGCCTCCATTGCACAAAAGTAGCTTCTATCGTCATGAAGTCTTCTTTCAGATTATATGTACAAGAGTTGTATGATTAAATTAAATACGAAAAGACTATTTGTACAATGTCCATTTGTTCAACTAGTTACTGTCAGTTTTGTACTGAAGAAGTTATATAAATGTATTTTATTCAAAACAAAGTATCTGTAGTTGAACAGTTTTTTTTTTTTATTATTGCATCGCCGTCATTTCCAGCTTAAATTGTCTCAATACTATCTGGAGATGACCTGATAGCAAAGTTGTTTTATAATGTCCAGAAAAAAGTTACAATGAGTTTTTTCTATTGATTTGTCATTTTTACAGCTACACGAGAGAAGCATACCTCAATCTTGTGGACAACATCAAGAGGATTATTCCAGGTAAACTATCAGTAGTTTTTTTTGTTGTTGCAGCATCCTTTGGTGCATATTCTCAGTTTCATACTGCTCCTGAGGCTGCAGCCAGTGATGTGTGAGTTAGATGTAATCTGAATGATAATAAGATCTTTCCTGTTCCATAGCAGTCTATGTTTTCAGCACTCTGTGTGGTTTGTAGAGAAAGTGTGGAAAGAAACTCAGCTATGAGAATGCTACAATAGTTTGCAGGAGTCTGAGTCTGTGCACACCTCCTTTACCTATTATAGCCGAATGGAATTAACCAGAGGAGGACCAAATCTAGGTGATGGCACAAAGATGATGTTCAGTTGTGGTAGTCATCTGTCCGAATCTTATTCTTACAAATGTTGCTTCAGGTCCAACTTCTCTGCTCATTCAAGGATCTCTGTAGACAGTCCACAAATCCTCTTTGCTGCTTAAACATTTTGCATGGCAGCAGATTTTTGTGACCTCACTAACCACAGTTTTGGTTTTAACATTATTTTGACATCATAGAGCATTTAAAGGGATATTTCAGAAAAATTTAAGTTATGGTCAAATACACCGTCACACCGAGTTAGACACCCCCTCGAGAGATGAATGTAACCGACTGCTTGCTTCTCTAGTTATACCAACTTTAGTAACGACCGCACGATAGCAATACACGGCGGTCTACGTCTCCACGTGCAAATCACAAATAATGCTCTGAACAGCACCTAACTTCATCAACAGTACATATAGGGTCCCAGCCATAGTACTAGCCATCAAACATCTTTTTAGCTTTGCTTGGTTTCTTTAGCAAAGAGACTAAACACAACTCACCCACTCTCCTCCAGCAGCCGCTTGTTTGTGCGGGGAGCCCTGACAAGTCGATCACTGAGTGCAGCGGAGTTTCACAGCTCAAGGAACAACATTTATGATTATAACTTCAAGGAAATGCAATCACACTGAGACGCTAATGCAGAAGAACTACCACGTCTGCAGTGCAAAATGATTATTAAATGATTATTATGATGATTATTACTTCATGGAAATGATCCGTGTTTGACCCTAATTTAAAGTTACGCCGGAATATCCCTTTAAAGCTTCAGTGAGGAGCTTTTTCAACGGTTATGAAACAGACCAAAATGAACAGTGATTTATCTAATTCCAACAAAAACATTCTCCATATTGAAATTTTCAGTGAAGAAGTAGGTACACTAAAGAAACAGCACATTTTAACAGCGAGTGATATGTTTCGCTGTTAAAAGACAACAGGAACAGACTAAAAAGTCTTTAACAAAGCTGAGATGAAATCAGCAACAACAACAAGGTTACTACTTTGACCTCAGAGGGCGCCCTAATCAACACAGGCAGAAAGCTGAATCAGACTCTGGCCATGATTAAATGGGTCTGGAAATGAAGGATTATTTTGAAATTTCACATTTAGGTATGCACTTGAACCAGTGAAAGGTTTTTGTCTGCACCTCTCACTTCCTCTGGCATACAGCAGTTTGATACACAGCACCTTAACGAAACTTTAACAAGCAGCCAAACTGATTTTCACCAAGAAGAACTGGCGTCAGTTTGCTCATTTTGATGAAGACTTGTTTGGTCTCTGTTGAATTTTCATTCCATGTCTGAGTGACAGGGGTGAGTCTTAGCAGTGACTTCATCTCAGGCTTCTGCGGAGAAACAGAAGAAGACCACCAGCAGACTTTGTCTCTGATCAGGAAGGTGGGCTATAATGTGGGGTTCCTGTTTGCCTACAGTGTGAGAAAGGTGAGCTTTGAGCACTTCAATACTGTCACTATTTTTTTAAAGAATAAGAATATCTACGCCTTTATTTCGAGAATGGTTTCCTTCTTTATCTTTGGTTCTCAAAATGTCACTATTCCTGCTTTTGTGATTTTTGTACTCAGAAAACCCATGCCTATCATAGGCTAGAAGACGATGTACCACCAGAGGTGAAGAAGCGGAGGCTGGAGGAGTGTATCAGTGTTTTCAGAGAGGAAGCAGCCAAGGTTAACGCAGCCCTCATTGGGAGCACACAGCTTGTCCTGGTGGAGGGAGTGAGTCCAGCACACATCCTCTTTCACAGAGTGCCGATTGACTCACTGTTATCTGTTCGCTCTGCTCATCTGTTCTTTGAATTTTTCATACAGGAAAGTAAACGGTCCACACAGGACCTGTGTGGGAGGACTGATGGGAATATGAAAGTGATATTTCCCAAAGAAGATGTAGCTGTCCAACCTTCTGAATTAAACTCTGCTCCCATCAGTGCTGGAGAGTATGTGCTGGTAAAGGTAGGGTTTGATCCACTTTGTTTACACACACACTTCATTCAACAGTTGTCTCTTGTGTTACCAGTGGATTTAAGTTTACAGCAGATAGTCGTGTTGTAAATATTAGGATAAGCATAAGGTGAGGTATTGGATGTGTTAAAGTGTTAAATTCCCACTCCGATCTTTTTTATTTATTTATTTATTATTCATTTTTTTATTTTTTTACTATTTATAGTGTTATACTTATAAGTTTTTAGCCAAAATCCCGTTACCTGTGTCATTTTCAAGGGCTTTTCTTCTGCAGAGCTTCAGCAGATCATTTCTTGCTAATATCATAATTAGCTTTCTTACGAGCATTGCAATCTGCTAACACACATGCTTGTTCTGCGATTGTCCTCTCTATTTTTCTGAGTCTGGCCTGCATAGTGGGGCTTTGGGGGCGGAGCCTGGATTTGTGACATAGGAAATCTCACTGGTCTGAACATGCTGTCTGGGTCTGCCAGAGATTCACAGCGATTTGAATGCAGAAATACTTAGAAATACAATTTTGCGCTTCCTTTTTTCATGATATGTCATGTAGCATCAGGAAAAATGCTATATTAACATGTAGACAACAAGAAAAACATGATTTTCATCAGAGTGGGTCTTTAAAGCCATGTAGGAAGCATTGTTGCTAAGCACTAGGGCTGGGCGATAAACCTAAAATTTACAGATAGCGAAATTTACGACAATAGTTATCGTCCATTTATCGTTATCGAGGTGAACTGCTCAATATATCGTGATATTGATTTGAGGCCTTATTGCCCAGTCCTACTAAGCACACAGCAATTCTTATAACAGTTACTGTTTTTTTTAATAATCTGAATACATGCACTTCAGTTGCATTTCTATTGTAAATAAAGTCAAAGGGCCTGAAACACACATTCTCAATCACATAAAATACTTTTTATTCAATACAAAATCTTTAAAAAAAATCCAGAAATGGTCAAATTTTGTTTCAAATATATGTTTTTAAAAAGAGATTGGATTTGGGAGAACATTTTTTCAAGAGTATTTATGATCCAATGCTTTCTGTTTTTTTTTCTGTATTGTAGATACTGTCTGCCACCTCCCAGAGCCTGAGAGGTCGAGCCCTCAGCCACAGCACGCTGGGAAGCACGATGAAGCACAGTGGGACTCTCCCTGGCAGCCAGCTTTATGAAGAGTTGTCCTCAGATAAAACCATGACTAAGACCTGATTGACACAGCTGACACCAAGAAAACAAACTTGTACACTGCCGTCCTCTATTAAAGGACTTTAAGACACACTGAGGGAGGATGGTCCTCCTGAACATTTAGTTCCACAGCCTGATTAGACAACTGTAAAGAGTGTTATTGTTATTGTTAATATATTTGGATGATAGTAAATATTTGATACAATCTGCTGTGTTTAATGAGTCTTTCCTAAAGTGGTCTGGATTGATTGATGTCTTCATTCTTTTCCTTGGACTTTTCAAACTGCAGTAAAAACTTAATGAATCAACACAGTACAATTGCTCTCTTGGTTACAGAGTCATAAACTTTGAGGAAGAATTTAACACAGGGCAGCAGTGGAAATTGCTGTGATCTACTTTTGAAGGAGAAAGTTATTGCAAAAAAAATAAATGATAGTTGGGGACAAACAGAGCCCTGGTGCTCACTGAGCGTCCTATTATGACACATCTGCTATGAGAGAAAAGTTAGTGCCACCTCCCCCATCCGTATTGAAAAAGCAGTTTGAGTTTGTTACCAAACAGAAACAGACATATTTCCCCTGGGGGAGGTGAATGAGGTTTGTACTTGATTGCATTTCTTTAAATATTTTATGTCAGGTTGTTTTAGTTTGACCGTCATCGAGTCTTTATGGTGGCCTGGTGCAGAATCCAGGGAGTGTCCAGGAATGTATTTCAACCAGTGAACTGAACATCCGTACCAATCAGCATGTAGTCCTGGAGAAACAGAATGAGCAGAACCAGCAGTCAGTAGAAACATGCGTCTCTATGTTTCACACTACTGCAGTAAAATGAATGTGGCTTGTTAAAAAAACAAACATGCAATTTGATAGAAAACATTGAGTCTCTGACCTTCAGGACCTGAAGCTGGGCGTTCACAAGCTTCATTTTTCCAAGTGTAGGGAGTGGGTACCCCTTTGCAAGTTTAGCTATGATGCAAAATTCAAATGTGTAGGTGAAACCCGTGACATAAAATACAACAAAAATTATTGTGATATAGTGACATGGTCCCATTTTTACGAAAAATAATTAGTGCCACATGAAGAGAAAAAAAAATAATTGCAGGAAGGAAATTAAAGTCAAAATTTCGAGATTAAAAAAATCGAAATTATGTCAAATCGAAATTTCGGGATTAAATATTGAAATCATGTCAATGAAGTCAAAATTTTGAGATTAAAGTCAAATTCATGATTACAAAGTGTTGTGAATAATATCGAAATTTCGAACTGAAAAATTTTAAATAAAGTTGAAATTTCACGATTACAAAATGTTGAAATGTCGAAATTACAAAAATTAAAATGTAAAGATTAAAGTCAACATGAATAAAGAAGAAATTTCGACTTTTTTAAATTTCAACTTTAATCTGGAAACTTCGACTTTAATCTTGAAATGGAAATTTAAAAAATCTCCCTCTTATAATTATATTTTTTTCTTCTTGTGGCCCTAACCATCTTTCAAACATTTTTGAAATGATTCACATTTTCCTTGTCAAACAAAACCCAAACATGGACATTTCTGGAGAAAATACAACACCGCCAGTGCCTTCATACATTTCGTGGTGTGGATAGTAGTAGTGGAATAACAGTCGACTCCAAACAGACTTCAAACAATTCCATTCTGGCTGTTTCAAATCAAGGTGTAATTCTGCTCAAGTAAAACTAGTTAACTCAAAAATCGACGAGAGTCTAAAGCTAACCCTTAAGATAACTGTTCATAAACTGTATTTACTGGAAATCCAGAACTCACCGTTCAGTTTAGGTATCACTACCACCTTGAGGACCATTTGGAAGATGTTGTCGAGGGGCCTAACCTGCAGGTCAGAGGTCAGAGTAAGTGTGTACGCTCTGTTATGATGATTCACTCTGTGACTCATGTTAGACTGCAGCTCTCACCTGAAAGTCTCCAACATAACTGGTCCCCAGAGTCAGGTCCATCCTGTGCAAATTAGAGGGAATTATTCTGTGACGCTCATCTTTACAAAGACCTTTTGGCCCCGTTTTTCTCTTCTGAAGCACGCAGTGATTTTTTTTAGTAACTCACTTGTTTAGGGTGACAGATCCAGCGATGCTCATTCCACTCACGAACACTTTGGCGCTGACACTGCTGTCCTGTAGAGACAGTATGGCAGTATGACAGTTTTAGTGCTCTTTATTAAACACACACACACGCACACACAGGTTTTCATCATGCCAGCTGTATCACCCACCAGGTTAAGAACGAAGAGGGGGGTGAGTGTGGCGTTGGGTTGGATGGCGTAGGCTGTGACTGTGCCGGCGGTCTGAATAGTGGCGTTGTTGGGTTCAAAAGTGATGACAGGACTTTTTACAGTCTTTACCAGCAGTTTCATCAACAGACCTGGGAAGCTTTTGGCAATCTGAAAACACACAGACATATAGCTGACAAACTGATAATGCTTCTTATAATGTGGACATGAAAATGTATGTAGCTACCTGAGGGACGAACGCTCCAAATGTCCTGGTGTTGAGTCTGATGGGAGAGCTTTTGGGGACCTGTTGTAACAGAGTCAGACATGTCAAAAGATCGGTGCAGCATTATGAACACAGCAAAAACGAGGAATCATGAGGAGGCCTCTAACCATGTCATCTGTGATGTAGAGACTGAGGACTCCTGCTTTGTTGTAGACAAAAGCTGCAGAGTTGGCAGTGAAGGTAGACACACCGATGTATAACATGTTGCTGACTTCAGGAGGCAGAGAAAAAGCAGAGGGGGCGAATGGAGGCTCCTGATGCATGGCGATGTTGTAAAACTCACCCTAAATGAGAGAGAGAGAGAAAAAAACACCCCAAACAGAGAGGCTGTCACATCACTATAGCTGACCACTCCCTAAGGGTCAGAGTATGTGCTGCATAATTCTGTTTACCTTCAAGCTGAAGTCTATCGACGACTTTGACACTGTGGGCGATGACACCATGGAATATTCAATCTCTGCATACTGGTCTACTTTAGCCAAGACTGCAAGACATTGAAAAAGCCTGTCATAAACTCTGCATCAGTAAAATATCAAAAGATTACAGTTATTATTATTATTTTTACCATTCAGAGTTTTCAATTTAGGATTCAAGTCAGACACAGCATCAGCCACCAGAGGGCAGATCTGCAACATCAAGAAACAGACGCCTTCAAGAGAGGAAGTGATCAGGAGAATAACAGTCTTTACACTCATGAATTATGGATATAAATCCCCTGAGGAATTTCAACAATGAGAAAATAATTGAGAACATTACACAGAGAAGTTTATAACTGAATATTTTGAGTCCATGTCAGAATCTTTAATCAAACTAAGTCACTGAAATCCACCCGTGAGCTTCTTATAAACTGGTTGATTTGTTATTTTTCTACTACATTACACACCTTGCTTCGGGTGGACGTAATGAATATTTTACACCGACCTGTCATAAGCTACTCCACAGAATAGCATACTTTAGAAACTTTAGAAACTTTGTGTTATTAGCTCAAAGAATACAACATGTACTGTTCGAGATAAGACCAGAGGCCTCCAGTGGAGTTTGGACATCTTCCACATTTCTGATGTATTTGAGATGTTGGCAGCATGTACGTTTACAGTGTACAAACAAGACTAAAAAGTTCAGTTTAGCCCCATTGATCAGCTTGTGACTCCTGAATTTAGCTGGTGAAACGTCTTTACAATCATACTGTAAGTATGCACAACAACAATACAACTTTAACACTGATGTAACTGATGTATAATGACTCTAAATACCAGTGTGATTATTGTCACGTGGAAAATACTTTCACTTTTAATACCAATGAACTGTTTGAATTTTAACCAGTTGCAGAAGGACAGTAGAGGGCGCAAAGGCACCACCCGCCACAATGAGTTTTATACATTTATCTAAAAGAGGTGAATGTAAACACACGTATCCTTGAAAGCAAAATGAAAAAGCTGCAGTTTTCATTTGCCAGTTGTTGATTTGTTCTTTTATGCAAGGACTACTACCAGTCACGTATTTCAGGTGTTGTTGCAGGTTTGAACAAGAGTGTTTTGGGTAAGAATCACGGCGCGTGAATATCTCCCCCATGGCTCCCCCAGATTCTTAAACCTGGAACATTTTGTTACACCCAGCTGCAGGATGACTAAGAATAACTCAAGATAACAGAAGGACAGATTAAAACACATTGTCCAAGGCTGGTTTGCTCTCACCTGTTTCTGCAGAGCATTTCGCAAACCCTTTTCAATGAATGTGGTGAAGAGATTGTACAGCCAGCTGAAATAAAAAAGGAACCACAGGAATGAGAGAAGTCTGCAGTGAATCAAACACGTCAGATAAGACTGAGAAGTCAGAATCTACTCCCTCAAATAAAGTGCGGAGGAGGGTCACTTCACCTTGCTCCACCGTGAAATTTGATGCTGGTGCTGCTGACCGAGGCTGCACAGTTGATGTTAGAGACTGATGGCCGGCCTGTCTCATCACTCTTGATAGCAATACTTGTGATGACAGTGAGTCCTTTTACGGTTAAATCAAAAGAGCCATGGTCCTTCCTTAAAGACAGAAGGTCACTGTTGTGTTATGGGTATCGCAGGAAAAAGCAGCTCTACATTCAGGTCAACTTACATAAATTTGAGGTACTTGACCCTCCAGTCTCCATCCATACTGATAAAGGCATTGCTAATGGCCAGTCTGACACCAGTCCCTGGCACCAGATCCACCTCAAACTGTGGTAATCCAACATCCCTTATTTTCATGCTAAAAGAAACGACACGTGTCTTAGGAAAGGTCACAGAGAAAAACTTGTTTCTGACAGAGGTGGGAGGATTGGTAGTCGCCCTACTTTGACAAGCTGTACTGGACCTTGCCGATGGGGGGCACCTTCTCAGCTCCTGAAATATCCGGAACTGTGATGGTTTTCAGCTTTTGCTGGATTGAAGCTACTCCCAGTTGTCTGCCTAAAAGGTAAGAGATTGTGTTTATGAAACTCTGGGGAAAAAAAAAAATAAAAAATAAAAACAATGATGCTTTTCAACTAAGAAAAACCTGCAACTTACCATATTCAAGACCTTTCTCTGTTAGCTTGACCACCACTCCAGGATTGGTGCTGAAACTTGACGGGATTAAAGCCACCAAAGCCAGAAAGCAGCACAAAAACATCTTGACTGTTTGAAGATATAAAGCACAGGTTAGTCAGACTTACTACTTCATACATTTATGGGTGAGGGGATTCCAGGGATAACACAGGGGTCCCATGATCATGCCAGTGTTTACCCACCCCCTTACCCAATCCCACATGTGGATTTTTGAGGCTGGGACAGGTGTCTATAGAGTATAAATATTCTGTTTTTTTATTTATACTTTTGTTGATAAAACCACATGAATTATATTGAATTTATTATAGATTTATTTTTTCCATTTCCATTTTATGAAACAGTGCAGGGAGAGGCAAATAACCACAGTGGACTTATTTGAAGCTTCCACCTATAATAGCCTAATATTGATATTACAATTTAAAGTACAAAAGCACAAGATAACATGATAAAAAAGAATAAAAATAATAGTGATTGACAACAATAGTATAGAGAAAATTAGACTTTACAATAAGTTGTTTTTCATGTACAATCAAACTCCTATGCTGATACAGCAAGCTAAATGTTGATTGACAGGTGTGGGTTTAAACACAAAAATGGTTACAAGCATCTCCTTACATCCTCCTATTTACATTTGGTTAGATTTAATGATGTTTCAGGATGCTCACAGTGTAAAATAACAGACTGGCGGGGGTGACTGCTATCATTTAAAAAGATTCTAAAAAAAAAAACATCTCGAGGTGACAAATAATGTCATGTCCAATTATTCTCAAATATGAATTATGTGATGATAAAAACTGTAATTAATCAGTTAAAATTATAGACTACTACCACTAATGCATGACTCATTAAATACTCAAAACAGCATTTTTACTGCACACTGCCTAACTCAGTACGACACCATGAACACCATAATAATGCACACTTTGACTTATGTGGTACCGCTCTGAGATCTAATTCAATACCATGATCAAACCTTTGTCATTTACACAGCTAGGTTGTTTAAATAAATCTGTACTGTGCTCATTATTCTAGTGTATGCATCTGAAAACATTTTCACATACTTCTGAGTCAAAGTGAAAGCAGATGTTGATTGTGGTCACACCCACATGCACAGACAGATCAGCATGATTGCGTATTGTTATTTTATAACATTACAGCTCAGATGCAGATCACATGGTGTGGTCTCTGTCTTTGCATCTTCTGGCGATTTGTTGCACACCGCAGCGTGTGTTATAAACTACCCTGCTAGTGGGGACGGATGATAGAAAATAAAACCCTCTTTTTGACATCAGCTGACAATTCTTACAGAGGACTGAAATGGGTTTTCTTTTTTAGTAAACAAATGTGAAAAACTTCACTTCAAAATTTGAAGTTTATTTATTGTTTTCACTGTAAACATCAAACCCAATCCTGATTAGTGGATTACTGCACCCCTACCAACAAAAGTATACTTTAAGGACATTTTATGAAGTATACTTAAGTTCATTTTAGTATACTTATGTATCAGTGGATGAAGTAAACTTTGTACACTGATACAAATATACTAGCAGTGTACTTACAAGTAAACTTCTTGGAACTAAATTGGCTCAATTTTAGTTCATGAACGTATATTTGAAGCATACGTAAAAGTAAACTTCTTGGTATATCATTAGTTTACAAGTAATAAACTTCTAGTCACCCTTAAGTTTGTAAAATTGCACTTTAAAGCATACTACATTTTTTCTGTGCACTCGCTCAAAGTACATTTAAAGTTACCTTTAAGGTATGCTATTATTTCAATAGTAGTATATATCTTTATATACTTAGCTTATATCGCTGATCTTTTAAAGAGTATACTATATAGGTGTATACTCTTAGATAAGATCTCTTAGATAGATAAGCAGTACAAGCCGCAGATACTTAAATCTAAGGCACAAATACATACTGAGTATAAGCCAAGTACACTTAACATTAACGCCGTTAAGTATATCTCTGAAAAGTGCATAAAAAGTAAACTGAAAGCATACTTAGTTTAAACACGGTATACTTGAAGTACACTTCAACATACTTCTCTTTGGTAAAGGTAAAAATACTGTTGTAAGTGGTAGTAGTCTGTAACTATATCTGCAGTGGATCAAAATGATTGTAATTCTCTCCTAAAACTGTGTGTTTCAGTTAACGTGAACTCTAGAGTACCAGGAACTGTACCTAAATACCCTCACCACCGCAGCCTGAGTCAGGGAGTCCTCTGACAGTGAAAGAGCTGTCTGTTAGGAGCGAACCACATGACCACACAATTAAATTAGGCGGAGATTTAAGGCACATTTAGTCCATTTTGAATCAGTGTAAAAATCCCTCATATCGTGGATACTCAAATTTCTCTCTGGGGAAGTCACGTCATTGTGTGTAAAGATATGTATGAAGCAGTCCAGTGTCAGCAGATGTAGGCTAATGTCAGTCACAAGCTGCTTTTCCATGATTATGAGCTCTATCAATCATCAAACAAACATACATAAACAGAATCAGTGGTACGAGTCGGCTAAAAAAAAAAAAAAAAAAAAAAAAGAGTTTAAGACATGTGACTTGGTGAAAAGTTTTCCAAATCTCTGGCTCTTGTTAAACTTTAGTATAAAGGTGTAAGAGATTCTGGTCACTACTGAAATCATGTCTGACTCAGAATTCAGGCAATGGTACTTAATTTTGGTCTGATCCTACATTTTAACAAATAAAGTTGCATAAATCTTTCTAAAGTGCTTTGGAGTCTCTGAACACAGTTGCTCATCATGGTGTACCTCTTGTCTTTCTTATAATTTCTTTTGTACAATAACAAAAATCCCTCACAACTTTTGACTACAGAAACACGACTTTTCAAAACGTACAGCTACAGGAGCAGAAATCTACTCAACAAATCAGAATCATGGGATCACTTTCAGAGAGGTCTGAAATCACCTTCTGTTGCAAACATGTTCAGACACAACAAATGAGATGTTTTTTTGTTTCCTTACACATTTCTCTGTTTACTGATAAAGTTACATCTGTTGTGAAAAAAAAACAAAAAACGCATGATTAATAAAAGATAAGCTTCCCACCCCTTTAATCTGTTTCTAAAAACACTGAACTCTTTCACGCTTACCTGAAGCTGTGGTCTGTCCGGTTCCTCCTGATATGTTAGTTTGTCTGCCAGAGAGGCAGAGTGAAAGAGGAAGGCAGGCACACGGCCTCTGATATACTAACTCAATAAGGAACTGAACTAGGGAACTACTTCAGACACTGAAACTCAACATTTGCCTTATCTTCACTGCCTACTGACCTGCTCTTTCATTGCTTCCATTCCAAAATCATCAAATACTAACAGTAATGTAAAAATGGTTATTTTCACAGAAGGCAAACTTAAACAACCTCCCACGACATTTTATCAGTCAAACATTTTTCTGAGCATATTTGTCGCCTGAGCATGATGAAAAAGAAACATAGTCTATCACCCAAACATGTTTTTCTTGAATAAATCTGCGTGAATCATTGCTGGCGGATCCCCATTTAAATAGACCTGCATTACAACTCTCCAGTTACACCACAAACTTTTCTTGATCTATTTTGTTTCAGAACATTTCCATCTGCAGCTGCTCTGTTTGGGAGAAAAGTCAAATCAAAACTGAATATATAATTATTAATTTTTTTAATCTCCTCCTCTTAATAAGGATGGAGCAACCCGACAGTCATAATCTACAGTCATTCTTGCAGGACATTTTTTACAACATAACAGCTAAAGGTTCCTGTTGACGTTTCACAATGCAAGAAGTTCCTGAAACGCCTTTTGGAGCATATTTCCTCTGTGCTTTCCAAGCACAAGAGGAACCCTTTGTGCTGTAATGTAGTCTTACATATGTATCTCTGTGTTGACATGCCAATAAAGTATTTTGAAATGGATGTAAGGTAATGTAAGACATTTGAGGGTAAACTGTTTGTGAGGAGTGTCATCACAACTTTCTCCTGCTGAACACTTCTGTGCAAATGCCGTTTTCATGAAATTGACAAAATCATGAACAGCAAGCATCTCCTAAACTCCCCAAAAGGTTCCACCGAGATTTGAACTCGGATCACTGGATTCAAAGTCCAGAGTGCTAACCATTACACCATGGAACCACCTTGACACTGCAGTGGAGCATGTTTCTTGATTAACCTCAGTGTACACACTGTTTAGCAGAACAAACTTTATTGAAGCCTCCAAGCCACCACTAAGTATACGTTCACACTGCAGGCAAAAGTGGCCCGAATCTGAATTCTTGGGGGTCAAGTGACCAGGTCAAATTTTTTAGAGGCAGTATGAACAGCTATCAGCCATTGGAGCTGCTAGATAGCTATCAGGAAGCAAGCGAGTAGTAGCCCAAATCCCAGAGGAGCAGATAAAGTTTAGCAAAAAACCTAGATGTAATACTGCCTTCCTCAATGTTTACATTTGTGCAGATGCAACAGCGTGCTGCGTGCCATTTGGCATGCACATGGGGAGCCCCTTCAGTGGCCTGTTGCACGCCAATGTGATCGTGATGACAACTCTTTCAGCAAGCCCTCCAGTGGTTCCATGGTGTAATGGTCAGCACTCTGGACTCTGAATCCAGCGATCCGAGTTCAAATCTCGGTGGGACCTGCATTTAGAGTGTCTCACAAAGGTGCTTGGACTCATGGAAGGCCAGCAAGACAGGCACCCACCACCAGTGAGAGCCCTTCCAAGGTTGCCAAATCATCTGCCCCACTTTAAGGATCCCGCCTTGCATTAGGCGTGCCATTTCTGTTAGCAGCGCAATGGTTTTGAGTGTATTGTTGCTGAGAGTCACCATCGAAACGCTAAACCCTGCCTTAGCTGCCTATAGAGTGCGCATGATTCATGGGAATTTTGGTAGGGACCATTGATTGGCTGCAGAGACCCATTCTGGAAACCATGTGTGAAGCAAAGCATTTCACAATTCTTCACTTTGCGCGTGATAGCCAAAGAGCAAGATGGCAGCTGAGACTGAAAGTGTGTCTTAAACTACCCACAAGGTTCCACCGAGATTTGAACTCGGATCACTGGATTCAAAGTCCAGAGTGCTAACCATTACACCATGGAACCACTTTGACACTGCAGCAGAGCATGTTTCTTGATTAACCTCAGCGTACACGCTGTTTAGCAGAACAGACTTGGTAGAACTAGAATATAACATTCAGGAGTTTAAGTGTGTGTAAGGGCCATTTGTTTTTTGGCCCTAGTGGGTAGATACTAAAATGCACTGGTTGAAAGTATTAGAGAAGGAGGAGGAAAAAGATATTTGGGAATTTTTGACTTTCACAAGCAAGGATTCGATTCAGACACCTCCTCTTCGGCCTGCAGCCACCTTTTGATCAGCTGTATGGTGCTGGCACCAGTATCCTCATTTTCACAGACTGTAGCTTTAAGAGAGAGTTATTTAGACAAAGCTAGTTTTTAAGACGTTTTAACGAAAGGTGCTTAAATGAATGACACTCTTTTCTGTTGGATGAAATATCAAAACCAAGGCCACTCTTCAGCTTTTGTTTGTCAGGAGAAAAACGAGTCTGGTTACTATTTTTTTTTACCTCTTTCCAACAGTCCTCCAGTGGTTCCATGGTGTAATGGTCAGCACTCTGGACTCTGAATCCAGCAATCCGAGTTCAAATCTCGGTGGGACCTGCATTAGAGTGTTTCTCACAAGTGCTGAGACTTGTGGGTGTCCAGCAAGACAGGCACCCGTCACCATGAGAGCCCTTCCAAGGTTGCCAAATCATCTGCCCCACTTGAAGGATCCTGCCTTGCATTAGGCTTGCCACTTCTGTTAGCAGCGCAATGGTTTTGAGTACATTGTTGCTGAGAGTCACCATCGAAATGCTAAACCTACTTAGCTGCCTATAGAGTGCGCATGATTTATGGGAATTTTGGTAGGGATCATTGATTGGCTGCAGAGACCCATTCTGGAAACCATGGGTTAAGCAAAGCATTTCACAAGTCTTGACTTTGCGCGTGATAGCCAAAGAGCAAGATGGCAGCTGAGACTGAAAGTGTCTCTTAAACTACCCACAAGGTTCCACCGAGATTTGAACTCGGATCACTGGATTCAAAGTCCAGAGTGCTAACCATTACACCATGGAACCACTTTGACACTGCAGCAGAGCATGTTTCTTGATTAACCTCAGCGTACACGCTGTTTAGCAGAACAGACTTGGTAGAACTAGAATATAACATTCAGGAGTTTAAGTGTGTGTAAGGGCCATTTGTTTTTTGGCCCTAGTGGGTAGATACTAAAATGCACTGGTTGAAAGTATTAGAGAAGGAGGAGGAAGAAGATATTTGACAATTTTTGACTTTCACAAGCAAGGATTCGATTCAAACACCTCCTCTTCGGCCTGCAGCTGCCTTTTGATCAACTGTATGGTGCTGGCATCAGTATCCTCATTTTCACATACTGTAGCTTTAAGAGAGAGTTATTTAGACAAAGCTAGTTTTTAAGACGTTCATACGACAGGTGCTTAAATGAATGACGCTCTTTTCTGTTGGATGAAATATCAAAACCAAGGCCACTCTTCAGCTTTTGTTTGTCAGGAGAAAAACGAATCTGGTTATTATTTTACTTACCTCTTTCGAACATCCTCTAGTGGTTCCATGGTGTAATGGTCAGCACTCTGGACTCTGAATCCAGCGATCTGAGTTCAAATCTCAGTGTGATCTGCATTTAGAGTGTCTCACAAAGGTTCTTGCACTCATAGAAGGCCACCAAGACAGGCACCCACCACCAGTGAGAGCGCTTCCAAGTTTGCCAAATCATCTGCCCCACTTGAAGGATCCCGCCTTGCATTAGGCTTGCCATTTATGTTTGCAGCGCAATGGTTTTGAGTGTATTGTTGCTGAGAGTCACCATCGAAACGCTAAACCCTGCCTTAGCTGCCTATAGAGTGCGCATGATTCATGGGAATCTTGGTAGGGATCATTGTTTGGCTGCAGAGACCCATTCTGGAAACCATGGGTGAAGCAAAGCATTTCACAATTCTTCACTTTGCGCGTGATAGCCAAAGAGCAAGATGGCAGCTGAGACTGAAAGTGTGTCTTAAACTACCCACAAGGTTCCACCGAGATTTGAACTCGGATCACTGGATTCAAAGTCCAGAGTGCTAACCATTACACCATGGAACCACTTTGACACTGCAGTAGAGCATGTTTCTTGATCAACCTCAGCGTACACGCTGTTTAGCAGAACAGACTTGGTAGAACTAGAATATAACATTCAGGAGTTTAAGTGTGTGTAAGGGCCTTTTGTTTTTTGGCCCTATTAAGACAAAGCTAGTTTTTAAGACGTTTTTACGAAAGGTGCTTAAATGAATGACACTCTTTTCTGTTGGATGAAATATCAAAACCAAGGCCACCCTTCAGCTTTTGTTTGTCAGGAGAAAAACGAGTCTGGTTACTATTTTCTTTACCTCTTTCCAACATTCCTCCAGTGGTTCCATGGTGTAATGGTCAGCACTCTGGACTCTGAATCCAGCGATCCGAGTTCAAATCTCGGTGGGACCTGCATTTAGAGTGTCTCGCACTGGTGCTTGGACCCATGTATGGCCAGCAAGACAAGCACCCACCACCAGTGAGAGCCCTTCCAAGGTTGCCAAGTCATCTGCCCCACTTGAAGGATCCTGCCTTTACTAAAGGTGCTTAAATGAATAATGCTCTTTTCTGTTTGATGAAGAATCAAAACTAAGGACACCCTTCAGCTTTTGTTTGTCAGGAGAAAAATATGTCTGGTATTTATTTTATTTTTAACTTTTGGAAAGAAGTCAGCTCCATTGCTGACAAAAGGGTGTGGTGTAAATGCTGCTAAATTGCCAGAAACAGCTTATCTGAAAAAAAAAAATAATAATAAAAAAAAAAAAAAACAGCCCTTGAAGAATTGGGAAGCCACTACATGCCCAGAGAAAATCCACTTTGAACCCTGGCTATTTTGTCTTTGTGTGGGTTTGTGGGTACTTTGTTTGATTGACACCTGCCTCCTGTTTGCTCTGGTAATGCCTGCGGGTGTTTGCCTGGTATAAATCCACCCCCTATTTTATTAGCTCTCCAATGCCAGCTTCTTTTTGCGAGACTATTATGTGGGTTTGGAAGTTCCATTTACAAGTTCTGGCTGATCTAAAAAATTATGGTGAAAAAATTTGACTTAATATTGCATGGTTGAAAAAACAAGTGTCATCTTGCACCGTATGGTTGATTAAAAA